CAGTCATTCTTCCAGAAGCGGAGTGACCGCAGTATACAGGAAGCAGTCATAGTATTAGCTGAAGACGACACGGAGGATTCTACAGTTACAACATTTGTGGAGTCTGAGTGTAGCAGCGTTGGAGGAACCAGAACAGATTGTCCGTTACCATTGCCCTTGCCTTATTCTTCCCTTTGCCTTTGCCCTTGTTGTCCTTTTTCCCCTTGCGCCACCCTTATTTTGGGGGCGCAAATGCGGGTACTTTGTCCAACAATTCTCACTGCCGTGATTTCCACCGCAGTGACCACAGGGACCCGATGACTTGTGCTTGACCTGGGATGTCTTGGACGCAGACTGTCCCATACCAGACCGGCGGAGAGATTCTTCGGCAAGAATCTTCGACTGAACAGAGTCGACCTTGAGATCCTTGATGTTCTGCGTCGCCATGAGCGCAGAGATCATCGATTGATAGGATTCAGGCACCTTCGACAGAAGGAGAAGAGCCTGGGTCGATTCACCGAGAGTTATGCCACCAGCCGTAATCTCCTTAAGCCGAGTAACCAGCTTGTTGATCTGATCCTGCAGAGGTTTGGAATCAGACATCTCCGGAGACTTGATCACCGACTGGAAGAGACTCCAGACGAATGCCGTGTCGGGTGTACCAAAGGCTGTCTTAAGGGCCGCCCACATTTCCTTAGCGGTCTTGAGTTCACCACTAGATCCCTCGAGCAAATGATGCATCGAGCGATCAGTCCGCATAAATAGAACACCCTGAGCACGGGCATTCTGTTTCTTGTACTCTGTGTCGGTAGTTACTGTTGCAATAACAGCGGGCCAGGCCTCTATGAATATTAAATAACCGCGCATAGCGGCAGACCAGTCAGCGTATTGAGACGCTGAAGAGAGCTTAGGGATATTGTCTGGCTTGACGTCACCCATGGTTGCGGATAAGAGGATAAATTCGCCTTGTGTGTCGGGCGAAGAAGGAGGTTCTGGTGTAAATAACTCGAAGGGTAATTCCTCCGGTTCAGGTGTTTGAGATCTCGACTCAGGGAGCGAGATTAAATGTTCAGGTTTTGGAGGTGACTCCGAAAATTCGTTGGCGAATAGGAAATTGTCTTGCCAAGCTTCGACAGCGATACCAGCTTTGAAGCCTCGAGGAAAATCACCAGATGGTGTGTGGTAACGGTTTGGACAATGAGTGTTATCACAGTTCCACCAGGTTTGATCGTCGTCTCTATAATGAGCGTCGCAAACCTCCTCGTAGTCGTATAGATGGTAGTGGTTTGAACAATCGTATGAGTCGTCTGACTCTTCGCCTGAAGAGACCTGAGTCTCTGCAAATGTCTCCTCTTGAGACGTTGCCACAGTTGTGATGCTTCACTGAAAAATATTCCAGGAACAAAGATAAAATTTGTGACGCGACTACAAATACTTGTCTACCCAAGCCAAGTGATTGCCCTTGTGCAAGTCCCCAACTTCCCTAGTAACCTTAGAAAGGTTCTTGCTAAGCTCCTTGAAGGAGATCTTCCCAATCAGCTCGCAGACAAGCTTGACGTCGTTGAGCGCGTCGTGCGACCACGAATGACCCTCTGTCTCAAAGTGAGAACAGACCCAATTGAACCGACGTCCAAAAGCGTTGAGGTTGTCGGTGAGTGACCAGCGAACAGTGTCGCGCAGCTTGTGGGTGAAGAGAGGGTGAAGGCGCTTCTGAACGGCGAAGAGACGCTTCGTGAGGATGGCGGCCTTCTCCGTCTGAGACTTCTTCTTGAAGTCGGCGTCAAACGGCTTAAGGGCTGTGATAGGAAGGGGAAGAGGTACGCCTTCGATGCGTGCGATAAGGGAAGCCTTGGCAGCTTCTTTGGCGGCGGTTTCAGCGGCAAGCGTAGCAGCGTACTCCGCACGTCGAGCTTCAAGGAGTGCCCTAGAGTCGTCTGCCTTCAACTGGAGCTCCTCAAGCTGCTGCTCAAGGGTCTTGCGACAGGACGCCTTCGGGGGACGAGAGGTGTCAGGGCGACGATAGGTGGGACGGCGAGGGCGCGGGGTAGGAGTGAGGATGATATCGATCTGGCGATCGATGGGTAGATGACCGTATAAACGCTGATGACGCTCAGCAACAGCGCTAGTGTCGGCGTCGCCTACGTCGTATCTCTCACGACGAGACGGTGGAAAAACTTCGTAATTGCTCTTGCGAGCTACCCTGGAAATGCGCTTGGACAAGGCTTTGGGCACTTGTCACAGAGCGGCTAAACAGTAGTCCAAATAAGGACAAAATATGCCAACTCACTCTTTCAAGAGTTGGGCTTTGGTTGCGCAAAAGGTACAGGTGATATAAACGATCAGAGCGCGGGGCTCATAACCTGTTGAAGTGAAAGAGGTTTAGAAGGGCTTGTTAGGCCAGTGGAAGTGAAGGACAGTAGAGTGGAGTGAACAGACCTATCCCAGAGGGAAGACTCTGATGCTAGGCAGGCAGAAGAGAGGAGAGATCGTTATCCATTAGGGGGGAATCACCCTAGTATATATACATGTCTGGGACTGATCACATGCTACATCAGTAAGCAGATCAGTAATCACTAAGTCCGAGTTTTAGGGAAATGAGTAAGCCTTAACTCCAGAGATAGGGATATGCATAAGCGTCCATGTGATCAAGGAATGTACTGGAAGGTCATGGAACATGCCGGAAGGGAGTGGAATGATCCAGAATAAGTCTGGAACAGTGTAGATCGGTCTGGAGCGAGTCACAAGATGAGTCCAGACAGAGTCCATCAAAAGAATGTATGTAATACTACATCGCAGAACACAAGTCCATATATGTACGTAACTGATAAGATAAGATAACACTGGAAAGTCGGAAGTTCAACAGGTGAACCCGCGTAGGGTATGGGTAGTAGTAGCCTACTTGTTGGCCCATTTGCCGACTCGTTATCATTGCCAGACTTACCCGCCGACTTGCCTGGTTTCTGGCTGGCTGTATGTTCCATAGCTAGTGCACTGTGATGGTGCCGGCTCTCGTGTATCTGTGTGACAATAATTCATTGTATAGTAAAAATGCGTACAATGATAGCGAAGATATGACTTCACACTGTGATAGTCGAGACAGGCCGTCAGACCCAATAGGTAAAATAGACAAGGTTAGACAGTGATTAGATTGCTCAGACACCTTAGTACGCATCAGACAAATCACCGCTTTGCTGATGCTGCCGCACCACGTAGCTCAGCCGAGCATAGAGCATCCTCAACCAGTCAAACAGAGGGCCACTGAAACCCGCGTCCTGCAGCTTCGCCCACAGTGTCGGTTGGTCCACCGAGGGGAACGCATTCGATAGGTCTACGAACGCAACATACAGCGTACGGCCACACGATCGCGCCTTCTCGATCGCAGCCCTGAGGACAAACGCGTTGTTGTTTGTACGGCAACCTGTGCGGAAGCCGTTCTGCGAGGGGGGAATCTTGGCTGTTGCCTCCGCCCACGCCCTCATGCGAAGTCAGTGAGTAGTCGACAGCGTCAAGGTCAGAACACGACGCGCCGGGAACTCGACGTGACGCGTCTGTGGCGTGGAAATGTGAGCCACTGCCAGTGCGCTAATCGTCCTTGACCTATCTCATGATCAGTGGCAGTTTGCTGCGAAACTGATTACTGGAATCGTAAGATAGGCTGCTCGAGTGAGTGCGAGAACGACGGCGTCGACCGCTCAATAGCATCCATGCTCGAGATGAGAGGGCGAGGAGGAGGCGGTGCCGGTTCTGACGGTCCAGTCACGAGACTCAAGAGTCAGAGCCTGACGGAATTGGCGCTCGTGCCCGGCGGCCACGCGCTCCCCAAGCCAGGTCCGTCCTTCTCGCTCGGTGTCCACGACGCAGACACTTTCTAACCTCACAGTATCAGACGCGTTGGACAACTTCGTCGGCTTTCCTCAATGGTCTAGAAGAACCTATGCAACCCAGCTGGTCAATATCGCTGAAGGCATACTGGATTGAATTGTAGCATACCGTGACAGTCATTGTCGTCGCGTCTATGTTCGACGCCCGCGATTTGATAGCAAGTCGATCGTACGTCCGGGACAAAGTATCGCCCAGGTCTCGCCTGACATATGTTTGATGCAGTATGTGGTCCAGCTCGAGTGTATAGCCGTTCTACGATTGTGATGACTCTACGAGGTTGGTCCCTGCCTCGCAGTTCATGCTAGTCATCATCTGCCCTCCATTCTTCGGTCATATACCCGTGAGTACTGTAGAGCCTGCAAGGACAGCGCGGTGTTCGATGCCAACTGAGCCTCGGCTTGCCATCCAGTCGTTTTGAGTTTCGTGGTGTGCAACCTGTACTGGTTTGGTGCGTCCATCCTTACTGTGTAGCACAGAGCCGACTGACGTGTGTTCCAACAGCTGCTCGTGACTTGGGTGCCTAAAATATACATAGGAAATCAAGATATACGTGTCACGTAAGAATAGAGTTCTATGGCTCCGCGCGATTCACATATGTACTCAACGTAAGTACTCAAACCTTCACTCGACCTGTTCAGCATGTCTGTCACATTCCCTTCTTGTCACCACATCCCCACCATTGTCTGATCCCGAGCAGAAAGGATCCAGCTGTCTAGCAACACAAAGGTGCGCAAATCCCCATCTTGATGCTCGGTAGCTGGCCGCTCATCTGCTGTGATGCAGGTTCAATACAACATGGACGGCGGTGAATGGGAGGATGTCCCAGAAACAAACTTTGCGCCGTTGCCGCGGACTCGGTCGGCATCGCCGTGCCCTATCGCCGTGCCAATGGCCACCCGCAGACGCAAGACTCACAAAACGGCGGACCGCACGCCTTCCGTATCGTCTCGACGATCCGCGGCGCCCGTGGTGCCGCTGCAAGAGATATCTACTCTAGTGGATCACGAACAAATGCAGCGTGCTGACGTTTCTGGTGCATCGTCCACAACATCCCACATCGTGGACGTTCTGGCGACCGCCTTCTGGCTTCTGAAGAAGCTATTCGGGGTCCTCGCCTTTGTTGTGACCCTGGTTTCTGGGTTCACCTATATGCCATCCCCGGGATCGGATCCAGCACGTTCTGCACCCGTGCCGCATCCGGTTCGTCTACCACGGACAAGAAGCTGAAGTCAGAGAACTTCGCCCAGTTTGTCAAGCTGCAGGACAGCTTCGAGGGCATCATGATTGCGAACGTGCGCATGGGCGTGATAGATCTTAAGCTTAAGGGATCGCAGATGGTCATGCGCGACCTGGTCACACGCGTGCGCGAGAGCGACCTCAGGAGCCGCAACATTTTCGCGGAAGCCCTCATGCAGGTCGTCAAGGATGCGAAGAAGACGGGAGAAGGACTACACCGGCTTAGTACGAAGATCAACGGGGCCGTGGATCGGTGAGTCCTGTTCAGCGTGTCTTGCACCCACACGCTAACCACGCGTATTCAGCATCACAGCCGTGAACGGCTACGTAATGCACATCATCGAGGCAGCCACGAACAGGGGCAGATTCTCGCTGTCGCGTATCATGTCCCACACTGACACCGAAGCGGTCATCCTCCGCGTCTTCGAAGACGCGATGGACACGCTCACTAAGGAGGCCCATCGCGCAGTGCTCGAAGCCTTTGCCAGCGCTGCAAACCTCGAGCGGCTCGAGGAGCGCCTGATCACCATCCACGAGATCCGCACCTGGAGGACATTGCGCTGAATCATATGCACGCGGAGCTGCTCTCCGAGCTGCGGACGATCCTTGGCGGGAACGGCAGCGCACGCCGCAAGAGCGAGATGGACCTCACGGTTCTGAAGGAGATTGGCCACTACTGCAACGAGGCCCTCAAGCATGTCCTCTCTACGCGCGACGTGCTCCAGGCGGTGGCGGCGGACACGGAGGAGCTCAGAGACCGCGCGGCCGCGCCGGCGATTGTGGGCGATCGCGTACCTTCGGCGGTGTTGGTTCGGAGCATTGGTGACGGGATTGAGAGATTGAAAGAGGGGCGCCAGAGTGCAGCTGAAGGCGGAAGGTCTGGATCATGCCGCGTAGTAAGGGAACTGTATCAGCAGCAGCAGAAGCGGCGGCGAGCTCCCCCGGCTACCTTGAACCTTTCCTTCGTTCCGTCTATGACTGCCCGGCATTGTGTTTGCCGTATCTCCAGTGTGGAGCATTGTGACAGCCCGACCTCACCATAGCATCGTGTTCTGTTGTATTCAACCAGGAACGCGATGCATTGACGGTCAGTATTTTTACCTATTCTACATCAGCCGGCGTCCATCTCTGAGTCTGAGTTGTATTAGGCACGTCGCAGTGAGCTCGAGTTCCGCGAGAATGCGGTGATTCGTGTTAACCGTCGGATAAGCACCAAGGTTGACTCGTCAGGCTGGTGGCAGGTGTGTGAAGAAGGCGTGGTCTTCAAGCTTCAAGCACCTGCCCTACTTTTACGTATCGGTGAAGGAGTGCTTGAGAAGACTCGGATAGGAAGGACGGCCACGCGGGCGCCGCAGTGACTACAAGATGACAACTCTCCTTGCAGCAGGACCTCGTCCGCTCTCCTCCTCACACCCAAGACCTCCACTTTGACCGCGATGTGGAAGACAACTCTATGCAATATGGCGCAGTGGTTTAAAAGGTATGCTGCATCAAGTCTGGTCGAGAATTTGACTCACTGTGGATACACAGCCTGTGTCGGACGGCTCGGTACACCATCATTGGCACCGTTGCAGGCTTGATACTGTCGATCATCCTATTCTGCGCTCTCCTCCGTACTGTGCTCAACGCGATTGGTTTTACGGCTGCGGGCGTACGGCCAGGTACGCATCACTCGGCGGCTGAACCCGCGCTGACCAGACACTAACTTCACTCACTGTCATCTGCAGGGTCTAAAGCAGCCGCCATACAATCCAAGATCGGCTCCGTCGATGGAGACTCAGACTTTTCGTATGCTCAGTCAGTAGGAACGGGCCGCGGTGCTATTCCAGCCTGTTGGGTGTTGGAAGCTGCACTTGTTGGAGCATTGCTGGGAGGGATGTTGGGTGCATCAGTTACTCTAGTATCGGCATGCATTACGAAGCGACGTAGGACTCAACCGGCCGGCGAAGATGACCAGGATGGGAATAAGAAGGGATCATCTAGCTACCAGCTGATCCCGACCCTTGGCGGCGACAGCGCTCACTAGACCACATCCCACAGGATGACATAGTCAACGAACCCTATGCTGTTACATTTGTAAACTACTGTTGTCTTCGTCCTCGTCTTTACTCTCTAGTTGACACTTGAAGTAGTGTAATAACCTGCACTTGCGAGCTTGCGTTTGGCTTTCATACGGTGACCTTCGACTTGGGTTTCCGGCCGACCAATTGCTTTCCCATTTCTGACATATACGAAGATCCCTCGCAGTTGACACGACTGCTGCAAGCTTAAGAGTCGACGAGGCGGCAGACGCTACTAACTTAGGCATAGCTAACATCGCCGTATCGCCGGGACGGATGCCGACAAGACAGCACGGAGCCTGAATTGGTCGTGTTAGGATTCCAAACGCTACAAGGACCTTCAGACGGACGACTTGACGGAGAGCAGTCTAGTAAGTTGTGCCTCCAACCCTGTTGGTATACACCTTGGGTTCACTGCTGTCCAGAATCGGTACGCAGCATTGTCGAGAGGTTGGCATCTGCGAAGGGAACGACTGCACCTGGCTGCACTCGGTGGTAATGTAGTAAAGAGACCGAGCCGCGGAGGTATGATTGGCATCCGCGAAGCACCCAAGATCACATCTTTACCGGTCGCTCGCTCGCGGCGGCAATCAGAAGTGAACGTGTACGATGAACTTGCAGAAGGATGGACGCACCAGGTTGAGGTTGCTGATTAGACCGAGATGACCTGCAGCTGCATCACGCCATGTCGGCCTCGCGGGCTTCAGAGTGATCAAGGCAACGTAACAGATGGCCTGGATGTAAGCAGATGACGACCAGCGCCACAGCTGCCCAGCGAGAACCAGCGAACCTGGAGTCCTTTGATGGTCATGCATGCGAGCTGGACCGCGTACGTGGTCTTAGGCATCGGAATAGGGAGAATCTGGGGGCAAGACCGAGCGTGTGCCTTCGGACCGCCGCGCTCGTTACTATCCCGGGAGACAGGTTAGGCAGGTCGCGAACGATGACGTCTCGACGGGGAGAAAACGGAGCGTCCGTTGCCCGGTCGAAAAGAGCCAATATAGGCGCACTGACCTGCTCGACCGTTGCACGCCTTCTGCGAATTCGGCCAGCTGCGCTGCATGGAGACCTTGTCGGCAGGTGCGGGAGGTTGACGAGACGACTGGCGAGTCGCCGTATGCCTCAGATCAGACGTCGGGTGGATGACGGGATCATCAGGGCCTACGCCGCGGACAATAAACAAGAAGGACAGACCTGCCGCGCACGAAATCTGCCATATCACCACCTCTACCCTAGCCACCAACGTTGTCCGTAGATATGTCTTGAGTCGTGCTGCCATGCACGTCATCAGGGAGAAGTCGGTCAGCGTATGCAGCAGTACATACCTGATTGATTGAGAGACATGATCGACGAGAAACGAGCCCACGGGAGGAGTGAGCATCACTATCAAGCTTCGGGCCCTCGCCGAAGCAAGCGCGGCAGGACGAGCGACTAGCCAGGAGTGTAGAGCGTCCGAAGAGGAGTGAACTGACAGCGGGCATCATCATCTTAGTGATGCCGTGGACGTCGGGGGAGACGAGGACATTAAGAGAGACGGTGGCGGGAGAGATGTGGAGACGTGACGGAGGCAGGAGGCCTATTCATACGTCAAGGGAGAGTGGGTTAGGCGATGTTTAGCACTTAAGACGGAGACCGTGCGCGACGTACCAGTACGCGTTCAAGTCCACGCGCGACCTCTCCTGATACAAGCGATAGGGCCCGGTTCCTGCATCGTTGCTCCTTTTCTGCGAACCACCCCTCCTTCGCGAGTCGCATCTTCCCTAGTGTATTCAACTGTCGCTATTCTGCCCTTGTCTTCGCAAGGAAGGAAAAGACAAGTTTCATCTGTCTGCAGATGTCAGGAGTGTCAGAGGAGAGCTCAGGTCACACACAACGCACATATACGTCCATCAAAAGCGGGCCACTGCATATACGCGTGATGTATCGCTGGTGTCCGTGAAAGTCGATGACCGGTCGTCCAACACCAGGCCAGCGGCATTACCTAGTACGTATACGGGCTCTACCGCTCACTGGTATCATATTTCTCGCTGTGAGCACGGCACCGGCGCACGAAGAGCGTGAGCAACGCGACTCACGTCATATTGCGGGTCACTCCACTCACCGCCGTCCACCCCTCCTCGTCCGACCTCCACCCTCCACTGCTGGCATGTCCTCTATATACTTGCCCACAGTTCCACGTCCGCACGCACGACGTTACTCTCCGTACGTGTACCACTGGCGTTCTGTGGAGGAACGATGACCGATCGAGCGCTCATAACGCAGATGCACAATAAGTACGAGGAGGAGGCCAGTGGAGGAGCTGCGCTGCGAACGGCCGGTAAAGATGCTGATCTCGGGCGCTTCGCGGATGCTAATTGCACGGATCGGACCCAACCATCCGGACCGGCGGAGTCATTCATCGACAGTGGACACAACGGCATTTGTGACTCGAGAAGCCCGGCTCAAAGCCAGTACAATGATATTTGAGCATTCACCATTACTCGTAAAAAATGACGATACGGTACAATAGGTGTATCAACACGTTCGGGCCATTGCACGAGACGGTTGCTTATGAGCAGAGTAGTCAGATACGGTTTTCCGCAGGCTACTCGGAAAGGGGCCCGCGCAAATCACCAAGCCAGTATACGTGGACGGGGTGGCGCGTCACAGATCCCTCAGGATAATGCCAGTCCAGAGATAGAACGTTGATGCGAGAGTACGCCGTCCCGAGGCTGTTCGCCTCGAATGCAGGAATGGGATAGGGTGTCCGTCAGTAAAGCTACGATGTAAGGCGTGAAGAGCGACAAGCGCGACTAGATGGGGATAGAGAGATGCGTGGTAGTAGGAACCCGCTCGACGATCGCACCAGTGCGTACCTGTACGCTCCCGTCAATATGAGACCAGCGTGCACGCTACCGCGACGGGCCATCTCACTGATTATGGGTGTTGTAGATTACGTTTGCGGAGGCTACACCCATTGTTGTAGGCGGCGTGTTAACCTTTGGATGTCCTGTTGGCTGCCATGGTCGCCGTCTCCCCGGCGCATGAGAGATACGCATATTCTCTCGACTTAGCCATTCGAAGATCGAATATGGGGGCGATCCTGAGCATGAGTCGATTGTTAGCAGCAGACCGAGAAGATTGGGGATGTGTCACTCACCTCAGAAAGGCGTCGCATACTGAACGCTGAGCGCTGAGCGCTGAGCAATGGACAACCCAGACTACCGCGGTGACCATAACGACTCTCGGCAACGCCGGGTACAGACTCACGTCTACAGCGATGGTCCCAAGATCGGAGCAGCATGATAAGAGGTGCAACAGCGGCTGCTCTCCATCAAGTCGTCCGTCTGAAGTTCCCGTAGCGGTTCGAGTCCTAACACGACAGATCCGGTTTCGTGCTTTCTCGTCGGCACAGTTCGCGGCATTACGGCGGAGTTGTCTAGCCAAATAGAGCTCACACGCTTTCGGTCATTAGAAAGCACATAGAAGAAGCAAGACTGCAACGCACGCCCCTCGAAGTGAGGTCTCCAAGTTGTATCCGTGTGTGTCGGGCTTGCTATGTTACGATGCACACCGCCGCCAAGCCTATTGCGCTTAGAGCGAGAATACCGCTTGAGGACGCAGAGACAACGGAAAGAAGATAATGGCATCGATCTGGCGGAGCAAGGAGGCGATGTCGAAAGGCAGCTTCAGCGTAGTGCATCGGCGATGAGAGCGTGCTCTAATAGTAGCGTCTGTCGCATGGAGTTCCAGAAGTCCCGTTTTGGTTAGCTACAAGTTCTAGTACTTACTGTATTGTATCGCTGTCCATCTTGAAGACGAACAGCCCGCGACACAGGCACTCTTACGGTTGCCCGATAGTCCGGGGCCGGGCATTTTTGCACGACGCGCCTTTGACGCGCCTCAGCCATATCGCGTCCGCCTGCTCCATGTCTTCTAGGACTGGGAATACTCACGTTACGGTCGTAGAAACATGACTGCTACACGCAAAGCACTGGGAACATCGAAAGAGAGGGATTAGCAAGGTCATCGGCCCTCAAAATTCACGCGAAAGCTCGACGACCTCGGAAAATGGTAAGCGCCCGGCGCGTTACCGCGACTCGCAGCTCGCTCGGACTCGAAGGCGCAAGTTTGGAGGATACAACTATGGGCCATGTTGTATGCTGGTGCGTGGCTAGTTTTCAGGAACTTGTGAGATGTCGAACAGGGATGCAGATTAGCATAAGCAGGATGGTATGACACTCGGTACTACTGATACTGCAGTGCTGAGCGGAGTCCGGCAGGCCCAGTGAAGCCTCATGAAACTTCCTGAAGCTCTCGGTGTAGGGTTTTGATGTGCATGCTTTGTCCGGGGGTGATGAGGTGATTCAGATGTACGGTTCGAGACACATGATATATATTTTGGTTTTGTTGATGTACACGAAGGCCCGCAACGCAGTAAGTACGACTCCGAGGCAAGACCACTATTATTTTGCACCTGTCATAGCCATAGATAGATAGACGTAAAAGCACTTCTGAGCTTCTCCTACCCTCAGCACTTCGTTCTGCTCAGTATCCCAGTTGACTTCGCATAGTACCAGCTACTTCATTTGCAGCAGTGTCCGAGCTGAGAACATGGGCTGTACACTGGCAATTCGAACTATGCCCGTAGTACGAGAAGTAAAACCACAGCACGTATGAATAACTCACCATATATACTGTGCTTGGTCTGCCGCGGCCATAAAGGTGGTGTAGAACTTGCGCCTTCGAGTCCGAGCGAGCTGCGAGTCGCGGTAACGCGCCGGGCGCTTACCATTTTCCGAGGTCGTCGAGCTTTCGCGTGAATTTTGAGGGCCGATGACCTTGCTAATCCCTCTCTTTCGATGTTCCCAGTGCTTTGCGTGTAGCAGTCATGTTTCTACGACCGTAACGTGAGTATTCCCAGTCCTAGAAGACATGGAGCAGGCGGACGCGATATGGCTGAGGCGCGTCAAAGGCGCGTCGTGCAAAAATGCCCGGCCCCGGACTATCGGGCAACCGTACACTCTTCAGTCCTAAAGGCTTCGAGAGTCCTAGTCAAAGTTCACGCGTTGCATCTCAACTAGAGTGCCATGTGGCGCCGAGTCAGCTTCAGGTCACCCACAACATTCCCCGTCACATATCACTGCAGGTGAGCTTTGCTCGACTTCAGGTTCATGAACTCTTATGTAACTATATGCCTGACCACATGTGCTTTCAATAGTCTAGTAAATTCTGCGGTAGCCGTATGGTTGCGTACTATCATGGTCGCAGTTCCCTTGGACCCCGAGTCATACGGACTTCTTCTCGTCGCTGTCCTTGTCCGAATGATTCACAACAACAACCGCCGCCGGATCCAACACATCCACGCCCATCCCCTCAGCTACACGCAGACAGTCAGCCCGACTACCGGCCAAACAACGCAAACGGCGCTTACCAGCAATCTGCTGCACCGGGCCCGTGAACCACTTCCGTGCGCTCAGCAGCCAGAACCCCAGGCTATACGTCATCACAATCCCCACCGCGACCACCGCATAGTTCAGCGTCTGCGAGTCGACGGGGTTCTCCTCCGGCAAGACGAACGCGATCGTGATGAAGCAGATCCACACGACCGCCGTAGTGGCCACGGGGAACGAGAGCGCGCCGAGGTGGAAAGGGCCGCGGACGAATTGCGAGGCGTAGATGACGCGCAGGGCGATGGGGATGCCGTACGAGGTGTACAGCCCAATGGTGGAGATGCTTGTCACGGCGGAGAAGGCGACGGAGCTTCCGAGGCTCGGCAGGCCCAGGATGAAGCTGAGCGTGCAGGCGAGCCAGACTGCGGGGGTGAGCATGTGAATCGGTGTATGATGCTCACAGCATAGAGGATGTACTGACCTGTGCGGACGGGTGACTTCCATTTCGCGTCCACCTTCTGGAAGAACTTGTGCCCCGGGATGCCGCCGTCTCTCGCGAACGCGTACATCATCCGGCTGTTGGACGTGATTGAAAACGTCCCGCACCAGAACATCGCGCCGATGACGATGACCTGCCGCAGCACAACCGTAAGGCACCCTGTCTATGGTGACACTGCATACGGCACTTACCATGAGGACTATGGCACCCTTCTCGTGCACTGTATCGAGGAAAATCTGCGCGATGGGTTGGCCTGTCGCTGAGCTGACTGTGCTCTCGAGGTCTTGGATGGAGAAGAGCAGAGAAATCATGAGGCACCATCCGAGGATGGCGGAGACACCGATGGACGTAACGATGCCTATGGGTCCAGCCGTGGCTGCGTTGCGAGTCTCCTCGCTCATCTAGTTAACGCATCACAGTCAGGGCACCATCATGTAGCTGACCAGAACGACACTGACATGTGCGCTCGCGTCGAAGCCTGATCATCCTCAGCATACCAAATCGACGAGAAGCACGAACATACCCGAAAGCGAATATTGCGCCATCAATATCCCAACAACCACTACATACCCCGGGCTTGCCCTCACGCTCCACCCTACCCCATCTACGCCCGTCCCATCAACAAACGTCTGGAACACGAATTGCGCCGTCTGGTGTGTCGGCGCCGCCGCGAGCACCGCAATGATGATCGCGAAGGTGCCGATGGCATGCCACCATATGGAGACGTTGTTCAAGTATCGCAGGAGGTGCACGCCGAAAGTGTTGATGAGACCCTCTGCGACCACTACGGCAGCGTAGATCCCGATGGTGGTTTTGGCATCGGGAACGAAGGTAGTGTTGAAGGTGGCGAGGGTGGATATGAAGGTCGCACAGCCAAAACTGCGGTGCATCATGTTGACCGAGGCGAAGAGGACGAAAGAGAGGGAGGTGCGTACTTGATGCTGGTGGTGACGGCGACTTGGCCCAGGAAGTTGAACCATCCCGTAATCCAGGATGCAAATGCGGCGTGTTCTGGTTTGCAGAGCATGGCCGCCCAGAAGTACGGACCTCCGCTCGTAGGATGTGCACTGCAGATCTCTGGATCGTAAGGGAGCGGGGGGTCAGGATGTCATATGGATGTCGATTTTGGCGACTCACCTGCCATGGACAGGCCAACAAGCATCGTGAAGAATGCTATGGACTACTGCTCAAGACGTCGGTCCTCAACTGCAGTGTGATAGAGGGCGTACCGACGACTGCCCAACCCCATACCATGACCACAGGTCCTCCCGTACTCTGAACGGCATCGGATGATCATCAGGTGTTTGCTGTTTCCCAGTCTACTCACCAGACCATACGCAAACGTCGAGCTTACACCAGTGATGATACTGATGATGGAGAAGGACACTCCGAAGTTCTATACAAGTTGAGTTTCGCATACTCTGTGCTTATGCTTGAGCTTGAGCTCACCTGCAGCAGTCCGAAGTCCCGTCTTCGGTGGTACTCAGCCACTACAAACGTCTTGATTCAAAAGGCTCGTACCTAAGCTCCTGCTTGTAACCCATCCTCGCTAGTTCCGCCTCATCTCGGTCGCCGTCTAGGATCGCGTCAGTCACTACCACTCGAGAGCTCATTGAGTCGGTCATCATGAATGAAGCGCAGATCTGCGCGCCATGGAGTCTCCCATTTGAAAGAGTCCCATTAGTTTCTCATTGCGCTCGTGGCAGTTAGTACGCGATAAGGTAGTCGAGAGGCCATCCAATGAATTAGATAGAAGCTTGGGGGGAGAGTTCAAGCGTCATGACCGCGGGAGTGATTGCCCCCGTTCGTCCGACGCTTTGACACATGACTTAAATAGCACTTCAGTAAGACAGCTACGTACATACCATAGCTGCCTTACATCGTAGTGCTGTTGCACAGAGTGCATGACTGGGAAGGGGATTTGAAGCTGGTGTGTGCCTTGAGTGCGGTCAATGTACACCAATCGCGAACGCGTCTGTGGCGTGGGTACCGTGCCATGAACTGGTTCGATGCTCCATTGGCATGTCTGAGAACTGAAGCCAGTACTTCTACGCAATCGACTAGATTACTACTGTAGCCGAGAGCGACCCGCTCTGCTTCTGCTACAGTCATTCCAGAGACGACTTGGCTTCGAGCCTGCGCTCAGCTGGACATGTTTTGCTCTCCTACTTACTTGGCGGGTACTGACAATCACATGCACGATGGTCAGTCGAGTCGGGATGGATAGCCGGTTCAGACACCTGCGCGGTCACTCTCTGCGGCGCTCGTGTGATTGCTCTCCGAGATGGTCAGGCGGGCAGACTGTGGGCCCTCCCTTATAACCTCCCTTCAAGTTGCCACGTAGCGTTAGCTAGCCTCTGTCCGTCTTCGCCATGTCCGTCATCACCACGCCAGTCACCGAGTTGTTCGGGATCAAGCACCCTATCCTGCTTGCTGGTGCGCCTAGTCCAAGTGGAATCATGGGAAAGCACGACTGACCTCTTGCTCGTATAGGGATGAACGTGGCTGCTGGTTCTGAACTTGCTGCAGCGGTGACGAATGCGGGAGGTCTGGGTGTCATCGGAGGGCACGGTTATACGCCGAAGATTCTTCGCCAGCAGGTACGTCCAACGTAGTACGCCGTTCTGGTAGCAGAACTCATCCCTATCTTCACCCGTAGATTCGTGCCATTAAGGCAGATCTCAAGGACAAAAACGCGCCTTTTGGCGTTGACCTCCTGATTCCCCAGGTCGGTGGTAATGCACGGAAGACCAACGTGAGTAGCACCAGCCGACCTAGTCGATCATATCACTGAACACCGCTCTCCACAGAAAGACTACCAGAACGGGCAGCTGCCGCAGCTCATCGACATCATCATCGAGGAGAAGGCCGCCCTCTTCGTCTGCGCCGTCGGCGTCCCACCTAAGTGGGCAGTCGACAAGATGCACGCCGCCGGCATCCCGGTCATGAACGTGAGTGTCCCACCCACCAAACGTCCTCCCGTCAGGCCAACCCTCTCTGGATACAGATGGTCGGCCACCCGAAGCACGTCGCGCGCGCACTTAGCGTCGGCGTCGACCTCATCTGCGCCCAGGGCGGTGAGGGCGGCGGACACACCGGCGACGTCCCCTGCTCGATCCTCATCCCCGCCTGCGTCGAGGCGGTCAAGGGCAAGACCTCTCCGCTCACGGGCAAGCCCGTATACGTCGTCGGCGCAGGCGCGGTCGTCGACGGGCGGAGCCTCGCCGCGAACCTCGCGTGGGGCGCGGAGGCCGTCTGGGTCGGCACGCGCTTCGTCGCGAGTGTCGAGGCGGGCGCGCCGAAGGCACACAAGGAGGCGGTCGTCAAGGCGGGGATCGACGACACCGCGACGACCCTGATCTACACCGGGCGGCCGCTGAGGGTCATCCGGTCGCCGTATGTGGACGACTGGTGAGTCCGGGGGAGTGATTGTGTTTTGCACGCACGGGGTGACGTGCTGTTCTAGGAACAACAACCGGCTGGAGGAGATTAAGGAGCTCACGGCGAAGGGCGTCGTCCCGCACGAGGAGGAGCTCCGGAAGCACCCCGAAAAGCACGGCAAGGGCATCACCTTCCTCTCCGGACGTGTCGCCGGCCTCATCCACGAGATTCTCCCCGCGCAAACGATCGTTGACAATATGGTCAACGAGGCTGCTGCTATAATCCAGAGCTCGGCGGCGAAGGTCCAGGTTAAGGCGAGGCTGTGATTTAGTCAACTGCTTTAGGTGATCCTGCCTCGGATGTTGACGTTATTTGATTGATCTCATTATATGGATACGGGCAAGTTATTGTTATAGGATGCCTTCACATTGCTCGAAGGCTCCGTATGCTGGAACTTCCGATGCGTTCTCGGGTTTGAACACCGTGGCCGGGAGTAGCCTTAGTTCGATGCAAAATTTCAAGCGAAACTCTGCTTGCGAGGGCTGACTCGGAGGGCGAACTGGTTTCTGCTCCTGAGACCTTACTGCTGCTCTTCTGGTACGCAATGTGGAACTGCGGTACGATCCGGCATGTGTCTGCTATATTCGGTGACATTCACGTCAGTCACTTATGACAGACACGCATGGGTGATCAGATGGCGTTGCATTTGCAGGGATCGGTCCCCATAAAATTGCACATTCATGATGGATATGAATGTGGCCGATTGACTCAAGACGAGCGACTAGACTACGATGGTTCCAAGCTCGCTCAGCTGGCTGTACATCCCACGTGCGATTGCAATCGTACGTATAGCCCTGGGCCACAGAAGGTGGCACCATGCCACGACCCTAGCGTCATCACGTCCACCTCGAGGCATAAGTCAGGGAAGTCACAGAGGACAAGGAGCTGTACAACCAGTGCACATAACGTCCGATGCCGTAGTGTTCTGTATGAAGGGACGCCCGCTCAACCTCTACAACATTCATCCTCAACCTCAGGCGGGCCACGAATGTATGGCAAGTGATGTGCCAATGGGTCGTGTGGTGTTACCCAGAAGACCGCCATACGAGTGAAGGGCTCAATGACTTCCGGATATATAAGCATGTAAGCCTTTGACTTGTTACGCCAGTCTACAGGTATGTCGGCAGAGGAGCTGGCGAAGGTGATTGCGCTTCTCAACACAATGTGGGCCGCGCCACTTTCGGTGCTCTCTCGAACGACTAATGAGACAACAATCTACAGGTTCTCAGTCGGATGCTGTGAAACGGCAGCGTGCGGTGAGTTCAATCCTACTGTGAAAGCGCACAGGACAATCTCATTCTGTTCATAGCGATCCACACTTATGATCGTTGTCTCACCTTCGGGTCGGAGGTGGATCTCATATGGCGCCGCCAACGGATCACAGTAACGACTGGCCTGTATCTGCTATTGCACCTATCGGCGACAGTGTATATGTACACCGGGATAGTGAGCACTGTGTTTGCGAGCTGCAGAGTAAGGCATAGTTCTTTGGCGCGGTAGTCGGAACACTGACATTATTTTAGAAGGTACATTGAACCTAGACAGGTCTGGGCTAAGCTTATTCACAAGGTTATCACGCAGCGACATGGTAACAAATATGATTGAAAGTTGCGCCGCTGTGTCGTTCCATGTCGTTACCGGTGGTGAGTGAAGACTCGGCGATATTGTTCAAGTTGTTGCCCACTCACAGCGATCTCCTTCATGTCGAATAGCATTCATGGCATTGCGTGCCTACGCCATCAGCAACCGTTCCTTGCCTCTTACATTCGCCATTTCTCTGTCTTCCTTGGTGATCCCTGCGTTGGACGTGGTACGTCCTCTCGTCGTTGCCTGCTTACATACATGCAAAGCTAAAATAATCACCAGTATCAGATCTGTACAGCAATCGCACCAGTTGTACCTTCCCCCGTTGACTGCATGGTCTTTTCGGCCATCAAAACAAAGATTGAACGGTGCGTCTCACAGTCTGGAATTGTGTCTTGACAAGTAGCTTTAATCCTACGATGCGCGTTCTAGGCCATGTGCGGAAGGGTTTCGCTTGACTTGCGATTGGAATGAACTGACAACGATCACTTCTTGCCCGTGTTGCCAGTGTTTGCTTCCGGGGAAGCATCCACTATGATCCCCGAGGTATGGCTGTTGGTAGCGACCTGGCGGCATGTCTACATGGTAAAGACGGCCAACGAGGCTCAACTTGAAGTTGATACTCCCTTAACAACGCTCAATCTTAGAGACGGTCAGTAAGAAGTCATTCAGAGGTCAACACATTGTTCTTATCTAACTTATTACCTTCCGTGCCACGGCTCGCTACCAGGCACTGTTTATTTTGTGTAAGTCTGCACGAAATCTGAGCAGGACACTTTGAAGCTGATTTAACTCAGCATTTTCTTCGTCCTTCAACTAGTCAACACCTTGCTGCTCGTGACTACTGTCGGTGTTGCAAACTTTGCGCATCACATTATGCTGACTTCTACTTGATACTTGAGTTAGACTTCCACCAGTCCATTTTCCGTTCCCATCGCTAATGCGTGAGTTGCCTCTCGTTTCGTCTAAGACGCGACTCAATTTGATTGCGTACATTGCGCAGACTTCAGACGATCCTCCTCTCCCGCTTCTACCTTAACTTGCATGAAGCGAACTCGCCTCAAGCCATGCTATCTTCCGGCACATCGCAGCTATCCGATCTCAGTTTCGTGCAGGTGGTCGGGAGTTTAGCGGGCACGATCGCCTACAATACAGGGAGCCCCGCAGCAGAAGGCATGGATTCGCGGAGCAGCAGTGATCCCGACACCGATGAAGAGCTTTTGCCATCCAGGAGAGCATTCCAGAGTAACGCTCCACCCAGATCCGGAATACTCCCGTAGAAGGAGTTCGAAAGCTTGCCTATAAGAATATCATTCGAGACTTCGCGACGTTCAAATCAGTACAATCATGCTGAACACATGCTCCAAAAACGCACCATCTCGTCCACTAGCATAGCGTCCACCTTAGCTGAGAGACTCTGGGAGAATTGCTGCAAGTGAAATGCCGCAATAGGCCCACAGGTCTTGCAGGTGGCCGCGTTCTTCAAGGCACAGCGCATGGCTTGTCGATCAAGGACGGTCTGCCCGCATGGTACACCGTTGAGCAGCTTAGCTACTTGCAGCAGCCACTCACACCACCAATTTCGCAATCCCCATGGGTTGCAGAACGCGCGAGGAAGTGTGTACGCGGTGCAGCCTGTGCAGGACACCCACACAAACCTCTGGTCAGGCAAGATCCCACTGGTCAATCCCTGGTCTGCGTTGGAGTAAGGAATCATATGGTCTAGTGCGAGGGTCTGGGCTAGGGCCCCCATGGCCTTGCGGTGTTGCAGTAGGTGATAGTAGCACGAAGCCGGAATCGCTTCGAGTTCTTCGACATAGCAGTCGTCCAAGGGCGTCCGCATCAGTACCAGTGTGGCGTGTCTCGCCTCGCGCACCCAGTGATGTGCGCAGGCGATGGCATACACCACCAATGGTCTTGTTTCAGCGAACCCTAGGAATCTTGCCTGCAGCGCCTCGATGGCGGCCACGAGCTCGTACTTTTTTGCTGCTTGGAGTAGCAGAGACGCTGTTTGAGGGTCTGGCGGCGCCTCGGGACATGCGACGGGGTAGACGTACTGCAAAATGGCAGCGATCGTACGGCTGTGTTCGGGTAGTGTGAGGCCAACTACACGTCCGTCTCTGCTCCTCTGCGAGCCTTTGATGGACTGGGAGCCATTGGTCAGCGTTAGCTGGAAGTAGGGCGAAGCAACCCGCAGGAGGTCGGAGTGCACTTTGAACTCGACGCCGTCGCGGGCCCGCAGCTTGAGATCGGCAGAAGGCAGTCCGAAAGGGTACGGCAACGATGACTTGGCCTCCCACTCCCTCCTGTCGTACGACGTCAACGGTGCCCGTGTCGACGCCTGCGGTAGTTCGGCACAGAGGAAGGGCATCGCAGGGAGCGCGTCGGCATCGCGTGCATTGTGGAACTGGAGGAGCCGATGATATGCGCCCGCCGTCAAGTCCTCCAGCTCGGTGAAATAGACGTCCTGTAAGGGTTGTCCAATGGTGCGCTGCGCGGCAACACGTGCGACGTCTTCAAAGTGATAGGCGTATGCTGTAATGTAGACAAGCAGTGGATGCGCGCCATCGAGCGTGAAATCGGTGAGCTGTCTCTTCATCATCTCTGTCAAGCCCTCCATGAGATACTTGTCCACAGCCGTCAAGACGTCCCTGACTTGCGAGAGCGACGTGAATACGGGCGTAGTAACAGGGTAGCAGAGGCGGAGAAGGAGATCCACGACCTCGCTTGTCTCCGTGACAGGTACGACAGGAATACCGTCTCTCCTGGGGCATTGTTCGACGGGAGCTTCTCTGGCGATGTCGAACATATCCTCGAAGACGGAGGACGCCTCCGCCAATATACTGCTGCGCACCCGATAGTCGACTCTATCGCGGGACCGCAAGATGATATCGGAGCGGGGAGAGTTGAACGGCGCAGGGGCGTCTCGTCTGTATGTATGGTCGGTGGCTTGCAATCAGCAAGGCACTGATGAACGCAAGATGCATAGGGCTACAAGCATGAGGACTTACACGACTGGCATAGTGGAGTCGATGGTCCTGGTTGGTGATCTCGATCGGCCAACTACAAACCTATAAGTGAAAATACGACAGGGGAGTGAAACGGCTGAGTAGGCACGGGTGCGGGAGGTTGTGGATGGGTGGAAGCGAAGGCTAGCTACTACGGTACGAGTTAAAGTTCTGGACACGGCGCGATAGAAGCAAGTGCGGAGGACATATAGTACTCGTAGTCCCGTCTGCAATCTGGGTTCACCAGTCACGGTCTTCCGACGCATGTGGAGCTTCGAAAGCGTGGCGTAGTGAATGTCAACGCCAGTGATACGCAGGTACCAAGGAGCTGGGCCGGCCTCAACGAACATTCTCGTCGCATTGGCCGCCTCGTGTCATATGCTGCACCACCAAATGAGACAGACGATGTCCCAATCTGCATACCACGTTGACACAAAGTGATTATTGTGATAGAGCAGACCATTCGGTGCTGCATAGTGAAGGGCTTCGAAGCACGGGTGTACGGATCCATGCCAGATCGACGCCACTGTATGACCTTGTTACTTAGTAGCGAAAAGATGGAAAGGTCCGCACGCACCGTGTTTTCCATCGATGGACAGGAGTCGGTGGGCACGAACCCTAGCAAAGCCCTTCACGAGAGAGCTATGCTGAACCCTACCACACACGCATTCAGTAGGGACATCAAACTGAACTTGCTGTCAGGGGGATGTTGTTTTGCCATGACCGCATCACATCGCACCGAGTCGTGCAACGTGCACGGAATCACGACTTCCAAGTCTTTGTCAATGATACATCAGTACACTAGGACACAATGTGATCCACGCAGATAGCTCAGCCACCTCGTCCCTTCATTCCACGAGGTGTCGTTAGAGCTTGCTGTGTACCCGCAAGAGGTACCCTGTAGAAGTTCGCTGTCCTCATCTTGAGCCTTATGAGGACCCGAGAGGGAGAGCACATATTACACTCTCAAATATATATTGCAATCGGCAGCATTCAACAGGTCACGAGGTTAACGTTTCGATTCCGAAAGAACTGTAGTCTCATACCAAGACCCTCCACACGGCGCTAGTGTGGGGGTTGTGTCGAACCTGTTAGAAAGAACCGCACCTCTGCGGCACATAAATCCGTTGCAATTAGGCACTCTCCGGCAGTAACTTATGATGACAGAATGGATATGAATCATATCGGGAACTCACTTTCAAGACTCATCAGAGTCGAAGTCGAAGAAGCCAAGACGCCGAAATGCATCCACCTCCAAACGGAGCCCATCGTGAGTCACCGGACGGAACACAGACCGATCCGCGTCGCCCGAGCGCTGCGGTCTCAATCCTCCATTGAACTGTCGTCCTCGTGATGGTCGCAGCCGGATTCCGCGCCATGTTATATTTGCTGCGTCGCGACGACAGAGCCCGTGGACACGAGACGGACGAACACGTCAAGTGGTAACGAGAGCGGCACCCTGGAAATGCCCGGCGTAAAGACTGAATGCAGGAAAGCGCACGGATGGTGGCGGCCGGAGCTCGAGTCCTGGCACCGATACAGCCATCGCGGACCGCAGGCTCATCCGTGAATATCGAAGGCCACCCCGACGTCGCACGCGCATGACACCCGGTCCTGCCCTACGCACCCCGACGGCGTGCCGACGCCAACCATCGGGACACTAGTCATTGGCGTTGATGGACGGATGGCGGAGCGAAGCTTCGCGGCGAGCCACCGGTACCCACACCGAGCCCACATGCACGTCATACGGGGAAAGGCTAGCAGATGATCGAACGCCTGAACTTGCAGGTTGATACGCGAGTGGAGGGTACGGGGAGAGAAAGACTCTGGGCCCGTTCAGGACGTGTACATATGTCATGTTGCTGTAACCCCGCAGAAGCGTCCGCACATCAGCGCGCGGTGTCATATTGCATGTGTACATACTCACCGCAGCAATGAGAAGGTCCACGATGGCAGTCCTCGGAACATCGTGTGGGGACAGATCGCATCGCGAGGGTGCTGTCGTCGGCCGACGCCACCTCCCCGCATCTCCACAGTCGAAGAAGCGAGGTTCCCCGCGTCGACGGACTTGGCAGGTCCAGGCAGGACTTGGGCAGGACAGACGGTTCGTGGCGCGAGCGCGGGTCACGCTGGCTGGGTGACCCGCCACAGCCCCGCAACGAGGACTCGATGCTCGGCTGCGCGAGTCCAGTCGAGAGTCATGAGGAGGTCACAAGATACGGGCGTGCATGTCTGAAACAGGAGGTGTGAGCCCGTCGAGCAGAGGCACTGAGGATGCTCCCGGGCTGCTGGGGATACGTGCACGGTGACAGTGAGAACTGCGCGTCGGTGTCAGCTGGCGGGGACAGTTACGAGAGCGGCCGTCACGCGCGGGCAGCGTCGCTCTGGCGGGTGGTATAGGCATCGGTGCACCGAGCAGGGTTAGGTGAGATTGGGTCGCGAGATGGAGTGATCGGGTGTGGCTGTAGCCATGGATGGCTGATCAGCGCGCATTGGGAGGACCACGGGATGAATGTTTTGACTCCGGGGGCAGTGGTGCAGGCTCCGAAGTGTCAAACTCGTGAAGGTGGTTCCTCGGTGACTGTGGATTCGGTATCAGTGGCACGGAGATTGCTGGACGGAATGCGCGAAAGAGCCACTCGACTGACATCAAAGGCACGCTGGCTGGCTAACTAGGTACGCGGCGCCGCTCACTCCAGGCGGTGTCGCGTGCGGACTCGCAGCGCACTGGATGCGGACGGGACAAGCGCGGGCGATGGGTCGGAGGAAGAGAGGCGGACGGAGCTGTGGCTGCATATGGCGCGCGACTGCGAAGAGGCTGAGATCCGTGGCCGGATCGATGTTCCTGGGTACGGGCGTGTGTGCAGCTGTCGCCGTGTGGCCCATACCGGGCATGGGGCATTCTCGGCAAATCCGCGAGCCCGACCCGGTCCAGCGCACACGCAGGCGGGCGACAGGGGCGAGCAGGCCGCCGCGAAAAATGCACGGCAGCGAGGGCACACAGGCATCGATGGGCCGGCGGCGGGGGAGAGACGAGCGCGCGGGCGAAAGGAGGCGAGGGCGGCCAGGAAAGGCAATGTTGCGGCAGGATGCCGGGCTGGGAAAATGTGTGGCCGACACCGTCGATGGCGGGGCACGTGCGCTCCCGGGAACCCGCGACAGTCGCAGCGGCCAGAGCCGTCTCTCGACTGGCGACAACTATCCATATCCGCCCCACCACCATCCATGTCGTCTTTTTTCTCGACATAGCCCTTTCGCCCCTGCACTCACCTCCAGCGCACCGCGCACCCTCCCACCCACCTACCGCCCATCATTCCCCCACCGCCAGCAACCATCTAGGTCTTCTCGTCCTCGGGATCACCGCGCCGACTCGGAACCGCGCTGGGACTCGTTGGTACAGCAGCGCCCTCACAGCAGCTCGTTTCTCCCTCTCCCTCTCCCCGCCGTTTCCACATGCCCGTGCCCACAACCCTGACGAGCTACCTCCCCGTCCTGCTCGTCTCCGTCACACACTCTGCCGCCCCCGACGACACCTCGTTCTCCACCCTCCCCGAGGGCCAGGTCGACTATCTCTCCCACGAATGGCGCGAAGAGGACGTCTGGCGGTCGTGGCGCAGCATGACCCGCCAGAAGAACGCGATCGCGAACGGCACCCGTCTCGAGAACGCGAGCTGGCGGACGTGGTGGAAGCAGAGGAACAAGCTAAAGACCATCAGCCCCGAGACACTTAATTGGTGCGTATCTCTCCCTGCCCCGCTAGCCCCCGCACTCGCTCCATGCAGCGTGCGGGGGCCAGCTGCGCCTCCGCACGCGGGCCACCCGCCTCGCCTTGTTCTCGTGCGTTTGGCGCCCGACTGACAATGCATGCACGCAGGCTCAAGGACTCGGACGTAACCTGGCTGTACGGCCCCCTGCACATCGGCTCAGACTGGGCCCCGACGGCCGCGCGCAGCCCCGAGTCGCGCACGCTGCAGGCGAAGCAGCGCCAGAACAGCCTGAGCGCGATCCACTCCGCCGCCACCGGCAGGGCGACCCCGGCCCCCGTCACGCAGCCCAAGAAACCAATCCTCAAGCACCGCAGCATCAGCCAGCTGCTGTCGCTGCCCACGAGCCCGTTCTTCGAGCAGGGCGAGTCCGACGAGGAGGACGTCGCCGCGCTCGACCACGGCTCGACTCCCAGCCTGAAGCGCCCACAGCTGCTGCACACGAAGAGCGACACGCACATCAGCCTGCGCGGGCGGGCGCACCGCAAGGACTCGCCGCCGCGGATCATCGCGCAAGAGGGCACAAGCGCGTCTGCGACGGTCGTGCGCGCAGCGTCGATCGCGAGCGGGCTAACGTCGAGCACGAGCGGGCTGACATCGAGCGAGGCATCACAAGCGATGAGCAGCGACCCGGATCTGAGCGGTGGCTCGAGCATCAACGGCGAGTCGCCCGCCGGGAGCAGCACGGCGAGCGACCCGGGCCTGAAGAAGAAGCATATCAGCTTCAACACTTTTGTGGAGCAGTGCATCGCGATTGAGAAGCCAGACCTTAAACGCCAAGCCTCTGGTACGCGCCGATCGCCCGTAATAAGCTGGGACGATGGGTGGGTGGTGTTTAACTTGACCATCGTAAGTAATAAGATGCTTATGTTTGTTGCAGGTACGACGAGGATTCAGAGGTGACGAATGAGGACGAGGACGATGGGCCGATCGCGTACTACCGCGCTCGCGCGTCGACGATGCACTCGGACTCTGACGACGACGATGACGAAGACGACGTGCTCGAGATGCGCACGGCGTCGTCCCGCTCGCGCACGTCCTCTGCCGTGAGCGCGCAGCCGCGTAAGCTCATGTTTATCCTTGATGCACCGCGCACACCCCACCCACACTTTCGTCCTCCATTAGTGCGAAGGGCCTCCATGGGCGCGGATCACGTCACTATCGCGCCGATCGCGCCGACGCTCCTCAAGGGCACTGGCGTCGGCAACAACCTCATTGGCCCCGGCCCTCCCACACCCGTTTCGAAGGACCTCGAGCTCGTGTATGCCCCGCCGAGCAACAGCAATTATAGCTTGCCGGGCTCGCCGAACTTGACGCAGGAGGACGTGTATCGCCATCGCGAATCGTATTTTAGCGTCGGGACGAGTCCTTCGCCGGAGTCAAGGTCACCATTAGCTTCGCCATCCATCGCCACCGTGAACGCGCTGCCGCCACCCCCTCAAATATCATCATCACCCCCCAAGTACGAAGTTTCTTCACGGAACTTCTTCCCACACCAGTCATATTCGGATTCGCCTATGCACATGGACACTGTGGTTGAGGATGCGTTTGACTACTTCGATGGGCCTCCGGTTCTCAACGAGAACTACACCCCGGAGTGGTCGGCACAAGACGGTAACAAGGAGAGCGTGAAGGTTGACTCCGCTGCGGCGCCTGCGAGATACGCAGAAGGCGGCGCGTCGAGCGTACAGGTCGGACGGAGTAGTGGCCTCATCGAGTCGCCTCCCACATATTCGCCTGCGCTCAGCCCAGAAACGCCAGTCGTCGTTGTGAACGAGGTCAATGGCGCCATGGAGGAGCGGACGGAACGTTCCAGGGAACCCAGCCCGTCTCAGATTGGCAGCGACGACCTGTCGAACCCGCCAACGTTCGTGCACACCGCGCCCGTGCCGTCCCGCGCGTCGGCACGACGCACCCACAAATATCGTTCTCGCCACACGTCGCGGATTCCACGCTACTCTCACCGAGCCTCAGCCCGTGCCGCGGACGTACGTCCGCTTCGCCGATATGCGGGTCCGTGAGTGGGTCGACGACCACAGGGTCGAGCGGCTACTCACGCTCGACGGACTCGCGCTCCGAGTCGCGTGGACGCTCGCTCTCGCGCAGTGCGTCGCTATCTGACCGCGAGCGTTCAGGGAGCCGGGGAACGAGCTCGCCGATGGGTTCCTGTCGCCGACCGGATCGGCGCTAGCGCTCGGCGGAGCTGTGGCATATGCGAAGGGCCGGGATAGGGGACGGAGGATGGACGGCGATGAGAGTGATCGGGGGAGGGACAGGACTGGGAGGGCACTTGCAGCGAGCGTGAGCCCGCCGGGTGTGGTGGACTCGCCGACGAGGGTCGCGAGGGAAGGAAGTGATTCGTCGACAGCGTCCGTGGACGTACCGCAGGCGAGGGACGAAACATCATCCCCGCCGTCGTCTGTGTCGGGTTCCTCAACAGCGAGCGTGTCAACAGCCCGTCCGGCGCAGACGCAGGATGACCCTGCCTCGCCGCGCCCTCGAATAGCTGTACACACAGGACCGAGTGTCCCGCTCCCCATCCCTTCGCCAATACCGGAGGAAGAGGAGCAGTGGAGATCAAGTCATCCGACACCTGCCAACTCGCCCGTCACCACACTCAAGGCCAGCATCACGTCTCCGAACACGCCGCTCGTGAAGTCGGAGCAGCAGCCTACGACCGTGACGTCGACCTCTCATGCGGAAGGCGAGATGTCGCCGAGCAGTCCCATTGCTATTCCTCGGAAGGACCGGACACCAAGATCGTCTCTGGATGGCCAGGATGGCACTTTCGCTGGGCGCGCCGCTGACATGGTGTCTTCCGCGCGAGGTCTTCTTGGATCAATATGGAACACCGGCACGACATGAGCAGGTGCACTTCTTGCTTCTCTCCGGCACTACCTTCGCGCTTCTATCTCTTGTTGTCTCTGCTGCTTGCACACCGCATTGTACCACCACCACTATCACCACCACACCCCGACATCCAACGTACCCTACCCACACGTTTGGGTGAACAGCCGATGCTCGCCTCTAGCACCATCACTTATTCTCATATGCATTATTAGCCGCCCGCGATATCCCGCACCAACGCAGCAATGTCGCATGGAACCGAACTTGGTTATGTTACTTATCGCTTAATTCCTCCTCCACACCACCTCCCACCCTTCGTGCATAGTTCCCCTCTACCCTTGGGCGTGGTCTCTCTTGCGTCCGCGCGGTCGACCACGAGGCGCCGGCGGTGTTGTCTTCCTCGTACTCGCGTCTCTCCTCATCTGTTCTACGTACTGCCTCTCCCTCTGATGCTCTGTTGTCTGTTTGTCACTGTGTGTCGAGTCGGACGACGTATGATTTGTGGGCAGCTGGTGGTTCTCCCCACTTAATGACACGACATTGATCGGTATCGTATGCCCTTGCGGGTCGGCGCGGGCTTGTATCTTCATAGGTATCTTGTTTCATAGATGTACATCTCGTCAACGAAGGAGCTGCACTACGGACTGTGTAAAGCGAGCTATCGTGGGGTTCGTGACAGTGCATTGAGTTTCTGCAGGGAGGAAGTGTAGCCTCCACTTCTCTTCGCGGTCGAGTCGCGGCTCTTGCCAAGCTCTTGCTCTTGCTGGCACCTCTACAACGGTGACCGCGCCCTCTATAAGCGGACTCGTTCGGCGCATCATTGAATCGTTCAAGATGCACCGTGACTCAGAGCGTGAGGCCGCGCCCTTTGAATTGTGGACATCCCTGGCGCGCCGCAAAGTGTTGCTGTCTGGCTGACGTCGACGTCGGGACACGTCGAAAAGCCTAGTGCAAAACGCGGGCGTCATGCATGTGCGATCTATACACCGGTGAGTGTGTACTCCTCGATTGCAGCGTCCTGTGGCATTGTATCATTGGTGGCCAACGCATCTCAGGACTCCTTGGTCAAGCACCGGACTCGGTTCCTACGCCGTTAAGCTTTCCGGACACATCCAAGGTGCCATTGCCATAAGTGATACAATTGACTAAATCATTCACGCGTGTCTCAGGCTCGTCGCGACGGGAATCGGACCACGTCTTGAAGAGTGCAACAGTGCCTGGTCATAGGAGCGACGGTACATCGACGGATTGAGATCGCAGTGCACGGGTGACATGGATCGGTCTGTGTTCCATCCGATGTGACTCAGGACGGACTCTGTTTGCAGGGGATGTATTACGGCGTCTCGCCTTCTGTGACTCTGACTCCGACGTTAAAGTGAGTTGCCGATGATTCTGTCCGATCTGTCATACTTCCGGAGAGCATTTGGCTACAACGCATCTACATATGCCGCAGAGATGCGCTTCCTGCGGTACTCCGCGACCCGTTGAATGCTGCCAGTTGGGGCGGTTGCCGTACAGAAGATGCGATGCTGAAAAGCATGGAGTGTGTTTTACTCATGTGCTCCCGAAGTCATATTGTGCGGTCGTATCAAAACAGCATTTCCCTGGCAGCAAGTTCCGTTTGTTGTTCCTACTGAATATATGCGTGGCAGTCTAGCGGAGCATCTTGTGAAGAGTCTTGCTCGTGTTCGTGCCCACCGACTCCAGGCGATCCGGAACGCGGTACGTGCGGACCTTTCCATTTCTTCTCTACCTTTACTAACGGGATCATATAGCAGCGTCGATCTAGCGTGGATCCGCATATTCGTGTTCAGCGCCTCAGAGGCTACTTAGTAAGTATGCAGCATCCAAGCAGCATCGAAGGAAGTCCTGCTCTATCACAATGATGACTTGATTTTAACGTGCTATGCAGATTGACACGTCGTCTATGTTGGCTGGTGATTCTGCACATTACACCAATACGACGAGAATGCTCATTGAGGACGGCTCAGCTGCTTCGGGCGTTCGTATCGGTGGCGCTGATATTCGCTACGCCACGCTTTCGAAGTCCCACACGTATCGGAAGACTAGTGAACCCAGATTGCAGGCAGTACTACTAGATATGTTCTTCGCACATGATCGTTGCTTCTATCGCGCCATGTCCTGAACTTTATACGTCCTAGTGATAGCTGGCCTTCGCTTCCGCCTATTCACAACCTCCCGCACCAGTGCGTACTGAGCTGGTTCACTCCCCCGTCGTATTTGCACTTACCGTGATAGTTGGCCTATCAAGACCACCGTCAATCAGGACCATCGACTCCATTATGGCAACTGTGTGAGTCCTCAGATTGTGCTTGTAGCCCTATGCATCTTGCGTTCATCAGTACCTTGCTGATTGCGAAAGCCATCGACCATACTACCAGACGAGACGCCCCTGCGCCCTTCAACAATTCACGCGCCGATATCATCGTGCGGTCCTGCGATAGAGTCGACTATCGGGTGCGCAGCAGTATACTGGCGGAGGCGTCCTCCGTCTTCGAGGATATGTTCGACATCGCCAGAGAAGCTCCCGTCGAACAATGCCCCAGGAGGGACGGTATCCCTGTCGTACCTGTCACGGAGACGAGCGAGGTCGTGGATCTTCTCCTCCGCCTCTGCTACCCTGTTGCCGCTCCCGTGTTTACGACGTTCTCGCAAGTCAGGGACGTCTTGACGGCTGTGGACAAGTATCTCATGGAGGGCCTGACAGAGACGATGAAGAAACATCTCACCGATTTCACGCTCGATGGCGCACATCCACTGCTTGTCTACGTTACAGCATACGCCCATCACTTCGAAGACGTCGCACGTATTGCTGCGCAGCGCGCCGTTGGACAACCCTTACAGGACGTCTACTTCACCGAGCTGGAGGAGTTGACGGCGGGCGCATACTATCGGCTCCTCCAGTTCCATAACGCAGGGGACCCAGAGGCGCTCCCTTCGTTGCCCTTCCTCTATGCCGAACTACCTCAGGCTTCGGCGCGGACACCGTTGAAGTCGTACGACAGAAAGGAGTGGGAGGCCAAGTACGCGGAGTCTCCGTATCCTTTCGGACTGCCGTCTGCCGATCTCACGCTGCGCGCCCGCGACGGCGTCGAGTTCAAAGTGCATTCTGACCTCCTGCGGGTTGCGTCGCCTTACTTCCTACTGACGCTGACCAGCGGCTCCCAGTCGATCAATGGCTGCGAGAGGAGTGCAGACGGACGTGTAGTCGGCCTCACACTACCCGAACACAGCCGTACGATCGCTGCCATCTTGCAGTACATCTATCCCGTCGCACGTCCCGATGCGTTGCCAGACCCTCAAACGGCGTCTCTCTTACTCCAAGCTGCAAAAAAATACGAGCTCGTGGCCGCTATCGAGCCGCTGCAGACACTATTTTTGGCATTCGCGGAAACAAGGCCATTGATGGTGTATGCCATCGCCTGCGCACATCACTGGGTGCGCGAGGCGAGACATGCCGCACTAATGTCGATGCGGACGCCTTTGGACGACTGCTATGTCGAGGAACTCGAAGCGATACCGGCTTCGTGCTACTATCACCTACTGCAACACCGCAAGGCCATGGGAACCCTGGCTGAAGCGCTTGCACTAGACCAGATGCATCAGTGCAAGGCAGAACGGGTACCGAGCATGCCTGACGAGAAATTAGTGTGGGTGTCCTGCACAGGCTGCCCCGCGTACACACTTCCTCGCGCGTTCTACAACCCTTTTGGATTGCGAAAATGGTGGTGCGAGTGGCTGCAGCAAGCAGCTCAGCTGCTGGGCAGTGTACCGTGCGGGAAGACCGTTCTTGACCAGCAAACTATGCGCTGCGCCCTGAAAAGCGCGGCCACATGCAAGACCTGTGGACCAACTGCGGCCTTTCATTTGCAGCATTTCTCCCAGATTCTATCAGCTAAGGTGGATGCTATGTTGCTCGACGAGACGGTGCGTTTCTAGTGTATTAAGTGTTCACCATAATTGTACTAAGTCGAACGTCGCAAAGTCTCAGCTAATGGTTTTCTAGGCAAGCTCTATCCTTGCCTAGTGAGAAATAAATGGTGTCTGCATGTTTCTCCATGTTATCTTGGGCATACAGCCATCTCGCTGAATGTTCGATTTGATTGCCTTGCGTCACAATGCCTGTTCGAAAATAATCTGTCAGTGAACGCAGTGTCATTTTATCACATGTACTGTCGAATGCGCTTGTAATTATATTCTTGCATAGTGGTTTCTGTACATATAGACAGCTGGATCGGAGTGAATATGTGAACTTGAACTGCATTACTTAGGCCGTACATTGCACCGCGTCGCGACGCGTAAATCCCGTGATCGCGTTTAACCACGTGCCGAGCGCGTCAGTAGACCCCCGCGCGCCGGCCGGGCGCGTTTGCATTCTGTCCTTCTCCATGTCTACAATCGCTCTCCTCCGGACTGCTTCATGGCGTAGCGTATACATTGAGCGCTGCGTAGGGGCGCACAAGCCTACCTTGTCCCGAGGCCGTGCCCTGTACCGGGCTTCTGGTTGGTCGGCGCGACCATTTCTCAGCTGCTTCTCTGTGTTCTCGCCTTTGAAGGCGAATGAAGACCAAAAGGGGCCTGCGCAGAAGTTCAAAGCCTTGGCCACCCTCAGGGAGAACATTTATACAATCCCCAATATCTTGACCGTGTCTCGTATCCTTGCATGTCCTGTTCTCGGCTGGGCCATCGTGCACGACAACTTCCACTTCGCCACCGCTCTGCTCGTTTATGCCGGTCTGACAGATACGGTCTGCTCATCCTATTTGCTATCTCGGATGCTCATGTCTCGAGCCTCATTTCAAGGTGGACGGCTACATTGCCCGCAGATACAAAATGACCTCCGTACTGGGAACCGTCCTGGACCCAGCGGCAGACAAGACCTTGATGACAACCTTGACACTTACACTGGCCTACAAGGGGATGATCCCACGTAGGTTGGCTCATCCTATGCTCTTGGTGGAAAGCTCATCTTGGCTAGTACCCCTCGCGGCGGTCATTTTCGGGAGGGACGTCCTCCTGAGCCTCGCTGCATTTTACATTCGTTATACCTCGCTGCCGCACCCAGTGAGTATCCCGCTACGACAAGTACACGTATCGCTCACTTGTAACCAGAAAACATTCACGCGCTACTGGGATATGTCAATACCGTCCGCTGAGGTACATCCCACGCGAATAAGCAAGGTTAGCTTCTCCATTTACTCTTCCGGAGCGACACTCACACATGACACTGTAGATTAATACCTTGCTCCAGTTATCTCTCATGGCACTAACGACGGTGAGTCCCGTGCTGCCGGTGGACTTGGGTCCTACGCTGCAGGCTTTCCAGTACGTGATCTCTCCGCCTCTGCCACACATCTACTAACCGGAGTAAAGGTGGGTCGTAGCCACCACTACCATATGGAGCGGAGCATCCTACCTATTCACAAAGGATGCAGTCCGCATCATCTCTGCAAAACGAAAGCCGCCTTCATAGCGAATCGGACATGTGCTTCTTGTGCTATTATTCGATATCTACGTTACACTCACATTACAACAGTAGTCGGACGTCTAATAAATACAACGGGACACAGAATAATTTATGATGGTGTCGCTCTACCCCCATTCGCTGCCCTGCGTTGTCGTACCTCACTAAGAGCTGCTGCTATAGGGGCCTTGGCCGCGTATTGCTCTCGCCAGGCATCGGCGGCGCGTCTACATATGATATGCGTCAGCATGGGAGTACGATCGCAGCAGGGCAGTGTTACCTCAAACGTGCAATGAAGGTTATAGATATGGCAACGCTCCTGAGCGTTCGTCTCTTGGCCTTGATGGGTGGACCTTCCGCAGGGAAGCCGATTCTTGCTATTGCGGCCAAGATCCTCTGCTCGCTGAGAGATGCTGCGGAATCAGCGTGTGGACAGATGGGAATTGCACGCTCTACTCACGTCTTCTCATAATGGGCCAACAGAACAAGTAAGTAATGCTTCTGGTAGCCGAGGTCACTCCTCAGACCGGACTCCCGAGTGAATTTGGCCTTCAGGTAGCGTATTTGGATAATGAGACCCCTGCATTCATCCTTGTGCTGTTCGTGCAGGTCCTTAAGCTGCCCCGCGTCACTGTCCAGACCACGAAGCCCGTCAGTAACCAACAAGACCACCAAAGGGGACTTGGGGGACATACGCCACGCAGACATGCTTCTGCAGCTTCTCAGCTGCCGTTCTCGCCTTCTCCTTCTGGCTGTCGAGCTCTCCCTTGAGCACGCGGATCTGGGACTGCGCCTGCTTCTGCGCGCGATCCGCCTTCTCCTGCTCGATCCTGCGTTCCTCCTCCAGCCTGTCTTTCTGGGTCCGCAGCAGCTTGAGGTCACGCCCGAACATCTCCGCATCCCGCCGCACGCGCTGGAGATCTGCCTCGAGAGCGGCGACCGAGTGAACGACGTCGCTCTTCTCGGCAGCAATGCGGTTCCGTTCGTTCTCGGCGCGGAGGAGCTCGTCGGCTTGTGTTGAGATGGCACGCCTGAGTTCGTCAATCTCGAGCAGCCGTAGGTCGAGCTGGAGCCGCCGCTCATCGTGCGAGACCTGCGACGCTGCATGCTCCCCCCTGACTTGGTTCATGTGCTGTGGGGCAAGCGGTCAGGGAAGACAGCCTAACCAGGCGAGATCCGTGTACGCACCTCTGCAACCTTTGAATATCGACGCTGGAGATCCTTATGTTCAGCAGCGAGCAAGGAGCGTTCTTGCCGCAGCTGCCCGATCGTTTCTGCGTTCTCTGACACCTTGCTCTCGAGCAGACGTGCTTTCTGCTCCGCGACAGAGTTCGCTGATGACGTGTCAACGTTTAACCTTCGGGCTACGTAGCGAAAGTGAGGATTTACATACATGATAACTGATTGGACAGCTGTTGGTTCTCTTGCTTGAGTGTCTGAAGCTGGCCTCTGACGTCGGACATGTCCTAGGTATCTCGGGTTAGCACCAAGTCGGTAAAAGCTAATGATCGCTCACGGATTCTGTCCGGCGCAGCTGATAAGCGACTTGTTCCTTCTCTCGCTGAACACGAGATTGCTCAGTGGACAATGTTCTCAGACGTGCACGCTCTGCCGTGAGTTCGTTCTCCAGTTCATCTATGACACGCTTCGCGTGGTCGAGGTCCTACGTGGCGTCGAATTCGTCAGATCGTTGAATAAGCAACATTATTGGAGGATCTCACCTCTTGGACGCTGGCGCGGGCGGACTCGCCTGCTTTGCCCGTATCGGCCAACCTCTTCAATTCTCTCTTGGTATCACGAACCTCCGTGTTCAGTCGATTGGCCGCGTCCTGGAGAACAGCATTCTCTCCGAGAAGTTGACTCTTCTCGTTCTCCCATTGCTGCTTCATGGACGCAAGCTGAGCATTGATATGTTGAACTTGAGTGCGCAAAGCCTCGCTTGTCCTTGTTGGCGGTGTTGGCGGCTCAGAGATAAGGCTCATGTGCGACTCTTCCAGTATAGAGCTGGGAAGCATTCAATCAGGAAGAAAATGTTCGGTGCTATGTCGCATACCTTTCGTCGCCCGCGGAAGCGGCAACTAATCCACGAAGGTCCACTTTAGCACGGCACTTCAAGCAACGCACTTTATGGAGTCGACGTTGAAGCCTTCCATCTTTCCTCGAAAGCCGTGCAAGCTCATCTTCAAGGGTCACGATCCGCTCACGAGCGTCCTCTAGCTGCCTCGTCAGGCCGACGACGCCGAGACCTGCATCTTCGAGCTGATCCAGCTTGTCGTCAATACTATGGTTGGCCCTGTCCAGTTCTTGTTGCAGACGAGCAATCTCGGCGACCAGCGGCGCGGCCGAATGGTCATTCATGGTTGTCTGTAACCAAGAAAGCTGCCAGGACTGAGTCAGCATCGAATGGTTCAAGGCGTCATGTTTACTTACATCTCGAAGAGGACCTCCGGGCGTCTTGGGGCTCTTGAATGCCAGAAGCTGACGGTGCAAAGGCGAGAGACCACTCCCATTCACAACCTTGCTGGGTGTTCCATGAAGGCTCATGTTGGCCTTGCTCGTCTTCAGCCGCTCGAGGAGATCGGCCTTCTCCCTTTCAAGCAGTTCGATCTTGGCGTCCTTAGCCTTGTTGATAGCCTTGCGCGCAGGGGACTGACTGATCAGTGTCTTCAAGCGAGCAATCTCCTTGTGTGCGGTCACCAGCTCTTCTTCAAGGGCCTCCACGTCGGCGCGGAGTTCCTGCGACGAATCGCTCTGTGTGATCATGGACTTCGACCGCGAACGTTCTTTCTCTCGTTCGGCCGCACGCTCTGCGGATGTCAGCGCAGCTCGTAGAGACGCAATTTCCTGCTCCTTCGCCACGATCCTTGTCTCTGCAGCTTCTAATGCTTGTTGCATCTGGCGTCCCAATTCAGCAGCATGCTTAGCCTCGCCGCTCAGCCGATTGATCTCTAGCTCGTCCTGCTCGGCTGCTTCGTCCGTAGCAGCCATGCGATCCTGTGCAGTGGATAGTTGAGCCTCAAGGTTTTCAATATGCGTGACAGCCGTTTCTGCGTCAGAATCCAGTTGCGCAATGTAGGCTTCGGCCGCGTGTAGGTCTTTGTGTGCCTTATCGAGGTCTTCAGTGAGCTGATTGATGTGGTTCAAGGCGTCGTCGAGCTCGCTCTTCTTGGTGCTCAGTTCGTTCTCCTGGGTGTTCCTGGCTTCCCTCTCCTTCTGCAGCTTGCCCTCGAGGTCGTCGATCTTGCCATCCGATGACATGACTTCGACCTCGAGTTCCTTGATCTGCTGCTTGGCATTGCGAAGATCGCCAGTCAACTGGGAAACGCGTTCGTACGCTACGTTCACCTCTGCCCCGAGTTCCCTGCCGCCCTCCAACGCTTGCTCGGCCTTCTGAACTCTGTCCTCGAGCAGCTCGTTCTCTGCCATCAGAGCATCGACGCGTCGTTCCATGTCCTTCACCACGGCAGCTCTCGCACGTTCAGCAGCTTGAGCGCGCCCCTCTGCATCACCGAGTTTGTCTTCGAGGCCTCGCACGATGTCAGAGACACCTTTATCCACCTGCAATATGCGCTCCTCAAATGCCTGCTTGTCTCTCGCCCTCTTGCTCTTCTCTTGCTCCAGTGCCGCTTCAGCTTCTTGAAGAGTCGCAGCGCGCTGCTGGAGCTCCTCCTTCAGCTCGTCTAGTTCGTCCTGGAGCGCGGCCTTCTCCTCGAGCCATACCTCCGCCTCCTCGGGCACATCTCCGAGGCCAAGACTCGGACCCGCGCTCACCCGCCTTCCTGCGCTCGACCGCCTGCTGGACATCGACTGTTCAGACTGCTGAGGCGTACCGACCATCGAGGGCTGTTCGGTCATGCCTCCCTTCCCGTACTTCTCCTCGTACGTCCTCAACCGGAAGACGAGCGTCTCGTTCTCCTCCTGGAGTCGTCGATTCAAGCCATGGAGGTAATGGTTGAGCTTGCCCGCGTTGAACCGCCCGACACCGTGTCCCCGGTCACCGAGGCCCATCACTGGGTCGAAGGAGGCGTTGGCGCGCGCATGGGTCGTCAGATCTTGGGATGATGCCGTTGACACGAACGAAACACGATCTGCGTTACTGTCGTATGGTGACTCCGAGCCGCTTGCGATCGGTGAATGGGCTTGTGCGTCACTGATGGACTCTGGTCCTGACGAGCCCGAATCCGATGGTGCAGTTGACGCCTGAGCCAGAGGATGCGAGAGTCGCGGTCGGAGCTGCGTTCGTGGCCGCGGTGTGACTCCCGCGAATGCAGCCTGTAGGTCCACGCCCGGCGTTGCTGGGCCTGGGACACCATTGCCGGCGCGATAGGGATGCGGGGTGTGATTTATCCGAGGACGGGCTGTAGAGTTGATGACTGAGAGCAGGAACGAACGCTTATGTGCCGACGGTGTCGCAAGAGTGTCGCCTTCGTGCTCCGTTGTAGTGGCGTCCTGCGTATCGTACTGCACAGGGCGGGGAGTGGTCAGAGCGGGCGCGGGGGCGAAACGTGCCCGTGGTCGTGGCTGGAAGGCAGGCGTCGGCGTGAATATGGCTGAAGGGGCGGGCGATGAGAAGGCTACGGATAGACCCCTAGGGGTGTGTGACGCAGGGAGCTCAGCGGCCTGTGAGGATGTTTCCGAGGAAAATGTGGGCTCTCTCGTCTCAATCTGACTATCCCTGAGCTCCATCTCCTGTGACATGGTGTCCGTGAGATCCATATCATCTCGAGACTCTTCGCGTGCTTCCGAAGAAGGCTCTTCGACCCCGGTTACATATGACACGCCCGTGTCAGGCGCAGCGGGCGAAGCATTGGCGGAAGGAGGTAAAGGGATGAGCGCGGGAGACGCAGTTGCTGACCGGGGAAGGGGCACGGCCGCAGGAGATGGGGAAGTCGCTATTTGCCTTACCAACGCGATAGATCGAGTGCTGTGGGGTGTAGAGGTTGAAGACATTGATGAAGGCGAAGGCGTTGTTCGAGTAAGTGATGGAGTCCGCGTGCGCGACAGTGGCCGACGGAAAGACACGTTCCGCATTTTGTCAAACGGAGACGGCTGCAAGACCGGCCATGAGTACAAAGGGCATATCAATAGGTGGATAGTGTGTCAAAAAGGGATGGAACTGGGCTCATACAGAACCCGCCCTCTACGACCTCTCCGCGGTATGAATAGCAGTGAGCTACACACCTTTTTCTCCGACCGGAGACTGACTGAATAGTCATACTTCTTCTGCGGCGTCGCCATATCGTCCACATCGGGCGAATTGGGCCGACTTATAGACCGCAAAGCGTCTGAGATATCCAGGTCACGATCGAAGCCTTGACTTGCACTTGGATCTGGCGGAGGCGACTTCGGTAGTGAGCTCTCCTCCGTTTCCTGGTCACTGCTCCTAAGATCCAAGTCATCGTCATCTTCATGGACACCACGGGCATCGGGAAGGCTGGGGATATGGCTAACGTCAAAACTCTCCTCTGGCGGTGGTTTGAAGGCGCTTGCGCTGGACGCTGACAAGGCGGATCTCGACGACCGAGATGCGATGGACTGTGCAAAACGCGCCGTGCTAGATGTACTTGACGGAGCTCGTATAGTCGTTTGAGTGTGACTGGATAGCGCTGGTGTCGAATGAACCGGTAGGATGTCTTGCGACTCGTCGTTGAGTTCTGGGTTGGTGTCAGACTCAGAGGCGCCATCCTGCGAATCGTCGAATGCTGGTAGGGATGGGAGGGATGGCATGTCCCTGCCTTCTATAGCCTCGATGCGCCTCCATACGCGAGAAGGCGTTTCAAGCATCGCAGCCATCTTGGCCTATATTGCGGAAGGAGCGAGTGTCTCGCACTCACGAGACTATTGACGTGCTGTGGTATGTTCCTCGGTGATAAAGTCGAGCCAAGGGTTACCGTAGTACCCAGAAGGTCTTGCGGCAAGTGTGAGATACGAGTGGCCAGAGAGCCGTGAAGCCGATGAGATGGTGTCGGTCGAATGCCGGTTCGACTTCAAGTTGAACGCGACGCGTCTTTGTACCACGTGATCGAGTAGAACCACAGTGCCGGCGCCAGGCGCGCCACCCACTGCAACGCTGCTTCGATCGCTGCGTTCCTCAGTAGGGGAGCTCAGACTGAACGGGCAAGGGTACGGGTACGGGCAAGGGTAGGTCACGGGGACGGTCCGGCCGCGCGGCAACCGTAGGGTTAGCAGTAGGGGCTGCCACGTAACGTTAGGATTTGTGCCTGTTTGTGGAGCGGTAATTGAACAATACTTTGGTCCCGACAAGGTATATAGAGCACGTACATCCGTTTAGGTAGCATGATAGGAGGCAGCTGGATCGTCATCGCAACATCCTCTAATACTTCGAAAACATATACCTAAGTAGGAGAGTACGTGTTTCTGCTTTCGGAAATGTTATGTTACCCGATTACTTAGTATATTCCGCTTTCGGCAGGCGCTGGCACTTTCCCGCACTCGAGTTCAGCTGTAGTAGGCTATACTTATCAGGTGCATCGTGCGTACATTATTTACGAGCCATGTTGATTGTCATCAAAATGATTTTTCTCTTTGTTAGCCTGTGACTGGGAACCATACTGATTGTACTATCGAAATACTGTCTGTAACAAAGAGCAGTGGCGTAGAAGCTCGAAGAACTAGGCTAGGGTTAACGGTGGCAGCATCTACGCTAATTGTGGCTAACCCTACAGTCGCCGTGCGGCCGGACCGTCCCGTGACGTGCCCTTGCCCGTACCCGTACCCTTGCCCGTTCAGTCTGAGCTCCCCTAGTATCGAGCCCTCCTTACGCTTGTCATACCATCCCCACGCCGCCCCTCTGTATCTATCCTCAGTCCTTGCTGAGGCGGTAGTCGCTCGATAGTTGATAGTTTCCTTTTGCGAGACTCACCGTTGGTGTGTCTACTGATTCGTGGGCTGGTCTTACTGAGTTACTCACATCATGGGGTTGGCAGTCGCTCGTATTGCCAACATTCCGGGTTGTCGTTCCTCACGTCTACAATTATCTGCACGATGGCAGAACCAACTGCACTTTCACCACGTACCACTAACCGGGGCCCTAAGACTGCCCCAGCCTTGTTCAGTCGCCCAGATGCGGATATCATACTATCGTCGTCGGACAACACCCATTTCCGTGTCCACCGCCAGATCTTATCAATAGCCTCGCCCTTCTTTGAGACGATGCTCGGTCTACCTCAATCGACGACGTCTGCTTCTGGTACGCCCCCGCTCATCGCAGTGGAAGAAGACGCACGTACGCTGGAGGACCTCCTACGCATCTGTTATCCAGTACGGGACCCGCAACTAAAGATCCACGTGCTGACGGATTGGCAACACATCAGCAATGTCGTCCATGCCGCAATGAAATACGATATGGTCCAGGCGATAGAGTTCGTGAAGACCAAGCTGACGGCCGGTGTGGACGTCTCTCCCCTCCAGGTGTTTTGCATTGCATGCAAACATGGGTTCGAAAGTGTGGCGAGGAATGTTGCAGTCAAATTGACCGCGCCGAATGCGGCCCTCAACACACAAGTAATACGTGGGGTTTACGTGTCTCAGCTAGAAGATATTCCCGCTGCCTGCTATTACCGACTCATGCAAGCCGGTAAATCTCGCATGCCCTGTGTCGACAACATTGTGTTTTGCGGGCAGGGAGACGCCAACAGGTGCTTGACGGTCTACCAGGAACCATGCGCTGGCTATCGAGTGCGCGACGATGACGGTGCCAACCATGGGAAGCACACCCTTCGGAGCGCGGACAACGTTTACTACAGTGTATCGCAGGACACATTTTCCCTATTCCAGCGTGCTCACCCAGTCTCGAATATATACGACTCTAACGAGTCGGGCTCTGCCGTCCTCACACTGCCAGAAGACAGCGGCACGGTGGAGCTGTTATTGCAGCTTGGTACCCGTGATATGAATGACCATGCCTTCATCGCATCTGGCCTTCGCGCTGCCGCGAAGTACAAAACGACTACAGCACACGCTGCTCTCACCACACGGTGGTTGGAACTATCCAATAAATCTCCCCTGCCCTCATACCTGATCGCCTCTGCGTATGGCCTCAAAGAAGAAGCAATCAAGTCGGCGAGACAGCTCTTGTCATGGAGATCCGAACAGCTTCGAGAAGCGTACATTCCCGTAATGGAGGAGGTCTCAGCCGGTCATTATTTTCGTCTGCTGCAGTACCATGGCAGATGTGCCGATGCTGCCGATTCTGCAGTGCGCAAGTCTTGGACGAAGGCATTCGTAGGAGACATGCCACGGCACTGTACCGGCGGTCGATGTGGCCGTGGCATAGGTGCTACGCAATCGCGCTGGGCCGACACTTGCTATACGCGCTTGAAAGCACTGCACGATCTCCCGCGCAAGGCCGTCGCAGAGGATGCAACATTGGTCGGAGAGCTGTGCTTCCAAGTCGGAAGCTGCTCGAGCTGCGCAGAATGCATCTCACATGCGGACATCATCCGATTTCTGACCACCTTCTCCAAGGCGAATGAGGAGGTCCTCATGTTGGTGCGTATTGTGCGAGTGTGCAGTATTCGCACTGAAATTGATGTCCTGCTTCGTTAGGTCGACACCAACATACTATTCAGGAATCAAGGGTAGCTTTTTTGATACGAGACCCGGGGATGCATCTGTAATATCTCGAACTGCTGGTCTTATCTTGCTTGAAGGTTCAGTGGATTCTGATAGGACTCGGTTGACGGGAAAGCATCACCATGTCGTTGTTCTGTATCTCAACGTGAGGTCGCACTCCCCGTCAGCAATCGGCACTCGCCCCTCCCTAATACCCCTCCCTAATACTTCCGCAAGTCTCGCTCCAAGGATGTCTTCCAGTCGGCGGCACCGTACACATGTCTTGGTATGTCTGCACTCTGGATGCGATAAGGCAAGTCCATGACCATAGTTCCGGTAGGATCCAGGTGGACGAAAAGCACGACCATCCCGATGCCGCGAACGACGTTACGCGAGTGTCTTCGCCTCCTATTCGAGCGTCGCTCGTTTCCTCGTCATCGCATCAAAGATCTTGACGAATAGCTTCCGCGGATTGATTGCTGAGTCCCATTCCACAGCTTCAACTGCGACGACTTGGAAAGCAAACACTCGAGGTGGACGCCCACTCAGTGAATCTCGTTTGCTTGAGGATGCCGTCCCAGATCAAACGCAGCGAGTATGCCGTGATACAATGGTTCCCGAGGACGAGCCGCCCAGCTTTGGAGGTCGTTCCAGAGCTCACGCTCCTCGTCGCTGAGCATACGCCAGAGCTCTTGCGACTTGCGGCAGTCAGGTCGGTGCGAAGGCCACGCCTGTTTCTGGCACTCTTTTGACAGCAGGCATGGCATCAGAATTCCGAGCTCAGCCTCCGCGATCCGTGATGGTACTCACGCAGTAGTCATCTGTATTGCACCTTGTGTACCTGCTGAAGTCTGCCACTCCCTTCCATATGTTACATGCGGTATTATCGCAGAAAACAAGTACACTACCGGCCCCGCAGTGAGCCATCGAGTAGATGTTCGTCTCGTGGAACTCCAGGCGACATGGGATTCGGGTGGTGGCATGATGAGGGTCTATATAGTACAGGGGGTCGATGATACTGCAGATGCACGCATGTCGTACCACAAGCCTCAACTGTTAGATAAGTAGTACGTCTACAGTCACGTTGCGTCGCCGCCAATTTCTGAGTCATATCATCGACCTCGTCATGCATTGTTCATGCAGGACATGGCTCGGATATCACTCGATGTCCAAGGACACCTGTTCCGTACATTAGCGATATAGAGCTGTCGGCGAGGCGCAGATCTTATAAGACGAACCTGAGCAATAGCCTTGTCTACCTCGTCCGCGAACAGCCGGATAAACCCCCGCATCTGTCCCGGCGCAACATACTTGCACACGAGACAGCCCGCTGCATCCCTCAGAGCCTGGTCGGTCCGACCAGTCATCAGGAGGGCGCTACCCGAGGGCGTCGTCTTCAAGATTCTCGCACTCTCAGCCATGTAAGTCGTCCACCACTCCGAAGCGTAGATGTCTCCGTGGTACGCGCGCGCGCAAGTACTGTGGTTTCTGCCGGCGTTGAACCAAGTGTCGACCCGGGGAAGCGGTATCCATGAAGGATTATTCGCGACACGGGCAGCCACAACACCACAGGCCCTGTGGTATTTGAGTAGGTTGTTGAACGCCTTCCCAGTGATCTCTGCCAGCTCCGGCGCGTCCGCATCTTCTGCGGGGAAAGCCAGGGATGCTTTCGCTGCAGCCTTAGCCTCATCCTCGAACTTGAAGATCAAGGCGATAGCGTACACCCTGATGGGCACGGTGTCCATGAAGCTGCGGAGGGTTTCCTTGAGTGCCTCCAGCACCTCCGGCATGTCGTATTTGACGGCAGCATGTATGACCGGACGTAGGTCATCCAGGTCTCCGATGCTCGGAGCTCTCCCTGGGTAGCAGAGGCGGAGCAGCCTCTCCAGAGTTCGACTTTCCTCATCTCGGAAGAGGATGACAGGTTTGCCGTTCCTAGTGTCCTCAAGGATTTCAACGGCAGGCGGTTGGGGCAACAGAAACATGACATCGAAGACATCGGAGGCTTCCGCGAGGATGCCCTTGCGTACATGGAAATCTACGAAGTCGGATGAACGCAGAATGACGTCCGCCGTGGGTTTATTGAATGGGGGAGGTGCATCGGTAATTGGGGGTCTATCCTCTAGGAACGAAGGAGTAGCACCCTGGGCCACCATGTCGTTTGTCGTCGTGAGTGCGCCTGGCGAATGTTCGGTTCTGCGGGCAAGATCGCTCGATTCAGCCAGACAAGCCGCAAGGCTGGCCAGTAATGAGTCAGGTACACGTACTCTGAACATGCAGGTGAACAGATCCACATGAGTCAAACGCAGCGAATTTACCCTGCCTGAGCTTGAACTTTGTTTAGAGAAGCCATGAAATCGCACAAACTCTATCTTGGAACGCACCGGGTTCTAGGGCAAGCTTAACGATAAGTCAAGTAAAACATTTTGGCTTCGTCCATCGTCCCGTAGCCTGTATGAATCCCCGATACATTCTTCTTCGGATTCCTACACCTACATTTACACACACACAAAGCCTATAATACAAGTCAGGGTCGGGACGCGATGGCAGAGTGGGGGATACAGCTGCAAACACAAAGTTCTACCAACGCCAGTGAGTATGCGCTGTCCAGTTCACAAAATACAGAGGAACGGAATAAGAATAACAGGAGATGGGCAAAGCAAACACGAGAGCGGGAGGAAGGTAGATGTGTCAAGAAATCGGTCACGATAATATCGAACAGGCCGCGCTTGCGGTAGTGGCATATCAGCGAACCGGCAGGTTCAGTAACTGATGTCGGGGCATATCAACGGCTTCCGCTCGAAGCTCTCCGCAAGCGCGAGCTTCGCAAAATGGGGGGACGGCGATGAACCGGAGGAGTTGGTACGCGTGCGTTTCAGGCTGAGCGGCGCGTCGTCCTCATCGGGCTCCTCGCGTTTCCGCTTGATGCTCCCCTGCGAGCACTCGGCGCAGTCGGAGCAGTAACTGTCTTCGCTTGGCGAAGGGGAGGGCATGCGGAAGGATGAGCGCGAGGCTGTGCGGGAGTCCCCGGCCGACAGAGGGAGCGGTGTTGCGCAGAAGACGTCACAGAATTTGGGGAGCGTCGGCGGGGCTGGCTGGGTCGGGACTGCCCGTCTGTAGGGCACATGAGCCAAGTTCTTAGGCCGTTGAGAAGACTCTGTTACTTACTGTGACTCCTCGAACTTCTTCTGCAGCGCGAGATACTTCGCCTCGAGGTCATCGCGCTCCGTCTTCATCTTCATCGCGGTATCGCGTGCCATCCGGGCCAGGCCGATTACGCCCAGCGTGGCCGCAGCATGCACCGCGGCGCGCTTGCGCCAGACGACAGAGCACGCCTTGAGCGAAGCGACTTCCGCGTACAAGCGATCGCGCTCCATGGCGGCTGACTGTGCAGCTGACGTCGGCGCATTCGGGGCGCTGTATTCGAGGTGAAGCTTGCGGACGGCGGGGGAGACATGTGGTTGGAGGTGATGCGGGACCAGGTTAGGATCGACGTGCGCTAGATGAATGTGAGTGTCGGTGCCTTGTACGCGGGGTAGGGAGAAGCTCACAGACTGTGTAGGGATGCCGGCAAGTCGGACAGAAGTGGTGGGTGGTATATGGAGTTATACTCCGGACTATCTTGACGATGCATGAGTAACAGAATACGTGACCTTGTAGGTAGGTCTCAGCGAACTATTCGGAACTGTGGGTGCTTGGTGCTCACCGCAAGGTAAGGCGGCCGGGTCCTTGAGGACCTCCAGGCAGATGATGCAAGTGGGCATGCCGGTCTAGGCGCAGCTAGTAGGTATAACGTGGGCGAAGAGCTTTGAAAGCAAGGATGTCAGGGTATGATGTGCTCGCGTCCTCGTCCCAGCATGCTTTATAGCGACTGGGGCTCGCGGAGGCAGCAGGAAAGCGCTTTCCGAAGCCTACCGGACGGCAGTCGCACACATCCTCATAGAGGCAACTGCGATAGCGGGTCTGTGCGATGGGCAGTTCGAGATTTCCAGTGCGAAGGGAGAACTGGATCGAACGCCGGAGACAAATGGTGGAATGGTTTGTCCGGGGGAGAGTTCCTGTGCGCTGTCACGCCGGGATGGAGCTTATTGATCGAGCCCAATTGACTCGGCCCTGTCATGTCTGTTACCATCCGGTCAATTTCCTTAATACACCCATGTTTCCTGCCGCCCAACACTGCGCGGGCCAGCTGTCCGTCGGCAGCGGATCGAGCGAAGCGGGCAGCGCGAGAGGGAGGGCTGCAAACCTGAATGTCCGTGACTGAAGCCTGCCTGTGCGACGTGAGACGGACAGGCCTGACAGCACGGCCTCATCGCGGCGCGCAGACTGAATTTCGTAGGCGGACTGGGCGAGCTGAGAGGCGGCTGAGCGAGAGCACCGTAGAGTGGACCGAGGCGCGGCCGAGAGAAGGCGGGACCGCGTCGCGCGTCGTGGCCGTGTCGCGTCCACGTGACTCACGCATCGCGCCCACACAACGCCAAACAACGCGACCCGCGTCTCCGCCGACGCGACCCGATGCGAACCTTCATCCACAACACCCATCTCCCCTGCGCCGCACCCAGCAGATCCTTGAGCTCTCCACCACTTCCCGTGGTTTACCCTTGTCAAGATGGCCGAGGGCTCCTGTGGGATCTGCTTGGACGACCTCAAGAACCCCGTGTCCACTCCGTGCGGTACGCGACCGCGTCGTGCAGTCCCTATCGTGCCCAGTGCTGACATATATGCGCCTCAGGTCACCTTCACTGTGAAAAGTGTCTCGTTGCGCACGTCGAGGCCAGTTCTGACGCGATTACCGCGTCCTGTCCTTCGTGTCGCGCGGCCTTCCCCGTCGGTACGCGTGTCGCGGCCTGTTCCTGAACGTTAACTGACTGTGTGACGCGTCAACAGCACTACCCGACCTTCGTTTTGTCCCTGCAAAGTTCCACAGATTCATAATCCCGAGTGTCCGACGCGTCTTCGTCGATGCTCCCACCGAGTCAACCCAGGCTCTCAAGGCGAATGTGACGCGGCTCGAGGAGCGTGTCAAAAGCCTGGAGAAGGACAAGCTGCTCCTCATGGAGCGCTGTGAGTCCTCAATGGCGGCGTCCTCGAAGCATGCCGAAGGAGAGCGCGATGCGAGGATGGAGAGCGAGCGTCTGAAGAAGGACATGCAGGAGCTGAGAAAGAAGTACGAGGAAGTCAAAAGGAGATATAAGGCGCAGAAGGAGACGTGAGTGGTAAACGACTTGTGGTTGCCGCACGAGGCTGACCGTCGCGGCCGCGATAATAGCGTTCCTCAACTGGTGACGAAACGCAAGAGCAATCAGGCAGCACTGGACAGCTCGACTATCTCGTCGTCATCCAGCGCCAGCTCTTCGCATCTCTTCCGCTTTGGCGAACCCACCATCCATGCCGACCGACCAGTGTTGCGCATCCCCAAGCGGCCACGTCTGCTTGGCTCCCCGTTCGACCCAGCCAAAGCAGTATCTGTCGCACCACTCGCTCGTCCCGCTGTCTTCAAAAAGGGGCGCGCCTCGGTCCTCCTGTCGCTCGAGCATGCTGGGCGCAGGATTCTTGGCACGCCAGAGGAACGGTCGGCAAGTTCGGCGCTAGGTTCAAGTGTGGGCTCCTCAGGTCCTCGCAGCCCTCGCAGCGCGGGGCCCCAGCGGTCCGGCCTCCCGATGGGCGACCTCTTCTCGCCCGAATCCAACCGCACGCTGAGCAGCAGCGTAGACTTTAGGTCCGGCAGTTCTGTCGACATCTTCGCCGACTCGGAGGACGACTGATTGAAAATTGCGAGCGTCGACTCTGGCTGAGCCAGTTGTTCGTGGGTTCATTCAAAGGGATATTGTGAGAATGGACTGAGCATTGGTGTTTCCTGGTTCGGGGTCAGCTTGTTCGCGCGCCGTATTACTTACCTTACGCATACATACGTACCTTATTAACACACATCACCATCATCGTCACCGCGTCACCACACTACACACCTCAATCACTCCTACATAGTATGCTAGCTGATATGCTTCCCTAAAATGTTGCTCCTTTTTATGTCTTGCAGTGGAACGCATCGCTGTATGTTAATCAAAGCGACTTAGTATCGAGAGTCGAGACAGCTGGCATTCACCCTCGCGATCGCTGTCCCCGCACCGGCCGAACACGGCACATCGTGTCTGCATGGATCTCGATTGCGATCAATTGAAGGCACGGAGTCAGTCGGAGTCTCTGTCTTCGTTGAACGAGGTTCGTTGAAATCCTGTTACGCCACTCAACTAATGGTCTTTCGCATTGCCCATTCTTCAAGCTTCAGCAGTTGGCTGTAATTTCCAGAAGCCACCTTCGGCACTGACAGTAGTAACTGTTGACATGGCCCGGATCGCATGGACACAAAGACGACAGAAACCACCGAGGGTCAATGTCGCGAGACCGGGCGAAGAGCAGGAGGCTGAACAAACGGCTCGGCGTCGCGCCTGAGAACTGGCAGTCTGGCATAAGACCTATGTACCTAGTGAGCACTCGGGTCCCAGGCTGAATCTGAATAGTGGAGAACCTAACCCGGATTATGTGCAGGAGCTCAAACCTATTATTGACGGTGGCTGGCCCTGAGCCTGAGGCCTGAGGCCCGGCCTGGCGATTCACGGCCTCGAGGTTCGTGCTCATTCTGATTGTTGAGGCTTCCAGTTCCGGTCTGTGTTCAAAAATCCTATACGCGAACCCACTCACTCATTTTAATATCAACAACTTCAGCGACAGTACTTATCTTCCAAGGTAAGTAGACTCCAGCATGCCAGGAAACTCGGACGCGTCTGATGCCAATTTGTCCAGACTATTACTACACTTCTAACACTGCTCAAGGACGCCTCTGGTGTCACAACTGTCGCTATTGGCACGCTCTCAGTTGCCGTGCAGTTTGGCGAGGTATGAGATTTGCAACTTGAATGCTATTGTTCTTCGGATATTACCCAGGATCACCGATCAGAGTCAACGTCGACCACTGTAAGATTGCGTCCTCTCGGTTTTATTTTTTTCTCATCTCAACGATCATTTGAGTCCGCTGGAGGGCGAAACCCTATGACGGATTGAACAAACGAGGATAGCTAAGGTCTAAACAGGCGACGGCGGCAGTATCGTGTCGCACATGCGTGGGTCATGAATTTGTGAATGGGCTCTTCGTATTCCTCTTCTGGGGACTCGCGCACACAACTGGGGTTGTCTTCACATTTGCGGTCGTATTTGGCCAACTGGTGAGTACGCGTGTTTTTTCTCCTACGCCTGGACCGTTTCTCATTCCATATACCCCCAGCGCACCTAAATAGATGGGAGGTTACAAATCAGCCGGACCCCTGACCATGAATGATTGCATCGAATATAAGTCAGAGCAAATCAGCGTCATCCGGGCAAGCAATTACGTTGCCCGCGGTATCGCTGTCGTGATCGACCTGCTGATCGTAGAAGTCTGTACGATACCGGCAGAGCCTCCTCACTCGGTTCAGACATGCGCTTCGGGGGAACGACTTAAGAGTCGGACTCTCGTATGCTATGGCGGCGATTCTTGTGAGCGTCCTTTTGACGATGACAAAGCTTAGGGTTCAGGCAAGAATCATGAGCAGGAGGCCTGGCCGTGACGTTCAGACTCACTCAGGAGACTAGCAGTTAGTGGGCGATTTCATTGCATTGGGCGAGCGAGTTCACGAGACTTTCCGAGTCATGAGCAGGCCATCCACACAAACTGATGTTCTGTTTCGTCGCCGGTAGGAAAGGAATTCGCCGTTTCATTTAACGCGTGTCCTTCTCGAACAACTGCTTCAGAAACATATTTATGCAGCTCGCCTACGGCATCACGTACGAATCAAGCAAGTCGTGTCTTCATGTAGTCAGCATTATGTACACAGGACGCCCACAACTACTGGGTGCGCTCTAGACCGAACTTGATCACTTCGTTGTGGAATTAGAATACGTTGGCGTCAGGTTTAGCACCGGAAGCTGGCGGGAACGAGGCCCGGAGCTCGTAACTCTGATCGATCGGAACGTCATGTAGGGGTGAGTCAGCTCCTACTGGAACACCAGATATTCCGCAGACCGTCCCAGCAGCAGCAATAAGAAGTGGATCGGCGACTTCGCCCAGGCTACTTAGCTCCCACTGCTAGTACTTGCGACTAACATCCTCACAAATGACCCAACTCGACCGTTCAGAATGCCCGATCGAACTGACTTCGGTTATACTGGAGAGTGGATGCGGCTCGGAGGAGACAGCGAGTGATCGACAGCACCTCCGAGAGTCCAGCACGTGTATGGGGACCATCACAAGCCATGCCGAAGAGACCGCCAACGTCCAGGAACTGCCCGCTATTGATGGAGGCTGGAGGGCCTGGCGTTTCGTCGCCTCTGCCTTCATGGTGGAGGTGATGATCTGGGGCTATGAATTCAGGTCTGTCCCCGCAGTGTATGCGTGCTCCTCGCAATGCTAAAAATTGGATAGTTCTTCTTCAGTTACGGCATCTTCCAAGGCATGCGTCTGACCCCTCGCTCGTTGCAGACGATTTGTTGAGCTTCCGAGACAGACTACTACACCTCCAACCCACCGTTCCAGAGTTCTCTACAGTTAGTATCGCCGCGGTCGGAACAAGCGCAATAGCCATCCAGTACGGAGAGGTGTGTTCTCTGTTCATTGCAACTCTCAGAGAGGTTTCATTGGTTCCGCACAGACATTGTTACTGTCGTTGTTCTTCGAACGATATCCCGATCTACTAAAACGAAGCGTCTGGGTGGCACTGGGGGTTGCAACTCTCTGTCTGTTACTGGCGAGCTTCGTTAGCCAGGTAGCTAATCCGTACACAATTCCCCAACGTCGTTGCTCACTCACCGCGTAAGATATCGCACCTCATCATGTTACAAGGCGTGATCTTCGGCATCGCCGGAGGCTTCCTATACTATCCCATCCTCGTCCTGCTACCGCAATGGTTTCACCGAAGGCGCGGTCTCGCAACTGGCATCATATTTTCTGGGTCCGGCTTTGGGGGTACGCACTCTAAATCACTTTCGGCCATTCGATGGGCTGATGTCAGGGTATACACCAGGGTTCGCGTTTCCATTCCTCTTTCAGGCGCTCCTCGAGCGATATGGTTTCCGCTGGACGCTCCGGATTTGGGCGCTCGTGACATTGGTCATAGTAGGCGTCGCAAGTTTGGGATGCAGCCCCGACTGCCGGTGCCGAAGTTCCCGAGGGGACAGAGACCGCGCTTCATTCCTCCACAGATGCACTTCCTCAAGTCCACACTATTTTGGCTCCTCGTAAGTGCTGCTCATCAAATACAACGATGAGCTCACCTTCTCTTAGAGCATCTGTACGATCATGCACGCGATGTCCTTCTATTCAGTGTCCCTCTACATAGCCACGTTCACGAAGGTCATCTCGACACCCCTGTCGGCCTCGATAGTCCTCGCCATCTTCAACTCCTCCGGCACCGTATGCCAGGTCGTCATGGGACATCTTTGTGACAGGTTCTCCTACGCATGGATGATGGCAGGCAGCACGCTCGTCAGCGGACTTGCAGTGTTCCTCCTGTGGGGTTTCGCGCGGGAACTGACATTAATATTCCTCTTCGTCATCATATATGGTGGTTTTGTGAGTTCATGGCCACTCGTATCAGTCCTCCCGCGATCACTCATGGCACTTTCCCCACTGCCCCTAGATGGGAGGCTACAACGCACTGGGACCGGCGTCCGCGAGCGACTGTGCAGGCAACAAGCCAGAGCAGTCGAGTATCATCTGGGCATGCATCTTCTTCATCCGGGGCATCGCCGTCGTGGCTGGACCCCTCGTCTCCGGTGTCCTCTACGGCGTCGGGGAAACGACCGAAAGCGCTGGCTCCATGTACGGGGGCTACGGGTTCAAGGCTCTGGAAGTCTTCGTCGGGACGTGCACGGTGGCCGCCAGCCTCGGCAGCGTCATGATGGCTATCACAAGGCGCAAGGTCCAGGAGTGACCGGGCTCGGAAGGTGGTCGGCCGCACTGCAGTCGCGCGAGTTTGCGTTCGTTCGGGAGTCAGCGCAACCGCTACGCTGATGTGTTAGCGACATACAGTGCGTGCGGGCACTCACCGACGAGCGCAGGCGTGCGTCACATAGATTTCATACACTGTCGGGCATCTCGGGGTCGTTAGAGGTCTAGAGGACAACTAGATGTACAGTAGTGTACAGTCACGCCCACGGATCTAAACTTCATATTTATTTCGCCGGGTTACCGGGCAAGAACCGGACACCTTCGCCGTCCGCTACCGCTATGATCTGTGCGCGGTTCGTCTTCGTGAGGATGCTTACGGCACGGCGCAAAAGGGTTGCCGGGATCCCGGACAGAGGCGATGGCACTGGCGGCTCGATGATCTCATAGAAGTGAGGATGGTATTGAGTTGAGCTGTCGACGAGGCCTAGCGGGGCTTCGTCAGATCAAGCCTTCAAACAGTGCACCGCGACATACCCATTCATGCAGGACCTCGGCCCACTCTTCTGGTAGTCGCCAGTGCAGAAGCACTGTTCGTGTCTGTTTGGGAGGTTCGTATATCGCGAGGTTCTTGGATACCATATCCGCCATGATGAAGGACAGATGTGATGGCATAAGCCGTCCTGCATGATACGGTCAAAGCCCATCGCAGCGCAGTATCACATAACGCACGGTTGATCCTCTCGTTCCTCAAAATCTCGTCCCATTCGCTTCCCTTCGTCTCCGCATCCTCTACGCGCAGATAGAATAACTTGCGATGTCGTGCGTAGGAGAGGATCAGTCGCGTCCAGTTCTCGGTGACGGTCGCTTGTGTGGCGGGATTTGGTTGCTGTCTGCGAAAACAGCGTCAATGGCCACGTGGATTGCCATCGTAAACTAAAACGGACGTGAAGAACGGCGGCATCGAGTGTATTGAGGGAAGGAGGTAACCTGCATGACATTGTGGCAGCTTACGGAATGGCAACTTTGAGAGTACTTACCGGAAGGCGTCGTGTGAGTGGACATCGACACGGTCATCATATCCCTATTTCCTCAGCCTGTAAAAGTACAATGTAGGGTTGACCAACAAGTTGTCGTGGACGGGGAGGTGCGAGCGTTGCATACTGGTCATTATTAGCTCCCAGCCGCAGCCACAGCCGCAGCCCGTAGCACTTGCCAAAAACGGTTACTCCCGTGTTCGACCGCACCTCTCGCAGAAACGAAGTCTCAACCAACTGCATAGGTTAGCCATATCCTTACGATGCAGCATATAGCATATGCAGAGATCAGGCGACAATTTCATTATTCTGAATCATACAAGTACCACAGTGACAGTATGTAACCCAGTAAGGAGTCGTGGAGTACTATTTGAACACAGTCAAATAACCATATGTTCGCAGCCAGCGAAATATTACAGCAATGCGTTCGATGGAGGAAGTCAAGAAAAGCAAACGGATAATTGGAAGGATCAATCAGTCGTCGTCGCTTTGGTCTCCCAAGAAAGCCATGATGCTTTGGCGAGCAGTACCCTATTTGCCGTGAGCACCACATGTAGGACGAAGATAATTCATGAACGTACCCGTGGTCGCTTCGACATCTCCGCCACATCTTCATCTGACTCTTCCTCGGGGGCTTCTTCTGTCGTCTGTGTTTTCTCCTTCAACCGGCTGGCACGCTTATTGGATACCACGGACTGCTCGAAGTTCTTCACGTCCTCTGCAGTATGGCGTCAGCCCTCATGGGACCACATATTGGTACTTCTTCGACTCGCTCACCAAGTTCCTGCGCAAGCTCTCGTTTCTCTCGAATGGCCTTTGCCTGCTCAAGACTCATACGACCCGCCATGCCAAGGTCGGAGAGTATCTGCTTGAGCCGCCTAATCTGTTCGGACGGCCTATCCATTCCCTTGAACTCCTTTGCCCACTGTTTGCGCACGCCACACGCAACGACCAGAGACTGCGAACACGACTGAGTAGGAGGCTCAGTTTCAGATGCTACACCACCAACCTTCAAACGTTTGATGGTCTCTTCATCTTTCGTGAGCTCCTTTGAGGGCTGCTTCGACTTCCTCGCCTTTGGCTCCTTGGTAGATTTCTTGGCAACAGGTCAACACACGTCTTCATGTCTCGTCGAATCTATGTCACAAACCTTACTATCGATATCCTGGATATAAGCCGTTCCGGGGTCAATGAAAATGACACACCACACTACAGTGACATCCAGAGACTGTACCGACCTTGCCCTTCTTCCTGGCACGCTTCGGCGGCTCGTCAATCAAGACAGACATCTCTGACTCGCTCTTCTACGGGCTGACATGAGTTTCGTGTGGTACGTACCCACATCAAGGTGCACTCACATAGCCACTGTCTGCCACAGTGTCAGCGGGATCAGAATTGAGCGCATTGTCGTGTTTCGTGTCTCTAACACCCGGGCTCGCGCTAGCCTCAGGTTTGGCTTTTGACGCGGCCTCCGTATCTTGCATCTCGATGTCTTCAGCCTCGGTGTTATTCTTCTGACGTTTCTTTGGAGGCTCTAGTGACTTCTCTGCATCGAACTCCTGTAAGGCTATCAGCTTTGCGCCATGAGCCAACCTCTTTCGAGTCAACCTACCTCGTCCGACACCACAGTTTTCTGTGTCTTCGTCTTTGGAGCAGCCTCCGGGGCAGACTTGGCGGAGGATGTAGTAGCTTCCTCTCCACGCATCTCATCATCCGAAGACGGTACTACGGACTGCATTTAGTCAGCACGTCATTTAAATCCTCACAAGGGCTTGAAGAGTTACCGCAGAACGTTTAGGTGTCTGAGACTTTCTAGACCTCTTCGTGGGCGGACGCTTCTCTGTAGGCTTCTTCGTGCTGCTAGAGGTGCCCTCGGGTTTGCTGCGCTCTTTAGTGGGCTGGGTGGTTTTGGTTGTCTTGCCCTTCTTCGCGGGCTTTGATTTTGCGGCTGCTTCTTCATTCTCGCGGTCCAGCTCTTGCTAAACCACGACACACAACATGAGCAATTCACATCACGGATGTACCTGCAAAGTGGCACACCTGAGTTGAGTTGATTGCCTCCTTCACAACTCTCTTGTATTCCTTGGGGGCGAGTGTCTCGGCTTCGAGAGACATACGCCGCTCCACCTCTTTTCGCACATCCCCCAGTGTCCATTCCCTGTCGGTACGAGTGACTTTGAGACCAACCCATATCATTTGACATACACAGCATTCGTATGCTTACACCGACAGCGTCCCGTCCTCGTTGGCCTGTCTGATGTATTCGCGCGTCACCCGCCGGACTCGTCCATGTCGATCTCAGACATCTTCACGAGTGCTGCGGAGGACAAGAGAAGTGCCCGAGAAGAGATGACAGAGGGGGTATATGCGGCAGAACGCCGTCTCCAGGAGAGTTTGACGGACGCGTCGGAGTCCGAACGCGTGACGCGCGATGCAGACGCGTTTGGTTGTGTTTGCCACCGGCGCGTCGAGCACGTGGTGCGCGCCGTGTCTGAGTCGCGACTCGAGACGCGACGCGTCCGAGTCTCCCAAGTGCTTGCCAATTACCTGCATCTACATCCTTGCGCCGACTTGCGTCTATCACAGCAAACCGTCCCTTACGCGTACAGGATGTCCTCCAGCATCGCTATTGCGCGTGTGGATGAACCGCTTCCTACATGCACACCATACCTCATGCCCTTTCACATCGACTACTCAGGTCCTGCACCGATCTCCACATACTTTCGCGTCAAGCCAGCACCACCTCCAGGATATTTGGGGAAACCAGAGAGTCAAGCGGGACTGCTCCAGATGCAAACGAAGCAACGCAAAACGCCAGCGAATCGCAGACCTCATCCACATCGCAGACAACGCTGGTAGCGTCCTCCTCGGATGCGACCCTTGACTCCCGGATTGGCGAGTCCTCTCAGGTAAGCTGACTGCGTCTGCACAAGCTAGTATCTCTCTTGGTCGAGTGTGCGAGAGTGCCTCTGCCTCAGCTATCCTGCGCGAATGTCGCTAACTGGTATTGGCGGAACACTTTCCGGCAATATGCCCAGTATGTATATACATGAGTCCCATTGCTGGACGTTCGGGGATTGCACTCGTCCCGGAGACATGTTGACAAGACTACAGGTCATTTCCACTGCCGCCGGCTGCCAAGCCAGCTAGAGTCGTATGCGAAAGGCTGTGATTTCAGTTCAATTTGCAGCTATTGATGCGAACTCCTTCACAACCGTCATGTCTTGCTCTGTCTTCCACTGTCCATCGAAACTAAGAGCTTTACAGGACACTTTAGTCGATGATGCATCTCCGAGCCAGACCAAGATGCAACCAGCGGGAGATAGATATGTGGCAGCATTTCGCGGAAGAACAGTGCAAGGCTTGAAGGTGGAACTCCCCGAAGGCTATGCAGGACTGGTTCTCCAAACCCCGGAAGGTGTAAGCACCGCCCGCCCAGGCAAGCGAAGTGGTGCATCCGCGAAGGAGCGAGGTCAACCGCAAGCCACGCGTAGTACGCGCCGGTCTTCCCAGAAAGAAGTGATGGACATCGACACCGACGTGGGAGGTGATGCAGATGGAAGCGAAGGAGCCGAGTAGATGGTGCTCTGCGGACATTGCAGCCCTGTCCACATTCTCCTCATTCGTGCTGTGGAACCAGGACATCCCGGTGGACGAGGGCAAGGACGAGTATCTGCGGTCAATACGAGAGTGGACGAGGCTGGCGGCAGAGGTGAGCGTGTTCCTGTTGTCAAGGGGGTGTACCTGACTTTTGGGCGGTTCATCGAGGTTCATCGAGTCGAGGATATCTAATCGAGGAGGAGTACTTCCGATACTTGAACCCCTTGACAGTCCCTCCGCGACAGCGGGTTGTCGAGCGGACCTAACAAAGATCGCCGAGATACTTTTGGACACATTTGTTGTAACTTGTCATACTGGACGTTCCACATACAGATGGGCGCCATCCCGGTGTTTCTGCAATGCCAGAGGGGGCACCGCAAACCCCACGAACATTGGCAAGCATACTTCCAGACGGGGCTGTGCAACCTTCTGTGTGAGAGGATGTCGCCTGCGCTGTCGGTTAGGGAACTGGGGAAACGAATGCACGGGGCCGCGGGCAGGAATAGCCTTTGTGGCTGTTTGCAATCAGAGCGGATGGATTAGCCAGATTAGGCAGGCATAGTAATTTAGACACCGACGTCGACCATGCGGGCCCTGACTGGTGCATCCCGGTGCCAAGGGCTGACCGAAAGGACGCCCGCCCTGACGCTCGCCTTTTAGCCCGCACTCGCTTTGCTTGGTCCTCCCCGCCCCCCGAGCTTGGATCGTCCATTCCTTACCCACCTCGCTCATTTAGTTCCGCAATTCACACCTTCTGCTTCTCGCTACGGTGAGCCAAAGTTTGTGCCTGGCTGTCAACTTCCTGACACGAGCACAGATCCCCAGTCCAGCCTCAACCACACTCAACATGTACGCCTCTGTGGTTCTTGCTACACTTTTCGCTGGCGCTGCACTCGTGCGCGCAGACGTCGGTCCGACGACCCCTGCCCCCGGCGATGTCTTCAAAGAGGGTGGAGATTGCAAGGTGGCCTGGAACGCGGACACCTCAGGCGTTTGGACAGTGATGAATGTCGAGTTCATGACCGGAGACAACGAGCAAATGCAGTTCCTCGAGCGTGAGTCTTCGCTTGGCATCGCGCCCGCGTCAGTAGACTCACCAATGGATGCCCTTTTCGTCCATGCATCTAGTTGTGGGCACGGTGGACGGTACTGACGCTTCAAACAACAGCATCACCTACAAGTGTCCCGACGTACGCTACCATCATCTTGTTCCTTCAAACTGACCATCTCACGCGCTATTGGCGCTCTAGGTCGACCTTCACTCGCAGGTCTACTTCTACCAGTTCACGTCTCCCTACTCCACGAAGGTCTACTGGACCGGCCGCTTCATCATCGCCGCCGCCGATGGAACTACGACCCCGCCGCCGGAGACCGAGATGTCCGGTGGTCAGACCATCTCCTGGGGCAGTGGTTCCATCATCGGCCAAACCCCCGCCACCGCGCCCGCGTACGGCGAGAGCGCCAGTGGTGCATCTACTTCGTCATCTGCTTCAGCCTCTTCGTCTGCCTCCTCTGGGTCCACATCCGCCTCGTCAGGTGCTTCGTCCGGCGACGCGTCGAGCTCGCCAGCCGTTCCCGAGTCGACCACTGTGTCTGGCCCCCCTCTGACACAGGTGGCCTCTTCGACGCCGCCCACCGGTACAGCGACAACCGCTGGCTCCTCCGGCTCGGGCTCCTCGTCCGCTGCCTCGACCAGTGCGGCCGCCAATGGTGGCGGAGCGCTCAAGGCGGACAACCTTGTCCTCCGCGCCGGCTCCGCTCTCCTCCTCGCGGCCCTGACGTTCACCGTCGCTCTGTAAATCCGTCGCGGGTACCCCGTCTAACTGCTTGTAGCCGTGGCACGCGACCCATGGCTGCACAGATCTGTCATTACTCACCATCTTGCTGTTGTATGCTAAACTATATTTTGCCGTACTATCGAGGCAAGTGATACTCGCACTGATGACCATCGACGATGTGCAATGTATCCGTGACGTATAGGCTTTCTGCTGTATCTACTGGGCTTTAGGGTACATTGCTTCACAGTAAATTAATGATTTTCTCAACTGTGAACCGTCCCTCGAACGCTTGCAGGATACCAGCCGTCTGTGTCGTGAGGTTGTCATCCTAATGAATTAATCCGAGCGAACCCTGACTGCAATACTGTACATAAAGTGGCTCCACGCTCTCATACAATCTCCCCCTGCACCATAAAGTATTGCCCGTCTAGTTCCTTGTCTGTGTAGCTACACTGCCGAGCTGACCCTCGACGTAGCCAACCTCTTGCTTGATATCCTCGACAGCAGACTTGTTGCCTTTCACTGATCATGGCATGGCTCAGTCAACAGTGTCACGAATTAGCCGGCTGCTGATACCCACCTGTTGGCCCTTCCGCTCCTGGCAGCTTCTTCGCCTCCTCCAGGTCCGCATCCCTCCGTGAGCCATACCGCGACTGTGCAGTCATTTGTGATGCAGGGTCGTATGTCGCGCCTTCATATCCATCGAAACGTCAGCATCCTCTTCTTATCACGCAGGACTCACGGGACACGCACCTCCTTGCGCGTCCGAACTCGGCTTCGGGTCGCCCACAGCCATCTTCCTGCCCATGTCAACGGGCGTGTCAAGCAGCGCGTTCGTACCCGAACCGATTGACTCGCTCAGGTCGCTGCGCGTCCCACCCGACGAATATTGGGAGGTGGTGGGATCCTGAAAGGCTGCGTTCATGGGGTTCAACCCGGACATGCTGTTCTGCGATGGCTCCGACATGACGATTTCACGGTATTTATCAATGGGATGGGTTTGAGATGAGTGGTCGTTCCTGTTCAGGATGAACAGCTAGCCATTTTCGTGAGATCTGTACTTATATATAACATGTCTGGAAGTGGGGGTACTTGTATGATGTCAAACAGTGGAGCTTCGAGTCGGTGGACGCGCCAACGCGTCAAAGTCACGCCGGGTGTCATCGCGATCACGTGCGACGCGCTTGTGGCCATCGCGCGCCAAGGCGATCCTCTTTGTTGCCTCTCTTTCAGGTGCACAGCGCTCTTCCGTCGACTTATCGCGCCGCATACAGCCCATCGCATACAAGCAGGCAAGGCAGTGCAATTCGACAGCAAAGTACGTGATGATACATCGTGATGGAACACTCGAGATATTACAGGTGGAACGTGGAATTAATGTAGTAAGTCATGAGACACGCATCATCCAGCTGCATGCTAACTTCGTGTACAAGCGTAGTAGAACAGACATCGGACCCATGAAAATCGTTAGAAATAACAGCGACGGATAGTACAGACACGGCGGATGCCCAGGTGAGAGAGATCGAGAGAATCTAGATGTCCTTCTTACCGCCCATGACTTTGAGGAAACCGCGCACGTCCATCTTCAACGAGCCCTTCCCGCTGGCAGCGATCTTCCGCGCTACGGCTGAGCGCGAGTCGACGCGCGTAGAGCTGTGTTGCGGCTCGGATGGGCGCTGCTGGTGATGGTGGTGGCGGTTCTCGTCGCGCACCTTCGGCGCGGGTGCGGGAGCGAAGGAATGCTCGAGGAAATCCTTGCGGACGTCGTCGAGTGGGTTCGCGGGGACCTTCACCGTGGGGCTAGGAGGAGCGAGTGCGAGCGGCGCAGGCCGGCGGCGCTCCTTGCCAAACGGGCGGGCTTGTGGCGTGTTCGAGACGTGCGGGGAGAGTGGCTGCTTGCCCTTAGCAGGTGCAGGACCATCGGGAACGGGGAAGACGTCGAGGAGGAACTCAGGCTTGCGGAGGTGCGGTGCAGCGCGGCGAGCGCGGGATGGGAGAGCGAGGACGGACATGCCGGGCTTGCTCATCGCAGAGGGCATCAATGCGCTGCCGAAGACGGCGAGGTCGTCCCCGGAGTCGGCTTGCATGGCATACCGCGGGTCAAGATCAGAATCCTGGCTCGAGGTGCTTCCTCTCCGTTCTTCGTCGGGGCCAGAGCTTGCGGCGGATGCGGAGCCAAAACGGACCCATGACGCATCGCTGGCGTTGAAGTCCTGGTCACCTCCGAGCAGGTGAGCGTACTCCCACTCCTCGTCCTGGTCACGCCAGACGCCGCCGGCGCCATCCCTCCAGATGTCACCGACGCCAACGAGTCTGCCGTCGACCACCTGCGCACCACCTGCTCGCGCCTGAGCTTCCGCGAAGCGCCTGACGTGGTCGTCCATCTTCCCGCCGTCGGCAAGCTGCGCGAGAGCGAGCTCGGTAGCGAGAGGTGGCGGGCGGTACTTCGCGTACTTGGACTTCTTCGACTTGCTCACCTCGTCGCGCGACGCCGCACGACTGTGCGCAGGGGCGGACGGGACGGGCGGTACTGCGTGTCTGGTCATGAAGGACGGCGAAGGCATGGAAGGCATGGTGATAGACTTAGAGCGCGAGCGGGACCCTTTCAGAGCGGACAGCGAGCGGAAGCGTTTCAGGCCGCGCTTCGCAGGCTTCTCCAGTGTAACAGGCAGGGGAGAGATGGGGGCCGCGAGCGGAGATGGGTGCCTGTCCGGGTAGGCAGCTGAGGAAGGCGTCTTGGGGAAATGCACGAAGACAGATGCGTAGCCGACCGTGGTGAGGTCGTGCTGGAAGTCCTTCAGAGAAGGGGTAATGTGGGTAGGATTGGTCGGGCTCTCGAAGACGTTCAAAAAGGACGAAAAGGCCACGCGGCCCGACCCTACAGAAGGGCGCCGAGGGGAACGCGGGGAGACAGATGGTCGGCGAGAGCTCGAAATGGACGTTCTACGCCTCGGGGTGGGCGGAGCAGGTGATCCGGGCTGTACGCTCAGAACCCAAGTGGTGATAGCGGAGGCCGTAGCAGATCGGCGGCGACCAAGGACGGGGCTGCGCGGGCTGGCGGATACTTGGGCGGGCGGCGAAGGCAGAGGCTGCGTGGGGCGTTTCTTTTGAGGGGGCGGCTGCGAGAGAAACGGATACTTCGGTGCGGCGATGGTTGCTACAGTCGAAGGATTCAAGGGGGCAGTAGACATGGATATAAGGTAGGATTCCGAAGGTGCGGTAGATGCGGAAGCGAAGTGCTGTCAAAATGCGGATCAGCCAGCGGTTTATGAGGAACCAGGTGGTGAGTACTCACATGAAGATGTGGCAGAACTCTAATACAGTGTCCCTGTGCCTATAGGTGATACAATGGTGGCCAGAAATGCAAGATGAGACTATCGCGCGATGAGATGTTGAGTAGGGCTACAGAGGAGAGAGGCAGCGGAGGACACAATCCAAGGAAAGACGAGGTGAGTTTGCGAGCGGTACGTGCGATGAGATCCCTAGGCTAGCTAGTGGTGGGGGTGCCGCTAGCTCTGGAGGGTTCCTTTTGAGCACCTACAGGGGACAAAAGTGAACCGCGACCACGACTGAACAATGGCCATTGTTCCCTCGTCTATAAACATCCTGCAGGCGCCTCGTCATCCAGTGCAAAGTAGCGACAGCCACCCACAGGTCAATACCGCCACCAGGACCCCGGACAGTTCGGTTAGCATATTAGCGCCGCCTATTGGTCACTCACTCATTGCTTATTGTCCTCGGTTAGGCATTTATAGGGCGGTCCCGGGGTCTCTCCCGCAAAGTACAAGCCCTTCCTCTTTGGGTACAAGCTGCACGTGTCTCCCGCCGTCCTCGTTTCTCGTCGAGACAATAAGCTGCCGTCCCCGTCGATGTCCTCACTCCTCCCCGTGATGCTCAGGCGGTTCTATCGATGTGTTCTGCAAGCCAGATTTGACTTCAATCTGCTTCTTCTAGCCGCCCTCTGAGCGCACTGCATCCCCACGCAATTGTTCAGAGTCAAGCATCACGTACGCTACCACCGCATCCTCCGCATTTTAGTTTGCTATTATGTTGGCTCGATCTCTTCTGGCTCACTAGTGCTCAGGGTATAACGTTATCACGCCGCGCAGGCTAAGTCTCTATTGTCTCTGCGAGCGATGCGCATACGCCGAGGTGCGATGCCGGATGCTGAGTGCTGGTTAATCTCTTGTACATCATGCCTCTGGGGGCCATCACTCAGGTGGACGTTTAACCTAGATCATCTTGGGCACCGATTGGACTGAGTAATTCAAGGAATTTCTTTCATCCTGTTGACCATTCCTATATCGTGTTGGTCCTCCAAGACGCACTGTACTTACAGTAGCGCGATCGCTCAATCAGTCAGTAGCTTAGAACTGTACTCACGGAGATGATTCAGGAAGCGAGCACTGCCTAAAGCATCATCGAAGGTGTATACGCGTTGGGCTGGAGATCACTGCAGTCGGGTTAGTAGCAAGCCTCACTTTTCATATGAAATATTCCGTCATAATGACTTACTTGAATGGGTTGAGGTAGCCATTTTGTAGGGTGCTCCCTATCTCGCATCATCTAGTGAGAAGCGGTCGGTCGGTGTAGTCAACTTGTTCAAAGCATGGTGATGTCCACATCAACGTTAACTTATGAGCGCTGTAGCGTGGCCACGGACGCCTACTTTGTTACGTTAATCCCCGTGAGTGCGCCTGCTGTGTTCACACTACACTCACGCTGTTCTGCATCGATCGATCGTCGCCCTCCCGTATTACGACGACAACTGAACAAGCCTGTCCACGTAGTGCCATGTAGGGTAAGGACGCGGTCTAAATTCCGCTCCGCCCGGTACCGTTAAATTTAAGTGAAGCAACAGGCTTCAACGGTCGGTGCCAGTGCCTTGTGACGTTTTGCCTGGGTGTGAAGTACTCGGACCGCAGTTTCGTCTACCTACGCGAGTCAATGCCTTCCCTAGTCTTGCGGATCGCTCATAACAGGGTGACGCCCAACGTGTTCATGTACAGCAGTTTGTCTCCAGGTGATCTGTCGATATGTACTGTTTGCCCCAACTAACTCGACGTCTCCGCTGTACTGGAAAGCACCTCCCTTGGTTGGCTCACCGGTTGTCGGGTGTTCCTGCCGGGATCTGGTGTACCACCGCTTCTTTTGCGGATCAGTCATAGCGTTGGAGTACTCGGGACGCCGTTTGCTACGGACTGAACATGTGTATCGATTGAAGGGACGGTGCCTTTCAAGTTGTCTGTTCGGCGGTACACAGACGGTTTTTGGACCCAAGGATGGGTCTCAGTGACTATGAAGCAGACCTGCGAAAGCTATATGAGGTTCGATGATGTCAGATATTGCCTGCAGGCAAAGTAGCAGGCGATCAGTACGATCCATATGTCAGACGAGACGTTCTGCTGATCTCACGTAGGTGAAGGAGTGCGAAACTTGACGTCACCTGTCGCTACCCGTGGCCTGTAACGCGATGTGCTTGGTAGTTCGCATGTTCATAGGACGAACAGTTTCAATATAGATATCGTGTACTAGACGGCGACATGAAACATTGCATCAGTAGGGAGTACACCGTATGGGTCGGCCTTCCTTCATTGTTCGTACTGCTGTGAATGGCGCGTAAATGTGAACACATGCAAGGCTGAATACGGGGTCTCAAAAATATGAAGCTGCAATAACACTGTCGCGGCGAATACACGAAGATTACACGCATACCTATCACTGCCAGCAGTGACGATCAGCAGGGCCGCGCCACCGAGCGCGGATATTGGACACCGTCGTACAGGCCTAAAGTGACCGCAAATGGTGTACCATACCTATTATGACGACGTCAGGTACGAGGTTGTGTGATATCAAGACATCGTACCATCGGAGTGGCATTCGCATTTGCCGGAACCTATGATGAGAGTCCTGCAGGCCGCTCAGAGGAGGCGAGCGATGTGCGTTGGATGACCGACAGCGCGAAGTCCGCAAACTCTCGTTTAGTCGCTTTGCCTCTCTTTACAACAAAACTGCGCGGTCAGCTGCTGAAGAACTGCGACAGTAATTACCCACCTTCAACGCGTATACGACAATGTTCCCTCTCCGTTTGTCAGGTGAGGCCCGGTGACACTCCTCTACTTCTTTGAGCACGACGCGCAGCACGCCCTCTTTCTCGTCAAAGGTGCAACGGACTGCTGGACACAGTCGCACGCTCATGGAGACCTTCCACACGGGCTCTCGGCGAAAAACTTGAAGGCAGAAGCACAGGGGTAAGCTTCGTGTCAGTATGTAGTCACAATAGCGGCGGCCTGTACTGACTCAACCGCTCATCGGCAGTCTCCCTGTGCGAAAGGAGCTTAACGTGGCCGAAGATTCCGTCCCCAAAGTCGCTTTCTCCGCGTTTGATGAATATCTTCGCACCTTTCACCTCCGCTCTGACTTCCTCGTCCTCCTCACCGGTAACGGCTGCACACACCGCGTGGGGGAGCCGTCAGAGGCAGTTCTCCAATGAATCATAAGCGGACGGTAGAACCTACTCGTGCATGGCGCCCGCGTGTAAGTCTGGGCCTCCAGCGGGTCGTCTCGCGCATATCCTTCATCTCGGAAGTCTACGCGCTCCGTGCGGTCCGCCTTCTCAAGTTCCCAGAATGCGCGACAGGCGGGGCAGTGCTTCTCACTTGCGCTCCAACGCTGGCGGCGCCCCGATGATTCTGCGGGAGCTCCGACTCCGGAGCTAGGCCTGTCGCATGTTCGCTAGAGTGTTGTGACCGTCATGGTACCAAGCTGGTTTAGACTGTATGGTTGGAGAATTCACTACTGCTGCGAATGCCGAGTTGGCACTTGCAAAACATGTGAAGGCCGATGACGCCCTGACCTGAGCGCACTTGAGTTCATGGGTTGTAACTGAGCATAGGCGTTGGCAGACACTCACTGCAGGGATGGACAGAATGGCGAAGAGCAACTCAGCTTCGACGGCGTTTGCGAGGCCCCCAAACTTTTGGGACAAAGATCGATTTGGCCGGGGTCCGAGGGATCATCCCCGTGATCCGTGACTAGACCGTCAGCAATCGCTGGTACAGCTCCCACTCCATGTAAGGGTTTGGGCGCCCCGGTATTGCTTAGTGGCGCGGGATGTTGTGTGAGGTGGGAACGTGAAAGCCGAGCCTCGTCTACAGTACCACCCAACGTCTTACTTCTCTTCCTCGGAGCATCGGTGTGACAACCCTGACTCTTCAGTGAGCGGATATACTGGTGAGGTAGAAATGAGAATCTCACTCCGGTAGGTCGCTCGGGGTTATCGATTGACTCCTGGTCGCCGGACGTGTGAGCGAAACACACCGTAACAAGCAACATACAGGCTTATTTACATTGCGTGGATCTTCGTCTCGGCTCTTCCTCTTCAGTGATCCCGGCTCCGTGATCTCAGATGGCTGAGTATTCTGTAAATGAATAGCAAGCTTCTCAACGAATATGAAGTTCTAACCTCTTCAGAAATGGTCGAGCACTTCTGTACGGAAGGGCCTAGGCTTCCCGTCAGCGGTCCGACTGTTGTGCACATGGTTATATCCGCTATGCTTGCAGAGAGTACCCTTCGTCCTGACCTGCTTCCCCGAGTCCGTGCCTTCGTACACCGATTGGTCAACGCATACAAAGGCGAGGCTACGGCCTGGTCATGGGGCGTACCATTCTGTCATTCCTATGCACATCCGGGATACCCTGTATCCGATGACTGCAGATGCGGTCGCTAAAGCGCCGCAGACAACGTGAAAGTCGTTTAGAGGGAACATCCTGCCTAGTTTGACAACAAAATTTCGACACTGCGACCTAGCAATGCGTAATACTGTTTTGAGATCCAGTTAGCTGGTAGCGGAGCGGGTAAGAAGAGGAACAGAAGGGTGCAGCGACATCGCTTCTTAAGTATCGTTCGCACTCCGGCCCCCCTATAACACTTCCGCACCGTAGACGCACCGCAGACGCAAGTGCAACACGTGTGGCTTTCAAGTTCTTGCTTGGGAGATGCGCATAATCGGGGCACTCTACATGTCGGATTTATGGCAGATAGTTCGATGGATTCAGGTCGCTCCAAGACCGTGGTCCAAACAGTTATGTAAACACTATAAGTCGACGTTGAATCTCCACGAAATCGAACTCGAAAGTGACTCACTAGGGCAGTGAAACGCTGATGGTTCCATGAGCGCTTGTCACAGACGATTCCTTTCGGCAAGACACGTGGTAAGTGGGTGGGTGTGTCGTACAGGCTCAGACCTCCGAGTCCTTACACCAGCAGGGTAGAACGGAAATCAAGTCTGTCATACCATGCATCTGAATTGAATGCTCTGACTCGGACGAGGTGATATATATACAACTGGCTTGACAACTTGTATGGAAATAAAATATAACGGTCACAATACCTCTCATCATTCTGCCACGTCAGCGTGATGATCGACTGTATGATCTCGCGCTCAGTATTGGTACTCTCTCATTTACAACCATCATCCCTTCTGGACATACCTCATTACCCCGCGTGTCGTATAGCCTTGCAAGAGGGTCGTGTAGCACAGGCGATCCATGCTTATCATGCTCACTTCTCGCTCTCTGCCATTTATTTTGCTGCTCGCACCATGGCTCGTCTCAGCTGCATTGTTTCCGGCTAAGACTGAAGTCAAGTTAATCGACGCCAAAGGGTTCAAAAAAGTCATGAACCAGAACGTGAGTGTGCATCCTTCGTTCGTCCGGTGCGATTGACCGGCATGCTACAGTTTTGTTTGGACTCACTGCAATTATTTTAGGTCACATCTGTCGTTGCATTCGTGGCTCCTTGGTGTGGTGTTAGTCGGAACCTTGCTAATTCTACGTTACCAACAACTGAGCGCCTCGCGTAGTATTGCCAGAGGATGGCGCCCGAGTACAGCAAGGCTGCCGAGGCACTTGCTCCCATGGTACCACTCTACGCCGTTGACTGTGACCAAGACTCCAACAAGCGTTTATGCTCAGAACAAGGCGTGCAAGGATTTCCCACTGTGAAAGTAAGACGCGTCTGGACTCGGCGAATTTCTGGAGGATTCTCATACAACTGTTCAGTTATACCCACGCGGTGGACGTTCGAAGCCGCTGAGTTACGAAAGCGGGGAACGAACTGCCACTAACTTCTTCTATTGGGCGAACCGTAACATCCCTCACGCGGTCAGGCGGCTAGACAGTGTCTCTCAAATCTCCGGTTGGACTGACGAGGTATGAGAGTTTCTCGTTTCGGAAGGCCCACGGTAAACACCCTATCATTTATTTTGCAGCACGCTGCTAAGCCACGCGCCCTCCTCCTGAGTTCCAGTAAAGACATTCCCTTGATGTGGAAGGCACTTGGGAACAAATACAAGGACACCATTTCCTTCGGCGTTCTCCAGGACAAGAGCGGCAAGCAAGCATTGCAACTAGGAGTGGAAGACAGTCCTACCAAAGACTCGAAGGTGCTCGTTTACCCTCCGGAGTCGCACAATTTCGTTCGCTTTGAAGGTACACACCTCCTAAACTGTGCTAGTTGAACCCGCAATGACGCATTTGCGCCTCTAGGGACCCTGAAATACAAACCACTGAACAAGTATCTCGGTTCCGTCGCAGATGGCACCGCTGACTTTCCCATGCCGCGCGAAGAGACCCAAGACCCGTTTGTGACTGCGGACCCTCCTGCTAGCACCGTTGCTCTTAGAGACGCGACGCGATCGGGGTCGGCGATCTCTTCAACTACCACCTATGTTTCCTCTGTACCCGGCACTGGTGTCGGTGAACCCGAGGCGACAGAAGCAGCCCCAGATGAAAGGGAAGCGGACGAGGCACCCAGCGCTATAAAGGATACGACCACCGTCGAACCTTCAAGTGTTCCTGAGGCGGCAGCCGCTACAGGTCCAGAAGTGGAGGAGGGTGTGCGTTCGGACCATCCCAAGGATGAGCTGTAAAGATCCGATCCGTTTCTTGTGTAAACATTGCAACTTCTCTGTGGAACCTTTATTCACTCGTTATTTCGATCTACCGTCTTCCGCAAGTCTTCCGCTAACCCATGCATGGCCGGGGCGAGCCTATAGTCAAAATCAAAGTCAATCGGTTCCGCTGTGGCACGTGACGACAAATTGAGCTTGAGCTTGATCAATGTCCGTTCTCTCTTCTGTCTGGCGAATGGTTCGACGGTACCCTGATGGTGAGTGGAACCACGACGCGCACCTATGGTTTTCTGACTGACTTTGCATTCCGCAAGGATGCCCTGACATGGCCGTCGTTCTAGCGCAATGTCCCTTCATCCTCGCTATTAATGAAAATATCGCGACTGTGTGAGCTCTACGCTCACCGGTGGATCGGTGCAATGCCGGAACCTGAGAACCTGCCAAGGCTCTTTGTGACCCAGGACCAGTTCATCCCGGGATCATGTCAGGTACTGCGGAAGTGAAACCTAGATCGTGAACCGTATGGTTCGGTTAGCAAGTTAACTGCATCTCTAGTCGCCGAGAAACCTCGAGATTACACACCGGTTCTATAGAGACGGACGGATCAAATTCACTGACTCGCAACTGGAAGATCGCACATATCCTGTGAATGGTCGCATGGGCATCGTGAGGGGAGTGTTTAACCTTCACTTAGCCTCCATGTACCGCGGCTAATGATTGTCTTCTCAGCCATTTTCCCATGCTAGGTTTGTGTGCATGAGGTCGGCGGCTTGCATGCCTGATTCTTCGTGACCCTATCATGAAGTATTTGGTGAGGATGTTCCCTCTAAACCGGAACGGCCAAGATCTGGTCCATAGCCATAGATGATGCGATCCCATGATAGAAGTGTCTTGTCGGAGAACATGCATGATGGGCTTGGAAAGAGAGCATTGCGTACACGTTCCATGTGTCTTTTTAGGATGATGGACAAGTCCGGCATGACCGTGATACTTTTCACGGCGCTATCACTGGTTTGGTTATAAATGCTACCATCTCCCGATTCCGGGATCTTTCGCTACCAGGATGGTTGACATCGTATACACAGCATCACAGCCGGTCTGCTTATGCCAACCAAGGCCTCGGGAATGCGGAACCATTGTCGGAGAGATATTCAGGATCCGACGGCCACTCAGGATGCATGAGCGACTTGGTCACCGGGGAATACACGTCTCGTCTATGGTCGCGGCAGTCCTGCGGCCTAGCTCTATCAGCATCCATCTGGGTAGAGTTTGCCTTCCTGCTACGTCAGCACGAGGTTCCTAGCACGTTGTACCTTCTTCGCTGCAGGTATGCTCCAAACGCTGATTGTTCGGACTATTGCAACCCAAACATCGCCATTTACCATCCGCGCAGTCGCAGAACGCATGGTCGAAGAACGGGGCCCACTTCACGATCAAGTCGTGATCCATCTGGCCATCGGCGGTCAGGCTGAGAGGCTGAAGACACCAGGAACAATGTTACTCTGGAGAGCAAATTGAGGATGAGATGGGCAGATGGATAACCTCCACGGTACGATGTCTTGGTCATTTGCCCGTGACTAGCATCTCATTCTGAAGAAAGACGCCGTGCTGTAGGAAGACGGCGTCTGCACTTGGCGAGCGACTCCTCGATCTGCGTCGATGGGCATGGTAAATATCGGATGACGTGCGCGGGGCCGCCGAAGCGGTGAGTAAAACGTTCCATCTCCCTGAAGTACTAACCTCCAACACCCCCGCCCGTGACACGATTTTTGATAAGAATAGGGTTTAATCCTCCACTCCCACCGTGCGGCACGCTGCATGTTTGCGTTGGGACGTTGACTAGGGAGTGTTGAACGGCTGATACTTGTTATCAGATATGCGGGATTACCACGCAGTGCCCTTCAGACAGTCTATTGGTCGCAGCAACGAGTTTCGCCGTCATTCGCGGACATCTCTCGAACGCTAGCGTTTTGCAAGGATTCTCTCTCCATAACAAGCTCGGACTACGGTGGCCGCCGATGACGAATGACACGGAACTTCCTCCATGAAATCGCGATTCGGAACCGCCTCTACGGATTATTGGTGGTTGATGCCCTGGAGATGTGCGTCTGAGATTCCGTCTCAACGTGTCGAAGTACTTTCATTTTCCGAAGTTCGCACTCACCTCGTTGACCACATCCTTAGGAAAGTGCGGCTGCCGTTACTTCCACGGGCATCACAGGACCTACTTGCGCAGGCCCGGTCGTGGAATAACATGTACTCGACGGATCTTGACACGTACTATATAAACTGCGTCCTCTCCCCGGTTGAGACCAGCAAGTCCTGTAGGGCCCGCCTCAGCATCAACCAGGGTCACCTCTATCGTCCTACACAGGATGTCCAACCCCGGTGCCAGTCAGCAGACGAAGTTTCGCTTGAACCCGAAGCCCACTTACAGTGAGCGCATGTCGGAGACAAGAGGCGAAATCAGGCGCATCATGAAGGAGGCCCTTCGTGAGTCTCCAAGGTTATGCACGTACCTACCTAATTGACGATTTCTCCAGGCCAGATTACCGGCGATGAGGTCGCCACCATGCATTGGCCCACCTACTGGAAAGACGTCGTCACTCGATACCACGTCATCATCGAGGGTTGGCCGGACGACGTTCCCTTCCGAAACCTTAGCGACGTTTCCAATCTCGGGAAACTGGAGCAGCTTCTGCGTGGGTGGCAGAATGGAAACATTTCTTTCCGGCGCATCTCAGACGCGGAGTTTGCGGCTCTGAACGCGCAGCGCGAGGCCGGGGGATCTGCGGATTAGGAGTGGATGAGAGGTAGCAGGCATCCAGAAGAGGCGTAGGGGTGCACGCACAAGTGCTTCGCTGATGGTTGTCAGAGACGGACCATGACCTTCGATATGTTCTCGATATTCTACGCGCATGTGTGATATTACGGTTCGCAACTACTCTCGTCCTGACGTCAGCAACTGAAACCGTGCACCAAAGAACTACCAAGGCGACATCGTCGCGAGTCACGGACTTGAAGTTGTGGTACGTGTGTATCGCCGAGCATGCAAGAGGGAGAGAAATGTACACTTCGGGACGGTGACGTACAAAGTGCCGAGCACAGAGTCTATCAGTGATTCTTTCACAAAGGAGATGCGGCGTATTGCCCACATGAACGTTTGAACCTCGAGGCATTCGGCGTTCAATCCGATCGCTGGCAATAACTACCATTGCTCGGGAAACGGTGGTCTCGGGTTTGCCCAAGCTAATGGAGGTATTGGCGCTGGAACACTTAGTCGCTGTCTGTGTCATATGGTGCGATCTCAGTTGAAGCATGGCGCAGAGAAGGTGCAACGCGCTTCGTAGTAAGCAGGCAGCCCAGCGCGACGGATGAGCATTGGTTGAGTGGGTCAGAGATCGGGAGAGGGCGCAAGGTTAATCCAAGCTGCTTCCTGCAATCTTTGATCCTCAAGGTAACGGTCACCTACTGGCGGGTTCATGGGTCTATGATAGCGTAGTCCCACATAGGTCCATCCCTTGTGGACAACGGGCTCGGGACAGCCAATCGTTCCACTTTGATTAGTAGAGCTCATCGGAAGAATGAGCAGTAAGCGCCATACCGTAGTTCTCGGTCACTCACACCTCAGGACGAAGCCAATGACGCACTGTCCCAAATCTTCCATGCTGCCGATACTCATATGAAGGGCTGCTCTGGCCCATGGACTGTTCGGAGCTCGGCCACGCATGACGATGAGTCAGTAAAATAGTACAACCAGACAGGCCACAGATGATTGCGAGCCTTGGTGACAAAGTCAGAACACCGTATGGCCGACCACCTGACATGCGTACATCCGACAATTATGAGTCAGGATGCACGGGGTATAGCATTGGAATGAACAGCACCTTCGGACGCAGTCAACCGTCAAGACCCGAGTAGCTCTCATCTGCGCTCTGGACTTAACGGACAGAAAATGGACAAGAAATATTATTATCACACTGCAATGGACTGGCTATGCCTCTACACGTTGGCTCGTCGTCTAGCCGCAGGCTTCGACCTCTTACGCTTTTTGCCCTGTTCGAACGCGTTGGCAGTCCTGAGGTCACGACCTAGCGGATCTTCCTTCTTAACCTGGTAAATACGGACCTGGTGAAGAGAAACGTTAATAAACATAAAGGGTCAGTGACGATAGTAATCGCTCACGATCCAGTTCTCCGAAGTGAAAGCCTCGTCTATGAAACACAGATGAGTGACGATAGCAGATGATGCCCGATATACGTACCCAGGTAGTCTAACGTCGGTCCTATCTTAGGCATCTGCTGCCCCCGGACGCGGTCCACCGCTTGATTACCACCGAATAGCTCAGCAAAACTGAAAACCTAATCTCAGTGGATCTCTACAGCGAGAGGTAGTCCTCTTGCTCACCGGTAGTAGGACATTTTGTACATCAGACTGTTCTTCATGGTGTTCGACGCACCGTCATCTACTCTGTACTCACCCTTGGCCGTGAAATAGTTGGGCTCCTGGATTCGTCTGGCCATACGCCCTGGCGATACGGACCATCCACAAGAACTTGTTGATGTCGTCGCCAGAGTAACCAAGCAGACCACCGAAGATGACCAAGACGTATCAACGTCGTGCTTGCGGAGGATCGGGTAGGCCACCTCCTCACTACTGGACATTGCCTTGCCCACGGTCGCGATGTGGGCTTAACAGCCGGAAACGTCAGGTAAGCACCATCCGCAGGATCGAAACATGCGTACTGTTGTTCCAGGTGTTGTTATCGACCAGAGTCGGCCTGTCTGCCATACCTGCGATCTGATAGCCGTAATCCCACCAGCTCATGACGACGGCGGTCTCCGGCGTGTTCTGCCTGAGCCAGTAGTATGCCTCTCGGAAGTCATCAATGATGTGTTGGCTGCCGTCAGGGTTCGTCGACGCGAGCACGACGGAAGGCGAGGAGTACGCCGTGGACGTCACGTAAGTGCAGTGGAGCACGAAGAACAGGAGCATGCCGAGCGCATTGAGGATGACGGCGAGGCGGGTATCGCCGCCGAAAACGCCTCGAGATTTTTCGCCTTTCTTGGTAGACACGACGGCGCTGACCGTTGAGACGAGGCCGCCAAGCGGACCGGCGGGTGCCGCTGGTGCCGCTTTTTTGCCTTTCTTCGTCGTGGTCGTGGCGGACCCGGAGCTTGTAGAAACACCGTCGAACTCGCGCTCACGGCGCCGTCTCCGGCTGCCTCTGTCCCCTCCTCGACGGCGTTTGGCTCCACAGGATCGATGTACGTGTCCAACACGGAGGAAAACGCCACAGCGGCACAGACACACACGCAAGGCGTGAGGGTCAACATGAGCCGCACCATGACGCCTGCGAAGTAGCTCGCTACCACGGCATAGATGATGACGAAGATGTGCTCATCCCGTAACTCGCGGAAGCAGAGGATGACGCCTGCGGGGAACAGGAAAATGAGGAGCTGCAGGTCCATGAAGAATGACGGCCATGCTGTCGGCTGATGTTCCGAGACGGAGGCGATGATCGGGATATACCTGACCATCAGTGCGTGAGCAACTCAGTCGCCCGAAAGGAAAGAGACCATACTTTTTCGCATAGCCGGTATCCCAAAGGGAGTAGAACCGTCCCGTCCAGGGCGCAATCCAACCTTTGTATGTGAGGCCGACGATCGCGAGGGCTCCTAGAATACCCATGCCAATGACGGACGCGAAGAGCAGGCTCTGGAATTGTTTGGACGAGACATGTGTACGGACAAGCTCCGCAAAGGCGATGATCTGTAACAGGCCGAACACACCTGGAAAGCAATGCGGTCAGGAGAGTCTAGAGATCCAGGTCAGATCCACTTACCCAAGGCTGCCATATGCTCGCTAGTGCGCACAGGCTGGAATCCGACAAATGGCACCTGCATGCTGGCAAGGGTGCCAATGGCGTACCACGATGAGTAGGCCACGTACAGGCGGCTACTGGAGCGTCCCATGAGTATCAGCGTGAAGGCATGCAGCGGGATCATGTTCGTAATGAAGGCATATCCACCTAGACCACCAGGTTAATGTCCGGACGACTGCAATAACCGATCAGACCTTACCCCAAGCGGCGACCATGTAGAAGTAGAACAAAGCAGCGAGAGTACCAAAGAAGGCACTACCCGTCTTGAGCGCCTTGATCCAGAGGAAGAAGGTGAACATGAGTAGGAAGATTGCGATGGCCTCGTTGTCATATGAGCCCGCGACAGAGCGCGAAATATAACCCGGAACAATCCCGATGAATGCAGCGGCGAGAAGGCCGGCGCTCTCGTCCTTCATCTCCTTCGTGAACCTAAACAACGATTAGAACATCGCCACGGTCTCCTGGGGACTGCGGTCTTACATGTACGTAGACCATGCCGTGAGAGCACTGAATCCAGGAGCGAGCAACACACAGATGTTGCGAATGTCGACAGGCAGGTTAAGGGCGTGAGTATATTGTAGATCACTCCGCTGGTAGCCATTAGTCCAGGGTAGATTGTCCCTCCAACAACACGTCCCAGCGGGTACCATGCTGTGGGATCGAACCAGTTCCAAAATTCCTGGATCCCTTTGTCAACGCTTTATCTCTTCGAGTCTCCACAAAAACTCACATAGAAACCCTCAGAAGCTAAGACGCGAGTTGCGCGACTGATACCAGGTGAACTCTCGGCTCGGCTACAAGAACAATCGCAGCGGTACTCACTAGTTGAACCACGGGTCGCTGCGACACGCCATCAGCTTCGGCCAGCAGAGCTTATGGATTTGTTATGACGTACAATTCGTGAATGACACTCTCGAAGTTGACGACCGCGAAGAGACGTGACGCTATGGCCGCCCCGGAAATGAGAGCCAGAGCCACAATGCGCAACAGCGAGGATGCGTTCACCACCGTCGCCGGCGACAAGTCCGTCGGCAATGAGTATGCGAGCGGCATGACCGCAACCAGAGATCGTGAATTGCCCCCAAAGAGTGACCGTGTAGTTGGAGACAAAGAGGACGGGACGGGGAATGGGAGAATACAGACCGCAGCGTTGCGTGGAACGCGAGACACGTCGCGCGCACCGCACGTGACTGGGTACCGTACACCGCTATGGGCGCTTGCACGGAGCCTGCAGTAACTTGGTTGAGACCGCGACATCATACCCTAGCAGTTGCCTGACTTTTGTTCGACTTCTCCCCGCTTCGAACTCTGATTTATTGCCTTGGGATAATTGCTACTTCACTGAGACCGTCAACATGTCAACATCACGCGACCGTGTTGAGGACACGTACGAACTACAGAATGACCAAAGGCTGGATGACTTGCACTCCAAGCTTCGGACGTTACGTGGTGTACGTACCCTCAATATGTCTGCGCAGATGCATTGCTCATGTGTCCAATTCGGTAGGTTACCACAGACATCTATAGCGATGTCGAGAGTCAGAACACGACCTTGGACGAGTCGGTGAGCTCGATGATATGTGAAAGCCTTAGGTTTTGTTGACGACCACTCGCGACGTCAGCGAAATACATTCACCTCCTTTGGTGCTTCTCTGGCACAGTCGTCTCGACGCGCGGGACAGGCGTTCGGGCTGACCCCGGGAGGGGTGAAGCAGTGGCGGACTATCGGATACTGTGTAGCAGCGATCGTCGGGTTCTGGTTCCTCTGGAGGATACTGCACTGGTGGTGGGCTTCACCGACTCCCTGAAAATACGTACCATCCTGCTCTTTGCTTGCTCTCTTGCCTGTACTCCTAACTTATACCTTTCACTTGTTCGTGCAATGCGTTGCTTGTTGACAGCGACCCGATGCTTCCGCTCGATGCCCTGAACGGCAACGCTCAGCGTGTAATCGATTAATCCCTTATGAAGTCATTGTCTTCGCCAATATTACCAGACCTGTGACTTGTTTCCCGACGGCGACCTGTGAAACTATTCGAGTGTTGCGCGATGCGGCGGGCTTGTGCCAGTGATTGAGACCGGCGAAGAACCGTACTTATGGCAGCTAATGTTACTCTGCACAGAGTGAAATTTTCGCATCATTCGCGGCTCAACACCACTCACTTCTACTCATACGACGATCCTCGCAATTAATCTATCGTGCCATTTGGCAGTTCTCCAGTAGTTCTCCTGGTGGCCAGACCGGCCTGAAATGGCAAGACGCCCGGTAGCCTCGAGGCAATCGGCACGTGCGCAATGAAAGCCCAAATATGGTAATCAGCGTACGTCAGTATACCGCCGTACAGACCTCTCTCGATCTCGCCCTGCTCAGTACTCTGTTAGGCACGGAGTACTATCCACCCAATCAAACGACCCTAACAGTCATATTTGACTCGAGCTCGCACTTTGAAGAATGTCTTCCGATAAAGACACCCTCCTCTCCATGGGCTTCGACCCCACCCGCGTCGAATGTAAGTCGCCTCGCGTCCCCTTCCTCCCCAGCCCCCTTCACGCCATATACCTACGCGGACACTAACGTCTACTCCCCCTCCACACACAGGGGCGATCAAAGCCACAAACGGACGCGGCCTCCAGCCCGCAATGGACTTCCTCCTCGAGAACGACGGCAAGCCTGTACCTGACCTCTCCTCCATCGCCGCGCCCACCAGCAGTTCGGGCTCGGGCGCGCCGATGGACGTGGACGGGGACGACCGGGAGGAGCTGGAGGCGCTTCAGGCGGTGTACGGGAAGGCGCAGATCGCGGGTGGCGAGGCGGCCGAGGCCAAGGTGCGTTCCGTCCCCGCGCTCGATCGAGGGCTGCGAAGGGGGCTGAATGGGGTCGTGGGTGGCGCGGAGTAGAGCATCAAGTGCTCGCAGTGCGACAAGATCTTCAAGACCACTGCGCTCGCGAACTACCACGCGGAGAAGAGCGGGCACGACCAGTTCGAGGAGTCCACGGAAGAGGTGCGCCCGTTTGCAATGGACTCTGGCGTAATATTGATCGTCCTTGGTTGCGCGATTGTGATGAACGCGTCGGTTTCGTGCGCTAGATCAAACCGCTCACGGAGGAGGAGAAAAGGCAGAGGCTCGCAGACCTGAAGGAGAAGATGGCTGCGAAGCGCATGGTGAAGTCGAAGGAGGAGGCGAAGGAGCAGCAGGCGAACGAGGCGATTCGGAGAAAGGCTGGCCGTGTACGGACGTTGCCTCTGGAATTCTCGGAACTGCGTGCTAACTTGATCCAGGATATGAACGAGGTCCGGGAAGAAATGAAGGCGAAGGAGATTAAGAAGGATCTCGAGGCGAAGAAACGAGGTGTGTGCACGTCCCTCAACCGCGTCCTCTCTTCGTTGTGCTCATACGTGTCGGTGTCGGCAGAGAAAGTCGAGGAGGCGCAAGCACGCGCTCGCGTCAAGGCACAGATCGAGGCCGACAAACGCGAACGAGCTGAGAAGGCAGCAAGAGAGAAAGCCTTGCGCGAGGGCAAGCCCCTCCCCGAAAGCTCCGCTGCGCCCGTCGCTGCGGCCCCGCCACCAGCGGCGCCGAAGTCAGGGAAAGACTATCCCGAGACGCGTCTGCAGATCCGGATGGCTAGCGGCGGGCAGCCGTACACGACTACGCTTCCAAGCGACTCCAGTACGTTTCTTCGTCGAGCCTCACTCACAGGGAGACTCGCCGCTGGCGGAGTCCATGGCTGATCAATCTGATGTCCTATAGCACTCCGCGAGGTGGCTGAATTTCTGGCGGCGCAGACACTATCTGTTGATGTGGAGACGGTGACATTCGCAATGCATTTTCCGAGGTGCGTGTGCGACGCTCGTACCCGTGTGTCCATGCCGGCGGGTAGGGCGTGGGGTGATGCGTGCGCGTGTGGGTCCCGTTGCTGATGCGGTGTCGTCATTCCCTTTTGTTCTGTGCGCGCAGGAAACAATTCACTCGATCGGACTTATCGAAATCGCTGCGCGATCTGGGGCTGACGCCGTCCGCGGTGCGTACATCTGATTTGTGCGCTCAAGGCGCGTGTGATGGCGTGGCTAACGGAGTGACGCCCTGTTCTGTGTAGGTCTTGATCGCATCATAGGGGGACGAACGTGCTTTCGCTTGTTGGCAGATTGTGAAGCTGGGTGTGCAAAGTGTATGATATCAGTATGCTGATGACAATGCATGATGATTCTGACGAGGGAACGAAGATGTACGACCTCCGGGTCCGTGCCCCGGTCAATTCATCATCGGCCACTCCATCGTCATGCTGGACAGACTGTATACATCAAAATGAATCGCAGCCCAGCGCTGAGCGCCGATAGACTGTTTCAAACACCCCGGTGACCTCGTTATGGCAGGCGACCTTCCGGATCTGGATATGTGGCTTTCCTATGTCCCTAGGTGTCTAGCTGTCAGAATTCACTGTCCGCCGCAGCTTCTGAAGTGGCTGAGGGACTTGGCTCGTGTATATATGAGGCGTGTCTCTGTGCGCTGCAGTGTTCCTTTCCTCCCTATTATACCCAGGTCTTCGTCTGGAAGGACTCGCATTGCGCCCGCGGAATTGCAATAGCCACCCTCGTACGTTCCTCGTTCGCGTGCCATCCGGGCTCCGCGCGCGATTATCGATGACGCTCGAGTTTGGGGGTGTGCATGCCTGCGCCCTCCGCTCTCCATCGAAATTTTTGCGCTAGTGGCCCGCCATGCCTCCGCTCACGACGGACTTGCAGTGGCAAAGTGGACGGCGGCCTCCTCGCCCACCGCAAGCCGGGCCGGTGCGTGGGTGATGTGCCTGTGCGCGGAGGCATCTGGATTCTGCGTTGCGGAGGCAGCGGCGGCAGGACGGTAGAGCCTGCTGATCGAGATTGCCCCTACGCAAATTCATTTATGTGACGTGAACGTGCTGCGATTCATCACAGCGAACAGACAGACAGGCGCGACGACCGCCATTTTATGTCTTAGCGCTGCAGGAGATAAGTCACTAGCGCCGGCGGGCCCTCATGTACACCCATCACAACATCAGTCCCTGGACTCGTCCTGTCCTCCATCCTCTCCTCAAACTCCCATGTCCGCATAAGCCCCTCCAGGGCCTCGTTCCCGCTCCCTACACCCCCGACACATCCCATGGAGTTCACCCGCGTCCGCTCGCCCTCCAGCTTCTCCACGGGCGCGCCCTTCCGCCAGCGCCCTGGCGGGCCCCGCAGCCCAAAGTCCCCTCCGGGGGCGACCAAGGACATGATCCCTCTCGACCTCACGGCTCGCGTAGAGGAGGCAACCCCCGCCTACTCTAGTCCCCGCTCTTCCACCTGGTCTCCGTCCTCGCCAGCACTCGCTTCCGAACAGGATCTGTATTCCGAGTACGGCGGCTCCAGCTCTTCGCGCCGCAACACCGTGAGCCGAGGGATCCAGACGGGCATGCCGGTCCCCGTCCCCAGCACACCCAGCACCCCGCTCATCGCCGCCCCCGCGGTGAAGGTCATCAAGAAGACACCCACGCTCTCCCCGCCGCCAGCGGTTAGCTTCGACGCACCGCCCGTGCCATGGCGCGCGATGACTCTCGAGGCCGCCCAATGGAGCCTCACATCAGAACAACTCCAGGAAATCGTCTCGACGGCCATTCGCACATCCGCCCAGGAGGACTTTATCCGGCTCGTGTCCCGGCACACGCTCGACGTCGAGCTCGTCCAGGAGCTCGAGCGCCTCGACTCGGTGAGTGTTTCCGATCTGCTCGTAGCGCCTGGTGGCGTATCTCACTGGCCCCCGCGCTGACCCTCGGTCCGTCGATCCTCATCCAGCTCAAAGCGACGACACAGGCGCAATACCGCTTCAACACGCAGCGGCGGCTCATGCTCCTCCAGTCGCTCAATGCGTTGTCCTTCGCACCGGGCGACCCATCATCCCAGGAGGCGCTGTCGAATCTCACGGCACAGCTCGCCGCACTCGCTGCCTCCTGCGACCGTCTCATGGAGACCCTCCTGACGGTCGCCGAGCAGCGCGCACAGATCCAGCGCCTGCAGGACGTGCACGTCGCGTCCGCGCTCGCGATCACTCTACGAAAGCTGAACGCGAGCTACGGGCGGCGCGTGAACGAAGCGAAAGAGGGGCGCGCAAAGATTGCCGAGCTCCAAGCGGAGCTCGAGGAGGCGTGGGGCGTCGCGGAAGAGCTCGCACAGGAGATGGACGACCTGGACAACTTTGGGCGCGACTTCGGGTACGAGGGCGACGAGGTGATCGAGGACGAGGCGAGTGCGGTGTCGGGCGAGGGCAGCGTTGTCCTCCCGGACTCGCGCACGGAGTATAGTGTGCAGATGGCGGAGGTTGTGGGTGTGACGGCTACGGCCGTCTCGAGCAAGGCCATGTACGCCACCGTGTTCCCAGGGCCTATCGCGCCGTCGCCTGCGCAGCTCCAGGTCGCGGATCGCACGAGTCGAGTGATGGCTGCGCGGCGGCGGAGCGTCCGTGCGAGCAAGGCGAGCTTGCGGTTGCGGCAGCCGTCGATGAGCGAAGGCGAGTCGTCGCCGTCAGTTGCTGCCGCCGCACAAACAGCGAGGCGGGCGAGAAGCCGAAGCCGGAGCAGGCGGAGACCGACTATCTCAACAGAACCAGATGTCACCGTTCCCGCGGTACCAATTATCCGCGTCGAACCGGCGCCGTGCAAGGGCGGGTCCTTCCTCGAGCTGAACGAGACCCGGCCGACGACGCCGAGTTCTGCCACCCAAGAAAGCCCGCCACCACTGCCACCACTGCCCTCCGTCTCGATCAACACAACTTTTGCCTCGACGCGGAGCACCCTCGGTGAGTCGCACGCGCAGTACGTAGTAGTCGCTCCTCCTTACCCACGCGCCCCCGCAGAGGTCAGCTCGCCAGCTGCGAACGCGGCCGCCACGCCATTAACGCCGGAGTTCGACCGCACACTCATTCCCCCGTACACGTTCCACGCGGCCCGCGCGTCCAAAGACGACTTGTTCCTTCACAACGAGCGCGAGCGCGAGGTGAGGGCGCTCCGCGTGCAGTCGCTCGGGATGCGTGAGCGGGCCGATACTGTGAGCTTGTTCGATGGCGTGGCGGGGTCACACAGCTCGAGGACGCCGTACCGCAAGTCGGACGGGGAGGTCATCGAGAGGGGGCGGACGAAGGCGAAGCGGTACTCTGTGCCGTTGCGCGCGGCGCAGGTGCAGGCCTCGCAGCAGCCCCGGCCGTCGACGGGTGACGCTGGGGATGGGCCGTCCACTACGGAGGCTCCTAGCAAATCGGAAATTATAACGCCGACGCAATGGCGGGTCCAGCAACAGGCGGGTCCTGCGCCGACTCCGCAAGAAGCCTTCAGTCAGACACGGCCAGACAGTCCTACGCAAGCACCAGAGCTAGATCTGGATCCGGGCGAGCAGCCTCCGCCTCTCCCGCCAAAAGACGAGGCTGTCGCGGCTGTGGGGCTCCCATCGGAGCCCTAGCATACGGTGGGACGGACAACACAGCGGAAGGAGAAGGTGAAGAAGTCGAGCGTAACTTATCAACCCCCACCATCTCTCGGTCGTACTTGCATTCGGTCTTGGTCGCAGCCAGTGTACACTATCCAAGGTGCGTCGCGCACCTTCTGCTGTGCTGTCCTGTGGCTGACGGAGCACTTTTGCACGCTAGCAAAACTAATGCCTCATACCCGGCTCGTATAATGGCCTGCTATGTATTACTTAACTTGTCGCACCTTCCCCACCTTCATCTACCCTTCCATCGTCATCGCCCTCGCGCCTCCGCTCGCAGATAGTGCCGCGCTCGATGCGCGTGCTTGCGAGCCTACGAGGGCGCTCGCGGCGGACCTGTACATAGTGTACATAGTGGCTCGTGAGCGCTGTATCCGCTGCTGTTGCTTCGTCGCTTGGATTCGGCTTGTATTGCCCCTGCCTGTATTACACGCATACATGTACTGCCCCTTTGCTTCACTCGTTAGCGGACCTTTTGACAAGACGGAATACAATGGACTCCTGAAGTGATCAGATACGACGGGTGTGAGCATGGTTGAACATGCCAGTTGTCGTGATCCTTCCTAGTGTCCTGTGATGTATTGTTACACGATTACGCATGGTAAGCTATGTCCGAGTCGAGCCTTTTCTACAGATCAAGCATTAAGTGAACCCCAATTCGCATCTATACCACAAGAAACAGCGTAATCGCACCGGGGACAACCATCTTCAAGCCCCAGAGTCACACCTCCACCCCCGGCGCGTACTCGAACAGGTGCACCCGGCCATCAACCGTCCCGACCGCGACCCTGCCCTCCTCCTCGTCCAGCGCGAGCTTGTTCCACCCGTCGTCGTCCTCCTGCATATGGAATGTCATCGTCTGCGCGCGCTCCTCACCGTGCCACCTGTCCGGCTGCGCCCGCGCCCCCCGTACCATTCGTCGCTCACCCCATCCGCGCCCTCTCCCCTACCTCGCCTTCCTCCCCTACCGCACCCTCTCCCTCACCCGTCGCCCGCCCGCCGAGGGCCCCAGTGACTGGGAGGACCTTCCCCGCGACGCGCTGCCCGTGGTCGCCCGCCTGCGCGGGCCCGCCATCGTACGCCTGCGCGTCGAGCCAGAGCGCGGTCCCCCGCCGGCCGAGCACCATGTCCGACGGCGTGAAGAGCCGGATCGGTGACGGGATGCTGTGCGCCATCGTCGGCGCGCCGTCCGCGTGGAGGTACGGCGTCGCCGCGCTGGGGCCGGGCGGCAGAGGGGGGTGAGAGGGGGGGGCGGGGGAGAAGGCGGGTTGGGCGAGAGGACGTATGGTGGAGGATGTTGACGGGCCAGGGGAACCACGTGTCGAACCGGATGAGCACGTCGATCGACGGGAACGCCGCGTCCCCTCCCTCTCCTCCGCTCCTAGTCCACCCAGCAGCTCCCGCGTCGCAGGCGGGGAGCCGCGAGGCGACGACGAGGCTGTCGATGCGCCACTGCCACTTGTGCGACGCGAGCGGGTCGCACGCCGCCGGGGGCGCGTGGAGCGCGTTGTTCGGCGGGATCGTCGGGGGCACCGGGGGCAGCTCATACAGGTGTATCCACTGCCTGCAAAACGTGAGGACGTGCCGGGGCAAGAAGACCGCGCCCATGCAGCGCTGGTCCTACATCGTCATTCCCACCGTACCGCCTTGTCAGATAGTGGGAACAGCAAGAGGGGACGCGGACGTACCTCGTTGCGCAGCGTAGGGTCGTCGTGCTCGTGGGGGACGCGGAGCGCGGCGCGGACGCAGCCCGCCTCGACGTCAATCACGCGCACGATGTTGTCGGGCCCGCTCGCGGCGAAGACGCTGCCCTCGAGCGCGAGCGGGAAGCGAAAGCTCGCGAACTCCTGCAGCGGGAGGAACGGCGCGTGTGGGTCGCGCACGCTGAAGTCGATCGAGAAGATGCAGGTCGTGACGCTGCGGAGGCGGTCACATCAGAGGCGGCGTTGCGTAGTGAGAGAAATTGAGGTGGCGCACTCACGCGTCGCTGGGCCATCGCTGTGTGATGGCAAGGATGCCTGGATGGTTTGGGTCCGTGTTGACGTTCGCACCGGTGAGGTTCATGCACCGGAGTGTCGCGACGACCCTCGGCTCTCCCGTCCCCTCCCCGATGTCCCAGCATGCACGACATACTTGCGCGGCGCGGCGGGCTCGTCGTAGAACGTGATCGTCAGCAGATAGCGACCCTCGCGACCAGGGAGGTAGTGCACGGCGAGGTTACGCGCACGCGCTCCCGCTGGGATGCCGGGTGGGACCAGCTCGATCGAGCGCGTGCTGCGGGGATGGGCTGATGTCCAGTTGCGAAGGAGGGCGAGGGCGCGGAGGGTGAGCTTCTCGAGCTCAACGGCGGTAAGCGTGCTAAGGGGGCGCGCGTGCAGGCCGGGGAGGGGCAGGCCGCGGGCGAGAACATGGGCGTGGAGGGCATCGTGCCAGACGGTGCGGGAGCGGGTGAGGGCTTCGAGGGCTTTGCAGGACTGGCGGCAGGAAGCGAGTTAGTCTGGATGTGGGGCAGCAGGCGGGCACATACCTGACGAAGTGCGAGTATGCCGTATACCCCGAGGTGTCTGAGGACGAGGACGAGGATGTCGGTTGGGAGGGTCGCAAAGCTGAGTGCGACCATGTCTGGCAGCTACGACTCGGGGCTGCGAGATGGCTGGCAGTTCGGAAGGGCTGATTGTAGCAGGAGGGGATATGTATGGCCTGAGTACTTAAGAGCCGTTGGCGACCCGCCATGTCCTGCATCATGTCCAACAGCCAGCGCCAGCCACCGTTACTTATCGCCCTCTCCTCCGCCCTTCCGCTCCCCGCATGCCGCGACACGGTCACATGCTCTGTTCCACCACCCGCCGCGTCGCGTCGCTCCTTGCACCGTCGCGACATTGACCAGCTCGTAGAAGGCTCAGTCTACTCTGCGTGAGCTGCATTGCTGCTTAGGATTGGGATCAAGCGCATTGAACCGTTAGTGTCATTCTGGGTGACTCCTTCCCCGGAGAGCTCCCGGAACGCTCCAAACACTCCAACCGGCCGCCTTCAATCCGGCGTGCCTCCTTGACAGAAGCAAAGACATCAATTCCGTGCTTCATTATATCCTAGCGCACCTGAGCTGCGTACTCTGTTGCCATCTTCGACCACCGAAATAGGTTGTCCCCTTACCTCGAACAAATTAGTTCTCACACGATAGCTTGGCCGTACTTTGCGTGCTACGGCAAACTGTTGGTCAGAGACACCTTCTGCTCCTAAATTCCTCACTCGGGGTAGGATGATGAGCATGCCTAGGACCCTGTCCTCCACCCATATTTTCCGATCGTCTGCGGGACACAACGTAAGCCTCTCGTAGTACGCTGTCACCACACTCCATTTGACTCCAAGTCGTCACCAGGACCCTACTTACACGCCGTCTCCTCTCTTCTCCCTTACAGTAGATATCCGACGGGCGCGGCCGCACACATTCCATTCTACTGATTCAAGTCATATGTCAGCCAGTGGGTTTCTCTTCCAGTGTCAGGCACTGCCAACTTCTCCGTATGGGACGGGCCCGAAAAATAGTGGTCCCCCTGCGACTGCGGTACATTGAACGGTACCGCCTATGGCAGGTCAGTCAAAAGGGGGGTCGCTGGTACGGCGGCCGCGCTGTGCATGCTCGGTTGCACTGGGGCGATTGTATACCAATCGCGAGCGCTGGTGCAGCGGAGGTAGTGTGCGCAGACCACTCCTACTGCATGGCGAATCGAAGTCACCGCTACGCCCATTGAGTCCAGCCGTGCGCTGGTCGATGTACACCGCGTTCAAGACACAAGTCAGGACGGCGTGTCCATTTGAATAACTTCACCTCGCCGAGACATGTCTCCGGAATTTACACACGAATAGAGGACCAACCGTATCGGTGGAATAAGATCGATTAAAAAATGCAGCTGTACACAATATGCATCCGTCCAGAATCCCGAAAGCAGAAAGAAACGAAACTCAGTGACACTTCTGGGGCGTTACTAGGTAGCTTCCCGGGAGCGCGGCAGAGGCAGCAACCGCTCCCTCGGAGAACTACCCACCTTATGCCCTTCCCCTAACGCCGATACTGCCAAAGCATGGGAGACTCAGAGCGCGCAGCCCGTCCGGCGGACTCAGGCGCGTCGACGGCCATCCCGTCCCAGCCAGGCATCGCCATCCCGGGGTACACCACCCGCCACCTCGTCCCCTCCCCAAGCAACGGCGCCGGGGAGCCCGCATCTCGACGCCTCAGCCCTACCTCGGGGTGCGCACCACCACGACCGTGCGAGTGGTACTCCGCCGGGAGAAGGTCCATACGCGCGTTCGCACCGAAAGAAGTTACGGGGTCGAGGAACGCCGCAGGTGGGTCGTCTGCGAGTACTGCGTCCGCCTGCAGCGCGTCCATGGACGAGTATTCTACGAGACGCGTCGGCGTCGCGCCGCCCAGCGCGCCGGGCTTGTAGAGGCTCTGCACCGCCACGGGAACGTAGCAGAGCGGGTTCTTTCCCGCGGGTTGTCCGCGGAATGCGGACGGTGACGGGCGCCGGCCCTCCGCCAGCGCGACGGCCTCCTCGAGCTCGCCCATCGACGAGAACATGAGGAGATGCGGCGCGTACAGGAATGGCGGGTTCACCGTGCGCGAGGGCGGCTGCTGCGTGTTCACGAGTCGCCGGTAGGTCGCCGCGGGGACGGGGACGTACCGCGTCGACTCGCTCGAGGCTTCTGGTATCGCCTGCCAGAGTGGCGCGGGCGACGGGGAGAAGGAACTGGAGCTGGATCTGGAGAACGGGCTGTAGGGGGTGGGTAGGCGGTGGAGGGCAGGGTGGCGAAGTTGGGCTCTAGCGGCGGGGGCTGCGGTAGCCTGCTGTTGGCATGGTCTAGTGCACCACTGGACGCAGCGCTGGGTCGCGCCGTCGACGCCGGCGTCGACTTCGTGCGCGTCCTCGTCCCCACCCGCGCCTGCGCCACCGACTGCGCCTGCGTCTCCTCTCCCTTCCTCCTCGGCTGGTACTTGTACCCCGGATACATCCTCATGTGCTCGGCCTTCTTCTCCGCCGCCACCCCCTCATAGTGCGCGCGCCTCTCCGAGTCGAGGTCGTTCCACTCCTTCGCGACGCGCTTCGAGAGCTCCGTCTGGAGGAGCGGCGCCGCGTCCTTTGCAGAGCGCTGGTAGTGCCTGAAGCGGTCCGAGCGGAAGCACATGAACGAGTTGGGCGGGCGTGGGGGTTGCGAGGACATGTTATGGTATGTTCCGCGCTACAGGTACGGTGGGTGGCGTAGTCGGCGATGACGAGGAAACGGGCCTGAGGAGATAGGGGCTCTTCAGTGAGTGACAACATACCGTACCTGCACGCTTTTATGCACGCCCTGCCCCGTCGCTCGCACAGCGGTGCACAACACCCAACGCTTTGACAAGCCTCGCATGCCGGCGCCTATCGGCGCGGGGGATCGCCCACGCTTTGGCTGCCACCGAGAAGTCGTGCATCGAGGCAAAGCACAGATGCACGATCAACCAGATGCAACTCCGCGGCTGCGATTAGGACGAAGGAGGCAGGCAAGCGGACGTCTCGGCGGGAGGTGATTCGTTGGGTCGGCACGGGGTTTACGGGCGCAAGCTCCGTTGACAGCCTGCCGGACCTGGGAAACACAACGTCAGTGTCGGGTGCAACCAGAAAGCGGGAAAATCCCTGACGGGGTGGGGTAGATACACGATGCAATTTCGGATGAGTCCTGGTCCCTGTAAAGATGCTAAGTCGTGAGGCAGCGATCCACCAAGGAATAACCATGACACAGGTACGCCGAACCAAGGGCAGTCTCGAAACACGACGACAGTCGCACGTACAAGCCGCTCGTCTCACCATTGACGTGTTCCAAGAGATCGGTGGGAGCGAGAAGTGGGAGCGACGCGGATGAGTATAAGGCCATCGACGCCACTGATCCGCCTCCAACGCCCGACCCTGTCGTCACGGGCTGCACAACGTCGCGCGTCCGAGCATCGTGACCATCTCTGTGGCGCGCTGCGCAAGCCCTCGATGCACATCAATGAGCGCTAAATACACTTGTTGAGGATGATCCTCAGGTGCAGGTGTGCCTGGCCGGCCAGGTACGCAGTCAGAGACGAATCGAAACAATGCATACTTCAAGTTGACCTACCGACGCCGTACTGTGGTCTCTGATTGTGCAGTACAACAAGTGAGAGACAAGGCGCTGTGACCGATACGTGGACTGCAACAGCGGCGCAGGTCGGCGGGCGTCGGTAGGCGTGGCGTAACTCATGATAACAAACTCCAGCTTATTCGAGGCTGTCGGCGACCTACCTGTACAGACAACATGTTCAGGGCCAGCGTAGAACATCGGTAACGAGGAACTCACCATGTCTCAAATAAGTACCGCCACCCCATTGTGTAGGTACTTCGAACTCACACCGCAGTCAAGCGAGCCAGGCAGAATGTACGGGAAACCGATCCCGCAGGCTATCTACGTATTAGACACTAGTAAACAACAACAACTCCGTTGGAATCCATCGCCATCAGTATGTCAGAATAAGTTACAAACCTCAGCTTCGTCCACCGACGCCAGACCTAGTCCTCGTCTCCGATGACGTGTATTGGTTCAGTCTCCACCTCGTCCGCACCCGGCACAGGCGCATACCACTTCGAGGTCGGCGTAGTCAGCTCGATGGCGTTCTCCTTAACTGACGAGGCCGCGTTGCGCCCGCTCGTTGAGTAGAGGTTGATCAGGACGACGATGAGCGTGTAGAGGATGAACGCAATGCTGTAGGATAGGCGCAAGATGAATGGGGGCTGAGCGACAGATGGGAAGGTGAGGAACATACCTCAACATGATGAGCACGTAAGTGACGTGGTCCATGCCCTCGTCGTGCACGAAGTCGAGTTCCTCGTCCGTGGCAGACATGAAAAGTAGACTATGTGATCGTCAATGAAATACTGCAAGTCCTCATGATGTTCAGCCTACCCTGCACAGACGAGCAGCTATACCAGGCCCCAATCAGCGTCTACAATATCAACTACGATCGCAGTATATACGCACGAATGAGGGCAAATGCCTGAACGCACGTCCAGCAGACGCTGCAGTGGGCCCCTCGTCCCTGCCACCTTCCGCGAGTGTATGCTCGCTATGACTGTCGCCTTCCTCCAGCGGCGCATACTTTGGCACAACAAAGCAAACTTCGATGATCCGGGCGAGACCAGCCAGCATCAAGGTGTATCCAAAGACCGAGTGCACCTGGGTAATTTCCTGGTCAGCAAGACAGATGGCATTTTTGAGTGATAACGTACCTTCGTGGAGAGCATCAGTGCCTGTGCGTGTTGCGACATCGCCCAACCAGTCAGTATGATGCTGAGACTAGCGTCAGCGACGAAGTCGGAATGGGGAGCATTGAGGGCTTACATCAAGGAAGGCACGACAGAACGCTGGTTGTATCGCGTCAGCAGATAATTAGTCGTATATTAGTAGCATACAAACTTGGTTGTTCCGCGATAGGAAGATGCCCAGAGCGCCTCCTGTCCACCCTATACGAAGAGAGCGAGTCAATAACGCACAAACTACTCCGGACTAGAATCCTTTCGTACAGAGTACACCTAGAATGCTGAATAGGCTTGAACATACTGCGCGCTCTGCTGTCAGCGAGACCGACTCACGTATGCTGCATATCCTTCACCGACCACCCCGAGCCATGGTGTTCCGTGAATGTGTTGACTGCGCACTATGTCAGCCTCGTTATCGCTTCCGGCTAATGGACACCCACCGATACCCTGCAGGCATCAGTCAGCGAAGTCGATGTCCGTGAACTGCAGAAGACGTACCCAGAGCGTGATAACCCAAGAATCCCACCACTCGGGACTGCGCCCGCTCCGTCTGATCCACGTCTCTCCGACGAGCAGTAGAATGGCGAGGATGATTCCGTACGCGATGAAGCCGCTTCCCTGTGACCGTACATTGTTTGACAGCACACTGGGTGCAGAAGGCAATGTAACATACCATGATGTAGTGTGCGAGGCACTGCCCAAGGTGCCCGCCACGACAGTATCCTCGGACGGTGATCGCGCCAAAGAGCATCTGCGTCCAGCCGATTACGGGGTAGGCCTTACCCACAATACCGTGTGCAACAACTGCGTATGGGCGCAGAGTTCGCTCATGGATATGAAGCTTGAGGTAGATTCCGAGAGCGAGCTGAAGCGCGATGGGGATGAGCATGATGTTGGCCATGGTTCCATGTACGCCGGCTAGGAAGGCACGCCCGCCATGCGCATGGCCTAAGATGTAGCCCCCTATGGTCAGGAGGAAGCCCACGCTCTAGGGAACAAATTAGTAGGAGGTCTATACGACGCACACTGAGAGACGGTTGACTGGGAGCTCACTTGCAGAGGAACATGCCAACGACTGCGCGAGAGCCCGAGTACCATACCCGTCGGGAACAGAACACCCCAGACGAGTGTCTGCACACATATATGGAGCCAGAGGATTGTATCAATTGGTGCATTCGACTGCTCCTCCGTGAGTTCGTCGTGGTGTTCATGAGCAAGTACAGGCAAAACCAGTGCGAGCAGCCAGATAGGCAGAGACGTCATAGTAGCCGGCCGAGCCATTAATTGCGTTCCACAGAAGGCCTGAGCGGAAGGTATGCAGACTTGGCCGTTGTGGAATGGACGACCAGGCGGCCGCTGCGTTGGCTCTGAACGTTTCTGAACAAGTGCGGTCTGAATAATGTCAAGCCTCAGGCTAGTCCGAGTCTGGCCGCTGGATGGTCTCACAGTCGCTCCGCCGTAACACACGTGATACACGTGACGATGACAGACAAATGGACCCCTCCTCCTCAGACTCGATACTCACCATCGGTATCACCCAATGTTCAGTCATACGCAGGACCCAGCGCTCAGCCACGTAATAGATCTTGTTTGTTCGCGAGTAGGCTCTACACAGTGACGACCATACATAGTACATACCAGTCGAAACTAAATAACAGTTGATGCTGCGGTCACAAAGTCCATGACCCGCTTCCTATGAGCCCCTTGATAGCCGACGAAGGCAAAATTCATACACCGGTCCATCCGAACTTTTTCCTGTGTAGGACCACTTTGCAATAGTCCTGTAGACGATCCTAGATCCATTAGCTAGGGCTGTCGACGACTCAAAGCTGCAGTAACTTGTAAGACGTACACGAAATTGAAAATGCTTCGCACAGTCCCTATTTCTTTGCATACTTTGAGAGGCGACCATTGCGGAGGCACCATATCTCCGAACTCTGCCAGAAACTCGTGGAGGTTGGACACGTAGAGAGGCTCGTCGAGCCTTTGGCAAAGGACAGCATCGGCAAATCACAATAACGGGTTAAAAATGGGATATGGACGTACAGGGCCTCTATGAATTGCATCTGAACGTTCCAGACAGTCACACCACGTAGCTGCTGGATCCAAATTTGAGGGAAGTACAGCATGAACTCAAAGTGTAGTTGCGCAACCGGAGGAAACGTCGCATAGCTGCGCGCCACGATGGGGTGACGGTCGATGCGACATGTTCTGGGTGTGGCCACGCTCGGTATGGAGGACACCGGATGCAGGTGCGCGTTCTCCACCTCATGCCGGATGCCCCCTCGAACTTCGAAGTGGATATAATCGAGCGCTGTTTGAGCAGACGCCGTGCGCCAGCCTTCATGGGGTCTAAGGCTTAGCCGGCCATTTTCCATCCCTGGAGCATCAAGTCCAACACTCCGCATGGCTTCGACTGCATATATGCGCCGTTCATGAGTGAAAGAGGGTGTGAGTCGATTCCAGACTCACCATTGCTATCCAGTCGCGCTTGGCCGCATTGCGGATGTTTGCAGAAGCCATCGACCTCGATGGTGTGAACAGCAATATTAGTCCACTCGTCATCCATATCGTTGCTCTCTTCAAATGACAGGCCTAGTCCATTGAGCCAGCACGCTCGTTTGAACAGTGCATTGCGCTCCGCCGTAGAGCCATAGAGCTCAGCAAATTGAGGGCAAGCAGTGTAGAAACAGACATGTGTACGGATGTCATGCTCGGCGATGTTCTCCTTGATCATCAATAATAATTCGAGAGCTAGGCGGTACTGGATGGCTGCATGGGGCCCGCTGCATGTAGTCGGAGGAGACATTCAAGATGGATGGCAGACTGCAGCAGCAGCGAGCCCAAGGTGAAGTATATATACCAAACCATGCACGTGTGACTGTCCACAGCACTCGCTGCCAGGCGATTCCAACTTCTGACGCCGAGCATACGGGGCTAAGAATCTGAGTTGTGAACAATTCACGGGATAGAGACCCTGAACTGTCAGAAGGAACCATTAAGGCCAAATGAAATGGCCGAACGCAAGAGTAAAATGCACAGACTCCGCTATGTACATTAGCCTCAGCAGCGCGGCGCGCGACATGAAGAATAACTTAGATAGTAGCGCTTGGAACGCACCAAGAACGCACACTGTTTTGCGGGCTAGGTAGTACGTGCGCCGCCGCATCAAACATATCTATTCTACAGGACCGTAGATATCATCTCGATTGGAATTGGATAGTATATAGCCATGTCCTCAGACTCTACGTGCAAGCAGCATACGGATCATGATGATCCAGGGGACTCTGCGCATCATGTCAGGTCTAGTCCGAGTCAAGCACCCAAGGACATCCTCCTCTCCAACGCGCGCCTTGCCTCTTCGCCTGGATCACACTTCGCCAGCTTGTCATAATCATACCATACAAGCATCGAGTCACATTCCGTCACTATCTTCCGCTGCGCATACGACCACACGGCACCCGCCAAGTGAAAGTGTGTCCTAGGTAAGCGTCTTGACGAATCCGAGCCTAGGCGGTGCGGCTTGTGAGCGACGAGCAGCGTGTCGGGGTAGACGACGGGTCGTTTGTAGTCGATGGAGATGGACTTGAGGATGAGCGAGATGCCCCGCCCGGCGAGCATGTCCGCCGCGCGCTGTGGGCCGCCGATCTCATGTGCGAGGGAGACCATCCACTCGATGCGTGACGACTCGAAGAAACGTACTTCGCATGCAGCATGTTAGCAGCCAGTTCTGTCTTCCTCCTTGAGAGACGCACCATAACGGACGTTGTTTACATGCCTGCAAAATCGCTCGTTACACTGTGTGGACACGAAACTAGACACGCACTCACTGAAAAGCATCATGGTCCCCCCATACAACCTTCTGCTCCCAGAAGCTGGTCGGGTCATATCCCAACTCAGACAGCTGCGCGCGTGCTTCCTCCTCCGGAGAGACAGTCTTCGCCTCCGCCTTCGTGTGCAGGTGCTCTGCTAGCAGTTCAGGCGACGGATCAGGCGACGCGGGCCCTGTCGTGCCAGGAGCGATGTGATACGGCGAATTCGGATCGCGGAAGGCATCTTGTAGAGCCTACTGTACGGGGCTCGCTAGTCAGGATGAGGCGATGTGCTTGCAGGCAGCTGGGTGGACAATGTTCAAGGCTCATACGTACTCGGATAGACGACGAATGCCGTAAATGAACAGAAGTATGCCTAGAGTGTTCAGGGAGACGCAGAGCTTGGGGCCTGAAGCGCTGTCCGACCGTCACGGCGTGTCTCAATGGCAGTAGCATCGATAGAATGGAGGAACTCAGATGGACGGTGGACTGTGGCCAAGGATGGTACGATTGGACTGTACGTCGGCACAAGCAACTCGAAGCAAGAGAGACAGCCGGGTTGTCGGAAGTAGATGGACATCCGACAATGACAAGGATGACTGTTGAAAAGAACAAAATAAATATTGAGACCCGTAGGTCTACCACTCCGGGAAAGCGTGTCATCCTTGTGCAGGGGCCATGCTAATCTTCTCTGTATCGTTCCAATTTTTTCGTATGTCACCCCGAAGGGGACAAAGTAAGTAGCGCGCTATGAAGGGCACCAGCGGGAGGTTTGCATTTTGTTCAACCCGCGGATAGTCACGGGATGTCAAAACAGCCCAACCACAAATCGCCCGCCGGTACATATGTACTCGTTCCGTCTCGGATGTATAGGCGGACAAGTGATCACAAGCTGTACTGTAGATGTGTATTTTGAGTCTTCCATTGTTTCGCAGATTGTTAATGAAGCCCTCGAGGTGTTCAGATGTAAATTTTGCACTAGGGTCGCCCCCACTGCGTACCATTGCTGTCAACTAACACCCCATTTCGACCCCGTTATACGGCCCGTCGTGGTCCGACTCATCGCCGTCCCAGAGCTCCGGTACGTCCCCAACGATGCACTCTGTGCTCGGGTTATCCTGGCCGGGACACGCCGCCCACTCGCCCGAGTCCTCGATGTGCACCTCCCCAGACGGGTGCACGAAGCCGAGGAACATGCCCGGCAGGATCGGTACCGGGTCTTCCTCATTGTTGATGTGCGTGACGGAGGTCGACTGGGCGTCGACGTAGTCCGCGAAGGCTTGGTTCCCGACCCGGGGCAGGCCGTACCCGACGAAGGTGAAGGTCGCGTCGGAGATGTGGAGCGGGAGGTAGACGGCGTCGAGGAGGGAGATCGCAGCGCCTGTGATGCGCGAGGTTTGTATGAATTAGCTAGAGTGGGCGTGAGGATGCGTACCTAGTGAATGTCCAACGATTGTGACCTTGCTCGCGCTGTACTTCGACATGGTGGTCTGTACGGCGGACAGGACGTCCGTCGCGGCCCTGTACGCAATAGTTGACTTACGTCTTCATAAACATAGAAGTGCACGTACTGGGTCTGTGCGTCTGCAAAGCCCGAGTGGACCTCAATATCCGAAGACAGTCCGGGGAAGAGGGTCGAGTCGAGCGTGGTCATGACAATGTCCGCATCCGTTATGAGCGGTAGGCTATACAACACATACCGTCAGTCAGTGTAACATTACACGTAGAACAATGACGCACGTACATGTCGTCCACGTCCGTGCCCTGGTGCGACACAATCACGCTGTCCAGCGACGGGTCGTAGCCAACGAACCCTTGTAAGCACACATCAGCCTCCATGCCCACGTCCACAAAGCCGATCCCCGACCATCCACTCACAATACTGCGTCGTATCCCCGTCCCCTCCCGACGCAACCGGCTCAAAATCCGCGTTCGCCTCGCAGTCCGAGCCGCAATCCCAAGCGAGCGTCGCCGCCGGCGCACAGTACCCCGCGCTCGCATACCACGTATACGGCGTGAACGTGTCGATCTGCGCCGTCGAGAGCGCGGTGATCGACTGGCGTGCGCGCAGGCCGGGGGCGGGCTTGGCGGACGCGGTGAGCGCGGTGTACAGGAGCGCGGCGCTGAACGCGAGGGCGTGCATGGCTCAGTGCCGCTCAAGGTTCGAGGGAATGCGAAGGCTGCAGACCGTGGAACGGTGTGCGAGCCCTGTTAGGGGGCCGATCCGGCCGGATTATATAGGGGACATAATAGAGGATGAGCTAAGGAAGGGGCCTGTGCGAGCCCGTTAGCCAAGTTCGACTTTGGGGCCATATGGATCTACCTTCGAGGAAGCATTGTGGAAAATCCTGGTGTACGAACGTTCCGCAGTGATGACTGCTATGTAAAGCGCGCCTCGTGAGCCCTCTGTGCCCCTCTGCCGCGCAGGTGACACGTTCGTTGGAATCAGTCGAATAGGAATGCTGATAAATACCGGCGTACCTGGCTGTCGACGTCGATCGAGCAAGCTTCGACCCCTCGATGCTCCGATGATGCCAGAGCCGTGTGAGAAAACATATCCTGTTGTACCTTTATCAGCGTCCTACAATACTGGCTGTGAGTCGTCAGTGAGGGTTGCAGGGATCTGTGTATAGGTTTAGCAACGTGCTATTGTAGGCGCACATAATCGTCGGGATTAGAGGCTTTGCGGTGATGGCATCTGACCATTCCGCAGTCTACGAAAGCGTCCTCCTGTGGTCTGACGCGGACGCCTGAACTGGTTATTCATGAGAACAGCCGCTTGGGAAGAGCGGCAGACCCACGAGAGCTAAGTAATTACGAGATCCTCAGCATGGTCATGACGGCAGTGGAAGGACACGGCAACAAGGGGTGCGCCGTCTTGACTCCCTCTATCAAACGTCTGAGACCGTACAGCACGGGATGCAGTCAACTAGTGTGAATGCGAAGGAGAACGTAAGGTACGTACAAAGGTCCGTCAATATAATGCAGCCCATACGGACTGTCAAGAACATTGACAGGAGTTGACACCCTTCATCCTATTGAATGGTGCAACTGGGAGAGAGTGCTGGATATATGCCGTACATCATTCTCAGTGGTCGACAGTATCAAGGTACCTGCCAGACATCAGCATCGTGAAAGAGGGCTGGAAGCGTGACCGGAGGCGTCAAGTTGAGGATCTCGACCCACTCTATGTATGGCTACGTGAATCTCGTTTCGAGCAGATGATTATCTCCACCACAGCAGGATGGTCAGAAGAAGATGAATGCACCTATTGGCGCGTACTGCCGCAGCATTGCCTAGATGTTGATGTTCCGCGCAGCTTTACTGCTTTGATGCGGACCGGAGTGAAGTCGAGAGGTGTGTTATTCCTGGGGAGCGGAGTACGCCACGACAAACGAGAACGAACATGTAGGCGGATCGCACATACTGTCTAGTGAGTCACCCCACCAGAACAGCTCTTCCACGCTCTCGGTCAATGATCCGGATCCCGTCCTGTAGGCCATCGTTGAGCTGGCAGATGGGAGCTACCTGCTACGCTTGTTGTCTGTCCGTATGTCTTGGTGTAGCCGGACTGCCTTCCCCGAAGATATCTAAGGGAACGGCGGTGGATCCCACATATTGCATTACCTGTACGCATGTGTCAGTCCGATGGTACATAGGGCAACCCGAGTCACTGATGATAAGTACGCACTGCTACCGCACAACCGCTTCAAACGTTGCAACCCGTCGTTGTAGCATCCGGCATCATATATCAATCTTTGACAAGCACTTGAACCTCAAGCACGCCACCCCAGGCCTACCTGAACACCGTGAAAGGGCGGAGCGGGGCGTACATACGGGACACTGATCGACGTACGCGACCGCGGCGGACCCCATGCCAATGGCACGCCTGAACTGGTGCAGCACACATCGCCCGATGCTTGTCTGTAATCTGCTGGGAGACTTGCGACGGAGAAGAGGGCCAGCGAGTCCGACTGGAAGGAAGCGTAGGTGAGCGGTTGGAGGAAGAAGGGGAGCGGGTGGTCGGACGGCAGAGCCACATGGGCGATCGCATCTTAATCTCAGCGATGATCGACTGCTTGCCAGAACACCGCCTGTCCGTCCCGACAAGCACAAGCTGAGCACACGTCCCGCTTGGCCCACACTGCTTGCGGGTGGTTCAACGATTCTGACCATGCATCTTCTTCCTTGACCATCTGTCGACGGCGCATAGCCGGGGTACATAACACCAGCTGCCAGTTATTGTCTCGTCCCCCGGCTTCATCCTCCTCCCCCGTCTCTGGCCCGGCTCTATCTGGTATCGAGTCGCCATGCCCTTCCTTACGCTCGCCCTCGCGCTCCTGGCCGCGCTCCTGGCCGCGCTCCCTGCCAGTCAGGCCCGCCCCGTCCACTATCCCCGCGCGTCGATCAGCACGCTCAGCACGACCCAGATATCCTCGTTCAAGCCGTACTCCTTCTACGCCAGTGCAGGGTACTGCTCTGCCGCGAGAACCTTGGCGTGGAACTGCGGGGCGAACTGCCAGGGCAACCCGAGTTTCGTTCCAACAGCCTCGGGAGGGAATGGGGACACCGACCAGTTCTGTGAGTGCCGCGCGATGTTCATACCGGAGACATGGGCTGGTATGGGAGCGTCTCGTATACTAGAGATGTTTTGCTACGTCGATGTGGTCGGACGACCTCATTTTTGGTTCAAATGCTGTCTCAAATCGTGACCAATGCGACAAGATTCGCGGCCGTCTCACAGGTCATCTTGAAAGATTGATTTGAATCCGACGCATTCGCCGCAAATGCGGTCTCGCTGGTCACTGTTTGAGATTGCATTTCGGCCTCAGTGGGGGTGTTTTGCTAATCATTATCATCGGTGAAGTTGCGCTCAAACACCCTCGTGAATTTGCGCGTTTGGTATGTATTCTCCCAGGCTCCACCCATAATCATGACCACGTCTCCGGTGTCGGGAAGTACAGTGTGCTAACCGAAAAGTACAGGGTTTGTGGGCTACGACCCGGCGCTGGACACGGTCATCGTCTCGCATCAGGGCACAGATCCAGAGGAGATGTGAGCTTTCCCTTCCTCTCTGCCTCCCGCCTTCCTCTCACGACGCGAACGCGCAGACTGCCCCTCATCGAAGACGCAGAGTTCGCCAAGGAATCGCTCAACTCTACCTTGTTCCCCGAAATCAACTCCTCGATCAGCGTACACTCCGGGTTCGCAGACGCCCAGGCCAAGTGAGTCGATCTGTCCGCTCTGTGGTAGCATCGCAGCTTGCTGAGATCCGGGATGCCGATAGGTCCGCGACGCAGGTCCTTGCGGCGGTGCAGACGACGATGTTAAACCACAGCACGAGCAAGGTGATGGTCGTGGGACACTCCCTCGGTATGTCCGTCCGCACTCGATCACTCGTACCTATATCTAACAAACCTCCCCGCCCCCAGGCGCCGCGATCTCCCTGCTCGACACCGTCTATCTCCACCACCAGCTCCCCTCCGCGACGCTGAGCTTCGTCGGATACGGCCTCCCGCGCGTGGGCAACCAGGCCTTCGCGGACTACGTCGACGCGCTCGGGGTGAGCGTCACGCACATCAACAACAAGGAGGACTTCGTCCCGATCCTGCCGGGCAGGTTCCTCGGCTTTGCCCACCCCTCGGGCGAGGTGCACATCACGGACGCGGGCGCGTGGGAGGCGTGCCCCGGCCAGGACAACCCGAGCACGGAGTGCATCGTCGGCGACGTGTCGTCGGTATTCAGTGGCAAGGAGGCGGACCATGATGGCCCGTATGACGGCGTCAAGATGGGGTGCTCAAGCTGAGCTCGATCGACGGCTGACGACTTGATGAAGATAGAAACGATGCGCGTGTACGCGGTGTGCGTACATGCCAGTGGACGACATGTATCTTGGTTTTTCTGGGATTTGGTGTTCGGTATACCTTCGTTGTGTCATGTTGTATTCCAGTCAGATACCTCAGGACGTTTTTGTTATCAATTATTTGCCCGAAACCAAACGATGCAGGGCGTCCCTGCGCGTCGCGAACGGTCGTGACATGTGTAGAGGCGAGCGAGTCGGAAGTAGAACTGAACATAGCGTGATCAACAGTCGAGGACAGATTTCACTGACGCGACGGTGGCGACAGATGTTCTATACGCCCACTGGCACCGCTCTGATTAGCTAGTGTTGTCCGTCGTGTACCCCTATTTCGGTCCCTGATATGGACCAAGACACAAGATTCCATTGCGGTCTACCGGCGTACTGTATCGTAAGTTCCTACAAAGCACCAGGTTTCATGGATTTCTTGCGTGCAAGAACCTCGCGATGCAGTGCTGATGGCATACCTGTCTGAAATTGTTGATACACGAACGCGTCTCTATGTACATACGAACTTCGCGAACAGGGCGATAGATGTGGTGCACCCACCCATTCCAGCGCCACCAAATCAGTGTCTGCTGTTATCTGCGCGCGTCTTGAAAGTAAGTGCTTAGTATGCTCGAACGAACGATATAACCCCGGATGAGCGAAATATATGCCGCCCTCGATGCTCGCTTCGCGGATGCTGGCGTTGACAATACCTCGTCGATACTGCTTCTCTCGTCTGTCCAGCTGCCAGACGACTGAGTGAGCTACGAGCACAGCTATAAGCACGTGCGAGGAGGCAAGGGCACTGACACCTGTGATGTTCGGGTTCAGGCGACCGTCAACGAGATATCCACTATGCCGCGGACAGACCACGGCTGGAACAAGCTCCGGAACATGGCGCCGACCTTGCCGTCAAACTCGTCCACTTCCAGCTTCCTCCCCTCGTGCCAAGCGTACAAGACACGAACCGACACCTTGACGCCCTTCAGCATATCAAAGTATGGTTGACCCATGGTCCCGTGTAGATCCCGCAGATCGGGGTCCCCGGCTACGTCCTGGGGCTGAGGGCCCATGTGTGCACTCCCATAAAACGGGAGCTCAGTCTTGATGCTGACTTGCTCGAGCTGGTGGCTCCGGACAGTCGAGAAGACACTGCGCAGTTCGCGCGCGAGTCTAGATCTCAACCAGCTGTCGACCGACTTGCCGGTGCCCTGGATGACACCGCCGTGCAAGCTGAAGTCGAGAAACCGCAAGGCGGTGCTTGGTATGAGAGTGCCGTGGCATCCTGTGTCGTGCAGGAGGTCAGTGATGAAGCTAGAGCGAGATAGACAGAGGCACTTCACTGGATGGGAATTTGTCCTCAAAGTAGTGAATCAACGATGGTCCAGCCGCCTCGAGGAGCAGGGTGAGTGGCAGGCGCCGTGAGCCTGCCGCCCAGACCATCAAATGTTCAAGGGAGTTGCAGATCCCTGAGCGCACGATCCACTCGATGATAGTCTTGTATTCTTCCGCCTCGTGGCTCGTATCCAGTGTAATCTGAAGAAGCTGAAGCCGTATATTGGTCCACGACTGAAGATGGATGACTCCGGTGTGGTTGGATGAACCCTGATCAGCTATGATCCAACCTTCGAGACTGAGGTGTTTGAGCTGTGGGAAGGCACATATTATCCGCCCCAGCTGACAGAGGCTGTTCAGCTTGCAGAAAGACAAGTGCAGCGATTTGAGGGATGTGAAATGCGGCAGCGCTCGAAAGAACTCAGGGCGCATGAAGCGGTGCAATCCCTGGATCGTAAAGGCTTGCACATCGGGTATGGCATTGCCGAGTGCAAGGAGCAGTGCGCCAAGAAAGCCGCCGTGGTTACTTTGACTTCCTTGCTTTGGAAATATGCTGGGGTCGTGCTGTGACCCTGCACACGATTCTGAGATGTCCAGTTCGCGAGTGGTTGCGAGCCAGCTCCTGACGCGCGGAGACACGCGAGCCTGCTTGAAGAGCATCTCGAACCTCGAGCGGTCGTGGATCTTGACGGTGCGATAGAGGTTGTGCATGGCTCTGGAGTGCCATGCTGCGCATATCAAAACCGCGACGGCCAAGGTGGGCGCATCCATCCTGTCGATGATCATCTCGAAGACCTCAAGCGGGATGCGAGCGGAGAGGGCTGGCCGAAGGGTGCTTGGTGGAAAGGCGTAATATTGTCGTTCATCAACACTCCATATGACAGCTTCTGTGTACGGTGTATCCTCATATGGAGGGGGAGAGTCCTACACGGATGCGTCAACGTCAGTGGTTGAGCGCTTGAGCTCTCGCACTGGGCACTTGGACGAACAGTGGAGGAAAGCAAACCTTGCTCTCTGGCGTCAATGAGGGCATTACTTCAAGTTACTAACGGCTCTGGCGCGCGCGCCGCGAGGTGCAATCGTCTGGGCTTGAACGCAGGTAAAGCGTGGGTGCAGATGCGGCAAGAAGGACGGTGGAGGCTGTGTCTGTTGCCGCAGTGTGAGGTCTGTATCAGAGGACGCTCACTTCATAAACGCGCGACGCTTGTTTGTTCTCAGTTTGCAACCTCCTGGCGCGAATCTGCTATGTATAAGTAAAGAACTTGTTTACGAGCACCTTTTCCACCACGTTATTCGGCTGAGAAAACAGCGTCTAAAGAAGAAGCACAAGCTGCGGGAGCAATCGCCTGGGCCGTACAAAACAAATGGCCTGAACCTTGGGGTGATAAATCGGGTCTATTCCTCCATACCCGCGCTGGATATCAGCGAACGTGCGGCCTTGCACAAGCGTCCAGCACCAGCGTCTCCTATACGAAACCCGGACACGGAGCATATGCAGCCTCAGGAAAGAAATAGTCTGATCGAGCCACATCGGTGCTCGTAGCCCTTCTCGTTGATCGTACCGTCCGCATCTCACATGTGCGAAGCTATGTATAGCGACTTCCGAGGCTGCATTCACACAGCGCCATCCCGAGAGCGCGACCATGTCAGCCACCTCCGGCTTCGCTGCATATGGTTCCGCCAGCCGTTCCATTCCCCGCTCCCAGGCTCAGGCGACGACCACAATCCGGCGGCCCGCCAACACTGCACCGCCCGGCATATAAGCTCGGTGAGAGGGCTACTTCGACTGCACGCATCCATCACCGGCGTCCCTGGGCCTCGAGCAGTCATGCCTGCCTTCGCCTTCGGCGTAGCTCTGTTGGCTTCACTGTCCGTCGTGCAGGCGAAGCTAGTCCCTGGGCTGCGAGTGCGACAGTCCATCACCGCGCTCACCTCAGCGCAGATCGCAGCCTTCACGCCGTATACATGGTACGCTAGTGCCGGATACTGCTCTGCGTCGGAAACGCTGTCCTGGAGTTGCGGCAGCAACTGCGAGGCTAACCCCAATTTCGAACCGGTCGCCTCCGGAGGAAACGGCGACACCACGCAGTATTGTGAGGATGCTTGTGGTTTTCGAGAATCTCGGAGGCTGACAGGTTGCCAGGGTTCGTGGGCTATGACCCAACACTGGATACAGTCGTCGTGTCACACCAAGGAACGGATCCGGAGGATATGTAAGTGGCTGTGTTGGTACATTATCCGCGTATTAATCTCACCTTCACATCAGTCTGCCTTTGTTGACGGATGGTGACGCCGTCCTCACCAACTTGAATTCGAGTCTCTTCCCAGGAGTATCTTCGGACATTGAAGTGCATCAGGGCTTCGCTGATTCACAGTCGAGGTGAGCAGGGAGATTGCGGAGGGAGGCATGCGCTGAACAGTGTTGCAGCACCGCGTCCGATGTCCTGTCGGCGGTCCAGACTACAATGTCCAAGTACAGCACGAACAACATCGCGATTGTAGGACACTCACTAGGTGAACGACCTCACGCGCTGCATAATGGGTATAGCTCGCTCACCTATGTTCTCCAGGAGCCGCGATATCCCTGCTGGACGCCGTCTACCTTCCGTTGTACATCCCCGGCGCAACGTACACTTATATCGGATACGGCCTGCCCCGCGTCGGGAATCAGGCCTTCGCGAACTACATCGACGCCCTGTCAACATCAGTAACGCACATCAACAACGAGGAAGATCCCATCCCCATCTGCCCGGGCATGTCGCTAGGCTACGTGCACCCGTCCGGTGAGGTGCACATCCAGGACTCCGGCGAGTGGGCGGCGTGTCCTGGGCAGGACAATCCGAGTACGCAGTGCATCGTTGGCGACGTTCCATCTATTCTTGACGGCGATGAGTCGGACCATGATGGACCGTACAACGGGATTACTATGGGTTGCTAGTCGCGACGAGGGAACGCGACCTCCACTCCTTATTGATATTTCTATGTGTTCTGGGTTTGCATATGGTTTTGGATTGAGACCTCGGAATACCTGTAGCGATATTCGCAATGAATTGAATTGTGACATGTTGGTCTGTGAACGTTTGAATAGTCATTGTCGCCAGCTGGAGCAGACATCCTGTATGGTTGAGTGAAAATCGCAGTGGGGACAAGTGCTGGTGTCCGAAGTGGTGGGCTCGGCATGCGCCTCTTCGACGCGAACTGTGGGAAGCATCTCGTGACGATTCGCGTTTTGTCCAAGATGCAAGACTGCGTCCTGTGTCCTATCAGTCAGTCTACAACAGATGTCCCCTTCGGGGTGACATACGAAAAAATTGGAACGATACAGAGAAGATTAGCATGGCCCCTGCACAAGGATGACACGCTTTCCCGGAGTGGTAGACCTACGGGTCTCAATATTTATTTTTGACGATCCTTCTTCGCGGGCGCTTCCCACACGCAAGCGCACAAAATACGCGACGCAACGCGCCGTCTTGCAATGACAAATGGAGGTCGTTCCCTTACATGCCGGCCAGTCCAAGTCTGTGATCATCCTCTGATCCATTGTGCCTTGTTGTAAGTTATATACTGACCAGTACTCTGCTAGGAACGGCCTAATTAACAGCCAACCATGAGGATATCCAAGCCGATGTAGGTTCCACTCCAATGCCCAGAACCTTCTCCGGCGAGTCCCCGATCGAGCTTCAACTCATGTTCATTTCATCTTTCCTCCTTCCCCACACACCGCCATGTCTAGTACAGCCAACGTGTTTGTCGTGTCTCCGGATACACGATCAGAGCGGCGATTTGATCTCCATCTCACCGTGCAGCAACTCAAGGTGCGTAGTGTGTTCGACTGCAGTGGAGCAGTGGCTCAATGTTGCAGCAGAACAAGCTTGAGTTGATCACCGGTGTACCGGTGCAGAACCAGGCGATCTCGGTGTTCAATACTGAGGGCGATACTGCACCTGCTGCGGTGCTGAACGATGATAGCAAGCCACTCGGGTTCTACGGCGTGAAGGATCTGCAGATCTTCCAAGTGAGTTCATTCATGAATCAGGCTATGGCATGTCTGACGGCTTGAACAGGTATCGGACCTCAACCCGTCTACGTCGTTCACCGGCCAACTGAGTGATGTCTCGCAAGTGGAGAAGTTCGAGCTGAGCGAGGGCGAGTACGCGCAACGCCAAGGTAGGTACAACGTCCGTGCTAGCCTACGAGCGTCTCCTCATGGTGATGATGTCAGACACTGTCCTTGCGTACAAGCAACAGCACAAGATCGGCAGATTCGCAGAGAAGAAGGACGAGGAGGAAGAGGAAGGGGCTATCCCGGCGGACGTCAAAGTCGGTGCACGGTGTGAAGTGGAGACGCATGTGGACGGGCTTCACAAGCGTGGCACGGTGCGCTTTGTGGGCCCCACCAAGTTCGCGAAGGGTGCATGGGTCGGAATTGAGTATGACGAGCCGATGGGCAAGAACGACGGATCGTAAGTGCTAAAGCGGCTGAATATCTTGTGCCTTGTGTTCTCATCGGTCGATCTATAGCGTGAAGGGCGAACAGTACTTCCAGTGCAAGCCTAACTACGGAGTCTTTGTGAAGTCCGAGAGAGTGAAGATCGGGGACTTCCCTGTCGAGGAAATCAATTTCGACGACGAAGAGATGTAAAGGCGGTGAAGGCGAATGTAACGATTCTAACGAAGGTGTTCGTTCCTCGGCTCACAGAGCTCGCTCGACCAACGCTTGCAGTGCTTAGTCTGACCATGTATTTGATAGTAATGCATATACCCATGTGCTGTCGCCAGCTTCTTCTCGAGGCGGTGAGCTCTGCACGCTGCGGTACCCACAATACAAGTACTATATATCATCATGCTTCGCGTTTAGACATGGCGCCACTACAGATCAGTCAAGACTTTTGTAGCAGCTTAATCACAATCTCGCTCGCGGTATACTCTGTTCGGCCGGATAATGTACGAAGGGGCTGTAGATTGCTGCGATCCTGCTATGCACGCTCTTAAGGACCACTGACACGCTATCAAGGACCACCGGGCCACTGAGACGTTTCCTTTACAGATGCTTTGCGTGCAAACTGCTTGCACCACAGCCTGACACGCATTTCATACTGCGCGAAATGCTTACGCGTCTGTAGACGGGTTCGTTCCAGTTGCCCGAGGACAAAGTGAACGAGAATGCCTTCCCGATTTGGAGGCAGAATCAACTGGAACGGACTGGAAGGTCCGGAGATGGGCCGAAACTTCCCACGACTCCGGTGTGTCATGCGTGGTGGACGAGGCCGCGCGTCGCCTGGAGCTTGCCTTATAACGCTCTGCTCGTTCTGCCTTGACCACCTTTCTCTCCCTTCATTTACGCCCAGCTCTTTCACGTCATGGAGAACCCAAGCGGTCAAAACCCCGGTGCTGGTGCTCCTGCCCCAGGCACGGGTCCCAACGATGTTTCTACCGCCATTCTGCGACCGAAGAAGTCGTAAGTGTCGCGACGCGTCATGCAGGTGTACACTGGGAACTGACATGGATCTTCAGGCCTAACCGCCTCATTGTGGACGAGGCAACCTCCGATGACAACTCTGGTGAGTGCAGTCGCCACTGAATTCGACGTGAAAGTGCTTAATCGGGCAATAGTCGCGACTCTGAACCCGGCAACGATGGAGACTCTGCAGCTATTCCGCGGAGACACGATCATCGTCAGGTATGCATATCCTAATCTACGAGACGTCCCAGCCTCTAATTCTTCACAGGGGCAAGAAGCGGCATGATACTGTTCTTATCTGCCTTAGCTCCGACGATGTTGAGGAGGGCAAGATCCAGATGAACAAGGTCGCGCGTAACAACTTGCGCGTCAAGCTCGGTGACATGGTCAACGTCCACCCGTGCTTGGACATCAAGTACGGCAAGCGTGTCCACGTCCTTCCTTTCGACGACTCCGTCGAGGGTCTCAGCGGCAACATCTTCGATGTCTACCTCAAGCCTTACTTCCTCGAGGCGTACCGCCCCGTCCGGAAAGGCGACACCTTCCTCGTCCGCGGCGGTATGCGGACGGTGGAGTTCAAGGTGATTGAGACGGATCCGGCGGAGTACTGTATCGTTGCGCAAGATACGGTCATTCACACAGAAGGCGACCCCGTCAAGCGCGAGGACGAGGAGGCGAACCTCAGCGATGTTGGCTACGACGACATCGGTGGCTGTCGCAAGCAGATGGCCCAGATCCGTGAGCTCGTCGAGCTGCCCCTCCGCCACCCACAACTGTTCAAGTCAATCGGTATCAAGCCCCCGCGTGGCATCCTCATGTTCGGTCCCCCCGGTACTGGTAAGACTCTCATGGCGCGAGCGGTCGCCAACGAGACTGGCGCGTTCTTCTTCCTCATCAACGGTCCCGAAATCATGAGTAAGATGGCGGGTGAGTCGGAGAGCAATCTCCGGAAGGCATTTGAGGAGGCAGAGAAGAACTCGCCCGCCATCATCTTCATTGATGAAATCGACTCCATTGCGCCCAAGCGTGAAAAGGTGTGTGACGTCCATATCTTATGTCGAACTTTGTGTTGACCTTTATCTCAGACTAACGGCGAAGTCGAGCGCCGAGTGGTGTCACAACTGCTTACGCTCATGGACGGTCTGAAGGCGCGTTCTAACGTCGTGGTGATGGCTGCCACCAACCGACCGAACTCCATCGACCCTGCCCTCCGTCGATTCGGTCGTTTCGACCGTGAGGTCGACATTGGTATCCCCGATCCGACCGGCCGTCTCGAGATTCTCCGCATCCACACAAAGAACATGAAGCTCGCGGACGACGTGGACCTGGAGCAGATCGCCGCAGACACGCACGGTTACGTCGGTTCCGATGTCGCTTCGCTCTGCTCTGAGGCTGCCATGCAGCAGATCCGTGAGAAGATGGATCTCATTGACCTCGACGAGGACACCATTGATGCGGAGGTGCTCGACTCGCTCGGCGTCACGATGGACAACTTCCGCTTCGCATTGGGCACGAGCAACCCGAGCGCGCTTCGCGAGACCGTTGTGGAGGTGCCGACCGTCAAGTGGGACGATATCGGTGGTCTCGAGAAGGTCAAGCAGGAGTTGCAGGAGACGGTGCAGTACCCGGTCGAGCACCCCGACAAGTTCCTCAAGTACGGTATGTCGCCGTCGAAGGGTGTGTTGTTCTATGGCCCGCCGGGTACGGGTAAGACGTTGCTCGCGAAGGCTATTGCCAATGAGACACAGGCGAACTTCATCTCGATCAAGGTACGTAACCGGTATTCAAAATGTAGATCTTGATCGACCGTTGACATTGTATGCAGGGACCCGAACTGCTGACAATGTGGTTCGGTGAGTCGGAAGCGAACGTCCGGGACGTCTTCGACAAGGCTCGTGCGGCCGCGCCCTGTGTCATGTTCTTCGATGAGCTCGACTCCATCGCGAAAGCACGTGGTGGCTCATCAGGAGATGCGGGCGGTGCTGGCGACCGTGTCCTGAACCAAATACTCACGGAGATGGACGGTATGAACGTGAAGAAGAACGTGTTCATCATCGGTGCGACCAACCGACCCGACCAGATCGACCCCGCATTGCTTCGTCCTGGTCGTCTCGACCAGCTCATCTACATCCCTTTACCCGACGAGCCCTCGCGTCTCTCCATCCTTAAGGCCGCTCTCCGGAAGTCGCCCGTCTCTCCGGAGGTCGACCTCAACTTCCTCTCGAAGAACACGCACGGCTTCTCTGGTGCCGATCTCACTGAGATCTGCCAGCGCGCGGCGAAGCTCGCCATCCGTCAGTCGATCGAGGCGGACATCCGGCGACAGCGGGAGAAGAAGGAGAAGGAGGATGCCGCGGGCGAGGACGCGAAGATGGAGGAGGACGAGGAGTACGAGGACCCGGTCCCGGTGATCTCGCGGGAGCACTTCGAGGAGGCGATGATGTTTGCGCGTCGGTCGGTGTCGGACGCGGACATCCGGCGGTACGAGATGTTCTCGCAGAACCTGCAGCAGTCGCGTTCGTTCGGCTCGAACTTCAAGTTCCCCGAGTCGGGAGGCGCGACGGGCGGTGCGCCGGCGCCGGCGGGCAATGCTGGGTTCGCGGAGGACACCCAGGACGACGACCTCTACGCATGATGCATGACGGACTGACTGGTTGTGGGTTTGTTTTCGCTCTGCCTGCGTTCTGTGATTTGTTTGTGCATTATGACGTGAAAATGCCTAGACCCATTCCAAGCATCGGTGTAAAGTAGTGTATCTCGTTTGCAACTCGGAAACGTAACGGCGACATAATCATCATTTTGAGAGTAAAGTGGTTGAGAGAGTCTAGGCAGTGTGCATTGCCAATGCCCCTAGCAGACGGCATGAGTGACGCCATACCGCCCTAGCGGAGTCCACATGTGCTGGGGACACTGGGGTCCGGGGGGGACGCGACCCTTCGTCTCGCCTTCCATCTCGACTGTACTTTAGACTGCCTGCACACTCTCCTTTGGACACGGACCCCCACACCCACCCCTCGGGCTTGCTCGCACAAGACACCACCATTTTGAAAATAGCGAGGGCAGCGGAGGCAGGCAGAATGGAAGCCCGCAAGACGTTCAGCTCTGCCGCCCGCAACTTCTCCTCCTCTTCGCTTCGAGAGCGGCTCACCAGCCTCCACCTCCCGGCTCCGCCCATCCCGCCCGCGTTCACGGCGCCCAATATCGAGTGCGCACCGCTCTCCGGAACGCAGTGCGAGGCGTTCTGACTGACCGCAGACGCATCTCCTCGTCGTAGGTTCGTCCGCGGGCGGATCCCCAGAAAACGGAGGCTGCAGACACTCGCGGTCGCGATATGGTCGACGACGATCGTGTGGTGCACGTTTGCGTGGCTCATATTGATGTGCGTGTGCTGGCTTCTGCGCCCGGGAGCTGATCGTGTGCTGAAGGGACCCAGGTCGATACCGCCACTGTGGCCGGTGCTCGCGCTGTATATGGTCTGGGCGTTGTGCGTCGACCGGAGTCCGGAGCATGGAGGCAGGCTGAGCCCTTGGTTCCGCGCCGGGAGGTTCTGGAGGTACTTCGCTGACTACTACCCTGCGACGTGAGTGACACCCTGTCTCGTGTCGGAATGAATGATGCTGATTCGAGGAAAAGCCTTCTCAAGGTATGTGGAGGACATTTCAGCGATGCACGCAGTGTGATGACCCTCCCAGACGTGTGACATTCCCGCAGACAGACCCTATGTCTTCGGTTACCATCCTCATGGTGCGTACTGGCACCCCTGTGACATGTCCTTCCCTCATCCGTGGTGCTGGAACAGGTATCATAGGCATGTACGTCTGATCACGTTCTCTAGTCGTTGTTCGCTACATATGAATATTCGTCCAGGGGTGCTCTCTGCACATTCGCGACGGAAAGCATCGGCTTTTCGCAGCTTTACCCGGGCATCGTCCCGCACCTGCTCACGCTCGCGTCCAACTTCCGCATCCCGTTCTACCGCGACATCCTCCTTGCCATGGGCATCTGCTCTGTGAGCAAGCAGTCGTGCAGCAACATCCTGAAGGGTGGGCCCGGGCAGGCGATCACCATCGTGGTCGGCGGCGCTGCGGAGAGCTTGAGTGCAAGACCGGGGACGGCGGACTTGACGCTGAGGAAGCGCTTGGGTTTCATCAAGGTCGCCATACAACATGGGTATGTAGTGGGGCACAAACTGCGTCTGCATGCACTCACGCGTCTTGCTCGCCAGAGCCGACCTCGTCCCCGTTTTCTCGTTCGGCGAGAATGACGTCAGTGCAAAGTTCATGATTGACATTCTAGATAGAGTTGCTGATGTGTTCCTCTGTCCAGATCTACGAACAGATGCCCAATCACCCGGGGACGACGATATACACCCTGCAGAAGAAGTTCCAGAACGTGTTCGGCTTCACTCTCCCCCTCTTCCATGGTAGAGGCCTTCTCAACTACAACCTCGGTCTGCTGCCGTACAGACGACGCATTGTCGCAGTTAGTGAGTACCCCGACCGCCCGCGCTCGCATGCCACGTACTGACACGGTGTCCAGTCGGCCACCCGATCCACGTAGAGAAGTGCGAGAAACCGACACTAGAGGAGATCACGCACGTCCAGCAACTGTACATAGAAGAGCTTATGAGGTGCGTGTCGTTCTCGCTGACGCCTTCGATCTCCGCCTAACGAGTGCGGCCATGCTAGGATATGGAATACTTATAAAAACGAGTTTGCGCGGACGCGGAAACGAGAACTTAGCATAATCGAGTAGGGCCGTCTTTGTGTCCATATTGTATTTTTCGCCTCTTCCGTGGACTGCGCTCGGTAGATCGTGCAGCAACCGACGTATGAGATGCTGACTTTGCTCGAAGGGCTTCGTAGTCTCCGTGGGCTGCCGGATGCCCTGTACTGTTATATCCCGGCTCCACCGTCGCCTGACTTGGTGTCTGGAAACCCCGCGGTGAGGCTTCTCCATACGAATGGGAACTCTACACCCGACATGCCCGGTCAAGAACGACCATCCCTGCCGCTTACGAGAACTCTCTACCTATCTGGTTCACTGGGGTAGAGCTCAGGGTTCCTGCATTGACTTCTGTGCCTTCAGATCATATGGTTGACCCTCCTCGAGGACAATTACGGGGATATATACGGAAGGAGGACTGCTGCACAGGGACGCTGGCTACGTAACGAACAACCGTTTGCGCACAGGAGCCGCCTTCTTTCCCTTCTGAATTAGCAGTGACAATCCTCGTGCCCGTCCCTGCGGTTATGCAGTGGCCATCGAAGCTTACTCCGTACGCGGTTAGGGCGGGTGTACCTAGGAGTCGGGGCTTCAAGCTGCAGGAGGACGAGGTGACCTTGCCAGTTGGTCCGACGTTGCACGACACTTTGTGGAGGAGAGGTGCGTTCACCCAGAGAATGTATACATTGTAACGCTGCCGCCGCATCATGATCAAGTTCGATCGACTTGATTCCTCTTCGACATCGACAGGGCGCTTGCATCTACACCGACCTTGCTCTCATCCACTTCGTGCTGAACCACCGAATTCCTAGTCGCAGGCTCGCAGTAATGTGTCAATAACCGACTTCGAGGTCCTAGTCTGGTATTATGGGTCGTCCGATGCTATGTTCCGAGTCTGTCTGCAGCAATCCACGAGCTGCATCGTTGGGCAGTGTCTGGCAAAATCGCGGTATATTACGTTCCGCCTGTCTCTCGTGAAACCCGTACAGGTCGCGCAGAGCTGTGGAAGCTACACAGGAAAAGGCCCAGCGCTGTCCACGGTCGTATTCAAGCGCGGAAGACACGCGTCGACGCGGTCAGTTGGCCCGTCCTCCACGCCTCGTGCGACCGCGGCGAGCGTCACGGAGCGCGATGTGTGCTCTGACCGCCGCCCATTTCAAGTGTTCATCATACGCAAATGGGCGTGCTTTAGCTGGATCAACATAGCTTGGACCCATGACAGGTGCCTGGGCATGATTTTCTGATGCTCGCCCGTACTGAACGCCCCGCCAGCCAATTGCCATGCCCACTGGCGGTACACGCCGCGCCGTAACCCGTTTGCCGACCCTTTTCTCGTCTCCGGCGCGACGGACCCAGCCAATCACGGGAAGCAACGCGTTTACGAGAATAGCCTCCACCCAGCGGTGTTCGGACGGAGGCCTGTTTCATGCCGGCACGGTTATAAGGGCCGTGTCTCGGTGGACGGGGACCGTGAACGCAGTCCCCACGCACCGGCACGATGCGCTCGCTCTTGGGTCTCGCCGCGCTGCTTGCGTCTGCACGGGCTGTAGTTGCGGGGAGCCTGCCCGACAAGATATACGGCGTCAACGTTGGCGGCTGGTACGCGTGGTGCGCTGTATGCGACGCGTCGGATGCGCGATTGACGCGTTTTGCAGGTTGGTCTTGGAGCCGTGGATGCTTCCGGGAGAGTGGGCGTCCATGGGAGGGTCGATTTGCGATGATTGCTCGACGTGCATCCAGTCTGAGTGGTATGTGCTCCGAAGCTGAACCATGCTCAAGTTATGAGTTGACATGAACGTCGCCTGACTAGGGCATATACGAAGGCATATGGGCAGGATACAGCTAATCGGGAGTTTGCACAGCACTGGTGCGTATGGCCTTCCACGGACCACAATGCACTGGCGGAGTACATGTCCTGATCGCTACTTGGTTAAGGACGACATGGTTCACACAAGACGATGTGAATACCCTCGTCGCCGACGGAATCAACACTGTCCGCATCCCAGTGAGTGTTACTATCAATTACTGTGTGTAGCATGCTGGACCAATATGCATACATAGCTTGGCTACTGGATCGTAGAGCCTTTGGTTGACCGCACCACTGAGTTCTATCCGGAAGGTGGTATCGTCTACCTGGTGGGTTGTTTGCACTCTGAAGCATACTGGGCTATGCTCATATCCATCCGACCTCAGCAAAAAGGTGTCCAGATGCTCGCCAACGCTGGCATCCAAGTCATCCTCGACCACCACGCGCTGCCCGGCGTGCAAACCGCGGAACAGTCGTTCACCGGAAAGTACGTGCCAATCCTGATTCCTGACCTCCCTAGCGCTGATCGTCCCCAACGCGGGCCGTTAGCTGCACGGACAACGTCCAGTTCTACGTGAGTCGCCCGATCCACGGAACGCCCTTGAGCACGCAGCTCACGGCATGCCGCTAGACCGAGTACAACTACCAACGCGCCCTGGTCTGGACAGCAGTCATGACCTCGCTCGTCCACCTCGACCCCGCCTTCAACTCCGTCTTCGCGATCGAAGCCGTGAACGAGCCCACCACGGACGCAGCCCAGACCCCCAACTACGGCACCTGTACGTCCCTCCCTACCACATCCCACTTCCGACTTGGCAGCAGACTGACGTCCTGCCCTCCCCGCGCCCCCAGTCCAGAAGAACTTCGTCGACGTCGTGCGCGCGGTCGAGCTCACGCTCGGGATCCCCGTGGCGGGCCTGAGCCTCGGCGCGGAGATCACGACGAGCAACTTCACGGCGGCGCTCGGCCAGGTCGCGAACGCGTCCACGGTCTTCAACCCGGACGTCCGCGCCGCGCTCGCCGCGGCCGCGCCGATCCTCGTCGACCTCGCCGTGCAGCTCGCGGTGCCCGCGCTGCTGGACACGGGCCTCGGCGGCGGCGTGGACAGGACGTCGTTGCTCACGACGTGAGTGCTCGTTCGTGAGGGGGGTGCTCAGGGCTGATTCGGACCCGGCGGCGTGCGCAGGTTCATGGACGTCAACTGGCAGTATGACGACCCGCCGAACCCCGCGGACGCGGCCATCGGCCCGCAGGGGTACGACAACCACCTGTACTACAGCTACGGCGTACGTCTCCCTCGTCGTCTCACTTCCGACCCCTCCCGACTGACCTGTGTTTCGTAGGGTGTCGCCGCCGCAAACCCGACCGCCTACCTGGAAAGCATCTGCAGTGCGTACACCCCACCGTCACTTTCCGCCTGAATGAACTGACGGTCTCTGTTACTGCAGACCTGAACCGCGTGCAGACGGACGCCGGGCTCGGCGACACGCCGCTCTGGTTCGGCGAGTGGGGGCTGCCGACGCAGTTCGACGCGACGGACGAGTTCCTGTACATGTGGGCGGACGCGCAGAAGCGCGCGTACAGCCAGGGCCAGGGCTGGATCGTGAGTGTCCTCTTCCGCCACCCCACTCGGGGGGCGGGGCGTTCTGAGCGCGTCGGGTACTGACGGGCGGGTTGCGATGCAGTTCTGGAACTTCAAGGTCGAGCAGTCGGAGGCGGCGGGGAACCTCTCGCGACAATGGTAGGTCGACCATCACGCTCTCTGTGACGGCCCGGAGAACTGATCGTGGACGCAGGTCGTACATCGAGGGCGTGAACCTGGGCTACCTCACCAAGGACCCGGCGGACTATAACAACGCGAGCGTGTGCGCGCCGTACCTGACCTCGTCCTGAGTCCCGAGCACTTCGCGTCGGATACTGCACCCGCATCTGCGCCCGCTCGCACTTGGTCTGAAGGTGGGATGATAAACGGGCCGGAGATCAGCGACTTAAGGGGTAATTTGAGGACCCGAAGCCATTAAGTTATACATGCATAATGTACATCGTGCGGATGCGTCTGTGTAGTTGTATACAGGATGTATTAGTTGAAGGCGTCGGCGATGGCGAGGATGCTGTTGTTGTCGAGGAGGCTCCACGGTGCCTTCTCCGCGCCCATCTTCTGCACGCGTTCCGCCGGGATGCCTTCCGTGCCCTTCTCGCCAACGGCACGCAGCGCCTTCGCAAGCTTCGGTACCTACGGCGTGTCGTGAGCACCAGAACTATGGCGGAGACGGTGGAGAGCGTACCGGCATGTACAGGCTGGGGATGAACCTCGACATCGCCTTGATTACAGGGCTGTCCACGGTCAGGATCAGTCGATGCAGAACCAGCACGGCGCGGACAGTCGAACGCTGCGACGTACAAACTGACTGTCTCGACGACCCTGTGGGTCGGACGCTCCGCGTCACCAAGCGCTCCCGGCCGGAAGACGATCGTGTCGTTGTACCCCAGATCCGCGAGAGCCAGTTCAGTCAGGCCCTTGCTCCTACAGCAGTCAGAAATACAAGCACAGGGGTCAGCGCGGACGCACGACCGGTGGACGAGACGGACCTCATGTAGGGAAAGTACGAGTCGGGGTTGGCGCCCCCGCTCGAGAGGTAGATGAGGCGTTGTTTCTGGGCAGGGTCGTCCGACTTGGCCAGGCGGGCGGCGTTCACGACGTATCTGCGATTCGTTCGGGGGCACACGGTGTGTATAAGTGCGAGCGACGACGAGATGCGCGGGAAGGGCGCGTCACGTACTCTCGGTCGATCTTCTCGAACGCCTCCAAGCTGCCTGCGGCCTTGCGGGTCGTCCCAAGCCTGCAAACACGCCCACGTACGCTCAGAGGACACTCCCACTCGCAGAAGAGGAAAACACGGTACGTTATGAAGATGACGTCCCACTTCCTGTCCTTCAGCCCCGCGTCCTCGAGCTTCTCGAAGTCGATCGTCCTCTGCTCGAGCTTGTCATTGCCCGCGGTGATCTTCTCCGGGGCCGTGACGCGCCTGCCATACTCGGACACGCTCGAATACTGGGGCGACGCGAGCAGCTCCTGGAGGAGAACCTTGCCTGTGGCGCCAGTGGCGCCGAGGATGAGTGCGGTGAGACCTGAGTCGAACCCACGGCATCAGCGCCGGCGACGAGTGCAGCAAGCCAGACGGGACTGGCTCACCTGTCATTGTAGATAGTTTTGCTTGTCAGTGCAGGAGAGTGAGATGCGCCGCTCTCCTGCGCGACGGTAGGTAGCGTTGGTGGCAGCCGAGGCGTGCGTCAGTATGCGGCTTCGTGGCGCATCTTCGCATGGCTGACAGAGCATCCCGCGTCATGACAGAGCCATCGAGCACGACCTCCAGTCGCGTGGTGCACGGAGCACTCGTTATTCTACGCCGCGCACTGACAAACGCAAGTTCAGCCCGATTAATAAATCATATTGTAGAAACAACGTCAAGGAACGTTGGGTAGTGATGTGCTCGACCAAAACATTCTCTCCAACCACATTCCCATCTCAAGCCTGCACCCAGCCCTTGTTGCCCGGAAACACAGTGCCCTCCCGGAACTTCCCAACAAGCCCGGTCATCTCCGCGGGGCCTGCACTCGCCGTACTCGTCGAGTTCGTGCCCATGGCGCTGCTCTGATCCACGAGCATCCTGTACCGGGCGACGATAGAAGAAGAGTCGGTAGCCGTCGCCGAGCTGGAGGAATCCGTCCCAGAGGCGGTCGCACTGCTAGAGTCCGTCGTCGAAACAGCCACACTGCTAGAGTCGGTCACGGAGGCGGTCGCGCTGCTCGAGTCAGTCGCGGAGGCAGTCGCGCTGCTTGAGTCCGACGCAGAGGTAGTCGCGCTGCTTGAGTCCGACGCAGAGGTAGTCGTAGTCGTGCTGCTCGAGGTTGACGAAGAGGCAGCTGCGCTGTTTGAGCCCGTCGTCGACACCGTCGAGGCGCTTGAGCCCAATACCGACACACCGAGAGACACCGAGATCGACGCGATAGGCTCGTACACCTCCACGGCGAGACTAGGGTCCTGAGCTGAAGTAGTCGCAGAGCTCATAGCCGCGGAGTCCGTCGACGTTGCCGTGGCCGTGACAACCCTAAGCACAGTGGGAGTGGCTGTATCACTTGAAGACGAGGTAGCCACAGACGAAGACACCGACGCGACCTTAGCCGCTGGACTAGAGAAGACACCCATCGACGCGGTAGCCGTTGAAGACGTTGAGTTTGAGCCGTCCATCCCAGAGTCGTCCGCAGAGTCGTCCACAGAAGAGGAGTCGTCATCGTCGTCATCGTCCGAGCCATCGCCGTCATCGTCGCCCAAGTCATCACCAGAGTCCTCGTCGCCAGAGTCGTCGCCAGCATCGCCGTAATCACCATCGCCAGCAGAATGTCGCCATCATCATCATCCGTCGAGGCTGGCGCCACCGTTCTGAGAGGGCCCGAGACCGCCGGCGCAACCATCGGCGCCGCAGGCGTGAACACGAGCGTGACGTTCTTCGCCTGGGAAATCGGGTTCACGTCATAGATCTTCGCCGAAGACATGCGAGACGGTGGCGTCGTCGCCTCCGTCCAGTCTTCCTCCAAGTTCTTCACGATGTCCTGAGCCAGGTTCGTCCCTGTGGGCGCCGCGCTCGTCGTTGTCGTCGCAGAAGCGGTGGAACCGGAGGCTGAAGAAGTCGAGCTACTAGACATCGCCGTCGGGTTGTTTGAACCAGAGATACTGCCATCTGAGTCTAAGGCCGAGCCATTGACAGACCACATCGGTCGGAGGACGCCGGTAGCTGGCTCGTAAGCAAAGATCTGACTCTTGTGCTCTCCACCAGCGGTGTTGTTGGCCATGCACTCCTCGACAGTCAGGGGAGACGGTGCCGGCGGGTTCGGGTCGAACGTAGCACAATACGAGTCCATCTGAGCAGTCGCAGCATCGAACACAGGGATTTGCATCACAACCGCGATAAAAGACGGATCGGTGGTTGTCGAGTTGTCAGAAGAGGTAGAGTCTCCGGACGACGTCGAGTTGCCTGCATCCGGAGTAGCCACGAGGTACATCTGAGTGTGTGCTGAACCAGAAGCGTTCAAGACGAAGCTGGACGCAGTCGAGTTGCCACCAGTAGTTGTACTATTGGTCGGCGCTGACAGGACCAAGGAAGCGATCTTCAGTGCGTTCTCTGAGCTAGGATCCTCGCTCTGAATGAAGTGTCGTTACGAAATATGCCTCGACCAAAGATAGAAGCACTCACCATGATATCGATTGTCCCTGGTACGCCAACCGTCTGTTGCCCATCACGACCCATAATATGTGCAGCTATGGACGGCGAGCCATTGTTGCCCGAGACGTAGACAGAGGGATCAACGTCAGCTCTCCGGTGGTGGACGTCAACGTGATCATCGTCGCCATTGACCACAACCTTCTGCCGACCATGACGGTCGTCGTGATCGTGGGGCGAACGGGGGACGTGTACATTGTCGTTGCTCCCGTTGACTACGACTGCGTCATGACGGTCGCGGTCATGGTCATGATGATGTCGTGGCGAACGACGCGCATGGACGGAGCGCCGAACATGGACGTGGTCATCTTGTCCGTTAACGACAACCTTGTCGCGGTGACGGTCATGCGGGGAACGACGACCAAGGCCCTGGTCTGGAAGAAGGTGAGGAAGCGCGCCGCCTTCAACATGGGCGATATCATCGGGCGAGCGACTACGGAGACGGGAATTGACCGTACGACGATGCACATCGTCGTGATCTCCGTTGACGATGACTTCGCCGTGATGACGATCGTGGTCGTGGTCGTGACGCTTGCCAGGGGTACGCGTTACGTCGATGTTGTGCTTGACAGAGTCGTCGCGACCTGCGAGCCAGGCGAGTCCGACATGTTGAGCAGAGTCAGACTCATCCCATACGCCGCGCTGGGCGTTCAGAATGTCAGTACTACTGCGACTAGATGATACAGGTTGGCACACCTTGTCCTTGTGATGAGTTCCCGCATCACCCGCGACGTCCTGCGAGTTCTTCTCGTTACTTGAGTGGGTACTGGCAAAGGAAGGACCGGCTGCTGCTCCCTCTGTCCCTTCCCGGTTTTGCTATCCTCCGCACTCGTCGACCGAGATTGGTCGGCGGATTCGGTCTGCGTCAAGGTATGACCATGGGCCGAGTGATGAGCGTCCGCGGTGCTCGCGCTCGGTTCAGCTTCCTTGTAGTCCACGGGCACTACGGCGCCCTCGACAGATGTCGGAATGATCGACACCGCCGCGATAGTAGTGAGGGCAGCCAGGAGGGTGAAGGGACGCTTAAGGACAACCATGGTGGAGGGCTAAGACTGATGTGGGCAAGGAATGAGATGAAGTGTGCAGAGAGAATGTGCGATCCGGTCGCGTTAGAAGTGCGATAGCAATACGACAGCAAGACCACCTGGGTCTGAAAGAGTAGCGGGGGTGGGAGGAGAAGGCAAGAGGGCGGGCAGAATACGAACCACCGACTTCGTCTTATATACCGCGCGACGCCTGTCAGCCGCCGTCACCAAGCGTGCGGTGCGCGTGCGTCATGCCCGGCGTCGGCGGCGCGCTGTCCAACTTGCTGTCATCCTCGCCGGAGCGCGTCCGCCAGCCACCATCCAAATCGGGACTGTGACCGCGCGACGCACGTGTCCAGCCCGAGTCCCGACGCGCCATCTCCAGGGCCCATGGCCAGGCGCCCGCACCCGCGGGTCGCGCCAAATGCACAACTGCGTCCTGTGTCCTTTCAGTCAGTCTACAACAGATGTCCCCTCGGGGTGACATACGAAAAAATTGGAACGATACAGAGAAGATTAGCATGGCCCTGCACAAGGATGACACGCTTTCCCGGAGTGGTAGACCTACGGGTCTCAATATTTATTTTTCTTGGCGCTGGCTTTGAAGTTACCCGTTTCTTTGACCTCAGAGTACAACACTCAGCACGCAGCAAGCACGCAGAGAGGTGGACGTCATCTTTCTTCTAATGTCATCCTACCTACTCAATACCTACTACACAATGTCGAGCAGACGCGAGCGATATGACTCGCCCCTCCCAGTGGTCATCTCAAATGCAAGCATCACTCTTTTGGTGCAAGAGGTAAGTGGCCACCGGCTTGCAAACTCGACGGGCCTAAGCATACCGTTCTGGGACCACAGGTTTCTCGTTGATGGACTTCCGCTTGCAGACGCAAGCCGAGACCTTCGCATGCGTTCGACAGGACAATGAAACAACGCCTTGACTTGCCATTCTGATCTAGCATTGTTGCCCATGGCAGCCGTGCCACCAGCTTCCTTCCACGAAGGCGTCGCTCCAGTGCGATCATATGGAGCATATGGAGCAGATTTGTCCTACAAGACCTACCGTCTACGCAGCCTCCCACTGATATACCTGCGCTGATGTTCGCATTGGCAGGTTAGGAGGGGCTTCTCGGACAGCACCATGGACGAACTCTACGATGGCCTGACACCGCGCCTCCGGCACCCCGCACTTCAACTTACCATTCTTGATGGTCCACAGAAGGCAAGAACGCTTGACAGTCCCTATCTCCGACAACGGAACATAAGGAACAGCACGCTTTGGCCGGCAGGCTGTGCCACCACGAGGAGTCGACCAGGACCCACAATTGCCATATCTGGCGACTTGTATTGTCTGCACCTTCGCAGAACTGCGTGGCGGCGGTGGATCATTCCCCTAGAAAGGCAGTCGCCCCTCTCTCCGCTTAGTGAGGAAGGCAACGTGTGCGAAAGCCCAGCCTCGAGGCTAAAGATACGTTTCCTCACAGTGCCCCTTTTATTCATCTTAACCGGCGGCGACGGGCCACAGCGGACGCCACTCACCCGGGTTCTTTCTTTATAAACCCACTCTGAGCGAACGAAGATGGGACAGATCCCTCTACAGTCGCGTCCTCTTTCTCCCTCCTATACTTGCGCGGAATGGCTAAGAAGCGCTTGGTGGCGAAGGGTGTACCCTCCGAGTCGCGGAAGGGCAAAGGCAGTGACAGTTTCTACGCCAGATTCAACAAGTCCGTTACGGAAGATTTGGGCGGCGTGCGTCTTTGCTCTCTTCCGCATGCATGTGGCGTCTGACCTGTCTCCTCTTAGACTGTGATATGGGGAGCACGCTTCGGGCCCGACCCTCGACGGCACAAGAACACCAGTAACACCAGCTTGACGTTCAAAGCCCCCATCACTGCGCCACCTGTGAAACAGGAAAGCGTCGACGATGCGGACGAGGCACTTCTCCACCGGCCTCACCTACCTCAGTCTGCGCAGGCAGGATCTGAGGCAGGCAACACCACACTGAGCTATATCTCCGCCTCTGCAATTGCTGCTGAGCTAGAGCTTACGTCCACGAAGCGGGGCAGAAAGCCGAAGCATGGAGAGCCAGTGCAGGGCATACCACAAGGAACACGCCAGCCAGTGCCGGGTGAGGGTATGCTGTGCTTTGAGCAGGCGCGCCTGCGGTGGCGCCGGCACCTGAACTCAACCCATACCCAAACCAAAGGAAGAGAAGACGCAGAAGACACAGAGCAAGGCAACCCGTTCTTCAGAAGCCCACCATCGGATCGTCAGTCCAAACCCGCCGCCGCACCAGCACGGCGCAAGTCGCGACACACCGGTGATCCCGTCGTCGTCCAGAACACGCGCCACAGTCGCCCGAGAGTCTTCGTGCCTTTGAGGGTCGGTCTGTCACAGTATTCAACCTCTATGCGGCTTCCTCCAATCAGTGCGCCGCAACGAGGGCCGCTCCCGCCAATCAGCTTCCTGACCGGGGCATTTAGGTATTCTCGTACGTGCGCGTGAACCATGACCTGTATTGCTGTTGTATGCTGATGCGTCGTTCCCAGCTCGGCGAAACCCTATGCTAACCCGTTCGCCTCCCCTGCCACCAGCACTTCATGTCTCCGCCTTAATCGACGCCGCAGACACTTGTCCCAAGCCAAGCCCTGGCCCATCAACTTCCACAGTTAACGATATGAGGGCAGATGCGAAGCCGATCTCTGCCTCTCTGTGTCCCCAGACGACTCCTCCCGCTGACCGAACTCCATCAACGACCTCGCGCCCGACTGGTCATGTCGACGGTCACGTCAACTCCGGGTCATCTGCAGTTCAAACCAATCTGCCGGTCTTCAACGCGGCCCACTATTCTCGGAACATTGCAGCCCTTTCGCTGGCAACCCCCACAGAGTACTCGGAGCTCCGATGGCACGCGCATAGGGCTCATGGCAAGTCTCGTACGAACGTTCGATGGCATCCGTACTACACACCGAGGCTCGGATGCTATCCTGGCAAAGTGGATCTATGATCATCGGTGCAGCCTTGCGACAGGCAGCTCAAGGGTAGATTCTGCGGCTTTCGACTTCGGACGTTCTCAGTAAATTATCTCCATGCCATACCTCGCACTATGCCCTATGCGTGCTGTACATCTGTCAAAATATGCATTACTTCCCTTGTCACAACAATGAGGACGCCCCCTTGGTTAGACATCTAGATATAATGAGCGACATGGTAGAACAATCCATTACATAGTGCGAATCCGGAAGTGCTAGAAAACATCGAAGACAGCAACAATACTTGATACAGACGGATGCTTTGTACATTACCGGAAAGATAGTGAAGGATTCAGGCGTGGTGAGTGCGGCGGCGAGTTGCTCTGCGCAAACTGCGTCGCGTGGGAGGGGGACGACAACGAGCCTGGCAGATAGAGGGGAATCGTAGGTATAAGCTCGAAAACCTGTTGCGCGATTGGACGCGCTCCTCGAGGCCCGCTCGGCTGCAGACCGTTGTCGGCGTTCATAACACCGTGGACGCGTGGTTCTTGTGAGATGCTCTCCGACCATCCATCCGGACCAGGCACTGAGGATGTAGGAACGTTGGTGGTTCCTCGTCCATCCCAGATGCAGCGTACGTCGTTTCCGGGGATAATTTGTGCGAGACGGCCCGTTTCGACGTGTCGAATCTCGATGAACCTAGTGTCGAACAAAAGAACGTAGGGTGGATGCCAGGCGACATGTTCTGCTGTGCCTTCCCATTCGATCGTGCCCATACCCCGGCTGGGATCACCGTGGCGATCCACATACAAGCCGAACTCTGCGATAACGATGAGCAGTAAGAAAACACATTGAATCATTATGCATACCATCGTAGCACAGCAGGAATTCGTCCTGGTTCGTGCGGAACATGCCCATAGGCCGACACGACTCACACCGTTTCGCTAGCTTCTCTAGGCGAGGGTCGTCACGTTGAGGGATTGTGACACTCTTGAAGCTATATCCAAAGCAAAGTCAGTACTTGGTACACACTGTGTCAAGGATCACTACGTACTCAGTGAGATCCATGATCTCGAATCCCTTCGTGCACAGGATGACGATCCTGGCCTTCAAGAAGATGAGATCAAAAGACTCAGATGGCAAGAAGAAGTCCTAGAGATGCATCTGAGCGACTGAATCACAGCGTGTTAACATGGCTGCCCACCCTGTAGACCCTGAACCATTCCGAGCGCTGTGACCGTAGACCAAGGCGAGAGCCAAATGTTCGCGGGGCCTCTGCTCTCTCGTTGATCTTGCCTACAACAGGCTCCAGGACTCGGAACACGCTATCCAACTAATAAAGGGTAAATCAGTAACGAATGCAATTGTGCATGGACAATGGGGGTACGGACTCCTTTCTTCTTCATATAGATAACGAGGGTGCGGCCGTTCAAGTTGCCTACACTGAAGAAGTGGACATCTTTGTTCCCGCTCAACTTCTGTGGGGTCTGAGAGGTGTTGACACTCTGAGGAGAGGATGGCACAAGAGCCTCGATATGATATGCAAACAGCGACTGAAAAACCGATCAACGACCCGTCCGCTGCCACTGAATGCGGGAAACCTACCTTGTCCGCTAGTACGAGGAAAATTCCAAAGTCTTCCAGCATTGCGCATTGAGTCACCATCTTTAGATGCAGGACGCGGCGCATAGCTGGTGGTGTGTCAGCATCATGTCACACCTGTATACCTTTATGAGGGCAGCTTACATCTTGAGTCGTGGCGGAAGCCGATCCAAACACCTTCCGCACATCCAATGGCGACGAGTCCCCTGCCGTCTGCAGTAGCTATTGTGGGATCAGCAAATCGCCGGCAACGATCCGTCGACGCAGTACGTACTGAACGGCACTGAGCAAGTGACCTTGCCCGTGAAGGCATTCTCGTGACTGTAAGCAGCACTCCCGCCTCCAGGGACCACTGCGGGGACGAAGAACGTGTCTGCACTAAGGGTCTCCACCTCAAAGACCTTGTTAGATTCTTGCACGACCTTGCGCAAGCCAATGGCCTCATCTAGCTTCTGCTTCCATTCGTTGCGAGCTTGCGCAGATTCGGCGAACACAGTGTACAGACCGCCTAACCTACCAGTGTGGTGGATGGTGCAGGGATAGACCATCCGAGAATCTGTAGCGCTCTCGGGAGTACCATTGGCTCCAGGAGGAAATGCCTCATTCCGGTCACCACGGCTGTTCAATCCTCCCAAACGAAGGATACCGCCGCTACGCTGAGTGGGAGGATCAGTGAAGTTCGCGAGTGTCAGGAGGTCCAAGGGTATCGGCTGGAGGCGAGTGTCAGAGCAGTCGTGACGCGGGACAGCAATAGGTCGAACACACCCGTCTGTAGACATGGTAACGTGTAATACCATCCTTCTCCTTCGGCTTCGTCATGACCACTGAGAAAAATTAGCTGAAAAGCATGCCTGCGTATTGAAGAACCACTCACAGTAATTGTCGAAGAGCAAGACGAACAGCTCAGTCCACCCACTCCATTCGAATCCAGTGTCAGGTTGTCGGAGGAGTTTGCCCGTGTGCATCAAAGAACGATTCTCGTTGAGAAGGTCCATGTCCTACACACTATTGACGACAGGTGTTTCACATCCGAAGGGGATGCACTCACAATGGCTTCCCCAGGCTTGAACACGAGATTCGAGTTGTAGCGCCAGACCTCAACCTTCTGCTTTGCTGAAACGACTCCAGGCTCGGAATCCTTGCCTAAGGCCTTGATCAGTTCGAGGACTTGTGGTATCGTGTCACGGTCTTCATGTCCCTCTGGTGTTTCCTCGAGAATACTCTTCAGCAGCAACTCGTACCGGAGCAACCTCGGAATAGGCCGGTTGATGAAGGCTTTCATATCAAGCTTGCGAGCATCTGCATGCCGAGTACATTGCTGTCGACGACGTTAGTCAGATTGATCATCTGGAAGGTACGAGGACCCACATCAACGAATGTCTTGAAGGACGGGTTGTTGGCCATCTCATCGTCAATGCGGTACGCTGCAATGGGGTAGTTCGGAATGTACTCCAAGTACGCTTCACGGAAGTTGAGAACGGCGTCATAGACGGCTGCCGTGACGCTACGAATAACTGGATGCTCTTCGCGTTGTATCTCATGGAAAGAGTTCAACATCTTGCGATGATGGGCATGCAGCTCGTCGAAGTTGTGGAACACTTCGCCAAGGAACTGCTCGAGCCGATCGCGTGGGACGATAGGCGGGTCCATCTCGCGCAACGGAGTCACGTACATCTGACCGATAATGTCAGTCATAGGAATGTCGTCAGCTATGGGAGACAACATACCAAGTCAATGTTCTCGAGGTCCTTCACGTATTCCATCTCACCCTTGATCAGCTCAAAAATGATGCTGAAGACGTATTGAGCCGCCATCTGCGAAATGATACCATAGATAATGCTTACGACTGTCGTTTGGCATCTTTCTTGTGAAGACTCTTCCTGAACTCCTCGGACACGAGATTGTGCCACTCAAGCTTTCCTGTGGGCCCCTTACCCATAGCAGATTGCCATGTCCAGAGTTGAGCCACGGTCTGCAGCTTTTTGATGGCCTCTATCGCCTCCTTCAAGAAATCCGCATCGGGGTTGCCGTCCGTAGTTTCATTGCAGATAGCTTCCAGCAAGACCGGGTACTTCTGCAGATGTTCCGAAGACCGATTGAGGAAGTGTTTGAGATCAAGGCGATGGGCATCAGGATGCCGAGCTGCTTGCTGCAAGGGCTCAATCAGTATTTGTCTCGTTTGGACGTGAAAATAGACTAACCTCGAGGAAGCGCCGGAACTCAGCATTCTTTTCGCTTTCGTCTTTCACCCTTTTCTCTGCTACGGGAAGGTGACCAACATAGATGGGATACGCCAAGCGGAACTCGGTCGCTGCATCTAGGAAGATGTCCCCAACACCATGAATAATAGGCGCCTGTTCGCGTTGTCGGACGTTCAGAACTTCCAACAATCTGCGATTGCACTCTCGCAGATCTAGGATGTTGCCGAACACTTCCTCGATGAACTCTTCGACTTCTATCGGTCTGATAATGGGCGGGTTGGCATTGCGAAGAGGACGGATGAACAACTGCAGAGGCGTGAGCGAGTAAGATAAACGTATTTGTCGTCATGACTTACCGATTCCACAATGTCGAGGTCGCGGAGATACTGCTTCTCCTTGGTGATGACCTTATGTATGATCCTACACGAAGCTCAATTACCATCCGGTTGAGACAAACCGCATGGATAACATACGTCTGCCGGTTGATCTCGCTCTCGGGCAAGGTTCGCAAGACTTCCGGTGGGACAGTCCTTGACCATGAATCATCCTACAAGACGAGAGTCGACTTCAGATGTCAGATCACGGACAAAGGTCATCTTGCAGCGTACCTTTTCCTCCTCAACCTCCTTTTCCGTGGGGGTGACCAGAACAAGGCTCTTGTTCTATGCAATATTTTAGTTTAGAGATGCTATCACCAACGCCACTCGTGCTTACTCTCTTAGGACATGCGAAGGAGTAGCATGGCGTTTCGTCATAGCAGCTCGGCGCATAACAACGTGTAAGCAGCGTAATGACCGCGGTCGGCAGCTCCTCCCGTTCAACGCGTGTATCCGAAGCACCCTCCTGATCATCGAGGAACATGTAGACATCCTCCACGCCATCTTGCAGAACACGCCCTCCCCACTCAACTTCATAGAAGAAGAGCTGGTTCTGCAAGCTGCGTGCGACCTGCAGGGCTGCTCGCCGATCATTGGTGGAGATGCCATGTGTGATCAGTAGTTCTCGTTGGATCTGCGACTGGATAGTGGACTGCACGTTCGGCATGAGTGAAGCTTCTTCATATAGGGCTGGGGCGGTCTATACATACCACGATGTCCTTGCCGGTGAATGCCCGAGGGTAGGGTATACTGCCTTTAACGTGCGTGCCCCTAGGCACCTTGTCGCGTAGTCTCACCGCGATATGACTCAACAACGCAGGATTGAAAAACCTGTCGTCACCCTCCTCTGACTGGTCTTCATCATAGAAGTCGTCTTCGTCGTCCTCGTGCCAGTCCCCAGCCAGCTCCAGAGGACGTTTGATGTCTTGCAAGGTACGTATAAAATCGTTGTCCTTCCACGACCGACTGGAAGACCCCACGGGGCCCTGCGCAGATGACGTGCGGGACATCTGTCCAGGTGTTGGCGTTTGCGCTTGTAGGTACGTCTGCGACGGTGCAGGTGAGTGATGCTCGTAACTGGGCCCTGGATGCACCCATGGTTCCGACGTCTTGGATGCGTGCGACTGGAAGGAATTGCCGCGGTCAACGGTGGTAGCCGCCGACGAGCCAGTGTAGGGGTTCGGGCTACTGGAACTGCTGGCATACAACGATGAGATTGACACAGTCGTTGCCACAGATGGATTGCGATCGAGCTGCGAGGGTCCGTTCGCGTATGACACCACCGAACTGTTGTAACCCGATGAGGCCGCCGAGCCGACAGAGTCGTACGCGCGACATCATGCATGGATCGGGAGGCTGGTGACATGAATTAGCCACAACATAGCGGCTTTGAACGAGACTCACGATTTTGGCTAGAGTACACCCCAGCTGCAGTCTGTGGAGGAGAATAGGCGCGGGACTGGGGAGCAAACTCGGGAGTACTCGCGTATAGATCATCCATGAAGGAGCCTGAAGACCTGCCGTCGTCTACACTGTCTCTAAAGCCTGGTATCTGAGGAGCTAGTGCTCCGGCTGGTCGTGCAGGAGACTTGTAATGGTGGATCGAGCCGTTTGTTTCCGACGACTGTCTTCCGACTGCAGGCATGGGCGACGCTCTACCAGACACGCTGCCTGCAGTGCCCGGGCGAACAGGTTGCAAGGTAGGGGGATACGCCTGGGAGATCGGCCGTGGGTCGACATAACCCCCGTTCAGAGGAGGTAAACGCGGTGGTGGTGCAGCTGGCGGGGAGAGGGAGGCCGGCGGAGAGTAAAAGCCGTTACCTGATGTTGTAGAAGGTGAATCGACTGGAGTGTAAGGTAGTCTGCGATTCCTGCAATCATGTGTGAAGAGATTGCTAACGAGCTGAACAAACAGTCACATACGGGTCACTTGTCCGTTTCGGAGGGAGTGGAGGCGGTGGAGGTTCGTCAGGTATCCGCTGCTCGGGCATGCCATATAGAACGTGTGGGGGCGGGGGCGGAGGAGTCTGCATTGGCGTCGGTTGCCCAGGTATGCGGGGTAGAGGTCGTGGTCCACGGAGAGTAGGCGACTGCACACTCGGTGCAGTGGAGACTGGGCGAGCTGAAGGTCGTGGAGAAGGTGGGATACCGTGGTGGCCTTGGCCTATTGGATTGAGCGACCTGAAACGGTCGGAAGTAAGCGAGGGGCGACGTACCGCTGCGCATTGGCGGTGTCATGGTAAGGCTCTGTTGCCGGGTCGTCGTCGGCGTGTCACCTCCATCTTCGCCATAGTTGTTGTAGAGCGTCTCGAGCTCTCCCTCGCTGTTGCGCATCGTTTGATCGGCAGCAGGGGCCTCTTCTGCAAACCCGGCCAGCACTTGATGGTATAGATTGGCCAAGTCCTCGTCGTCCGGGCTAGAGACATGGGGAAGCGCTGCGGTGGACATGCTGTCAACTATCTAGAGTTCCTAGACTAGTGAAATGCAGTGCCCGTCTTCCGTGTATTCTCCCGCACTCTGCGGGTCGTGGACGTGCCTTGGTGGCAGGATCGTATGGGTAACCGCGTATATCGCCTCGAGGCAACCACTGGCAACTGCCACTGCCAGGCTGAGCACACGCCCGGAAGAACTGCTACCACCATGGCATCATTGTCCACATAAATGTCACAAAACTCTGCTTACAATCAATCAGTTTTCGGTACTTGTGTCGCGGTCGGGATGGACATAGAGAGCGGGTGCAATTCTCACTCGACTCGCAGCGGGTCCCGACCACCTGCGAACCGCTCGAGCGCGCCGACAACGGCAAGTCACGTGGTTGGCATTGAACGCTCTGCATATCATCAAAGTGATCATTGTGCTTCACATTGGCTTCACAGCAACGTTCCGCTCAGCGGGTCGACGATAACATCGTCTCTGATTCTCCACCTTCACACCTGCGATCATCCCCGGTAGTCGACAAAGAAATGCTATCCGACGAGACGCACAAAGCCACAGCATCCCGGACAGCATCGTCTGTCCATGATGTGAGCGCCGAGAAGCCACCGTTCGGGTCTCGGTGAGTAGTCGTACTCCTCGGATAGGGTCAATAGATTGACCATGGAACAAGCGGCTCAGGTTGCTCACTTTAGAAGCTGACGTATGGAGTCAAAATGCATGGGATCATGTCCCACCTCCCGACGACCAGGACGAGATCATCAATGCCGCGCTCGCGAGACAAAAGCTCGCACCAGTACCGGAGGACGAGAAACAGAAATACAATGAGAAACCCGCCAAACATTGGTAATGCACTACTTTTCCTCGACGTTGTCGTAAAACAGTGCCTGACCTGGGTGCCGACAAAGGGATAACTTCTACAAAATGAATGCGAACAATTTCTTCAAGAACAGGAAATGGTACGTCAGCCTCCTTACGACTCGCTCACAAAGATGAAATGCTGTACAAGGCTGCACTTGGAATTTCCGGAGCTAGTCCACGCAACACAGCCAGAGGTAATTTTACAACAGCGCCGGTCATGTCCCTTCTGACGTCGTGCGAAATGGATAGGCAGGAGCTGTGACCATCGCAGAGATTGGCTGTGGTAGGTCTGTGCTCTCTCGCTAATCCAGGATCCGTGATGTATTGCTTTAGGTGCCGGGAATGCCGTCTTTCCAATATTATCCTCCAATAAGAACCCACATCTATCGCTACGGGCGTATGATTATTCTTCGCATGCTGTCAAGCTCGTGCAGGCAGGGCAATTTCGTGTTGGCGACATGTCGTCTTGGCTCACTTCCTCTCCAGACAAACCCGTTGTACACGTCTCCTCCCGTTGGCTCTATCAAGGCCGCAGTATGGGATCTGTCATCATCAGAGCTACCACCCGATGTAACGCCTGAGAGTGTGGACGTCATCGTTCTCGTCTTTGTTCTGAGCGCACTGCATCCGCATGAATGGCAGCGCGCGGTTGGCAATATTCACAAGGTCTGCACGTGCACTGTTCGAACCTTCATTCATGTATCGCTGATGTTCAGGTCCAATCCGCAGATGCTGAAGCCCGGAGGGCTAGTACTGCTGCGCGATTATGGTAGACACGACCTAACACAGCTGCGTTTCAAAGGTGGCCGTCTGCTGGACGAGAACTTCTACATTCGCGGCGATAAGACAAGAGTGTATTTTTTTGAGCTGGGTACGCACTCGTTCGATGTAAGAAGGAATGGTCTACTTATTTCGCGGTCACACAGACGAACTGGCCCTGTTGTTCACCGGGTCCCTAGCTCCTTCATCATCCAAGATCAATAATCACGTTACCGTGGTCGAGGAGGACGACGGAGATTCTGGTGGCACTACCGATCAGCGATCAGCCCTCCCTAGCTCATCACCAGGCCCCTCGTCGCCGCAACCGCTAGAACCAGAAGTCACCGTGCAGGCTCACGAAGATGGCACCGTGACCCCCTCCTTGTCTGACCAGATTCATCCGTGTCTTCGCTCGGTTCTTACCTCCGAAGGCACTGTGTCGCTGTTTTCCATCGAGCAATTGGGCGTGGACCGCAGACTCATCGTGAACCGGAAACGACAATTGAAAATGTATCGGGTTTGGATGCAAGCAAAATTTCGGAAGCTGCCTTCATGAACGGGACGGTGGATGTATCGCGATTCGAGTATGGGGAGACAGCCTAGAAGATATAGTTTACAGTCTGTACGAACGAATGATAGCAGTTCTTTTACAACCAAGAGGTGTAGCCGAATCGTCTCTATTTGCATGTAACATTGGCAAGCTATTTGCTACCCACATACCGCAGTTCGCCATCCCAGGTAGCGCGTGGCTTGTACCCAGTTATCATACGTTCCTCTACTGTCCAGTGAGATCTTGGGTTTGGGGGAAGATTACGACCACGACGCATTCCCGCCCAGTTCTTTGCAGTACGAAGGTTTTGGTAGGTACATAAGTAATACAGAAGCCCTGACCTGAGTTCTCTGGGCCAGTTATATACACACTATGTAGATGCCTAGATGCGTGCGTAGTGTGGGGTGGTTGCTAGCTTTCCCCAGCCCGTCTGACTAGGCAAGATCCGTATCGCGGTCAGACATTGTAGTGAGCGGCGGCATTTTACGTACTTACGACCGTGCCACATTGCTACAGCACCGTGCACGGGATTGTTGCGCACGCCACACCCAGGCTCACTGGCAGGAGAGCGGTTGTTTGCGCTTGTTAGGATCCAAAGCCTCTGCCTGCCGTATTCGTACAACTCTTCTTCTCGGCAGTCTCCGTGGTCGTTCCGTCGACGGCGTAACTTATGCTGGCGTATGTCATTGTCACGGTCGATCACTGCGAGGTCTTCGATATCCCCGCTCTGTTCGTGGTGGCAGTCCAGACGATCGTACGGTGTGCTAAAGCTCGCATTATTTCCTCGTCCACACGCCATGGAGGCGTCAACCAAGAGAACCCCTTCGCCGGGCTCAAGCGTCAAAAGACCACAAGCAAGCGAGTCAGACCTCTCCGCCTCTAAACGTCCCAAGCTTGATGTCAACGAAACCGTGACGGCGTTGGATTCACCTCCAAGCCACGCTCTCCCTGAGAGTGCATCTGGTGGTTTCATCGAGGGCCAGAAATCCGCTACAGAGCGTCCAGACAAACAAAAGTCTAAGAAGGGGCAACGAGGGACCAAGGACCGCAGACGTGGAACACGGAGAGAGGATGCAGAACCCAGGGACAGTGAAGAGCCCAAGACTCCGCGCCTGCCTAAGAGGCCGTGCGTGCTGTTGCTTGGTTTCTGTGGTTCCGGCTACAGTGGCATGCAATTGTACGTGCCCAGTTGTTCGATATCTGTGATCCCCAAGTAATTTACAAAGATGATGAAGTCAACCAGATCAGTCGGTCCGCACTATCGAGGGCGTCTTGTTTGACGCACTCGTCAGGGTGGGAGCTGTCTCACAAGATAACGCAGACAATCCGACCAAGGTAGAGGATTGACTCCTCATAGTGCCATTATGTACGAATTCACTATCTGCAAGGTCTCGCTCGGTCGTGCCGCAAGGACGGATGCTGGTGTACATGCAGCGGGAAACGTTGTCTCGTTGAAGCTTATCAATGCTATCCCCGGTGTTTCTGACCTGGTCGCGCGTATCAATGAGGAGCTTCCCCCGGAGATTCGGTTATGGAGCGTGGTGCGTCAGTCGTTAGTCCCTTCATGATATGCACTAAGCCTGTTCAGCTCCGTACACAAAACAACTTCAACGCAAGAACGTTTGTCGCTCTCATACTGAGCTGCGCCCTCATCTATTGACGGCCCCGGAACCAGGTCCTGCGACAGCCGGAAGTACACGTATTACTTCCCCTCCTACATGATGATCCCTCCGAAGCCAGGCAGTGGCCTTCATCAAACTCTACAACAAAACGGCACTGAGCCCCCAATACACCCGTTTGGACAGAGCGCGGCCCGATGCCGACACCGACGTTGACCTTCGTCGAAAGCGTGACTATCGGATGCCTCCTGATGTCCTGGAGTCGTTACGAGCCACGGCTCGCAAGTTCTAGGCAGTCACAACTTCCACAACTTTACTGTGGACGGGAATTCGGGATAGGAGTTGCGCGCGCTACATGAAGGATATCAGCGTGAGTGAACTCGGCTCAAGGCTTGGTCTCATCATTGACGGACAGTGTTCCACAGGTCGCTGACCCAGTCGTCTACGGGGACACAGAATGGGTCAGCGTGATGTTCCATGGGCAGAGTTTCATGCTGCATCAGGTGAGTCTTGTCTCGCGTCTTCATACACTCCTGGTGACTATTGTGTGGTCATCAGATTGTATGTGCTAAATAATATTGTCTTTGCCTAGACCAGCGCTGAACTACTCGCTGTCCAGCGTAAAATGATGTCAGCATTAGTGCTGGCCTGTCGCACCGCTTCACCCCCTGATATCCTAGACGAGGTATGTCTATCACGCCTCGGCCGAAGCATACATCCCTGATGTTGCTCAGCTTTATGGCCCGCGGATGGTCTTCATCCCCAAAATGCCAGCACTGGGCTCCTGCTCGAGTACCCCATCTTCGAGACCTACGCCAAGAGAATTGAAAAAGGGAACGAGAAGCTGAACCTACTGATACAGACTATCGGCCACCGATACCTTCGACATTCATCGGGAGCTGATGGACCAGTTCAAGGACACGCACATCTATCCTCGAATGCGAGAAATGAGGACGAAGCTGGAGTGTATGTTTGCAATTCGCCTCGCTCTTTGCGTCTCGCTCACAGCACGTTCAGCTTCGATGCATGGATACGTTCCATCGACTCTTATTCTGGAAAGACTTGCTCTGGCTTAACTCCAAGGGCATCATCCCGGCCGCCGCAGTGATCCATAAAGGAGAACGTCGTGCTGGCCGCTTCAGAGAGAGGAAACACTTCGACTCGACCGGTTACCCGACGATTACTGACGACTCTACAACGGTCGTAGACGAGGAGGCGGAAGAGGAAGATGAAGCATTAGACAAAGCTAAATTAGACGATATGGAGGGCTGATGTCATATGTACCTCCACCTGATAATACATAAAGTCTGTCCGCATACGTATCAAGCCAAAAGATCTACACATTACGTACATGGCGGCCTGTTCGGCAGTGCTTCTTGACAGCCGTTACCGTGTCGTTCACGTTCATCCGGCCTGGAGATATACGTGCAAGAGCGTGACTGAATGAAGCCAAAGCAAGGATGGTTTGTAGCGGTGATCGTTGGTGGTGGCGTCGGTTCGTATAGTCGTCAAGTGTGGTCGATCATGACTGGAACTTCCTCATGGTTTGGATCTCATCCAAGAGAGCTTGAAGTCGGTCGTCATCGATCTTGACAAGACTGGGAAGGGTATCGTCGTCAAAAATCGTGCAGGTCAGGGCTTGCGATGAACCTCGCACCTTGGGATGACACTCTTCGCTTCTTCGACATCCGCAGGGCATAGGTTGGCTATTTGCGCTGTTTCAAATTGTGTCAGAGCAGGCTCTCTCCGCAAGGTCCTGATTGTATCATTAGTGAAATGCTCTAGGACGATGGCGTTGCACAGCGTACTCTCGAACAGCACTGGCAGAATCCGTGGTGTTGAACTTTGCGAACGTCTTCACGTACTCTAGTGTCTTGTTATAGACGCTTCACGTAGATGAGATGATGGTCCAACACGTAACTAGATGCACATACGCAGTGTCCGGGGCATCCTTGTCTCGATTCTCGAGAAGATACTTCACCTCCGAGATGAGCAGACAACCAGCATTGTTAAATTCTGTGCATATGTGAGCACACGCAGGTCATAATATGATTCAGACAGCTGACCTGCTCCCAGCTTCAGCACCGACGCATCTTCCTCCTCGACCTGGGGCCGGTGTCTCAATCGCGGGGTCATGGCGGTTGGTGGGAGGCTGTTTGCGCTTGTTAGGATCGCAAGCCTTTGGACAACAAGCTCAAACAGGATCTCCGATCGCGGGGCTGCCACAGTGGCCGCCGCGTCTAACCCCGGATGACTTAGCCGAGTCGCACGCAGGCTGCGTGCCGCCCTCGCTGCCATTGAGCCAGTCACAGCAGCCCCGCCTCGTCGAAGGCACTTTATCTCGCCTGCGGGCTCTTCAAGAAACTCATTCACCCTCGAGGACAGTTTCGAGATGGTGCAGACGTACGGAGCGACGCCCGCTGCGGTGGAGGAACGCGGACCAGACCTCCAGCCTTCGCAATCCGGGGAGAGCGATGCTCTTCTGGGAGCTGACGCCAGTGCGCGTCGTCCAAAGAGAGACGGGCATGCTACGCTTTCGAGTTCAGTGGGAAACCTGGCGAATACGATCATTGGGAGTGGTGAGTAATGCGAGACACCACATGTATGGGCACGGTTAATCACTTGTTCAGGAATGCTAACATTCCCGCTGGTAAGTTGCTTGATGTTATGATGCTTGGCTCGAAGTCTGACTTTGACACGCTAACCCAGGCCATGGCTTCCGCTGGTATTATACCGGGAATCATAACCTGTATATTTTCCGGCTCAGTCGCAGCCTTCGGTCTTTACCTGCTCACTCTATGTGCGACAAAGGCACCGCACAGGAGGGCGTCATTCTTCGCGATTGCGGAGCTCACGTTTCCAAGAGCGGCCGTATTCTTCGACGCTGCAATCGCTATCAAGTGCTTCGGCGTGTCTATCAGGTAGTCAGCCTTTGGTGTCGTCATGGGCTCGTTGATGTTGATGTTATGAGCAGCTATTTGATCATTGTGAAGTCTCTCATGCCCAACGTGATTGCTGCGTTATACCACGACTTGTCACTTGGCGACCCCCCTGCCTGGGCACAATCCGGTCGTGTCTGGATTACAATCCTCATGGGAGTCCTCTTCCCGTTGTCTTTCATGCGCAAGATAGACAGTCTTAGACATACAGCTACATAGCACTCTTCTCCGTTGGTAAGTGCTCCCTCGAGCTCTCAGGAGAATGTGAGCGTCGTATTGACGCAATATCTCATAGCTTACCTCGTGGTGGTCGTGATTGTATGCCACTTCTCCCCCTCGAGGGCACGCAGGCGCCTGGCGAGATCCGTCTGATACATTTTACGCCGAACTTTGTCTCGACGTTCCCCGTGCAAGTGTTTGCGTATACCTGCGCTCAGAATGTGAGCCATACTTAACCTTTACAAAATCCACACTAGCTCACAACACTTCGCAGATATTCCCCATCTTCAACGAGGTATCATCGAATACACAGGCCCGTATGAACATTGTTATCGGCACGTCCATAGGTTCGGCTGCATTGATATACGAGATCATCGCTATATTCGGCTACCTCACATTCGGCTCCAAGGTACGCATACGTCCGTATGTTGCTTGCGACCCTTGTGTGACGGCGTCCTGCGTTAGGTTGGCGCGAACATCATTGCGATGTATCCTTCAACGTCGCTCTTCATCGCAATTGGCCAATTCGCAATTGCGATCCTGGTCATGTTCTCATACCCACTTCAAGTGCACCCATGTCGCAATTGTCTAGACAAGGTTTTCCACATAGGTCATGTCGTGAAGACTCCGACGGCGAAGAGGAGGTAGAAGACGAACACGGCGGCAGCCCAGACATGAGCCCTCTCAAGCATATACTGCTCACTGTCACTATTGTCGTGTGTGGATTTGCCATCGCCTTCTTTGTCGATGATCTGCAAATGGGTATGCCGCGTCGTCGTATATATGGACGTATCGCTGACATGTCAATCGGGAACTTGCCGCAGTGCTATCATTCGTTGGATCCACTGGATCGACTACGATATCCTTCATCTTGCCCGGTCTCTTCTATTGGAAGGTCGGTACACCCTGTCAATACATCGGTATTGCGCTGACATTCCTGTTTCAGCTCTCACACTCTGACCCCACCGCTAACAAGTCCTTGTCAAAAGCCGCCCTCGCACTTGCAGTATACGGCATGTGCGTCTTCGTTTTCTGGTAAGTGAAAATTTTGCCGCTATACATACCTCTCGTTCTCACTGCTTCACTTATTCAGCCTGAGCTTCAACATCTATCAGGTCGTGCGCCCGTCCTCGTCTGTACAACATTAGCGTAGACCTCATCCGTAACTTATATCGCATTTGCTCATATGCTTCAACTACGTCTCTTGAATCTGGATGATATTCCGGGACAGCCACTGGTGTTTGAGTACCATATAGTGTTCTTGGCTCGTATGAGATCTCTATAGAGTCGCAGTCGCCGGCCGTGGCGCTTGTGCGTGCGTCTCATCAAGCGCCCGTCACTCTGACAAGGGAACAACAGGCGCCCGTGGTCTAGTGTTCCTCACCCTCAGACCTGATGTGCCCTCCCCTTGCCCGCGCACAAATCCTCTTTCCCTCGTTCAAATCGGCACAGTAGCGCTCATACAAGATTACTAGAGCATTGTAGGGTGTGTATTGTCGTGGGTTGATCCCAAATACGCTCGACAGACTGAGGTCGTTCCTGCAGCCTGGGCTGCGCAACTCCACCGCCGTCCGTGAAGATCCTCCAATTCATCGCATTGTCGCGAGCACCACGAATATCGTCATCAACCTCCTCTCCTTGTCTTACATCAATGGCGACCGCAACAATGAGTTCAAACGTGGCCACAACATCTAGGCAAGCGCGCCCGAGATTCATAGCAGGCACACGATGGCCTCGAATGGATTGATTCCGTCTCCCTCGCTGGATGCAATTCTAGCAGCCTCGCCACGTAACCCATCCCCCGACACGCTGCTGTTGTCCAGCTCCCCAAATTCCGCAGATCTTTCGTCGTCCGGGAGTAACACCGAGTCTTCTGGGGAACCCGACCCGCAGATCATCGAGGCTCTTAGAAGCAAAGATCGACTTTACGTGCTCAAACTCGGTGAGCAGATGGAGAGTCTCATCTCTGAACGCGGGTAAGTTCCATATCCGTGCTCCTTCTACGACGTCGCTTTTGGGCGCGATTTGTTATTCACGGTTGCTGTGGTATGGGAGCCTCATCAGCTGGGTTTCTTGGGACCTGCCCATGCGGCGCAGTACTTTGACACTATGCTGCTGTTGAACGGGGGTGTTGTGGAAACCAAGGCAGACGTTGGGTAGCTGCGAATACTGGGTGGGATGATGGAGCCGCTGGTATTTGCGACGCATTCTATACCCGTGGGCGCCGTTCATCTGTTGCGTGGATGCTCTTCATCCATCGATTTCATCGTCCATGAACAAATAGCTGACCATCGCGCTCTGCCAACTAGGACTCGAATAACGCTTAGCCCGTCAACTACCTACCAGCGGATGCTGGTCCACAGATGCTCTGCTTATTACAAGCTCCAGCCCGAGAGTGATGCCGCAACAAAAGGCATCACAGTCTTCTATCGCTCAGAGAGTCGAATGTGAGTGTTTAGTGTTTCTGCGCTGAAACATGGCTCACATCCCCTGTCAGTCCCGTTCGCAGGATTTGCGAACTTGTCCCTTTGGAGGAGTCGGCGCAGCCGACCATCAAAATCATGAGACGAAGCACCAATGAAGGTCCGAAGAGTCGACAGAACTCGCAGGCAGGGTCTGTCACTGGCGAGGAAGCCGACTCTTCAGATGTGGACGAAGCTGGCAGCATTGTCAGCGGCCGAAGTGGGCGGAGCGCTGCTACAGGCGGTAGCGCGAAGAGGCACCTCACACTCGAAGAACGTGAGGCGGCGTACAACGAGGCTCGGTCACGGATATTCATGGACTTCGAGGAGAAGGAGAAAGAGAAGGAAAAAGACATGAGCGCAAACTCGTCGACTTTCAGTCTTGTATCCGGCTCCGCTTCCACCAGCGGCGGTGGGCGCGGCAGTAGTATTGGCGATTTGGACGATTCCGCTAGTTCTGCCGCGACGGAGAGCGAGTGGTCAGGGCCTGTCACTCGTGACAAGCGTGATGGTCGACGTGGAGGATCCGGAGGCTCGTCATCTCGATCTCTCAGATCATCGAACACATCATATAATGCCAATGGATCAGGCAGCTCGCGCAACTCTAGAGCCACGTCACCCTCCTTCACGTATGCATCTCTTTACGAACCGCCCCCCGTGGATGTCCCGTACGGTGCTCCTCCAACAGGGTACATGCCGCCTTACATGTATCCCTACGGGCCTACTCCAGGACACACGCCCACTTCGCCACCGTATGGCTACCCGTACTATATGCCCTACGGGTATCAGCCTCCTCCAACCGACTCGGCCAGTCTTCCGGCGCACGAATCCATGTACCCCCCAAACCCTCCGCACATGGGATATTTGCCCCCATACGGATGGCCCCAGACATCGCAGGCTCAAGCATATCCCCCACCGCCTGCATCGCAACATCACAGCCCTGGAAATGGTGGACTTGCGCTTCCCCCTCTTCCTGCGCATCCATCGTCACCTCAGCATCAGCAGAGCGCCACACAGCCGCCATATGCGAGCTACTTCCCTTCACACCAGTACAATCCTTACGCGACGTATCCTCCTCCGATGGCTTACCAACCGCAAGGCCAGTACGCACCGCCTCCGCCGCAGCTTTATGTACCCGACATGGCCGCCAACGGGTCTGGGGGATACATGAATGGCGGCGGAAGTGGAGCGGGCAGCAGCAATCATAGCCGCGCGTCTTCGCGGAGCAGCCATAATGGCCAGAGCAAACGCGGCGCTCCTCGAGCGCGGGCATCATGGAGCTACGGACCTGGTGCTGGGAACAACGGATACACGTACAACTTAAACAGCATCGGCAGTAGCATGGGAGGGACCGAGACGGTTGGACCAAGGTTAAGCTCTTCCACCAGGAGAATCTCAACGACATCAAGCGCGGGCGGCAGTGCTGGAGTTCGAACGCCCGGCGACGAGGCTTCTTCGACTACAGTGAGTAGCCTTCTTCCCACTTGCAACGTCTTTCTCTCGATCCCGCGCTCGAGTCTTGAATCATGTTAACGGATATATTTCATTCCATGTATTCTCGCGCTTGCTTTCTCCCCGTCGTGTGTACCCTATCTCACAGTCTTCCTCCACAACGTCTTCGCGAACAACGTACACCTCAACGTCCTCAAAGCATCCCCTACCTCCAAGACCAGATTGGGCAGTGGGCCTGAAGGCGGAACCAGTCCTGCACGCCACACGGCATCACCACGACCACAGCAACGCAAACTCACGAAACATGTCTCCCGCGCGGCTCGGGGGGCAGAACCAGCATCAGCCACAACCCGCCTGCAGGCCAACGACTTCCCGCCGCTTTCATCGGCAGCCGAACGCCGTGCGCCCACCGTCGCTGGGGCGTGGACGAACGCGTCCTCCACGCGATCAATCATAATGGCGGGCGCACAGGGAACACCGCGCCGCAGGGTACCGCGCTCGTGCATTATCCCAACGCGCAGCAGCCCTCTGGCACCGCTCCGCGCATGGAGGACCACGAGTCTGGCTTCGACCGGCCCCGCCCAAGGGGAGCGCGGAGCTTTTCAACCCGAAGGGCACGCCTCGCGCGGCTGCACCACGCGGATGGGCTCAGGAGAGACAGCGGAGTCCTTAAGCAAAACGGTTCAACACAGGGCGATGCTGGTTCTGTGACGGCTCTGGCGGAGAAGGTTGGCGGCATCTCGTCGAAGAACGTCAGGGTGAGGTCGACGGCGCACCCAGTGCTGCCCGAACGGCGTGTCGGCTCCCCGTCGGGGTCGCAGCTGACGGCCCGAAAACCAGGTGAATCGTAGGTGTATACATCGCTCTCGACGTGTCGTATAGCTATCGGGACGCTCTGACTTGGCTGTCGCATTGTAATTGTCTGGTCGACTGGTGTATTGCGAGTACGTTATATCGCCGCGCGCATCACTCGCTGTTGTATTCGCATATCTTGAGAGAGAGTAACTTAGAGAATATAGCCACGTAATGAGCATTCAACATGTAATGTGTGTGTGTGCACTCGAGGCAGCATCATATAGTAATAAGTTAGCAACATGCGACAACATGCGACGCTACTGATGTACAATCTATCATCATGTGGATGCAAAAGAAGGTCTAGCTATGATCAGCGAGTCAGCCGCCTGAACCAACGCTTCAACGACGCGAACATGTTCCGTCTTGGCCTCGCCGGACGCGTGAACGAGTTTCTGTGTGTGATGGACGTCGCGGGCGACCAGGACCTTGCCACCAAGTCGACTCTCGGATCTCTACGCACGGGTGCCAGCTTGCTTGGGCCCTCCCCTGGCCCCGCGCCCTCCTACCACTCATCACCGGCGGCGATGATACAGGGTCTTCGGCTTCGGCGGCGGCTTGCTTCGCGGTTCGAGGGGTCCGATGAGCAGTTCGAGGCCGCGGAGATCAGGCTGCTTGTGCGGCTTCGTGTTGAAATGTGAATGGGTGGCCGGGGCGCTGTGTGGAGGGGCACGGTGCGACGGTGGGGGAGGGTTGGAATCGTCAGGGGTTGGCGGATCCGGTTGAGAGCCGGACGCGAGGACGAGGCCTGGTGGACGGTTATTGCGGCCATGCTGCCTGCGCGCGGTGCGGAGACGGGGCAGGCGCCGGCTGTGGAAGCCGGGCGCGGCGGTCACTGTGAGCGAGCTGGACTTACCCACTAGGAACTCGGGAGCGTTCTGAGGACGGGACGGGGGGTCAGCGCATGGTCGCTACGCGCCAGGCGCGGTGTTTGCTAACCTGAGGATCGTACGTGAAGTACGGCTCGGAGTCTGCTTCGGTAGCCTGGGCGGCATGAGATGCATGCTGATTGAGGAAGGGGAAGGATGGAAGGGATAGTGAGCGAAGCAGCAGCACAGCAGGCTCTGGCGCACTCACGGTCTCGTCTGCGTCATTCTCCACCCACGGAACCTTCCACTTCCCCTTCGACGAGCTGCACCACAGGCCGTAGTCCGCAACCCATTCAACGTCCTCACGAATGGGCCGTGGCGAGCTGGGCCTGACACCACCATTCTCCGACAGACCCGCCTCGTCAACGATGTCCAGCATCTCCGTCGAAGAGTAAGCCGAGCCGAGACCAGACCTCGGGAAGTGGGAGGAGGCGGCGCTCGGTGGCGAGCGCGGTCGTGGTCCGATGGGGCGACGAGAACGCGCAACGACCTCTTGAGGAGGGTTATGTGGGTTCATGTGCCGCAGCCCAGCTGCGAGGTCTTCGAGCGCGTCGATAGTGGCGCCGGGCAACGCAGAGGCAGGGCGCGACGAAGCAAGGCTATCCGGGCGACTCATCTGATTCTGATCGTCGTACGCAACCGGCGGGGTGAGGTGCGACGGCGACGGGTACGGCAGGTCGTCGCCCGTCACCTTGAACTTGAACGGGTCGTCGTGCGAAAGATCAATGCCGGCAGCACCTCCATCGAGCCCAGGGTCTTCCATAGCAGGCGGCGCTGTCTGCGGTTTCTGGATCTCGAACTGGACAGCTGCCAACCGAGGATCTGTCGCCATTAGAATGCGGTGGGACGCCTGCGGTCCGCCAGCGGCACTGCCAGCGCCCAGCGGCGTCGCCGGTGCTGCGCGGCCGACATCGCGGCCTGCGTTCGCGGACCAGGACTCGCCGTGCCTGCTGCGCGCGGGGCCGAGATCGGGTGCGGTGCCAGGGCGCACTGCAGGCCGACGCACCATCCGCGCACCTGCGTCGCTTGCGAATCTCTCCAGGCCCTCGTACGCCTGGGGAGGCCGGGTCTTCGCTAGGATAGCGTTCCGTGAGGTACGGGCACTGGTCGACTCCCGGCCAAACGCAAGACGGAGCGATCCTCCTGGAGCATCGACATCCGCGTCGGAGGCGCTCCCGCGTGCAGGTGCTTGTGGGTTTCTGCCGTTGACGAGGCGAAGCTGCGGCCGGACGCGCGGGCCTCGTATGCGCGTCGACGGGTGGTGGGAATAGGCGGTGGGCGGCGGCGGGTGGGTAGACGTGGTGGGTGGCGGGGTGGGAGGGGCTGTCAAGGTTAGTGAGTGGGGCTCGCTGAGTGCGAATGGCTCGAAGGCCAGCGGCGGGAGGTAGCTGGGCGACGGCACGGAGACCATGAGAGTACATGGAGAGGCGAGGCGCAAAGCTCGCAGCACGCCCGCGGCGGGGCATTAGGGCTGTGTCGCGCGGCTGCTGATGTAGATGCTAGATGGTATTAGATGGATGCACGGAGGCTGTCTGCGCCGACTGACAAGATCAACGTTCGTTCAGAGCATCATCATCCAGACGCGATATCATCCTGGGGCGCCTCCCTCTTGTCGCGCGACGCTCGTGAGACTCGGACGTATCGGGCATAACCATCGTGTTCAGAACTCCTCCTCTGCGAGTAACACAATACACGTTGTAAATACGACGGCCGCCACCACGACCATGGCCGTGAAATGAGCCCTGATGGACGGTCGCATACGGGTGAGATGCGGCTATGTCCTTGGCAGATGAACAACAGGAGAAAGGACGCACTTGGTTGCCACGAGGAAGCCGCGCGAGGTCCGATAGTCCTTTGAGGTCTGATAGTACTGGAACACGCCGGCGCACAGAGCGCATATCGCCGCAGCGTAATCAATGGTCGAAATGGGGATGCGGACGCTCGTAGGGTCGCCGCTGCCCGTGCTGCCCGTCAAGCGAGCTTTGAGGAGGATAGAAGAGGACAGCAGGGACAGGAGCATCGCGAGTTTGACATGAGAAAGGAGGTTGCGTTCGAGCATTAGGAAGTCACGCGTCGTGCTGCCTTCATTTTCAACGTAGACTGGCATGGGTGGTGTGTGCTATTTGCGGGTAGGTGTTGGGATGTATCGGTGACAGATGCGATACGGTGTCCTAACCGCATACCCATCAGGAGAGTAGACGACACAGCACTGGTGATGCAAAACGCACCTCTTCCGCGTCCCGAGTGATTTTGTTTTGACCCCGTTTTGTCGGCTGCGTCAACCTCGGACCCAGAGAGATGTGGAGTGATGTCACAGGGCAAGTAAAGATCAGAGACAAGAGCGCAAACACGTTAAATGTCGTAGACAGTCGTTGCGGGTGAGTGGGAACTCAGAAAAAAAACCAAGTCGTCGCGCTTTAAGGGGCGCCGCGGGCCAAGTTGGCGAATTCGGAATACATGCTTCCCCCGATGCTCCATTCAGTTCTTTCTGATTTTGAGGCTTTAAGCGGACCTGATAAAGGCGAGAAATCTGGCAGACACACAGGAACAGCGTTGGAGACCTCCAGTAGCTGTGAGTGGATGATGGCAGTCGCACTGGGGTCGCGCTGGTCCCTGGGCCTGCGCTCGGGTTGGCGGCGGGTTTGTGGCGGATCGCGCAATCTCTGCCCTGCCGTGACCCATTCACCGCCGCACGTGCTACGACGCGTCGCGCGCCATCAGTACGCGCAGGTATATGTCCAATTAGTAGATAACCCCGAGGGCGCCCAGGAGACCGTCACTAGAACAATTTGACGTCGAACGCAGGGAATTAACCGGATAGGGAGAGAGAAATTACGCAGGAGCGAAGTATTCTATACAACTTTTGCGGATCTGCCGCCATTCTCAGTGGAAGTGGCCGGTGTAAAAGCGTAGGTATGGGTAAGATCGGAACGACATCTCGAGTTGTCATGCATGAGAAGCAGCTCTCGGAACGTCTTCTATGGAATGAATTCCGGGACTGGGTGGGGCGTTACTCTTGGATCCCGCGTTGCTCTCCTCGATGGCAGCAGTGATCGACAGCAGTTCCACGTCTTCTTCTTGGACTCCCACAAGCTCTTCATCTGTGTCGCAGTCGCTGCAGCTCTGCACGTCCATGCCTTCGGCTGCGGGGCTCCCTTGATCGTAGGCAACCGAGCCCGCCAGACTTCCAACCACCCACGCGAAACGGAGGTCGGATAGCTGCGATGCTCTGGAAGGTAACGTGGCTTGAGATGAGTTCGCTTCATGCAGATTGAGGTAGAAGCGCGAAAGAAGGATCGCCTGAAGTCTGCGCGATGTATGCATTCAAAGTAGGTCGTGTCGTGGATGACATGATAGGCAACTCACGCGTAGGTGATGGGGCTGGAAGGCTGGCCGAGGAGGGTCTATTTCGGGTAGAAAGTCAGTACATACAGTTTGATGCGCTTCGCTGGCGATACCAACAGGAGTCGCGTCCAGCGAGATATTGACTAGTCGAAGGATGAATATTGTGCTGAGCCAAGTCAGTTTCAAGGTGTCCGGCGTGGGTTCTGCGCAGACTCACACAAAATAAACAATGCCTGGTAGTGGGCCGTGGCACGAAAATCAATAAGTTAGATAAGAGCAACCTGATAATAACTGAATCACTTCTTACTAACCGTCTCTGAGGATGCGCGTTGTATAAGGAGTATTGATTTGCGCGTCATTGGCGGTCTTCGCTATGTAGGCATGGCGCCAGGTCGCCACCAACAGTAATGCCTCGGGGATTACAGTGGATGCTTGCCCGGTAGCGAACACTAGCAACACGGGCAAGAAGTCGTGGTTGTCAGTTCGTCTCAATCGCAAGTCAAGCGAAACCCTCCCGTACATGGCCTAGAACGTGCGTCGTGGGATGAGAGCTACTGGTCAGGACACAATGACAGCATGTAAGACGCACCGTTGAATCTGTGCTTTTAGGTCCCCAGATATCACGCAGCCAGCGGGGGGAGGTACAACCGTTGCGCTTATTGTACAGAGCTGATACTGATGGACATGTTAGCTTCGCGTGTGCGTACTAGTAAGCAGGCAATAACGAGAGAACGTACCATGTCCAACGCAGCGATTACCAAGGAGGACAGAGAAATGATGAATGCAAGAGGCAAGGAACGGTTGCTGATGGCGTAGGCACGCAATGCCATGAATGCTATTCGACACAAGGGAGATCGCTTTGAGTAGACAACGACTTGAACAAGACTCTCGCCAAGTCTTCACTCACCACCGGTAGCGACAATAAATAACACAGCGGCGCAAGCTTGCATCACATATAATATCCTGTTGCTGCGTGACAGCCTTCCGGATAAGCTTAGTCCAGACTCAGTCTAACTTCAATGTACCTCTTTTTGAAGTAATGTCAGTATTCCAACTACCGCGCAGAAGAACTTTGCCTTACTCTGCAGCTTGAAAACGCGATCTCCACCGCACCGGTGTACATATACACTGTCGCCGATAGGTGCAATAGCAGATACAGGCCAGTCGCTACTGTAATGCGTCGGCGGCACCATATGAGATTCACCTCCGACCCGAAGGTGAGACAACGATCATAGGTGTAGATCGCTGTGAATAAGATGAGATTGTCGTATGCACCTTCAAAGTAGGACTGAACTCACCGCACGCTGCCGTTTGACAGTATTCGATTGGCAATCTGTAGACCGCTGTCTCATCAGTAGTCTGAGAGAACACCGAAAGTAGTGCGACCCACAATACTTTGAAAAGCGTGATCACATCCGCCATCTCCTCTGCCGACATACTGTACCTGTAGACTGGCGTAACATGTCAAAAACTTACATCCTTATATATCCGGAAGCCATTGAGCCCTTCCTCCGAATGTTTCCAACGCAAGGCTCCGCAGTGGTCGATCAAGGTCAATGGGCTGTCCTCCGGGCAATATCACGCCGCCCATATCACAATTGCGATACTTTATGTGAACTGGTTGCAGTCAAGTTGTCTTGTGTGACTTCCCTGACATAAATATGCTTCGGGATGGACGCGATACGCGATGACGCCGGGGTCGTGGCGTGGTACCACCCGCGAACCACCTTCTGTGGCCCACTGTGGTACAAAGTGGCAAGCGGTGCTTCGTATCTATCCAGAATGCACGATTTTATGGCGGCCGGTCACCGCAAGTGCAACACCATCTGACCGCCCGTGCATGTCTCAGTCTGTAACCATCACTGACGTGAATGTCACCGAATAAACCAGACACATGCAGGATCGTACCGCAGTTCCACGTTGCATACCAGAATTACCAGAAGTAAGGTCCCATGAGCAGAAAAGGTTCGCTTGAGGATTTGCATCGAACTGCAGTCACAAAATCGCTCTGGGAGGGTCAAACGGCAGAAGCGAGCTGGACAGTGCATGGTACGTCCGAGTCGGACCAGTGCGCCATACTGTATGCATGCATATGAATCCTGGGCTTTAGATACGCACTTAGGATGCCGAAGTGTCTGGGCGATGACGCTCACCGGGATCGACGGATGTCGCTGCGAGTCTAACCCATTTGTGTCGAAACTTTCACTCCAGCATGTCAGAATCAGGTCCCGTTGTGACGCACAGCACTTGCATAAACACTAGAGCAATTTGACGGCGAATTTGACCGTACGCAGATGACCGGGGACGGAGATGAGGAAGAAGTTTTATCCAGCGACGAAGGAGCGTCAATTAACGCAGTCGGTGGCTGCAATCATAGCATGTCCGAGAGCCCGGCCCTCGGTGCTGTGGGACGACCGCAGCGTCGTCGGACGATAGGGCCAGCGGAACAGGTTGCCTCTGAGAAAAATAGAGAAGTGGCATGAGCCCATGGCGTGAGCGTGTCCGCGTACCGGCCGACTCGTGCGAACCACCCTCCCGGCAAGACCACGACCCCGCCCTCGCCTTTGTCCTCTCTCTCGTCCGCCTCCCACCCCCCGAGGCCCTCGCATGCTGCCTGCGCCCGCGCCCTCTAGAACCGTATAATACAGCAGTCCTAATCACGACCGGCCGTCCCTGTAATCATGAAAATCAGCCAGAAGATCGCCCAGGCGGAGAAGGAGGATCGCGTGTGGTGGTCCTTTGAGTACTTTCCCCCGCGGACGGCGCAGGTGCGTTGCTGGCTGCTGCTCTGGGGTGTCGTATGACCGTATCCCTGCGCAGGGTCTCCAAAATTTGCTCGACCGTATAGAGCGCATGCGAGCGCTCGGTCCGGAGTTCATAGACATTACATGGTGCGTCGTCCCCAGAACACGTCAGAGGGGTGTGTGAACGACAGAGCGCCGCAGGAACGCTGGCGGCCGGACGTCCGACCTCACCTCCGAGCTCGTCAAGACATGCCAGAAGCTCATCGGCGTCGAGACGTGCATGCACCTGACCTGCACGAACATGCCCAAGGAGAAGGTGGACATCGCGCTCAAGGTGCGTCGCCGCCTCCGCCCGCCCCCGCCCTCCGCCACTCACTAACCGACCACGCAGGACGCGAAGGCACACGGCTGCCGCAACATCCTCGCGCTGCGGGGCGACCCGCCGATGGGCAAGGACGAGTGGGAGGCGGTCGAGGGCGGCTTCGTGCACGGGATCGACCTCATCCGGCACATCCGCACGCACTACGGCGACTACTTCGACGTCGCCGTCGCGGGCTTCCCGCAGCACGTCCAGCTCCCGCCCGCGGAGCTCGCGCTCGAGCTGCAGTATCTCAAGGAGAAGGCGGACGCGGGCGCGCAGCTCATCTTCACGCAGATGTTCTACGACGTCGACCTCTTCATCGCGTGGGTCCGCGCCGTGCGCGCGGCGGGGATCACGATCCCGATCGTCCCCGGCATCGCGCCGATACAGACGTGGAACGGGTTCATCAAGAGCACGAGCCTGTCGCGGACGGAGATCCCGAGGGCCCTGCTGGACGCGCTGGAGCCGTACAAGAACAACGACGAGAAGGTGCGGGAGATCGGCACGAAGCTCGTCGCGGAGATGTGCAGGCGGATTCTCGCTGAGCCACTTGGCATCAGGGGCTTGCACTTCTACACGATGAACTTGGAGAGGGGCACGCGCATGCTGCTCGAGGAGCTCAGCCTCGTTCCGCGTGTCCAGACCGTCAAGCCGCTGCCTTGGAGACAGGTGAGGCCTAGTGTGCAAGCATCTTTGCATGTCGTGTGACTGATATATCGTTCACTCTTTAGTCGCTCACTCCGAACAGACGCACGGAGACCATCCGACCCATCTTCTGGGCGAACCGCACAAAGTCCTACTTGTCCCGCACCGAGAACTGGGACGAGTACCCGAACGGCCGGTTCGGAGACTCCCGCAGTCCAGCTTACGGCGAGCTGGACGGCTATGGTATCTGGATAAAGCAGACGGTGCGCCGAAACGACGACTTGACATCACGAATCCAGCTGATGCAGCATTCGTCCACCCGCAGAAAGAGGAGGCGCTTCAGCTGTGGGACCACCCGGCGACCGTCTCGGACCTGGGCAACCTTTTTGCCAAGTTCTGTGCGGGACAACTCGCAGCGCTGCCGTGGTCGGACCAGGCGCCGTCGTCCGAGACGAGCGTCATCGCGCTGCAGCTCGCGAAGTTGAACGAGATGGGCTTCCTCACGATCAACTCGCAGCCCGCGGTGGATGGCGCGCGGAGCGACGACCGCATACACGGGTGGGGGCCGTCGAACGGGTATGTCTACCAGAAGGTGACGCTTTCCCTGGATCGAGTTCACGGCGAGGGTGCTGATGCGGCTTGCTGCAGGCGTACCTGGAGTTCTTCGTGTCGCCTGAGCTGCTGGACGCGCTCCTGCCGTACATCGAGCGCGACGTGAACATCACGTACTACGTGATCAACAAGCGCGGGGACCTGCGGACGAACACGCACTCGGATGGCCCGAACGCCGTGACGTGGGGCGTCTTCCCGAACAAGGAGATCGTCCAGCCGACGATCGTCGAGGCGATCAGCTTCATGGCGTGGAAGGTACGCGCTTCGTCATCTGCCTCTTTCCTAGGGCGCTGACCTGCTTGCTCGTCGCGCCAGGACGAGGCCTACGAGCTCGGCCGGCAGTGGGCGAAGTACTACGAGGCCGGCTCGCCGACGCGGGCGCTGATCGACAGCGTCATGGACACGTACTACCTCGTGAACGTCGTGCACAACGACTACAAGCGGCCCGAGGCGATCTTCGAGCCGTTCTTCAAGGCGGGCGCCGAGTCTGCGGCGGCGGCGCCTGTCCTCAACGGACACTGATCCCCGCCCACCTCTCCACCTGTCATTACCCTCTGCCTCTCCCGCCCCGACCCCCGCCGACGACGTGACGACGACGACCACACCTAGGTTGGACTGCCTATTGTTTCCAGCACCATCCACCGGGTTCAACCCCCGCTCCTTCTGAAGACTGACGCTGCATTGCATCTATATCCCGGCATCTACTCCACGACGACCCCCGCATGTACCCATCGCATTGCTTTCCTTGCATCAACTGCATTTTCTGACGTTGTTGTCCCCGGGCCCGAGGGACATTGCATCCAACTGCATTACTTATGTATCATAGACGAACTGAACCGTGTCGACAGACTGTTGAACATTAACTTTAATGGGAGATGCGCGGCCTGTCTTTTCAACGGCACACTGGATGGAGTATTGTGTCGACAAGACGTCGAAGCAGCGCGAAGCTCGCTAAAGATGAGATCTCGCGCCCCGATTTCCGCGCCTGTGGCTGGCCGATGCGGTTCGTCCTCTTTCCATCATCACGGTGGGCTCGACGACCTGGCAGAGGGCCCTGAGCGGAGCAGCATCGTGTGTTGTGCCAGGATCCCTTGCGTCCGCCGCCCACATGACGATGCCGCCAGAACTTAGCCAGAATCTCGCCCGGCCGCGCACGACCCATTTCAAGACCGGCATGCCTGGACTGTGCCGCGCACTGCCGTCAGCTGTCAGTGAGTGATGGCAAGGACTGACCGCATATATATACGGTGAGGGGGTTGTATCAAGTCTGCACAACGAACACCACCGGACAACATTGTCCATCGTCCGTGCCACTACGCCGTCGCCATGAAGTTTCTCGCCGGCTTCCCCGCAGTGCGTATTGCCCAGCTCGTCGGGATCGGCGCGTCAGGCTATCTGTCTGGTACGAAGCAGCTCTCGTTTCCACGCGCGTCCGTCCGCTCACTATGCCATGCCATGCTAGGCTTCATCTCTTCATGCTCCATCGTGGGCGTCCCGCCGCTGCTCCTCGCCCCGCCCGACGTCGCGACGAAGCAGTGGGCCAAGCTCTACCACACCGGCGCACGCATCGCGCCCGCCACCGCCGGCGTCGCCTTCCTTGCCTACCTCTACCTCGGCTACAACTCTGGCCACTACATCAGCCCCTCGGAGGGGTACGCATACCTCGCCGCAGGCACCTGCACGCTTGCGATAGCCCCGTACACGCTCCTGACCATGATGCCGACGAATCACGAGCTGGAGGCGCTGGCCGAGAGTAAGGAGGCGACGGTGGAGGACGCCCGTGTGAAGTCGTTGCTCCAAAGGTGGTGGCGGCTGAACCTGGTGAGGTCTCTGGGGCCTACGACTGGGCTTGTGCTGGGGTTGCTTGCGCTCGGGGCTACTTCGCCTGAGCAGCGTGGTTTGCTTGCGTTATCATACTCGCCGTCCCTTGCTCTTTGACTTGTATCACCCTTGTAATGAACTGCGTCCCCTCTGCCCTCCGGACTGATGCCCCTTACCGCCGTGCCGTACGCCGTCGTCAGCACGTCAGCTGTCAGTCCGTAGTGGTGCTTGCTGCTGCGCAGAACTGATAGCCTATGTAAGGTGAGTCGGCATCATGCAATATGCACAACAGAAACCACCCCTAGGCCTACCCCGCCCCTGAGTCTTCATCGCCACCATGACCTCCCCCGCCGGCCTCACAAGCGTGCGCATCGCCCAGCTCGTCGGGATCGGCGCGTCCGGCTACCTCGCAGGTGAGTAACCCGGTCCTCCCGCCCACACCCGCTGACCGCGCGCCCCGCCAGGCTTCATGTCCTCCTCCTCCCTCGTGTCCATCCCGCCCCTGTCCCTCGCCCCGCCCGCCCTCGCCGCCCGGCAATTCGCCACGCTCTACAGGACCGGCGCGCGCATCGCCCCCGCCACCGCCGTCCTCGCCGCCCTCGCCCACCTCTACCTCGCGTACCAGTCCGCCGCGGCGAGCCCGCGGGAGGGGTACGCGTACCTCGCCGCGGGCGTGCTCACGCTCTCGGTCGTGCCCTACACACTCGTGAGCATGATGCCGACGAACAAGGCGCTATTGGCGGTGGCTGAGTCGGAGGGGGTCGGGAAGGACGCGGCGGGGGACTCGGCGGACGAGGCCCGTGTGGTGTCGTTGCTGTGGAAGTGGAGGGGCTTGAACTTGGTAAGGTCCTTCGGCCCTGCTGCTGGATTCCTGGTAGGCCTGCTTGCGCTTGGCGGCTACTTCGCCTGAGCATCCGATTCTGTGTGTACCGTCGTTGTTCGTGTTGCAGTGATGTGGTGGGTACCCATTGCTGTCGCGCAGTGTGTTTTCGGTGTGTCCCCCCGCTCCTCCCCATGTATGTATTTCACGCTGCGCCAGTCGAGAAAGACCATCCGTCCCGCCACCAACCCAGAGACGCACAGAACCACAGAGCTTTGAACGAATACAATTGACGCGTATATACTACCATAAGATATACAAACGAAGCAGATCAGTGTCAGCCAGCAGAACCCCAGCAGCGTGTGCGTGGCATACATGTCGGGTATGTCGGGCGACGGCGGTCGGGGTAAGTCATTATTAGTGCGCCTCAGCCTTGCGTATCGTATGTCAGGTCAGAAAAGAAGAAATCGCAGTTGCCCGGCGGGTTCCCCATCGCGAGGCCGCTCGGAATGTCCACCTTCTCCCCCGTCAGATCTGCACGCCCGCCCGCCCGCAGTCAGCACTGCGCGCCCGACCCCATCGAAGCGGCACTCACCGAGCAGCTTGATCTTGAGCCCGATCTCCGTCAGGGACTGGATGAAGTTCTCCGTCTCGCGCGACGCGACGTGCGCGCCGTCGCGCCGGAGCATGTTCAGGCCGTCCGTCCAGTCCGCCCAGCGCGCGAGGTCCGTCGCGATCTGGTCCGCGAGCGCCGTCCCGCCCGCGGTCAGGAGCGAGAACGACAGCGGCGACGCGGCGAGGGGCGACGCGGGCATCGCGGCCATGTCCACGTCGCGCAGCTGGTTCCCGTACGGCACGCACGTCCCCGTCGCGACCTCGCTCACCGTCGCGAGGTCGATCCGGTCCGGCAGGTCCTCGAACCCCTTCCGCACGTAGAACTTCACCTGGCTGTCGACGTAGTGCAGGTACTTGAGGCTGTTGTCCTGTGATGCACGGTGAGCAGCGGGGTCAGACGGGGAGGGGGAACGCGCACAAGCCGCATGAACCGCCACGGCAGCGTCGGGCGGCGGATCGTCTCGCGCGGTCCGGCCGACATCACCGGCATGCCGTTCATGAACCACGCGCCCTCGAAGAGACAGTGCATCCGCTGCTGCCTCACGAACTCCGCCGACTCCTTGTACAGTTTCGCCCGGAGGTTGCTGTGCGTACGAAGCGTGAGCTCGGGAGGCGGCGGCACCCACGTAGCGACAGAACTCACCGCATGGGCACCTTCGCCATGATGTCATCCTCCATCTCGAGCTCCTTCATCTGTCGGTCGCGGACGGCGCGGTACTCGCTCTCGAGGAAGTCCTGTTCGACCTCGTGCCATGGCCGCTCGTTCTCCCGCCGGAGCGCTACCTTTACTCTGCAGCGAGGCGCACATCAGCTGCTTTCCGGCTGTATGAGGGGTGTACGTACTGGCTACGAGCGAGCGCTATGAGCCGAGGGAAGTCGCCCCGAGAGGCGCCGCTCTCGTTCCACATGCGGAGGAAGAACTGCGTAGCCAGTGCATGGACCCTGTAGAAGTTGAGGAAGAAGGGCTGAAAGGTCGTTGAAGTCGAGTCTATGATGGCGGTAAGCCGATGTTAAGAACTCCGAAACGACGGAGTACGTACACCCCGGCGCGTAGATCGCCCAATGTTCCGAAAGCAAATCGGTCACCTCGTTTGACGCTTTAGCGATCGGGCATCTTCGCTCCTCTGGGCGGCTCAGCTGCTCTTGTACGACCTGGAGACGCCTCAACGCCGAGTATATTATGAAGACACCATTCACAACTCACCTTTGTCCAGTAGTCGGGATCCTTCGCTACAAAGTGTCTCTGACGGGCATCCGCGTCAGTTCCCCAAGCTCCTACATACATGACTGAAACGCTTACCAGACATTGCAATCCAAGCAAGCCAACCTCATGGAACTCCTGTGAGATATCCTCGCTATCCAGCCCAATCTTCCGCCATTTGTATATGTCGACGTTGATGACCTCCTCGTCGACCTTGCTGCTCGTCCATATGTACTTCAGCGCAGCGGCGTGCGAGTCCTCGGTGTCTGGCCAGACCGGTGTCGTCTTCATCCTGTCCGTGACGCGCATCATGTTGGCTTGGAAGTCGAGGATGCAGGAGGTGAGGTCTTCGATGGTGTGTGACGACATTAGACGCTGTTTCAAGAACTTCGTCAGTTTGGCGGTTGGAGGCAGAGGGTGCGCACGTACGATGACCGCCTTGCGCACGTTCAGCCGTTCGAGAGCTGAGGTGAACTCGTCCCAATGCACCTCTGTCGCATTCGCCAGGAGGGAATTGATCAGCATCATGCTGACGAGGGAAGCCGCATTCAGTGGACGGTCCATTTTATGTTAGTGTATACACAAACCTATATAGCGCCATGGTCGTGTCTGCACTCCCCAGGCGGTCGACAACGGTCTCGAGTAACCGCGGCTCCTTGCGCATCTGCTCGAAGACGGCATCAAAGCCGTACCTATATATCGATCCTGGAGGTGGTGCAGGCAGTCCCTTACTGCTACTGGCGAGATGCGCAGTCGGCCCGCTGGCGGGCGAAGCCTCAACGAGCTTCTTCAGGATGGCGGTCGCGGGCCTGCACACGTTGATGAGGGATTGTTTGGAGGAGATGATTTGGACGATCTTGAGTATGAAGGTCTCGTCGAGCGAGTCCCAGCCATGGTCCAGCTCCATCAGGTTTTGCATCGCTGTCAGGGCGTACTAAAGTTGCCCTGTCAGCTCTACGGTATGGATAGGCAGGTCATAATCGTACCGCTAGCTGATTTCCGTGTGTACTGTTGATGACTGAAATCAACTCGCCCAAACCATCCCTGTTCAGGAATTCATCGGCGAATTGCTCTTCCTATCCATTCATGAATGAGACACTCCCAAGACGGAGGTCATGTGGCTCTACCTTTATGTACTTTCGCAAAGACGTCAGCGCTAGTCCCAGCTTTGCATCTCTAACCATGAGCCGTTCCACTATCTCGGCCGCTTCGATGGCTGGGGCGTTCACCAACCTAACACACAGTCAGCGACTCCCTTCCACGGCCAGCCGGACGACGACGTACTTGAGATTCACTTTCCCCTTGATCTTCTTCCTAAGATTGCCATTCGTCACCAGCTCGCCGCTCTCGTCTCTCAAAGCAAACATAGTCGGTCTCTCCGAAATTTGCAGACTGACGCAGAGCTGGCGGATGACATCGTCCACAGGAAGAGTGGGCTCAATGCGCGTACGGACGGTCATGCCGTCCTTGATGGTAACATTGTTAGTGGGAACGAGACCGCTCTTCGATTGAGGGGCGTTTCCGTTGGTGTTGGACGTGCCAGCCGCCTTTGGTGCTGCTTCTCCGTTCGTCGCCATTGCGAACAACTAGCGATGATCACCTGCACCAGACGTGTGTTCAGAACTGTCCACTGGATGTATTGGGAAGTGGTCGTGAATGATGAACATGGGAATAAAGTACAATTCATCAGGTTGGGAACCGATGAACCACTCATTCCGCAGATGAGCGCAGCGCATCTCGCACCTCCTATCTGTGCAGACTACGGCGCTCTAAGTACACTGGTGATAGGCGACCATAGTCATAACCCACGACAACCCCCAAGGAGTGAGTTGCATGAGACTCACCTACAGTGAACAGACGAATCCTGTACGTCGTGTATACACGTCGTTACTGGCTAGCAAGTCGACGTTCGGTTCTAAAAAGATCTCGGTCAGAATTCATCTTTCAATATGTGAATATAACGAGCGAAGAAAAGTCAGAGATGCGAATTGTCATCCAACGCGACCGAGGGCGCTCAGACTGACGTGCAAATAATGATGTTCTCATCCTATGTGAGGTTGAAGATGTAAGTAGCACGCACGTACCAGCACTTGGAGGGCCCGCTTTGCACGTTCTCCTTCGGGTCAGATGGATGGGTTATGATGGTCGAAACAAAGGTAAGAATAAAGATAGGATTAAGCAGTAGAGACCGGGTGACAAGGATAGCCTAGACGTCGAGAGCCTCCACCGGGACGTAGATTTGGGTTCCTAGACCAAAGGAATAGAGATGGGTATGATGAGAAGGAGGGGAAAGGAGCAGAGTAGTGTCGAAACAGCGGCGGGAGAGCCGTCGTCACCGCGCCCGTACTCGTCGTCGTGGTCGTTCCGGATGTGCGAGCCAGGTGCGAGCGCTTCCAAACCCATTTCTTCACCTCTGCTTGACTGCCGCCCGCTCCCCCGGGCGGTGCTGAAGATCACATCATCGTCTCGACCAGACCTGACTACCGATCACAGCCTCCAGACCGCGAGCATAAACTCGGCATAAACCCCGGAACACCGCAATGGTCCATTCATGTATGTATCGTGCGCCTGAGAAGACGGCGCACAACGTGGAGGGCACGCAGTCTGACCATGGACATGAGTGCGCCGTGGACAGTTATGACACGTCTCCCTACAGCTGAGAATACACCGTGAGTTATCGTCTCTCTGTTCATATGAGCTTTGACTGCAGATGTGCGTATGGCAGCGATCGCTCGGGAGGCGGGCCAACCGTTGTGTGCGCCCGACTCTGCCGGTCAGCCTCTCATCCCTGATATCGTCAAGACAGCCTCATGCAGCCCTGTGTTCGTCTTCGCCTTGGGCTAGCTGTGGTGCCTTCCTAGAGTTGTTGCACTTCTCAAGATGTCTGCACCTCCGGCGAAAGCCCCCAACCATGGGTGCACTTTGTCGACACATGGCTCATCGTCTTCTGTCTACTTGATGCGTGTCTTGAACAGCCGCACCTACGAGGACCTTAGATCGTACCCACTCCTCCTGCCGTCCTGCACGGTTGAATCACTTTCCTTTCACAACGTCCCTCCTTTCCCCTGCGACGCTGCACCTCCTCTGTACTTGAATGTATTCGACGCCAGCAGTCGAGCCGGCGATACGGCCTCAACAGATGGTTCTATCATCACGATTCCTACTCGTCCACGGTTGCGTTTCACGATGGAGGAGACCATCTGCATTGACTTGTGGAGGGTGCGTCCTTGACACTCTGCGTGAATCATCACTGACGAATCAGCCTGTCAGTCAACTGTTTCATGCAGCCCCCCTCCTGATGTCGAATTGCCAGCAAAGGAGTCTGTGCCACCTTCGGAACCCGTCTGGATACCTGAGGGCTCCCTTGTGTCACCGAGATGCTTCCGACGCCCGTCCGGGTGGGCGTTGAGGTACAGTGGCTCCTCAGAGTCTCATACCTTCGAAGTAAGCTCCGATGAGGACGAGGACGCTGAAATAGAGGACAACATCAATAACGACAAGAAGGAGGAAGCTGAACCTACTAATGAGGTCAGCCGTCCCACGATCCAATTGAAGTCGATGGGATGCAAGACGAGGGCCTGCACGGCTCTGGCGCCGAGCCCAAGCACGCTGTCCCGACCATCATGGTTTCGAACTCCACGGCTATTGTTCCACTTTCGCTGGAGTCCTCTCAAAGCCTCGCATCCCCCCTTTGGCCCTTCGCAGAGGCAAGAAGATGCTACCTCCAATACTGTGCCCCCATCAACCTGTCTCGTTACGCAGGCCTCATCGTATCCAGACATACCGTCTCCATTCCTAGGTTCTCCGTCGTCATCAAGACCGTCTTTCGAAGGGTTGGACAGCGAGCCCACAAAGTCTTCAATGGACATCCACGTCATTTGTGCGGACTTGTATTCGCGATTGCCTGAGATGCCTTACTCTCCATTGTCGCCCACTTCGGCAGAACCCGAAAGCCACTCGTGTGTTGTGGCCGGCAAACAGGCGCTTATGTCCCCCGTGGAAGACGACTGGGCCGGCCCGCAAGAGTTCGTTGAACAACACGCCGACCAGATACCTCAACTGTTTGAATACGCTTCTATCAAAACGCCTTCTCCTGCCTCCCCGCATCCAACTCGTGGGATATGTCGGTCACCCTGGTCGACATCACAGAAGTGCGATCGCCGGTGACGCCGCCGCCACCACCGGATGTGGACGCGAAGAAACATAGGAGGAAGACGGTCATAATCGAGACCTCGCCCACGCCACGCACAGCCTCCTCGCTGCCGGCGCAAGCTATGGAGCCAGAGGAAGATCAAGCAGAGCAGGAGCCGATCCCGTTCGAGACGCCAGCGGGCAACCTCCCCTCGTGCGCCGCGTGCCACCAGTCCGTGCTAGTAGAATCGCGCCCCTTGAGCACGGCGAGTATGCGCCCTGTCCGAGGGATCCTGAAAGGCAAGAAGAGCGTCCGTTTCTCCATGGTCCCGGAGTGCGTCGATCATACAGAGGAGGGCGGTCAAAAGGAAGACATGGCGAGGCCACGCTCAGGCTCGGTCCCACCAGTCTCTGCCCCTCGCAGTTCGCTCGCTCGACGCAGCTACGCGCCTCCGGCGCGTGGATCTCCAGACAACTCGCCAACGAAGGAGAACGAACCTAGCTGGCCACGACACCCTGCGCTCCGCGCCATGGCTCGCCATACGACCGACATGACCACCCCTGAAACGCCAACGCCCGCCATTCTCACGGATGAACGACGTGGGCCCCTGCGATCCTTGAATGCCCGTCAGAGCCTGCCCGCAAAACGCAGCTCGACGGCGGTTCACGCTGAACAGCCTGCCCGCAAGAGCATTGCTGTCGGCGACATTGGGAAGCCCCGGCGGCTGATGAAGGCGGCATCGATGCACGTCTCAAAAGCTGATGCGGAGAATGTGGCCACGAAGCGGGGGTCTTTGCCAACAAAGAGTCGTATGCCAGTACCTCTGCGTACTTTTTTGACGAAGCTGAGAGCATAGGGGCGGTGGTATTGTACGGCTTTACATCGACTTGTACCATGGCAGTGTCTCTTATAGTGCGTGGTATACTTGCGTGATTGTAGTCTTCACAACGCTACAGATTCTGAGTCGCACATGTAGACCGCTCATTCCGGGAAGCAATTGTGTGACACACTTGCGCGCGCTATTTATTATTGATCGTCTCATGTCAGATCGTCAAATCGGTTTCAACTGGCGACGGCCTATGATCCTTTGTTGATTGCTTGCGAACAAGCCGGACGAATCGCAAATGCAATCTAGAAGAGAAGACATAATATAATGTGCATGTGCGTCATAAATATGCAGGGGAGATGAGCCGTTCAGCGTCCTGGCCTACTGGTGGTAGCGAACAATATAATAATTTACACAGCATGACGAATTGATAGCGAATAAATAGTCATATCCTGATTGTAACATGAGACTTCCGAATGAGTGCAATGGATGACAGGGGAAGGATGCACTAGATCTGGGTGAGCATAGTTTGAACGAGCACCCGCTGCTGTCCTAAAGAGGTGTCAGCCCCAGAAGTACAGGCGAGTGATAGAAGGACATACTGAAAAGAGGTGAAGTGATACCCCACCAATCCATAGCAGACAGTATCTGACTGAGAGGGGCGAGCAGAGCGGCCTGGTTGGACGAGTCGATCGCGTTCTGGGACTTGAGGGTCATGATACCGCGTACAATGATTTCCGCGGCGAACGTAAGGACGTACTGTAGGGGAAGGTCAGTCAATAGATTTCTTTCCCGTATACATAGGTATGACGAGGAATTCTACGTACGGCAGCACTTGGCTCCATGTACTTGATGGCACCAAGGTTGACTTGTTGCAGCACAATGACGGCGTTGAGCGCGGTGGTCCAGGATTTGCCTTGATACATCACTCCGGCGTGGTCTATGGGCTTGTTGAGCTGCAGCGTGGCGCAGTAGACGATCAGATGGATATTAAGCAGCTTCCGGAGAATGTCAGGCCGCGACGTGTCTACGCCCGCCAGTGGAGGCAAGTCGCGCGCCAACTGGTCGATGCCACGGTCAAGGTAGGTGAAACGTGTTGTGCTAGTGTAGTCGTCTGCCAGGACGGTAAGTCTCATCGATATCATCCCAGCAACTACGGCGGAGATGCAGGCTTACTGGGGCTGTAAGTCTTCGCGAGATCGCCCGCGTAAGCATATAATATAGCTGCTTTGGACTGCAGGGCTACGTAGTGCCGGTCGCGATTGGGAGATCCCAGAGATTGCATGTAGGCTTGTATGGTTCGTGAACCACGTGCGCCTGGAGGCAGAGGATTCTGTGAAGGAATCAGCAGTGGAACTCAGCCGTTGTCACGAGGATCAGGAAGCCTACACTTAAGTACGCGCTGACGTCCATCGGCCATGGTGAATCAACGATCGTGCCCTTGGCATCGTCTTCCGTAAACGCAGAAGGCGACGAGAGCGTTATACTCAGACACTTGTCGAGGATGAGAACTTGCCAGAACGCATTGATGCGTTCACCCTCCTCAAGGCTATCCGCCGGAGCGCTGAGTTGGTACTGCACGCCACTCGCAGGACCGCCAGACGAGCTCCGCGAGCTTCGAATGAGGTGCAGCTTGCAGGCGAAGGCGATGGATGTTGCTGCGCGCCAATGGTAGATGCTCTCCATGCCGCGGTTGTTGTCAAGGAAATAATATGTCAGGAGGATTTCGGTCTGAAGAACATACATAATCGTAGCATTGTCCGCGCCGCCCGACAGTGTACGCGTGAGAAGATTGAGCACGGTGGCGAGGAATGTCGGCTGTTCTGCGCGTAGTTGGGCATCAGTGGAAAACTGCGCCCCTGCGAGGTAGATGGCATTGAGAAGTAGGGTGACGTGGTTGGGGTAGCCAGTGCTCGGCGGGAAGCCACCTGTTGAAGGAAACGTGGGATGTGGAGGAAAACCCGAATGCAGAGGAGTTGTGGAAGAAGGTGCGCAACCTAAGCACTTGCGTCAATACCGTCCAAATTGGGGAAAACAAGCTCACAAGGCGTGCAATGTCTGGTTACGTTGTTGTGAGGGCAATGCGCCGCCCCCTTGTGACCTGCGGAAGGACTCATAGGGGTCAAAGAGAGTAAGAGGTGCCGCATTGACGCTCTCCAATTCGGCTATACGCAGTTGCAGCTGCGAAACTTGCTCCTCGAGTATTTGGCTGGCTGTCAGGCCCTTGCCGTCCGAATATTCGCAGTCAATGGCACGACCGGCTTTGGTACATTGTCCACACGCAGGATGCATGCCATCGCACCGCTATGTAAGGAAGAGTTAAATGATGCTCATGACGCAAAAATGTATGAGCTAATCACCATCTTCCGACGTCTACCAAGTACGGCGCGTTAGGGTCATCGCGAGCGGTGAATTAAAAGAGCGTACCGGCACCTGAGGCAAGCCTTGCCTCTTTCAAGTGTTGCTGCAAAGAACTTGACGACGCCATCGGTATGCCTTGCTTCGCTGGTAGTTCTGTGTCTGTAGTGGTGACTCTCCTCCTGTTTGCTCTGAGGATTTATACCAGCACGCGCCGTCCCGATGCGTATCAGGGTGGTAGCCAGTCTCATCCCCAACATTGTTACGGTCGATGAGCAGTGCTTGAGGGTCCCACCTCCAACAGCGGCGGTGTACGTGCTTCACCAGGGCCAGGGCTGCAGCGGAGCGCACATTCCGCGAGAACCTTGGTGTTTCCTTGTAGAATGCACCACTGAAACGAGCCTGATTTTGGGCGTAATGATGGTGCGGTATACAATCGGGCATAGGTTTCGCTCTCAGTGCCTCGTCGAAGATGCGGACTATAATGCCCTAACTGCCCTACCTGCCCTTCAGGGAATGACACGTGACCGCGTTTCCTGACTGGCGCCGTGCAGACTGCCCGACCGCAGGCTTCGCCTACCGGAGTGCCGTACAGCTGGACGAGTCTACCAGCGTGTGCAACAACGTTAATGTCTCCAGCGGACGTGCTGAGAACCTTTGCAGCGGCCATGGCCTTCGATCGTGCAGAGGGAATGTATCCATGAACGCGGTGGCCCGAGCTGGCAGCTCAGTATGACACTCCGCATCAATGCAAATTTTGTCTCCAGCAGTTCGTAGACAGACCGTCCTGAGCCCGCTGGAGAACATTCGACCAAGACATGGCTGTCAGCTCGTCACCGACGGCTTAGCGCGGTATGATGGGATGTTTACTTACAGTAACTTACGAATTTGAAGGCATCGAGATTGTGAAGCATCACGTAGAGATAGACATATTGCAGTGCTGCTATCGGCGTACTCCGCTTCTGCCGCGTTCGTGTAGTTGGTACGTACTTTGTTCCGGGGGCGTCCGCGTTCAATCTTCCAGTTCATCTGAGGTTGCAGATTGGACGTGAGTCCGAGCGCGAACTTGTTGCACTCCGAACTCCTCATGGAGCTGGTGTAATGATGGATCGAGAGAACAAGAGTAGACAAACCCGGTCCAACTAGCGTTATAGGTCCAGATGGTGACCGGAAAGCAGTACTCGCGTGGCTCACCGCGTGCGACCTCGTTCACGCGCGGATGGCGCGCGCGCGCGCTCGGTCCCACGCTGCGGCTCCGTATGTTTCGGCATTACTTACTGCACATTATAACTTATTGCACGCTCTCCAGTTCATGCAGTATCCTCGCCGCTCTAGCTCGATGATCCGTGAGTCTAAAGCTTATTGTTCCATTCATCGAGTTACTTGAAAGTGGTCTCCGTTGACCGAACTCTCTGTTGCACAACCGCGCGCCCACTGGCGTTACACGTATGTAAGACCAAAATGATTCTCAATGTCAAGGGCCGCACTGCCCCCAACTCCTCCGTTCGCCGACTGTGAGTTTGTTAAGTCATAATGCTGTCACTATCATGACTCTTCACTAGGGAATGTTCGCTGAGACTCCAGCTCGTTGGCGATTCATGATGCATAACTGATCTGCGAAGCTACGAGCCCGGCATGGACTCAGTCACCATGACAGGTCGGCATTATTTGCCCGGACACGCCAATTGCCCAGAGCTCATGTCAGCTTTAAGTAAAGCCCCTTCTGTTGTCTTCTACATGCAAGTACGACTCGCTGATCAACCGATCACCGGTCACCTTTCAGCCTCGGCTTTCTTCGCAGCGGCGTAAGCAAACGCAACCGTGTTACTGCTAATTTGTCATGTGCTCCGCCACGGGATGCTGCTTATTCACAGATGTTATGCAGTGGTTGCTGTTATAGTTCCTGCAACTCGCTGGTACATCGCTTTGATGTCATCAGTATGCTCCGGAGCATAATCTGCACATGCAACGGTGACTGCACAGGGTTATATGGGTCTGCACGACACACATTGAAGAGTTGTCATGTATGTCATCAGCTCACTGAGAACTTTCTACCGTCGGTAAGCAGGGTATGACGAAGTTCTGATTGAAACCTGACGTATATTACGAACAGTTCAAAGCCTGTCACGCAGGCTTGAGCTTGAACGCTGAACAACTAGGCCATTCACGTTATGATCACTCTATGCATCTCACTCTTCACTGTGCAATCAGTGGTCAGCACGGCGATTGTGTGGCCGTGGGTGCATTGGTCTCGATTACGTGTGGTGGCAACTTTTTGACTGACCACGACTAGCAGGTTGAAGCATATTGCTCGGTGTATGGCTGCCTTGTGTGAGTAAACCTTAAACTGTCCTTGCGTTCCAGGAACTCCATCACCATAGGCCCGTAGCACATATTGGCAGTCACCAGCAATTTGACTCAAAGAATCCCGGGACAACATCCCCGTGATTCGGTGAGCTTTGTGTCTCATCATTGTTGTGGCCATTCAGTCCACACCAGCCGACGCCGCACCACTGGTCTTAGAATTGGTAGCGTGCAGTTCTCGACATATCATCTGTCCCTTGCGGCTCCGAAGTGCGCCGTTCGAAAGTCTATCTGCTGGCCTCCGCCGCTATCCTTACTTGTTGCCCTATCAGAACGTCCCCAAAATGGCGCGCAAACCCCGTCAATCGGGGACTTCCAGACCCCTGACTTTCACATTGTGGAACGTATGTGGCCCCAGCAGATCTGTAGGCTGTCAGCTGCGATCATGCACATGCCCTCGAAGCTCGGAAGGCAGGCAGTACACTCGTACCACATGCAGCTTCACTCATTCAAATACTAGCTTTGCTTCCGAGCAACTGTCACACAGCCATGGGTTCCTACATCCGGACATGTGCCCCGTGAGGATTCGGCGGACAGGCTCCGTTGAGTCTCACGGCAACCACAGTTCTGCTGTTGATCCTACCCCGCCTTCCCTACCGGTTTGTCTCACCTCCGAATTCCTCATCTGCTTGGATGCAAACGGTACTTCGAGTCTTCTTCGCCTTGCGATTCTTATGGTAACACGTGTTTCAGCTGTGTGACTGCCGCTTTGCTGAACCTTCGGGCAGGTGAACTGATTCCTTATGGCCATCACCAGGCAGCTGCTCCGTGATATGTAGTACGCTATCCTGCGTGATGCATCGAGCATAACGCACCCACTGCTGGCCCGTGTTGCGAGGTGAGTATTATTTTGAATTTGCCACTGTGGCACTCTTACCAATTGAATTCGTCCGTCTCTTGATCGATGATAGCCTCGTGTTCTTCCTGCTCCTCCTCCCATTCAGCCACTGTGCACGCTCAAAGCCCGATCCTGCTGGCAGCAGAGCTTGTTTGAATTTCGGAATTCCTCATTGCGTCATTAGAGAGCATCTCGTCTTCTCTCCGACTTGACGTCGGAGCATTCTCACGAGTGGTTGGGCTGACCATGTCGATATGCTGCCGTCACCCAGAGGTATGTCCTGGTGCTAATGTTGCCTGCTTCAGGATAGGCACGCCATAAATAGCACCGATAGTAGGAATGCTGCAGGATGCTTCGCTTGCTAAAGTCGACAGGAGGCTATGCAGTCGCAAGAGTCGCCCATGAGTTAAGTATATACCTCGAGCAGCGTGGCTCTGAACTCGTGTTCGACCCCCGCAGGGACTCTGGCCACAGATTCAGTTCCTATTCGGTGGGTTCTATTCTGTAACCGAACTTTTCCGTTCTGATTTCTAAGTACTGGCCAGACATGTCACCGTATCACACTTATGTCAACGTCTGTGGATGCCCCGATCACACATACATATGTGCGTTGCATTCCAATGTCCTTCAAGTTTTGCTACGCTCAACCGATGTCCGAGTCAGACTGGCAACCGCGTATGGTGCGAGGTACCAAGTCTGCATCCGTATTTGGCTCCAGTTTAAATAGTTGTGCCTGACACAGAGTTCGGACATGCTCCCGACGTAGCGCACGAGAATGATGAACAAGGATGGACGAGTTTATCAAGAGGCTATCAATGCGGCATGCCACAAGACACAACATCACGGCTGTCCGCGCTCGGCCTCTCGGTGTGGACGAAGAGGAACCGCGCGCCAGTCTCACAATCCCAGCGACCAGACGCTGTAGTTGCACCGTTAGCAAAGAGCGCATCGCAGATCGCTGAGTACCAACACCATCATCGCCGAACGTCCGAACTGAGCACCGGATCCAGACTGTCACTCAGTCATTGGGCAGGAACCACAGGCATGCATGGACGTCCGCGGAATGTTATGCATGCCGACCGCGTATGTTTCTCCTTTGTTTATCCCCCCATCGATATGCCAATCAAGTGAATTCGCACCTTGTACGTGCGCGCGAGACGCCCTCCGAAGCCTGGGGCATGCATGGCGCGACACAAGCACCTCGGCCGTCTCAGCAGAGCCGCTGAGGGCGAGCTTCTCCCTTGATCATGAAGCGCTGAACCTGAACGTGGGCGCCGGCAGGTACGCCCGACAATGGGCCACGACATGTCCGACACCCGAACGCATAATTTACATCGTGGACGTCGACAACGGCGCGCTCGAGGCGACCGCGGCCCGCTGTGTCAGCGCTCGGGTGCAGACACAGAGAGACGGGGCACGGTTGTGCTCGGTGGCACTGCGGGGCGCTCGGGTGTCTCGCGATATTGGTGTCTTTCATTATTGATCGTTGGCCAGACCACAATACATTGGTGGTCATCTGCTCAGGACGAATGCTGTCGATACCACAATGTGCGAGTAAATCGGAATTGCTACGATCGCTGCTCTGAGTGCGGCGATATAAGTCACGCCCATGGCAAGGTATCATATATCATAGGTCACCGTGAAATACGCGTACTAAGTATGCACTCACGACTACTGAGTTGGTACCTGCGAGCGACGGGGAAGAGATCGAACAGGCAAGTCGTTGCATTCCCAGATCTGTACTCGTACTGACAGATGATAGATCCGCGCGCGCTGTCAGAGGTACCTGAAGGGGGAAAGGAGTGGTTTGAATTAGATCTGTCAGCGTGCTCTGTGCCACGCACGACATAGAGTGTTGATACGGTTGGCAAAGGCGGCGGGGGTGGTCCTGGGTGGTCGCTGAGTCTATCGGGAAGAGCAACGTGGTCGCCAGCCAATCGGTGGGTACCTTCCGCCGAGATAGCTCCTGTATGGTTCCAGTGTCAGGGCTGCAACGCGAATGGGATTACTTAGGCTCGTGGATATTAGGTTCGTGGACGGATGCTCGAGATGGCTTTGGACCCGATGCAACTTCGTATCCATCGTATCCACCGACAGGTCAGTGACCATGTAATATCGCCCAGTGACAGTGTGCGCACATGCAGCGACACACCTCGGCGCCGGTATCGCCAATAGCAGTTGAGCCGAATTGAGCATGCGGAATGCAGGCTTGTCGTAGCCTCATACCAAGACCCTCTACGCGGCGCCTCACACGTGAGGGGGTTGTGTCGAACCTAGGTTTGTCGGGCGTGCAGCCCAGGCCCGCTTCCGCTCTCACCATTGAAAGCAACGGCGCAGCCCTTAGGGTGTGGCAGCGTCGACATGGCATACCTGGCTGACGAAGTCACATTGAGAGCACACACGCATAGCCTCACAGCGGGGCCACCATCAGCGTTACCCTTGCACTGTGTATGACATCCACCCTCGAACATCCGCAGCCGACCAACCTACCTCCCGCGCGCCACACAACGCAATCACTGATGCAGTACTCCGCCGCATACCCTGAAGGCCCACCGGTCCGCGTGGAACGCCCGCAGGACAAACTGTCGATACCATCTCCCGTCAACGGCGGCCCTGCTTCCCTTCCCAGAGGACGCATCCCGCATCGCGTTCCCGGACGTCGGCACGTTCGATAGCGATCGTGCGGCGCGCCACTGCAGCGAGGTCCACTCGGTCCCGCCGCGAGTCTTCCCTGTCGCGCATCCGCTGCACGGGGGACCTCGATCGCATCGAAGAGCCCTCCACCAGGACCCTGCGCAGGGCACGATGCGGGGAGAGGCCGGGCTCGCTGTCCGAGAGCGGTCCGTCCTGACCTTGAGTTGCGTCTGGGATCCGTGGAGCGGGCGGGTGTCCCGACCGGGACGTGCAGCAGGCAGCTCAGGATACGCTCGTGCATTTCAGTGGCAGGGCCAGCCCGGAGCTAGGTGGGCGGAGGGCATTTGAGCGCGTCCCAGCACGCAGAGAGGGCCTTCAGACCGTGACGCCAATGCAGCACGGAGGTTGATCGGGATCTTCATGCGAAAGCGGGCGCTGAGTCGGGTGTTGAGTGTGGGATGCGGGGCACCGGGGGGCGGGGCGGCGTGCGCTTGAGGGTCCAGCGGGACCGCAGCCCAGCATTCCAGCGGCAGTGCGGCAAGACAGCAGCCAGAATGCAGAGTCGAGGCGCACGTACGAGCCTCAGCAGGGGAGAAGACACCGTGTTCGTCCCGACGCGCAGACACAGAGCGAATGCACGTGCACCTGCACACGTCGTTCATGGTTGCAGTGAGCCCGAGCTTAGCCCGAGCCGCCTGCGGTCTAGACCGCCTATGATTGTCAGGGACGCTGGGAGCTGCAGCACTCCGAGGCGTCCGGAGCCCTTTTCCGTGCAATCGCCTTGCACGAACGAAGATTGCGCTGGAGATTGCGACGGCTGATTTTGAAGCGGGCCGCATCTGGGGAGACGCGGACGTTCCACGCAGAATCGGAGGCGTTGCGAGCCTCGGAGAACACGGGCAGCGAACGTGTGTAGTGTTCGAGTACAAAGCCCGGAGAAATGTTCGGCGCAGAAGCGAGTCCAACCCGTTAATCCGTTGCAGGTCGTGCGCCAGTGCGACAGCCGCCGACGCGCTCCGCACATGCGCCCGAAGGTGGCAACAGCGGGGCGGGGCGGCTCACGATGTATGTGCCTCGCAAACCGACCGTTACAGTGCGGACAGGGTTCCGCCAGCAGTCTCCTCGCCGGGAGGCACGATATGCCATTCGTAGCCTAGGACGTGCGCCACGGGGTGCACGGCGTGAGTCGCGTATATGAGCGATCAGAGAGGCGTTGGGGCGGCGCAGCCACGGCTTGCGATCTGCTGGGCACCCGTCACCGCGCCGTGTCAGACGGAGGCGCGAGGCGAGCCTGGGAGGGTTCGCGGACATATTTCTCCAGGGGCGCGGGGTGCGTTCTGGGCTGGCGACTGAATTGGGCGGGAGGACGTCTGTGTGCGCACGCCAGTCAGCTGTCCAATCAGGCGCGGGGAGAGGGGGGGGCGCGTCAGGACCTCAGGAGCGCCCTCCTGAGATTCGCGTGCACGTTTGTTTCGGATTCATTGGACGCAATGAATCTTGACGACGACGCGGGCGCAATAGAGTCGTGGCGACCCAGTGTGCCGGAGCAGCGTCTCGGGACCCAGAGGGAGCGGGATGGAGCGTCTGGAAAGGGACGAAGGAAGAGAAGGCTCGCGCACGGCCCATTCAGCAGCGATGACTTACCCCGGGCGCGTGATGGTGCCTTGGCAATCGGCAGCGGCAGAGGTGCCGATGCAGTGTGCAGACCGACAACGACGCATCACCCGCTCGCGAACTCATGGCTTCTGACATGGCGGCTCGGGTGGCGAGAGGGGCGGCGGACGCTGCGAGGAATCCCCGTCGCGTCGGATTGATTTCGTTTGTGCTTCTCAGCTGGTGGGCTGGTCGAGGCGTGCGCGGTGTCGCTGGAAGGAGGCATCGAGATAAGGCGAGCTGCGATTGATAGCGGATTGCGTTTCGCTGTCAGGACTGGTGGCGACGGCGCGCGGGGGAGGGCGACGTGGGAGGGAGGGACGCTGCAGGACGGCTTGGCATGATGACTGGACCGCGACGGGTGGGCTGGCTCCGGAGGACGAACGGCTGTGGGCGGGTGCGAGCCTCGTGCCCTGCGACTCCCGGTCTCACTGCCACAAAGCACAACTCGCCGGCGAAACCAATATTATGCCTCCGCGGCCGGAGCGGTGCCGTGCGCGCGCTGCCATTGGCCGGTCGCGCGCGGCGTGTCTCGGCGCCGGGCACGGAGCGCACGGCCAACGCACGGCGCCTCCGTCCGTCGCGGCGCGGCAGGCCCTCCGGAGACGCCGCGTGGCGCGTCGTCGTTACGAGCGGGCAGCGGGTGGTCGCGATGTGGGGGAGACGCCGTGCCGTAAGGGGACGTCACTGGGTGGGCTTCGCGGCGGGGCGGGGGAAACGCGGCGTCGCAGGGGGCGATCTGCGCGAAGCCAGCGCGTGCGAGAAGGCGGGGGCGAGCTGCGTCATGGGCTGGTGTGCGTCCGCATCAGGCAGGAGGCGTGACACCGAGGTGACAGACGTCTGCGCCGCATCGCTATCTCAGTTCGCAGACAGGATCAATCGGATCGAGGGAAGCGTTCGATGGAAGGGAAGGCTGCGAAGCGGGCTGCGATTGGCAGGCGAAGACAGGGCGAAGACGAGAACGCGCATGCGGCGTGGTCGTGCGTTGGTCGTGCGTGTGTCAAGCGAGTGGGCAGCCCGGGGGCGGCAGCCATCCCGAGGAACGGCCAGCATCAGAGGTCGTATCCACAGGGATTTCTGGCCAGTGCAGCGGGACGCGTCGGATCGCCCCTTGGTGACCGGGCGAGCCCATGCAACGGCACCGAGAGCGCGGAGGCAGCTGGAGCACGAAGGTAATTGCGTGCGAGGCAGATGGTGGCGCACAGGGTGCGTCGCGGAAGAAACAGACGCGCTGGAGAACACGAGGCCCGCCGAAAGGGGACCCACGGGTCAGGCGCGCTGGAGAGACAGTGGACACGAGAGGAGACCCCAGAAATGTGCAGGCAGGAGACGCAGGAGGACAGGGGAGGAGAGACGAGCGAGGGGACGTGTCTGGCTCGCGTCGCGCTGTCATGACGCACACGCAGGCTGGTGCGCGTCAATCCAGCGCGTTCTTGATCACAAAATCGGGCGCGCGTGACAAGCCGAGCCGACGCGTCGGACGGGCGACAGGAGGGTGCTCACGACGGCGGGATGGCGAGGAGCAGGGGTGCGCGCGGGCGACGACGGGGCAGGCGCATGCAACGGGGGCGGAGGGCGAGACAGGCACGGGACGGATTGGGCAGGAGGAGGTTATCGTCCGAAGGAGACGGATGAACGGGGGGCCTGATGCGGCTGGAGGGTCACACCGGGCCACGGTCTCCGGAAAAGGGATTATTGCGAGGGCTATATCGGGCGTGCCGGGCACGGGCGAGGGGATGCCGGGGAGCAGGGGGCCAATGGGGGGGCGTGGGAGGAGAAGCGTGGGGACGTTCTGGAAGGCGATCTGGAATCGTATCTGGCGGAGCATGAACGGGTGATGGCGATCGGCAGATGGAGAGAGGCGCCGGAGAAGGGAGGAGACGCACGGGGCGGGAGACGGGCGTCTGTGTCTGGCCGTGGCCCTGGGCAGCTGTAAAGCAGCGTCCGGCCGCGTCTGGTGCTCGCCATGCCCTGCTGTGCCCTCGCGCGGACTTAGCTCATGCTCCATCATCTCCCCCGCCCCGCCCCCCTCACGCCCTTCCCCGCCCTCCACATCCCGCCGCCGCACCCCCGCCGCCCCGTCCCCGACCCCCGCCTCGTCCGCCGCGCCCCGTCCCCCACCGTGGACCGCCGCCCGCCCCCGTCCCCGCCCCCCGACCCGCGCGAGCTCCTGCTCCGCTCCCCCCTCCACGCCGACGCCCCGCCCAGCAGCGACGACGACTCCCCCTCGCCCCCCGACTTCCACTATGACAGCAGCGCCCCGCTCGACCCTGCCGCCGCCTCCGCTGCATTCTCAGACATGTATTCCGCCCACCCCGACGCCCTCGCGCAATATGCCGCGCCCCCCACCGCGAGCAGCAGCAGCGGCGCGTCCAACCCAGGCGCGGACCTCGACACCGACCCGTACGCGCTGGGCCGTCGCTCGCCCCCGTCTCTCCTCACCGGCGACCTCCTCCCGCACTCCGAACACGATCCCGCGGGCTACTCTCCATCTCCGCACTCGGAGTCGCCCAACATGGGCGCGCGCGCAGACGCAGGTACGTTCCCTTTGTCCGCGTCGCCGATGACCGGCCAGTATCCCCCCTACGCGGGCGCACCCCAGAGCCTCCCGACCCACGCGCGCTACCAGCACGCGCAGAGCAACCCCCTCCTCGACCGGCGCATGTCCGAGCCGGTCCTCTCGCAGCGCTTCGCGCAATCACAGGTCCCCCACCCGCAATCGCAATCGCAGGCACAATCACAGTCTGCGTCCCATCCGCCACAATATCCCTACGCGCAACCCTCCCAGTCTCCACGACCCGTCTCCGCGACGTACCCGTACCCGACATACGGCGCGGGCGCACACGGACACGCGCGGATGAGCTCCGGCTCGTCCGGCAGCCTCACCGATGGCTACGGCGCGACGCCCTCCAGCTGGCCCGGCCCGCTCAAGCACGATCTCGCCGAGGGGGCTGCACCCATATCACCCGTCTACGCAGGCAGTGTGAGCGGTTCCGAGGGCGTAGGTGGGAGTCCGCCTCTTCCTGGTTCACGGCTTGGTCCCGGCAGCCAACCACCGCAGACGCGCCCAGGCGCGCCACAGGGGCAAGGGTCACAACCTGTGCAGAGCCACGCAACAGGAGGACAGACGGTGGGACACGGACAGGGCCCGCAGCTGCCGGGCGTAGGTGGCACGCAGACGCAGCACCGCTCGGCGAACGGCAAGACGTACTCGTTCGTGAGCTTGCCAGGGAACGCGGTGAAGAAGCGGCCGCGGCGCAGGTACGACGAGATCGAGCGGCTCTACCAGTGCAGGTGCGTGCTCCCGCTGTGCCGCTGGGCGAGTCTGGGCGCGCGAAGCTGACGGCCCGCGCGCGGACTCCGCCTTCGTTCTCTTCTCCAGCTGGCCGAACTGCTCCAAGGCGTACGGAACGCTCAACCACCTAAACGCGCACGTCACGATGCAGAAGCATGGCCAGAAGCGGAGCCCAGGCGGTGCGCGCCCCTTTTCTTCCCTTTCTGTTTTCCACGGAAAGCTTATCATTCCTCACGGAACTTGGCTTCTGTTTCTTGATTAGAATTCAAAGAGCTTCGGAAGCAATGGCGCCAGGCGAAAAAGGAGCAGGAGGAACAAGAGCGACAGGCGCAAGCGGAACGCGAGGTACAGGTGCAGGCTGCGATGCAGGGCATCCCTCCGCTCGGTGTAAGCATGGGCGGTGGCGTTGGCATGGGCGGCATGTCTGGAATGCCGTCGATGATGCAGATGCGTTCGCCGCTCGCGCAACAGGGACATCCCGGCCACCATCCTCACCAGCCGCACGCCAACCCGTATGGCTACCAGCCGCGCGAGCTCGAGCACCACCGCGCGAACGTACACAGGCGGATGAGCATGGCCGAGCCGTATCCCGACCCGCACTCGCACCCCGCGATGAGCGCACATTCCTATTTGCCGACGCACTCGCACGCACATAGTTATGGGAGCCCGTCCGGCTACTCGATGGGCTCGCAAGGCCACTCGCTCGACGCCGGTGCGCGTTATCCCCCGAGTCCTGCGGAAGAGTCTTCGCATGCGATGCGGTACGGCCAGCCGCACCCTCAAGAGCCGGAGGACAGTATCCAGGTCCTTGCCCAGCAGTATCGACAACCGGGGTACGCCGCCCAGCCGCATGCTGGTTGGCAGCAGCAGAGCCAGAGCCACGGGCAGCACGAGCTTCGCCATCATGCATCACACCCCCAGCTGGGGATGTCGGCGAACGCGAATCAGCCGAGGCCTGTGCATCCGTACTACACCGTCCATCCCAACGCGAGCCCCTCCCTCCCTACGACCACGACGCCCGGGCACACCGTCCTCCCGCCACTCTCCGCGACCACTTCGGGCTTCTCGTCTCTTGCTGGAGCGTCCGGTCCGAGCAACGCGGCTCCTGATTTGCCTGCCCTCGCAGCCCACACGTCGCTCGGGCGTAACCACCTTCCGCCGGACAGCACGCTACTGACGCCGCTTCCGGGGTACGAGCCAGACCCAGATGTTGCGAGGCTGATGGAGGCACATCAACGGTACGGCCAGCCGGACGACCAAGATGACCGCTATGGCCGAGCTGGCTCTGGTGACGGATACTTCGACTGAGCGTGCGTGCGCCTGCCGCGCCCTCGTGTCCTCTGTGGCTCAACCCTCTGGCACCGATTACTCTCCTGCGGTGGCTTTCGACGGCCTTGCTGTGATGGTCAACTCGCTGCTTCGACCGTGATCGGTCGTAATTCGACTCTGGCCCGTCGAGCTCTCCGCCAAGAGCTGGCGAGCCAAGTCCCCCGAACATATGTGCTTCTGGCCTGCGGACGTCCCGTCAGCGCATTCCGCCCCCCCGCCCGCCCTCGACCTGCTCTCCTCGACCGACCCACCTGACTTATTGTACATATCCCCATTGCTATGTCGCATCGCTCCTCCTGCCAGTGCTATTCATACTAGTCCCGCTATTCCCCTCCTACGCTACGTATTGCGCATCTATTCCCTGCTCTGGATACCGGCTCCGCTGCGCTTGTTCTCCCGGCCGCGCGTGTCGAACGTTGCTTTGACCCGCTCCGCGCTGCGACCTGCTCTTCCTTGTGTTGTCTCTGTTTCCCGCCCAAACTACTCCCCGTGTTCCGCGCAGGCCCCATTAGGCCGTGTCGGTGTACCCATCCTGTACGTGTACGTGTAGTCAGCTTATAGTGATCTGCCCGTTCGTTCGTCCCTCCCTTCCTCGCGTTCTGGGTCCTTGACTGTACCGCGCCAGCTTTATAGGCTCGCTTATATTTCCCCCACATTATGCGCTTCGTGTGTGCCGCGTACAGTAGGACCTTGTATATAGTGGTCTGCCTGCTTTTGGTGTACATGCATTGTATTTGGTACACAGTAGATTCATCGTATTGGGTTATGGCAACGGACATCCCCATCATGACATAGATGAGCGAAGTACCGCGGGGATGATGGAGTGTTGCCCGCATGAGGCCCTGTCATCCGGAGCGATGTCGCAATGGGTGTTGGCGAGAGCGTCCGCCCGCTGCCGCCGTGCGCCCAGATTCAAATCAGAAGGTTTTGAATGATGGAAGTCGACCACGATGAGGCAAATGAAGCTGCCTATCAGACAGATCACGGCCGAGCAGCGCACAATCTCAAGACGTCTGCGTCTACATATGTCGTCGTTCGCCGGGCCCGAAGCCATGCGTGATGAATCGTCCCAGGTCCTCAGAGACGCTGTCACACTCACACTCATCGGGGCCAAGCGCGTCCCTGTTGAATTGCTGCGAGTGAATACCCTCCTCCTCCTCGGCCGGGGGTGCAGCGCCGGGAGAAGGGATCTCCCAACGTCATGAGGATATCGGGAAGGAGTAAGATTGGTCGGTGAATCTGAGACTCGACGACACTCTGGTCCGTGCCTTCCAAGTCCGTCCCGACAGGCATGCAGAAGGCGTACACCGTGGCCGGTGCGGAGTTTGGTCTGCCCCGCGCGCGAGCAGAGCCTGCGCTGTACGCCCGCTCGCTGGTACAAATCTTCTCATGGCGGAGACGTACCGTTGACCTGACGGGATCTTCATATGTACCACATCGAGCTTCCGGAAGCACCGCAACTGAAGGTTCAGCGAAGCTATGGAGAAGCCAGATTGGATAGGCAGATGAGTTTATCCTGCATATGGACAAGTGTCAGCGGTGAGAGCCTGGAATGCGATGACGCTCGCGGATTGAATTGTGGGGCAACGCGTTGAGGTGCTGCAGGTGTCAGATGAGCAAGAGTGGCTGGAATGCCAGACGTAACCTTGCGAGTGCAATCTGTCGAGAAGGGCGATATGTTTTGCGAAACTCACCTTGTTGCGAATAGACGTGTGAACGCGCACAGGAGTGCACGGGCCGGTGCGATCATGTCATAAATCGAGTGGTCGGGATGCTGAGACGGTGGCGTGACAGAGGTCGGTAGGAAGTGTGGAAGCATGAGCTCGGTCCCTATGGAGGTTGTCGGATGCCACGTTGCATTGTACCGTACACGAGAACGCTGCTTCAGGTTGTTTGGGACCTACAGCTCGGTATAGGAACCACACTGACGGGACGCGAAGTGAACGCCTGATCAACATTTCCGCTCGGAGAAGAGACAACCTTCTGTACGCAAATCTTTCTTCAACTCCGTGAGGATGCAAGTACTGGATGCCTTATGCGATGAATTGGGCCCACCCATGCACTCGGGTGTAACCGACGGTTCCGGCCACGCGCTGCACGGTACAGACTGTGGGCAGCTCCAGGATTTGGGGTGTCGAGGCGTTCCGCCTGATATTCACGACCGGAAGCTGACAAGACCCTGATCCTGCCTATTGTCTTCGATGGGCATCATGTGTTTCAGCGAAGCGCAGAAGGCAAGGCTTCGTCCTCGCGTCAACCAGCCTGACGTCCGAATCCTCCCAGCGTGTAGCAACCCATATATGGCAAGTTCAAAGCGCGAACCACGCGCCTGTCGTTCTTCCTCTGCTTGCATAATTCACAACCTAAAAACACTGCGGCCTACGACCGCCTTACCTTCACGCTGCTCGGACGGAGACACGTTGAGTAGTCCGCGCTGTCCAGGCGCTGTCTCACCGCACTATTATCGGGCTACGGCTACGACGTGCGTTGCCCCATTTGTACCTGCAAGGTCGCTGACGCTGTGGCATTCAGTACAGTAGGAATATGTTGTTCGAGGGCACGAACGTGCAGTGACATTCACAGAATATCATCGGTCTGTTATTCGCCGCAGCTATCGTATAGCTACCTTCTATGAATTTATCTGCAACCAATTGCGGTGATATACGCAATTCCGTGACAGACGAAGCAGTGAGGTTGGACCACCGTGGGGCGGCGGCAATAGGTGCATGCCCCTCGACACGACAGCAAGTACTTTACCCATCTGCAGGTCAGCGGGCCCCATGTAGCGGATAATGGCTTACACAAACCGTCATCTCCTTTAATATGGTTGGTCGTTGAAATTGTTGCATCTCAACTATCGAGTATATTTCCCTCACGGACGCTGTTGCAGGGCCACCCTTGCACCCTCCTAATGTCATTATATAGATGTCAGACGTCCAGCTGGGATACCTACGGTTTCTCGGGACTAGGTGAATATCCCTTTCGTAGCTGTTGATTTATACAAATGATGATGCGTTGTTTTTCCAGGAAACAGCCTAGACCTATGGGCTAGCTCTTACTAGCCTTCAGAGTCAACTCGACGCCCCTTTTCGACTTCACGGCGTTTTGAAGCTCGATTCCTATCCTTCTGGGTGAAGGTTTCATCAAGATCTTTCCACGAAGTACGTACCTTTCGCAATTCATTCTTCGCTTTGTAGCAGCGAGAGGCTAACATTCTAAGTGATTAGTATTGCATGTCGACTGCCGTCCGCTCATGAAGCTCTGCAGCGATCACGTCTACCGAGGTGGGAGTAGAATTGTTTTGTCAGGAATGTGTAGATTGGGTTGATCTGGCCATTCAGTGTGACGCGCCGAGCTGTCATAGCTTTTGATCCCTCCGTCTCGTGTATGGAGCGTTCTCGGCTGAGAAAGTCCTGCGCTTTGCACGAATTACATTGGCGGGGAATGCCGACAAACCACTGTGTTCCGAACTGTTTCGTCGCGGTCGCTGGGCGGCCAACCTGAGCAAGTCGACCAATGCGAATTTGCGTTGGGAGGACGCTCGCCTGCCCGTGCATGTCCTGGCGCTCTCTTTTACAAAGATGATCCCGCAATACCGGAGGTCATTTGCTGCATTGGTCGTCGGTAGCCGCTCTGTGAGGCTTCACAGCCTTCATGATCCTGTTCAATTTCATGTTGCCCGATCAGGTACGCAACAATCGTGCCGTCGCTGTAATGGGACTCAGGCTCTCTACAGGCAGACCTTCCAGTCAGGGTCTCGACATCGCTCGGAATAGGTCATACGAGCTCGTCCATATCGTGTTACGTACGGCGATCGTATTTCACATGCCGTATTCAGCACAGGGCGGCTTCATCAGGATTCACACTCCACGCACAATCACACAAAGGTATCCAATACCGGTATTCTCCACGGGTTTCGTCTGATAAAAACACCACCGCTTCACAGCATTTCATGTGCCTGCTACATCATCTGACCCTTACCGTAGACTGTACATGGCAGTCCTCGCGAATGATCGTTTGCTTTGCTGCGAGCAATCGCTCAGAACGCGGTGACCAATACTGGTCGCAGTTCGGCCGACCTACACAACTCGCGTGTAGATACGGATAAGCCTGAGTACCTGAGTGCTGAGCGCTGAGTACTTGGAGGTCACTGGTGGCAGACTCTAATCACGTTCAACTGGCCTCGTAACGGGAACTTCAAGTTCAATTTGAAGGGTGTCAAATGCCTTGCTCGAGCACAGCCGCTCGCTCTACAGGACTGCCATGATAAACACTTGTCGGCTCTTATGGTCTGCAACGGCGACTACAAGAATTATTCAGAGCGACCTGACCCTCAGTCCTTTTGCGTGGTTGACCGACCGCGTCGCGGTACGCTTGGGCGGCATCGCGGGAATGCACATGATCGAGGCGCGTCGCGCGGTGGCGTCGTCACGGCCGTGCCACTGGCGGTGGCTAAGGGTGGCTAGCGGCGCGAGTGTCGATCTTGGCCTATTGTCCTTTGTCTTCACCTTCATCATCATCTCTCCACCCTGATCAAAGCCCTTCGAGCTCTATCCCCAGTACAGAGATACGGTCCGCTCGCACCTGCAGCTACCTGGCTACTCGATTCATCGATACTTGGGCTTCGCGATGCAGACGCGATTCATGGCCTCACGGAGACCGATTGGCATCAAGACGCGCTCGACCAAGCCGCGTCGGGCGCCCCTTGCCACCAAGAGCAGGTCTCGGGCGCGCCCCCCGCGCAAGACCACGTCTACTGTAACTCATGAACAAGGTGATTGAGGCTCTCACGGTCATTGCACTCCGGTTTGATAGCGCTCTACAGAAGAACCGGATGAGACGGAGACGGAGGCTGAAGAACCACCCCTTCCTCCGTCTAAGAGGCGGAAGATCGCTGGTGCCACTCCTCCCAAGGCACGGCCTGCAGTCGATGCAGAAGGGACTTCTGCGCCTGCGGCCTCGTCAACCGGCCCTCGGAGATCATCGCGACAATCTGGCACACAGGACACTGCCCAGGTTGACGCAGACAGCGACGATCTCCCTGCCGAACCCGTCAAAGAGCAATCGAAACGCATCACGCGCCGCGTCGTTACTGCCCTTCCCGACCCAGATGACGGTCGTGCCGTACAACAAGATAAGGATGTACAGAAGACTCTGAAGCGGGACAGGCAGGCGTTCGAGAGGGAGGCAAGTAGGCGCGAGAAGGCCGTGCAGAAGAGGGAACAGGGAGTCGAACGCTCGGCTGCACAGTACCAGGAGAAGATCGCTGCTCTCGAGCAAAGGGAACGGGCTTGTGACAAACGTGAAGCTCAATGTCAAACTCGGGAGAATCAACTCAACAAGCGGACCGCGGAACTGCAGAAGAGGGAGCAAGAGGTTGCCGACAGAGCTCTCGTCATAAAGATGGGTCGGACTGAGGAGGTCCTGGCCGAGCTCGAGGCGAAGTGGCAATGCGCGTTGTAAGTCGTCTTAGAATTCATCTAGGAGTGATTGCTTAAAGCGACACAGATGTTGCGATGTTATGTGCGTATTTTGTGGTCCAGTGATACAGCTTGCCCGCAGCTGACAGGTCGTACAGGGCTTGTCCGTATAGCTTGAATCTCACGAGCTGTGGCCACTCTTACTGCGCGCAATGCCTCCTCAAGTGGTTCTTCACGAATCTCTGCAATGCTTGCGGAGGTTGGTGCCAGCCGTTGGATTGTCCGTTGTGTCGAGCCACCTTGCCCACGGTCCCCATTCCCGTACCACGTGACATGACCAGCTTACCTTTTACACCGGCTCGAGCGGCGAGCGACAGAATCATCGAACTCATCGATAGCTTGCGTGGTCCTCTGCAGTCGAGCCCATCCAAGGCTGGCAGCAGTAAAGGTAAAGGCAAGGGCAAGAAGAAGCAAACGAACTCCGAAGCAGGTCCATCAACCGGCTGGGAGAACGGTGGCACACTTCTAGCTGAGTGGCAAATCCGCGACAGGTGCGTATGCAGGCATTGTTCATCTCATCACTAATGTGAACATATCTTGTATGAACCTCCTCCGCCCGCCGATCATGTCGTGCCTCTCAAACTGTCCGGTAGTCGAGGGCGCACCGAGATGCGCAACCTGATTGCTCGCTGGCCGCAATTAACGCCCGACCCACTCAGAGACATGAGGGCCCGTATTTGCTCCTTCACTTAATCTGGTCTGGCATTGGTGTAGAGCGGCTTCCTTATATCTTTCGCATTCTTTTTGTGGTTTTGATCCAGCATGCATGTCTTCTCTCACTTCCCGGAAGGTCGGACCACATAGTTGAACGTTCAGCTACGAGTCGACGGTGGGATGTATACCTAAAGATTAGATTACAGCGGTGGTGCCATATGGTCATTCCAACGGTGTACAGGTTAATGACATTACCGACAACAAGCATCGTCTTCGCAAAGACGTCATTTATGAACCTTACAAATAGAAGCATCGCTCCTTGAGCCCGCGCATTCCAAGGATATCCTGGCGAAACCACGCAAGTAAATGAGCTCTGCCTTACATCATGCTTGATGAGAGCACCTACCCAATCTACAGCTGTGATCCAGAGGTCAGATACCGTGTCCATCTTGCCGAGAACAGCGGCACCCTTCCATGCAAGCACCCTCGGGTCGACGTCCTTGGGCGGAGGGATAATCTGCACCTTCTCCATATTGGGTACGAGTGGCGTGGCAATGGCCTGCAATCTGCGAACATGCCCACATGAGCCCCGGGATCCGTATCACAGAAGACTGCTTACCTGCTCTCCAATGCATGTGCCATGCCTGGGACGAGGGCCGTCCCGCCGATCACCAAGACGGCCTGCAGATATTTGCGGATCTTCTCATCTCCGCCCGCAGCCCGTGCGCTATTGAATATGGCGACGTCCAGCGGGAGCTTGCTCGCTTCGAAACACACGTCGATGGTGTACCCCCCAGGATAGATGTGTGGCTGCTGCGGAGGAAGCAGCTGCGTCATCTGGTCAGCTGGCAAGGCGGAAGGTGCCGCCCTGTCTTCCATGGCATCGACGTCGATGATTTCCACGGGGGCGCCCGGGATGTCCGTTGCGGGTGCAGTCGAACCCGCGGGTGTCGGCAGGGTCGTAGTCGGGCTCTCCTCTTTCATCGCGACATCGCCCGATCCAGCTGCTGAAGGGGTCACTGACTCCGAGGCATCTTCCGTCTTGGTGGCTGGGGCCGTCAGGGACTCCACGGTGTTCACAGATGTCTGCGGCGGAGCACTTTCGCCTGCTGGCTGGGGCGCAACCACAAAGGCAGGTTGTTGACCAAGTCCCGGTGTCTGAGACCCAGATTGAGGGAGACCCTGAACCTGTTCAAAGACGATTGGGTGCGGCATTGCTGCCGGGAGGAGGTGCTGCGTCGAGATGACCATAGCTTGTGTCTGGTGACACAATGACGTTCAGCAGAGCCGAATATCATGAAAATCAACACTTACAAAGTATTCTAACGGCTGTTCGACAATATCTTCCGTGACGTCGGGGTGGGCGATTGGGCGCATGCCCGCTCGTTTTTGGTCAAATTCAATTACACGAGGCTCAAATAAACACTGCGCAAGGTTCGATCAGTCAAGAATCGTCCCAGGGCAGATGAATACAAACCATTGGTGCAAGAATAATCTCGTCGTACGCCCGGAGGCCATACTTCTGGGTCGGCTGACCTGGCCGACGGACCACGAAATCATACAGGTTCAGAGCGACGTCGCCCTTTCGACGCCCCAAGGTTCAGTCAAAAGTGATCCTGTGGATGAACGTTGTTACGGCGTACCTCCGCAAGTGTGCAAAGGCGTGCTTTGAGGTCTTCGATCACGTTCCAATCGTAAGAGCGGACTAGACTCAAGTCCTTATACGGGAAGCTGATCCTCTGCAATAGTACGTGCAGAAACTCAGTTATGTCGTCTCCCCCCATGTTCAGCAGCATCCTGTGAGAGCCTGAGTATGTCGGAAACCACGCGACAATTGTCCTTTACCTAGTATCTCCAAGGACGGCTCCATCATCCACGCAAGCAATGCTGGTCTTCGTGGCACCCATGTCGACGACACATGCGTTAGATATGCCAGCGCCGTACGTGGCCGCAAGCGATTCCTAGAAAAGGCAGTCAACCCTCGACTGTCCGTCATACGTGAGACATCGACCCACTTACTTGCTGCACGCAGAGTTGCTTGAATCCCATGGTCATGAGAAGCAATCTGACCATATCCTCCACGTAGAATCTATCATAGAAATCTGGGATCACTAGGATCACGGAATAGTCCTATGCAGATGTCAGCAGACATCGAGTTTGAGAACACGCGACTGACTTCGTATGACTTCGGGTCAATGTCCAGTCGATCCTGCAGGGTGCTTCGTATGATAGTCTCTAGATCGCTCAAGATCATGGCATTGGAAGGATAGTCTCGGGTGTTGAATTTGCCACTGTAGAATGGCCACCTGACGACATAGTCTTGGGCGAAGGGATCTGCAATTTGAAGAGCCTGCCAGGCGACATGGCCGACTGAGCTCGAAGGTCATAGTATAAATTGATGGCCATACCTGTTCTCCAACGAGATACTGATCCATATTATCCCGGATCCAGTCGACACGAAACGGGTCGTTTGCTTCAGCTATCGTTTCTGGGACGAATTGCTCATTGAACGTTGACGCGATATTCGCTGCATTGGGAGTGACGCGTAGTTTATAGAAGCGCATACGATCGCGGAGCGAGATTGTGATGGCAGCGACCTTCATGTCAAACTGCGGAACGCGACGAGTTCAACTTGGTGCTATATACCATGAAGCGAATCCACACACCGGATCGTCTGAGTCAAGGTGGACGGCATATTCGTCACCATTGGGCGATGCCACTGGCTTTTCGCGCTTGTTATCGTTCCTCGGCCTTGAGATGCCTTCGACGTAACGGGGTCGTGGCACGGGATGGTTGTGCTTCCTGGCAATAACATTCGGTATGGAGACAGGGGTGACATCGGACGCCCTCCCGATGCGCAGAACGCGGGAACCAGGATGTACGACAATCACCTTGGAGCCGCGTCGAGCCTGAAATAATAGTTACGACCCTGTCACGAGAGGGTCACATAGACTGTCCTACCTCTCCAATCGACGGACCAGGTTCTTCTTGTACTATTTTATTCCGACCGGCGGCGGTTGCACGGACAGCATTGCGATACCAGTGGGTTTGTGTATCTGACCTCAGATAGGTTGAACCCATGTGCTTGGGATTTGGTCTGAAATTCACCACACCGCCGTGCTCAATTTAATGCGATGTATTCATCATCAAAGAACCAACTAACGGTAGGGGGACATGGAAGGTAGTAAAGCGCATAGCGTTTTCATCGCGCTTCGCATTGGGAATACCGCGCGGCATGTTGAAGCTACTTGAGAGGTGAAGGATGTAGGACAGTCACGGTGCTCAAGTGAAGTCGCGGATGCTATTGGTTGCAGAGTGAGTAGCCTGGTCGCCGATGATTGTATGAGCGCCTGATGATAACCCACCGACGACTTCTGCAGCGGACGCACGGATGTGTCGTCCAGTTGTTGCCGAGAACCGTGGAGGAACCCAAGTTGTTCAACGTCGGGGTTTGGACCAAGTGGCTGAAGCGCTCGCGAACTCGGTGAGCTGACGCTTGAGCGCTTGAGCTTGAGCGCTTGTGGGTCGCTTCCCCGTCGTCAGTTCCGCGGGGGAAAGTATCCTATTTCGGACCGGTCAGTCGGCAGCCCCCAGAAGTCGGCGAGTTGCCTTACCAGGCGGGGGTTGCCGGATTGGGTCACTGAAGCGCTCGTCTCGCCACAATTCCGAGCCTTTTCAGGCAGGTGCCGACTTCTGGGGGCTGCCGACTGACCGGTCCGAAATAGTATACTCAAGCCTATCTGGAAAATGCAATGTTACTACATAGTCCTATGTAGTGTCTGTAGGGCACGGGAGGGCAAAAGGAAGGGTACATTTTACATAGAGCTGGATAGAATGTCCTTGTCTACATAGAGCCTGTAGTGTAGGGCCCATAGGGCACCGTAGCAGAGACACAGAAGCCGCCGATGTTCCAGCCCGAGATCAGCTTATTTAATTCTCACGCTTTGCCAGTGCTCGCAGCTCACGGATCCGTACGAATCATACAATTCAACAAAAATGGAATGTTATTTGCAACGCGACGACAGTGAGAAGACACCAACAGTGCAATTCGATGTATATACAAAGGGGATAGATATCGGCACTGATGTACCTACATACATGTTACAACACGTGTACACAGTACCATATCCTTACCCATGACGGCACATACACGGTATGCGGGGGGTGCGAGGGCCATCCAGGGTGATCAAGTGTGGCCGAGCAGAGAAGACATGTGAGAGCGCGGGCAAAAAGGCGCAGGCGAGAAGGCGTGAGCAAGAGCGCGTGGGCGAGAGGGACGGCGGGCGCGCGGGCGAGACAGCACGCAGACGAGACGGCCAGCCCCGGCGCTCCGCAGCGCAGATATTCGGACATGGGATTCATAGCATTCGAGATCGTCGATCGTTGTATTGATGGGATTCATGATCGTACAATGGACTTCATACATGCTACTACACTCGAGCCACAAAGCCAAGTCTTCCTTCACCATCTTGCGCTGCCCCTACATAAGATGTCGCGGCGTCCGCGACGTCGGCGAGCTGCCACGCGCTCGGACACACGCTGAGCGGCGCGCAGAACCGCCAACTTCAGTCGGAGCGCGATGTCGTTGGGAAGGCGGTCGACAATCGCCAAGCGGTCTTCGGGAGACCAGAACGACAACGTGCATGTCGAATCCTCAGTGGACTCGTCTCTCACCGCTGTGGCACCATAGGAGGCGAAGATAGTATTGATGGTCGTGGTGAATCGCGCCCAGCCTTCATGCGGAAACATCTTTGGTCCCCAGGTTATGGATGTCAGCCACTGCATGCGTAGCTGTCAGATCATCATATGCTAGCAAGGTTGATGCCGCATACCATGAAGTTCGCCTCCTTTTCCCAGTCCTTGATGGACTGGGAGCGCGCGGCGCATTGGAGAAACGCGTCGAAGTCTTCGCGGCAATATGCGAGCACACGACATTCCATCGGGTCGCACAAGGTACCATCCTGGAAAAGACAGTTGGACAGGGCTTGAGGCTCAGCCCGCATTATCAACGCGATAATAAACCCCTGCAGTTGGCTGAGGTGGGGGACAGCCAAAGACATCTGAGGGTCTGGTCAGTATGAAGACGCCTCATTGTCATTCCACGAACCTTCTTCGTTTCGTACGTAAATTCTTCCTGGGACTGCGCTATTATACAGAAGAAAATCATGGGTCCCGGCGCCTGCGGGGTATAGGTTGCATGCTGATGGACGGTCTTGTCGTTCATGTAGAACATCAAGTCAGGCACCTCAACAAAACTCTTGGGGACAATGTCCAGAGTTGAACCGACAGAATTAGGCTCTGCCTCGCGCAGGATGTTCGCCACACGGTCAACTATGGGTCGCGTCAGATCGGCTTGCGAGGTCGGCGCGATAGCGACCACTTTGCCCAAACTACGCCAGAAATCGATCCTATGCCGAGTCACTTGTAGGTTTCGCACCAATAGTTGAATCTCTTGGACTCACCTCACGTCCTGTATGAAAGCGACACAACGCTCGAACTCCGACTCAGCCTCGTCTACAGGGAGTTCCAGTATCTCCTGGATCTTCTTCTGCAGCATCCGGTACTGAGCTTCGTTGACGTTGACGATGTTCTACAATAAGAAAATATGTATTGAAAGAAGATATAAATTGTTACGGAGGGGCGTACCTTGGCAACAAAGCCGGTGCAGTCAGCTTGCTCCCATTCCTTCTGTAGCAAATAGATTTGCATTAGGTATGCGCGGAGGTGCGCGTCGGCGTCCGTTACAAGGCCTACGGCCTCCAACACGTCCTCGAATTGCCACGCTTTGTGGTGGACAACCGCTTTGCGAGACTCGAGGTCAGGGAGGAAGCGCTGAGGGTTTCCCGAGCCAAGGAGGAGGGATTGTGGCAAGCTGAACGAATTGTGTTCATTGAAGGAGTTGCCCGGAGAGTATAGACGGACATTGGGGGGCAGATGAGGGTCGGGGGGGTTCCCGGACGAGTATCGTTGGAGTCCGAGTCGGAACCAGGTACACTATCCTCAGGTCCATGAGATCCCTCGGACCCATGAGATCTGCTGTCGGAGTCAGAGTCAGAGATGAGAGAGTTTGCCATGACGGTATAGCTGTCAGGGTAGTCAGACATGGGGGTCCCTGAAGGATGATGATGATGATGAACTCCGCATTTATTAACCGCAACAAGCAAACAACGTGCTAAGACGCGGCGGACGCCGGCCTGTACATGTGCGGGCGTTTAAACGCGCCGCCCAGACCTGCGTCCCGTTCGAGGGTAGTGTAGTAGTGTGTATGCGTGAGGTGTATATAGTAATGGTTAGGCAATCCAGACAGGTTCTGAGTCAGTATCTAAAGATGTGGTCTGAGGTCGGGACGTAGCGCACATGGTAATAAATAGAGAATAAAGAAGAAAAGCATACTCGATGGTCCATACTCGGCTCTCCGTCGTCTTTCTCCTAGGGTCGCAAGCCGGGATTGCCTCCCTAGTGCACGAGGTGTCGGTGTTTGGTGTGTGGGGGTGGGGACGGTACGTCGCCGTGCAGCTAGTACCGTTTAGTCTTCCTCGTCCTGGTTCTCCGCTTCTCTTCCTCGGTCCTGGTCCTCCTCGCCGCTCGGGTCTCCGTCGCCTTCGTCCTCCGGGTCTTCTTCTCTCGCTTCCTGATCCTCCTGTTCTTCATCCCATCCACCTGGCGGCTCTCCCGTCTTCGTGAACGCCTTGCTCCTCTGAAGGAACTTCGCGAGGGCTTCTATGCCATCCTCGGTGCCGAGGATGGTTGGTAAGTCGATGGTCGTGCTCGCGGCACGCAGGGGGCGCCGGAACTTCTCGTATCTTGGGCAGTCTTGTAAGACGTGGCGGCGTGACTGGAATGGGTTGCCGCATGGGCAGTCGATGGACTCTGTGGGTACGAAGGACTTGTAGTACTCGCCTGTGAAGCAATGCCCTGTTCTGCACTGTACAACTCGGCCGAGTACCTCTCGCGGTAGGCTTAGAAAGGGTTTTCTTGGTTTCGTCTGTGGGGGTAGTCGGTTTGCCGTCGCGAAGCGACCTGTAGGGTATGTTTTCTTCCACTCAGCGATCCACGCGTTCGTCGCTCGTTCCTTCGCACGGCGTAACGCGTTTGCCCGCGTTGCGTGTTGGTTGACTGCGTTGCGCTCCGTGGCGTCCTTCGCCAGTTTGTCTGCTCGTTCGTTGCCTATTATGCCTTTGTGGCCCGGTGTCCACGCCACCGTGATTCTGTGCTCGGGGTCTGCCTCCAGGAAGCGGATGGCGAAATTTCGGAAGATGCGGGATTGCCCCTGTGAGGGGCCCGGTTTCGCTTCGAAGATGGCTGAGATTGCGGCCGTGTTGTCGGCGTAGAAGTGGAGATGTCGGACGAGGCTCGCCTCGGGTTTCTTCAGGTACTCCTCGACTTCGCGAGCTGCCCATGCTATGCCGACCATCTCTGCGTCGTAGACCTCTGCCTGTCTGCTCATGCCTATGCTCCTTCCCCATAGGATCTTGTTCCTCTGAGTGACAACGAAGCCTGCGCCGACTCGTCGTTGCCCGTTTTCTGTGAGTAGTGAACCATCTGAATATATCATGATGTTCTCGTGCGATAACTTGAGTTTACTTAGCTTTCCATTGTGTGCCTTAGCTGCCTCGTCCTTCGTCACGCCCTTGGCCGCCGGTGTGATCACCAGGCGACCTCCGAAGCTGGCCGGAGTCTTCTTCCATGGGGGGACGGCAAGCGGCTCTATGCGCTCGTCGTAGGGGTCCGATCGCTTCGCTAGAGTGCAGAGTCGGGTGGTGGCGGGGGCGTCTTTCGACGGGCTGTTACTTTGCGGTGGGTCGGGCGTGGAGGTGGTGGTGTCGACGTCGGGAGGAGGGACCATCCCTCTGGTAGGCGTTGGAGTATCGGGCTATGGGGGCTGAGCTTGTTTAGGCGGATGGCTGCGCGGTCTTTGGTGAGCTCTAGGTGGTGGCGAATGGGTAGTATCGCGGCCTCGATCTCTAATGCTACGATCTGCGTCGTTTTGAAGGCGGCGCACATCAGTCGGAGTGCTCTCCTCTGCACCTTTTCGAGGGTGCGCTCGTGTGCTTTCTTGCCTCTCCACCAGGCCGGGCATGCGTACGTCAGTATCGGACGCACACATGCCGTGTACAGCGTCCTCAGGTGGGTTTGTGAGAGTCCTCGTACCGTGTTGGCCAACATTCCGAGGCCGTTGACGGTTTTCTCCGCTCGTCCTGCCATCTGTTTGACGTGGTGGTCGAAGTTCAGCCGGCGGTCCAGATGGACTCCGAGCCACTTCGTGGTATGTGTCGCGCTGATGGTGGTGAACGTGCCATTTGCTCCTGGGAGGATTATCGATGGTGAGTCGTTCGGCTTGCGTCGCTTCAGCGAGTAATGCATGAGCTCGCGTTTGACGAGGTCAGGCGATAGCCCGACACTCGTTAGCCAGGCCTCTACGTCGCCGTACGCTAGGGTGAGTATGCGGATGTTCGTGTCGAGGGACTCCGATGATACGTAGATTTTCCCGTCGTCAATGAACATTATTAGGCTGGTGGCGGAGGGATTGTCGGGGAGCTTGAGCTTGGCGATCATTGCTGCGATGTGGATGCGGGCTCTTTCTTCGAATAGTTCCAGGAGTTCGGCAGCGTATAAGATCGAGAGGATGGGGGAAATGGGTGAGCCTTGTGGGATGCCGTTCACCACTGGCTTCATCTCCCCGCGTATCCCGTCTAGGCAGATAGCTGCTTCGCGGTCCGATAGGAATGTCGCCGTCCATCGGACGAGTTGGAGTGGGATGTGTTTCGCACGCATGACGTTCAGGAGGCGTTTGTGGTTGACGAAGTCAAAGAATCCCTTTATATCGAAGGTGAGGGCTGACGTGACTTTTCCGTGGTTGTGGGCTGCCTCAACGTCGTGTACGAACGTGAGGATGGCGTCGTCCGTAGAGCTTGCGGGGCGACCCCCGAACTGGTTTGCTGGTACTAGATTGTGTGTCGACACTAGGTATGCCAGGCGGTTTGCGACGATACGCTCGAGTGTCTTCCCTAGACACTCGAGTAGTTGAATCAATCGGTAGGCCCGCGGGTTGCTGTAGTCCGGCTTTCCGGGCTTCGGTAATGCGATGGCAATGGCCTTTCGCCATGCTCGGGGGTGGTAACCTGACTGTAGGCAGTGGTGCATCAGTGCGTGGATTGTGTCTGGGGCCTCCTTCCAGGCCCATCGTATGACGCGAAACTGGCATTGTGATAGCCCTGGGGCCTTGTCTGCCCCTTGTTCAAATATGGAACATCTCACCTCGTCTTTGGTCACTTCTTCATCTGCGAAGTCCTCTGCGTTCGGCGTCTCGAGGTCGTTGTCAGGGACCCCTTCGAGCGGCGGTGGCGGTTGGAACAGTTCGTCCCGCAACGCGTCGCACTTCTCCTTATGCGCGACCGCTGGCTGTTGGCCCGGTCCTCTCGAGATGGCCGGTGACTGGTAGGATCTAACCCCTTTGCCCCACTTCGTGAATCCCCATATGTCGGCTGATGTTGCCGTTTCCAGGGTCTCCGTGATCCATGTCTGGCGCGCCTTCTTGTATAGTCTCTTGAAGTAGTTGCGAGACTTCTTGATCAGCACGTTCGTCGCTGTTGCCTGGGGTCCCCATCGCTGGGCATGCGCGAGGCTCTGCGATCGCAGGTTTGCGATCCGCTTCGCTGCGCTGTGTAGCTCCGCGTTCCACCACGGGCGTGCTTTGTCGCTCGGTTTCCTGACCTTGGCAGCCTTGGCGTTGGCCTCCTGCATGGCAGCTGTGAGGGCGTTAGCAGCCGCGTCCACCTGATCTGGTGTGAGGATCGACTGCTTGTCCTGTAGCATACCTAGCGCCTGGGCGTGGTCCTGCAACGCTGCCCTGAACGCTTCTCCCCACTCTTTTGTGTCCGTGTCCTTGAAGTTATACTTCTCTCCCGCTAGGTTCTCAATTTCGACTGCCCCGTGGTCGATCTCCCACCTCAGCGCGAAGTGGTCCGATCCGTACGAGGCCTCCTGGTCCACGCGCCAGTTTTTTGCTGAATCCAGTTCCGTCGCCTTCGGGTTGGTGAACGTCAGGTCGAGCGTTGACCAGGTTTTGTGGGCATGCGAGAAGAACGTTGGTTCACCCTTCTCGTTCTTCATGGTGTAGCCCCGTTCTGTGAGCCAGTCCACCGTCTGTTCCGCGCGCTCCGTCGCTCGGTCTGAGGTGCGCGACCAGAGTGGGTGGTGGAGGTTCCAGTCGCCTGAGATGACGACGGGGGCTAGTGCTGGGATGTTGAGTTGCTGGAGTCGCTGCGCCGCTGACCTTGACTTCTGCTTCTTGTCATCGTTGTACATGTTGATGACGATGGTTGGGGGATGCGGCGCCTGGGCAATCTCGAGCACCTGCAGATCGAGGTCATTAGCAATGTCTGAACGAAGGGTGACCGAAAAGTCCCCTCGCCGGCGCGTGTACGCCATGGCTCTGGGACGCTTTCCCTGTGGTACTGCCGATACTGGTAGTATCGGGGTCCAGCCTGCAGCCGCCTCTGATACTGGACCCTTCGTGTTGTTGCCTATGTTGCCCCACCAGGGTTCGGTGATGAGGATTATGTCGGCTGAGTCTTCGTCTGTTGCGGCATTCAGCAGCGCGTGGATCACCGGGTTCTGGGTGTTGGCGTTGAGTTGGAGGACACGTATTGGTTTGGTTGTATCCATCATACTGAGGACGCTGCCAGGTTCTCTTCTTGTTCTTGCTCTTGGTTGCGGGTCCTCGCCAGGCTCTGGCTCGTCGAGAGCCTGCTTTCGATGTAGGCCACTGCTGCTGAGAAATCACTGTCAGATACGATCAACGCGGCTTGGCAAAACGGTTCGTCAAACTCGGGGAATCGCTTTATCAGCGACTCCAGGTCGTCCTTGGCCTTCACTTGGTTGAGGGTCTCAAAGCGGTTCTTGGTCCGTGCATCTTCCTTGCGTTGCGCCTGGCTGGGTGTTGCTCCCTTGTTCGTGTTTGTTGTCCCCTTTGGGCCTCGTGCCTCTATCCACCCTGGGCCTGCGGAGCTGGTCTTCGCGCCCTCTGGCACGCGCGATGGCTTGGACTTCGTGTTACCTGCTGCCCTGGACCGGCTTGCGCACTCTCGCCAGTTTGCCGAGTGCGGGCCGTTGCAGTTGGCGCATTTGAAGTCATGCTTGCATTCCTCCATGTTAGTGTCCCCGTCTGGTTTTGCACTCTCACACTCCTTGCAGACGTGGTTTCCCTCGTTGTGCTCTGTCTCACCGCATATCCGACACTTCTCCATTCCGTGGCAGCGCGAGCGTGTGTGGCCGAAGTCCCAGCATCTCCCGCACTGTAGCACAGGGGGTTTGTCAGCATATCGTTGAACGTCTGCGAACTGGCCTGCTATGGCCATGTTCTTTACTCGGTTCACCAGGTGGTCGGCATCTGCTTGAGTCTTGAGGGCGAGGACGACGGACGAGAAGCTTCGGGTCAGTAAGTCTCCCCTGTGTCTCATCCAGCGCGGGAGGTCCCATACTGCCATCTTGGCGTAGTCCGGGTTGAGGCTCCGGAGTTCCGCCTCTACCTCCTCCGGAGTCGCAATATCTCCTGTCCTATCATTGCGCGTACGAACCCCGTTTAGCTGAACCTTGAACCACTTCTCGTCCGCCCGTATCCGTGTTTCTCGGTTGCCCGCGAAGTAATCTACAAATCTTGGCGCGAAGGGAGCGAGCTCCCCTGCCGACTGGTCAGACCGCGTGAAGATGATGCAATTGTTGTGGGCGTTGAACTTCACGTTCACCACCCACAGGTGCTTGCTCTCGTCGCTCCCCCTGAGCACCTCGTTGATGTACTTGACTATCTCAACCTCGCTTGGCCTCTCCCTCTCCGTCGGTCCGTCTTTCATCTCCACTATCAAACGCGTGTGGTGGTGCGCTGACAGCGGGTTGAGAGACTGGCGTGGCGGCGCTCTCGGCTTCGGGGCGATTGGCTTTGAGGTCGCTACCACTGTTTGGTAGGACGGCCCACTCTTCGCCGGCTTGGTCATCGTCGTCCTGATGGTGGCGGTGTCGTTTTCCGAGTAGATGGTGTCAGGGCTGGCAGCTGGGCTCCTGGCCTCCATGGCGTCCATCCTGGTAGCCAACCTCTCAATCGTCTTCGCTATGCTGTCCAGTAGTGCCGTTTCGGCGCTTGTGGTGGGCGGTGCTTGTGCCACCGGCCTAGTCGCCTGAGCGGTTGCCTGTGGTTCACACAATTTAGTGAGTCTTTTCGCGATGTTTTCCGCGTGTTTGATGATAGTAGTTGGGTACTCAGCGTGTATCGACACCCCTTCCAGTAGGCCCGCTGCGCGGCTCAACGCCTCCTCTAAGAGTATCATCTTACGTGTGTTGTCGTCTCCTGCTTTCGGGCTGAACATGTCGTCGACGTTCTCGTCCATCCTCGCATCTGTGTGCGGTCTGGTCGGTCTCGGGGTCGGAGATTCTAAACTCGTTGTCTCATCGTCCATCTCCTTTTCCTCTGTCTCCCCTGCATAGGTCTGTTCTATGCCTGTCATATTCGTTGTTAGCTTAGGGGACCTTATGATAGAACTCGCGAGTTTTTTGAGGGCGCTGCGTCCTCGACTCGGGGTCGTCGGTATTAGCGCCGGGGTCTCGGGCTTCCCTCGCGTTTTTCCCTCGACCTGGTGGCCTTGGTTTTTTGGATCACCCTCGTATGTGCGTGTAGGATAGGGCTGGTGCCTATGATCTCCGCCGACCCCCTCTTGGGTCTCTTTGGCTCTACTCATCTACCTTTCTTCTCTATTTTCCGAGCGTGGGAAAAGTCGAGATGGATGTGGTAGTGGAAAGAGGAGCGTTTTTCGGGGTCCCTGAAGGAAAGTAAATGCAGTAGGAAGAGGGCGTCGGAATCGAAGGCCCGGCCACGCCGGTGGGAACTGCCAACAACAAACACGATCTAACTTGGCCACTACGCGCCCGGGCTGCCTTCTACCCCTCGGCCTCAGTGGTCAGCTTACCATCATCGGATTCCACATTAATGCCAATCTCGGTACGATTTCTCTGCCACCGTCTGCAATCGCGAAGGCCCTGGAGGACATACTGTTCCGTCGTATTGGTGCCATTTGTGGTGTTCTCTTTCATGGCTTGGTGGTCTAGAGGTATGATTCCTTCTTAGGGTTAATGTTTGGAGGAGGTCCCGGGTTCAATTCCCGGCCAAGCCCTATGTGACGCACAGTCTTATTTTTGACAATCTTCCTGCGCAACGAGGTACGCTCTATAACATCAAGCAGTACTAATACAACAATACATATCGTCTTGGGTCGGATCGGTTTGTATGGCGTTCTGTGTATTCGTCACCCCATCGCAGGTTCAGGCCCTCCGCCACCTCCGCGTCCTCTTGCAGCGCCCCGCCTTGTCCCTCGTGCCATAGCAAGACCGAGCCGGATGCCGCGCCCACCACGGCCGAACGGGATCCTTGGAAAGGCTCCGGGTGTTTCAGGGAAATCCCGGGGCCCATGGTCCGGCTCATTCCCAGGAAACGCACCCGGCATGTCAAGCTGACTTTCATCTGTCACGGCCTCCTCGTCCTCATTCTCGGCATCCGGCTGCGGACATCCATTCAGTCTCGACGGTCGGCCGTAAACGACAGAATGGTGGCTCCCTACCTCCAGGTCTATGACCAATGCACCCATGTGCCAGCCTGCTGCAGCTGCGGCGAAGCAGTACGTCTCCCTCTGCTTCTTCGCTCCATGGTCAAACCGAACCTCCGTCGGCACCGTCACATCAGGGGGAGGAAACCTCAAGATGTTCCATCGCGTCTCGGCCGCCTGAAGCTGGTCCTCATCCCCGAATCCGCCGGGTTGACCCACAGGGATCTTCCTAGGATCACCGAGACCGGACGCGCCTTTGGAGTATGCGCCCCAGGTGAGGAGCTTGCCGTCAGCCGTCAGCGCACCGTAGTGGTAATCACCGAGTACGACGGAAATGACGTCGCGATTCTGCAGCGCCGGGAGTATCATGGGTGAGACTTGAGGCGGGGTATGGGGGGCTCCGGCAGGTACAAAGCCAGGATCTTGAATTTTCCCCATGATGACAACGGAACGCTCGCCAGTTGAGTAGGCAACAAACGTTCTGAATTGAGCAGAAATCTGAAGTGGCGGCGGTAAATTCAGTACAGATGACTGGGGAAGGTAGTCGCACCCACGTGAGTAATCAACATGGTTTCTGGAGGTTCCGGGCGTGTCTGTCCTTCGGACGTTGTATCGGTAAAGGTACTGTGTACTTTAACTTTCTCGACCTCACTGAACTCAGGGAGCTAGACGAGAAGACTCATAAGAGGCGCCAAGCACGACGGCGGCCGGACGCTCACGTATTCCCAACGGTTGCGAATCTGTAGATTCTCCCCTCCCATCATCTGGTACATGAGGACGTGCCCCTTGTTGGTCAGTCCGACGATCGTGTTGTCCATACCAGCCACCTTGATAAGCTTCGTTTCGCCTTCTACCGTCACGCCGGTTCCATTTAACTCGGGTAGGTCGCCGGTCGGAATGGCAGGTAGCCTCACTGGGTCGATGCCTTGCAACCTCCACGTATAGCACGGAATGACACTGGGCTCCTGTGACGATGGTAGTGCCCTGGTAGGCTGCGAGGTGCTTAGTTGATCGAGTTCCTCCGATTTAGTGGCGATAGCGTCCGCCATGTCGCCAGAGAAAGGCCAAAATACCAGGACGTCACCGGATTCGGTGAGGATCGCCGAGAATGACCAGCCACTAGTAATTTGGGCAGGAGTCGTCTCGGGAGATGTCTTGTCGAGAAGGGGACTTGATAGGATGAAGGGCCGACCCCACGAGATACAGGTCCAGACGCACGAGCTGGCATCGAGCGCGGCACAGTGCGATCGCCCACAGCTGATAGAATACACGGTAGGTATAGAACGAGAGGAATTGTAAGCAAACATACCTGATACTTCGGATCTTCACGGGGAGATTGAGTCGCATGGGACCTTCCGTGCGCTTGGCCGGCATGGCGTAGCCTTCGCTACGCAGGGCAGCACTGTCTCCATCGAGCACTCCTACGCATTTCGTGAAGCAAAGTCGTGAAATAAGGAGAACTTACTTACCCCACACATAGATGGTACCACGAGAGTCCAATGCGTGAAATGACCTGAGAGTCATCAGCCTCCACACCCATGTCCATTCTGCTGGGATCTCACCATCCTCCGGCGATAAGGTTGACGATGCGCACGTCTGGGATGCGCAACTGTACAGGGTACGGTACAGCATCGCGCATGACAGGTTGAGGAAGCTGGTCTTCGGTCAATCCTAGCCTTCCGTGGCTCCGCTCACTATGTGTCCTTGTTAATCACCGACTCTTCGCGAACCAGAACTGACGCACCCCCAGACAAAGACGCGGGGCTTGGAGAAACGGCGATATAAGAACTTCCATCCATTCTTTCTTGCAGTTTCTGACCCGGTGAAGTTGAAGTCCTGTTGGATCTTTCTGTGCCAGAACGTCTCGTCTGAGGTCAGTTGGGCGAAGTGGCTGTTCACGCAACCGAGACTGGATAGATCAGGAACAGGAAGCAGTGGCAGTATGTTGTCGAGGAAGAGTTCGACTGGCAAGTCAGTAAGCTGAGGCATGTTTGCAGGCTTTGTTGGAATGAGGATCGCGGTGAACTGCTCAGGCGGTGGTGGTGGTTGCACAATCGATTATGCTTGCAAGCGCAGTGGTGCGCGGTGCACTGTCCCCCGGGGCGCAGTCCGTACTAGTAGCCTGTACCTGATGTCATGGCACGTGATTGACCTCTCATCTCAGATCAAGATCTACTGTATCGGGCCGGGATCTCGGCCGGACATGGTACTCGGTCAGTCGAGTGCCGTAGGCTCAGTTCCCAGTCTTACGACCGATTACGCATACCAGTCGTCTCTCACAATCCTCCTCTACCTCCTGATATGCTTTTCTTGTAATTAACTTTAGGAATGAGCCCATGGTGGTCGACTGACCGAGTACCCTGTCTGGCCGAGATCCCGGCCCGATACAGTATGTAGCCCGATTCACCTCCTGGGAAGTGCCCCCAAAAACTCAAGTCTTATAATTCTGAGATGCGGAGTCATGACCCCGCCATGAATATGCTCACAAGCCCGTTAACGAAGCACTGTACAAGCCCGCAATTCAGACGGACCAATTCGCCGTGTATCGTGGGATGCCATTGCGTAGCAGTCCGAAGAAAGTGAAAGCAGATTGTATGGGGTCCTGTAGTATGAGTACACATGATTCAGAGCGTAATAACAGCACGACGATATCAAGAGACAGAGAGCACACTATCCTAGAGATACATATCGAAGCCTCTTCTAATTGATCACCAGAAAGCACACCTGACACGACAAACCACGGCATGAGCGCCACGATCACAAAAGACAATAAAGAAGACTGTACGCACCATCCTGAGAAACACTGACATAGATTTTCGAGCGAGGTAGCCTGAATGATAAGCTTATCGACTTGCGCAGCGACAGAAAGCGGGACGTCCGGATTGAAGTCACGACCTGGCTCGCAACGTCAGCAGATGTTGTTTTGGAAGAGCATTTCTCCTCACCTGTCAATTTGTGTTGCACCCGATTATATACGAACAATGCACGTTCGTTGCGAATCTCCTGACGCTCTGCTCCAACGTGAGCACAGCGTTCTCTTCTCTAGGCAGCTGTGCGAATACTCACCATTGAAGATGTCGTTTTCGTCCGCCTTCAACTTCCGTATCGGCCCTTGAGGGTATGCTGAAGTACGAGTCGTTTCGCGAGCAGGGTCTACAATCACTGTCGATATCAGAGGTTTCCATGTAGGATGCAATAACATGCGTACCCTCCGGTCGTCGAACATCAACAGTATCGGCTTGCATCAACCTCCAGTTGATGAGAGGGTCGTATACAAAGGCCTCGAGTACAGCCATGAGAGACTCCTTGTTGTCTCGCAAGACCTTCATGCTGATCTCGCACGTATTCCTGAAGCTACCCTCGATGCCGCTGACCTCCATAGCATGCGTGAGCATTCTGGTCAGCCGGAACGGAATCTTCTCGGGGAATTTCTCTCGGTGCATCGCGACCTCGAAACAGTCACCGAAATCGATGTGCACCACCTTCCCGGTGTTCCGCTCGAGCATCATGTTGGACGGGTGACGATCGCCCAGACCGAGAATGTGACCGACCATGCTGTTCACGGCGAGCGAGCGCGTGTATGTAGCGCGTCGCTCCAGCCAATGCTCGGAGCTCGCGCTCTTGAGCCAGAGCACACGATAGAGGTCTTGCCCGGTGGTGTTCTCAAGCGCGTATTCGAAGACTTCGATCTTCTGCAGCAGAATCAAGTTCTCGTAGTCGGGCGCCATCTGCCAGGCGTATCAGCATTTGCAAATGGAAACGTCCACCTCAACTTACGTTGAGTATCAAGCGATACTCGATGTTCAGCAGGATCTTGCGCGATTCCCTGTAGTCCTTGACCAAGACATGGAGAGTATCACTGTCCTTAACCCATCCCAGCAATCCGGCATTAGGAGCGAGTGGAATCACAGGGAAACGCTGGATATGCAGATGTCTCTTGAAGCAGTCAGTGTCAATGGATAGCAGGTTGTTGACGAGACTGAATAGCTGCATGACACGCTCGTCTTGACGCAGGTCCTCGTGTCCTGGAGTAAAGTGAGTGATACGATCGTAGCCGTCCAGATGACACGTACCTTTCAAAACGTATTGGTAGTCCTTGCCATCACTGCCTCTCAGCGAGAGACGTCGCGGCCGCTGCTTAGACTGAATGACGACTAGCTTTGTGGCAAAGCTGACGATAGTGATGACCGGTCGTCCTGCTTGATAGGCACCTGGTACTGCGAGCTGGAGATCTCGAGACTTCAGGAGTGCAGGGGAGACGAATTGGAGATCGAGCGTCGTCAGGTTCTGTAGTTGCTTCTCAATTTTCTTGAAAACCTGTGGGGAGGTCAACACTGCGCGACTGTCAGAAGCCGCCCTACTTACAGAGTAGTAAATCTCCCAAGCCCGATCGAGGTCTCTCTGCTCGCCAAAGACTCGCCAGCGCCTGCATGCCTCGCGAGCGTCCTGCAGATCACGACCAAAGACTTGATGGAACGACGTTTCGCGCGCTGTTTGGGGTCCCTGGTTGCATGTTGAGCTGAAGCTCCCGCAAACATCGTAGTGAACCTACATCCTCGATCATCTTGTGCAATGGCTCCAGGAACACAATCATGCCCTCCGGATCCTTGTTCGTGAAGTACAATCTCGACGCCTCCTCAAGACCTTCGTGCCACATTTCGTGCCAGAGGATAGCCACTCGGATCAGTTCATGGCTGACAATGTTGGCCTAGAGACGTATTGATATGCGTGTAATGGACGGTGCGAGAGGCATACCTGTTTGACGACCTCCTCACTGTGCTCCCTCATGCGGTTCATGATGGATTCTGCAGCATTCTTACGGGTCGCGCTAGAGGACTTAGACGCCACAGTCAACGGGTACACCAAGGCTTGCGGATGGTGCTTCCCGACTTCAGTGAGAAGTCGGTTGATGTCTCGGCGAATATTGGCACTAGGCGTTTGAATTCGGGCAATGATCTGGCTCACAGTCAGACAGATGACTAGGGACAAACGAGCGCGATTACCTGAGGGATGACTTCCAACCACGTGTCCACCTCAACGGTCACGAAGCCGAGCTCATCGCTTGGCTGACATCGACATGATCTCCGTACTTGAACCAGAGTGTGAGCAACCGCAGGGTGTCTTGTAGGGTGTTCTCATTCCGCAAGTTGATGGAAGTGAAGAATCCTGTCCACACATCGTTAGCCCCCATTGCCGAACTACATATTCGCATACGACGTACCTTTGATAGCCTGTGTGATGTGCAGTGCCAGGTTCTCGGGTGGAACATCTGAAGCTCTGTTCTCCGTTTGGCTTTCCAAGTAACCGACGACGTCGAAATGAGCAAGAGCCCAAGTATGCTGCGCCTTGTACCACGTTGGATCGTAGTGAGTAGCTAGGTAATAGGAGTGTAGGATGTCCTTGATGTTGCGCTAGACGAAAGTCAGGATGTTAAGACCAACGGTGGTGGGACGGAAACGTACAGAACCCCAATCTTCCCTGAGGGCCACTTGCCATTCTCCCAGCTTCAGATAGCAACGCGCGAGTAACCTGGAGACCTCATCGAGCTTCTCGTTCGGTTTCTGCCTCGCGATTTCCGGTGAGTGACTGATGGCGCCATTTTGAAGACCCCTCTCCAGGTTGGCACAAAGTGAGCGGAGATAGCTCAGACTTTCTTCTCGGGCACCCGTCGCCCAAATGTACTTCAGCTGGGCATATACAACGGCGTTCGGAGCCTTCATTGTGCGACAACCAATCAGTACTCGAAGCGCAGGGAAGTAAGGGGGACAATATACGAACCCTCTCCGACGATAGGAGCGAGTTGATTGTCTTCTCCGCTAATACCATGCGGTCAGATTTCCGGCACAAGTTCGCGAACTTGATCCACATTATCGGGTCTTCGTCCGGAGTGAGAACAAGGGCCCTAACTTGCAGGATACGCTGCCAGACTTCCACGTCTGGCTGGCACCCTTGCAGCCTGTGCGAGCTCGCGTGAGTTGAACTGCACTTTACATCCAAGCCACTACGAACCGTTTCATCCAGGTTCTTCTCATGGATGCCTGACGCTCTGGCTGGTCGGCATATTGCTTATATGTAATGATTTCCTCGAGCTCGGACAGCATTTGCGCCCGTACCATGATGCTGCATACCACCTCAGCGAAAAACTATCGCTGATGGCTGACCACTTACTTGTAAGAGCGACCATATCCTTCGCCCACAAGCGACATGAGTTCTGGATCAAGTTGATCACGCGCCTTCGCAATCTGTTGCATAGCTTTCGGAAACTGATTCTGGTGTACCGATAGGATGGCACGGTAGAATGGCCTGTCGCCCGAATCAGGCCTCATCGTCACTATGTAATCTTCCATGGCATCCCAATCGTTCAGGGACCAAGCAGCAGCGGCGGCCATGGGCGCGATCTCCCTACGGTCCTCATGAGCGGCCTTCGTCCAATTCTCCTCCACTTGCTCCGCGAGTTCCTTCCATTCGCCCAGCGCGTGTAGACATCGCATCCTCCCTATGGCCACATCAAGGTTGTCCGGATCCTCCCGTGCCTTCTTCTCGTAGGTGGTGAGAGCCTCCGTCCATCGCCCGAGTCGCTCGTACCATTCTTCATGCTTGCTCACGTCGTACTGTTCTCGGGCTATCAACAGAGTACCCCATGCGGCATCATGTTGCTGAAGCTTCGAGTTGATACCAAGCAGCGCCTCGATGATCGTAGGCGATGTTTCTGTGAAGAACTCGAGTTCCTTGTAATGCAACGCCTTGGCGTATGCGTGAAACTTCATAGCATACTCTCCGAGTGTCCGGTTCTCAATGGGGAGGGCCTTTTCTTCATGTTCCATGAACTCCGCGAGGTTCAGCAAGCGATGTACAATTTCTGCGGGAGCAATGGGCGACGTGATGGCGCACTCAATCGAGCGAACCAAGTCTTCCTACGAAATTACCAAGTTAGTGACACTGCAGATATGCCTCGGACAAGGGGGTACCTGGTATTGATCGTAAAGCTCGCCCCAGCAAGATATAAACGCCGCGTTGAACAGCTCTTTGGCAAGAGGCGGATGTACGTCAACTAGACTCATGCACGCGCGAAGAGCATGGGAAGGCGACTCCTTCATGAACTCTACTGTGATCCGATGCATCCAGTCGTTCCAGTCGTCCTTAGCAGCGATCTGCGAAACGTCCCATGCCTGCTTGAGGTGCTGTTGATTGACGGTCATCTTGTTTGCCTCGGCAGGGGCGGTGAACTCAACCGCCTTAGTACTGTCGCTATGAGGGAAAGTTTAACTTGTCCCTTGACATAAGAACAGAGAGGGACGAACGATGCTTCCAGTATACCCGCTTCCTGCGGAAGTCTGTCGCCACTCAAGAGCTTGGTAATCAGGTTGTCGTAACGAGCATGTTGAAAACGATGCCGGATAAGACTCTGTTGGAAATCATGATTAGCAAGGCGGCGCGCAGACCATGCTAACGCCTACCTTGTTTACGGTGGAAACGAACACAGCGAAGTCTGACCCGAGCTGTATCACCAGTGAGCACAGTGTCTCCATTACGGTGCTCCGCAATTCTGCATTCGATAGGACGCGGACTAGAGGATGGATGATGCGTGATGCGTGATCGGAGAAGTTGACCTTCCTCGACAGTCCGTCGATCGTCTGGATTGCTCTCTTTCGCAGCGATGTGGACGCATCTGGCCGCTCGTACGTCCTCACGATGATCGGGATGACAAGTTGCAGATACTCCTCGATGTTGGATCCGAACGTGAGGAACGCATCGAAGATCTTGGTTTGCGTGCTCATTGTCTTCTCGTTGAGTTCGCCATCGAATACCCTGAGAAGCATGGGCAATATCGACGGCAAGAACGGCCTAAACTCAGCATCAAGGGCCTTCCCCAGTGCCTCGACGAGAGACACTAGAGGCAGATGCAACGAAACGTTGTCCCAGAGATCCGTGATCAGGGCGAAGACATCAGGCATGTAGTTACGGACGTGCTGCTTGATGATCCCGACAAGGATGGCCAACTGCTCCAAATGGAAAACTTGGATTCGGGCAACTGATGTCCGTGCAACCGCAGCGAATGCTGGGATGATCTGATTTATGACGTCAACAATCGCTCAGAAAGACTGGGCTTTGTGTCGAACTCACCTGAGGCAGAAAGGTCGCGCACTTCAAGCCCTGTGTCTTAAATATCGACATGATTGCCTCTATGACTTTGTGATGCCGATCTGCCGCCTGCTGGTCCTTTAGAATATCGAGTAGCGCGTTGATTGCAACAGTCTGGTAGTAGTCGTCCGTCCCTGTGCTGACTCCGGTGTAGTTTCTCGTCACAGCGTTCACGAGATTGGAAGAGGTCAGCTCTGACGCTGCTGCCTCTTCTTCAGGCTTGATCTGCGGGCGCTGTGAGCATCAGTAGGCCGACAAAGGTAGCGACGGTCGTTACCTTGCGTCTGTATGGGTCCAGGGCACCCAGTATACCAAGGACCTTGATGATCTCCCTCCTGACGGCCTGCTTCGTCTCTGTTCTGAGGATTCTGCTGAGGATTTGCAGGAGTTGTGGATAGTCAATGAGGGGCGAGACGACATAGCCGGTACTCGAGCAAACTTGACCCAACGTGTGCAGCGCTGCGTCTCGCTTCGGCAGGGACGGGTCAGCAAGTCTTGATATGATCACTTGCATGAGCTCCGGTACGTGAGGCAGGACTTCCTCGCCTCCAACGCGGGTAAGTTCTCCCAGACACATGAGGATGTTTGCAGCTACCGTCGGATTTGGGTCGTTAGCCTTCGGTAAGAGCACCTTGAGCATGGGGATTGCGTATGGCTTGATGAGGCGGTTAGTAGCCGCGACAAGGAGAGTGAGTAATCGTGTGCACTCCTCCCGCTCACGACTGAACGCACGTCAGTACCAGCAGGCCACAGAAACAAATGTTACGCACGAAACTGTCGAGTATTCGAGCTCGGTGAGCAGCTGTATCAACGTCTTCCGGAGAGACGGCATAACGTAGGCAGGGTTATGCATCGCAAGGCGGCCAATCAGTCCGACTGCCGTAACCCGGTTTTCGAATACCTCGTCGTTGACAGCAATGAACAGAGCACGGACGTTCTCTGCCTGAGCGAGATGCTTGTCAAACCGCTCGTGCAAGGAGGAAAGCACAGTCTGCCGAATGGTTGGGTCTACGCGTAGAACTCAGCAAACGATGCATTGCGTACACGTAAATAACCGCATACCTGGATCTGCGATTCCGACTGTGAGCAATTTGTCGATCACATCGCTGATGATTTCAATGGAGTGGTTGCTCGCTTGGTAGACGATAGGATCTCGGACGAAGAGACGACAGCACGTCTCTGCTGCCGCCCGTCGTACCTCCGGATTGTCTTCGCCCAGATACGGCAGAACGCAGTCGCGCACGAACTCGTTCAATGTATGACCTGGAAGGCGCACAACGTGAGACAAACACCGGCCCTTTGAATAGCGCACCTACCGCTGAAGTCAAAATCTCGTAGAGTGACCAGGGCAAGTGTGATGAGCTCAGGAGTCTTCTGGATGGATGTGCCCTGGAGAAGGTCAGACCTTTCTTCATCTGACGGCCCGTCATTGACTCACATCGACAGAAATGACATCCTTAGATCCAGACTCGGTTCGGAGGATCGACGTAGGGGCACCAAGTGGTTTATAGTGCTGCCCACTGAGGAGCATCGAGAGCAAATCAAGAAGCCGGTCTGAAAATCATCAACATACTATCAGCCCAAGACCCACTAAGTGACGATACCTTGGATAGTCTTGAGCAAAGGCGGAATGTGGGTGGCGATGGCGGTGAGAGCTTGTCGTAATGGCTCACTCAGGCCACAGTTAAACATGAGGTCTAGTTGATCATGGAGCAGTTTCGTGAGGTTCGGCCCGACTGCGGACGCCAGCATGCCGACGCATTGAAATATAGGCTCCTCCGAGGGGGCGTTCTTCTTGCTGCTTTCGGGTATGAGATACTAAGGATAGCAAGCGATGCATAGGGGTTAAAAAGACATACCCACGCATTTGCAGGCCCTGTTTGATATGGTGCATGATAGACTCGAGGAATGGCTTCATCTCACTGCCCATTGCACTCGCCACATGTCCGATAGCAATGAATGCTGTTCACAAATGAGTCCCACAGACACCGCCGCAGAAGATGGACCCATACCAACTGAACGCTCGTTCGGCTTGTCAAGCTGCGTCAGTAAATGCGCCATCGCTTGGTGCAAATGATGCTCCGAGAACGTCTGCGGGTCGTACACCGCAAGGGTAGGAATGAGAGTGATGACCATCTTGCGGACGAGGGCGTCTCGGTGGGTCTTGAAGCCCAGAATCAAACCGGCAGCATCGAGGAAGTTCTCCTTCATGAACTGTTTGATGCTTCAGTAAATACATGAAGTCGAACACGGTATCAGGAGACATGCTGACCATGCCGCCGTGCAGGAGCAACTCTCTATACGTCAAAAGCGAACCATGAATGATCTCTGGTTGTGCCATTTTGAGACCCATCTGAGCGTCCTGCAAGATCCGCACCAGGAATGGACTCCGCGCCTGCCGCTCCCGTAATGTTATAATTTCCAGACAGGCTGCAAGAAGTTCGGCCGCGCTCTCTCGAACGATGACGCGCGTGTCGCGAAGGGGCACTAGAATCTTGTCGAAGACAAGTCCGATATATTGGTGGAAGTAGGCTGGACTGTTGCGCGCGAGCTCCTTCAGGATCAGCACGCCAGCGTATCTCCCGGCTTCTTGTTTCTCGGCTTGCAGCAATGCAATAGCTGCTTGTACTTCATAGTCCAACCAACGTTCGCCGAATGTAGATCCGCCGACAGCGGCAATGTGACCGAGAGTTTTGGAGGCGGCAAGCATAACGTTGATGTCGGGGTTCGGGAGCAAGGTCTTGACATAGTTGTAGAAGCGATATAGATTCCTCTGGGCCTCCAGTGCTCCTTCTCCCTCGGCGTTGAGGAGATAATCTGAGCTGGTCAATATGAGATCGCGCATGCAATGCAAGACCTACTTACCAATAGCCAATATACCGCCGAGCTTCTCCACATTGCTCTGACTATGGACCAAGTCAAACAGTCGTCTGTTTATCGTCTCCTCCCATAATTTGACGGAAGCGTCCGAGGACGCGTCATGGACCGAGTTCGACACCTGGACGAGATGAGCAGTTTAGACATGGCTTGCGAGGGGTTCACTCACATAACGTTGGAGGTCGATGGCAGACTGCAGTCTGACCTCATGGCTCTTGCTTCTTAGGCCTTGAAAGATCTGGTCCAGGCCCTCTACCTGAGCGCTGCTGGTGGAAGCCATGAGCAATAGTCCACCGCCGCACTTCGCAGCCAGAGTAAGAGACGCAGTACTGAGTTACGCACAGGCAGCGCGCTCGAGAGATCCGGATCGAGAGGCACGTGCTCGTCATCTCAGAGAAAGTCGCAAGGGTCTCATATATCTTATAACAGTTTGTCATCAACGGCCTGGTGGTCTAGTAGTATGATTCCTTCTTAGGGTTAAACCAATTGGAGGAGGTCCCGGGTTCAATTCCCGGCCAGGCCCTGCTTTTTGCAGTCTCTGTACGTAGCAGACCATCAAAGCCGGCGAGTGTGCATTTTGCAGAATGAAACAAGTCCAGCAGACCGCGCTGTCGACGTGGTCGTGATGCATTTTGCGTGTACACTATGTGATTTGCAAGCACACTGCGCGAGAACCGCTCCACAAACGCAGACCAGCGTCCTGTAAGATATGGCACACGTATAGCTAGCTATGGGCACTCAGTACAGAGCCATCACTTTCACGACATGTATTTGTCGTAATAATGCAAGAACAACCATATCCCGCCGATGCCGAGGCCGAATACGAGCACAAACGCGCCAAAAACATAGAGCAGGATGTCTTTGAACTCTTCCTTGCCGTCGCCCAGAGGCTTCGCAGCGCCATGTGCCTTCCCGTTCGTTGCCGCGGCGGCAAGGCGTTTCTGCCATGCACGCTCCTGGTCCTGCTTATCCGCTGCTTCCGCGATCTGGCTGCGGCATCAGATGCGTCGAACACCTGTTGCCTGCCGCCGCTCGCAGATGCCGATATGCTGACGAACGACGGGTAGTGTTGCTCGCACCACTGCTCGATCTACGGTAGGCAGTGAGTCACACTGCGCGGACATGCACATAACTATAGTACGTACCTTGCCGCATGCGACGGAGATCTGGAGGAAGCTGGGGTCCTCAGAAGTAGCCTTGCTGTGGATCTTGCGCGCGTAATCCCGGAAGATGTAGGCAACATCACGGGGGTTTGTTGAGCGCATGATGAGCTTTGGTATTGTCAGACACTTCGTATGACTGAATGCAGATGACGCACCGAAGCGGCTTCTGCCTTGCGGATCTTGATGTTTCGCTGGAACATCTCGTAGTTCATGAAGCACAGGCAAGCGTTGCAATGGCCATCGTCTGCGGGATCGCGCAGAAGTTGAAGACGCTCTGTGTCTTGAGCAGTCTGAGGTAGTCCAGCGAGTCCACAGCGTGCCTGAGAGCATCGACAACCATCCCGCTCTGAACCCACAGAGCCTGCTTTTCGTTGCCGGGCTGGTACATCTGCGCCATTTCCGTGAAGGCCGGCTTTCCGACCGCCTTCCCGTAAATCTCCCGACCCCAGATCTCGCGCGGCCAGAAGTACCGCTTGTCTTCGACATCCTCGCGATAGTCACGGATGATGTTCGTCTTCTGGAGCATGAGACCCATAGAGTTGGAGAGCTCGAGCTGGTCACCGAGCCAAGGTGCCTCCTTGCCTGACACGGAGAAGAGACGCGTCACGCCCTCCCCGACGAGCCCTGCAACGTAATGGCAGTACAATTCGTACTCAGATATCTTCTCCACGTAAACCTCGCCGGTCGTCGCGGCGCGATGCGCGTAATCCGCCATGCCTGTCTGCATCTTCACCGTGATGTCTAGGATGACGTCGCGGTACCTCAGGGGCGGTCAGAACGCGTCAAAACCCCGAGGCAAAACGCGTACTTAGCGTCGAGTTCGAGGAGCTCGTCGCTGACGACGTTGTACTCGACGAGCAGTTGTCGGTCCTTCTCATTCGGCCCATTCTCGGTGAACGTCCAGCCGGGCGTCACGGTGAGTTCGTGGAACCGACGGAGGATAGGCTGCTTTTTCTCGTCCGGAAGCGTCATGTCATCCTCAATGGTATCGAGCCCGCGCAGAACCAGATAGAATAGGCAGATCTAGACACGACAAGTGTTAGTTCACAAATCTGGGCGCTGACACTGGTAACGAGGATCGCGCGTTATAAACGGTGTGAGACAAGGTGCCTGGCCTCAGACATAGGCGTGCATTCGCGCATCGTGCACTTCGAACCGTGCTGGAAGCAGGGTGTAGGATGTCCAAGGGATAATAACGTGCTTTTGCTGACAGGGTTACTCACAATCCTAGCCAGGTCGCCCTCCAGTTCCTTGATGACCCCCGAGAAACTCCGGCTGGTCAGGTCCAAAAACTCCCAACATCTCCGCATGGATGTACGGTCCCATCCCGAGTTCTTCCACTCGTTGGGCGCAGAGATGTCCCTATTTGCTTCGTGCCATATTTTGTACTGTAGCAGCGTCCGGAACTCCAGCGGGTGCGTAAGGAGCAAAACCAGCATTGACATTGCACCCATTTCTGCAACGGACGAGCTAGAACCAGGCAGCCAGGATGAGCAGGGAGCGAAAGGGAGAGGATGGAGGCCGGTCGTGCGGGGTGGGGTGGTACGATATGTATGCGAAAGCGAGCGGCTCTTCAGACGGGGTGCGTGACAGGGGCAATTGCCAGCGGGCCGGGTCCAGTTCACAGCGATGTAGCTTGTTCCTCGCTTCTCTCCGCACAATCGACAGCATACCTGCTGCCCCCTTTGAACGGCGACAGGCAAGGAGAGGTGGGTGTGAGACGCCTCCGTACCGCATCATGCCGTCTGACCAATAGCTGCGTCAGTTTAGACTGTACTTCCGCCTGCGCTGATCCTGTCTGGGCCGGATGGACGCCGCTATCACACCACCTCTGCGCCTGCATGTCGTTCGCGCCGACGGTATCTCCCCATCTTCTACTCGGGCACGGCTGCAGGACTTTTTGGTCAACTACGATGACCGCCGGAGGCTCGCGTCGCACGGAGGCGACTCGACCATAGCAGCGCAACTGCAGAAACTGACGGAGGCATTGCGAGAAGAACGCGACGTGCGTAAGAAATTTGCGGGGCAGTAGTGGTCCTGGTACGCCGTGCTACCAGATGGGGCTTGTGCGGTCGCTGACAATAGAAACGCATAGTTGCCATCTGCCTGATTGTCGAGTCTCAGACTTGACTCGGGCGCACTTGCGCCCAAGCTGAATAGTCGTACCACGCCGACAGATTGGGACCGGTGCGCATACAGAGCAAATTGCACAGTGTCACATTCACATAGACAACGCCTTTCTGTTCCTGGTGTTCCTGTCTGACCAGGCCAGACCAGGCTATCGCACTTAGCTCGCTCGGACTGTCAAATATAGTCCGTCTCAATTGCTGCCAGTGAAACTATACGATAGATCCGTATCAGAATACGTGCGTAATGATAGCCAAGATGGTTGCACCATACATCACTTCCTCCGCTTGCTCGCTGCAGACAGCCCAGTTAGACAGCCCTCGCCCATGAACAGATAGCGAGCTTACCTGCGGTCTTGGACTTACTAGCTCCCGGTGCCTTCCTTTTCTGCCCGCCTTCGAAGCAGGCTCCGAGTCCTCGTCTTCCACGTCAGCCTCGGCTTTCCTGCCCGCTTTGCTCTTCGCCGCGATGACCGATGCAGCTTTCACCGCTTCAGGCCCACGGGCGCACCTGGACTCTCCTCGCATTCAGGACAGAACCATTCTCCATCGGCACCGCGTCCAAAGGAGGTTGAGACAGTTCGTGTGTATGGGTGGTCGCACTAAATGCACTCAATCAGACACGCAGTACGAGACCATAGCATATTCACCTTGTCGCATGCCAATAAGGGTGTATCGTCGTCTTCCGCATTGCAGGCGATACATGGTCAGGCGAGTCCAGGTCTGCAGGATGTCTTGGAAGATCAGACAACTTCTCGTTCGGGTTAGCCAGGAAGTACGTCGTGTTCTGGCCCCCGCGACTCTGGAAATGCCATTCAACTCAGTATAACGTGAAAGTAGAAAGGATGCCACTCACTGAAAGACGTCAATCCAATCAGTGGTTGATGCCGTGTGGGCTTCGTCGCGCTCTTGCTCTCGTTGGGCCCAGCCAAGCTCGCCTGAGACGGCAACGTTAGCAAAGTGGCAGAGAACAGTGCATTCAAGACGAACCGTTCGAAGCACCCTGGCCAAACGTGACCGTCATGACGCTATCGTCCTCGTCGGGAGCCAGAGCCCAATGCGTCACGCCTCCGCACGCGGCATGCACCACTTTGCAACCCCTGGCAGGAGCAGAAACCGTAAGGCGAGAAGGCAGAGAATGCGAGATCGCTACGTACATGATATCGTGCATGTATCGGAAGGAGGAATATGGTTGGCCGGAGGAACCTAACACGGAGTATAAGATTGCCGGCACAAGCAGGGACTAAAAGATCTTTCACCATCCCCAGTCATCTTCCACTGCGCAACGTGAATGCCCGAGTCAATTCGATTGTTCAGAAAAAACAGGAAGACGAACCTTGCCGGCCATCCAAAACATGCCTTGCTTGTCGATGACAACAGAGTTAGTTGGCCCTGCAGCTACTTCAGTCCCCATCGTTATCTCTTTTGGGCCAGCGAACTAAGAGTACATCAGACTGAGTTTAGCATCAGTCGGCATGCGAGCGTACCTGCGGTACAGGTTTGGGTATTAGGACATCTTGCTGGTTTCCCAGACCAAGGCGGCAATAGCCATTGTAGCCCCAAACATACACGACCCTGAACGCGAAAAACCATGAGACCACAAGCGCACGAGCATGGATGATCACGAACCCTTCAGAGTCCAAGGCTATACTATGCTGCTGTCCACATGCGATCTGCGTGACTTTCTTGCCTTCGAGACCCTTGACAAGGACTAAGCAATGGATCAGTGACAAGGAGACGTGTGCCACTCATTGAGAGCTCACTAGGTTCCGGTTCGACGTCAAATGCTATTTTGCCCGCGGAGACGATGTGCTCTCCAGTCCTCCCATTCCCGAGTTGGCCATGTTCGCCGTTCCCGAAAGCAAAGACTACGATGTGGTAGTTCGTTAAGTAGGGATGGTCCGCTCGATCTTGACATTGCTCACCTTTGCCGCTCGCTGTGATGACAATCGAGAATGTTATGCCAGCAGCTGCTTTCACTACATTTTCCTTCACTCCGCCATACTTCGGCCCCTGGACCAGCTTGAACGCAGAAATTTCTGGACACGGCGGATGGCCACACTGTGATATCGACAAGTTCGTCACCTGCTACTCCCGCCAGAGAACTGTGACCTGTATCTTACCTGCCCGAGCTGGTTCGCCCCCGCCGTCCACAGCTGTCCACCACTTCCCACAAGCAAGGTATGGTTCCTCCCACAGGCGGCGTGCACGAAACGTGTTCCCTTGGGAGCCCCGAGCTCCTGCGCCGTCAGGCGCATGGGCGCGTTCTCGGATATAACCTCGACGCCCGCGACACCGAGCGCGCCACGGTCGTTCCGCCCGAACAGCCAGGCAGCGCCATCGGCGTCAAGCATGACGACGAAGCATCCCGCACAAGAGGTGTGGATCGAGGCGACCTTGACGTTGCTCAGAGAGCGCAGTATGTGGGGTTCGAGGAGGTCCGGACCACTGCGCGGGTTACAAGCGTTCAGTACATAGCCGTGTCATGCCAGTGGAATGGGTGGTTCAACTTCAACCTACACGCTCGTTGGCTCTTGCGCCTTCTTGCTTCCACCACGATCCTTGCGACCCAACCGCGGCCTGCACAGACACGATCATGGTGAGCGTTGGAGTGAGAGTGTTGTGGCTGAACGCGACGCGACGCGTCGAGCTCGACCGCGCCGGCGTCGTGACCCCGTCGACTCACCAGTCAGTCCCACCGCACAATAAAACTGCCATTCACGGCTCTCAGCATTTGGCCCAACACGAACGGCGAGACACCATACCTCTTCCCCATTGCGGCTCAGTGGTAGCAGCGTTGCTGGCAGACTCAGCGGGAGGCGAGGCAGTCATGTTGGGAAGTCGAAACGAAGTGATCCGTGTAACGTCCGGCGGGGCGGATTAACGACGCCAGTGGGACATCTGCCGTAAGCGGACAGGTATGGAACGGTCTCCCCGACCAACGTCTGAATTCTCTTCTACTGGTACATACGAACCGAGTAGTCTACAGCTCCATAAGTCCAAGTCCCTCACTCAGAAACCATCCACAGCCAGTTCTGCCCATCTCTTGCTTCTCACCGTTCCTAGGTCACTGGCGCTAATGCGGACCGAATCTTTGACGAACAGCTATGTCAGGAAAACTTGGGAGAGAGAACGGCAGACGAATCAGTGATCTCCAAGGGTCACCTCTTTCCAAGCCTCGAGACTTGCTCGTACTTGAGCGTTTTAAAATGTAACGCAAGGCCGCGGCGCGACATTTGTCGTCTAGCAGTGAAAGTGTTGACATAATGCGTCGGGCGGAAGCGACTGTAGCCCGCCTATTGTCCTATGTATCCAGGCATATGCATGGCAACGACTCAATCTGACGAAAGGGTGTGTTCGGAAGGACCCAGTACATCTTGGGGAAGGACCCATGGGTCTAGTCTACTGTCAAGGACCGTCAGATGTGTATATCTCAAGGACAAGCACTGGGTCGAATGTGACGCACCTGGACATAGCCAAATGGCTTCCCCGCGCGATCATCCTACTGGACGAGACCGGCACGTTTGGAGCAGCACCGCATATGCAATTGGTACTGGCCTTATGAAACCCGCATTGGCTGGAGCCATGAACGATCTCACAGACATGGTTCAAAGGCAGGTGTCTCCTGCAAGCACGAAGGACAATCAAATGACGACAGCTAGGGTGCCAATGCTATTACACAATAGAATCGCTTGACGCACCTACAGCGCTGTCTCGACGTCCATGCTTCTGACAGATGCACCCAGAGCATTGCCTATACAAACAGACAACATATGCACGACCCGCGCACATGCCTGGACATTGCAGTGGCACAGGCCTCGGAGGCTCCCGGACGTCGTGGATGACCTTGTCCAAAGTCTTGGTCTAATCACCGCGGCTGCAGCCCGGTCCAAACAGCCCTATGGTGTTGTGGTATCCAAGTGGACATGTATGGCTGCGTTGCCGAGGTACAGACAGGCATAGTTCGCATTCGTGTAGTCAACGTGTAGTGCCGGAAACGGCGCGAGGATGAGGAACAATACAAGGCTGAGAGTGGGCGCCTAAGCGATGTTGATGCATGTCGGAGAAGAAACGCCCTGCTGCCCGCCATGGCCCATCGTTTCTCAGACACCGCTCACCTTCCAGCCCGGTCGCCGTGCGCTACCCGCTCCGCTCGATGCTCGTGCTCGCGTAAGACCACCCCGTACTCCCGACAGACACTCTAGGAGACGCACAGCGTCGGCACGCCTTCTCAGTCTGCAGGCGCGTCGTGCTCGTCACTGTCCACCTCACAGGCTCGGCACTATTCTCTGGCTATGGCGAAGGGTATCTGCGCTATAATTCCGAGTGACACCCCAAATCCTGCTGTCGACGACCCTATCCCGGCATACGCTCGGGCGTGGGACCCTAATATACGACGCCCCACCCATCTGCCAGAGGATTACGACGAGCGCATCGCCCCCGAGTACATCTTCTTCCTTCCTGCAGGCCCAGAGGAAACCGCGGATGGGTTGACCGAGTCCGGAGTGTACGTAGTCGCGAAGAAGTGCGACCACTGCGAACGGCTGAGAAAGGCCTGCACGCGTGCACGCCCTACGTGCCAGATGTGCCACGCTGGGAGACACGACTGCGTTACATCGGACACAAGCTACGTGCATCTCTCTGGACCCAAAGGAACCCGTCCCAGCCGCTCAAAGGGCGGTGTACCTGGACAACCTGTGCAGCATAGCGGTGTGAAGACGAAGACGTCGGCACGCGCACAGACAGAGGACGCGCCTAGCCCGAGGTCTACCGCTCACCCGAGGTTGCGCACTCTGAGGTTGCGTTCTTCCACCGCCTCCCGTGAATCTTTACCTCCAGACTCCCGCTCTCCATCGCCAACCCTCTCAGAGGAGCTTCCAAGGCGAGCCAAAACGGCACCACACGAGAACGAAGGGAGGCGCCACGACAGTCCAGCGCGCGGTAAAGCCAACAAGAAGCGGAAGGCCAAACCCGCTGACATGCCGACAGCATCCGCAGGCCCGTCGCGACCCAAGAAGTCAAAGGTTGAACCTAGCGCGTCTGGGAGCAGGAAAGCGTCAGCTACTCGCAAGAGGAAACGTCCTGCTGGCCGTGTCTCCTCTGCCAATGATAAGCGTGAGGCCAGTCTTTTCAAGTAGCAAAACAGTGTCTCATCCATGACTTCCTCAACCTTTGGAATCCAGACGATGCTAGCCCTTCGTGGACCGCTGTACAGCCCGCAATACAGTCGACAGACAGTAACCATGCTACTCTGCTTGAGCCATACGCATCACCCAGGATTTGGGCCAGTGTACGTAGTGTTCAAGTATTATGGTTGTCATTCGTCGAATCATTTCGTTTCTTCAGAACAAGGAAGAGCTACTGGAGGTACTTCCGACCCTCAAGAACGAAGTAAATGGGGTTGTCTGGGGTAACGTCGAAGCGCCTGTCTTGTTCCTCCAGGGTCCTGTGTGGCCCGGAGACCAATGGCACGGCCAGAAAACTATAGAAGTCACTATGTACGTACTCCGTAACGAGGTTGATGTGTCTATGTTGCTATGGAGAATAACTAAACATCCTACAGGATCAGGAGGCGCGTCCAACATCAGTTTCCTCAACAGCTCTTGGACGCAGGGCCGGTCAATCTTCCAAGTGCACAGGGTGACGACTTGACAATAGATTCCAGTAATCCAGTGCTGGCGATACCGGTTCCTGCCGCGGATCCACCGACAGTTCGTCCACAACCCTGTGCATTGCACCCCTCAGCGCAGCTTGATGCCCCGCCATTACCAAGCGACGAAGCCTCTGCGGCCCTGGTAGGCCCCTCCAATCCATCCCCGGCCCCAGCTTTGAGGTCCTCACCAGGTCTCGAGTCACTGTATCATCAGACAGTTCCAGCTACATCTCCGCATCCCGCACCGTTGTCCCTGTTGTGCGAGGCCTCATCAATGGCTGACAACCTGTCCGTAGCAGGGGAGCTGATCAAGGACCACAGCAGCCAACACACGACCTCGGTCCGCGGATCGCCTGTACGCGGTGCCGGACGCGACACTCTCAACGCCCCTCGCAGCCGCTCTTCCAGTGTGAGCTCTGGCATGAGCTACGACGAGGCGAGGGAGCTTTCCGGTACGCCGCGTCTGAACGTCGTTTCTCGTATATCGCTGATTTGCTTTCTGGCGTAGGATCTTCATACGCGACCACCTTGACCTCTGTTCTCAGCTGGAAGCCTGATTACTTCAGTCCGTCTCCGTCAGATACTCGGTTCAGAACGAGCAGTGTACGGGATGATCCCGAAGGAGGAGATCCTGCCACCAACACCGGAGACCTGAAGCAAAGCTTATTCCATCTTCACGCCACAAGATGGACCAAGCCGCTCGCGCCATCATCGTTTCCGAACAGTCACTTTTCTCATGCTAGCCATCGAGAAGATGGACCGCCCGCCCATGATGCGCAACCGAACCAGCCGCCGGCCTCAGCCTTGTCGCACCCGCTGCAAGCCTCCGACTTCGGCACTATGCCTCCCGAGTTCTCCGCGTTGCAAGAACACCATCAGATCGGCTTGCCAGTCGCTGTGGTCTTGTGCAGAGATTCTGCGCTCTGGAATTTCGATCTCCCGCCAAAATATGGATGTGTCTTCCTCGGATTTTTCAATATCGCACGTATGGGGTACACGCACGTGGACGCTGAACGTCTGCGTTGCCGTATACGACTGGAATGGACGCCAGGCGGAGACAGCGCTGACCCGATTGTCGAGCCGCCGCTCACGCCGTGGTGGATTGAACCTGACGGATCTGGAACGGACAGTCACAATGTCGACTCAGAGATGGTCTTGCACCCATACTCCTTCCTTCCACTCCACATACTTGCAATGTCTGCCTTCACGGACAAGGACCGCGCGATAGGCGTGTCGGAAGTCACGTCCGTCGAGGGGTGGCATTGTCAACAGTGTGGAAAGCTGAACGTCCAGCGGAACCTACGCCTACAGCGATGCAGCGACTGCGCAGTCAGTGCTTCGACCCCTGCTTGATATACCCTATTGATGTATGTTCGTTATTTGCGTGCAGAGAGAGAACGGTCTCCCTCCTATACGAGTTGATTGTGTGCGGAACCCACATCTGATGGCGCCGAGCAGTTGGCCGTGGGACAAGACCTGTGGTAATGTTGTGTCGGCTGGCAAGAGATTGTCAGATGGGTCGTGTACGCAAACCTACACGATAGATAATAGAGCCATTGTCAAACACATCTATACGTGTAATCGACCCGAGGTACAACGGGGCTCGTCTCGCCTTTTCACGGCTATTCAAAGAGACACGGAGCTGGTGCAGCACAAGGCGAGCGGGTGGCTGGGTGCAGGTGCGCATCCACTGTTACGTGTACCGCGGCGCGCCGCCTCATGTCCGCTTATGCGTTTCCCTTCTCCAGGGTCGCACTACATCGCCGTCTTCGGTGACGGTGTGATGTATGATATTCCTTGCACGCCGTGGACGGGCACCCCGTCATCTATTATCGATACGAGAGACGTATTCCAGGAGCGATGTCGCGCTGCTGGCGACTGGCCTTCATTTGTCGTCGACAAGATGCTAGTAACGGCTTGGATGGACGCGGGTTCGAGGAAGGTGCGTTATTAGCCGTAGAGTCGGCGTGAGTGGTGTAATGAGGGTTCCGGGCAGGGTTGTCTGGTGCCTGCGAAAGGCATGCGCATTGCTATGTACTGCCTCGGGGCAGACGTAGAGCTGTCGATTTCACCGAAGCCAATCGTCGGCAGCGAGGGGAAGACAAGGGGTATCACGAGGATCAAGGCTGACCTCGACACATGGATTTCATTGAACGACGAGGCAGTCGACGGCAGTTCGCGGACTCGCGACCAGAGCGTCCAGATCAAGGACGAGGATGTCGAAACTCAGCCAAATTTGAACTTATTGGTGGCGGACGACGCAGAACCACTGAAGCCGCAGCCCACGAGTGCCTCGAGCGGAGTCTCTGGCAAGCGCCCACCTCGAAACAAAGAGGCTCCCAAGGAGCCATTGTTTGTCACTCTCGTTCATGGCGATATGCTGCTATTTGATGGTGGTGACTTCGAGGTGCGTCGGATGGCATCTCCCATGGCTGATAGGATTTGACGAAAGCCTCGTACAGTATACCCTGAAACGGACCGGAATGAGCGTTGGTGCGCCCTCTTTTCCATAGCCTCACATTGGCAGTGATTGTCTCTGACGTTCTGCCATGCAGTGTTAATTGCTACAGATACCGAACAAGGAGTCTGAATCTTCTGCTGCTGTTGTCGATCTTGGAGAATCCTATAACTAAGCTATCACTATCTTACATCTTGCTTTCGTCGTTGTATTGCTCTATGCTCTCATGTATGCAACTGCTTTGATCGCCCTCATGTCCGAGTAAGCAATGGCCGCACACAGGCCCAGTGATACATTAGCGAACGCTCTCCATTACAACAAGCACGCAGTGGGTTCGAGACAGGGCAAAGTGTCACTGGCTCGAGCCTAACATCCCATATTCTACGGCGTCATGAGGTTTCGATGCGTTGTACGGTAACTACACGTCGCTAGTCGTAAAGTTGTGCTGACAAGGACCCGAAGTCCATCGACAGCCCGTCGTGCTTGATATCCACAGAGCCCACGCATTTCCTGAGCCTGGTCTTGATCTCTCGCGGGAACTGTTTCCCCGTCCGAGAAATGATCTCGATGGCGTGCAAGCGGGCCCCGCGGGCAGAACGTCCCTCGACAGCTTCAGCCATCCCGCGCAAGATCGTCAGTTGCTCGTCAAGGCGGGAGAACTTCAGATGCGTCAGCTTCGGGCATATGCAAAGGGATGTATCGTGGTCCACGCCTTCAGTGTCGGCGACACGGGATAGAGCGTTAAAGAGCTCTAACACCATCGAGTCGCGGATGTTGAGTTCCATCGTCGTGACAGTGGGCACGCAAGCGAAGATCTGCCTCCATTGTGTCTCCAGCAGTCTGAACGAGTTGGCAATGAGAGTCAGGTGGTTGAGGATCGGGAAGGTGATAGCGGCAAAACCGGCGGTGTCCAGAATCTCTGGAAGCCCACCCGCCTCGTGCCACTCCCACTCGATTCGTAGCTTATTGTCCACGGAGCGTAGCACGATGTGTGTCGACCATTCCAGAGCGCCGATGAGTCGAGTATGATGTTTTCTTGGGTGGCAGCTATGGCCCCTAGAGACGGGCACTGCGTCGAGAGATCGAGAGGGAGGTTATGATGACCGTAGAACTTCAGGTCCAGCGCCGTGGTCTTTGGGAAGACGAGATGATGAAGGATGCTTGCTATGTCCACCGGGACCATGGAGCTCAGAGTGAGTTCTTGGAGATAGGGAAGGTGGACTACCTCTGGTTGAGGGTCTCCTGCGTCAGTCATGCATCCCATGACGGCTGCGTTCTCCATGGCCCCAAGCAAACCGAGCTTCAGGACCTTCAGCTTTGGACAGTCCTTCAGCGCGGTGAGAAGGCTGCCGAGGGAAGGGACGAGCTGGTTATGAAGAACCATCGTATCCATGTTGCGATAGGGCAGCCACGCAAGCAGCACGCCAGAAAGCTCGATATCGCGAAGGGAGGGCAATTCACGGGAGAAGAGGGACAACCCGAGCACCTGCATGGGGGCATGCAGAGAGAGGTTGCGGAGGAGGGGTGCAGGGTTGCGGAACGTGAGCAGGGCAGTTATGTCTTCGCGCCGCAGCTCTGCGACATGAAGCTCGGCGAAGCGGTAGGTCTGGTCAACCAGTATGACACCCTTCCGCCCCCACGACGGATCCGGCTTCGGGTTGTTCGCAGAGCCAGTGTACTTTACGTACAGGGGCATGTCCCTTGAGCGTTCAACGTAGGCCTCTAGCTTGTGCATACTGGATTGCAGCGTGATCGACAGATAGGCCCATAACCGTGGCGAAGCGAGCGAAAATTGACGCCAATATCGACAAACATGGGATATGGGAAGGTAGCTCAGGTTGTTCCAGGATGAGTAGGCGTCGTAAAATGGGCCTCCCATGCTTCTATTACCAGTGACAAGAATATTTGGTGTAGGATGTCGTCGGGAACAAGAGCAATGGGTGCGATCGTGCCGTTGTCGACCGGATCATTGGTGAGGGTGTGTTCTTCATGAGCCATGGTGTGAGATTTCGTTCACGCTGCTCAGACAGCGTCGCATGAATACGAATGAATGCTAAATCCAGCTGCTCAGTGATCTGCGTACGAATCGTTGAGCGCGGCGTGCTGCCTATACGGGATCTCGTGAACGTACATTGTCATGCACGACTGATTGGATCGTGTCTGGACGCAACTGCCTACGCCGCACGTATATCAGGCGAGGTGTGTTGGTGGATATAACAATCCGAATTACGATCGCCTGGAGCCGTCTGGTGAGTACCTTCCCGATGTGTCGGAGACTCGGAGAGTGGGTCGCGGAGTGAGTAACGCGCAGACCACGTGACACGCGTCGCTAGAGACGCGTCGGAAATGTTTGGTTTGGCTGCAACTTGGCTGCAACCTGCCTGCAACAAGTTTGTCCGCAACGCCTAACTCACTCCCGTACACACCACCGTGACCCTGTACCCGTAGGACTCTGCAAGAGGTCGTCCAAACTATGTCTCATCCTGCTGTCAAAACTTCAATGTCGCCTCAACTTACAGCCACAAACATCCTCGACTGGCTGAAGCCCCCGCGAGGCGAAGCCCTAGCTAGACTACGAACCAATGGTCTTGGCCTTCTCACACTCACCATCTTCACAAATCTCCTACCCCTGCCGTCACCATGGGTGGCTATTGCGACGGTGCGCAAGAATACGCCTGTTAGCACGTTCTACTATGGGCTCTGTGCCCTCGGTACGTGGCTTACATTGCTGAGGCTCTCGTCTCGTATACTCACACCTCCTGTTTTTGCAGAGGTTCTGGCATTAGCGGTACTAGGGCTTAACATCCTTCAAGCATCCTACGCACTGAAGTATCCACGAACACAACCGACAGTCCCACCACTACCGCCTTCCCCAAAGGTCAACCATGCATCTCCGCGGAAATGGCACTTGAGGAACATGTCTCCAAATGTATGTCCACTGTCCATCATGTGCCAACCGTACCTTACGAGCATGTACTTGACAGCCTAGCCCGCAGCGTCAGAAGTCGTTCACCTACGCGCCCTCTCCAGCATCGACCCCCTCACGGACGCTGAACTACACCATACCTCCATCTGCAACGCCGGGCTTTGATTCGTCTTTCACATCGTCCATCGGTTCTGTCCCTCCATCCCCGGCTTCGCCACTCGCTGCATACAGAGGTAGACATAGCGTTGCATCCGGTCGTGAGTGCTCTTGCTTTTATTTCCATGGCTCGCCCGTTTGCTCACCATGCTGTCCGCCTGAATCATAGGTGCGCTTGACGGATCGCTTCTCAGTCGCTTAGCTCGAGACGATTCTGATGAGGACGAGGAGGATGACTGACCCCGGTTGCTGCGCTCACTGATGTATAGCGTATGACATGCCCCGAGTGGCATACCGTGCCGAACGATTGTGACACGATCTTGAAGATGTTGTAACGTCTCATGTCTGCATCATTGTACACTTGCATATTCATAGGGAATGCATTCACACAAGGGAGTCTATGTTGGGCGTGGGTGGCCCAGACAGGTACTGCGTTACTGTCAACTATAGAACTGATCCTCCTGGCCTGACGCCAGACCGCCAAAGTAACATGTCAGGGCCTTCAGCTTAGACCCCATCCACTCCTCTTCCACCTCGATCATCTCTGTCTTGGCCTTCTCCTTGCCTTTACCCTGCTGTCTCTGTGCGGGCACGTAGTCTCCGTCTTGCATTGTTTGCTCTTCGGCTACCAATGCGGAAATTTCGTCCAGTTTGACGTTCCGCGGCAAAAAGTACGCCACATTCCGTGTGATGCTGCGTGCGGTCTCGAAGAGCTCTTTACCGTGCACGGGCCTGATTGAGGAGAGGCTGAACTCATGCGGGGCTTGCTTGTCGTCGCTGCCACCAGATACATCCCCGTCTCCATCCGATGCGTGAGGTTTGTCTGTTAGATAGGACGGGCCACCCCAAGGCGGGCTAAGAAAGATGACGTCGATTTTCCTTCTCGACTGTGCTGCTCCTGATTGGGAATCCGGATCGCCGCTGTTTGCGTGTGCTGTTTGTCGCTCAACCAGTGTCCGCGCGAAAGAGAAAAAGTCGGCCAATATGAACTCGATGCGATCAGCCACCCCGTAGATCTCAGCGTTGTGCCGTGCCAGAGCCAGGCGGACGGGGGAGATGTCCAGAGCGATCACTGTGTAACAAACACCATACAGTCAGCCTCATACAATCGAAGACTACATGCAGATGGACGGTAAGGACATCTGAGAGCTGTGCGAGAGAAAGCCGGGGACGTACCTCGCTCACACGTCTTCGCAAAGGCGATCGCGTTCCCGCCTACCCCGCAGAACGCGTCGAGGACGACGTCGCATCGGCATCGTTCCGCGATCTGGTTCGCTATCCGCTCGGGCGTGACGCTGTACCAGCCCTCCTCGTCGAGCAAACAGCCGGAGGAGTAGAGAGAGAAGTAGCGTTCGCGCTGGGAGAAGTCTGCGCTCGGGACTATCAGCACACGCTGCACATCCACGCGTGGCGAGGAAACAACGAAGGACCACGTACACTTTTGAAGATGCGCAGGGACTTGTGAAGGATGCTGATAGAACGGGACCAACCCCCTCGCGTCGTACTGCTCCTTCCCTGGCCCGACCTTGCGCTTCTTCGACGGGCGGAAGCCAACTTCGACCCCGTCCTCTGCAGCTTCAGTGGCACGCCGTACGGTCCCTGTTGAAATTTCTCCTGGTGTTCTGTCGGCAGAGGGCTCATGCCCCGTACCACGAACGGAAGACACTGGATCTGAAGGCGGAGACGATGTCGCTGTGGTGTTCAACGAGCTCGGGCCAAAAGCATCCGCGACGAAGCGCGCCAGGCCAGACAGGTTGGCATTCTTCTTGCCCATGAGTTTTACTAGAAGGTGCGCTGAGAAATAACGGCGAAGGACACTGGAATGACAGAGGATTGGACGGGGCTACTCGAGTGCGACAATTCTTGGACAATTCAAACCTTCAGACGTGATCATGTGATAGCCTGGGCACGATAGTATAAAACATGATCTGAGGCTGGAATAGAACAGCCCTAAGTAGTGGGAAGACTGTGATTACACCCAGAGAGTAGCACAGACTAGCTGGATGCTATGTTATCTGTGCATGAGCATGAGTCAGGTTGGCAAGATTTTCACTCCGAGTCCACTGAGGATGATAAACCTGATTTGATCCTCAGTTCAATGCCTTGTTCAGGTTCGTTGAATGTGATGCTTCTTGTCGCAGCAATATGGGCTCGCATGTTGAGACTAAAAGCATATACATCAAAGACAACACAAGCATGTCCTATGAGATAAACATACAGCACAAGAAGTGAATTTGCATAGACTTCATAGTCATCAATAGTACAGTCATCATTAATGCCATTGCAGATAGCAGCTAAGAAAGTTCACCTGTTCCAAGTATTGCCCTGATGATTTCTGATATATATGTCTTGTGAGGGACATCAATGCCAAGGTTCTAGAGGAAATTATTGAGGGTTAAAGATCATGGCATGCAATATGCAACTCACAATAATTGCAGTCAAAATCTGGAGAATGCTTCAATTCAATGCAGCACAGTTAATTTGAGAAGTGTGCCAAGAAATTGAAACTTTTCACACCATAGCACAAATCCATGGCTCATGAGATAGGTCACAATCCTAGTAATAAGAGTGTTGGTTCTGTTGATATATCAGAGACCATGTCTGCAAGATTCTGGGACTTAAACCCCTTCCTACCTCTGATATTGAGTATGTTGGTCATGCAATGTGTAACACAAAGCTGCTGTGGTGAATACATCAATGACAATGTTCACTGCTATCACTGTGGCAGTAGCAGCCTTGGTGTTATATTAGCAGGAGTACAAAAGCTGAGAACTGAGAACACACCTGCTCATTTTGAACAATATCTAGTATGGATGTCTCAATGAAGCTACATGTTAAGAGAATCAGTACCTTGTAAGGATTAGTTCATTCAATGACACACAGCTTATATTCAGTCCCTGTTTGCAAAGGGAAGCCAAGGGTACCACATTGTCAATGCCAGTGACTTGTAATGCAGACTCTTGCAGAGCTGCTCAAAGTACTCACAGATACTGATCCCTGATATTCACTTAGAGTCAACATCAAAGCATCTTATCAGAAGTATACTCACCAGTCTGCAGAGCTACAAGCACCACCTAAAACCACATTCAGTGTTGCCAGATCCAGGCCTGATAAAGAACTTGAACCCACACTGAGAACACAGAAGGCATTGGCATGCCTTTTGTTAGCATGACTACAAAGCATGAGAGTCAAATTGGTGTAATGTATGCTATGACCACTCACAGCACCATGCTTTCCACAGGAAATAGCTATAGTATGGGATAATCAGCATCTGGTTCACTATGACATGGTGATGTGAAGAACCTTTGTACAACTATCTTGATCACATCCTGACAACACAAGTTGATTAGTCCCATATCTTTGACAAGTTGTCCATGGACCCAAATCATACCTCAGATAGCTGTTCAACCTGTGAAATGTAATTCAGCATTGGCTGACATGCCACCTAACAGAGCCATACCCCCATTGACCTATAGTAGTCAGAAAATAAAATGAGAGGGGGCCCATATGAAGCTTGTATAGTATGATACAAACTTGTTATCTAATTTGAGCAATGCAAAGATTTGTGCATGTCTTTGCACAAAATAGAACCACATTTGCTGTATTGGGCACAACACTGGCACATCAATGGCTATCACCAGGTCTGATGCAGAATATGTTACTACCTGTCCTTCTGCAACACATTTGACTGTGTCCAAGACCCTATATCAGTAAAATGATCAGCAGTGTGCACAGAAGGGCAAATAAATACACACCAAACTAGAATTACCTACAGAAATCAAATGTAAGACAGGTGAAGTTAACACCACATTGATGACTTACTATTGCCTTTGTAAATGGTTCAGTCCTTTTGTTGTAATGAAAGAAGAAGTACAATATCTGGGCACAAGTGCATCCATACAAACTGAGTGGGGAATAATTCAGCTTTGCCCACATGCAATAACAGTCATTAACTTACATCAGAGACATCAGTGCCCCAATAAATATGCATCCAATAGAGCTATTGAAGTTGAAGCCCAAGATTTCCATGATATGGGACCTAGGTAGATGCACAAACTGAAGTCAATGATAGTCTAATGAAAGCTGCCCACTTATATAGTGTGCCATGAGTGTTTTCACCTCCTTGATGATCATACATTTTATGTGGCACCTATACAGATTGTTATGATGTCTTAAACCTAAACTTCTGAATCCTGACTCGTCCTCTGACAAGCTGGACATATCATCAAATCAATGGTGATGCAGCCATGGGCACTGTGATAATTGAAATCATTAATCACCTGTTGGGGAGAGTTTGACAGTGTTCCTCTGAAACACATCACTGATCTGGCCACTATCCACTGTAGTATGTATCAATCAATTCTCATCATCCACGGCTCGCAGCGAATATCGAGGGTCAAGTTGAACAGGCATCTTGAGTTTGCATATGGTAGGCATTGGTAGCAGACAGGAGGCAAGTAACACACCTCGCGGAACATCATGATCTAATCTAATCAGAATTGTATGCGAGGGACACGCCGTGACCCGTAAGTTTATGAACGAGCGTCTGTCGGTCGCTCCCATCTGTCCGAGTCTTGCCCACACACTGTGACACACTGCTTGGCGTTCAACTGACGGTTCTTGTTTTCAATGTGCTAGCAGGATCGAATCGAACATTACTCGCCCCGTGTCACAGCCTCAAATGGAAGAAATCATCACGAAACGACTCCACATCTCCGGCCTCACGCCCGCCATAACTCCAGATGATCTTGCCAAACGCCTGGGCAGTTTCGGAGCGGTCAAGGCCATGGATGGTTTTGGTCTAACGGATGCTGTTGGACAGCCTCGCAAATTTGGTTATGTCACCCTAGAGGCGACAAAGAAGAACCTGGGTCGATGTGAGTCCTCTGCTCCGGTTTGCTCCTTACCTCCGCACGTCGTAGCTCGCTTGAACTCATGCGTAGGTATGAACCTGCTCAGCGGAGTGACTTGGAAAGGCACGAAACTACGTATCGGAGAGGCGAAGCCTGATTTTCGCGAGAGGTACGAGCACGGCATCTCGTACAGCCTTCCAGCTGTCTGTTTTACGGCCATTGACTGACGGCCCGTGTAGAATAGCTCAGGAACACGATGCTATGAAGCGCACTGCGTCCGATCCAGATGATGACCGCCCGACAAAGCGACGCCGGCTCCCTCGAGGTGTGCAGGGCGTACACGCCGCGGACATGTCCCTTGTCACCCCGGAGAACGTCGCGAGTCGTCCGGGCTGGCGAGTTACAGCCCTCGGCCGCATCATTCGTCCAATACGGATGCGTCCAGAACATCCTCTACCTGACCCACACGAGGCAGCTATCCCACAGGCGAAGGGCAGGGTTGCCCAGAAGGTGGTAGGGAAGAAAAAGAAGAGGGTCAAGGACCCACCTACACGGGCGTGGAGGCGGACTATCGATCCTACGAGATGGGGCTCGGAGCACCTAAAGGGCATGTTTCTAGAGAACGTCGTTGTTGCCAGCGTTCCCAGAAACGTGCCAGCTGTGATGGCCAGGGAAGACGCATATGAAGAGAGCTCAGGCACGACGTCGGATGGCGACGAGGCTGAAAGCGACAGCGCTTCCAGTACGGAACGATACGCCGGGAAGGAACGACAGTTGGCTTCGCCAGTCAATACTGGAACGTCGCGGCATGTATCGTCAACTCTACGTGCCCCTGACCCCGCTGTATTTTCCCGTACTGGGGTGCAAAATATCGCACAAAGCGACTTGAAAGAAGAGACGCAGAAATCACTCGGCTTGTTGCAAACATTGTTCGGAGCTAAGGGCGACGACGATTGGGGTGAAAAGGAAAGCGTAGGGTCAGCAGTCGATCAAGACGATCAGGCATCGCCGGAGGCAGCGACCATGCCTGCGGACCTCGTAGAGCATGAAGAAGACGAAAATGATGCGGGAGACGTGAATGAGGAGGGTGATGCTACGGATGCTGGGGCTTCAACAGATAAGTCTTTGCCCGATGCAGCAAGCACAGCTATTGCACCTATACAAGCTACTAAGCTCAAGGACCTGTTCGCGTCTAGGGAAGAAGATGGTATGTTCGCCAGTTCGTATAGTAGTGGCCTATCGCTCATGTTCGTTGCTGCGTCCTTATAGTTGGCTTCTCATTGCTGGGACACTTGGACCTCGATCTCGAGCTGGACGAGGAAGTCGATCTACATTTGCCCACACGGAGTCAGGCTCGGTCAGAGCCTGCAGCCTTACCACTGCCAACTGCGATACCTTCGCTGCCTTCATTTGACCCGAAGGCACCGCTGTTCTTCCCTCTACCTCCGGAGGAGCGCAATCGCGGACGCGTATACGATGTACTTGATCCGACAAATTGGAGGACGTGGTTCTATCGTACGGACTCTGAAGAGGATATACAAAAGCGGTGGGAAGCGGCCAAGGGCGAGTTGACGAGTGGGTGGAAGAGGCGACATAGGGAGGCTGTGAAGAGCAGACGGCGGAGAGGTGGTGGACCTGGAGACACGGAAGCCTGAGCGAAACACTGTTCATTCTGTTCGTGGCGGCCTGCTGGTGGTGCATTGCTTTCACCTAAGTACGTTTGATGTATTCACCTTCTGGTGCCTGACCTGCATTGCATACTAACTCGTTTCGACTTCGACAGGCCCGGGAGCTCCATCGGTATGAACAATCACCGCACACGACGCGCAGACGCGGGCCGTATGCGTGCCTACCTCGAGGGCACCATGATAACTCTGCGTGTGCCGCTGATGTGTGGGCGAAAGGATTAGTACCGCTACTCGCCCCTCACGCGACAGTCCGTCCATATGCATATTGATGATGAACACGCACTACTTGCATCAGTGGGTGCTAGTAGTAAGTAGATATCGCAAACCATGACGACAACCGGTATAGTCTGCCATGTTTACTCTACTGGGACCTTTTGCTCAATTTGAACGGGAAACATTCCTAGAATCATCTCCGCGCAAAGGTGCCGGCGTCTGCCATCAGTTTTCTGGCTTTCCCCGCCATACACTCACCCACACTGATTGCACGCCAATAACTCTGTATACGAGGCGCGCCGTCAGACGAGGCCATTGGCGTGCTGCGTCAGCGTCTCGATTCCTCGGAGTCGACGTCCATTGAGGCGTCCATGCGTGGGTGATCCGGGTTGAAACGTTGACCACGAACAGCTGGACATCGAATGTAGGTCAGCCAAGGCTAAGACACTCGACCAGTGTCTCGCAGCGGAATCTCCAGGGCCGCCGGGCCATCGTTTGCATGGGAGCACGACTTGTTGGCGATCGCAAGGGTGTGTAATGAGATGTCTGGGATCCATGCTCTTGTCCCGCAGAGTAACTGACGAGTCTGTTAGCAGGCAAACACTCATAATACTCTGGCATGACCATCACCATGTGTCGGGCTTCTCGTGCGCAGCCGCTGCGCGTTCGCCGTCGTTCACCCTGCGGTGACTATGGCCCTCCTCAGGTACTACTTCCGACCAGAGGCGAAGAGAAAGCTTCCCGTGATGGCCGCTGTACTCCGCCTTGATGCAGAGCAATTCTATCATCGATAGTGCTTAGGCGACCCGGATGAAGTCGGTTGGACCTTGTACTCATCGTGTGATGCTTGCCAGGACACCGACCGAAGAGTAAGTGAGTAAGTACGAGGTGTGGGAGCGGCTACCTGGTTTTTGGACTGTCGGGCTGGGATACATTGAGAGCCAGACATGGTCTTGACTCCATGACCAGCACGCCCCGCCCCTGCCGCCCCCCCCCCGTACGAGCAATGCATGCTGACATCAACACAATGCTAGCCTTGGTCCATAGTGGTGTTCGATGCCTTGCGCTGTCTGCCGAGCAACGTATATCACATACCTCTGTCGTATTCACTCTGAGTTACCACTGATTCCCGGTTGATTGTTCAGATTGTTGAAAGAAATGAAAACTGCACGCACATGGAAGACATTTCGACTGAGGCGATATCCGATCATCACAAAGCGAGTCTATTCTATATGACTATATGATACAAAACCGTCCGTGGGTCCAATCAGGTCTATGCGCGTCATCTATGAGGGTGATCTGTGGAAAATTAGCTATGCAATCGCAAACAGCATCTGCAGATCCATCGAAGTCGAAGTCTAAATCGTAAAGGTGTGGCATCGAAAGGGGTTTTGAGGTAACAGTGTTATTGACGCAAGGGCATCAGCATTTGCCCCAGAATTTGCCTCCTAGGACGTGATATCTGCAGATCATCAGCAAGATCACGGCGAACTCGATCGTGGTCCCTACACCGATGCCGTCAGTTGACCCCTAATACTCAGCAGAGGGCGAGAACACAACGCACCTGCGTAATACCCAACTGCCTTGTAACTGCCTGTCGCCGTCTGGATTGCCCCTGAGATCGGCGGGCCCGCAAGCGCTCCGAGCGCGAGGAACGTGAACGCCATGCCGACGCGGGCGCCGACGTCCCTGATCTCACCCATACTGACTATGGGCGGGGCGACGAGGGAAGCGAAGATGCCCGACGACATTCTGCACAGCGACGCGGGGACGTGGGTTGGTATTCTACATAGCAGAGGACAAGGATGCTAGACTTACCCGTAGAGAATGGCGATGACAACGTAACCAGCTGTGCCCCCCGCGAATGGCCATGCGAATGTCATGATGCCTGCAACGACATTTGCGGGTGTAATGACATTCAAAGGGCCTGATTTTCTATAGCGGTCAGTACCTCATCCTAGAAAATAGAACATGGAATGCGCACCAAACCTATCCGCGAGGAATCCACCCACTATACGGCCGATGAGCGAACCGGCGTTTGCTATCGGCAGCAAGTAGAAGGACAGGTTCTCTGGGACGTTAGTGCCCTGTGCGCTCACGTCGATGTACGTCAGGACGGTGTACAGCCCGAGGAAGTTGACGAACGCCGCGGCGGAGTAGAACGTGAACGCCGGGTTTCTGAACGCTTTGAAGTTCAGGAACGGGCCTTGCTCCTTCTTTGGCGGAAGTCGTCGTTCCGTCGTCTGGTAGGGGCACACCATTGTTCAGCGTTGAGCGAGATGGTGATAGCGAGAACACGAGACACCTACCAGGTTGCAGATGCCCAGGAGGAACAGAAGGATGAAGCCCAATATCCGCATGGTCCACTTGAATCTAAGACGCGCAATGAACATCATGCTAGAGCTACGCGCACGAGTATACTCCACGCACCCCACTTGCTCAATAAGATTGCGCGTAGCTATGGGGAACAATGCTCCGCCCACACTAGACCCTGTCGCAGTGAGGCCGTACGCGATGCCAAGCTTTCTCTTGAACCAATGTGGTAGAATACCCAAAGTAGGCCCAAAGATCGTCCCACATGCGAACTACAGACGTCACAGGTGAGCATGTATGCCGCTCAGCAGCGAATGTCAGACTTACGCCAACTGCAAGGCCCTGACAGAGCATGAACTGCCAGAACTCCGTGCACTCTGCTACGAGGAACGTAGCAGCCACGAGCACGGCGGATGCACATAGCAAGGGCCCCTTGAAGTAGCCCATGTCGAACAACCGGCCGAATAAGAGACCTGGAATGAAGACCAGCGCGTACTATACAGAAGTTCAGGTGAGCGGGAAAAAAATACGGTGGCATGCAACGCACCTGCGTAGAGCCTATCCAGGCAATGGTTGACGGGGGCGTGTCAGGAAGCATGGTTTCCTCATAGTATGCTTGGAAGACCTATACGTGGGTTGAATTCATGAGCAAGAAATGTATTGATATCATACCATGGCATGCTTACACCCCATGCGTTGACGAAACCGAAGGTAGCCCCAATACCACAGCCGACCTGCATCCATCGCCCGATGGTCAGATTCGATCTAATATGGATTGACCAAAGCAGTGCACGTACCCCGAGAGCCACCAGCCATGCTCGAAAACCACCATCTGGGAAGGTAACCTCTTCAGGTCGTTCGGTAGTCTGAACCTCCTTGGCCGTGCCATCCTCTTTCTCCCCCTTCTCTGAGACGACGCCTGCTTCCTCTGCCTTGCGGGTGACGTTCTCATCTGAGCCACGAATGGTAGTCTTGTCGATAGAAGACGCCCGGGTGTGGCTCGCCGGAGTCGCGCTTTCTGATTTTTCTGCGGCCATCGAGGGTTGCATCGTAATTCGTGAGGGATCGTCAAATCGTGAACGACGTGTCCGCAGACACTGCACGGAACCTGCTCGCGGGCAGTCAGTACTAGTCGGTGTTAAATGTGGGTATGCATGGGGCCAACACACGCACCGGTGCTCGTGTCGAGGAAAGCGGAAGAGCGGGGACGGGCTGCTCATGATGCTCGGAAGAGGTAGAGTCATTTTATTCTGGCTTGGGCCTGGGGATCGGCTCGGACGGCAGCAAGACGGCAGGCCCAAATTCCCCGTGGAGAAGACCGAGGCCGGGTGAAAGGTTGCAGCTCTGATCGGACGACGCAGACGCCTTTTCTCGACCACATGCTCTCATCCTCATCTCGCAATATCGCACCGCACTGCTGAGTGGCGTGAAATGCAACTCTCTGGTTCAAGTAATACCAGAGTCGGTTTACAGCCCCAGACACTAAGAATCTGCACTCTCCGAGTATCAGTGGAACAGAAGGGCCTGCTTCGTGAGACGGTCGGTTAAATTGTGCATCATGAGGTACATTGCAATTCATACAGTCGCCATTCAAGGGATCCGCTACACCGTCGTGATCCCTCCGATGCAGCCGAGAAGCAGAGCGTCTACCGTTCCGGCGGTTTCCCTCTCCAACCAGGCATCGAACTCCTCAAACAGCTGCATCGCCCGTCCACCGTGCGCCTTCTCCGCGACCTTTCCCGGCCACATCGCCTTCTCGTGGATGCCGACGAAGTTCACCGGGATGCGCGCGTCCGCGTCGTGCTCTGGGATCTTCACGACCATACTTAGGGTCCACGCGTCATGCCCGTAGAATGACGCTTCCTTGACGTGGTGGCGCGCGTACTCATCCGGCGGGTTGTCGTCCAGCGCCCATTTCACCACATGGGCATCGAAGGCGATCGCTAGCGTCCGATTCAGATCGTTAGTCATCCGAAATCCAACCCGCCGGGCACTCCACTCACTTGACCAAATAATGCCCGGGTGTCTGATCACCAGAGTGAGGCTTCGAGTGCCCGCGGCTCTGTCAATAGTGTCATTCGTCGCTGACACAGCGAACCCATGGTCGATCACGTCCAGATGCTCTGGCCTGAGCGGCATCTCGAACTTGTATGGAGTGAGCACCTGAGTCAGGTTCCGAGTCAAAGAAGCAGGCAACGGATCAGCGGCGCTTGGCAGTGCGATCGGGGAGATCGAGCTCACCGCAGAGACCGGATACATGACGTCCCAATCGTTGTTCCAGGCGTCCATGTTCATAAGCATGGGCACCGCGCCAGGGACACTCCACTCCTCCGCGATGCGCTGGGCGAGCTGCGGAAAGCCGGGCGCACTGTCGGCGGCAGCGATGTGGAGGTGCTGTTCTTGTGTCGTAATCTACACGTACGGGCGCGGCACGGATGAGCAAATATTATACATCATATTGGCAGCGGCGTCACTCACATTCTCCATGTGTATCACGAATACCCTCTTCTGGTGCATCTGATCAAACGGCGAGCGCATCGAGAAGACCGCAATGGTAACTGCGGTCGCCATTGTGCACAGGATCGTCGCGCGCGCGATGGTTCGTCGCCCGAACCGATGCACGAACGGCACCAGTAGCGGCAGCATGTACGCGCCTATACCCGCCACGATAGATGCAATGATATGTTCGGCAGGAGCCTCCTCGCCCATGCGACCGGTCTGTCGAATGCAAATCAGCTGCCTGGCATTATGCGCGCTTAACGCATAGACCCACCAGAGGCACAAACACGTCCAGTGTGATGTAAAACATCTGCGCGCCCACCGACAGGGGCGTGAAAATCGCAATCGCGTAGCTCCAGAGCGAGATGTCGTCGCTGGCCTTCGTCAGGAAGGCATTCAGGGCAATGGCGACGACCATGGGGGACGCCGTCAGGGCCAACACGCCCGCAGACCCGATCCCCAGCAGCTGGCCAGCACACGCCATGACCGACTGGGAGAGTATCACGGACACGAACGTCGTCCGCTCGCGAAGCCGGCCGAACAGCAGCTGCGACGCGAGAGCACCTGCATACAAGACATCAGTCAGAAGCGTATGACATCTTGACAACACTAGACATCTACCAGAGAGTGCTGCAGGCGCGTACAGCAATACACAGATCCGTTCGGACGAGAACCAGCTCAGACCCTTCCCAAGGCCGGTCGTCATAAGGACCGCGACTACATTCGCGCCGACGATTGCGCCGACGACCGCTGTAGCCACCGCTGCAGCGCTCTTCACGTGCTCTCCGAGCATGCTCTTCGTCCGCAGCGCCGGTGCCGGGTCCACGTACACCGCGCGCGCGAGCACGACCGAGACGGCGAAGAGCGCCGCGTAGACGATGTTGGCCGTCCGGAAGGAGTAGATGATGAACAGTCCGAGGAACTGGTAGAACACCGTGTGCGGGCGCGTGAAGCCCTCCGTCAGCCGCGGGAGGGGCGAGTCTGCGGAGGAGAGGTGGAGGAGCAGTCCGAGCACGTTCTCGCCCATGTGTTGCGCCACGCCGGGCTCGATGTTCTCTACGAGATCCTGGCGAGCACGCTCAGCGACATTTTCCCAGCCAGACTGTCGAAAACGCTACCTTGCGCATGTGGTATAGATAGCTGTTCCCAATCACGGCGATCTGCCCAACGTCGTCACGTAGCCGCGTCTACCCCAAGACGATGCACTTACGTCTAAGCCCGTAACGTTCATGTACTCTTGGAACTGTCGGAAGTCGGTGCTGGTAGCGACATCGCGTCATTCACACTGTTAATGTGCAGACGGAGGGACTTACTCCGAGAGGATGATTCCCGAGCTGAAGACCTCGCTCGCCACGATGGTCCCGAACGGCCTAGGTGCATGGGAGTACGCGCGGATCATCTCCTCCGAGGTCGCTTGAAAGAGCATCTCGCGCCCGGTGGTTCCGGCAGCTACAACGACATTGAGCACGTGTTGACAATGAGAAGCGATTGGCACACCTTCTAGGTTGACTGCAGCACGTACGCTGCACGCAACGGATTGTTCATCTCAACAGTAGGCTCGCAACAGCGCTGCGACTTACCTGTCTCTAATAGCGTGTTGCGTGGAGAACAAATGCGACGCGTCTTGCAAGGATTCTTCTGCGTTGTTAAACACTACATGCTGTGTGAGCTCATTGCCAAGACGCATTTCTGTGACGTACAGAATATAATGGCATGCGACGGCGACCAGTCAGGCGTGTTCACCAGCACTCTCATGCACTCTAGCATTATGCCCACCGAAAGCGCATCATCTGCAGCGCCCGGAGAGGGTAGGGTGCTGTCTACGTGAGCGTTCACCAATACTGCGTGCTGCTTCCCTTCCGGCGTGCCGTCCGATATACGCACGACAATGTTCGTCAAGTCGACATAGGTCTTGTACAGCCGGTGGCCCATCATGTCGAACCTAACAGACATCCGTGTCATCGAGCAAAACAGGAAACGAGAGACGGTCTACGCACCGATGAGCCCCGCTTCCTTGCTGATGCCAAACCTCGCATTCCAGCTTTTTTGTAGGGTGTGCACGCACGACGTCCTCACACTGTCTGCGGATGTCATCCGCCTGCTGGACCATCCACGCGTCTCCTGCCGCATGCTCGCGCGTCCCCACGGTTCGGAAGCCGATGTCCTCAGAGAGATACTTTGCATGCGCCAGCACGCGGGCTTCGGAGAGCTGAGGAAGGCCAGTGGCAGAGTTAACTCTGTTTGCGAGAGTCAGATACGAGGCGCAGCGACACTACGGACGAACGTACGAGTCAACGACGGGCTCCGGCAGGGCTTCGTGGACATGGTGAGCGACGGAGGACAAGTTCGCAGATGACCATGGGACTTGCCGTAGTTTACTCGGAACGCCAGGAGCGGCACGCCGACCAAAAGCGGGGCGAGGCAGAGCAGCGACTTGACTGGCCCCCATCGTGTCGGGGAGTGCGTGCTCATCATCGTCGTCAGTAAGGACGGGGCGCAGCGCGCGTGGGGTACCGGTAGGGCAGTACGTACGTCACACTGGTCTCGTACTCGTCCGATATTGGAGGTCGTTGCACCTATGCACCACGCACTCCTCCCTAATACGGCTGGGGACCAGACCAGCTTCGATTTGGCGCCCGTTCAGCGCCTGCTCATCTTGTGCTCATCCCAAGTTGCTTATCGTCTGGATCCGGGAACATTTCCTCCTGCCGCCACGAGCAGAACGAGGCAGAACGCCGTCTGTAGCTCTCCTTGTACTTAACTGACCTGCGTCTGTCTCGCGCCGCCGCTTTGCACATCACCCCCCATGTACGGCGCAGCATCCGCCTCTTCAAAACACGCCCGACAAATTCACACCGTCGACGAACGGGTGCGGGTCAACGGTCAACGGTCAAGGCCTCAGGTCTAATGTGCCCCGAAGTTATAATTGTTCGGCTGGCGCTGTCGTTCAACGACGCTGTGGTCGTCTCACAGCACCGACTGGGCTCTCGGAGATATTAAACATGCACTGTCGAGCTCGCTTCTGCGCGCTGGTGATATGGGGCCACCCAGAGCGACTTTGTGGTTTCAGTTCGATGCATTGTCATGCAAATCTTTACGCAAAACTCATCTTGCGAGGGCTGACTGTGTGAGTTGGCTTCTGCTCCTGAACGCAACGTGGAACTGTGGTACGATCCAGCATGTGTCTGGTATATTCGATGAAATTCACGTCAGTCACTTATTACAGACCCACATGGGCGATCAGATGGTGTTGCATTTGCAGGGATCGGTCCCCACGACTTTGCACATTCATCATGGATACGAATGTGGCCGATCTCTTCAGGATGAGCGACCGCGAAGATTGCGAGCTCCTTCGACCGGCTGTACATCTCGCGTGCAATCGTACGTATGGCCCTGGGCCACAGAAGGTGGTACTATGCTACGACCCTCGCGTCATCACGTCAGTCCTGAGGCAAATGTCAGGGAAGTCCACACAAGACAAGGAGCTGCACAACCAATTGACATATGTCCAATGCCGCGGTGTCTCGTATTAAGGGACGGCTACGCAGCCTCTACAACATTCAACCTCAAGGGGTCAAGAAAGCATGGCAAGTGATATGAGCGGCGTGATAATGCCCACAGGATGGCCCATTGACCTTCCTTGATCGAACACTGCCGAGTCTTGCGTTGGAAGCGTTCGAATGAAGGGCTGAAAGGCTTCCGGGTATATAAGCATGTAAGTCTTTGACATGTTACGCCAGTCTCCAGGTATGTCGACCGAGGAGCTGGCGGATGCGATTGCGCTTCTCAAAGTAGGGTGGGTCGCACTACGTTTGGTGCTCTCTCGGACAACTGATGAGACAGCGGTCTACAGGTTCTCAGTCGAATGCTGTCAAATGGCAGCGTGCGGTGAGTTCAATCCTACTGTCAAGATGGACACGACAATCTCACTCTGTTCACAGCGATCTACACTTATGATCGTTGCCTCACCTTCGGGTCGGAGGTGAATCTCATATGGCGCCGCCGACGGATGACGGTAGCGACTGGCTTGTATCTGCTATTCCACCTATCGGTGACAGTGTTTATGTACACCGGGATAACGAGCATCGCGTTTGTAAGCTGCAGAGTAAGACACGGTTCTGCTGCGCGGTAATTGCAATCCTGACATCACTTCAAGAGGTACATTGAACCTAGACTGAGTCTGGGCTAAGCTTATCCGGAAGGTTATCATGCAGCGCCACGATACTATATGTGATGCAAGGTTGTGCCGTTGTGTTGTTCAACCTCGCTACCGGTGGTGAGTGATGACTCGGCGATCTTGTTCAAATCGTTGTCTAATCACAGCGATGTCCCTTGCGTTGAATAGCCTTCGTGGCATTACGTGCATACGCTATCAGTAACCGCTCTTTGCCTCTTGCATTCACCATATATCTGTCCTCCTTGGTGATCGATGCGCTGGACATGGTATGTTCTCTCGCTGTTGCCTGCTTACGTACACGCGAAGCTAACATGACCATCAGTATCAGCTCTGTACAATAAACACAACGGTTGTACCTCCCCCCGTTGGCTGCGTGGTCTCTTTGAACATCAAAACAAAGATTGAACGGTGCGCCTCATACTCTGACATTGTGTCCTGACCAATGGCTCTAATCCTACGATGCACATTCTAGACCATGTGCGGAAGGGTTTCGCTTGACTTGCGATTGAGACGAACTGACAACCACTACCTCTTGCCCGTGTCGCCAGTGTACGCCACCGCGCAAGCATCCACTGTAATCCCCGAGGTATTGCTGTTGGTGGCGACCTGGCGCCATGCCGACGCAGCAAAGACCGCAAATGATGCGCAAATTGATACACCTTTCACAACGCTCATCCTTCGAGACGGTCAGTCAGGAGTGATTTAGAGGTCATCATATTGCTCTTATCTAACTTATTACCTTCTGTGCCACGGCTCATTACCAGGCACCGTCTATTTTGTGTGAGTCTGCACAGAATCTGAGCAGGACACTTTGAAACTGACATGGTCCAGCATAATCTTTGCCCTTCGACTAGTCAATGCCGTGCTGGCCGCAACTAGTACTGTTGGTATTGCAAGCCATGCGCATTACACTATAATGCTGACTTCCTACTTGAGATAGAGCGACATTGGCGGCTCATTTTCCAATCCCATCACTTACGCGTGAGTTGCATATCATAGTCATTCAAGACCCAACTCAATTTGATTGCATACATCGCGCAGACTTCAGACGATATTCCTCTCGCGCTTCTACCTCAACCTGCATGAAGCGAACTCGTCTCAAGCCATGATAACCTCCGACGCATCGCAGGTATCTGACCTCCGTTTCGCGCGGGTGGTCGGGAGCTTGGGCGGCTCGGTTGCCTACGATTCAGGGAGCCCTGCAGCCGAAGGCATGGACGTGCAGAGCTGCAGCGACTCCGACACAGATGAAGAGCTTGTGGGGGTACAAGAAGCAGACATGGAACGGCTGCCAGTCACTGCTGCCATCCAAGAGAGCATCGCGGAACCCAAGAGTAACATCCCACCCAGTCCCGGAATTTCTTCCGTAGAAGTTTCAAAAGCTGTCTTCCATGCTTGACAACTCGACATGTCGTTCCAATCTTTCCTATTTCTTCGCTCTTATGCCCGCTGAGTGTGGCAGATCCGCAGCTGTAGAATGTCAGACGTAGTACTGGCTGCTTAGGCTCAAATCATATCACCTCTATGTATCGATATCACTGTTTTCTTGGTATATATTAGTATTGAACCACAAGGCCTCGTCAACTGCAGACTACTGGAGCGGTGACAACCTACATGCGGCCACACTGATTGAGTTGATGCTCCTTCGCACCCGGCCTAGTCTTCGCTGCAGACCATGAAATGGCAAGCCGGCGCGCGTCGCGCTTCGCTCCTGCCCAATTCCTCGTATGTGTAGCATGTTTGAAGACCACTTTACCTTGAATATACCTGTTCACTGCGCAGACTGATGGGAGGAACATGGCGTCTGCAATTTTCTTGACTGTACTTACCCATCTCTCTTGACACTCTGCACCGTCCTCGTTACACCTCGTACCGACGGCCGCTCGATTCCGCTGTTCTATCCAATCGCTTCCCTGGTCACGGTAATATCCCTGCGCTGGCTGCTAATACCACGTTTCGCCATCTCTACTGACCCACATAAGCTTCGCGCCCCGCTTCACAGACCGATCTTCCGTGTACAGCGGGCACATGGGTCCAAGCATTGGCGAACACTACACAGGATGCCGCTTTACAACACATCTGCCAACGTATTCACATTCGGGATACACTTCCAACAATTCAACTTTCGTTTCAGTTGATGATCATATACTTATGCTGCTCGACAGCGCAAGCCAGTCGCATAAGTAAAGCTGGTGACAATCGTGGTTGATAAGTGTCATGGATGGCAAGGTCGGCAGCCTCATGTGACTAGATGTACAGTTTGAACAGTCATCGCCCTCGCGTACACCGCTACAGTACTAGTGGTGATTCTAGTAGCATTCTACTCATTCAGTCCTGAGACACAGTCAGGGAGATCAAGACCGTCTCTGGCTCTCAATGTGTCCCAGTCCGGCAGTCCAAAGAAACCAGGTAGCTGCTCCCACAACCTATCCCTGCCGCTTCTGATAGACGTGGTGACGGTGCCCTGGCAGGGAATACACAACGTAAGGGTCTTACTGACTTCGTCCGGGCTTCTCAAGCACCATTGATAGAACGGCTCCGCATCGCCAGGCTTGGGAAGCGTCCTCTTGGCCGCTAAGTTGAGTAGGGCGGCACAATTCGCAGCATTTTGACAGCCCGGCCGAGAGAAGTCGGGCTGCAAGAATGCCAGCGCACTCGCCTGCTCCGCGAGCAACAGCTTCTCCCTGCCGATGATGAAAGTCCTGCATACATCCCACTGCAGGCTCGGTGCCACCGCCAAGTTGTGTAACTTGGAAAGGACATCGGGCAGCGGTGCCTTGCTCGCGGCGTAGTACAGCGCAGGGAGGATGGCGCGGATGTCGATCTCTATCGCTAACTCGATGTATACGGCGAGCTCGTTCTCGAAGGGAGGAACCAAGCGCTGGATGGTCCTCTGGCGCCACGCGTCACCAGAGTTCGGGTACGCGGTCGAGAGGAGATCAATTGCGCGCTGACGGAGCGCGGCTGCGTCGTACTTGGTTCCCAAGCGGAGTACAGCGGCCACTACGGGGAACTTCGCTCTCACTCTTGGTCGGAAGTACCTGCCAGTGAGGAGGAATTTCAGGCCTTGGCCTTATCACCCGCAAGAGGGAAAGGAAAACTTACGAAAAGTCGTAGATGGTCTTCAGGAAGTGCCTCATGTCTACCGGTGAGTCTTGCAGGCGCAAGACCTGGCACCCTTCGTACGTCTCCGTGTTCGCATCGGGTGTGGCGGGTTGAGGCATGGCGAACATGTCTCTGAACACCTCGCAATGAGTCGCTAGGATGGTGCCGTGGACGCGGAAGGCCATCTTGTCTGCAACGAGGACGACGCTGCCATCGGAGTACCAGACCTCCGTGCTAGGCGTGAAGTCGACTACATGGGTCGACTTCTTGGCATCGAGGTCATCGGCATCCGCTGGTGGCATGCTGGTAGATCAGTGGGTATGAGGTACTGGGGGCCCGGGGGTGTGAGCGATATCGACGGGGAGGGAACACTGGGGGAACGGTACCAGGATTGAGTTCAAGTACTCTTGTGCAAGTCCAGACCCAAGCTCGACAACGTGTACAAAATGCCATGCTGCAAACTTTACTCAGAGGAAGTCCGGGTCAGCTGCGAGAGTACCAGCCTTGCGGGGCTTCTCAGTGAGATTCTCAGAAGCGATGCTCAGTGAGATATAAAGATGTTAGCGAGCTGGGGGTGCCGGGGATGAGTTCGAGTGCAAAGTACATACCGTCGCTCGTGACAGTGCATTCTAACTTTTGTCAGGAGCGTTCGGGAGGACATGTACAACGACGACGTGGCGGACGCGACGGCGCGTCATGCCACTGGGTGGCCACGCCCATCCTCGGCGCTCTCTGCAACGCGCGCTTGACCGATATTACATACTGTAATGGCCCGACGAAATGTCGTTGAGCGGCGAGCCTTTCACCGCCAGTGTAAGAGCACCGGCAATGAGACATGAAAGTGTGAGTATAGGTGAGTACGCATCTGATTTATTTAAGGCCGAATCCCCGCCTCTACTACTACATACTTACTACTACTGGCGGCAGCGACCATTATCAGGAAGCAGCTTCTCGAGAAGCCCTTCTCGTCAGACGCGCTTCGATATGTATGTGTATACCGGCGTACGGAAGGCTTCCGGGACACTCCTTGCTTTCTACCGCCGTCGCCAGTTCTTGACGCAGACTGAGAGATAGATCCTTAACAACATGAGTAGTCTATCAGACGAATGCGCGCAACCTTTAGACATTGCCAAGTGCTGGCTAAGCTGCCTGGGACAGACATCTGCAGCCGGAGACGTCGCCGCATTCAGCGACATGTTTGCCTCCGACGGATGGCTCAAAGGTCCGTTCAAGTGCCCATTGCTTATACTATGACTCGGCTGACGCGGCACTGCGGGCAGACATACTCTGTCTATCATGGGACTTTCGCACCTTGTCTGGCAGGGACAAGATCGCCTCATATGTATCCGAGGAATCCAGAGGCATGACACGCCTCTCCCGCGCGGGACTCCATGACATCGAAGTCGAGCTCTCTTCCACCCTGGGACCACCGAACTTCATGTCTCTTCCCTTAGCGTCGGACGGTGAAGGGGTCCGCGCCACCTTCCGCTTCGCCCTTGCATATCCACCGGCCAAGGGAAGGGGCTACGTGTACCTGGTCCAAGACGCGTCCGAATGGAAGGCTTTCATCCTCATGCTCAGCTTGAGAGACATAATCGGACATGAAGAACCGAGCGAGCGTCCGCTGGGCATCTTTCCGGACCATGCGACATGGGAAGAAGTGCAAGCGAGACGGGCTGCTGCGACAGAAGCGGACCCTACAGTGCTGATCGGTGAGCCAACTCGTATAGCTGTCGTATGTAGCTGAAGGTTCGCCAGTGGGAGGAGGTCTTGCGGGCTTGTCGTGCGGCGTGCGACTGATGAGATTGGGTGTACGCGCGCTCATTGTCGAGAGCGACGCGCGTATCGGCGATGTGTGGAGAAAGCGGTAGGTTGTCTTGTCTACGAGCCTCTGTGACCACTCACAAATAGTATGGGGTAGATACCCATCACTGCGCCTACACTCGCCGGCCCATTCTTGTTCGGGTAGGACGTTACATGACTCTAGCTCTAACGATGTATTCACACGACAAGATTGTCGCAGTCCTGTATCACCCTTGGCCGTCAGTCTAACCCCGTCATCCTCGACAGTGCGCTGATGCTCTGATGCAGTCGGACATATCCGAAGTACATGTCCAAGGACAAGGTGGCGAACCAACTCGAGCAGCTCGCGATGGGCGAAGATCTAGTCGTCTGGACGTCAAGCACGCTCCTCCCTACACCCGAATACGACGAAGAGACACAGCGCTGGACCGCGACTGTCGATCGCGCTGGCACAAAGACGATTCTGCGGCCCAGGCATATCATCATGGCCACCGGCTACGGCGCGCCGAACATCCCTCACGTACCTGGCGCGGATGTGTTCCGGGGCGTGATGTATCATGCAGACGAGCACCGCGGAGCTGCGCCGTTCGCGGGCAAGGACGTCGTCGTTGTCGGAGCGGTGCGTCATGCACATCTATGCGTCGACGCTGAGCTTGCGTGAACGCCTGATCGGTTCTTCAGGGCAACACGGCGTTCGATATCTGCCTTGACTTCCATGTCAAGGGAGCGAGCAGCGTGCGTTTCGAGTTATGACCACACCATTACCTTTTGACGAATCGCTGTGTCCGACCCGCAGGTGACGATCCTACAGCGCAGCGCCACCTGCGTCATGTCCGTGCAAACGTCCGACACGCTCCTCCACAGCGTCGCCTATCCCGAGAAGCTTGACATCGAGGACGCAGACTTCAACGCGCAGCACATGCCCGTCCACTTCACGTTCCGGCTCGTAGCCGCCGTGGGCGTGCAGAAGCAGAAGGAAATGGACAGGGAGCTGCTCGAGGGCTTGGAGAAGGCGGGGTTCCGGCTCACTTGGACGCCCGACGAGGACGGCGAGGAGCTGGGCGTGGTCGGGTTCGTCATGAAGAGGATGGGGTCGGGAGCGCGTGAGTCCCCCCGCTTGCGCTTCTCATGTATGAGCGATGCGCTGACGGAGGGCAGTTCTGGACGTGGGATGCGGACAGCTCATAATCGATGGCAAGGTCAAGGTGCGTCTGGGCCGACCTGTGCTTCGAAAACATGTCTCGCTCAAGATCGCGCGCCCCTGGATTGGATTCTAGGTGAAGCGCGGCGAGATCAATAACCTCGAGAACGACTCCATCGTGACCAACGACGGCACACGCATTCCCGCGGATGTGATAGTCCTTGCGTGCGTCGCCCAGCCCTCGCCACTGTGCCGCTGCTGACCTGGCCCTTCGCATGTAGGACGGGCCGCCGCCCCACGATCGAGACGATCACGTCGCTCTTCGGTGAGTCCATCACCGATACGATCGGCACACAGGTGTGGGGCCTGGACGAGGAGGGTGAGCACAAGAACGCGTACCGCCCGACGGGACAGCGCGGCCTGTGGGTCGCGATGGGCATGTTCGGGCACCCACGGTACCTGAGCAAGTACCTGGTGAGTGTCCGGTGACTGGGACATGGAGTCGTGGCTCACATAGCTGTGGGCTTAGGCGCTCCAGATCTTGGCCGAGGAGCTGGGTCTGAAGGATCCGTAGTGAAAGTGGCGACCTCCGAGTGAGAAACTGTAGGGTAAGGCGGTGAATCTTCGTTGGCATTCTTGGTGTTGTATTGTAGCACTTTCGTTGAATAGGACCCGGAACGCGAACTGTTGATCGGAGCGAATACATGAGTGCATCAGGAGCTGAGGACAGCATCTGGTGATCTCACCGTCTCGATGCATTCAGGGTATGTGTTGTTCGAGGAGTGAACGTGCCCTGAGACACGCCCTGCGATGCCATCGAACTCAGATGAATCCGGGTAGGTGATCTGCTCGGCGAACTCATGCCCGACGGATCGCAAAGGAGTGCAAGGGCTGCTTGCAACAAAAAACCACATCTGAGGGACTAAGAGCTGGTGTTGCTGAGCGAACGACGTCTGAGACATACCCTGCAACCCGACCCTGACTGCGTGAGTGGGCGTTTCTTGGTGGACAACAGATACGTACGTACATATCTCGACCAGAGGGCTGCGCGGTTGCGGTGTGGCAGGCCACCGCAGGCATGGGTGTCAGATATGTGCTGCGCTATCCCAATCGTGTAGTAGCTGTTGTGCTTCCCTCTCGATGGCTCACATGTCTCAATGCAAACGACCGCAGTCTTGACCAACCAGTGTCGCCGGTCTGGCGTCGAGATTTCGAATTTGAAGTTGCTCTGCCAGTAAGCCTACATGCCATCGGTTTGACTTCGAGCGCGGCATGTGTGGATTTCGGCGTCCCACTTGCCGCCAGCTTGTAAGTAGGGACGTCCGGATCCAGGAGAATACGCCCGGACCTGGATGCCTACTAGCAAGTGGCCTGGGCCTGCACTGGTGGTATCAAGCTCCGGTGACACTGTAGTGGATGCCAGGATGACCACCGTCTAGGCTACCTTCCGTGGATCTCGCCTCTCTTCTGCTTCTCTCCTAGGTTCCACGGTGGTCCTCGCCACGACGACGCAGAAGTTCTGCTCTCTGCAAAGCGCGACAACAGCCTGAGCACGTACCTCCACCATCGATAGAAACAATGCAGGCGAGCGAGGCTCGCCGAAGCACCTGCTGAACGACCTCGCTGAGATATTGCCAGTGATGCGATATATGTGCGTTGGGCAATTATTGCAGCCGCGTCGGGTGCCCTCTCTGACTTGAGCAGAAGAGTCAGCACAGCCGCCTCGCGATGCCCGCCGGCGGTCAAGATCGCAGATGCGGTTGTGCAGATCGATCATGCCGGATCAATGCGCGCGCGCCTGGGGCGCTCCCGCAGTGGTCGTGTGCGCCGCGCTCGACGTCGCCGGGCACAGCGTGGCCGGCCACGTCGAGGAGGTGAGGTGGGCCCACGGCGGGCTATACCGTGACTGCGTGCGCGTCGGCGCGTCTCTGAGGGAGATCACATCACCGTGACAGCGTCAACGTTGATGAACCGGGGTGGTGTAGCTGTACATGTCCTCTGAGAGTACAAGGGTAGCGTTGTTCGTACGACAGGCGTGTCCTGCCCAGGCCGGAGGCTGTATCGAGAACGACGATCCCGGCTTCCCTGCTCATTGAGCCGTGATGGCTACAGTACCGTACCGCCCTGGCCACCATGGTAGTGGCGCACGGGTGCTGTTCGGCACCACTGCGCCCGACACTCCTCGTCATGGAAGCTGCGAGCGCGTGCGTTCCTTGGAATATGGAGCTATCAACGTCCTTTCAGCGGCTGCTCGAACCTGATACACAGCAAACTATCACCGCGACATCCTTGCAAGACAACATAGCACGAGACGTTGGATGGGGCCCTGAACTGTCCAGGACAGCGCAGTTCATCTTCGCCAAGTGATGGCCCCGTGCAGGGTGCCAGATTCCTGGCCACCTCAAGAAAGACGGACTCGGAAGTAGGACGGTGCGGCGCTTAGATAGGGACGAGTCTCCGAGCCATTCTGGTCCTGCCTGGGGCAAGTGGGACACTAGCGTCATACTGTGACAGGCTGAGCATGTGGCAAAGTCCCGAGTATTCGATATGGTCCGTGGCTTGTGAGGGGACTTCCTGGCGTATACCGACGTTACTCGCGAGAGTGCTATGCGCGAGGGTGATGGTCGCGCGAGTGGGCCGAGCTGTGATCAGTGTCGCGGGAGGGGCGTAAACTAAGACGACCACGCGAGGAGCGATCGGAAGCGATCTTGCGGTGCCTGGTGAGATCAATTTGAGTTGAGATCTCGTTGGCCCGCTGGGGCCCGCTGAGGCCCGCTGAGTTTTTCTGCCGTGTCCCGAGCGCCCGCAATTTGCCCCGGTAGTTCGGCCTATGTGGCTCGGAGGAGAGCACAATTCCAGGATTTTTGGTTGAGACTGGACGAGAACCGAGCGACAGGCAGGGCGGGCACAGCCGTGTCGCAGGGAGGGAGTCGCCAATCAAATGTGCGAGGGAGGGCTATCTGTGGCGTCGGGTAGGCCGCTTATCGCCCACTATGCTCGAACGCCCATATGACAGGACTCGCTCCCCGCGCGAGAATTTACTTATATGTGGGAAGCACTCGCCCGACCCGCCATTCTGCTTCTTTCTTCCTCACGCCGCATTGACGACCCGCCGCCGTCCGCACCATGGACCAAAACGACTACCACGACCAGTATGTCGGCAAGACTGGCGACGAAAAGACAGAGGGCTCCTCCCTCGAGAAGGGCACCCAGGAGCTCGCCGTCCAGGACGACAGGGCGTATCAATTCGACCCCGCTGACCTCGACCAGGTCCAGCGCAAGCTCAAGCAGCGCCATGTCCAGATGATCGCTGTACGCATCCACGTCTTTGCTGCCGCACACGACCTTTCCTCATGTTCTGCAGATCGCTGGTACACTGGGACGGGTCTTTTCCTCGGGTCGGGTGCTGCCCTGCGTGAGGGCGGACCATTAGGTGCCCTCATCGGCTACGCGCTCGTCGGTACCGTTGGCTACGCGACCCTCTGCTCGCTCGGTGAGATGACCGCGTTCGCACCCATCTCCGGCTCGTTCCCCCACTACGCTTCACGCTGGGCCGACCCCGCTCTTGGCTTCGCGCTTGGGTGAGTCCCATGATGATACCGGTTTGACAGCTGCCATGCCCACGCACATGGGCCACTCTTGGACGCCCTTATGCCAGACTGCCTCGTTCCACTGAAAACAGGGCACTTGCGGTGTTGCGCCGCTGTCCCCGACATGCTGCGAACGTCGCCATGTTCAGCCGCACTTCGTGATATGCGGACACATGCTAAGAAGAAATATCGCCAACTCGTCGACGCCGCTGCCACCAGCAGGTTTTGCGTGTGCTGCTGGCTCTGTGCGCTCCGTGGACCGTGGATTCACGTCGCAAATGGCTCTGGCAGCTGTTGGACATGATGAAACGCAATTCAATTGACTGACGGTGATCTGGTCCTTCACAGATGGAATTACTTCTACACCAGCGCTATTTCCACGCCCGTCGAAATTAGCGCTGCGGTCGTTTTGCTCACCTTCTGGGACGCCGACGTAGGCCTTCCATCCCCGGTTCCTTGCGGCTGTGCTAAGCTCGTCTCCCATAGACCGGTCACGCCGCTGCCTACACCGCAGCAATCACCGTCGGTGTGTGCGCGATTAACATTTTCGGCGTCCGGTGGTTCGGTGAAGCAGAATTCTGCTTTTCTATCATAAGAGTCCGTCGGAATCGCTCATCTAGCAGCGCTTTCATCAATACTGATCCGTTGTTTCTGCCAGTTTTCTTGATAACGTTGTTGATCATCACGGGTCTTGTCGTTGACCTCGGTGGAGGACCGTCCCATGACCGTGTTGGCTTCCGCGTAAGTCCAGTACGCCAGCTACACGCGCGACGGGCTGACTGACGTGTACCGGCAGTACTGGGACAACCCGGGTCCCGTCGCGAGGGCAACCTTGTGCCAGGGAATATCGGCTTCGACCGGCTCCTTGCGCTCATCTCTGTCATCGTCCAGGCTGCGTTCTCGTTCCAGGGCATGGAGCTCGTCGCCATCGCCGCATCCGAGACCCAATCACCCCGGCGCAACATCGCCAAGGCCGTGCGCCGCGTGTTCTGGCGTATCCTCGTCTTCTACATCCTCGGGATCCTCATCACGGGTATGCTCGTCCCGTACAACGACCCCGACCTCCTCCAGTCCTCAGGCACCGCCGCGGAGTCGCCGTATGTCATTGCGTTCACGCGTGCGGGCATCAAGGTCCTTCCTGCGTTCATCAATGCGTGTGTCTTCACGTCCGCGTTCTCCGCCGGTAACTCGTTCTTGTTCTCGGCGAGTCGTATTTTGTATGGTCTTGCAATCCGGGGGCAGGCGCCGAGGATCCTGGGGTACTGCACGAAGAACGGCCTTCCCATCGCTGCTATTCTCGTGTCTGGTGCCTTTGCGTGGCTCAGCTTCATGAACGTCTCCAGCGGCGCTGAGACGGTGTTCAAGTGAGTGATCCATGCTTGTCTCTGGTCGTGAGGACGGTGCGCTGACGAAACGCGCGCAGCTGGTTCGTCAACCTGTCGACGACGGCCGGGTTCTTCTCCTGGGGCGCGATATGCGTGACGTACCTGCGGTTCTACAAGGGCCTCAAGGTGCAGGGCATCGACCGGACGAAGTTCAGCTACTACAGCGGCCTGCAGCCGTACCTCGCGTGGTGGGCGATCTGCTGGCTCGCGTTCTTCATCCTCATCAACGGGTACGCCGTCTTCTGGGTCTGGAACACGGACTCCTTCATCACCGCGTACATCAACATCCCGATCTTCGTCGTGCTGTTCGTGTTCTGGAAGGTGTTCAAGCGCACAAGAGCGTGGCGCCCGGACGAGATGGACTTTGTCACCGTACGTCGGCTGGTTGGGCTTGGTGCTGTGATGCAGTGGGGAGCTGACGGTGTCGTTTTTTCGCGTGACAGGCTATCCCGACCCTCGAGGAGACAGAAATCCCCGAGGTACCAGCTACGACGTTCTTCGGCAAGATCGGCGCCCCATCTTCTGAGCACCCCTTCTTGGCCGACCCCCAACCCTCATTACCACCCGCATTCCGCACCTCGCATACTCACGTGTACGCACCCTGGCTCATGCTCAGTTACGCTGTCATATTACAGTCACCCGCCCTTATATATATAATTATCCAACCTGTGCGCTGCGGCGTGCGCACGCGCCTTGGGGGTTGTGTACACGGTGTCCTGCGCGCTATATATGATACCTCGCTGTAGATACTTACTGTCCGCTATTAGTGTACTGAATGAAGACGACGACGAACTACCGAGACAATCATGGAGGCGTGTGCTTTTATCGAGGGCATACACTCGGAAGTCGAGATCGGAGCATTGGAAGATACGTCTAAAGCCACTGAATTCAGAACTGAGAAGTCAAAATACTTTTCCCCCGTCAACCCAGTGTCAACCAATCCCACTCCGGACAGTCAAAGTCACCGACTCCCCTGTACTCGACTTTCCGTTCGGACCATTTCTTGGACAGCCTCACGCTCCCATCCTCCGAGTCGCGCTCCACGTTGTGGACTGCACTCTGCAGCCCGACGAGCCGCAGGGACTTGCCCGCCTCCGCGAAGCGCTTCAAAGTGACCTCTGCATCGCCTGCAACATCGTCGCACGCGCGAAAGTAGAAGAATCTCAGACGCTGACATCTCATCCACTGACAGCGACGTGAGCAATGATGAACGCCTATGTAGACGTGCCAGTGAAGAGGCCGGGCGACGTACCAGTTCAGCCCACTCGCGCTCGTGGTTAATGGTACCGCTCGACACAAACAAGGCCAGCGCATCGAGCTCTGCCGGGATATGGCGAACGGCGCCACTGAAAGAACCCCCAGTTGGATCGCCCGGGGCAACGTGCAGACCTAGTACCCGGAGTTGTTTCAGAGCCGGGGAGAGCAACTCCAGGTCGGTCGATGCGATGCAAATCGAGCAGTCAAACATCGGAGGGTCGGCATGCCGCGGACAAGCTGCGCAAGCAGAGAGACCCTCGTTGCGGGCAGCGGGAGAGCGACCTCTCTCTCCTCGCCGACGATCGCGAGCTGAGTCAGGCGCGGGAAGTTGAAGGGACCATGCTTGAATGCGGCGAAGAGCTGCGCTTCTTGGGTATCTCGCGAGGCCTGTAGTGTGAGTGACTGGACGTGAGGCAGGTTCTGCAGGACAACCTCGAGATGGCCAAGATCACGGAGGAACAGCAGACTGAGATGCGTGATCTGCTGTAAAAGGCTTCCGAGCGAGCTGACGCTAGCTGGTGTTGGGAAGAAGAAATACAGTTCGCGTAAGTCTGGAAATGTCTCTTCATCGATATTGACATGGACATCCAGGTAGTCGTCCAGGAGTGGGTCGGATATTTCTTCGATTGTCCAATGAAAGTCATCGAGCGGACGCTTTTTAACTTGTGGAACGGAAGTTTGGCGAACGCGAAGATCCTAGAATTTGGTGATATGAATGCACAGACGTGCTGTCAGCCAACATCACTACTTACGGCAGCATGAGGCCTCGTAGCCTCGGACACGACGCAGCAAGAGCATCCACTACTCCGAGGGACGGTAACGGACTGCATCCCATCCATAAGAAGCGTTCGAGGTTGGGCAGGCATTGGATGGCTTCAATCAAGCAGCCTGGAATTGTACGTTCAGTCTATCGCCGTCACTCCGGACACCCCATACTGACAATTCTCGAACACCCCTCCGGACCCATTCTGCATGTAAGCCTCTATCTCGAGGACCCTCACCACGCTGGCAAACGAAGCATCGAGGGTGATACGGCGCAGAACGCGAACGCCCTCGACGAACGCGTTTCGTCAAGCTCGTCGTCCGACATCCCGGACAGCCAGCTTTCCCAAGCACTGAAGCAGACTATGATCTCGCGGAACAAGGCAGGGATGGTGCGGCTGTGGAAAGTCCTGGAGAGAGACAAGCAGGCCGCTGGGAGGCCTTGGTGCAATGATCAATGATGTACATCCAGATCTCTGAAGGGAGCAATTCATGGTGGTATGGGTTGTGAATCCGAGGGAGAATAGCCATAGACCGGAAATCTGCATCGAACGCGGTCTGAGGAGACATCGTCGATCGAGTCGTCGACGCAATCTCGATTGATCACGTGGATACATATGCTCTACTGACCTGCGTCACTTGCTTCGTGAGCCCATCGAGCCGCTGTGGGAGGCTGCGAGGAGATCTTCTCAGTCTGACCCGAACTGCGCCTACTACTTGCTCTCAAGGAGTCTATTCGCAAACATGACCAGCAGGCTCAAACGGAAACTCAACGACCTCGGGGTGGATCCCTCCAGCTCCAAGGCGAACGAATCTTTCTGCCTGGTACGCACGCTCTCAATGTCCCGTTCGCCGCCACACTCGCTGACGCGCAACCGCAGATCGGCACACCGCTGCCTCCGCTTGAGAAGAGCAAGGACACGGGCGAGTTCGTCCCTCTCTGGAAGCAGGAGGTGCGCGATGAGAAGGGTCGGCGGCGGCTGCACGGCGCCTTCACCGGCGGGTTCTCCGCGGGCTACTTCAACTCGGTCGGCTCGAAAGAAGGATGGGCGCCGTCGACGTTTGTGTCCTCGCGCACGGAGCGTGCGAAGGCGAAGGCGGCGCGCCCCGAGGACTTCATGGACGAGGAGGACCTCGCGGAGCTGCAGGACGGCAGGAAGCTGGTGGACGAGCATGAGGAGATGGACTTCGGCGGGACGGAGAGGGAGCTGAAGCAAAAGGCGAGCGCGGAGGAAGAGGAGAAGGAGTGCGTTGCTGTGATGCTCTTGTGTGAGAAGTTTGGCTGATAAAGGTGTGTTAGCGACATTACTGCTACCCTAGAGGCCTCGCTCGCCCCTGCGCCGAAGGACTCCGTTGGTGCACGGATTCTCAAGAAGATGGGCTGGCGTCTCGGACAGGGTGTCGGTCCGCGATTAGCCTACGCTCAGCGGCGCGCGCAGCTGGGGCCCCTTGCACCGAGTGAACAGGATGAGGACGAGGAGGCTAAGAAGCATATGTACCCACGGAGAGATGCACCTGTTCTGATTGCCCCCCGAAAAGACAACTTTCACGGGCTCGGCTATACTCCAGGCATGAGCCTAGAGGAAGCTGTCGGGCGGAATGCGAGGGAGGGTCCTCAATTAGCAGCTGGCTTCGGCCTAGGAGCACTGAACGACGCGGACGAAGACGACCTGGACGTGTACGATAGCAGCATGGGCACGGGCAGGAGTGGACGATCAAGGATGGCGTATGACGCTGTGGACGATGAAGACACGCGAATAACGATGGGTCCCTCCAGCTCGAGACGCGGCGCTCGAAGCCAGGCATCTGTGAGTACAGTGACTCAAGCTATCTTCAGAAAGCTGATGTCCTCTGGCAAGAGAGTCGCATCCACCTCCGCAACGCAAACATTCAACGACGGCCGCGCAGTCGTGAAAGGATTCGTGCTTTCGGATAGGCCTGTGGCTGAGGACCGCTGGTAAGCTGTCTACATGAATGTGGTTATTCCCATCTAAAGATGATATATTTTGTAGGTTCCCCCTACCGGATGTTCCGCCAGGATGGACACCCAACCCTCGACGCGTGTGGGACCAGGAGAAAGAAAAGGAAAACGCGGAGCAAACGAAGGCCGGCCAGATTCCTCCCGGCAAGGTTACACCCAAGACTCACGCGGAATGGAAGGATAGCTTCATGTCTGCAGATCAGGTACGCTACTGTGTCTCTGAGGTGGGCTTCACTTCTAATGGATTCAAACCCCTAGCGAGGATCTATGCTGGGCGAGACACCGCTGCCGTCGCAAGCACGCTCCGTTTTCGATTACATGTCGCAGAAAGATCGCGAGCGTCTACAAAATATCAAGAACGCTGCTCTCACCGCTCCGGCCACTCCTTCCATTGCTGCCCCGCCACCCCCTCCACCTCATGTGCCCGGTCAGATTGAGGTCCCTACACTACATCCCTCGATCGCCAAGGCCGCTTTGTCTGGATTTCAACCCTTCACTGCGGACCCCGTCAAGCAGTCGCGGTACACTGCCTTCCTCAACTATCAGGCGAATCGGGAAAGCGTAGGTGGTCCCTCCGGTATAGGCGTCGGTCCCATGCCTGGACAGAGCGCCGAGGAGTTCAACAAGGAGCTCGGGGATTATGCAAAGTCAGCGACGGTGTTCAAGCCGCTTTCAGCCGCGATGGCTGGGCGCTTCCGGAGTGCAGTAATTGTCGAGACCGGGCCGCAGATTGTGGAGGGCCTGCATCAACCCGTACCAGCTGCCGAACCAAGTGCAGACGAAGAGCAGGAGAATAAGGAGGACGAAGATCCGCGGATGGGCGCGGTGCGGATGGGCATGTATGGCCCGCTGACGCGCGAAGTCAACCCATGGCAGCCGGCGCGACTGCTCTGCAAGCGGTTCGGCGTGAAGGACCCAGAGGTGGACATGACGGCGGAGGCTGGTGCGGCGACCGCGGACCTTGCGATGCCCACCGCCGCGGCGAAGAACGCGGATGCGGAGATGGCGCAAGCGTTTGCGGGTGCTGCGCCGGGGTCCAAGTTCGTCAGCGCCGGGGCGATCACGGATGGCTCTGAGGCGGCGGCGGGCGGGCGGAGGAACGGGCCTCGTGATATGGCGAATGTGGGCCTCGGGGAGGACGAGGATCAGGGCAGAGACACGCTCACTTATGAGCGGCCAGCCATGGACATCTTCAAAGCGATCTTCGCCAGCGACGATGAGGATAGTGACGAAGAAGACGCTGAGGACGAGGAGGTGCAACGCGAGTCGAGTGGCGCCGTATCTACAGCCGCGAACACGGCTGGGGTAAAGACAGAAGAGGTTCCGTCGCACCTCGCTCTCGCAGAGTCCGCTACTCCTAGTTATCAGCCCAAGGACAATGGCACTACTGGGCCCGCGTGGCAGAGAAGATTGATTTGGCAACCTTCAAACCAACCTTTGTCCCCCGTGGTGACCGAGAGTCGAAGAAGGAGAAGACAAAGGATAAGGACAAGAAGGATAAGAAGAAGAAACCAAAAGCTGCTCTTCTGACCTTCGACGTCGACGAGGATGGCTTGGGCGCTGCTGACCTCGGAGCGCCTCCCTCGAGTCGACCGAAAACCAAGGACAGGACGAAGGACGGGGAGCGGAAGAAAAAGAAACGAAAGGAGCATAAAGACGAAGACGAAGACGACAGTATGTGGGTGGAAGCGCCTCCACCCGAGGTCCTGAAGAAGATACCTGCGGCAGCCATATCGCCTTCGCCCTCGAAGTCACCACTAGATGTCGAGATGCATCCGCCCTCGCTAGAGGTCAACAAAGCACCGAGGGCTCGGAAACGAGCAATAGACTTTATGTAGTGTATTTTCTCTGGATAACTGGCATTGTATCGGTAGTTTCTGCGCATTTACTCATCATCGCTACCACTGTCACTCTCGGCTTCGGCCTCTCCCTCAATCTCCTGCTCGTCGCCGGACGCAGCTTCATCGAGCTGTTGCGCAGTCCATCCCACATTATCTTCCTCGCCTTCCTCTGCATCCTCGTCGCTACTCCGTTTGCGCTTGCCATTTGCGTCGACGGCACTCAATACCTCGCCGTCCGCGAGTGCAAGGCATGTCAATCGACAGCCCTTCGTGTCGTACTCCGCGACCGGAGTCAATTGGAGCTTTTGTTCCGGAGTGGCAGGCAGATCCGCCAGGTCGTATATGTGAATCTTGCCATCGGATGATATGGTGCTAACAATGGTGGTTGATGGTCTGTTGGATGAGGGTAGGGCGATGGCCAGAATCTCGATCGCCTTCACACTGAGCATGGCATTGTGAGTGAAGGCAACAATGATTCACTGGATGACGAACCGATTGCTGTGTCCGACCATTTCAGCGATTATTGAAGGTGCCTTCTCTGGGTCGGATGGAAGGTCGTATATCGAAACCTTCTTGTCTTCCGCTGCGACAAGCAAAACCTCGCCTTCGCCATTCACTCGTTTGCAGAACTTGACGTCGTGTAGTCGTGAAGGATGGTTGATTATATGTCGCAGTTGCATGTCCTATTGTGATGCGTTAGCTTGCGAGAAGGGACACTGCTGGAACACGGGGTGCCCTACGTTTGTGTAAAGGTCGATAGTCAATTGCGAGAGTACGACGAGCTGCGAACCATCGGTTGACCACCGTACGACCTCACCCTCTGGAACGGCTCGTAAGCTGTGATATTGTAGGGGAGCAGCAGGTGCATACCTTTCCCAAGCTTTGTACTCGCCGAGCCCTTTCCTCGCATGAGGTCCCACATGCGCAACGTCCGATCTTTCCCAACGCTCAGAGCAAGCTTGCCTGATGGGTGGACGGCGACGGAGTTTACACGTCCTTTGTGACCCTTCAGTGACCGGAGAACACCCCAGTCCCGCGCATGGAAGAGGCATAGTGTGCCGTCTTCCGACGCGGAAAGTAGATGCGACCGAGAGGGAAACTCCAAATGCGTGATGGAACCTGCCCACAGTTAGATTCAGATCACTCAGAAGACAACGGGAGACGTACCCTCATGATGCATGAGCCCTCCAATCTCCTTCCGTCTCCGTAAATCCCAGACCTTTACGATCTCATCCCCGCTGCCTGTCGCCAACCATTTGCCTCCTTGTGGCGAAGCAGCTACTGCTCGCACTGAAGAGATGTGTGCGGGAAATATGAATATGGGCTTCAACTGGAAGCTGTAACGAGAGCCCTCGGCACGTGTTGACCCTTCCAGGCCGTATAGAAGTTTTTCGTACGAGCCGGCAACAACTTTGAATGTCGCCGGCGGCGCGCTTGAGGAAGGCCCAGCCTCAGAGCGTGCAGCACTCTTGGCTTGGTAAGCCTTGAGGAGGGGTGCTTGAGTCGAAGCACGCTCTTTCCCCTTCGCTGAGACAATGGCAGGAGCAGGTTTAGCGGTATGTTTTGCCGCTTCCTTTACTGTTGGCGCTCGGTGCCCAGTAGATTTTACGGATTTTGACTGGTTTGCGCTGATCTTGACCTTCTTATGAATGGACGGAGCCATAGTCTAAACCGACTGTAATCACTAAGACACAGGTGAGCTTGAAGTCGCGGATGCATAGACTTACTTTGGAAAATATAGCTGAGGGCCCTAGATGATCTTTGTGCAAAATTTGCCAACTTGAACAGTCAAGAAACAGGTCGGCTGTTATGCTGAAGGTCACAACCAGCGGGGGATACACAAGTCCTGCGCCGATCGGTTGAGGGAATATTTTCCAGGAAAGGAAGGCGACCAGTGGCTGTTGAGCGGCTGTTTGTCCTTGTTAAATTTGAAAGCCTTTGGTCAATAACGCCAAACAACGTATATTCGGGATCGTGCAGGCGCTCATACGGCGTTGTGAGCAATGCTGCCTCAGGCTGCTCGCGCTGCTGCTATCCAGTCTCAACATCTAGCAAGCCCGCCAGTAAGCCTATACCGCCATATCTCAACACTCGGCTCTCTAGAGGATGTCAATGCTAGCGTCAATGCACTGGTTCATACTGCACGTCCGGCACCGCGAGTCTCAGGGCAACGTCTGAGTGATTGTACAGTCGCTGTCAAGGACAACATCTGCACCTCAGATATGCCTACAACATGCTCATCTAGCATGCTGCTTGATTTTACCTCACCATTTGATGCTACTGTCGTGGAGCTGCTCCGAAGTCACGGTGCAAGTGTGGTCGGAAAGACCAACTGCGACGAGTTCGGGATGGGGTGAGTCTATCGACTTTATACAGCTGTTGGATGTGCTATGAACACTGGCGCAGCTCTCTGAACACGTACTCTGCGCACGGACCGGTCGTGAACCCCTTTCGAGCAGCGGGAGCAAAGTCGCCTGGGAGAAGCGTGAACGTCGGTCAGCAGGTGGTAGCTCTGGAGGTAGCGCGGCTGCTGTGGCTGCTAGACTCTGTGACGCGTAAGTGCAGATGTTCCGTTCGTTGGACGAATGCTGAAATGTGAGTGAAGGAAAGTGCACTGGCTACAGACACTGGCGGCTCGATACGACTGCCGGCCTCTTACTGCGGGGTCGTAGGACTCAAGCCTTCGTATGGACTCGTCAGCAGGTATGGTTATGCTTGTCTTCTGATTTACTTTCCCGCTGACTAGTGATGTAGATGGGGCGTTGTATCGTACGCGGACAGTCTGGATTGTGTCGGAGTCATGGCCAGAGGTGTGGACACCGTGAAAACGGTATTCAGTGAGTCTTCATATCTGGGAACGACTGTTAGGTTATATTGTAGCTTGTTCTAGATGTGTCTCCGCATACGATGCAAAAGACCCAACAGCAGCTCATCCGAGTACACGGCAAAAGGCTGTTGAAGTTTGCCAGGAGCATGGGCCACGGTTGTCCGGCGGATCACTGGCCGGACTACGTATTGGCGTTCCACAGGTAAGAACCGCCGAATAGTCTTGACGTCGCAGACCATTGACAACTTGTAGGAGTACTTCCCCAGCGAGCTCAATCCGAGTACGCTTAAACCGCTTCGGCGCGTTCTTGAGCACCTGAAGTCCCGCGGTGCCTCTCTTGTCCCAGTCTCCCTCCCTTCAACGCCATATGCGCTCAGCGCATACTACGTCATTTCCAGTGCCGAGGCAAGCAGTAATATGGCGCGATATGATGGCATCGAGTACGGTGAGTGAATTGGGTCACAAGAACGCGCGACAATGACTAACGTTTCCTAGGTTTGTACAAAGCGCCACCGCCGGGGTCTGACAAAACGAAGACGGCGAACGTCTATGCCCATAGTCGGTCAGCAGGCTTTGGCAAGGAGGTCCAGAAGCGTATACTGCTTGGCACGTATGCCTTGTCAGCTGAGTACGTCGACCTGTTTCTAGTGTCGGAGGTGACCTCACTTAGTACTCGCTCGCAGTGCCTTCGACAATTACTTCCTTCAAGCGCAGCGCGTCCGGAACCTAATCCGTGCAGACTTCGATCGTGTCTTCGCCGTACCGAACGTCCTAACTTCCTCCCCACAAAAGCCACAAACGAAGGCGTGCACGTCCTGCTCCACCCATCCGCAATTCGCACTGCTCCGCCACTTTCCTCAACGGAAGACGACGGTAGTGTCCTCGACGCGTACGTGCAAGACGTACTCACTGTCCCGGCGTCCCTTGCTGGCCTTCCTGCCATGAGCGTACCAGCCGGCCTTGGGGCAGACTGTTGGCCTGTCGGTGTTAGCATTGTGGGACAGTGGGGATGCGATGAGATGGTGATCGATGTCGCCAGAGTGTGCGAGCAGAGCGAGGTGTAGTCGGGTGAACTTTAGCACAACTGAATTCAGGCTTTGAACTGCAGCAATCACAGCGTTGTGATGTTCTTCATTGCGTACACAAGACAGATCAGTGTGCTATGGTACTTTTGGGAGTTGGTGTACGAATGACTTATGTTTTGAAGTTAAGCTATACCCATCCGCTGTCTATGGCGATGCACCGAGGTTGAGCCTCCCCAGTCTGCCATGGTGCTAATTGAGGCATCTCACAGAATTCCTGGCACGATCACGCGAACGAATCAGGACTCCAAGCACACGAGCAGACATCAAACTACGACCTACATCGACGGCGCATGCAGGGTCGCACTTCATCCATATGGGCCAGTCTAGCCACTCGATGAGAGCGTCGAATGCAGCTCTCCACTTTTCCAGCACTGGGTGCGAAATAATAGCATCGACGGCCTCGTCCGTCCTTGCCATTTCGAAGCCGAACGCATCTCTCCACGCCTCGGTGTAGACCCGGCAAATCTCGTGGAGCACCTCGTCGACAGCGTAGCGCAGGAGCCGCTCCTGTTTCGTGAACCGCGTGCTGGGGGTTTGCGCCGTGAAGCTCGTCGCGCACCCGCGCGCAGTCGCTTCGAACCACGCTGGCTCGCCGATACCTTCACGGGGCATGTACGGGCTCAGCGAGATGACGAGCTGTTTGCGTACTGCCGCAGTGATGCTCTGGAGCTGGGAGTGAGCTTGAGCGGCCGCGGAGGTATTCGCGGCCACCAGGCGAGCATGATAGAGTAGATACCGTACGTATAGCAGGCGGTCCGCGAACCTCTCTTGGATGACTTGCGCGAGAGTGCGCCAGTCAACGCCGCTCTTTTCACCGGAGTCGCGCGCGACCATGTCGGCGATGTCGGTACGCACGCCGTCCAAGTCGTCTTGAGAGATGCGTGCAACTCTGTACTGTGTGCGGGAGAGCCCGTGCCGTGCAGCAGTGAGAGAGGTGAGGGCGGGGTCGAAGAACGAGATGAGCGTGGAGGGGTCGACCTGCACACGCGTTTCGCCGGGGTAGGCGTTGTGTCGGCTGCCTGCGTGTCGGACTTCCATGAGCGGCGGAGCGAGGCGAGGGTCGGGTGTAGTGTCGAGGGAGGAGACCAATGCGAGGCCTTGGGAGATGTCGCAATACATGATTTCGCTGAAAGGTCGGTCAGCTCCCTTGAGACTCAGAGTTGAGAGGACGTCAGAGAGGCAGACCTACAAGTCGTACTCCATACGAATGTACCCATCGATACCGTATTTCCTTCCCCATGCACACGCGTCTACGATGCGGTCCAGCTCGGGATCGGAGTGCCAGGGCTCTCGCCCATGGCCAATGTCACCCCATATGAGGATGTCCTGTGTGTCCGTCACGCCGCCACGCTTGTTGGCGCTGCAACCGTCAAAATAGATGAGCTTAGCTCACGGGTTGTCATGAAGGTGAAGAGGGTGCCGTTCTGGCCACGCAGGAACGTTTGGGAGTGTTCTGGGTCGAACGCGAGCCAGTCCATGGTTGGACGTTCATTGTTGCCTCTGCCATGGTAGAGTAGGGTACCAGGGGCGATAGTAGCACGCGCGACCGAGTGACCTGACCAGGAGTGTTGAGTTAGCGTGGCAGAGGTCGCAGAGCATTTTCATACGAACCATTGGGATACTTTGAATTCGGTGCCATTTGCATGAGAGACGACAGAGACTGGAAGATGAGGTTACCTGTCGCATTCTCTCCAGCTGCTTCATCCCATGGTTGAGAACCCGATTCTCGCAGTGGCAAAAACTTAACGTTGAGCTGTGTCTGCCAGGAGTAACAAGCACTGTACACTGCAACCGCCACGCAGGCGACTACGAAGAGACACTGCAGGCTTGTCGACCAGCGCATTAGAGAAGGACGTGAGGAACATCCATGGAGGGTGCATGAGTTAGCAGATGATGTCCAGCGGAGCCATCGTGGCTGCTGTAAGTGGCTTCGTCGTGGCCACTTCAATTTCCGGATGACCCGGTGAGACAACGCGCGCAGCACACGCGTGGCGTCACGGCACACGCGTTCGTGTCACACCGTGTCCGCATCACGCCCTCGCAGCCGACTGGGGTGCCAGTGGCTGGCTCAGCATACGGCTTGCACTTCATCCACTAGCAACTTCGTCCTTAGTCTGCCGCCGCCCTTCATCATGCATCCCTCTCGCCCGCATGGTCATCCTGAGCGCTACTTGCCAGGATTCACCGACATCATCATCAGTCATGGAGCAAACTAAGTAGTTGGAAAACGAAGTAAGACCTTCCTTTCCCCGCAGCTGTCAGTGCTTGGCCCTGTATGGTGAGTCTTTGTTCACACTTAATCGTCTTCCATTCGGGGTGCTGTGACATTGACGGACTCGCCAAGTTCCGTGTCGACTACAGAGGAATCGGTGTACCAAAATTAGTCGCATTTACAGTGTGAATCTCACCTGGGATGCCTTCCCCACCGAGAACTGACAGCGTCCACAAGCTTGCCTATGTCCGCATGCCGATAGGACATGCGGGCACGACAGCCTGTATAACCGCATATGGGTTGGATCTCGCGCGGCATCTGGCAGGTTTACTATGGCCAATTAGTCGCCCTACGCAGACGCGGGGTCCTATATTACTAGGCGCATGTCTCCGAGAATTCACCTTCTTCTTCGCTCACTTTTCAGCGATGTTCTGGCTAGCGAAGCCCTGTATCCTCATCCTCGTATACTTACTTATGGCAGGTGTCCTAGCCAATGCTCATCAAGCCCACTTCTCCACTTCAGTTGTGAATGAAACAGGAGGACTCCGTGTGAGGAGACCAGGCTGGGATGAAGAAGTGGACAAGGACGCCTCCGGGAATCTCATATTCCAGTCCCTCGCATCTCTCATGCAGATGAAACCAAACTCGAGATACGGCAATGGTGAGTTATAGATTGGTGCTGCGTTCAGAATGCTGAACACCGAAGAGGTCATTCAATTGCTCGCGCCAGCATCCCTGCCAGGACATTACTGTATCATGGATCCTTCCACTCGGAGTATCCCTCGAGAGATTGGATTGCTTTCGATCCTGAGCACGCTTTCATATTCACTGGTCAATCGGACGGCACTCTCTGGACCCTCACGACGACACGGGAACTCAATTTTATCTACTTCGATGGCTGCAGTGCCAACAAGCATGGTGCCGTCCTAGATACACAAGATATATTCCTCTGGGGTCACGGTGAGGTTGGACGTAAACGAGGTGACTGGCGGGTCGACGAGTTTGCTCGTTTCAATGATGGGTGCGAGTGGGCGAAACTGCACGGCATAGACGGCTTCATCAGAATGGAATGGGACTTGTATGTGAGCTCAGTACTGCGTCGAGACATGACCTGATAAGCTCTACAGTGAGATCATGTATTGCGACTTCTCGGACGGTCTCGAGGTCGTGTCCACCATTGCTACGGTCAGCGGGGTGCCTGATGAGCGTAACATCGCACAGCCTGTGTCAAACAGTGCTGTTGAGCGGCTGGGCGGTCAGCAGGCCCCGCAGGCCTCGCACCATGGCCTACGCCAGGCGAAGAAGACCTATTTTCACATGCTATGGATGATGCGACGGCACTCATCGACTTCCCAACGCTTGTCCTCCCGAATGGCTGGAAAGGCGTCCTCCCTTTCACCTTTTTCGAATTTCGGCATACTGGCGCATGGCACAACGACTTTCCAGGCGAGCTACGGGTTCAAGTCTATCCCTCCACGCTCATTTCGTTCTTCGATCCCGCCCTTACATCTCTTGTTACTGCTCGCCGCTCCCAGAAGCGTGAGGAGTACCGCGCAGGCAACGCCTCCGCACGACATCGCGCGCGTACGAGCAGACATCGCCGAGATGATGTCGCGGATTGGAGCTTCGCAGCGCGCGGCGACGTGGACTGGATCAGCTTGCGCGCGTCGTGCAGGATCGCTACGCGGACCGCCTCCGTACATGCAGATTTGCTGCATAATCCAACGGCGAAGCATTGATAGCATAGCGACCGTGCGCAGACAACTCTTCGTATCGCTCATGCCGTACATGCCTCGGGAGGAGATCGGCGCGCATACGTGTTCGCGGAGATCGCGCGAGGCTGCGCCGACAGCTTCACCGGGAGGTTGCCTGTCGAGCGGTTTACGAAGCAAGAGCGGGTCCTTCTTGGTGCTTTCGAGGAGGTGCTTCACGAGATATGCAGAGTGTACACGGAGGCATGGTGGATGCGTTTGACGTGGAGAGCAAGAGCGAGGATGTGGCCAAGGAGCTGATGCGTAAATGACAAGGCAAGTTCGACAAGCTGGTCGAGTGGCTGGATTGGCCTCGCTGGATGAAGTGCAAGCCCGAGTGTGGCCCCGACGTGAGTTGAACGTACCGATATCTCTCTGGTAGCGCGTGCTCATTCTCTTGGTATAGGAGTATTGTTTCATGCCGCAGGCAAGACATGGGTACTACTACTATTCGCGGTATGCCAGTACTGGACCCAAGCCTGCTTGCGTTTCAATGGAGGATCAGACCTACGGACCCAGACCACATTCAGTATGACGAAAAGAGTGCTCGGAGAACAGTACCCTTGATATATACAACATTGGGTGATGTGAATACTCCGCGCAGCGTCATTATATGGCAATAACAGGATGGATACACCGGAATAAAATGTCGGTGAAGCGAATCAAGGTGGGTCTTCTGTGATCGTCCGTAGAGCTAAAATGTATTGCGTTCTATCTACCAGCATGGCACTTTTCCACCGCAGACGTCTACCCGCGGTCGCGGCTGCGTCATTAACTACCATTCTCCACAATACCTGCAATGTCCCAAGCCTTGGCATGACTCCCATATCCGGCCCTTTTCCTGTCGCATTCTCGGAAGCCGGTTCGTCCCAGGGTCAAGAACTCAATCTGCGCAGTGGCGAACCATCAAATTTGAACCGTCTGTGCCAAGACTTACAAGTACTGTACGCAACCGGCGCCAGACAGGCGACGAAGAGACACTGCAGGATCCGAGTCGTCGACCAGCGCATGAGGACAAGGTGAGAACATCGATGGCGGGTGCACGAGTGAGCAGATGCTGTCCAGTGGTGCCATCGTGGCTGTCGTAAGGGCTTTGTCGCTGCTCTCATTCCTGGGTGAGGGTGTCACGGAACACGTGTCAGTGTCACACCGTGTCTACATCACGTCCTTCAAGGTTGCACACGAGACCGCGGTTAACCAACGTCTACTTGATTCTAGTAGGATTTGTTTTGGCTAGTCTCCGTAAGCATACTCTAAATGTGACACTTATGAGCGGAGGAGGGCGGGCGTTGTGGTTGACAAGTTCTAGCGTCGACCATATTTGACAGGCTGCCGCTGCCGTAGGACTTGCGCAGTCCATCACTCAGGTGCCGTACATATATCATGGCCGTTTCCTTCCTCTTCATCACTCCTCAGCAATGTTCGGCCGTTCATGCCTTGTGTTCCATCCTCCTCCTACTCGTAGCAGGGGCCCTAGTAGCCAATGCTCAGAGTCGTCAAACATCTTTTCCACCTCCGTGAACATGATGCGAGAGGAATCCATGCGAAGAGACCTTGGGATGAAGAATCGGGCAATGACGCCTCCGGGAATCTGATTTTCCAGTCCCTCGCAGCCCTCTTGCAGATGGCACCGAATTCAAAGCATTGTAATGGTGGGTCATGAATTGATGCCGCATCACAGAATGCTGAGCCTCAGGTAGGACACTCAATCGTTCGCGCCAGCATCCCCGCTGGGACGTTACTGTACCATGGGTCTCTCACCCGAGAACACGCCTCGAGGGATTGGATTGCTTTCGATCTTGAACATGCCTTCATATTCGCCAGGGGATCGAATGGCACCCTTTTTACTCTCATGGCTACGCGGGAGCTTAACTTTATCTACTTCGACGGCTGTAGCGCCAACAAATTGGGCGCCGTCGTGGACACGCAAGACATTTTTTCTGGGGTGAGGTTGGGCGCACACGGGGTCACTGGGAGGTCGACGACCTTGCGCGTTTCAACGACGGGTGCGATTGGGCGAAACCGCACGGCATAGACGGCTTCATCAGGATGGAATGGGAATTGTACGTGAGCTCAGTTACGGTGTCTAGACATGAACTGATGAGCTCTAAAGCGAGATCATGCATTGCAACCTATCGCAAGGTCTCGAGTCGTCTCAGCTGTCTCTACGATCAGCGGAGTGCCTGACCTCCCTCAGCCTACGTCAAATAGCACGGCTGATCCACTGAATGGTCAGCTGACTCCGCAAGCCTCGTTTCATGGGCTACGACCCGGGAGAGAGGACCTCCTCGTACGCGCCGCAGATGATGCGACTGCGCTCGTCGACCTCCCACCGCTCATCCCGCCGAAGGGCTGGAAAGGCACGCTTCCCTTCACCTTATTTGAGTCGCGGCATACCGGCACATGGCACAACAACTTTCCAGGCGAGCTACGTGTTCAAATCTATCCCTCCACACTCATCTCGTTCTTCGACCCCGCCCTTACGTCCCTTGTCACTGCCCGCCGTTCCCAGAAGCGCGAGGAGTACCGCGCAGGCAACGCCTCCGCAGCGGACATCGCGCGCGTACGAGCAGACATCGCCGAGATGATGTCGAGGGACTGGAGCCCCGAGGTGCGCGGTAACGTGGATTGGATCGCCCTCGCACGCGTCGTGCAGGATCGCTATGCGGACCGCCTGCCGTATATGCAGTACTTGCTACATAGCCCTGCCGCGAACGTATCTGAGCACATGGTGCTCCTGCGCAAACAGCTCGTCGTATCGCTCATCCCATACATGCCCCGGGAGCATATCGGCTCACCAGACTGGTTCGCGAACATCGCGTATAACTGCGCGGAGAGTTTTGCTGGGTGGCTGCCTATGGAGCGATTTACGAAGCAAGAGCGGGTCCTGCTGAGTGCAGTCGAGGAGGTGCTACACGAAATTTGCAGAGTTTACACGGAGGCATGGGTGGACGCGTTCGACGTGGAGAGCAAGAGCGATGATGTCGCCAGGGAGCTGATGCGGAAGTGGCGGGGTGAGTTCGACAAGCTCGTCGAGTGGTTGGACTGGCCTGGCTGGATCAAGTGCGAGCCTGAGTGTGGCCCTGATGTGAGTCGAACAAATCGGCAATTCTCTGGATGCGCGCGCTGACTTCTAGGTTGTAGGAGTATTGTCTGATACCGCAGGCGAGATGGTGGTCGTGGTATGGCACTGACCCTACGTGCGTCTCAGTGGAAGATGAGACGTACGAGCCTCAGGCTGCGTGACAGCTAAATAAAGATCGGCGAACGGCACTCTTGATATATAGATGCAGTCTTGATAAGAAATGGTAAAGAGCGGCATGATGACTAAAATTAACAACATTGTGCACTGTGGTAGTGATACTCCGCGCGCTGTCGAAACGCAGGTGTGTATGGGATACGATATACAGATGTTGCCAGCATGTCAAGGTACATGCTCTGGCCGTCCACGAAGCGAAAGTATCTTCCGTACATTCTAGCTGCCTACCAGCATGTTACTTTTCTACTGCAGGCCTCTATCCGCGGCGGTCGGCGCCGTAACTACAAATTATTCACGATACCTGCAATGTCCCGGGTGCCACGCCTCCCATGTCCGGCCCTTCTCCATGCTAAACGGAGAGCTCGCTCTTCATCCCGACGGGCATGCCCATGTCGTCGTGACTCTGCACGACCTTCGAGATGTCGACGGCGACTGGCTGCATGACATAGGAGCGGTCCTGTGCAGTGTGTACCCGACGAGAAGGGATGCCGGAGGACGTCGACGGGTGTGCTTGCTGCGCCCAGCCGAGGCCAACGCGCACGTTGATCATCATGAACGCGATCCCGGCGATGGTGCCAAGGGTGTCGACGGCGACGTACTGCAGGTTGCTTGTCGCTTGATAGCAGCCAAAGAAGAAAGCAACGTAGGTCCTGCGTGCCCCGCCGCGTCAGATACGAAGAGCTAGTCCGAGAGTCTGATCGACTTACGTATAGAGCGCGGCACTCTCGACGATCGTCGCAAGGACCCTCTGTTCATGGCTTGAGATGCAATCGGCATGGTGAATATGAGGTACTTACCGTCAGATTTCCACCTCCATACGACGTAGACCTCTGGCGCACACGCCACACTCGCCACGCAATGCCAAAAGAGCAGTAGATGTTTGTGCTGAATGAGAGTCACATTCTGTGAAAGCTCCAAGGGTCATTATACGCACATGAAGGTACACGAATAGTCGACTTGAATCCATTGGCTAAGGGACGAGATGAAGACAGAGTTGCCGGTTGCTACCTGGGTGAGCTTGTAAACGATTCCAGGTCCCGCAACTGATAATGCCATATCAGCACACGCGTGTTTGCCAGGTGTCCCGTGCACTTACTACAGAGCCCGAGGACGGCAAGACACGGAATCACGGTGACATAATAGTTGTATGACCAGACGACCCACAGGCGATAGATCTGAATCAATTTCAGGGATAGCACATCTAGACGCGAGGCATACAATGACTTACGAAGAGAATATCGCAGACGATGAGCGTCGCGATCAGGAACGCCGTCTTGACGGCCTCCGTGGTGAGGGCAATGTTCTCATAGTAAAGCAACGGCGCCGCGCCTCCATGGAAGTTGACAAACGCGTCGAAGAGGCGGTAGATAGTCATTACCCAATGCTATCAAAACGCGCCAATGAGTATCGCGCACAGTGAATGAAGCTGGGTTGTACCACTCACGCCAGTAACCGTGCATGTCACAAACACCGACCCAAAGAAGACCGGGGTTATGTACTTGCGTATCACGGAGCTGCCAGAACGCTGTGCAACGGCGCGGGTGAAGTGGAGGTACATGAACGTCCCCGACAGCATGAGGAATATGCCATAGAGCACGCTCTCAAGGGCTACCGTACCCAGGTTGCAGCTGACGAGGGGAGGAGTCGACATGGCGCCCCGGAAGACCAGCGAGACGGGAATGCGGGGAGTACTCTGTTACGGAGTGCTCGGCTATGATCATTATATATCTTGCTTCGCTGGTTGCCCCGCACGCAAAAACGTCTAGCAGACGCTAAGCTCGGTGAGCAACGCGAGCAGGGCACCGAGTTTCGACCGACGTACGTGATTTCGCTCTTGGGCGGCAGACTTCATGCCGACAGCTATGGGCAGAATGGTCTCGCGGATGTAAATACCTGGTAAATACTATGATCCATCTGCGCGTCGTCAAGATCGACGTTCCGGATCAGGCTAATCAATTCACCTTCAATGCGCGAGAACGAATACCATTAGTATCGACGTCATTAAACTGGTGGTTTCTCTTACTGAGATGACCATCTCTCGTGCCATTCTCTTTGCTTGTAGGACGCTTAATGAGAGCTTGACGAAGCATCCGAGCTCACAGACAGAGTGCGGAAACGATTCGCCGAGGGACGCGACAGGGAGACCAGGAAAACAGCGGACCTACTTCGCGCCATAGATTGGGTAGGTAGACTAAGGTAGCAACCGATGCATCATAGCCCAGCTTCCTTGCCTGATACGGTGCAGAAGCCCAACAGAAGCTCTTGAGGGACCTGGTCCAAATCCGACTACCCGGGGCCTGTACTTAGGCAGATTAACTCGGTTATGAGCTCCGATGGCTAAGTGATGAGGGCCAGAGACCGCAGGAAGGACAGTAGATGCCTTTCCGCAGGATTTGGGGCTGTGTCATGGTGCTCGTCGCGGTCGTATGGGATGGTACCTACATGGTAAGTTGCAGAGTCAGATCGAAGCAGGTGCGAAGAAGCTAGGACCGCACGGACCGCAAGAACCACCGCCAACATCGTAGGATCGAAATCTGAGATCCGGGTCAGCGGCCATCAGGTCAGTCCCGGCAGCTCACCTCCGACTAACGGCCTCTAACGGCATCCCGGTTCAGGCTGCAAACGGCAAGGCGCGAGCTTGGGGAATCGGTGAAGCTTGGAAAGGCCCATCTGGATGTTCGCCAAGTCAGGCTCTTCAGTATGTTATTAGAGCAGTCAATCTTGGCGACCAAAGAGATCCGACTCGTACTACGTAATCATGATAGTACTTACTCAAGTTCCGAGGAGTTCGCATCCAATGTCCATTTGCTCTACTGTCGATGAAGAATTGATGGAAAGACTCAATGGACGCACGGATACCACCGCCCTCCTGCGCATGCGATGTGCAAGTTTGTGAATCGCGAGCTGTGACTATACGTGAGTAATATGACAGACATGCGAGCTATAATTAAGTGTAACTACTTATCAGTACAAACGAGAACGATACGTTACGCTGTAGACAACAACAAAAAGCCGAGAGCACTAGTCAATACAACGACGGAGACAGATCATACTACCACCTATACATCACATACATCCATAGCACAATCGGGCACGCTACATCAGAACGAGAACAGGTTGGGCGTGAAAGTGTCATTCTCAATACCCTCCATGCCCTCAAACAGCCCGGTCTCCTGCATGAGAGACATCCACTGGTCGCTCATCACGGCGTCTCCGGGAAGGATTGCGGCATGTTATAGGTATCGCCCAGCATCGCGTTGCCGTTGACGAAGCCATTACCGTTCGGGAATGTCGGTACGGACTGATACTGAGGGTTCGACAGCAGACTGTTGAGGAAATCCAAGTCCGCCTGAGCACCTTGGGGATAGGAATCGATGAGTGTATGGTTGTGGTCAGGGGTAGGGACTGTCGGAAAGGGGGGTACTGGCGCAGGGGCTGGTGGTGGGCAGGATGGAACTTGTAGCGCTTGAAGGTCTGCGGACTGGAAAGGCGAGTTCGACGGGACTTGTGACAGGTACATCATGAGCGCGGGATGGGGCTGGAACTCGGGCGAGGGAGAGCCCCCGCTACTGTCACTCGGTGTTTGTGCCGGCGGAGGAGTCACCGCAGAACTTGACGATGTTGGCGAATGTTGACTCGATGCCTGGCTCGCACTCCACGGACTGTCTGTGGTAGCCCGTCCAGACTTCCGTTGGCGTCTACGCGAGAGAGCTCTGCTAGGCAACACCCTCGTCTGACCTCCGAAAATCGCGAGCGCCTGTTGGTACTCCTCTGGGATCTGGGCTGGAGTCCCGTTGGTCGCCGGGTTGAGATGCCTGTCGCGATACTCTTCGTAGGCTTTTTTGGCCCGGTCGCGAATCTTCCGCAAGATCGGCTGAGAGCAAACATTAAGCGCGCATCGAACACAGAGGTTGATGCGAAATTACCAGGCCTTGTCTCGCACGAAGTGAGCTAACTGCGCCTTTCTCGAAGACTCCTACAGCGAGGTCGAGCTCCATGAGAGCGCTGGGTGTAAGGCTTGATTGCGGCATGCGTATCACGGTTGCACCGATGATGATCTGCACGGCTCGATGAGGCACCGAAAACACTCTGGACCAATCAACGCACCGCCGCGGAGAATGCATGAGTCCACATTCCCCAGAAACGGCCACAAAGTTCACTGCAACGTTCGTGATGGTGTATGAAGGATTTCAAGAGGATGGATGCACAGCGATTCGCAGCAAGGAACGAAGGTGCGTAGGGACTGGAGAGCGGGCTATTGGGGTTGTCGAGCAGAGCTTGGGCAAAGAATGTCCGATGGATATGTATCATTGCTGATCGGGGGTGTCGTGAGTATCAATTGATCCTCGTCAAAACCCAGACTCACTGAGGGAACGATAGTGCGACATGAGGTAACTCTTCATACACAAAGCAGGGTTGTTGTAATCGTCGTCGTCCGGTCGGAGGTAGAGCTTGATCGGAGGTAGCGTCATTTGACGAATCCTCCGGTCGAGATCCAGTATGGTGTTGTAAGTAGGTCCCTTGGCGGCAAGCATGCTTTCGACGATAGGGGAGTAGATGTCGCGAGAAAAGAGCATCTTGAAATGCCAATCTAACATACGGACCGCGTGCTTTAGCCAAGCTAATTGAAACCATGCACATCGCACAGGACACATACACCCTTGCATCGTGTCGCCATTGTCCGCGACGGCGGCATCCTCGTCAGTGGGAAGCTCACAGTCGATGTGCGCCAAATTGATGGACGGTGGACGACCCAGTGCGATACACTGCAGAAAGCGTCAGTTTAGCCATTTTGGCTCGGCTTTTCGAGACATACATGGATAAGTTCCAAGACGAATATCTCCCAGAACAGGTTCCGCCTCCGCTGGACATTTTTCTCCTCCATCTTCCACTGTTTACTGTCACGATCTACGAAGGCCGAACATCAAGGACTGGGCGTGTCAACAGACAGCATTGCTTACGCAGTCCGATCTAGTCGGATGGACGCATCAGCTGACAGTCAGGTACGACAAACACACACACGTACACTCTGAGCGAGTTTCGTCGCAAGCGAAGCCAAGGTCCAAGCACTTTCTATGCTGTATCGCAGGGTGCATAGACTATGGTAGGCAGCCATGAGGGTGACCGCCTGCACGGTCTCGATTTCTGGGGAATCCAATATAGACCTCATAGATAGAGCTATTCGACCCAGGCGGTAGTATTTCTCCGCCTCCGCGCTGCACGGTGGCATCGTTAAGTCAACAAGCGCACCAATAGCAAGCACCAGATATAGCACAGCGAGCAGATGGGGACAGCGAGACGAGTCCGTTCCTCCCGCACGATAGCCTGTTCTGTCGCCGGACGCGTTAGTCTTCATCGAATTATATATAGGTGTGAGGATATCGTCGATTAGCTCGTCACGCTTGATCGGTCGGCTGTACCAGGTGAAGTGCGCGAGGTACGCCTCGCAAAGGGCCGATGCACGTGGATGCATGGGTAGCAAAGCTTCCAGTTGATCCAGATAACGTTCATGACCTTCGTCCGAGAATGAGAGCGGAAACGCCAGATGCAGGTTGGCCAACTCAGCAGGCAGCTCAGGAACATCGTCCACCGCCTCTGGATTCTCCACGGGTTCTTCGTCGTTCGGCATGTTTGTCTTCAAAATGATTATTAGCAGATGACGTGAGTCATGGCATGGGAATTACCAGGAAGAGCGTCTACGGGGTTCAATACAGGTGAGTGCGATGCATAACTCTTGCATGCAGTGAGGCGCACCTCAGAGCCGCCCGATCGACCGAAGTATTTCGTCTCTCCGTGAGAACCGATCGTCAATGTGCCAAGGGCATCTATAGCTGAAGACAATGTTTCCCTCCGATGCTCGTCATCCACAGTCCGACGAACTTCCGGGCCAAATTTGATGCTCAGCAGGTCGTCCCGGAGAAGCGGATGTCGTTCATTGGAGACACCAGCTTGGAATATGGCGACGGTGTCCTCTAGCTGACGGATCCGCTCACTCATCTCGGCTATCTTGCGGTGCAATTGCTCGGTGTCGGCGAGTATGAACCTTGGTCAAGGTTTCGTCCTTGGTCGTACTGGGTTGGCACAACGTGACTCACCTGGTCCCTTGCCCGGCGGACAGACTCCCTGGAGGAGCGGGGTAATTCTAAGTTCACGTCTACAGGTGACATACCGTTCGGACAAATAGACGTGCAGCCTCTGCGGACACACGAGCCACAGGGAAGCTTCTTGTCGCACTTCAGCTTCAGCCTGCAACACTGAGCAGAGGTTCCCGAGCACAACAATGTCGTGACGCACCTCCTACATTCTGCCAAGATATCTCTCCTCGAGCTCGCTTCACTTCTATGTCTTCTTCATTATTGCTAGCTTCGTGCGCTTTCTCGTCTCTGTTCGCTCGCCGGCATAGGTAAGGCCGCAAGGCGTAGCTGTCGTCCCCTGGATGGAGTTCTGTACCGTCTGCGCTACCCTCGCCTGCCTGGGGGATCGGCCAGTCGTTACGTACGGAGGTGATGGTGCGGATGCAAGACGAAGGTCGGCCATTCCCCATCCTCCATCCTGTCCGCCCGAGCCCGGGTCACAGGAGCATGTGGCGAGTCCGACCAAGCGGAAGTCGGCAGCCACCCCGGCAGAGTAAATCGCTCAATCATCATTGGCCTCAAGTTACCGTCATTGATTTTCCGACGCACTCCGATCGTCTGAGAATGGATGTTTTTGCCGAGTCGAGTACGCACCCGCTCGAGACCCGGCAGACATACAAATGCGGGCCCCGATACAGTCGGACTACTGTCCCCAACATTTGTCTATTACATAAGGCAGTACAGTAGGAAACGGCGCAGAAATCCCGAAACGACAACAGATACCATCGAAAGCGATACATAGTACTGTACAACATTACAGCGACCGACGAGTACAAATTACAGACAATCTCCCTTGAAAGTCCGCGAGAATCCCCATGAGAACGGAAAGTGAGAAGGGAGCGGCTGAGCGGGGCTAACCCCGGCAGCGACCACATGAACATGCGCAGATCATTTGGCAGCAGCTACTCAAGTCCTGAAGTTGACGTCGTCTAGGAAGCCGGATTCGTGCATGAGAGACGTCCACCTCGCGTCAAGGTTTCCCTCCCGAGACGCAAGTCCGAGGTCCACCAGCTCCGGCGGAGGCTCATAAGGTGTGTGAACACCCTGATATGTGGCCGGACCAGAGTAGACATGACCAGGATGACGAAAGTTCTGGACGCCGCCTAGTTGCGGATGGTGGTGGTAGGATTGCATGATACCCTCGTGCTGCTGCTGCGGCACAGGGGCATGGGGAGGATTTTGGTGCGCGTCAGTCCATGGGACCTCCTGCGTCGCGTGTGGTTGAGGATATACGCCTTGTCGGTACCATTGGTCAGAGTGAGGGTACGACTGCATAGGGGTCTGCTGCTGCTGCTGTTGCTGTTGCTGTTGCTGTTGCTGTTGCTGTTGTTGCTGCAAGGTCCAGCCACCTATGTTGGCGGGACCGGGTATCGAGTAGGGCGGAGCGGCGTTTTGCTGATGTGGAAGAGGCAGGAATGACGCGTGGGATGCCAGAGAGTCAGATGATGTGGGAGAAGCCATTTGTCCTGCCTGTGCAGACGTGCCTGGGCGCGCAGGCGACAGAGAAGCGCGCCTGGGGGCGCTCGAAGCGGAGACAGTCCTGCGACCGGCGAAGATCTCCAGCTCATCTCGTTGTTCGTAGCCTTTGACATTGAAGCCAGAGCCACTGGGTATAGGCACTGTCAGCGAGGTACCTCTTGCGGCGGCCAGGGAAGCCAACGCTTTCTCTCGCAGCTTCACAATGACGCCCTATTCGAGCCGAGAATGAGGGAGACTGATCGACCGTGGTAAACGGGTGAACGGGACTCACATTCGCTCTGGCAGCGCGGCGACTGTGCTGCGAGGCCTGCGCGAAGAGTTCGCAGGCAATCTCCAGATTTGCCATGGCCTGTGGCGCCTGCGGCGATTTGGGCCCGCGAGTCGCCACCATCCCGAAGACAACCTGCCACAGAGTCAATCGAGTCCGCTACACAGGGTAAAGGGGTACACACGGCTGCTGAAAAAGCATACGTCCATATCGGCCAGATGCGCGCACACAGGCTCGGGTACATGCCAAACTGCTGTTTGACGGTCTTCAGTATGACAACCGCAGCCCTGTACGCAGTCAGGAACGAATGAGCGTATTCGCTCTTGACTGGGTTCATTGGACAGTCCATAATCGCCTGCGCGAAGAACGTCCGGTGGATGTACATCAAGACTGTTCTATACTTAGATGAGCCAGTCCAACGCGGTAGCCTAAATTTGACTCACGGACTTCCCGGCAATGAGCCATCACCATACTCTCCATCGAGTTGATCACCGTGGGGGGCTCGCTATCTGGTGGGGGGGCCAAGTCTTCCAGAATGGCTACTGCTTCCGGCGGTAATTGGAAGTCGCGAACGTGTCGATCCAGCTCCATGATTGTCTCGTAGGTTGGCGGCTCCGCTGCAAGGGTCTTCATGGCAACTTCGGCGACACACTCGTATGAGAATCGCATGAAGAACTCCTCAACTGAATGTCATATAGTGAGCGACGGTCGCAATAGCACACGGCATTCAACACGGAGGAACTCACAGACTGTGTCCATGTCGTCCCTCTCGATAAGATCGTGTGCCTGGGCAGCCTGGCAATCGACATAATTGCGGCTAAAGTTGGGTGGTCGTCCCGTGCCCAGAGACTGGGAACAGTTCCGTTGGGTGAGATACTGTCTCATAGACCACACCACGCACCTGCCACGCATCTGCCTCGAAGATGTTCCAGAATAGGAGACGGCGTCGGTAGACGATCTTTTCGGGTAGACCCCATCGCGAACTATCCCGATCTGCGGCAGGTCAGGGACATACGGAAGACACGATAGCAGAGTACCCACGAAGACCAAGCTGAGGTGACGATGCATCAGTACAGCCACTATTCAAGGACAACTTATACTTACAATCTGACTAATTTGAGCAGCTAGGGATAGTTCGCCCCAGGAAATCTCCATGGACATGCTGTCGGGCCTTGATTCGTCTTCAGCCATGCCATTATAGATGCTGAACAGGTGCAGCGCCTGAACCGTGGTTAGGGATGGCTTGACCCATACGGACTTCAGGCTCATCGCAGCGCGGGCGAGCCTTTCGTATTTCGCTGCTTCCGTACTCTCAGGCTCGTGGTTGAAGTCTACTAGACAGCCAATGGCAAAAATGAGATACAGAAGCGCGAGGTCGTGAGGGTTGCTGTATTCAACTGGAGCGCCATCTTCAGTCTCGACGGGTTGGCCATAGATGAAGGGCACCATCTCGCCCATGATCTGCTCCGTTGTGACCCCCCTAAATAGCCATGCCGCGTGTTCCACGTATAACTCCGCCAGGCGGCATGCTCTCTCGTGAGAGGGTAACTGCTCGAGCAGCGATTCATGCACATCCGAAGATGCCCCCGCAAATGAAAAAGGGAATGAGTCCGAAGCTCGCAAGACTCGCTCCGACATTGGAGGACTTCTTGAGTTGCGCGGTGAATCGGCTGGGTCACTGTCGTCCCATGTAGAGGATCCGGACGGATCGCGGTCGTCCTAATTTGCGGGTTAGTGGGCTACGCAATGTCCAAGGCGTATGGCCTTACCACCAGCAAATACTACAATCGGGTTAGCAGGACAAGTGATGTTTGCATCGCGAAGCTCACCTCTGAGCCTCCCGTAGGACCAAAGAAGGTTGAGGAGGCACCGTAATCCGACAGAGACAACATCCCGAAGGAGTCTAGCATAGTCCGTGAGCCGATGGGTATTTGTTCTGTCATAGGTGGGTCTTGCTTCATGACGGGGATATCGCCGTCCACGAGTAGTGGATGGGGCTGGTCGCTACACTTGGCTTGAACAATCGCGAGCGCATCTTCCAATTCCCTTATCCTCTCACTCATCTTCGCGACTCGGCGGTGCAGATGCTCTGTGGCAGCAAGGACGAACCTGCGATGGGGACGTCAGAGAAGGCCCCGCGATTGTAGCATAGACATCTGACCGAGTTCCTTGACCCGTCGCGAGGCTCCCTATGGCATGTCAGACTGACGTAAAGTTCCGCACAGGGAGCACACACCGTTCGGACATAACGCTGCACATCCCCTCCGCTACGGCCACAGTGAGTCTCCTGTTTTGCGGAGGCATGATGAGCGCTCCCGTACCTGACACGACTGGCATGGGATTGTCTTGTCACAGCGAATCTGGCGATCACATTCAGGATGTACTAGCGTCGGGACTGCGCAGACTGCGTACCTTGAGCCTGGGTGCGGAATGCGGAACGAGTCTGTGAGATTGTGAGTCGAGGAAACGCGATGATCGCACCTGCGACACTCGGCACACGAGATTTCGCCTCTGCTGCGCTTGAGCTCGATCTCGCGCGCATAGGTGCTGCTCTCGGACTTGAGCTCCTCGCTATCCTTGCGGGCAGCGCGACGCTGGCGGGACGCCGAGTTCTGCTTGATGGGAGGGTCTGGGGGCATGGAGAGGAGGGCCGGCGCGGGGACGCAGTGTGCGCGAAATGAACTCAGCAATCGCAGATCTGAGATCTGGGAGTCGGGACGGAGGCACAATCACTCGGGTCGAGCCAAGGTCGAGCGATGAACGGACGGTTCGTGCAGCGGAAAGGCTCTTATACCGCGCGCCGACCGCCCATGCCCTCCACCTTCCCTCGCTCGCCAAACGTTAATCTCCCCGCCGGGCCACCACGTCTCGGTCCAGCCAGCACGCGAAACCATCCTCTGATCTGGTGCCTTTCTTGACGTTCCTGAGAATCCCAGCCATGTGTTCGCAGCATGGGTACTTTCCGTGCGCTCCCACCGGTCGGCCCATCACCCCCGTCTTCTATGGTGATTTCGTGCATGTCGTCTGCCATTCACAAAACTGCACTAATTATTTGACAACCCTGAGCAGCAGTAGCGACGCGCAATGCCCAGTCGTGCACTGGGTCATTGGGGCTCCCTCGGCGAGCTTCGTTGCTCGGCAGAGTGACAGGGAATGTATGTCGGCAGGCAGAGATAACTTATGTCCGGCGATTGTTGCTTGATGGGGCGCCAGCAAGAAGCAACACCGAGCTAAGTTAGGGTGGGTCTCTGGGTTGGAAAGCGGAGTCACCGGTGGTTTCTTCTTCTGACTAATATCCCGAGTACAGTGACCGTTCTGTCTCGCCCTCCAACATCACGACTTCCACACAGGCTGAAGCGTTGATCCGGGAAGGAGGTCGGTGGTAGGTTTTGAATTTAAATGCCTCCAAAGGGACGGAATGTCTCATTCTGCACTGCGGTCAGCGAGTCCACAGGAACAAGACAACTCCCTAGAAGCATAGGGCGTCGGCGTCCCAACGTAGTGTGTCCGACATAATCGCACGAATCAGTGGGCGTTGTGTCCTTTCGCAGCCTATCTCTTGTCAAGCCGGTGTGTCATAATGGACACGTCGACGTAAAGAAACAACACTCACCCTCCACAGCGCCTCATAGAACCAAGCGACTGGCATGGACACCGAAGAGCCTATAATCACTGCCCGGGTTTGCGTCACTCCAGTCATCATCACAAGCGGCTACCAGCACGGATAAGTCTGGTGCAGACCGGATTCCTGGTATCTTCAGTGTGGTAGTATTAACGGGAGAAGGCAAGTGTTCGGGATTTTATGAGTTGGAAACCCTTCTGGACAAGCATAGCGACGACTTACGGCTACCTTCCAGCTTCCATTCTGTGGCCTGGGTGATATCAGAGCACACGGGAATAGCCTCGCCGCAGACACGTTCTAGCTGCTTGGGGGCGTTCTCAACTTAATCAAACTTCAGGGTCTTCACACACGCATTGAAGGGTACATCGGCGACACAGGTGTAGATGCTCCTGCGTCACTTCCTCGACAGTCTTGTCCCAAGCAAACAGTGCGCACTTGTGCCCTAGGGTAGGTATCCGCGTAATTTCGGAAGTACCAGAAACGAATGTCATGCATAACCACTACCTTCCGCCATTACCTGCGGGCTGCGGCTGACTGCAATGTCATTCTCACTTGGTCTGAGCCCAGAACCGCGAAGATGTAACAACAAAAGGGCTCCGTGGGTTCCGAGTTGAATGTCGCTGTGGGGCTACCGAGCTTGGGCAGGGTGAGTGTCGGGCCCGGGCTTTATCGCCAGGAACAATTCATTCGAGGTCAACACAGTGCGGTCGCGCTGCATGATCCGTTCAGTACACGATAAGTAATCTAGTTGTACAGCGGGAGAAAAGCCGCGCTGCGGCGCTCTCGGGGTTCAGGTTGGGTTCAGGTGGAGTAAAAGCCGGAGTCGCTGAAGCACTCCGCGGGGTTGGATGGTGTCTGTAGTCGTACAACATCTACAGGTGATCGAGTGATGGGTTAGCGAGATTAAGCTTGATCGAAAATGCCATCTTACTGAAATAAGTATGTGCCATCGCTTCAGCCGCTGTCAGTCGTTCTCGATGATCATATCGTAGCAGCTTGTCAAGTAGGTCGAGAGCCTCTGACGATGTTGTTGCCCGATTCTCTTGCGTGATAAACCGTGCCCAAGGTTGTCGTGCATGTCTGGAGATATGTCTATAGCACATCGGCCACTGAAGCACCATATGACGTACTGTTGCACGAGTTCGTCATTCACGTTGACGAGGCAGAGGTTGTAGGTGAACAAGTACTGTTCGAAGCTGTCCGTGCCAAGCACTTTCACGATCTTCAAGAGCTGGTCCTCGTTATCTCTCCCACGGAAGAAGGCCTCCTTGCGGAACAACTGACAACGAGAAACGATCAAACACTAAGCGAGACAAGTGCTCGGATGACACACACCAAGGCGGCCAGTATACAGCCGACGCTCCACAGGTCGAGACTGTAGTCGTATGTCTTGTAGCTGACGAGTAATTCGGGACTTTTCCAATATCTGGAGCCCACTCGCGGAGGGTACTCGGTGCCAGGGTGATAGAACTCGGCAAGACCCCAGTCAATAAGCCTCAGCTGGTACGAGATGATTAGCCACTGAGACCATTCTGCCATCGCACCGACCTACCTTGCGCTTTTCGCGATCGAACATGATGTTACCCGGCTTCACATCCCGGTGCATGATACCACGCGAATGCGCGAAGTCCAAAGCCTGGATCGTAGGTGTGAGTGGACCATGACACGACGGGCGGCTACATACCCTTAGCAGCTGGAATAGATATTGCTTGATCTCCACTTCAGTCAAGGAGCGGTATATGTCCTTCCAGTCCGAATTTCTGACATACTCCATGACCAAACTATGGGAGCGTGACGGGTGGTCGCGCACGACGTCTACAAGGCCGACAATGTTTGGGCCACCGGAGAGATTACGCAGGATCTTAATCTCCCGTTTGATCTTCCTCTTCGCTACCGGCTTCAGCACTTTGATGACCACGGCATCCTCGTTCGAAGAGTCGACGCCCTCAAAGACCTGCACAACAGTCGACGATGTCAGTCTATGAGATAACCGTCTGTACGGGGCTGATGCTCACCTCGGAGTACTTGCCACCGCCGATCCGCCGAGTGATCTCGTACCGATCTGGCACGTTCCACTCTATCTTCGTGCTTTCTGCGAGAGAAGCTTTCATTGAAGATCTACAGTGGATAGGAAACTTAGGTTTACGGACCAAATTCGTACCACGCAGGACCGAGCATCGCGTTCACGTCGGCATACACACGAGCCATGGTCTCTGCCGCGAGTCAGTGCCGTAGTTAGTGTAGTGGATGTGTGCTGATCGGTGCTGTTTGGGAGAGGATCAGAGACTATTGAGAGCGGATGCTATCCGCGACCTTAGCGGCGAATGTCAAGAGACATTGTGGCACAGGAGTACGACCGACGAAGGGCATGTCAACGACATGCGGCAGTGGCATGATGTTCGCCCTACAAAGAAGGCAATGATGGACCGCTGAAGACGACTGGTCAGAGCCTGGGGTCGCACGGGTGGCCTAGAGACGCTAGTGAACTTTACTCGGTGTTGCGAAAGTGACACAAATGACCCACGATTGAGAGCCATTGATTGGAAGTTCAAGGCGATATAAACGTCGAGATCATTGTGAACTGGAACAGTGGAAGTATGTCTCAGCCGAAGGTGTAGGAGAACAAACACGCACAAACAGCAACCGGTATATTCGCTCGTAGACGCTCGGTGTCTCTGGAACTTGGCGCCAACATGGCACAGCGCGCCTCCTCGCTGCTCGTTGGCTGCTCGTATACGCTTGGACTGTTCAGTGGAAGTGAGCGGCAGCTTTGAGAATGCATCGCGAGGCTGTCTATGAAAAGGCAAATCGCGACTCTGTCAGTAAGCAGAGGACGGAGCCATGGCTTCCGGAATTCGCCGTGGAAACGGCAAGCCCCAGCAACTCCCAGGGCGTGTTTATGAAAAGCGTGCGTGCAGCATGGCCCGCAGGTTGCTTGCCGTCTACCACATTGCTTGACCAGCAGAGCATGCGTTGGATACTGACGCCTGTTCTTACCACCTAGACTCTCCTATTGCTACACGATACCCACCCTAGATCCTAAAGTCCTTTTGTCATGGCTCCGCTATTCGAGACCGCGAAGGTACCACTTTTCGGTTCCAGTGCTTTTCCTTTCTCATAGACTCTAACCATGACTAGTCGTTCGTTGATGTCCCTATCACGGAAGACGGGGTCGAGACTGCGTCCTTTCTCGTGGCGACGACCGACTTCCTCAATATGTTCGGTACGATGGTCATCTCCGCCACTAGCACTGATGCCATATCCGATGATTCGTAACTCTCGCAGATCTACTGGGCCACGGAGTCTTCGGCTTTGTTCAGTCGGACTTGAGGGGAAACCTCGCTGTCAGTTTTGACGACGATACAATTTGTCCCTTGGATTTGACTGATGATTCATTGTAGGGTGTGCGCACTCGATACGAAGCAACGCCCTCACAGTCGACGACCCTCGAGAAGCTTGTAATATGCGCAACCGAAGACAAAGAGCGGCACTCAGTTCCCTGTCTCGTGCGGCTCATACGGTAAGCTACATTTTCTTGCCCTGACATCTCGGCTCGGCCGGTGATTCTCATGTATGTAATCTCACTCGTCTTTGACATATCTAGTGGTCTTCTGTTCACATGCCAGGCACTGCAGAACATGCAGAGCGATAAGTCGACGGAGCTACATGTCTGCTTCAAGAGGTCATATGACGTGGTCTTGAAGCACCACCACACGTTCATTATTCGGTCGGCTGTTGCAGTACGTGTCTATATTCGTGTCCGCGTCTCATTCTATCTGATTGTCGGACACCCGCTCGCACATCCGTGCTTCTATCTATCTATCGTCTACGCCACGGCGATTCAATTATTAGGTGGCGATGAGAGCCATTCCATATCGCCATGACTTCTACACCGCTTGTCTCAAGGAGGATCGCACGAGAAATTTGACTCCGAGCTGGCGAAGTGGCTCGATGCACTGGACATCATAGTCAAGCGGGTGAAGACCTTCCTGGAGGAAGGAGGCTACGGCAGGGTCTGAGCCGAGGCACATAATCAGTGTCATGACTTCCTCGAGTGGACTGATCGTCATACCATTGCAATATAGGCAACTCACATACCGGAACATTGTTACACTGTTTGCCGGTGGCGTGTCGGAGGAAGGCAGTCGCTCAACTAAACAGTCTACAGGACGAGGACTCCAGCTGAGATCCACGACGTCAAGCTGTTCAGAAGCACTATACGGTAGGAATTGATCGTCGTTATTCCGGAAGACAGGTCAACACATACCGTCTGGGTTGTTGACATCTCACCATGTGCAAGAATGCGCGGAAACAAGTTAGACTGCAACGAATTCATTGATTGCGTACCAGAAACGGTAGCTCCAAGTCAGATATGTCTGCACACGTACGACGGTTTACTTTGCTGATACTTCTCGCTTTGACATTGTAGATGCACAACACTAGGTAGCCCATCTCATGCAAAGTTGTCGACGTGACGCTATGACAGCTGTCATTGATGTCAACAGTGGCGGGCCTCCGAAGAGATGCTGCTCGACAGCGTTTCTTCGCGTAAGACTCACTGTATCGGCGCGCCTGGGAAGCAATGGGTAAGAGACATTGAAATGGGCCGGTGATTTTCGCCCCGTGCAGCTGGTACGTGAGCGAACGCGAATGGACGTCGTAGGATCATTTTCCACAGATTGAATCTTGACGGTGCGACAGAATCCCTGCCACAATAGGCAGATCATGGTTTTGGGTGGACGGGAAGTCCCACACCGACGCTGGTGACCGGAACTGTGATGAATGAAGAGCTTGAGCTAGGCAGTTCTTTGCCGTTCTGGTCTTCAATTAAACTTATCGACCGGGCGCTTCGTGGCCGTGGTGACTATTCCGCGACTAGAGATCCGCCGAGGGGCGGGCTTATGAGCTGGCGGTGCCACGACGCCGAGACGTCGCAGCTGCGACCGTTGCGAAATGCGACATTTTCGGCTAGCGAGACATTGGAGAGGAAGACAAATGGCCGGGTGGCACCAAGACCACATGGTCTCGATCATGAATCAGGAGGGTTCCCATATTTGGCCGAGGGACAGCTTGTTCGGTGGTATTTTGATCTTAGTCCTGGGAATGTTGTTCTTTCTGTTTTCCGGAATTCCGGAATTTTCAATTCAATGTTGTCGCTTCTTTGTCGTGAAGCCATATATTATATCTCATCGTTCACGTCAACCCTACTCCTCCTCCTTCTGACCACCATCCCTGATTCCGCTGCAGTGTCGCCCGCCTTCGTTGGCTCGGCCCAGTCTTGAACCACTCGTTCTGCGCGACCTCGCTCAGATCGCGATAGTCAGAAAGTGCGAACGCGTGCTCGTGGCGTAAATCTTACTCCGAACTTATAATCGAACCTTCTTCCCTCCCGCCCAGATGATAACCAAGGCGATGTCCCCAGCTGCGATGTATGTGCTTTATATCATTTTGTGAAACCCTCTAACCGTGTTATGTGGTGCAGCACGCCGCAGAAGCGGAAGGGACGCCATTCGCAGGAAGAAGCGACCCCCGATGCGAGTGATGCGCCTAGAGAGTCCTCTGAGGCTCTGAGCGATGACAGTGAAGCCCGGCCACCAAAAAATGAATACGAGACGGGTCGCGTCAAATGCGAAGGATGCGGTGAAGAGGTCTCGTTCAGAGACGAAGCCACGGGCGGCTTTACCCTTCAACTTTGGGATTCGCACCGACTTAAGTGGTCAGTCAAGATAAACAGGATACTCTCACAGCCTGATGCAGATACCCTTTTAGTCCCAACAGTTCGCAGCCACAAATAGCTCAATCCTTGGCGCAATCGGCGCAAACGAGGCAGTCAGCAGACACTTCCGTTGACACAGAGCCCCAGGCAAAGCGGAGACGATCGAAGCGAACTGAAGAAGAACGCATTGATTATCTGCGCAACGACCCCTATGTCGCACAGTTCGAAGCCTATCGCGTGTTGTGCGCATGTTGTGACAAGTGGATTCGGCTTCGACCGAATTCGACGTACTGTTCCATACCATGGGACGCTCACCGTAAGAGCTGTCTCGCAAAGAAGGCGTGAGTCGCAGACTCTGTGATCGTCGGCTGTTTACTTATGTGCAACTCAGTAAATACTTCCCGGCCGGCGCGAAGACGGTTTGCGACGATCGTGGTATCATCTTTGCTGCAGATCCCAATGTCCGCAAATTCGACTCGGAGCGCGTGCTATGCAGAAACTGCGAAGGCTGGGTCAACATCGGCATTGTCGACAATGCGCAAGCTTCTACAATATGGGCCGAGCACCGCGGTTCCTGCCAACGAAACGTCTTCTATGGTCAGGGAAGCAGTGGCATGGTAATGAGGTATGTGGCGTGGTGATATAGTGAATGGGTTCCTCCAATACGAAACGATGCGACAGTGTCACCGTCAACCCTGCCATTCAGGACGTGCCCCCACCGCCGAAGCATCTGCTTGCCTTGGCGTCTTCATCTTCCCTTCCGCCTCCCGTTCTTGCACCGGTTAACGGTACAGGAGCTTCCTCCCCCGCAACTGGTAGCTCGGTCGCGGTCCTTACTACTCCGTCGTTCAAGGATTACAGTCCAACGAACCAGGAGTCTCGACGCCGTACTGCGGAGCAACGGGCCGCCCAACTCCGGGCTGATCCTCTCGTTGGCGAGGTCGAGCCTACTCGCGTCTTCTGCACTATGTGCCACAAATGGGTGCAGCTCCGGCAAGACAGTACATACTGTTCTTATCCCTGGGAGCAGCACCGAGACAAATGTCTCAAGCGGCAGTACGTGTGTGTATGGCTAAGGGAGTGGTGCCATTAGCTAAAGGACTTGTCCACTTAGGCAGACGCGTTCCCAAAAGGACAGCGAATTGAGACACCCCGGCGGTAGTCCGCTCTCAATGGGACCTTCCGATGTCGCCATGCGTTCGGAGGGGACTACCGCACTGGGGGACGCTGAATCCGAGGAGGGCGTGGAGTCCATGGACGATGGGGAAAGGCCGCTGCATTGGACGGTGCGTCGTGAGGTAAACGACGTGCAGGCTGCAGCGAGGCCTACCGCACGAGCGTCCGTGAGGCCTGGTGTAGGTCCTCGAGGCTCCTCCTCATCGACCATCGATGGGTCAGAAGGTCCTGCGGGCCCATGGGCTGACAAGATGGATGTCGACCGTTTTCCTTCGCGTCTGTCCGACCTTCAGACACCAAAGGGGCGGTATGTCATCGAGTCTACTAGACGAATGCAACGCTGACTTTCCGTACTGTAGGCTGGACTATACCTTCCGTGCAGTTATGCATCTCTTCAACTCGACATATGAGCCGACGGACGAGCTGACCATCGCCGCGCTCGTTACCTACCTCAACGCCGCGCTGCCGCCCGACAAGCATGAGGATTTCGACACTGCTGAAGTGACGAAGGCGGCCATGGCGATGCAGGCACGTGGTCATTTTGTTTTTGAGGGCGACGTCCTTCGCAAGAGGAACTAGGCAAACTGTATTCTGTTCTTGCTCCGACACCACGGACTGTTTAGTAAACCATCTTGCCACACGTACTCAACATTTGAACGGTCATGGACTCCTCTCTGATCTCATCTTGGCTCCGAGCATGTCCGATATATGGTCGGGATGTTTTCGTCGAATTCTCAGTCATACAAAAATTGCATCATCCCACACGTCACGTAGTCTTGTACAATTGCATCAATATTAACGCGTTCAGTACGTCGTGGTTCTGTGACCGTAGCGTGCAGTGTGAGCGGCCCGGGCAATGAGAGGACTTTGTGGAGGGACGGAATATCTCGATACATCAGAGGCCCTGGGGCGGTTATTTGGCCTGTCATCGGTGTCTTCTCGATTCGCGATACACTTGGGAGACTCGAAGAGGAAACGAGGTAACTTGCGAGTTAAGTCGTCTCGGATGCGAAACCGTTCCTGAGCGATTTCATGAGCATCGGAGCTAAGAGATGCTGATGACTATGCCGAAGGCAACGCACGACAGTATTCACAACATTCCCCCGTCTGACCTGAAAGACACCACTATGCCATGTCTGTTCTGCCCATCGACCCACAAATATTGAGGACCTTCAGCGCTCCGCACTGAGTACGTCGCGGAAGAGTGCTTGTCTAGGCTATTTGTCCTTCGTGGCGAATGCAGTGGCGCACTAGCCGTTGGACCTAGAACACACAGGGCGATGTCCACGACTCGTACGAGTCTTTCCGGCGTTGGGAAAGCTGACCGGAGCGCTCGCATGATGACATCACCTAGTGGCCGCGGACATAGAGGCGCACACTGTAGTAATTAGTCTCTCGCTGCGCGCGATGCGCACATACAACGGGTCAGAGGCGTGGTCGTTGTGTTACGGATGTCACCTAATTGTGACACCGTTGGCAGTCGCGACAGATGGGGAGAAGAATGCAGACATACCGGATCCGTGGCGCACAGCTGCAGTGCGGATACGGAGCCCATGCTACGCAGCGCTGCGACAGCTGTCGGAGCCATTAAGCCGCTGTACTTGTTCGGTCGACCTCACCGATCATGGAGGTGACGCCCGGTTGCGTGTTTGAGTCTAGCGTGCATGCGCGCGGTAGGCGGAAGTCGGTGCAATGGGCGCAGTTTTTATTATGCTGCAACTTCGCAAAGGGACCTAAGCTTGCAACAGACGCAATACGGTTCTGAGCGGTGGCTAGTAGTACCGGAGATGGATCCATCCGGAGTTGCGGGCGTAGTGGTTGACTAACCAATTGAGCGATGTTGCGCGCATGTTTCTCCTAGATCTGACGCTCAGATGTCAAATTTGTGATGATCGTGGCGACGGATCGCGTGCATGTTGTAGTGCCGCGCGGAGACAACATATACCCGGGGACGAGACAAGGCGACCGCAGGGCGAAAATAGATTGGTGGCTGGGACGTACATCAGTTGAGTTCTACTGTCGGGAGGCATTCACCGGGCGTCGTCGGAATCCCCAAGTCACAGCGACGATAGTCACCGGCGCTGGACGATGCTGCATAGGTCACGCCGGTTGTTGTGAGAATCAAGAGCTTGGTCGAGTCAAGTCCGAGCCTGAAACATCCTATCGTAAGCACATGCATACTGCCTTCATGCCACCGGGAGACTACTCAACTGAGCCATTCGGTCATAGAAAAACTCCCTTTGAGCCTCATATGATATTTCCGGCCGCCAGGTACGGCCCTCTTCTGAGCTCTCACTCGCGACAGATCGAAGGCTATGAGCGCGGTTTGAGCAATACGTCAACACAATTACAAAAAGAATTGATTTCACGAACGTGTATACCACTGCTTGTCTTCTTCGTTCTGATCCACTGAGAAGTTGATGGCGAATCTCGAACCCAACTTGAAGCGACACCCGGTGCTTGAACGTGTGCACTCAACCTGAGCTTCTAGCAGGCAAGTATGAGGGTTTCTACACGAGAGCCGCCAGAATGTGGCAAAATCATTGTAAATTTGCAGAAGTCTGCGCCAGACAGGCGGACTCCTTCGGCCCAGTCTGAGTACATAGTGCATTGTCATTGCTCCTTGGAGTCCGAGTCTCTCGGACGTGGAATGCACTTCGCATTTCCAACGACCGGCAGGAACAGTAATCTTGAGCTTGTTCCGTTATACAAATCATGTAGAATGCAACAGTCGACACATCTCGAGCACTCGACACTGCCACGGCATGCCAGAATTAGTGAGCAGTCAGATCATCCCAGTGTCACTCACAACTTGCGGAACCGATGGCGTCAGGGACACATGAATGCCATGGCCTAGTGCACCCATAGTTAGACCTATTTGTTATAAAACGGTACAACCGCATTCTGCTGTGCCTGTGCTCTACCAATTGCACCGTGACCGACATCGTGAACTACGGTGGAGTTCACTGCAATGGTGCAGACCAGTCATAGATTGCCGCCAAACGGGACGGAACTGCAGAGTTTGACGCGTAACTAAGTGTTAGCACCGCTCGAATGCGACGTTGCCTCTGGTCAGGGGTCTCGGAGAGATGGCGACAGCAGTTCAGACGAGTATGAGGCAGCCTTGGTCGCCCGCCGGGCCATTAGCACGATCTACGCATCCTGCCGGTCCTCGTCGGTGTTGCCATAATGGGATATCGGCGTCGCTCGGCAACTCGGCGCGCCTTCATCAGAGGCCGCTGAGTTTCACGCTCACATCTCGAGATTGTCCTGACGACGCGCTCCGGAGCCTGAGCTTGGCCTGAGCGCATACTTGGTATACTGCCTTTAGTTCACCAAACTGCACGAAACAGCTCGGGGCGCCATGCTCCTGTATGGATACGCCGTGTCATAGAGAGTTAAGTCAGTTGTCCTGTTCCTTTTATGCCGTTCCGGGCCTGAACTGACTACACCAATGTTTCAGTACAACCACTGCGTATGTCGCTGTCAACGCTTGAGCATAGCACAGTGCATTATGCATCACTGCGGCGAGACTATGTCTAATTGGGCGACGGTCTGTCCATTCCGCTTAACTCGATCAGGTCACCGGCCTTAGTCCGCCTCACAGTGGTAACTACCGGCGTACACTATGACTTGGTAAAACATGCCAGTTTCGAAGGCACCATCTAGCTTTCTGAATGCAATCCAAACAAGCGTCGATGGTCACCACATCTGGTACTACTCGCTGGAATTTGGGCGGGGGATCTGCTGAGCTTCCCGAAGATCTGATTTCAGGTAGGAAATACCGGTGTCAGAGTTTCAGAGAAACCGCCATGCAGTCAAGAGCGTAGCGCAGAGGCCCTGCTGCATGAATAAGCTACGTGAATATCCTATTTCCATATCCTTGTACTGGTTGAGTAGTATGCAGATCACAGTGCTGTAGTCGTCGACGCCGTCGCTGCGGCTTTGCTGCCGAGTTCTCCAAATCCAGCGGTACACAGCGCCCCAAACGTCTGTCACTGTCGACGCCGATGGCAGTCTGTGTGTCAGTCGGTTTGGTGCCTCCGTCGGGCAATGGATGCTAAACTACTCTGAGCTGGGTACCGTGCGGTTCCGAGCGCTGCTGCTTGTCCAGTACAGCCGCGATTCTTGGTAACAGGTACGCCGTGTCACTTTGTCCCAGACGACTGACTCTGTGCTCGACTTGCAGCCATGTCAAGATTTCCCTGTGCCTCTTCATTACAGCACACCCAACGCGTAACGGACAGCATTGGCTATGATACTGCTCCTCGGCGCCCCAGTTCGTTGGTATAAAGAGCAGAGGCAAATATGCCTCATCCTCAGTCTCATTCAGATTCTCAATCGCTCATACAGCCTAGAGATGACTTTCTCTACTCTTTCGTTCGCTCTCGCAGCTCTTGGGCTCGCAACCGCCGCCTCCGCACAGATTGGACCCATTACAGATCTAGATATAATCAACGCAGAGGTCAACCTCGATGGTTTCCCGCGACAGGCCGTGCTCGCTGGTGGAACGTTCCCTGGGCCCACTATCAGTGGAAACAAGGCAGGTACCAGCTCAATGCAGTGTTGTTCCATGAACTAATTGGCTCTCGTAGGGGGACAACTTCCAAATCAACGTCCACAATTCCCTCACTAATGAGACCATGGACAAGACCACTACTATTGTCAGTTCATGTCTTCTACATCGGTTTGTTGGTTTCTGACGTCGTACATGTGATTCCTCAGCATTGGCATGGCATATTCCAACACCACACTAATTGGGCAGACGGACCAGCATTCGTGACTCAGTGTCCGATTGCCTCCGGTAATTCCTTCCTGTACGACTTCGATGTCCCTGATCAAGCCGGTAAGTGTCAGTCCACTAGAAATTTTCATGTATACCAATCCAGCCGTTTCAGGTACATTCTGGTACCATAGTCACTTGGGGACCCAATATTGCGATGGCCTTCGCGGACCGTTTGTCGTGTACGATCCGGAGGACCCTCACAAAGACTTGTACGATGTAGATGATGGTGAGTTTCGACGCTTCCACTCCGAGGAACCTCACTCATGACGCGAATGATACAGAAACTACCATCATAACGCTTGCAGATTGGTACCACGAGGCTGCCGCCCTGATCACCCCGCCAGCGTGAGTAGAACGAGTGTCTATGATCGATGGAGTCGTCGATGCTCAGAGTTTCGGCGCTTTACAGGGACCCCGATTCCGTCCTCATCAATGGTCGTGGTCGTCAGGCGAATGACACGATCCCGCCACTGACTGTCATCAACGTCGAGCACGGCAAACGGTATGTCTATGTTGTCTTGGCCCATCAAACATAAACTGACGTCTAGCAGGTACCGCATCCGTCTCATCTCCATTTCGTGTGACCCGTACTTCAACTTCACCATCGACGGCCACAATTTCACCATCATTGAGGCCGACGGCGAGAACACGGTGCCGTTGCCTGGAATCGATGAGATTCAAATCTTTGCGGCTCAGCGGTACTCCTTCATCGTGCGTCATATGTCTACTTGCCTGAACAGACTGACTGACGCTTGGTGATGCGCAGCTTGACGCCAGCCAGCCTATCGACAACTACTGGATTCACGTCATCCCGGAGCAGGTCGGTGGAAATGGATCCGTTCCTACTCCCCCCGGTCTGGCTGTCCTTCACTATATTGGAGCACCTGAAGTAGACCCTAAAGCCAACGCTACCGAAGTCCCGACGCCTGAGAACCCTCTTTTCGAGCCGAACTTGCACGCGCTTGACGGACCTGCGGTACGTTGCCATGCTCCGACTCTACTCATGTACGCACGGTTGCTGACACAAGCCCCCCGTTGTTACAGCCTGGCGACCTTGACCCGGACTGCGCGGAATGCGATCTCGTGCTCAACTTCTCATTCGTAAGCGCTCTTCTACATGCAATGCGGTTCTACCGAGGCTTATGATATGTTCGAACACCTAGACCGCGCCAAGGTTCTATGTGAATAACGTCACCTTCGTGAACCCGACTGTCCCCGTGCTGCTCCAGATCCTTCACGGGAACTACACCGCTCAGGACCTCATGCCGGAGGGAAGCGTCTACGTTCTGCCGCGCAACAAGACGATCCAGATTACTATGCCCGGAGGCGTCTTGAACATCACGCATCCGCTTCACTTGCACGGCGTGAGTGTTACTGGCGTCTGACACTCCCTGCGACTCTGACATAGTTCCGTTCCAGCATTCGTTCTCCGTCATCAGGAGCGCCGGAAGCAATGTAACGAACTTGCAGAACCCTGTCCGTCGTGACACCGTCAGTATCGGGTCGGCCGACACAGACGAGGTCACCATCCGGTTCACGGTAAGCCGCACTCCTCTGCATCTGCATCTTCCGTGTCATTTCTAATCGTCCCTAGACCGATAACCCCGGCCCCTGGTTCTTGCATTGCCACATCGATTTCCACCTTGCGGCCGGCTTTGCAGTGGTCATGGCTGAGGACCCTACGGACGTTGCGAGCTACGTGGCGCCTGTCCCTCGTAAGTTTGGCAGTTGCACCACTCTACAACCGTACTGACGTGTCCTTTCTTCAGCCGCTTGGGACCAACTCTGCCCTATATACGACGCTCTGCCTTCCACTGCGCAGATCCTGACACCCCAGGCCGCCAACTTGAGCACGTACAGCGTTTCAGTCTCACACTAAGAAGACCACACCTTCTCTTGTACTGGACAATCATCTTGGATATCAGTTATTTAAAGTGCTTCGGCAATCTCCTCTCTCTTCGTTCTTCTCGGTGCTCTTCCGCATTAATCTCCCTCTAGTACTGAGCGTAGTCTCAAGGTAGTATCGATTGTAAATCTGTGTCTCGGGACTGCTAATTGGATAGCTGTAGTCCATCGTTAGATCGTACTTACATACACTGTAATTTTCGCAGTTGAATATAATCACGGTTCTTTCGCTGCGATATCACATTCGGGGACCAAGCTTCTATTCAACCCATCCGTTCGCAAGGATCCGACCTTTATTAAGTCATTCGCTGTAAGATCGCAAGAGAGCGCGGAAGGCGAATGAAGGTGACTGTCATAGTTGAGTACGACGATCATGACGTCGTCGCTGCTGTGGTATCTGCTGCCAGTGAGATGCCATCACAACGATCCGTGATAACAATGACTTCCAGGTGGTACACTGAGTAGCTATGTCACAGGTAGTATGTCCATATAGTACACATACAACTGCAGGGATCCAGTATAATCGCGCAAGCACATATAAAATGCAGGATCGTGAAGACGTGTACTCATGAGCGCCGCCTACACGAACGTCCGCCCCATGCCATCGCACACAGAACAAGTCTGCTCGTCAAAATCAGAATGTGGTGATCCCAGATCCGCCACACCGCCAGCACAACCGTCCACCTAGCCTTGGGTCTCCAGGACGCATGACCGTCGCACCTGGCGGCGGGTTGTCAGCTAACCTCACAGTGGGTGGTGGGCGCCCTGTGCGGAATCGAGGTAAAGCCCCATCGGGATGCCACCGCCTGCGACCGGGATCATGCGCGACGAACTGCCTCCGGAGTAGCCGCCGGGTGGACGCGATTGGGATGTTGCTCGCGAGGGCGGTGAGGACGTACCAGCCAAGTGTGGTGGGGTGAAACGTGGCAGAGGCCGCTGGTAGGTGAGACGTGCGCCAGAAGGGACAGACGCGGTCTTCCAGTCCATGGAAGTGAGTGGGCCCGAGAACGGACGGGCGTACTTCTCCCAGCACTTGTAGCACGGCGTCGTGGGATCGTTGTTTCGATAGCCCGCGTTGTGACCTATGGAAGATGCACACACAGCAGATCATGGGGCAGTGATTGCGAACGATGATGCGAGAACGTACATCTTCGACATTCGTAGAACGCAGGGTACACCAGCACTCTTCCATTGCGCATGAGGGGGTGGCCCGGCTTGGGGGTAGCTGTCGGCCGCCCGTCGTCCCCATCGTCGCCGCCAGCAGCCGTCTGTACAACGTTCGCTCCTCCTGCCGCGTAAAACTCTCGTGCGAAGTCCGAGAGCGGGCCGGATGCGATGATGCCCGCGTTGTCGGGAGCAGTGCGCGGGCGGTCTCGCGTTAGCGACGGATGCCTCGGTATCGCGCCGCCATGTCCAGGGTACTGCCCACGGTCGTTCGTCGAGGCGCTAGGCCTGTGTCCGCGCTGCCGGTCTGCAGAGTTAGGCGAGAGGTAGTCGCGGGGAACGTTCTGAGGTTGTTGGAAGGGCCGCCGGGGCCCGAGCTCGATTGTCGACTCTCCATGCAAGGTATCTGGCGCGGGTGTGTACGCCGGCGGAAGCTCTTCCCCGATGAGGTCGTCAGGGAGTATGTGATGCCCTGAGCTCGAGTCACGGTCGCGCGGCGGTAGTGGTGGTAGGACGGTGCGCTCTGGGTCTTCGGGTGGTAGATCAGGGGAAGGCGAGCGTCGTCCTCGCTCTGATTCTGGCGCAGACCGCGTACTGCCGCCACTCGATTGGGAGCCTCCCGTCGCATTAGACGACGCCGCACGATAACGGAAAGGATTGTTGTCTGAGCCCATGCGTGTCCTGTCACTAGAGGTGGGCTGGCTGTGGCAAGGATGGTTGCACAAGGTTGTGGAAGAAAGCAAGCGGCGGAAGGCGGGTTCAGCACCGCGACAACGAGGCACGAGCACTGTTTATGAGCGCTGCAGATCGCCGTCTACCCCGCGACCGGTATGAGTGTCCGGGAAAAGGCTGCACGGGGAGAGCGCAGGCATTCTAAAACGGACGGCTGCAGTGGCTGCGCACGCAGCACGGCTACCGTCTCCGTAGCAGCGTCACGGTATGGCCACTTTGGCCCTAGAAGCGAGGTCGTGCCAGAGAACAAAGGGACTGAAGCGACGGAGAGCCAATGCCGCGGCGGCGCGGCGTGTTATTATATGAGATGAGTGCGATAGTATATACACGTGGAGTAATCTGCTATGGCCATCGACCGTTCTCAAGTGCCATCCTCCTTGCTACTCAAGCTTCTGAAGAACTCTGCATATGCGTGTTCGATGTCGAAAAGGAGCTACAGAGAATAAGGTTATAAGCCGGAGTTTACGAGGCAGACCCGCATCGTCGTACTCGCCTGTCTGGATTGTTCCTCTGTGATCTCTTCAGAAGCCTTCATTCCATTCAGCGTGATGAGCCTGCAAGTCTTATATCAGTACCATGCTCTACGAAAGCGGGATGGACATCTTACCAGCTAACCATCTTACCCCGGCCCTCCCAATCCTTGCTGCCCTTGAAACGCGCATACCCGGTCACCAACTCCTGTAGAATGGGGTGCAATTGATCCTTCGCACGGAAGCCCAGCTTCAGCGCATCCATGAAAGTTATGAAGTTCTGCCACGCACGATAAATAGAGAAGCAAGATACATTCAGAGATTAAACGCACCTGGGTCGTCTCCGCCACCCACTTCCCAGTCTCAGGCCCAGCCTCGCTGGAGTGCTCGACTGTAGCAGGCACTCCGACCTTCAATCTATGTAATGCAGCAGGGTGATCCATCTGCCTTGCATGAGTCTCCGCATCGTGATTGTCATGATAGGAAGACTCACGCGATATCGACTCATGAACTGCTCTATCGAGGGAACGTCCTCCCCAACAAGTTTAAGCATGGTCTTGTACTGCGACAGCAACCGTGTACATGCCGGGGAATACCTCTTCACCGTCGCCGCTAAGATGTCCTGTCCACAGCGAAGAGCGCGGCGAAGTACTCACTCTGCTGCCGTCACCGAGTCGCGCACATACGCGCGCTCGAGATACTCGAGAGCAACGATGACCCCAAACAGCGTCGCCAGGAGGCCATACTTCTCGCGCTCGGTATTGGTGGTGTACAGCCTGACCTCTTCGTCGAGGTTGAGTGGTGGCGAGGTCAGCGACATGGCGGTCGTGAGCGTTGTGGCTGTTTCAATCTCGATATGATAGCCTCCTAGAGCCGATCTGATCTCGGTCGAGTGATGGTCCCTGGTACGATGCCTAACACGAGCTTCTCTCGACCCAGTTCGAGAGTTTCGCAAAACAATCCCAGTCATAGTACATATCAGCTTGAATTATCACGAATCATTCATTATAGGAAAAGAAAGAGTATCAACAGTAGAAGGTCCTAAAGTATCGTGTCCGTACAGTGTCCCAGTGAGACAATAGAAAGCAGTATGTTCAAGTTATCCGTGAGCATGTCGTAGATCGTCCGAACAATGAGTGGGGGGGATAGGTGTGTTAAGCCACTAGTTTACCCGGATGAGTACTTTCGTACTTGGGGCACAGTTCATTCCACGCCGCTGCAATCGATGTGTCAGTGCGCCCAGAAGACGTGGTCAGGAGTTCATGACTTACGGGGGATGGGAGCGACAAATCCGGGAACGTCATCAGGAGCCTCCGCCATGACTAGAGCAAAGCCGGCGGCCAAATGGAAGTCGATGTGGCAATGCATCAACCAGGGGCCGGGGTTGTCAGTCTGTGCGTGTGGGTCAGCACCGCTCCTGGGACGACTAGCATGGAGTGAGTGTGGGACGTACAGTGAAGCGTATGATAACCTTGTCGGTTGTGTTGGTCCCAATGCTGACCGTGTCCCGCAGTACAGGGTTGACATAGTTAGTGCCGTTGCTACCGGCACTCTGGATAACGAAGAATGAATGCTGTCAAAGTCACGGTTAGCACCGATGGTGGTATATATACAGGAGCGATAAAACGCACTCCGTGCAGATGGATGGGGTGGGGTCCTGCGCGTAGGCCGTGCATGGTGACCTGTATCGTCTGGTTCCTAGGCAAGTACTGGACGCTGTTGTTCGGCATGAGGTCGTGTGCGTTGTACGTTCCGTTGAGGATCTGGAGGAGCACTGGCACCGTGGGGTTCTGGTAGGAGGCGTTCAAGTACGAGGTGCTGTTCACAAAGAAGTTCGTGCCATTCTGTACATCATGAATCGATTAGAACCAAATTTGAGACGATACGGAGTTGTGACCCACGAATGAAAAGTTCAGATTGAGATCGCAGTCTGTGCATTCGGGGTCAAGTTGGGGAACCTGCGAAGAGTTACGGCTTCAGAGAGGCCGAACGTTTCAGGTAGTGGCCAAACGTACGGAGACATTGCCATATACTCGCAGGTTGGGTTCCAACAGAGGGTTCTTCGGCTGGGGAGTGACGGTAGTATTGCCACTCGGATCCTCATCAGCTGCACCGCGGTACCGCAGGATAGCCAGACCGGTGGGGGTACCGTTGACAATCTTCTCCGGAGTGGCACGGATCCAGTAGCTCCCGTTGGGCTGGTTCGCTTCCAGCTATGGCACGGCGCGTCAATTACCGCCAAGGAGGGATATAGGCATTACACGTACGACGAAGGAGTAGCGCTGGGCAGCGTGGATCTGGATTTGGTCGATGCCCGGTAGGGGTTCCGTGTTCTCGCCGTCAGCCTCGATGATGGTGAAGTTGTCGTGGCCATCAATTGTGAAGTTGAAGTATGGGTGACACGAAGTGGAGATCAGTCGGAAGCGGTATCTGGTCGCGCGTCAGATGGCCAATCAACAGACATATTTACCAACACGGACCGTTTGCCTTGCTCGACCTCGATGACGGCGACCGGAGTGTCTTGTCCCGGTAGACGGGTCAGACCGTTGATAAGTACTGAGTTCGGATCCCTAAGGTCTGCGTCAGTGCCAAAATTTTGTGCGAATATGGTGTCTGCTCACGTCGGGACCGGCAGCTCATTTGCAGGCAGGTGATACCAATCAGCGAGCGTGATGACGGTCGTATCTATCAATATGCCGCGGTGAATGGATTTGTGCCATGCGTGGCATCGTTACACACACCATCGTCGACGTCGTATAGATCCTTGTGTGGATCGTCGGGATCGTATACGATGAGAGGCCCGCGCAGCCCATCACAGTACTGCAAACCTTCATGGCTGTGATACTAGAAGGTACCTGCATAGCAATGAGCGAATAAGCAATGTAGCAACAACGGTAAGACGCACCTGCTTGATCCGGGACATCGAAGTGGTACAGGAAGGAGTCGTCGGCAGCGATGGGGCATTGCGTGACAAACGCTGGACCGTCTGCCCAATTAGAGTGTCGTTGTTTAATACCGTGCCAATGCTGTCATGTGAAGGTTAGCGGGAACGAAGACGAGTGACACCAAGCAAGGTTCAGAGTACTCACAACGGTAGTTGATGTCTCCATTGTGACATTAGTGAGTTGATTGTTTACGTTGATCTGGAAATTATCCCCCTATGACCGACGCTATCAGTGTCTGATGCAACAAACATTGGAAGAGAGTTGCTAGCCTTGTTGCCCTTGATGATCGGTCCAGGGAAAGTGCCATTCGCCAGCACACCCTGACGAGTGAACCCGTCAGGAGAAATCTCCGCGTTGACGATGTTGAGTTCGGTAGAGAGAGCTGAGGCAGAAAGTACAAGGCTAAGGGAAGCAAAAGCAGGTCCGAAAGAAGAATAAAACATCGTGAGGAAGAAATGTTCGTGTGGTAGAAGGATTGAATGAATGAATTAAAAGGCGACTTGGTAGTGAGGATACTGGAATTCTTCTCGCCCTCTTTATACCGTCTGAGCGACCGCTGAGAGCGGAACAACGAGCCCCTCGCCATACGGCCATGACGGTTGCTGTACGGAAGAGGTGCTTCCGTTTGTGCGCGCAAAAGTGAAACAGAAACATGAAGGCTGTCAAGAAGTCGACCAGTGCTGCATACCACTATAGCTTGCACTGGTTGCGTAGTGGTAGTACGGCTGAGGCTTCCAGTAAAGACCCTGCATACGGAACAGCCCGCCTTGCTGACGTGAAGAAGACACCTGGGAGAGTGATGCGGAACTCGTTAGCCGCGTCGCAAGCCGTTCGTGAAACGTACTTTGTATGCCGTCGCCAAGATGGGCTAGTACTGCATAGTACTGCAAGTTCGCGTCGGTGCAGATGTCCGGAATCGCAGCTGTCGAGACACTGCGGCAAGCCGGGGCGTCACTTGAGCGCCGCGTGCGTTCGGTCGCAACATACGTAGGCGTTCAGGCAAAAAGGTTAACGCTCGAACAATGTTCGACTTCCTCATGGGGCTTCACGATCCATTATGAGGGCGACGTTCGCACAGGTGCTTCTTGATTTCCCGGATCCCTACATCGGGTCATAGACTCGCTTTTACAGTGACAACTCAGACTTGAAGATGACATGCAGCCGAAGAGATGCGTCTTCATGAGAAAGACTGTGCGCGCTTTGCACCGTAGCGCTCTCCTGAACACCTACAGAATGATCGTTGTGAGCTTGCTGTGCTTGTAATATCGAGAGATGACATACTCCACGCCGGCAGCCACAGTCCGAAATCTAGTCTCATACACCCTCAGTACTCTTGACTTGTCAGGCCTTCAGCTTCAGGCCGTGGTGCCGACAACGCAACTAATATATTTGACACATGAAACATCACTACTGTCTCTGCGGACAAACACGCTGTCAGTAAGTACAGCGGGCGGATGGACCGTGACATTTCTATGTACTCGGAGTTGCTATGACGGGAAGAGAATGATAGGTGGGAAGAGCGCTGTGCTGAGCGTTGGCTGAGCGCTGAAAGAAAGAAATGACAGGAATCAGTGATGCGTGACGCGTGACAGCCAGGCGTCCGACTGCATACCTTAAAAAGGGAAAAGCCGACGCAGCGGGGCTTGTCGATATGGTCCAGGCACTATACTAATTACGTAACATATCCGGATCATGTGCACCGAACAACCATACAGTACGGTGAGTACCGTACAAGTACCGTATGTGATTTTGTCTACTCCGTCCGATCTCTATAGTCCACACGCACGAACGTCCTCGTATTGAATGACTGCAACCCAAGTATCTTGGGCGACGCTTCCCTGCGGAGATTCACTTAACTCATCTTCACCTTTCAGAGACCACCGAAGGTGGGTCAGAGACTCTGCAGGGGCTGGCTGACCTGACGTTGACTCGGAGCCTCGACTCGGAGACACGCTATGATCGTGAACGGAATCTGAATTGCGATTGTCGTGGGATGGAGTAGAGCTCATGGCCACCAGCTGGTCATCGATGTCATGCCCGGGTACGTTCTCGAACGCGACTGTGTACACCTGAACGTTGTCTCAACGTAGCCTTGGCCGCTGCGTCATTCGTGTCCAAATGCGGTTGATGCACGCGATTCTCGGCCTGTATACAGCAATGTCTTCGTGCTGGCAGCTGCGGCACACTGATCAGCTCAAAGCAAGGCTCCTATGAGCGCATCGAAGCCTACTCTGGGTTGATGCACGGTGCATGAGGAAGCATGGATGCGAGGGCGTGTGCAGTCTCCTGCTCATACGTCTGTCGTCATGGACTTGCAGGGGCTCAGTGCACGCGAACCGGAGTGCAAGCCTCGCGCATGTCGCTGCAGCTTAAAGCCATGGTGCGTTCGAGTCTTGTCGCCAGTATCCTCAGCACAACACTCTACGAACGATATGCCGTTCTCACCCAAGGAAGTGGCAGAGCACAACACAAAAAGGTACGCACCCGATGGGTCTCGTGTGCATTTCGTAGAGGTCTGATCGCACCCTCACAGCTCCTGCTGGGTCATCATTGACAAGAAGGTGTACGATGTAACTGACTTCGTACCCGTGAGTGCTCTTTGGCACACATGCCGACAACGGATACGGGCTCATATTTATATTCCACAGGAGCACCCTGGTGGTCCTCGCATGATCATGAACTTCGCAGGACGTGACGCGTCGACCGCCTTCAAGTCATTCCACTCGCCAGATGTGTTGGCAACAAGACTACCGCGACACAAACATCTCGGCCACATAGGATAAAGCACCTGGAGATCGGGAACGTGCACGTACCTATCAGTTACCACATACACTGGACCATACCCACACTCGCCGGACGAGGCATGTCGGCTGAGCAAGGCCACGACATATCATACAAGAGTCGTACCTCGCTGCAATTACGGGATGTTACAATACTTGATACCATGCTGTACTAGACCCAATATCGGTATCGGTCTGCTGTACACAATAATAGAATGTATCGCTACACATGTCCGAGCTCGTGAGTATAGGTTGTGATTGAACTGAGAACAGTCATGTATGGTAGGTAATGTCAAGTCGGTTGCACCTCACCTGTCTACTCGGAGACTCGAACCGTCCATGAGTAGGATCAAGGAGAGCAGGGAGCCGGAGCGCCAAACCGGGCGTGAGCAGCAATGAGCATCCTGGGCGAAAGGGGGTCCTTGCGCCGCACAGAATCTCCCAGCTTGCTGAAACGAAGGTCCAAACGCATGCTCTCGGTGGACGCGTTCGACGAGAACGGGTCGCTCCGGCCGGACGGAGTAGGCTGGCCGCGAGGAACACGAAGAGGCTGTGACCGCAGTGACTTGCGCGCGCCGTACAGCTGCTTGCCGCGAATGGACGTGGTCGGGCTCGGCTTGAGCAGGTTGTTGCGAGACAGCTGGGGGTCAGCGGCCGGTGCCGGCGCGGGAAGGCTGACAGCGGGCGGGGCCGCTATCACCAACTCAGCCTTCTTGGGAGAAGGGCCCGGGACAGGCGCAGACGGTTTGCACGGCATTACCAAGGAAGCGGAGACCTTGCGGGATTGCGGTGTGGCACCTGACGCAGCGATCCTAGCGTTATGTTTGACATGCTGACGGACGATGCGCTGCAAGAACTCGCGAGAGGGGCGGAACCGGCGACGGGGACGTGGGACGACGCGCTTCTGCGATATCACCTTCCAAGCTAGGAAAAGCACGAACTCGACGGACGCGGTCTTGAGGCGTCTGACTGGAGTCGCCTTGGTACCTTGAGATGCGCTGGGAGTGCTAGGAGAGGCGGCCTGTGACGAAGCACCTTGCTGGTTTCGATTCAAGTTTGGCGACGCAGTCTTCTTCCGAGGGGAGCGTCTCCTTGATTGTTCGGAGGGGACGAGCGTAACGCAGATAGGACCGGGTACCTTGACACTTGGGTCGATGTGAAGCGCCTCGGTAGCCAGAGAGGGGGGCTGCACAGACAAAGAGTCCAACGACGAGGTAGCCTCGGCAAGGGTGTCCGCGCAAACCGAGTCCGCATTAGCAGCGTGTCGCGTGCCGTCTTCACGCTTCAAGGAGTCGCCAGAGGCGACCTTCGGGCAAGTCGAGATGCACAAGCTGCCAGAAACGCGACTAGGGGCCACCGGCTTCTCCTTCTTGAGATGTTGGACCGCGGAGCGACGCCAAAAGGTAGCGAGGGGAACAAAATTCACTGTTCCTTTGCGAGAGTTGTACACGACGAGATCCCAGCAGACTAGGGCGCGTGCTGACAGGAGAAGAGGAAACGGAAGAATAGGCAAGCGACCGAAGATCGTCGGGAGTACAAGAGTTTCCGGAGCGATTTCCGAGGCCGACCAGTAGTAGCATGATAGGCGGCCGGATTCAGAAAATACTAGCTCTTGACCTGCATCAAACCCAGCACTAGTTTCCAGTCCAATTCTCTTGCCGCGGAGGTACTTCGAGGCGATGTAGCGATGAAGGCGTAGTACCGCGGCAACTGCGGCTAGCCCCAGAGTCAGGATCAGGGCAATCGAGACTCCGAGGGTGAAAGTCATTTGCTGCATTGATCCTCGCATATCCCGCGGACTCTTCTCCAGAAAGAGTATCTTGTGCACGGAGTAGGCTGCCGACATGGCTAGAACCCTCGACTAAGTGCCTGCACCGTTTGAGGGAGTTGGTCGGAACGAATGAGGGTGAGTGTTTGACGAGAGTCTCAGTTGACCGCGAATTGAACTTGGCGTGACATTCGTCACGTGATCGCGCCAGTAACGCTCACGACTGGCAGCGACTGGGCGGCCTGGCAATCATGGCAAGCATCTTACCTCAATTTCTGGCCCGAAAATTGCTGTATTGTTGGCTCACAGTGGATCGTATACATGGAAGTCACTGGTAATTTAGTCGCATGGTATGTCTGTCCATTACTGTCTACTGATCTCTTTTCTAACGAGTTGGGACTGTCGTCAGAGGCGACTTGCTATTACGCTAAGTATGTCACAATGTCTCTCCGAGGGTTCTGAGTCGATCCCCCAGGGTGCGTTACCAGAGAGAGCTAACCGTCATCATGGCCTATGCATGTGCTTATGCACTTGTGAATCTCAGACACACGTAAATGTAAACTTCGCACCGCTGCGCAACATTCTTAGAAAGTGGTCAGTTGACTGCAAGCTTAGGCTGCTGAGTGATTTCCAGGCACATCACAACGCTATTCTACATGACGTCCATCTCACATACCTTTGAAGGTCGGCGCCGCCCCGAGCTGCCCATACTTACGACGCGTCTATCCAATTAGAAGAAAAGGGTTACTTGCGCCAGCCAGCGGGCTCCCCACATTGTCGACACGATTCGACCTTCGAACCACAGTCGCTGGCACCTTCGGGTACGCCACTAGTATGTATCAAACATCGCGGCCACACCGCGCTACCATTTCGCAGGATGCAGCCCCTGTACGGCGAGAAATCGCGCCGGACGCGCGCTCCGCGTGTCATCCTCCCTGCATTGAACAAGCACTCCGCTTCAGACTAGTGCATTGGAGGCAGGTCCGTCCGGTCGCATTAGCATGATCCACGGAAGGCTGCGATCCCCGGGAAGCTACATCAAGGGTATCAAGCGAGGAGGGTGAGATAGTAATGTGTCCGGGTAGGGTCCGCGGCAAGCGGGTTTAGCTCGCCTCTAGCTCGCGGACAGCCCGCTGGATATCGCCGTCGAGTGTGGTGTCCCATGCCCATGACCACTTCTTCCGGATCGTCTCGGCGATGACGCGGAGCTTGTCCGCTGCCTGGCCGTTCGCAATATCTTGCGACGAGAGACCTGGGTAATTGAGCGTGAACAGCATCCCGCATTCTCGCGATGTTTTGGCCACATCTTGGGCGTACGGTCTGCGGACGGCGTCGTAGATTCGCAGTGCACGGGTGAGTGTTGATAGAGTTGTTTTTGGATGTCCAAGGAGGGTGGCTAATAAATAGGCATCCTGTCGGTTTCGGCAAAATAAGTATAGGCAGTGGGAGATTTCACGTGCGATGGAGCCCTTACCTCAATGGCCTGGCCAGCGCCCGCCCCTTGAAAGGGAACCGCTGCATGGGCCTGGTCCGGAGTCAATGACTGCCATATACTCCGGAGGAGGCAACTCACCGAATCGCCGACCAAGGCAACGCGGCCAGAAACAAAGGTGGGCAGCCGTTCCGTGGTGTGAATGGCCCAACGGCTCAGCTTGGAAGTGCACTGAACAGCATGCTTAGGAATTATCGTCGAAACACCCAGGTGTACGCACCTGGAACATCGCCTGCACTTCCGGCTCCCAGCCGGCGAAGTCGGCAGCCAACTCGTCTTTTGTGGTGTCTACGACCCATGGTTCTTTCATTGGTGCTCCCTCTGAGTCGTATCGCGTTCGGAATGCGGCGACGTTGATTATTTTCCCGTGCAGAAGTGGGTATGCAGTCACTTGCTAGTACAATCCCGATTAACGAAGAAGGTGTTCGTGATGACGGTAAGCTTACCGTGTCCTTCCCTAAGTACTGGAAAGTTGACATGCGTTATAAAACGACGAGACTCAGTAGGTGGATAAGGACTTACCGCCATGGGCTCCCTGAGCACTGTGTGGTTGGGTATTCGAGACCGAAGTGCCTCGGCCGGAATTGTGGTCCTATAAGCATAGATTCCACTCCACCGCGGTTGCGCTGCCCTGCGCAGGCCTCTGCATCACCCGTCCTCCCTGCGACTTCGCGGCGTGCGCAAGCTCGTCGACGAGCGCCTCCGTGTAGCGGACTTCACACCATCGGCGCCAATTAGGACATCGCACGTCGCCGTTGAACCATCCTTAAAACGCAGCGCGATTGGTGAGTGAGAGGAACCTTGCGATGGCTGGCTGTAGAGACTAGACGCTTGCTCGTGTATGTGCGCGACGAGGCAGATAGGTGGCGCAGGAGAATCGCTGGAATTCAGGTCGGTGGATCGTCACCAGCCTCCTACGAGAGGTGAGGTGACGTCTCATGAATAGGGAGATGTGGAGACGTACCTGGGGTGTACAGCTGATGGAAGGTATAGCCCTCGGACTGATCCCCCTTGCGGAAATTGAATGATAGCTCTATGACGTAGGTCGGTGCTGTGGTCCCCCGGGTAGAAATGAAGCAATTTGCTTTACCCACTTGGATGATTATCAACGGCGACGACGGCAACCTCTGCGAGCTCCCGGTCCAACCCAAGGCCTGCACGACCTTCCATGCGCGCGGCCAATACCGACGCCTGCACCGACTTCAGAAACTTGCTTGCCGCCTCGTATACGTCGATGCGAATGTCGGGATACTGCGAAAGGGCGACTGCACAGGCTAGGCCGCCCACTCCGCCTCCACTGCGGCAATGTATCAGGTGGGGAAAAGGCAGGGGGACGTCTGACGTACCAAATAGCGACGGTGAACTTGGTCATCTCGGTACCGGCGATGATGGGAGGGATGCTGCCTCAAGCCAGGGGACAGAGCAGGGCTGGAGAAGGATCGGATTGTCTGGGTATTTATTTCGGCTGTCTGACATTCGGTATGCATATCGGGGCAGGGCCTGTTCCCGCCTAGCGTCTTTGTCAATATGGTATTCTCATGAGGATGCGGGGTCGCGCATGAGACCGATCAAATCTCGTAAGGTGAAGCAGAGCCTGCGCCCCGTGCGGACCGCATCGCAGCAGTTAGCAGACATCAGTGACGGGTCGTCAAATCGCACGTGGAGGCCAAGTGGAGGCGAGACATAGCCCGAGACCCGACTATGGTTTCTTGGGGAGGCGCCCATCCTTCCCCGAGGAGGGCAGGTGGGATGCGAAACGTGGCGGCGACTCCGGTGAGTGCGACATGGACGGACGCAATAAAAGTCGTGCCTCCCGCCTAGCTCCTCCGCAGCGAGGACTCCTGTCGTCTGAATATTGACCAATACTGCAGCCTTGTTTTCGGCTTGGGTTAGGAGTGCGAGGGCCACGGACCTGTGGGATGCACAGGGAATTCGGCGCCGTTATCGCCAGAGCATCAGCGAGGTCTACACTGCTTCGAACTGGTTCGCGTTTTGTGTCGAGCTGATCCCATGTGCGCAACCGCTTCCCCGCTGTATGGAGAAGACCCACCCTCGCGGCGCCAGAACCCACAACGGTCTCCAGAGCGAACCCGGCGCCAGCGATTGTGGGACGACTTCGACCGGGGGACCGGAACATACGGAAGCAGGTTGATAATTCCACGCGCGTGCCGGCAGGCGGCACGACGCGATCTACGGGTGGCAACTCAATCTGAGATTCAATAATTGAGTGGCGGATGCGTTGACGGTGGCAAACTCACGTATGACTCTATCGAACGCCGTCCACGGAGCAGCGAGAAGCGAAACAATTGTCAAGACTGTCTTGACGTCTGAAAGGGTGTATCCATGCGCGGAAATGAGACGGTGTGAATTGCTTACCGTCTTGTCAATGTCCGAACCTACGGACCACACACAAACCTTCCTGCGGGCGCTGCACAATTGATGCGCTCGGTCGTCAAGTAGCAGCACCGTTACATAACCGCCCTAAAACATACCAGAAGTCATTCCGTTCGTTGCGAATGACATAAGACGGTCATAGTCAGCCGGAGTTACGGTATCGAATTATCCGACATGAGACCAATCAGGTCATGTCGTACTACTAGTAAGTACGAAGGACGGTGTGTCATCTCTTTGTAATTGCGTCCTCCTGGCTCAGACGCACGCTGCGGCACGCAAGCAGTTGTCCGATCGCTGCACTAATTGACCATAGCCCAAGTGGCGATCGAGCTTGATTGTCCCTGAGGCAGAGAACTCAAAGTTCCTGAGCTAGCATTCCCGCGAACGCTGGCGGCCTCGGTAAGAGGACGCACGCGGCTCGGGGTGGCGTCGCTGATCCGCCGACCACTCCACGGTGTAGGTCCAGCGCGAACGGTTAAAGCACTACCACGATTGCAGCGGATCCGCCTGTGAGAGCCCCGCCAGGATCGCACAGGAGATCCGGAGATGCGCTGTGTTATCGATACCGGGTAGTCAGCTGATGGCAGTTTGTATGGGCGCGGACTCACTGTGCTCGCTGCAAACACGTGAAGGCGGATATTCCTTCATAGCCTCCGCGAGAAGAGGCCGCTGCAATCGGTCTTGAGATTTGTATTTGCCTGAGAGATTGGTATCTGCACCAGTTCCAATGACGCTGCGGGACTGGAGTCGGATACTAGACGCCTTCGAGATACGTCGAGCATTGCGTGCGGCCTGTGTTCATTCGCTGAAGCGGCAGATAGACGTAAAGTATGGGTCATCGCGTCAAACCTCCTTGTACGGCGGCTGGGGCCACAAACCCGGACGTGGGTGAGCACGGCAGAGCACCGGCACGCGGCTACACGAACTCGAGTCTTCAATGACCAACATTTTCCGCTTTCCCGGTGTTCGACAATCATGTACGTCGACTGAACGACCCCTCACGGCCCGGTCGTTGTTTCGTGGCCGCAAGAAGGTACAGTCACTCCAGCGGCGCAGCATTGAGCCGTCTTCGAGATGCTGCTCAGAAGACTAGTGACGAGAATTCCCTGGGACAGAGAGTCGGCGATACAAGGGCAAGGACTTTGCAGGACACCGATGTGTGAAAGTTTATGTCCTGGTTTCCTGTGGCTCCCGCGGCCGTCATGGCGAGAAAAACTGTGAAACAGGACACTTGGACGGATTTGGGCACGAAGACGTTGAACAGGTACAATGACGCACCGGCCCTGAGAGCGAGCGTGGGACAGCAGACGGACGGACTGCCGACGATTGAGGAAATGCGTGCAAATTGACGCACGGAGGCTGGTCAGGCTCTCTCCTGACGCCTACGCGACAACAAGACTCTTGACTAAGGCATGCACCAGGTAGCCGTGCCTCAGCTTCGCACCGGCGGATAGTTCGCCTTCTACACGGCAGCTCTGTGCGCATGTCAACATTGACTCCGACAGTTCACGAAGCGCACGTACGAATTTGCGTCGGCTAGCATCCGATACGCTCATGGTCTCATCGTGGTTGCGCACCATTTTGGAAAATTGGGCCTCCTGCCAGCGGCCTTGCGCCTTCTTCTCGTAATTCACCACCTTCCGACGAGATGCATACGGTCGTCTGGCCTTCTAGCAGACCTCTGATCTGGCTCCATCGATACCATCTCCCGCTGGAAGTCTTGCGTGTATCGTCTGTCAGGACCTCAGCTGGCCCTTAGGGCACAGGAGACTCGAGCCTGCAGAGGTATTTAATCTCGAGTGAGTCGGACCCTCCTGCCCAACACTTGCCCCCCCCCCTCCCCGCCGAGACGCAACACCTGTCCAGCATCCGGTTCTTAAGGACTCACCACACTTGTCTGCATACCGTCCGCTCCGCCCGCACAATGGGCCGTTATACTCGGTACCAATGCGCCCGCCCCGACCTCTCGCCAACAGCCAGGGGCACGGCTCTATAGGAATGTTTGGTCTACCGATGAGATAGGTCAGTGATCGTCTGGATGCCTATCGGGTCGGACGTCGAGTCTTGGATCTCCACTCACATCGCACTTTTTATTGTAATTGCGAGATCCCTGCCGCGTTGTCGATCCTGCGATCATCCGGCGTAGAGTGCCGTGCGCCCTGATCTCGGGTGATTAGTATTGCCCCCCACCTCCACAGCCAGCGTCCGCTGCGCGCAGCATTTAAGCAAGGGCTTGGAGAGATGGCAGAGCCCAGTAGCACGCCGGGTCACTCGAAGGAGGCACGAAGGCAATCTGCCTAGATGGCAGCAGCGTCAGGGATTTGTTCTGCGCAAGATTTGGCTTCCACCAAATCTCGCGTAGATCATGTCCTTGACAATCCCCTATAATTTGACGTCGAAAAGAGGGAGGCCGTCGAAGCCCCTGTGAGAGGTGCGCACCTTCCATGTACTGTCCAGTTGTTATGTACTACTCGATGCGAGGTACATCGCGTACGTATTAATACGGACGTCCTTGCAGCGAAGGAAACGGCCTCGTGGCGCCGCTGTGCAGCTAAATGAAGGTCCCCCCGAGTGGGTTCTTCGTCAACGATGTCAACGATGTTAAGCCAAGTTGTCGGGCTAGAGAACTTCAAGACACGACTCAATCGCCAGGGTAAGCAATCCTCCTCATAAGCGGTGGGCGACAACTCCCCCGTGTATCGCACTGTCTTACTTACATTACCAAAGATCTTTTTAGAAGCACAGATATCTGACGTACTAGTAGGATGACGGGACGTACTTGCGCCTGCGACTCGTTCGTTCAATGATGGGGTGCATAGGAGACGTATTCAAGTCGATGTTTTTATGCTGCACGCGGCGTCCATGGTACATCGAGCGCGTACATGACCTGCAGGTGAGTTCTCAAACGCATCCACGATGAGTCTGTAGCTTACGCACCCTTGCAGAAACACTCGTTAAACACTACGGTCTGGTAGCGCAGTGCGGTTCTTGTACGCGCGCAACCCCGTTTCGACGCGCTGTCTCGTCAATTGAAGTCAGAGGTGTGGTGTGCACACATTGTAGGATTGATATATGCGCTTGATTGCGGTGTCTAGAAGGATAGTGGGCTGTTGTCGGTGTCTCGCGTGTTCAAGTTGCCTTTGCTAGTGCATATGTACCGATGTTTGACCGATGTTACCATTTGAATGGGATGAGATTTGCTTTTTCTTCGAGTCGTAGAACTGGCCGCGTCGTGAGCCATTCATTATCTGAGAGCAGGCATTACCAGGCAAAATGGCACGGAGTGTCCCAACTTCCAGTGGGCCCAGGATCTCAATGTCGTTCTGCCACACCCGAGATACACGTGATAACTACTACCGCCCGCGATTCCGAGGATCTCAGATAACATCTGATGCGCATTGCGCTTGTGGGCTGCACTGTACGAGATTTTTGTAGTTCGTGAAATGGTCGTGACGCTCAAGTTTCATCGCCATCCATACTAAGCGTATTACAAGCATTTTATACCAGTCGGTGTAGGGTACTCTGAATGGGATACACGGATACAGGTCATGATACAGTGTTCATAATCCGGACATTCACACGAGGCTGCAAGCCTCTAGGTAGCTTCAACTGTGAACATGAGCCGCAGGCGGTTCCCCAGGAGGCTAAAATGACATTAGCTTATGCTGTCTACGAGTGTACACTTTACTCACCGGAGCATACTGAGGTGCCTTCGCGGCTTCGTATGGTGGAGGAACAGCGCCAGGTCCTTCGCTGACCCAATGTCCGCTACTACCCGCCGGAGCCCCGCTTGGCGCGAACTGGTTGTTCAGCCACCGCCTCTGTTAGCAGCAGATGCGTTGCCGTTCCAACCCGCTTGCTGTCCTCCATTTCCGGCTTCCGCGTCGCGTTGCGGGCCACTGGGGAAGATGCCGCCTCTTGATACTGGATACCAGGTACCCTGTCCACCGGAGTTGTAGTAGGTACGGCGGCGGCGCATGCCCATCATGCAGCACGTCAACAGTAGCAGGAAGAAGACGACGGCTCCTAGGTTTCAACATCACTTGGTGGACTCCACAAGTAGTCAAACAGACACACCTATCACGATGCCTGCTATACCACCTCCTGATACGCTGCGTCCACATCCATAGTAGTAGCTGCAATATGCATTGGCTGGCGTCGCGTAGACCACCAGCGCAGAAAGAACGGCAGGGACGAGCATCGACATCTTGGTAACTTAGTGGTGAAGCTAGAGGGGGTGTGAATGGGCTGTGGTGAGTTGAATCATACGGCAGCTGGTTTCATACAGAACGGGCGGATGCACAGCGGATGGAGTCACCGTGGGCTGTCCTAGTTCCACCCGCTGAAGTGGAGTCTGGAGTGTCTGCCGAACCTAGTCCGCACCTATTCTGTCATGGCTGGCCCCCCACTCGTCACCCAATGCCCTCGTCATGCAGGCCAGAAAAGCGCCAGGCTGCTGACCTGCGTTTCGACGGTGACACGTTCTCAGCATGCTTTGCGTCCGGTCCAAATTGTGACGGTGGTCAGGGATATTCAGGATATCTTGATATACATCAAGTCTCAAGACAGCTTTCGGCGTTCATGCGTTTCAAGAGTGTATACTGAGAGTCTGCTGAGAGTAGTCATGTCTGCATAAAAAGGACCTTGAGCTGGGAGCGGAGGACGAGCCAAGGACGAGCTCCATCTGATCGAAGCGCCCGTGGCCTCGGCTTGTCACGATATCTGACATGTCACAGCACGGGTCACACGTCATGCATTCCGGATGTTGCTTGGCACACAACCACCACCAACGGCGAGCGGATCCAGCGACGCTCCAGTTACCCACCATGGGAGAAGACGGAACACACTCCTGCCGCCTGCCGCTGCGTTCGTAGCTTCCGCCGGGTGTATATAAATAATGGATGCGACTGACGCGCGCACCCGCTGAACCATCATCACGATTTGAGTCTCAGACACTACAGGACGTCCTTCGCATGCCGCTCGCTCAACATAGTTCGAGCGCGGCGAGTCTTCTTGTCAAGCCTTTTGTCTTACTAGCCTTCGTTGTCACGCAGTGCGCGGCGGACGCGAATGATAATTCATCTGTATCAGGTGCAGCTATAGACTTCACGGTAATCGGTGAGCAACAGGTTGTTATAACGTCGTCTACACTCCCGCATCGCTGACCTATTCTGTTAGTCATCGCAGTATTCGCTTTCCTTCTTGCGTTGGTCCTATGGTACCGTTGGTTGCTGGTCAGACGCCGTGCACGCGCCGCATCAACGGCCATGACGCAAAGCCGGGCAGTCCTGCCAACCGTTCAGCCTCCGTTCAGCGGCGACAACGCTCGCCCGCTGCCGTCGCAACAGCCATACCTAGGCGAGAACATCGCGAATCAAATAACTGCAATGCGGCTGGAGCCTCCTCCCGCATACCACGGGAAGCAACTCGCGGAGGGTGAGATGGTCATCCCTACCGACTCACAGCCTCCGCCCCCTGAGGCTGAGACCCCTCCGGCGTACATGACGCCTACCATGGCACTGCTGCCTCCAGCTTACATGCCGAACATTGTACGTAGCTCCTTTCTGCTTCACGCTGAGTGTCCCTGATGCGCGAACTTTCGTAGAATGCACGCCAGGCCACTGAGGTGCCATGATGAATATCCCCGACCGATGCAGTCTGTCCACAGACGAAACTACCCCCCTTACCATTCGAAGTCATCTTGTATCGCTAACATACACAAATATGTATAACAGGTCCCGTTTCGTAATGAGATGATCCCCTCATCAAGTATGTGCATGACGTATACAGACTTCCAAAGCGCCAGGTTGCTGGTGATGCTGGTCATCGACCTTGACGTGCTGTCAGTTGCAGCAAGCTGTGCGTGCCAGGCTTGCCTGCGTCCAGTCCAGGCTGTGAGGGTGATTTGGGATGGCATCACGCTCCGAGGTAAGTTATGATCCTGTGCACGATCAAAACAGGCTCAAATCAGATTTTAGTGTTCACGTCTGCCCCAAAGACTAGGTTGAGGCAGCCCTTAGGTTTGCAGAACGTTGAACGAGGCCTGAGGCCTGAGAGCGGAGAACGACTCGAGGCTTTCAAGCGCCCGCCGCCGTAGCATCGGCAGTGTCATTAGTGCCGCGGTGTTGGTTGAAATGTCACGACACGTGTATGCGTCATGGTGCGCGGACGATAACTTACTTTCTTTAGTACTGTCAAGTATCCACCGCCGCCATCCCGGGCAGGGGAGCGGATTCGGCGACCTAGGCCTACAGTATGTAAGGTACAATTGTGCGTGGAAACACGGAAGACACTCCACTTACTCCCTGCTGCTCTATTTCTAGTCGCGCCAGATGTATATAACACATTCGGCACTCGGAGGTTGTGATTCGTCAATATCTCGACGTCTACTATATCACAGTCCTTGGCATGCCGTTCGCTCAGTCTAGCTCACGCGTAGCGGGTTTCGCACCTCTTCTGAAGCTCCTTGTCTTGCTAGCACTCTCCACGCAGTGCATGGCTGACGGGAATGATCACTCGTTCGTATCAGGTGCAGACTTGATGGTCATTGGTGAATTACACATCATCACAACACTCACGTTCCCGCATTGCTTAACTTACTATCCTCACAGTCATCGTGGTTCTCACCGTCCTTCCTGCGTTGGCCCTATGGTATCGTTGGTTGGTAGTCAGGCGTCGTGCACGCGCGGACCCGACGGCCATGGCGCAAAGTGGGGCCATCCTACCAACCCTCCGGCCTCCACTTAGTGGCAACAACCGCCGCCCGCTGCAGTCGCAAGATTCTTACCTCGGCGAGAACATCGCGAAACGGAAAATTGCAGTGCAGCGGGAGGCTCCTCCAGCGTATCACGGGAAGGAACTCGCGGAGGGTGAGACGGTAGTCCCTACCGCTCCGCCCCAGGGGGCCGAGACCCCTCCGGCGTATTCGACGCCTACCCTCGCACCGTTGCCTCCAGCTTACATACCAGACAATGTACGTCTAATTTATTCGCGCCATTATCTTTGATACCCAAATTTCTGTAGACTTCTCGTCAGGCTACTCAGGTAGCATGACAGTCCCACTCGATGTCTGAGATGCGCGAAGAGTCATAATGTCCTTTCCTGCCAACACTTGTATCGCTAATACACACAAAGATGTATAACAGGTCCCGTCTTGTATTGTCAGTATACTACTTACTGAATAGTTTGTCTCCTCACCAGAGCTGGCGACCCGCTCCTTATCCATGCTAGTGTTCCCCTGTTACTTACCATTCTGACAGCCATCGCGGCGCCTTCCTCTCTATTGCCGTCGCATGGTCTGAACTTTGCAGAAGATATGGATTCTGTTCTAATGTCTCATGCAAAGGACCCGGCCGATGCCCAGGCTAAACTGGTCCTGAGACACTTTCGGCATGTATGAAGATCATTGTAACAAAGCTGCCTCCAGCTTCTGTTCGTGGCAACGTGCGTTGTTTCTTTCTGACTAGTGGATTTGCTTGTGCTGACCGCCCGTGCAGTCAACCCTGATATATCATATCCGGTCCGCCGATGCGGGCGCGAGTCGACTGCCGCGTCAGGGTCGTTCCGGGTTCTGCTAGCGCTATACGGGATGTCAAGGATCTCGTGGAGAACTGCACTCCGGCTCCCTGCTAACCATTTCCGCCCATGTCGAGACGCAGCCACACCACCCGGCTCAATACGATATATACCAGCTCAGACATGGCTGCCTTCTGTGCACGACCTTGCCCTTGGGTTCTGGCTCCCAGAGCGTTAACTGGCCCTTAGTGTTCATCTAATAGCTTGGCCATGCCTTCCGTCAAGGTGACTAGCTGCATAGCTGCAGCGGTTCTATTCTCCCTGTCCGAGTCTGCACTCGCTCAGAACGATGGCAATAGCACGGGTTGGGGAAGTAGTTCCTCTGCGCGTACGATCGCCGGTGCGATTATAGGTGAGCTACATACTGCTCTCGTCCTTCGGCAAGGCTAATTCTCCATCTAACATCATAGGTGTGCTCCTGGGCCTTATCGTCTTCCTTTTCGCCATCGTCGTCGTCCGGCGTCACCAACGCATCTACGGGAGGCCACAGATGCCCTCAGTCGAGCTGCGCCGCGTCAGCAGCTACGTCTCCGTGTACACCCGGCGGCAGAACGCGGAACTCGGTGTGAACGACCAAGGACCGGGGTACTCAGCGCCGCCCTATGGAGCACAGCCACCGCCGTACAACGGACCAGAGAACTTGGAGGACCCGAAGCAGGTCGAGGCCTTCGATGCCGCTGACCCCGGAGTGGGCGGGCTCGGGTACGATGTGGCGCCGCTGCCGGCGAAGGGTGGTTTGCGTGCGGGCTCGGTCGACGTTGTGGACGCGGAAGGGAGGTATGCATATGATGTGCCGCCTCCGTCCCCTTCGGATATATCATCTGCAAGCACGCCGCCGCCGCCGCCTACTCCCCCTGATGAGGAGGTGAGTGCTTGATATGTGGGTTGACATCTGTCTTCTGGCTGACACTATAATGGAGGGTGCCCGTGCTTGGTACAAAGCCTATCCATGAGCAAGCACGCCCAGGATCGAAGTTATGAAGTCCGTTTGACTCGAATCTACGCCTCTCAAGTTGAATACTACTATGAGACTGTAGCCACCCTTGGCCTGACAAAGTAATAGTGTATCATCAGCAATAATGTATGTTTTATCGTACATACGGCAGATGTGACCAGGATGTGACATATTAGCGCTCAGCTACCCAGTTGGGAAGGTGACGATGTTCGGCGTTGACAGTGACTGGCAAACCCAACCGCGTCGCGCACCTCTCACCACCATCCTCACGCCCTCTCACTTGGATACCCTTTATGAGCTCTAATGCCGCCATTTGTTGCCAGATTCCAGCGCTCGAGAGCGCGACGCGAGCAAGCTACCAGTGCCCTACGCGCATCAATCCACTCCTTCGTCTATGTTGTCTATGAACCTGCGATAGCGTTATGCCTCGCGCTCATCCTGGTGCACTACGAGATCGCTCTCTGGGACGTCTATGACTTCTTGCGCGAAGCTGTCTGCGCATTTGTAGCCGCAGGCGCCTTCGTTCTGCTGTGCGCGATTGCTGAAGTCGACTCGGTTCATTGGGTACGTCGTCTGATCACGCACCCTCTCACCGGCGCTGATACCAAGTCGTAGAACGTGCGCTCGTTCAGGACTCTGAACACGATGGTCGCGTGGGCGTGGCTGCATCACGAACTTTGGACTGTGTTCACTCGTCTGTTGATCAAGCACTTTCCACGGCTGTTCCCTAGTTCTGCACGGTTCGAGCGATGGAACCTGGATGTGCGTGCCAGGTTTCTGGTGAGTGTTTACTGGTCACCTGCGCTACTCTGTTTCCTTATGTCATCGATGCCGACAAGAACGTACTCGTGAAACCTCGGGATCTCTGGCCAGATGACGAGCATGAATGGGTCGGGGACACGTTGCGAATTCAGCTAGGAGACGGCAGGGTGGCTATCATTCCGCTTCCCGACGCCAAATCGCTCAATCAGCACATCTATGAGCTCGTGAAGGCGAACGCGCATCAGCGGCAAACGATTCAGACTCTACAGATTCTTTGGGACCGGGTCGATCGCCTCGAAGATCGTCAACGCAGCTTAGAACAAAGAGAGGCCGGCGTGAACCAGAGGATCGCTACGTTGGTATCAAGTATTCATCGCTACGAACGACGCATCGAAGCGGCCGAGGCGAGGAACACGGAAACCTTGAGACGATTCATCTTGGTTCTTCGTGTCTACCACGTGATTGTGTGGCGTCGTATGGTCATCTTGAAGACGCAACTTTCTCGGGCAACCCAAGACTACAACGCGACGCAGGAGAGACTTTCTGTACTATCTCTCGACTATGAGCTCCTAGAGGATCGCCATGAGGCAGCACTGGAGGAGAAGGAGGAGCTGCTTCTGGAGCTCGCTGAACAGGACGACAAGCTTTGCACCGCTCAGGAAGAGATTGAGGAATGGCAAACCGTGGCGGAAGGCGTCTGCTTCAGTCATGCTCAAGAGCTGAACGAGTTCAAGCTCGCCAAGGCTAGCATGCACAAGTCTATCTCCGTCCTCATGGTTGGTCTGCACGTGCTCTGGCGATTCTCGATGGCTCTAAAGGCGAAGTCTGCTGCTCGTGCTTGCTTGGACCGAGAGGACAAACTGGCTCTGCGTCGACGGCTCGTACTCGTGGAGGCTGCGAACCTCGCTACTGCAAGAGATCTAGCTCAATGGCGGACCTTGTATGAGGAAAGCGATGTGGCCGTCGAGGAACTGGTCGGACTCTACACGCAGCAGCGCGCTACGTACCAGGTTTGTTCTAGGCGTCTCTTGACTGGCTTGTTGATTCTCTGGCGGTACTCCCGGACTCTTGGCCAAGAACTGTTTGAGGCCCGCTTCCGCATGCACATGTGCCCTGTCTCTTGTCGACCATCTAGCGATGACGTGTCTATGGTTCCTGTCTCGCAACCACTACGAGCTCTACTACCGCCCGCGGACAGCATGGAGGGTATAGACGAATCAGGACTTACCGCTGACCAGATTCTTTCGCTGCGGTTCTCCAGGACGAATATCGCATATGCTTCGCTTTCCGTGCAGTACGAGCAACTGCACGCCGAGCTCGACGACGTCTATGACGCCCTCGATGATGCTCAGCAGGAACGCGAAGCAGACAAGGAGAAGTTGCTGTCCGACCTGGCCGACGCGCGCAAGGCTGCTGAGGACCTGCGAACGGCCACACAGACCGAGGCGGGCCAGCTGCGTCAAGAGATGGAGGAAGCGAAGAAGACTATCGAGGCGCTTCGTACAGCTAAGGACACCGCCGAGACCGAGCTGCAGAACAAGCGGAACGAGATGGTGCTGGCGCGTGCCACGGTCAAGCAAATGCGCGCGGAGGTGGAGGAAACGAAGCGCAACCTTGAGAGCCGGGTCGTCGAGTGGGGCGCGTTCGCCGCCCGAGCTGCTTCGGGACGGCCAATGCTCCTGTCGGAACCTCGCGACAACGACGACTTCCTCAGTTCCGTCGAATGCGGCTCCGCTTCCCAGCCTGTGGATCAGGTCGTAGCTCCGCTCGACCGTCAGGTCTCTCCTCCGATGTTGATGGAAAGACGGGATCGTGCGTTGCTCCTCGATACCTCCACCGTCGTCATACAAGCTGGTACCATGTCCTCCCCGATCGAGCGCAAGCTTCCCGGCGAAGGTAGCAGGTATGTGTGCGAAGTACCGGTGACCTCCTTTATATGCGATGCTCACAGTCTGCTCTCCGCTTCTTCTAGTTCACTTAGCTCCCACTTGAACGGTCTCGCTCTCGCGGACCTGCACACACCGAAGGCGTGCTCGCCTTCGCCGTCTCCCGTGGTATCCTCCGTCATAGGGATGCCCGGTGCGATCGACTTCCCCGATAAACCTGTTCCGTTCCGCCCTAGCATCGGTCTCTACAGCGGCTCTCCCCGCGTGCTCCCCATCGCACAGCCGCGGCCGGTCTCTGCGCAACAATCCCTAGCCCGTTTCACGCGGGCGCGAACGCCCCGTGTCGAGATCACATCGAACGCGTCCGACTCGGATGACGAGTCTCCTGTAGAGTCTGATGCGTCTTCAAGTCCGGAACAGGAGTACTTTACACCTGCCTTGCCGGCTGCGGAGTTCTAGCTTGATTCATTCACCATCACCTGCCCTCCGTTTGGTTGTCTTATGGATCTCGTTGGTCCACTCTCATTTGGTTGGATATGTTCATCTCAGCCTCGGCATGTTATACAGAATAGAACACCTGTAGCGTATTGTACATCCCACATGTAGCGACACCTCTACCCTCCGAATACACATCCTCCATCATCACCAATGTCCGATTGTGGGTTTGAACATGTGCGCAAGAGCCGCACAACACGTAGTAGTACAAGAGCAGGCTGGGCGCACTGGCGCGTCAAACGTCCTTAGATACACTGAGCCTGAGGCTCACAATATCAAGAAACTCTTCTCCGACCTCTCGAACCTCTCCGTCGCTGGGGAGCTTGCAAGCACGCCTTCTAAATCCTCCGCGTCCTGACGTGGACCATAGTGCCAGTGCCCGAACTCGGGCCCCTCGTTGGGCCCGCGCCACAGGGACCGATGCCCCTCCGCCTCGCGCACCTTCTCCGCGATTGGATCGATGAATGTCCCGCGTGCGAACGGCGGCGGCGCGTCCGCATCGTCGTGTGTATCCATACGCGTCTGGGAGAACATGGCGGTTCGAGCTGCCGCGGAGCGGGCCAGGAACTCGGAGGAGGGCGCGATCTTCCGCCGACGCCGCGTGCGGAGGACCCAGAGGAGGAGGCCGAGGAGAAGGAGAAGGCCGACCAGACCGCCGATGATTCCGCCTGCGATGGCGCCAGTGTTGGTGTGCCGTGAGGTGCTAATATCAGCCGCGCTAGTGGGAGAGACAGCTGAGGATGAAGACGAAGATGGGGTGGATGATGGGAGGGTGGATAAGGAGGGTTGGACGGAGGTGGGAGAGGGTGTAGCAGAGTCGGTACTGTCAGACGAAAGTGTATCTGTTGCAGTATTGTCCATGGATGCAGATGAGCCATTATCGGATGAAGTTGTTTGGGACGTCGCCGTCGCCGCTGTTGTCCCAGTGTCCGTGCCAGTTGTTGTTGGAGCAATCTATGAAGGCTTGTCAGTCACTTTATTGAGATGGTAAAAGAGTGGCTGAGGAATCATTACGCTATTCAAACTTGTGCCTGTCGTAGGATGGACTAGTACGCTCCAGTCAAAAGAGTACTTGAATCGACACATAAACTTGAAGGATGGCTCACAATGTCTCGTATGCAGAGTCTACAGCAACACAAAAGGCCATGAACACATGCAACTTCCTTCGAACAGATAAGCAAATGTCACCTTGTCCACCTCGTCGACCACCATGACGACCGGTCCCAAAAGACGACTGAGACAAAACTAGTTGCCGAACCTGTTGAACACGAAAGAAGCGAGTCAGGCAGTCGTATGGGTACGCATGAAAGAGGGAAAGAAAGCGTCATGAGAAGAGCTGGGGGCTGTGTTGCTATGAACAGTGCTTAGTTGGACCGTTGGACGTTCATCAGACAGATGTATCAATTGGAAGTAAGAATGACCATAATGGCATCGGGTGGGAATGTCAATTAGTATTTACGCTCACCGTCTGTAGTCGTCTGCACAATGTCACTGCAGGCCCTAGGGCGCTCAACGAGAGCCTGAGCAGGATGGTCAAAGCACCCCACCCTCCTTGGTCCACCCTGGCAGTTATATCAGTGAGACTGTCTGAGACACTGAGCATCGCATTATCTCCATGTCTGCCGAATCCGAGGATGCAAACATCAATGTCAGAGCCACACGAATCGCATTCCCCCATCTGCAGGGGAGTTGCGGTAGTTGGGCAGTTGTTCGCTGGTGAAGTGTCCGATGTGTCAGGTAACTGAGTAAGAACCAGTGAAAACCAAGTGGCGAGTGTACATCAGTCAGTGGTGGAACGTATGAAGCATCACGGAAAGCCCCGATGATCACGGCACCTATGCCACTGGCAGCGCTTGTACCGCAGCAGCGGATCGTCTGTAACGCGCACTGGGCAGACTCAGCGATCCGCCACGCGCTGTAGACGTTCACAAGAGGAGTATGACCGGTACATCCCATGTCAGCCACCTTACTAGCAAGCTTCGCGCGATGTTCCGCGACGGTGAACCTTGGCCGGGTGTGCATGAGATGACAGGAGAACGCGCAGCGCGAGATATCGCACAGTAGTCACCCAGTTTGATCGTGAGAGGGTATGGCACGGAGTGCTCCCAACAACGTCTCTGATCTTCAGATGTAAGCCGTACGGATGCTTGCAGTGGACCATCCATATACACGTCAACTGCATGCTTCGGCACATGCGTTGGACACCAGCGTGAAACGTATGTACCACGCTGTACATCATCGACCTTGACGATCATCTGCGATACAGCAGCCCAACGGCGGAACAACGTTCTGGACTCGGAATCAAGGCACGTAAGCGTCCGAGAGGTACTCCTTACAAGAACGCTCGTTAGGAGGCAGGATGGACATCTGGTTAGCATGGTCAGTCGAACGTGCAAACCCAAGACACAAAGGCCGACATACCCAGGCGAGTCCCCAGGTGACTCGATCTCTTTGTTATTGAGGGCCACGCCTACGATCCCGTCTGAGAAACCACTCCGTCTTGGACATCGCTGATGTGGTCTTCCCAAGGTCTTCCTCGCGTTCTTCACCCGATTCGTCGCCGTCGCCACTCTCTCCGTAGCCGCTGTCGTCAACACTATCCGTGCCACCATCCGACTCGTCTCCCGAGTCTGCGTCGTCGAGAATCTCTTCGCCTAGTGAGTAATCTTCGGGACTGAGGTCCGTGTTGCCCAAAAGCTCGCCTTCCAAGGGGGTGTACGACTCATCGTCGTAGCGATACCAGCCGAAGTCTTTCAGGGGCATGCACTGGGCCAGTAGGCGGCCCCGGCGAACCAACACCATGTCTGAAGTCATGACCTTCTTCGGAGAGTGTGCCCTATCCCTCCAGTCGACGTAAACCCCATACACCATCGTTAGGTCGCCCTTCACTCAGCAGCATTTGACGTGCGGCCAGATGGTCTTGGATATGATCCAACTATGTCCCTCTGCCATGAGATCAAGCTCTCCGGCGGCGGGATCATGGACGATCGGGAGGTTCTGCCTGCGCTTTGACCGCGTTTTGTTGTAAAGAGGCCAGCCGTACACCCAAGGCATGGTGGAGTTAAGCAGGGTAAATAAAATAAATAATGGATGAGCTGAGACGAGGGAACGCATGCGCGTCGTTTGCGAACGGTTGCCAGCAAGTTGCCAGTTCAACGGAATTGGTGATCCGGCGCTTCAAAGACAGTCACGGCAACTGCCGGTGACAGACCCCGATTACCGGCGTTTAGGCATGAGGAGGAGGAAGGAGGAGGAGGAAGGGGGTCCATTGTCGCGTGTACCGTGGCAAAAACACAGTAGACCGAACTTGGATTATTGTCACAGTAGGAGACGAACATACATTCTATGGCAGTTGGATGTTCCAATTGCACTGAGGGGGAGCTCTGGATGTGAAGACAGTTTGGTGGATACATATCGAGACGACGCAATACCGAAAGGACACGCAGGAATACACACATATACATGAGTCCCAGTAAGTATTTGTTCGGACACAAGGAATCAATTATGAAGATACACTGCTAACTCATGTGCATTCGCAATACGTGCTCAGTGCACTCAGTGTGTTGACAGAATAAGGAGAGACGTACATGCATAGTACATCTCAAAATGGGAGGGAGAATAGAGGGCTACTATCCAGACGTCACACAATGTTTTCACTGTAAGACGATAAGAGAAGGCGTGTTGAACAGCCTGTATCAAGGCTGCGGCCCAACAATGGTGCAACATGCATCTACGCAGCACCAAATGGTTAGTATGGGTTATCTCAGACTATGTGCGACAAACTCACTGAAGTCGTTGGGCAGCGACTTCGCTGCCTCACAGGTTCCGGACTCCTCTGGCAGCAAGTCCAACTTCGAGCCCGCGCCATCGGTTACCGTCTCATAGTCACTCTCGACACTGTCTTCTCCGCAATCTTCCTCATCGCCGGTATTGTTCATCGACGCATCTCCGTCGCTGTCGTCATCGCTGCCCTCGTCACTGCCCTCGTCATTGTCCTCGTCACTGTCCTCGTCACTCTCGTGACGCGTCTTCTCTGCATGGACGATCAGCGAAGTCAGAATAGGTGCCGGTACTGAGTAACTCACCATATAGGACACCGGACGGGTCTTCGTACTGGTACCAGCCAAGATCCCTGAGTGGCATAGCTCGCCCGAGGCGGCGATGCTGCTCGCGAGTCATGATCTCCTTGCTGACGAGTTTGGTCGGAGGATAACGATTGTCCCCGTAGTCGACATATGCAGCGTAGACGAGCTCAGGGAGGCTGTTGACCCAGCAGGTAAGTATAGGGATCATGCCGACTTGATCTGCGACCCATAGCCGGGCTGCTTGAATGTACTGATAGTCACCGGCATTCGGGACTTTCACGAGATGACGCTGTTTCGCGATTTCGATCGCATCGTCATCATAGAGAGGCCAGCCGAGTACCCAGGTCATGACAATTATGAGAGCACAAGCAGAGCACAGACAGGAAGAATGGGAGAGGACGACAGACGCAACTCCCGCATTAGTACATGCGGTTTGGGTTGCAACAGGTTGCAACCGGTGAGGGCGACCGTTAATGTGGCTCCGGTCATGTGATCGTGGCATGATCGCCCAACCAATGAGAGGTCCTTGTTCTCGGAGTTGAACGTAGGAAGGTCATTTCGGAGACGAAGGCGTCGAATGCGACACAAATGCAGGCAGAGACACTAGATCGTGAGACTGAACACGCGTACCTATACAGGAATCCAGCGTGATCATTTGCCAGAGGGGGTTCCCACCATTACAGCTGCGAAGCCACAACATAAGTTGATTGAACATAATAACATTGGGTCAGTTATACAGGCAGAGTACAGCACAACGTCGATGGCTGCGAAGTGATGATACAGAATATACTAGTACTATAATACAGATTCCGCATAGTATGATGGCAAGAGGAGGAGGAACGAACTGCCTTGTGTCGACGCTACGGCTTAGCGAATGTACAACAAGCATTTCTAGGCAACGTCAACTCGTCAACAGGCGTAGTTTGTTATGATGTGTGGCGCACTCACTAGAGGCCATCGGGAGGCGATGTGACCACCTCGGAGGAGCTCGGAGGGGCTGGACCCCTCTGCGGACAAGTCCGACCTCGAGACTACACCGTCGGTCACTGTTTCATTGTCGCATGCCCGGGCCAGCGTGTCTTCGTCGTCGCTGGAAGTCGACGTGTTATCGTTGTCGTCTTCTCCCCTATCGCTATTTCCATCGTTACTCGTGTCACTGCCCTCGGCACTACCCTCGTCACTGTTGTCAATCTCTTCGTCGACCATCTCCTCTTCATCCGACATCAGTCGAGTTGAAGAGATACAAGGGCACACGCAACTTACTGTACAGTTCACAGGACGGGTCATTGTGTTAATACTAGCCAGAATCTCTGAGTGGCATCACCTTCTTGAGGCGACGATACTGCTTCAAGTTGTCGGACATTGTCATGTTCTCGAGGATGATGTCGGTTGGAGGGTAGCGATTGTCACCGTAGTCGACATATATAGCGAATACAATCTCCGGAACATCGTTGACCCGGCAGGAGAGTGCAGGGACAATGCCGACCTGGTCGGCGACCCACAGCTGGGCTACTTCGATGCGCCGATAATTTCCTGCGTTCGGGTCCTTGACAAGATTGCGCGTCTTCGCAATCTTGAGCGCGTCATCGTCGTAGAGAGGCCAGCCAAAGACCCAAGTCATGATTACAATACCAAAGCATGCAAGTATGTTACTTAGGGAGGTCGAAGGCGACTTTCCAGATGTGTTGAGGTGACCGTGGGAGCTTGGAATGAACTTGAACGGCTGTGGCCTCGGGCATGTGATCGCGACAGGACCGATCGCCTACTTAGCCAATGAGAGTACAACTTCAAGTACAAGGACGCAGTTTATGTAAATGCAGAATGGACGCGTCGGAGATGGATACATCAGACGTGATACAAAACAGCTCACAGTAATACGACTTTGAGGCTCGATGCGGACGCATATGTGAGTTCAGTGTGATAACGATTGTTTGCCAGTGGAATGCTACTCTACAGGACCGCGAGGCCACAATACTTGATAGTACAGGTCGGAGATAGTGGGATTAAAACAAACATGCAGGCAAATTACAATGTAGTGTTGATGGTGATGGAGGAGTGCTACAAAACAAGGCGCTAGATGATGATGCAGAGCCCGGACAGCATGACGACAAGATGAACTGTGTTGAGTCAAGGTTGCGGCGCAGCGATGGTGCAACACGCATCTGCGCGACGTCAATTAGTTGAAGCTAATCCCATATGATGTTCGACACACTCACTGAAGTCTGTCGATAGCGACTTGGCTGCCTCGGAAGTCCCAGAGTCGTCTGGGAGCAGGTCCATCTTCGGGACTACACCGTCGGTCACCGTTTCAGTGTCACTCCCAGCGGCGTCTTCATCGTCGCTAGCGAACTTCATCGACGCATCTTTGTGATCGCCTTCTCCATCCTCGCCGTCTCCATAACTACCCGTGTCACTGCCCCCGTCACTGTCCTCGTCGCCGTCGTCGGCGTCCTCGTAGAATATTTCCTCTTCATCGCCAACATCAGTCGCGCTAAAGAGATAGCAAGGCGCATAAACTCACTGTACTTTACACAGGTCGGGTCATTGTACTGGTACCAGCCGAAATCCCTGAGTGGCATGACCCTCTTGATGCGGCGATACTGCTTGTTCGTCATCGTCGTCTCCTCGGGAACCAGCTCGGTCGGAGGATAGCGGTTGTCCCCATAGTCGACATACATAGCGTACACGCTCTCCATCTCGTCGTTGACCAAGCAAGCGAGGACAGGGACAACACCGATCTGGTCCGCGACCCACAGCCGGGCTGCTTGGATGCGCTGAGCATTTCCCGCATTCGGGTCCTTGACAAGATTGTGCTGCTTGTCAATCTTGAGCGCATCGTCGTCATAGAGAGGCCATCCAAGAACCCAAGTCATGTTGATTGATATGTGTGGAGAGAGCGATGGTGGGGGTGCGTGAAAGTCAAAGACAGTGACGCCCTTAAGTGTCTCGGAGGCAAGTGTGGCTTCGGCGCTCCCAAGCGGGAATTCTCTTTGCCGTGGCTGGACGGCAATAGCAACCGATCATTATACTGTATCGGGCCGGGATCTCGGCCGGACATGGTACTCGGTCAGTCGAGTGCCGTAGGCTCAGTTCCCCGTCTTACAACACATTATGCATACCAGTCGACTCTCACAATTTTCCTCTACCTCCTGGTATAGTTTTCTTGTGATTAACTTTAGTAATGAGCCCACGGTGGTCGACTGACCGAGTACCCTGTCTGGCCGAGATCCCGGCCCGATACAGTAAGTGAGCGCCGTGGCACCGTCGCCCGATATAGATGTTTAATAGATGTGGCTGATGACTGAACTTGGGACTGATCGACTCTTTTGTGTCGAACCTACTCTGGGCTCAGTGGCCAATCCTGCATCGGGTTGCATGGTAGCGATAACCACGGGGGAACGTCCGGGATAGGCAATATCTGTAGTCACCAGGACACAATAACGCCTTCTCGGTTCGCTGCCTTCGCGTCTAGATGTGGCTGAGTGATCGACGCCCATTGTTCGCCCATTCAGGTTGTGTGGTCAGTGCCACTCAGTGCCACATCGGGATGCGTGGTTGCGAAGACCATGGTGGCACGCCTGATTTAGGCAATTCTTGGTAGCAAGACCACGCGCCATCTTCTCGGCTGGCTGGCTTCGTGTCTCAGCCATGCGCTCAGGTTGCAATCGTATAAAGGGGCCTCAGGTCCCCCCTCGGACTTGACATCCCCAGCACCGCATACCACTTCTCCTACGATCCGACCATGGCGCTATTCGTACGAACCACTCGGGCTATCATACAATCCTTCGCTGGCGATCCCGGCAACTTTCTCGGCAGGACTCTGGAGTGGCCGTGGTACGGGTTTTGGACACAGGCGTTCTACGGCGAAGTGGATCCTCGCACGGTCAATGTTGGCCCGCAGTCTGAGGTTGTCAAGCGACAGCGGACCAACGACGGCCGGGTTGTGCTGAGGAAAAGAGTCCCAGATTTTGTCCTCCATTATGCCACTGGCGTCCCTCTGGATCACGACATAGGCTCGTTGCTCGAGGTGACCAATCACGAGCAGTTGCAGCAATTCTACCAGGGCAGGTGCATCGTGACCAAGTCGCTCGTCTTAGCGATCTGCGAGGTCAAACCCTATCCGGATCCGAACGTTATACCAGCGGGGGACCAATTTCGAGACAAGCTAGCCAAAGCGTTGGGGGCCATCCAGGCTGAGGCGCGGGCGGGTGCCAAAAATCAGGCTGCGCTATACCTGGCTTCACGACGGAACATCTCTTGCGTCGTAGCCATTTCCACCTTTGGAGCCTACTTTTCATGGAAAGTCTTCGTGCAGGGCGGTGTCAGCGACGTGTCGAGCAACCTTGATGCGACATACAGAGATTCGGGCGGGGCCAGCGAAGAAAGCTCCGCCGACCAAGCTGCCAGGTAAGTGAGCTCGCTTCAATTGCCTTCTTATAGTCGATGACGGTCAATTTTCTAGTAACAACGAAGCATCTGCCAATGTCTCTAGTGCCGCCGCGGCTCCATCGTGATTACCACATCAGACGCTCTGCTGAGGATGATGCTAACCAATTTTCAGAAGGAATGAGCGACCAAAACGAAATCGACGGCCAGTGTATGACGGTTCTCCTGTTGTTCGTTGTCATCATGCTAATCGATTTCCAGTGTCAAATATGGACAGTACCCGCTGCCAAGGAAGGAGACAGCGAAGGAAGGACCGAATACTTCAGAGGACGAAGGGGATGAGGACGATGCGTAAGTCAATCGATCCCCATGGCCTAGTCATCATCTGACAATGTGATATACCATACAGACCTCTCACAATGCAGAAAGTGACAGGGAAAGGCAAGGCAGTGGCGAAGCCGGAAGAGAAGACTGAAGGGGATGTCAAGAACCGACGCGTGGACGAGCACAAGGACAAGGGGAAAGGGAAAGGGAATGAGGTACAGAGTCGGCCAGCACCAGAAATGCCGCTACTTGAGCTGCCACCGCTCCTTGATTTTTCGGAAGAGTGAGTCGTGCTCCCATAGATTCTGATCTCAAAGTCCCATAACTTATTCGTGGATTAAGTACGCTCGAAGAGGTTATTGCGAGCAGTGCGCCAGCTGCCGAGGAGTTGAAATCCACGACGAGCAGTCCAGGTCCGGAGACCGCCTCGACATCTGCCAACACCTCTGGCGCCGCCCGAGGAGATCTCGAACAGCCGAACGCCGACTCTGACCATGGAGACGAAGAAGACACAGAAGACATTCCTCCGGCTGAGTACGTCACTGTTCTTCCCTGTAATGGAAAGCGTTCTGATGTCCGATGGTTAACAGACTGGAATGGTCTCAGTGGTATCACTGGGACACTGCCAACGGCATCAGGGAACGAACGAAGATGCTTAAGGCCATTCAACGACAGCACCCTGACCTCCAAATCCGCCGCCAGTAATGATAAGGTCTGCATGAACGAACCTCAGGAACGTCGCCCCTGTCTAAAGCCTTCCCCTTCTCATATGTCCTTTACTGAACTCTGAAAGTGACCTGTACTTGTTCTGAGATGTAGTATATATTGTATTTGTCCGGTCCAATCTATACTAATTGTGTCTGCGACGATCTGAGGTGCAACGCTCAGGTGTAAAAATCCTGAGTTGTCGGACCAATTCCGCGCATACATCAGCCAAATTCACGACGCATCATTTGATTCTGGTACGTTGCTTCCCAACATGGACCAGACGTAAAACCATGGCTGTCTGGAGCTTCGCACATGTCCGGGTTTGCTAGTCAGGCGACCCCGTGTGTGATGCCAGTTTACGGATATTGTGTTAACACACTGCGGCAGTAAAGTTTGACTCGGAGCGAGGAGCGAATCCATTCACTATGTCTTCGCCTGGCAATGTCATCGGCGAGTCTGCTTGGACAAACATGGAGAGACAACACGCACCGCTGTCAACCCATGCATGCCGGTACCGAAAGGGCTACGTGTTCGCGTTCCATCTGACAAGAACACATACAAGACTACGTGGATCGTAAGGTACACAACAGCAAAATGCAGGCGAGCGTCCACCCGGATGTCTCCTAGGGTCACATTACAGCGCAAGACATGCATGGCACAAGAAAGTACGAAAGTACGAAGCACGACAGCGAACAGTGTCTCTCCTCACAAGGCAAACCGATACATCTCCTCAGGCTTATGAATTTCATCCCCCCTCATCGCAGCCTCCTCGTTTTGTCACCGTTAGAGGTCCATGGAGGCACACGTAAGCGTATACGCGTCCACACCGTATGTCGCACGTCTAAGGGAGCGTCCAGCCACCGGCACACATACCGGCGGCGCGCCAACTAGTGCAGCTACAGCGCGCCCGTGCAGGCGGGCGCAGCCGCCTCCTCAGCCCACCAAAGTCCAGAGTTCAGCCGAGCTACATACCCCGGGCCCTCGCAGGCAGCTAGCTCGGCGGCTTGTCCACGCTCACGCTCCTCCGCCCCACGCTCGCCCTCTCCTCCGACCTCTCCCGGCCGGTTGCCCCCACCCCGCTCCCGCCGCTATGCATACTATGCACGCTGTGCATACTGTGCACGCTCACCGAGTCGTCCTCCCGCGCGCGCTTCTGCCCGGTGCCCGGCGACGACGCGACGGACACGGACATAGACGTCGGTACGGCGAAGTTCGCCATCGACCGCGCGGCGCTGCTGATCCCGACGGTGTGCGGGATCCCCCGCGCGCTCGTGCTCGGGAAGAGCGAGGCGGCGCTGAGCTGGCTGGACTGCGCGCCGGACGAGGAAGACGTGCCGGAGAGGAAGTCGAACCAGTTGCCGTTGTCCGTGGCCGAGTGCGCGCCCCCTAGGTACCGGGAACGACCAACAACGATGAGTGCGACGCCGATCGGCGACCAAGTACCACGCACCGTTCTCTGGCCGATTCTGCTGACCACCTGCATGCACCGGCCAGTCAAACAAAGGCATCCCGCCCTGCCCTCCTCCACCCGCACCTCCCCCGCTCCCATTCGCCTCGCCCAGCAGCTCCAACGCCATTGCCGTCGCCGACGACACGCTTCCCTGTCTCTGCTGCTGCTGCTGTTGATACATCGGCGCTGGTTTTTGCTGCGGCGTATACGGCGACGCCGAACCGTGTTGACTATGCTGGCCACCAGGGAAGCCGACCGTGCGCAGCGACGGATGGTGGCCCGTGCCCATGTCCATGCCGAACGCGCTGGAACCCTGGGAGCCCAGCTGCGAGAGGAAGCCCGCGGGGGCGCTCTGCGAGCCGAGCCCACCGCCCACGTCGTTCATGCCGAGATTGAGGCTGGAGCTGGCGTACTGGAGCGAGGGTGGCTCGCGCTCTGTGTGGGCGGGAGGCCGGGCGCGGAATGGAGGGGCGTGATGCCCGTCTGGACGGGGCAGCCCGAGCTCATGTCGACCCCGTGGTGGTAGGGGTAGTGCGGCATGCCGCTGGAGCCGCTCGGGCCGGCAGCGAGGAAGGAGAGGTTGAGCGACTGCGGGAGGGCGGGCATGGAGTTGCTGTGCGTGGGGAGGTGGGGGCCGTCGTCGAGGCGGGGGCGCTTAGAGGCGAGGGAGTGGGAGATGTTGCGCACAGGCGGGGACGCGGCGCTGAGGCGCTCGCCGCAGACGGGGATGGTCATGGAGGAGGTCGTACCCGTGGATGAGAGGCGGTAGTCGAGCTAGAGTACGGCGGTCAGCCTATGGGAAGTCCTTGCCTCACGACATGAGGCAAAGGAGATAGGAACGAGACAGACAAGCAGCGAATAATACAGCATCCGAGGATGGCAGTGGCGGGGAAATACAGGACAGGGTGCTAGATCAATGACACAAATGATACAGTATTCATACAGTACCAACGACAAGAGGATGTGGCACGCGTCAAGGCTGTGGTTCGGTGATGGTGCAACGCGTATCTGCGCAACATCAGTTGATCAAGAGGAAGACTTATGTCATGCACGACACACTCACCGAAATACGTCGGTAGTGAATGAGTTACCCTAGAGGGGCAGGAGTCCGACTCCGAGGGCGAGTCCAACCTTGAAACTACACCGTCGGTGACTGTCTCATTGTCGCTCCCAGCCGCGTCTTCTTCGTCGTTCGCAGTGTTCATCGACGTATCATCAACATCGTCTTCTCCATCGCCATCCGTGTCGCTACCCTCATCACTGCCCTCGTCACTGTCATCCTCGTCCTTGTCAACCAACTCTCCTTCATCCAACATCAGTCGCGTCGAAGAGACACAAGGGCTCATAAGCTCACCGTATAGTTCGCAGGACGGATCGTTGTGCTGGTACCAGCCGAAATCCTTGAGTGGCATCGCTTTCTTGAGGCGACGGTACTGCTTGCCGGTCATTGTCATGTTCTCTCGGATGAGATCGGTCGGAGGATAGCGGTTGTCGCCATAGTCGACATACACAGCGTATACGACCTCCGGGACGTCGTTGACCCAGCAGGAGAGCACAGGGACAATGCCGATCTGGTCGAGGACCCACTGGTGGGCTGCTTGGATGCGCCGATCATCTCTCGCGTTCGGGTCCGACTTGACAAGATTGTGTGTCTTCGCGATTATGAGCGCGTCGTCGTTGTAGAGAGGCCAGCCAAAGACCCAAGTCATAATTATGATACTGATACCGAAGCCTGGAAGACAAACAATATTGTCAAAGTCGAAGACGAGGTTCCAGATGCGCGGTAAAGTTGGTTTGAACAGGTAACCGTGGACTGTGGCTTCGGGCATGTGACCGCGACATGATCGACTGATCGCCCAACCAATCATCGACCTACTGTATCGGGCCGGGATCTCGGCCAGACAGGGTACTCGGTCAGTCGACCACCATGGGCTCATTCCTAAAGTTAATTACAAGAAAAACATATCAGGAGGTAGAGGAGGATTGTGAGAGACGACTGGTATGCGTAATCTGTCGTAAGACTGGGAACTGAGCCTACGGCACTCGACTGACCGAGTACCATGTCCGGCCGAGATCCCGGCCCGATACAGTACATACTTGCTGAGTGTAATTAAGCCGCGGTAGATGTGGCTGCTGAATAGGTACTGTATAGTTAAATGAAGCAGGAGGGAGGCCCACCCTGTTGACCGCGCATGCGCACATTGTATCCGGCTAAGATGTCGCTTATTTGGCATCACCAGGTAGGGCCCATCTCGTCGGAGCCCCGACATTGAGTGTTTCAACGTCGATAACAAACACCAGCCACGGGCAACCGCGCTCCCCCACTTGGCAGCGGCACCTTCGATTTTCAAGCGCGTCGCAATCAAGGCCGAGCCGGCTTGATCCTACGAAACGCTGCCTTCCGGTTCTTCCGAGTTGACGCATCAGATGTCCGATTCAAAATAACACCAGACAAAAATAAAACAGGTCTATTCGTGACGATGCAATGGCCTGCGGGGAAGCTGACAGCGAGAGGACACCTCCGCTCGTTTGCGGGAGGAGAGCCAGAGCGTCTGATTGAGTGACCGGTAAGAGACCGGAACACCATCCCCTTGTCCGCAAACCTGTCTCGAACGGACTCGGCAGTGAAATTATCCAACGACACCGTGTAGATTCGGACTGCACAGGACAGACACCGAGCCTTGCAAAGGACCCGCCGCAGGGCCGCCGCACAAACGTGGATAACGCCGCGCAGTCGTGTCCCACCAGCCGGTATCATCGTCGCCATATCGAGGCTCCGAGGAGAAAGAAGGGTAGTGTGGGAGTGCGCGCACGTCCATTTGGCCATATGCAGTGCAGACGATCTGCCAAACCGCCTGCCGCATCCGCCTTCGAGTGGCCCCGTCGAATCTTCCGTCGACGCGTCCGGTGTAAACTCGCCGCCGTGTAGCCCTCTGCGAAGCTGCCTTCCTGCCGTGCACCCCATATCGTGTCGTACCTCTCTCTTTGACGCGCTCGGACCATCCGTCGATGCACGCTTCGAAGTTCGAATTCGTGATGGCGAGGCCCTCGTGAGCCAGAGCTATAAATAGCGGGCAAATGCGCGCGGCGAGATTTGGGGCAGCACAGCCGCCCATTTTGCGAGATATTTTAAGCGCATTTATTTTTGACCCCGTTAGGCGAGATTTACAGACCCGATAGACGAGCAGGCACAGCGGTTTATTTTTACCAGTCTATGTTCTGTCTCTTCTGGCGTCGGTGAGCGAGATTCGGCCCTCCCGATGGATGGCTTGTCCTAATTTTGGTGGTGAGCTCAATAGCCCGGGCTGCTCGCGCACGGCTCCGGGCGTCGTACCTGAGCTTCGCTGACGCGCGCAGCGCATGACGAACACTGACCCAGATGTGCGCGGTGATAACTTACAGCACCACTGCTCGCGGGACGCTGGCATGAGAGTCCGGAGCTTGCAGGCAGACAATGAATTACGAAAGCAGTGGACGCACACTGTCGGGTGAACATTCATTCATGACCACGGGCCATACCAGACCCCACGTCATTCATAATACCCGGAAAGGCATCCAAAGGGGTGGACTCTGGATGGGATCCTCAAGGGAGAACTGTATGGAAGGGGATAGATGGACATGGCCATACGCTCACGGCTCGGCGCACAGACCGACCCCCAATCTCACGTCATCCGCAAGGCCCTCGCACAGACAATAGCGAGCGAACGGACGGGCTGAGTCGAGGGCGGGCGGGACAGAGACCGCGAGGCGGAGCACCGCTGTGGCACGTCCCGCGCGCTCGCGTACAAGCGCCATCGTCAGCGAGAGGCTCGAGCGAGGCATAGAAGGAAGGTAAGTAGGCACACACGCGCACACGCCCACGAAAAGGTCCGCGTCCAGGGAACGCCCGCGCCGTAAGCTTCAGGCTCGATGACCCATAAAGGCAACTTTTCGCACCAGACCGCGCGTCATGCGTAAGACGCGGAGAGAAGCCTCTGGGGACGTCGACGCGCGTTCGTTGTGCGCGGTAGAACGGTTGCCCGCAGGACGAGACTTGGGAAGCGACATGAGAAGAGAATGCGACAAGAGCTGGGGTTGGGAAAGGAGTTTGTTATGACGTACAAGATGTCGATGGGTCTTCCTCCGAGGACCATGCCAATGAAGAGAACAACGTCCGCGTGTCAGCGGACATTGCTCATCGGAAGAAGATAACTGCTGGCACATGTCAACGACACTCGTAAGTTATCTTCCTGCACGATGCAGGACACGGAAGAGATTTCGGCCTACGACGATGGATGGTCGGACGCGCACGGCTGGCTCCCGTCGACGTCATTGCGCGACCTCCCCTTCAAGGAACAGCGCACTACGTCCGCAAACGTCGTTGAGCGTAACGACATGACCCAGTGATCATGCCTCCGATGGATGAGGAGCACATGGGTTTCTCGGATTTTTTCGAGCTAGCAGTGCCAACGAACCCGGCATATCCTTGATCATATCAGAACTTGCGGCCATATGCGCTGCTGCAAGACCCGGATGGGCTCGCGGAAGCCCGAGCCACGACGTCGCCTCCGTGCGACGCCAACGGCGTAGATCCCAAGTGAGCGACACGGCCTACTGACTCTCGGTGAGCGCAAGAAGGCTCCCAGGGAGCAGCGCACCCGCGAGCCACACCGGGATCACCGACAAACCTCCGTCCGTCCGTCCATCCATCTCATCGCGATGCTCCCCGAGCTTCCACCAGGCGTGCAGCGGACCCCACCCGCACCGGGACGGCCAGCGCAGATCCAGTCAGCGCGCAAGCCGACTGCCTAAGCCACAGCCCCAGTCTCCACCTGCGCGCGACGGGACATCGTCCATGACGCACCCAGGCCGCCTTCGCAGGACCTTCGCGGTCGTCTTCGCGTTCATCGTTCCCTCGTCTTCTCGAACCCTCACACGCCAAGAGCCGCCCGCAGCGACACGGACAGGCGGCCGGTGTGCATACCTTCCCTTCCGGGCCTCGCCCAGCCTGCTTACTGACGATATGAGAGTGCGCGCCCCCTCCCTCGCACGCCCACGCCCACGCACCCTTCCTCGGTCTCGAGGCGGGCGCGGGGGCCCGACGGAGGCCGCCCCCCTAGCCGACCATGCGTCCTGCGCCGGGCAAACGACGGCGGCGGGACTGGGTGGAGTGGGACGGCGGTCGCGAGGCGGGCAACTGTGGTGGACAAGTGGTGGAGATGACCAGGCGGAGAGGGTCGAGCAGGTCGTTCGATGCATAGCCGACCCGCCCCGTGAGAAGGCACTGTCGTCACCCGTCTGCGGCCCATCGACAGCCACTCCACTCGTATCCAGCGAACCACCGACCAAACCATTGCAGAATGGGCCCACTGGTAGCACGCCAGCTACCGACACTGCCGGCAGGACATGACGGTAGTTCATTATCCTGGACGTCCGCGCGCCAGAGGGGCTGCGGAGAAGCTGCGATGTAATAGATAGGGGCTTCCATTTGACATCTAAGTTGACCCGCTTGCAGTCTGCGATCTATTGACGGTGGTCCCTGGTGTTGCTGTCCTGGCGGTATAGTCGTAATGAACGTCCCCTGGCTGAATTGTTGTATGTTCTGTCAATTCAATTTGAATTGTGAGGATGTAGACAGATGAGAACTTGGATAGCTACAGGATGGATAGAGGCGCCGCCGCTTGGCAATGTGGTGGCAGCCGAACAAGCGGAGCACGCGACCTGTGCGACGCAAAGCATTGTGACAAGTCTGCCGTAACCATCGTATGTAGGCGGATGACAGTATCATGTCCCAAGACACCGCAGCGGCACTGTGGTGAATCGAACCACCTTCACGAACCTATCCGTAGTAGCTTTGGTGAACTTCTGCACCCAGACCAGACGGTCAAACGGTCAACTCCATCGCGGAGCAGTATCGCACCATGACCGCGTCGCGCCACCGCCCCGAAGTTGGCGCGCCCGCCGCGTCGGCGCCGCCTCCTACTTTGACCGCTTCGGCGTGGAACGTGGCCCACGCCCGAGGAGCACCCTGGGACCCGCTGACACAGCGCACCGCATAAATCGCGCAACCGCGTCGAGCAAAGGGAACACCTTCACAGTCTTTCATTTTCACAGTATTCGGACCGCGCACCGGCCGACCTTCGAAGGACGATCCCTTCACAAGTTCACGCCTGTGAACCGCGAGCCACACGACGCGCAGGAGAGGAAAGGGGGAGGAGACCCACTTGTTGGTCCGGCAAGCTGTGCGGGCCCTAATGGATCCTGGTGCGGTGTATGAGGAGTTGTGGGAGAGCGTAGTAATGGTGTGCGGTGGTTGTCTCGCATGTTGTTCGGCTGCCAGCGAAAGCGCTGCACTGGTAGCAGAACGTTCATGCGCTTAGTCTGGAAGTCCTCTGTAAACATCGCTGTCACCCGAGGGCTGAGAGAGGGAGAATCCCGCCTGGCTGCGATACGCACAATATGGCAGACTGCGGTGTCCGTCCGAGACTGACAGTGGCCACACGGAGTCGGATCCTGATCCGGCCCAAAGAGGCAGAGCACGAACCAGGGACGGCGTTACGTTAAGCTGCACATGCCGACGCCGGCAATGTCTTCGATCGAAGATCTGTCAGGCACGCTGCGGAGGCCACGGACGGCCCGCCGCCGCCGGCCGTGGCCGCCGTGCAAAGTGAAGATCGCGCCTGGTCACTGTGCTCAGTGGCTGCGCGACGCAGACTGCGGTGGCCATAGCGGCGCGCTCGTAGATCATTATTCGTAGACGCCGCGTCGGAGCATGACCAAAAGACAGGCGCATTGGGGAGAACGAGAACAATGAATTCGGAATACAATGAGACGTACGGATGCCGGGGACGCCGAACAGGACGGCTTGAGGTTACGGGAAGAGGAAATGATGAGGGCATGGGCGGCTTGGAGGGCGGCCGGGTGTGGGTTTACGCGCAGGACGACGGTCGACCGCGATGGGCAGGACGCAGCCCGGGAGCCGTGGTTGGGAGCGCAGGCCACGCGAAGGTGTCGACGCAGGACGGCGGTGAGAATGCCAAGGGTGTTGGGCGTGACGGGGGCTTGGAGGGGAATGTTGAAGAGTAAGAGTGGGAACGGAAGCAGGCTCTCGGGGGAGAAGATGAGACACGAGATGGCGGTGGGTGCAATAGGGATGTGATGGGGCGAGTGCTGAATGGGGATGGGGAGGCCGGGAGGGGCGAAGAGGACGCTGCTGCGGAGAAACGGGTCGGCCGGGTGAGAAGAGAGGAGGAGGAGCCCCGCGGACGGCGTTTGCAGTTGTTGTGCTTTGTGCATGCGCGCGCGTCCGACCGCCAGTGCCAGCCCGGCCTCCCTCAAGTGCTCCTCCAGCGCCGGCCTCCTCCTCTGTCTCCTCCCCCTCCCTCGCTCCTCGCCCGCTGCCCGCGCAAAGCCCGCCCGCCCGCCACCATGGGCCGCAGAAAGATTGAGATCCAGCCCATCACGGTGCGTGTCCCGCGGTGCGTGTGCGGCAGGCCTAAAGATGCGCGACGGCCTGCCCGCGCGCGGTGCTGGCGAGAATAGCCCGCTGACGGTCCGCCGCCCATGTATAGCACGAGCGCAATCGGTCTGTGACCTTTTTGAAGGTCTGTCTCTATTTTTGCACTCGGGCTTGGCATCCTTGCCGTTGGCCAATCCGGGCCCGACTCCCGCCTAACGCCCGCCCCCAGCGCAAGAACGGCCTCTTCAAGAAGGCCTACGAGCTCGGTGTCCTCTGCTCCGTCGACGTCGCGGTCATCATCTTCGAGGAGCGTCCGGGCCACCATGTCAAGCTCTTTCAGTACTGCTCGACCGACGTCAACAGCATGGTCCAGCGCCATCTCCGCGTGCGTACACGACGCCCTCTTCCGCATGCTCTCTGACCACTCTCCAGTTCGACGGTGAACGCGACACGCGCGGACCATCAGACTTCAGCGGAAACACAAAGAACGACAACGTCGACGAGGATGACGAGGATGGCGACGACGAGGACGGTGCACGGCCATCGAAGGGTCGCCAGGCACCCAGCAAGCCCGCAAAGGTGAAGACAGAGAGCACCAACGGCAGCCTCAACATCAACGGTGCGATCCCCATCCGCCCCGTTCCACAAGCAAACACCGACCTCTCCATGATCAACGTGCGTAGCCCTTCTCACGTTACTCCCACAGGCTGACCGCCGTACTCCAGCTCGACTACCGCCTCTCACCCACGGGCACGACCTCCTCCATGACCATCCCCGTCTCCGGCGAGCGCCTCAGCGCCGCGTCCCCGCCTGTGCGCAACATCTCCCACTCCCTCGCCTCTAAGCGCCCCCGCCTCGACGACGGCCCCCACCTCCCCACGCACAGCAACTCCATGCCCGCCCTCCCGCAGTCGCTCAACCTCTCCTCCCTCGCTGCCAGCCCGAGCGGCTCGAGCAGCATGCCGCACTACCCCTACCGCCTCGAGGTCGACATGAGCTCCGGCTACCCCGTCCAGACGGGCATCACGCCCCTCCACTCCGCGTCCGGCCTCCCGCCCACGCAGAGCGCGAGCCACCCCTCCCTCCAGTACGCCAGCTCTGGCCTCAATCTCGGCATGAACGGCGTGGGCGGCGGGCTCGGCTCGCAGAGCGCCCCTGCAGGCTTCCTCTCGCAGCTGGGCTCCCAGGGCTCCGGCGCGTTCGGCATGGACATGGGCACGGGCCACCATCCGTCGCTGCGCACGGTCGGTTTCCCCGGCGGCCAGCATAGTCAACACGGTTCGGCGTCGCCGTATACTCCCCAGCAAACATCAGCGCCAATGTATCAGCAGCAGCAGCAGCAGAGACAGGGAGGCGTGTCGTCGGCGACGGCAATGGCATTGGAGCTACTGGGCGAGGCGAATGGGAGCGGGGGAGGTGCGGGTGGAGGAGGGCAGGGCGCGATGCCGTCGTTCGACTGGCCGGTGCATGGGGGTGGTCAGCAGAGTCATCCAGAGAACGGTGCGTGATGCTCAATTGCCGCTCGGCGTCGCGCTCATGATTGTGGTCGTTCCCGGGACCCAGGGAGCGCGCACTCGGCCACGGACAACAGCAACTGGTTCGACTTCCTCTCCGGCACGTCCTCCTCGTCCGGCGGCCAGTCCAGCCAGCTCAGCGCCGCCTCCCTATTTCCAAGCACGAACGCGCGCGGGATCCCGCACACCGTCGGGATCAGCAGCGCCGCGCGGTCGATGGCGAACTTCGCCGTACCGACGTCCATGTCCGTGTCCGTCGCGTCGTCGCCGGGCACAGGGCAGAAGCGCGCGCGGGAGGACGACTCGGTGAGCGTGCACAGTATGCACAGCGTGCATAGCATGCATAGCGGCGGGAGCGGGGGTGGGGGTGGGCTGACCGGCCGGGAGAGGTCGGAGGAGAGGGCGAGCGCGGGGCGGAGGAGCGTGAGCGTGGACAAGCCGCCGCGCTAGCTGCGTGCGGGGGCTCGGGGCTTTGGGCTTTGAACTGAGGAGGCGGGCGGGCGCACCCTCCGTAGGACAGGGCGGGCTGCCTCCGTCCCTGTTCGCGTCCGGCCGAGCGCGAGCTGTGCGGGGCGCTGGCGGATGGACGCTCCCCTAGACGTGCGCGCCCTTGAACTCAGTGCGGACGCGTGTAGTGTGTCACCATCTGCGGACTTTTGCTGGACGGGGACAAGGACGACGACAAAAGGGGAGTCCGTGTGGTTGTTGTTCTGCTTGTGACGAGAGACACTGTTCGCTGTCGTACCTTCGTACTTTCTTGTGCCATGCATGTCTTGAGCTGTACGTGTGCTGTGAGCCTGGGGGTGGCCCCGGGTGGACGCTTGCTGTCGTGTATCTTACGATTCGTGTTAGTAGCAGTGGTTTTACACAGGCGTCGTTGTTGGATGAACATGGACGTTTGAACAAGCGGCTCGTCTGATGTATTGCAATCGTGACTATGCGTGGTTGGGCCTTGGCATCAGCAATCGCGTCGGGCTGCAGCATTGCTTTGCGGTGTGTATAACACCTTAGCGTCGTGATTGTTAGTTCAGGCTCGCCTGTGGCACTTCGTTGGTTCTCTAAATCCGGCGTTTTGGACAGACGGGTGGAACTACCGGATTGCATTGCATTAGAATGAGTGGCCAGGGCTTGTTGTACGCGCAGTCAAGAACGAACCATTGAATGCGCTCAAAAGCCGGACGTTCTCAAAGCAATGTTAGCCTTAGACATGGGTCGGCGTGCGTTGCGGTTGGCAGTTGCAGATAGCAAGCAGATTTTCGCAAACACATCGATACATATTGAGCGGGGATAGGGACAAGGAGAAATTACGTTACATCTCGGAACATGTACAGATATTGCGATTCGAGTCTCGACGGGTCGGGGGGAGAGTACAGGGGAAGAAATGTGATGGAGACAAATCCAGACTTCAGCGGACATGTGTCGTCAGGCTTACCCGCTCAGGGCAGATCAGTTCGGGAAGCGGAACGTGATGTCAGGATTCTGTCTCTGGATAGCATCCAGCATCCTAGATCGTTGCTTGATGCCATTGGGATGCTCCCAGTGGTACCACATCGACCACTCGTGTCTGTGCACACGACTTGCTATCAGGAGACTGGCCCTTCAGCAGAAAAGATAGCGACGTACTCGCCAGCAGGAAGGTGCGCGTCTTCCTCGTCTTCGCCGTCAGAGTGGACGTTCTGCCGGTCGGAAGGTCCAGCAGCGCGAGAGGCACTCGCGGATGTCGAGGCAGCCTCCGGCCCCACACGGCTCGTTGGGGCACGCGAGTTCCCGGCATGCGACCCGCCGGGGGCTAAGATCCCTTGGTACGGACTGGATTCACTTCTGGCTCAGAAAATGCGCATAAGAGACCGCGAGAACGACTCACTCTTCCCAGTTTACGAACGGTGGCAACTCCAAGCGCTGCACTTCTGGTTCCGGGGGGCCTCTGCCTTCTCCTTCTTGTCCTCGGCGGCCTTCACTTCCTCTTTCTCCCGCTCCCTTGCTTTCCCCTTCCCCTTATTCTTCTTGTTCTCCTCCTTGTTCTCCTCCATTTTGCCGTCTGCCTTTTTGCCGTCTGTCTTCTTGCCGTCTGTCTTCTTGCCGTCTGTCTTCTTGCCGTCTGTCTTCTTGCCGTCTGTCTTCTTTCCATCTGCCTTCTTGTCGTCTGCTTTCTTGCCGCCTGCCTTCTTTCCGCCTTCCTTCTTTCCGCCTGCCTTCTTTCCGCCTGCCTTCTTGCCGCCTTCCTTCGCGTCGTCTGCCTTCTCGTCGTCTGCCCTCTCGCCGTCGAGTATGGCCTTTTCCTCTGGCTCCATGACAGATGTTCCCAGCGCCTTAGCTTTGCCTTTCAGTTTCTGCGCCCTACTAGTACCTCAGGGTCAACGAATTGAAGAATGTCTAGAGGCAGGACGACTCACGGGTGCTTCTTGGTGTCGTCGTCTTCTGAAGTGCTGAGTCTTTCCGCCTTCAGGATGCTATATTGTACGTATTCCTTGCTAAGATCCGGTGAGCAAACAACCCCTGAAGAGGAAGGAAACGATCGTACACTGGATGCGGACCTCGCTTAGGTCGGCCAGCACTATTTGGTAGCGGTCAGTTTGCTCCTGGGGAAGAAATGCGAAGAGTGCTCACGGTCGATCCGCTGCAGCCAAGAAGTCGGGAATCTCTTGGTCTTGATGCACCGACGGACCCCTAGAGATCTCGAACTCAGAAACTATTCGAAAGCGACAGCGACAGACGGCAATGATACTCACCGCGGAGCTTGGTCGCCGGAGCTGTCTCCGCCGTCCGACTCAGATGCGTGATAAGTCGGATCGTCGTTACTCGATATGTCACTGACTGCATCCCAAGCGAGGATCCTCCACGAGAAATAGGGTCCAAATATGGCGATGGCTACGACTTCGTCGAGGTCTCTATGGGCAGAGAGGTGTAACGAAACCTGTTTCCGTGCACCAGAACGCGCCTCGCCCTGGATGTTGAACAGCCTTTTCTTTAGCACCGCTTGGAATTGATCCCCAGCTGGTATCTTCGTCGGGTCTGGTAGCGCCTTGACCTCGCAGACTGCTAGGACGATGGAGCTGGTCAGGGCGCACCTGCCCTCGTAGAACTGTAGCAATTCTTCATGATTGGTCACCCGTAACAACGAGTCTATGTCGTGATATAGAGGGACGCCAGTGACATAGTGAAGAACGAAGTCGGGGACCTTCTTCTTGAAGACAACGCCGCCATCATTGGTATTCTGCATCTTGGCCAGTTCGAATTGGGGGCCAGCAACGACCTTCCGGGGATCCACGACACCGTAGAACGCTTGGACCCATAAGCCATACCATGGCCACTCTAGGGTCCTGCCGAGGAAGTTACCAGGATTTCCAGCGAAAGCTTGTATAACAGCGAAAGTGCTTCGTATGAACAGCTCCATTGCAGAGTTGGAGACGTGCCAGTGAGAGAGACCGGCGCGGTGTCGGTGATGCGAGGCCCAAGGGACCTAATAAGACCCCTTTATATAGCTGCAGCACATAGCCGAGACGCAGAGCCGGTCAAACAATGGGAGAGGCCATGCCATCGATCGAACTACCTAAACGAGCATACTAAAGTGGTGGCACGGTGGCAACATTGTGGTCGTCGCGACAATCATCGACCGATTTACCCAAAACGAGTGGTGGCAAGTGGCAACGTTGTGGTCGTCGCGATCATGCCACCCGATATGGCAGATTGCCACACAATGACCACAATCGCTACTGATCAAACAACCGTATCGGGCATGGCGTGCCACCACTTGCCCACGGTGCCACCAGCGATCGGTTGCCGCGACCATCTAAGGTTAGTGCTTCAGGCCACGGCTGTTCCCGTGGGTGCCGTGAGAGCGCTGGAACCGCGTCCCGCTCTTGCTCTTAAGGGCACTGTTCATCTGCCGCCAAGTTCGAATCACCTCGCATCTTCCCTCGCATCTTCCCTCTCTCACAATCTCAGCATGACCTGGGTACTCGGCTGGCCCCTCTACGATGACGATGCGATCGAAATCGCGAAACAGCACCATCTCGTCAAGGACCCGAATGCGCCAGAATATCGGTACATCGAAACAGCCCGGGAATGGATCGCAGATCAAGTCGGCATAATACCTACACTCTCCTGTTGGGTCGACAGCTTCCCTGAGCTTGTATACGCTGCGTATGTCGCCTACGGGGACAATCGTTATCCTCCGACCAAACTCGTCAGCAAGGAAATCATAAGCCGCAAGCAACATCGCCGCCTCGGGCGAGCTATGCCACTGAGGGATTTTGGCTGGTACCAGTACGACGATCCGTCCGGTGTCCTGTATGGTGAGTGACTAAGTGCTGGCACCTTTTCTGACTTCGCTGATCATCTATGCAGAGAAGACGCGTCACGAGAGTGACGAGGACAGTGATGAGGACAATGACGAGGACAGTGACGAGGGCAGCGACGAGGGTGACGATGAAGATGGCGACAGAGATGTGTCGATGAATAATACCAGCGATGAGGAAGATCGCGAAGAAGACAGTGTCGAGAGTGACAATGAGACGGTAACCGATGGTGCGGTCTCGAAGTTGGACTTTCTCCCAGAGGACTCCGGAAGCTTTGAGGCAGCGAAGTCACTGCCTAAGGACTTCGGTGAGTGTGTCGCACATAGTCTGAGATCATCCATACTAACCGCTGGGTACTGCGTAGATGCATGTTGCACCATTGCCGAGCCGCAGCCTTGATACAAGGTCTATGACTCTGCCTTCTCTCGTCGCACCATCAACATCATGTATCACATCAAGCAACTATCCTGTATTACTCTTCCATTCCCGTTGACGCTGCGTTGTATTCAGTCTGTACAGCAATATCTGTATAGTATATTTGTGCCAATTCCATTACATTCAACTTGTGTCGTGATCGTAGTTTTGCCGACGTGAAGCTGAGAATTGCAAGCGATCATGATGGGCTCCTACGTGCAGACGTGTGCATAGTAGCACTTACGAGCTCGTGTTGCTCTTCGTGCTGCGTCCGACGTATCCATCTTCGACGCGCCTTCCAAGTGTGTCGAACCTGGTAACTCTCATTAATTGGCTGGGGCCGCTGGGCGATCCGAGTCGCCACAGCGCGGTCACATGCCTGGGGCCACGGTTTATTAGATTCACTGCATGCGGTCCATTACCGTCCTACCTGCTCACCGTGTTCAGGCGTTCTATTACACAGCGTAGAAGGCCGCAGCCCACACATCCTGGTTGATTTGTATTGCGAAGGAAACCAGCGGTAATAATCAGCACCTTCGTCGCCACGAGTCAATACAAGCCTGAGCCGTGTTCTCCGAGACACTCAAGCCTTCACGTATTTCGTACTCAGCTGAGTACTTGTTTCTACTAAATCTATCCTGCCCTTCTAACCTCACATCCAGCCTGGCAATATGACTTGGGTCCTTGGTTGGCCTCTGTACTACTACGACGCGATCGACATCGCCAAAACGCACAACCTCGTCAAGGATCCGAATGCTGACGACGTAGCCTACGCCGAAGCCGCACAGGAATGGATCGCGGACAGAGCTGGCCTGATTCCGGTGTTCTCTTGCTGGGTCGACGATCTGCCGCAGCTCGTCTATGCTGCATACGTCGACTACGGTGATAGTCCTAATCCCCCAGCCGAACTCAGCCTCGAGGATAAAATGACTGGCAAGCAGTACCGCCGTCTGAAGCGGGCAATGCCTCTCAAGGACTTCGGTTGGTACCAACATAACGACCCATCTGGCGTTCTATACGGTGACTTCAGTCTATGACTTCTCATGCCTGTCATGACTGATCTGGGATGGGAGAGTACGACAGTGATGAGTATAATGGCGAAGACGGTGATGAAGATATCGACACGGCCAGCGAAGGAACTGCTCGGAGCGACAACGAAGCGGTAACTAACGGTGTTGTCTTGCAATCAGACATGCTCTCAGAGGACTCCAGCTCTTCTGAGACAGCTCAATCACTGCTGACGGAGTTCGGTGAGCTCGTCGCATACATATGATGTGATCCCTTTTAACCAATCGATGTTGCGCAGATGCGCATTGCGCCGTTGCTGAGCCGCAGTCTTGACGCACGGCAGTTCATCCCGCCTCCTGTGATTTTACAGTGTACTATCCGAACTGTATCGTTCCCTGTCTACCTAGCACCGTGCTTGCTTGCATGTATGTCTCGATCTCATTGCGTTGATACCTCGCGGTCTTGAAGGCAAGAATTGGAGGTTAACTCCGTGGACTACTGTACAGATCGACACGAGTGTGTTCATGCAGCGGATTGCGTACTAGTACATATATACATACGATGGCCCGCCCCCGGGGGATGCATATGCAGGCGAAGCCTTGGGCGCGAATGGGGGGACAAATCTCACGCACTATTACATACCCCCGCACCTGCTGTATTTGTCTCGCATGGCCCTCTGACGTGCCCATCCACGTCCTGAGTTCTTGGAATGTATGTATGCTCCCATTCGCCGGACCCTGGTGGGCGACTACGTCGCGATCACGTGTCTGAAGCCACAGTCACGGCTGCCCATCATGATCAGTTTTGGAACTTACCAACTTCAACGGAATTGCAACTGTGTCGTCTTCTACTTCCATAAGTAACACTGCTTGACTTTGATGCTTTGGTATTGTAATCATGACTTGGGTCTTTGGCTGGCCTCTCTATAATGACGACGCGCTCAAAATCGCGAAGAGGCGCAATCTTGTCAAGTCGGACCCGAACGCGGGAGATGATCAGCGCATCCAAGCAACCCGGCTGTGGGTCGCGGACCAGATCGGTATTGTTCCTGTGCTCTCCTGCTGGGTTGACGACTTCCCGGAAATTGTTTACGCTGCATATGTTGACTATGGCGACAACCGCTATCCTCCGCCTGATCTCATCCGCGAGAACATGACGATGTCCGGCAAGAACTATCGTCGCCTCAAGAAGGTGATGCCACTCAAGGATCTTGGCTGGTATCAGTACAATGACCCGTCCTGCGAGCTATACAGTAAGCTGCATGTGCCCTGATATCTCTTCGACGCAATTGATGTTGGATGAAGAGGAGATGGGTGATGAAGAGGGCGACGACAGTGACGAGGGCAGCGCGACGGATATCGATGGAGATGCAGGCGATGGAGAAGACGATGATGATGATGCGCCGACGACCATTGTCGACGACGACAAAGACGCGGCTGGGAAGCGACACTGAGACAGTCACCGACGGTGAAGCCTCGAAGTTGGACTCGCGCTCGGAGGACTCCGGCCCCTCTGAGGCAAACCCTTCCGACGGATTTTGGTGAGTGTATGATCATGCATGATTGAGACTGCCTCTTGACCACTTACTATTGTGCAGATACGTGTCGCACCATCGCCGAACCACAGCCTTGACGCGTGCCACATCCTCTTGTCGTTGGTACTGTATGAATACTGTATCATTTGTGTCATTGATCTAGCACCCTGTCCTGTATTTCCCCGCCACTGCCATCAATGCTGCATTATTCCTTGCCTGCTTGTCTGTCTCGTTCCTATCTCCTTTGCCTCATGTCGTGAGGCAAGGACTTCCCACAGGCTGACCGCCGTACTCTAGCTCGACTACCGCCTTTCATCCACGGGTACGACCTCCTCCATGACCATCCCCGTCTGCGGAGAGCGCCTCAGCGCCGCGTCCCCGCCCGTGCGTAACACCTCCCACTCCCTCGCCTCCAAGCGCCCCCGCCTCGACGACAGCCCCCACCTCTCTACACACAGCAACTCCATGCCCGCCCTCCCGCAGTCGCTCAACCTTTCCTCCCTCGCTGCCAGCCCGAGCGGCTCCAGCGGCATGCCGCACTACCCCTACCGCCTCGAGGTCGACATGAGCTCCGGCTACCCCGTCCAGACGGGCATCACGCCCCTCCATTCCGCGCCCGGCCTCCCGCCCACACAGAGCGCGAGTCACCCTCGCTCCAGTACGCCAGCTCCGGCCTCAATCTCGGCTTGAACGGCGTGGGCGGCGGGCTCGGCTCGCAGAGCGCCCCCGCGGGCTTCCTCTTGCAACTGGGCTCCCAGGGTTCCAGCGCGTTCGGCATGGACATGGGCGCGGGCCACCATCCGTCGCTGCGCACGGTTGGCTTCCCTGGTGGCCAGCATAGTCAGCACGGTTCGGCGTCGCCGTATACGCCGCAGCAAAAACCAGCGCCAATGTATCAGCAACAGCAGCAGACAGTCATCGGCGACGGCGATGGCGCTGGAGCTGCTGGTCGAAGCGAATGGGAGCGGGGGAGGTGCGGGTGGAGGAGGGCAGGGCGGGATGCCTTTGTTTGATTGGCCGGTGCATGCAGGCGGTCAGCAGAACCGGCCAGAGAACGGTGCGTGGTACCTGGTCGCCGATCAGCGTCGCACTCATCATTCTGGTCGTCCCCAGTACCAGCCAGTACCTAGGGGGCTCGCACTCAGCTACGGACAACGGCAACTGGTTCGACTTCCTCTCCGGCACGTCCTCCTCGTCCGGCGGCCAGTCCAGCCAGCTCAGCGAGACACATCGACGGAAGATTCAATGGGCCACTCGAAGGCGGATGGCAGGCGGTTTGGCAGATCGTCTGCACTGCATATGGCTAAATGGACGTGCGCGCACTCCCACACTACCCTTCTTTCTCCTCGGAGCCTCGATATGGCGACGATGATACCAGCTGGTGGGATACACGACTGCGCGGCGTTATCCACGTTTGTGCGGCGGGACCCTTGCAAGGCTCGGTGTCTGTCCTGTGCAGTCCGAATCTACACGATGTCGTCGGATTATTCACTTCCGAGTCCGTTCGAGTTGCGGGCAAGGGGACAGTGCTCCGGTCTCTTACCGGTCACTCAATCAGACGCTCTGTCTCTCCTCCCGCGAACGAGCGGAGGTCTCCTCTCGCCGTCAGCTTCCCGGCAGGCCATTGCATCGTCACGAACGGGAATAGACCTGCTTTATTTTTGTCTGGTGTTATTTCTAAATCGGACATCTGATGCGTCAACTCGGAAGAACCGGAAGGCAGCGTTTCGTAGGATCAAGCTGGTTCGGCCTTGAATGCGACGCGCTTGAAAATCGAAGGTGCCACTGCGACTTGGCGCGGCTGCCCGTGGTGTTTGTTATCGACGTTGAGGCACTCCGACGATGGGCCCTACCTGGCGACGCCAGATTACATCTTACCCGGGTACAATGTGCGCATGCGCGACATCGGTGAACAGGGCAGGCCTCCCTTCTGCTTCAGTACTCAGTATGGCACACTACTCAGTGGCTACGTCCGTCACGGCTTACTTACATTCTGCAAGTTGAAGTAGGTTTGAAGTAGGTCGATGATTGGTTGGGCGATCAATCGATCATGTCACGATCACATGCCGAAGCCACAGTCTCGGTTGACCGTGTCACCACCGCCACTGCGGCGTTGCGTCGTGACGATGACAATTGTTCCGTGTTCCACCTTTGGTATAAGTATCAGTCTTATAACGCGCGGCTGCCATGACTTGGGTTCTCGGGTGGCCCCTCTATGACGACGATGCGCTCAAGATTGACAAGCAGCACAATCTTGTCAAGGACCCGAATCCGGGAAATGCTCAGCGCATCCAAGCAGCACGGCTGTGGGTCGCGGACCAGATCGGTGTTGTCCCTGTTCTCGCTTGCTTGGTCAACGACGAAATGGAGATCGTGTACGCTATGTATGTCGACTATGGGGACAACCGCTATCCTCCGACCGAGCTGGTCCCCGAGGAGACGACGATGACGAACAAGCAGTATCGCCGCATCAAGAGGGTCATGCCACTCAGGGATTTCGGCTGGTACCAGTACAATGATCCGACCTGTGTAAAGTACAGTGAGTGTGAGCCCTGACATCTCCCCAATGCGACTGATGCCGGTGATGAAGAGGAGATATTTTATGAAGAAATTGACGACAGCGACGAGGACAGCGACGGGCGCGGCGACACGAGTAGCGATGAAGGTGGCGCGGATGGAGAAGACAACAACAAAGATGCGTCAATGAAGTTCGCTCGTGATAATGAAGACGCCGCTGGGAGTGACACTGAAACGGTGACTAATGGTGTAGTCTCGAAGATGGACCTGCTCCCAGACGACTCTGGAACTTCTGAGGCAGCCAAGTCACTGTCGACGAATTTCGGTGAGTGTGTTGAACATCATATAGGATCGTTTCTTAACCAACTGACATCGCGCAGATGCGTGTTGCACCATCGATGAACCGCAGCTTTGACACAACATAGTTCGTCCCGCCTCAGGTCGTCATGATGTTGTCTGCACTCTGTATCATTGATCTTATTTTGTAGCACTCCTCCATCATCATCGACGCTGCACTTTACTTCGCCCGCATGTTTGTCCCAACCCCACTACGTATGCCTAACATGTATACTACCGGTTCAGTCTCATTGGTGACTAAATCTAATCAAGGACACTAGAGGACATAGAAAAGTGAAGCCTTCTGACTCGACGGTGACTGCTGTAAGTATCAACACGAGTAGACATCTTGCTAACCCTAGCGACGGAATGGGCGATCGGGGTTCTCCCGCTGGATGGCGGTGAGCATGTTTGATCGTTCCTTGAAACCTTTTGCGGTGTCCCAATGGTACCAAAGCGACCAGGCCAATCTGCAGACAGCCTGGTATAAGGAGATCAGTTCACCTTCGAAGAGATTGCGGACGTACTCATTTCCAGGGGTGCGACGCGAGTCTTCCCTCTCTTCGTCATCAGTGCTAGTGGTCTTCTCTGTCGCTTCGTCCCTGGACGTATTAGCAGACGTGGAGGCGGCTTCCGAACCCACATCACTATTCGCAGCATCTGGGTCCTCGGCATAGGCTCCACCACTCGCCGCCGCCGCCCCTTCGTCGGCTCTGCAGTCAAGTATCTCATTAGTTTGTCCCCGATGAATACAAAACACCACATACTCTTCCGGGAACACGAGCAACGGCGGTAATTCCAGGGATGTCAGATTAGGCCCTAACGATGCCTGACTGACCCCTTTGCCTTTGCCCTTGTTCTTAGGGCCAGATTGGCTCTTGCCAGCGGGCTTCGGCTCCGGCTCCGGCTTCGAGCTCACCTGGCCTACTCCTGCGGCGTTTCCCTTCCCTTTCGGCTGCTGATTGACACTAGGGCTTGTCCATTAGATCACGCATAATTGTTGTCGCATTTATAGCTTACCGAGAAGTTACTTCCTCTTCCGAAGTGCTTAGCTGATACGCCCCTGCATCCCGAAATTGTTTGTACTTCTGACTAGGTTACATGAGCATGGTGACGAAGTAGCAAAGAACTTAAGACACGGCTTACACTTCACGACGGTTCCGCTTAGGGCGCGCATTTCTGCTCGCAGAAATCAGCGTAGTTCTGAACAAAGAGCACTATGGATGGCGCTCACGATGATGGGCCTGCTACAGCACGCGGGACGGCAGGCATTGTCCCGGTAGGTCTGTTAATCCCTGTCAAACGATTGGCTGCAACGTGAGACGAGGGCCGCATACCTTGTAGCTTCTCCGGAATTGTTGTTAGTGTCTTGATCGGCCGGGTCTTTGTACGTGGGGTCAACGTTGTTGGAAACGTCACTCACATCGTCTCGTACGAAGATCTTCCACGAAAAATAAGGCCCAAAGGCAGCGATACCCACAACGCTATCGACGTCTCTGTGGGAGGAAAAGTAAAGCTGCACTTGGTTCCTGACGCCGTGACGAGCCTCGCTCTGCATATTAAATGTTGCAAGCGCCAGAGCCACCTGGAAGCGATCCCCCGCTGGTATTTTGTCCGGATTGGGATAAGCCTTGATCTCGCATAGCGCGAGGACGAAAGAGTCGGAGAGCATGCAACGGCCCTGGTAGAATTGGCGCAGTTGCTCGTGGTTAGTCACTTGAGCGAGGGAACCTATGTTGTGGTTCCGAGGGACTCCTGTGAGATAGATGAGGACGAAGTCCGGAACTTTCTTCTTGATCACGCTTTTGCCATCGTTCGTGTGTTGGACCTTAGCAATTTCGGACTGTGGCCCCGCAAAGACTCTTCGAGAGTTGACGTCTTCGTAGAATGCTCGTTGCCAGAACGTATACCACGGCCACTCCAGGGTCCTTCCCAGAAAGTTCTCGGAGTCACCGGCGAAGGCTTGCAAGACAGCGAGTGCGCAGCGATACTCTAGTGACATTGCCGAGGAGGAACAGTGGGACGAGGTAGGGATGACTTGGGGAGCACACCTTTATATATGTTTGCGGCATGGTCAACCACCATTCGGTCTCCAGAACCATCGATGCTGCTGATGGCAGCCATAGAATTGCCCATATTGGACATGCCACCTTGGCTCCTTATGGTCGTCATGGCGAAGAACATGGTGGCCCTGCTACAGGCTGCCCGAAGTGGCAATTCTGGGCAATTGGTCCACGCAGTGACCACATCGCCGATCGATTGGCACATCTCAATCAGGTGCCGGGCTATGCCGGGGGCAGGCCGTGTGGCTCCAGTCGCCAATTGCCTTTCTGAGCATAGCGCACAAAGCCACAGACCCGGTTGCCCAAGCCTTGTTCTTCGTCACTTAAACACGCACGCTCAGCTGCGTAATTGCTTACGCTCCCCTAGACCATTCCCTCAAGCTCACGTTACACCTCGCAACATGACTTGGGTCCTTGGTTGGCCTTTGTACTACTACGACGCGATCGAGATCGCCAAAACGCACAACCTCGTCAAGGATCCGAATGCTAACGACGTAGCCTACGCCGAAGCCGCGCAGGAGTGGATCGCGGACAGAGTTGGCCTCATTCCGGTGTTCTCTTGCTGGGTCGACGACCTCCCGCAGCTCGTCTATGCTGCATACGTCGACTACGGTGATAGTCCTAATCCCCCAGCCGAACTCAACCTCGAGGAGAAGATGACTGACAAGCAATACCGCCGTCTGAAGGGGGCAATGCCTCTCAAGGACTTCGGTTGGTACCAACATAATGACCCATCTGGCGTTCTATACGGTAAATCCACTCTATGAGTTCTCACGTCTCTGTCATGACTGACCTGGGACGGAAGAGGAGACTGTGTACGACAGCGATGGGGATAGTGGCGAGGACAGTGATGGAGACAGTGACGCGGGCAGCGAAGGCACTGCTCGGAGCGACAACGAGACGGTGACTGACGGTGTAGTCTTGAAATCGGACATGTTCTCAGAGGACTCCAGCTCTTCCGAGACAGCCCAATCACTACTGACGGAGTTCGGTGAGTTCGTCGCATACATATGATGTGATCCTTTCTAACCAAGTGATGCTGCGCAGATGCGCATTGCACCGTCGTTGATTCGCAGCCTTGACACACGGCAATTCATCCCGCCTCCTGTGGTTGTACTATCCGAATTGTATCGTTGATCTAGCACCGTGTTCTGCAACAACTCTCCGTCGCCATCGATGTTACATTGTATTTTGCCTGCATGTATGTCTCAGTTTCATTACGTGTAATACCTGTCGTGACTTCGCGGTCGTGAAGGCAAGAACTGGAGGTGATCTTTGTGGACTACTGTACAGCCCGACACGAGCGTACTATTAGTGTCTCTGCCCCTTGGTCTTGTCGTTATGGCATCTACCCTTTACTCTTACTTCTTGACTACCATCAACGCGGAATGATATCCCATGTGTACAAATACCGCAACCGGGACGGTCGCGCTCACGTGAATTGTAACTCAGGCGGATTCCCGCTATCGGCTGGTTCGGCAGGGCCAGGGACCTCAGACACCACAATCTAAAAGGAGCAGAAAGTCGGTAATTTGGAAACTACGCCCCTACGGAAATAGCCGCCGTACGGAGTGTGCCCCTGCCCGATATGGAAAGTGGTGACACGGCGAGTCACCGCGTAGAGTCCTGCGTGCAGGTCGCTCCTGTCCATGTGTAGAATATGTTTTGAGACCATTTTAGGCATGCATGATGCATTTAGTGCACAATATAGTTAACAGTTTGTAGTCCAGTAGGCCAATACCGCCTCGGTGCCTGATGTCACAGCGATGACAGTGTGACAAATCACTGTGACACAGACTGTGCCGCCGCCTTCACAGAGTGGTGGTTCGTGTTCAGCTGCCCCCCCTGCACCCTCGATGATGCCCTCTGGTCTGCCGCATCTCTTCTGTCATCGGAGCAACAATGCTCACCTTTGGACAGGCCGCTGCACTCTACACCAAGCCGACCTTTTTTGACTGGACGTGCAACACCTGTAGGCGGCCATTAGAGATCCAAGTGACGAAGAGCGACAAGAAGCAGAACTGTGGGTGATCCTACATATTGGTGAGCCACGAGTCCGTCCATGCTTGAAGTCTCTGACACTTGTATCAATGTACCTCAGTGTAGCGCACCAGCAGATCGCTACAAACCCGAACCGTGCAAGTACTTCCGCTGGGTCACCAGCCGCATTGATCTTCGCTTCAACTGCGCTGGTTCAAGTGACACAGACGTCTCAACAGATCCCATGGCAAGTCACTGATACCTTCCCATGGGCCTGACTAACCTGCAAGATTAATGACAGTCGACTCAGCTCTCGTCCGTGACACAGCCCGGGCCTACACAGCCGACAGCTTTGGCCAATGGACCGCAGTGGTGTTCCTATGTCAACGGCACTAAGCTGTGTGCATCACACCACATCCGCAAGGAGTGCCACCAGTGGATGTGCCATAAGCACTGCTGTGCAAGCAGTGGCTGCGTGGCTGCTGAGCATACTGGCACGACACCAATCAGTACATACGTTGACGCGACCGAAAAGAACACAAAAGCCACACAAAAACCCAACCGTGAGGTCGAGCAGTGGTATGCGAGGCCTCTGCGTCTATGAGATGTACGGGGGACTGTACAGTGGTCTAGGTAAGAAGGAGGAGGACGGACAAGACTCCGAACGACGTGGGAGAGCTTCGAAGATGTCGAAGACTGTTCGAAGACAAGGGCTAAGCCTCGAAGGTAGGAGGGCGGGTTTCGACAGACGTGTCGAACAAACGGTGACAAGGAAGGCGAGCGACGGCAGGAGGAGAAGTGTAGAGCCTCTCGGGGCAACTACGAGCTGGCAAACGTACTGGCGAACTGACTGACTGACTTTGAACGTACTGACTGACTGGCGAACTTGCTGACTTCGAACGTACTGGCTGACTGACGAACCTCGCCAGTGCAAGGTGAGATTGAGAGGGTAAGGGGGTCTCTGGGATTTGCGGGGAACAAGTCCCCAGGTATATACAGGGAAACACGGCTATCACCACTACTGACCTCCGACGGCCCCAAACATCCGGCTATGACTTCTAACACGTTGTGGGGCAGGGACGTAGCCCAGCCCCGTAAGCCAACGTATAGCACAAGGGAAGGAACGGCACAAGAACCGGCCGTTCATTCAGAGAGTCACGAACGACTACAAGCCAAGGGTACGCTACGAAACAGTGTTCCCTCCGTCAAACATCTCCGGGACGGTGACGTCGATACCCTCCGGGCCCCGACCGAACTCTCCTCCGCGCTACGAAATAGTGTTCCCTCCGTCAAACATCTCCGGAACGGTGACGTCGATACCCTCCGGGCCTCCGACAGAACTCTCCTCCGGATCTACGTTCCCTCCGGCAGCACCCCCGAAAGCACCATCAGGTTCGGTGATCAGGCGGACGGAACGGCCCAAGTCGTAGATCTCGCGGACTACAAACCCGACGTCGCTACGGATACGACCGGCAGAGGACCGCTGTTCGCTCATCAACGCGCCCATGCGAGCATGAAGGGAGTCATGGTTATCGGAGGCAAGCCGGAGGGAAGATAGGCGAAGGGGTGGGTCTACGAACTGAGGGGGAGACTGGGGGCGAGGCTGTCCGACGGACGGATCGGCATGGACCCTGTGAGGGGACCACACGATGGCAGGATACAGGGCGGTGCCGGTGTCGATGTCGGAGGGAATGCCCTCGAATACGGCGTCAACATACGCGAGCAAAGAGGCCACGGAGGGAACACTGCGGGGTGACGGAAGGGACACGTCGCCATGGGCCGTAGCCAGGGAGAACGAGTCGAAGAGCATGCGCTAGGACAAGAGTCAAGCGGCGGAAGGGACAAGCGGGGGCATGCGTACCAGAAGCCAGCGAACGCCGTGACCCCACACGAGCCAGGTGCCAGGGGAGGACATATCGAGGCGTGGCTCGGCGGCCCGTTCATGTTGAAGCACTTCCAGCAGGAGGAAGTACCGGCGGATATAGACGGTGGCGAGGGGATTGAGGGGCATGGAGGACGACATGGTACAGTGGAAGGGGAGGACGGGAACCGGTGGGGCGAAGGGGAACCGGAGGAGGGCCCGAGAGGACCCGGAAGGAACGGAAGAGTACGGGGGGAGGAGCCAGCGAGGCGGAGGCGTGGGAGATCGAGTCGGAGGGAACATAAGGGAGGGGGCCGGGGACCGGACGGGGGGAGATCCTACCTACCTACCACCTAGGAGTAGAGAGCGAGCTCAACTGCGATTCCCTGCGTTTCTGACTGCGTCCTGCGTTTACTGCGTTGCGAATAGATCACCGCGTTCACCTTCAACGAGCACCGCGTTTCCTTCCGGCTCTCTGCGTTTCATCCGGCTTCAACGAGTTCCTACGCGTTCAGCCCGAGTCCCTGTGTTGTGGGACGATTCCACCACCCTCCTCCGACCGCGCTACAGTGCTGTCTACAAGTATCTGAGCTCGTACGTCCCCTCCGGGACCGAATCGTCACATCCTCTTCCCATCCGCTTGCCAACAGCCCCCACCCGTCGTTTCTACCGACACCATCGATTCCTTCCGGTCTCTTTCCGACCCGGGAGACTCGCAACCTACACAACGTGATAACTGCTCTCGGGCTCGCTAACCAGTGGTCCAAAGGCAGACCAGCTATCACACAACACTGGAAACCAAAACCACTCATCGAGGATGTGAGATGACCTGCAAGGACTCACTGGACATCCTGTAGCATCAGGCGTAGAGGTCATCCTGATACATCAAAGGACTGTGCTTGTAGTCCAGGCCTGATACATAAATGCTGGAGTTTGTAAATGGCCTGCAGATGTATGAATGCCTTACAGACTGATGTATGAGTAGTACATCAACATGCAACTTGAAAGCCCTGATACTGTACAATTCAATACAGTCCGGCGGTCACGCATCACAAGGCCCCTCGCTGTTGAACGAACGATGGCGTCGGGCGGGAACGAGCGAGTGAGAGTGCGCGAGAGGTGGGGTATGACAATAAACGTGTGCGGTTTGTCTCATCCTCGGGACGGGGAGGCAAACGCGCGAGGGTAGTTACATGCGAAAGTCGAACTAATATAGGTATTTCTTATCTAAATAAGGCACGAACCGGGTACAGTCATATCGCGCCGCAGCGCGGCGCGTTGGTGAGCCGGGGATCGGGTATGCGCTCGCCCGGTTGTTCCAACACTCGCCACACCGGTAAAGTTCCCTTGTCACGGGTCACTGAGGGTCCCGCCGGTTGTGACAAAAGCACAAAAATTTGGCCGCCTCCGGCGGCAGCTTTCAGCACTCATTTTAACGATGTTTACAGCCCGTCGACGCTCTGCCGCACCGTCTGAACCGTCCGTGTCACGTGTCACCGTCGCTCGTGCCGCGCCGCCTGGCGGCGGTGCGGCAGTCACAGTCACAACCCGCGCCGGACTGAATTGAATTGTACAGTACATCAGAGCATGCAGCGATGTATTGCTAAATACAGCAACCAGCGCTACCCAAAGGAACAGCTTGGTGAGCCCGTCTGTTGCCCAAGAAGCATCTATATGAGGTATCTTCGGATATACCAAGTTAGGCAATGCCAATCCACTTACTCTGTGTATTGTCGGTAGGCTCGTATCAGGCATTGCAGCAGCATTACAGACAAGTAGAGCTTCATAGTTGTATTTCTGCATGTTACTCAGCACACAAGAGCATGAAAAGGAGCTGTGGGCTGGCTGTTTGCACCGAAACCTGGCTGTGGCAATTGGGTTGGGTAGAATCACCCTATCGAGCTCTCCTAGCTACCATAATGAGCTAGTCTACAGAGTAATGCAAAGTATATTGTACACTATAATAGACTATAGAGTGACGTATGCATCGAGTATGAGCACAGAACATCGCACCGAAGCGAAGCACCCGATACCTAATCAAGTAATGATTGCCATATTCGGTAGTGAGCGGCTAATTTCGTGACAAAAAACATATGCTCAAGCACTCTCGGCTGCATCCTACACCTATACAGAAGTAGTACATATACTATGATGGTCTTATAGGGTGAGATTCTGGAAGAACATCAACAGTTTTGTGTCACCGTGACACTCTCGCAAGCTTCATACACTGTCATTTGTAACCAGAAATGCATAGTCGCAGCCAGATGTTTTCTAGGAAGTTCTGGTGCATGAAAGTATCCAATTATCAAGTATTACAGTGAGCTTGGCAGTATCCATACAGTATATATGGCTCTGTATTGCATGACTCACTCAGAATACGTTTCTGAATGTACATACTCGCATACCGCTGACCGTTATCCAGGCTCTGATTGGCTGGGCGATGTACTACTCGGTTCTAAACATCGCATCACATGCAATTAACGGTTCGATTTGTATATAGATCTGGGCATACACTCCCATATACAACTGCATATTATCCTTGTAGCTCTTTAAACCATGCGGTGAGACCATAGTCTGTAATGGAATTGTTTTGCGAATGGCGGGCACACTCCAGCCACAGCTATTGCCCGATTGGGTAATCAGCATCGGGCCGGGATCTCTGCCCTCCTCTCGGTGTTGTGCTCTTGCCCCTCTAAAACTTCGTGCACAATGCATAAAATATGAGCTAACAATAGCTGTATGATGCATGTAGAAAGTGCAAACAATGAGCCTATTGCCCTTGTCTGACCAGCTATCCTAATATGGAAGAGATCTGAACCCGATACAGTAACGCCTCCGGGCGCTTCCCGTGCCAAAAGCGTACGCAGACTGCCCCCCAGTGCTCTTTCGGAAGCATACAGATGCATGGACCCTTGCTCATGCCCATATATAGCTAAATTACACTTCTATAACAACTAGTGCATACACTGAACCATCAATCATGCCAGTGGAACGCACTCAAGTCAATACTGCCTCAATAAGGGAATAGCTTACATAAGGTGATCTCGCTCGGTCACAGTGCTTACCGGCGCCGGTACTGTGGGGTACTGTCTGCCAGTGTACTAACTGGTGTGTTGTTTGCAGACGGGCTCGGTGCGGGGCGTGTCCACCGTCGAGGTGCACGACGAGTGCGGGTGAGTGCTTTCACTTTCGGTACCCGGCTGTGCTGACCATGGGCGACGCGCAGATGGCCGCATTCGTGCAGCCTGAGGCCGTGGACGTTCAACACGTTCGGCTTGCGGTGGAAACGGCGTGCACGCAGGCGCAGACGGCTACCGGTGATGTTGACGAGTTGCGGCTCGTCCGTCGATGTGCACGAGATGGGTCGTTGTCGTGCGGAGGCTCCGCGCGTCGAGTCGTGGCGGACAGAGTGCGGGACGTCGGACGGCGGGATGCAGTGTACGGGCTCGTGCGGACACTGTAGAATTATTGGTCTGCAGGGCGACTGATGGTTGTCAGCCGAGCATTAGAGTAGTCGTACATACATACGTTCAGACGGCTCTTCCGTGTGTCGCGCATTGCGCAAGACGGGGTGTAAGTACTGCAGGTACTGCCGTCGGGATGAAAGTCAATGAATAACGAAGAGTCTTGAAGGTATCCGGAGTCCATCCACCTGGCTGTGGCGCGGACGCACGGGCCGGGTGGCACGAACAGTCGGAATCCGAAATCTCGAGCGCGACCGTCCCGGCTTCCATATACAAATGTCCCAATGGTATTCTTCTCTCTAGTCTTCTCATGATCGATCAGCACTGCGCACAGGAATGACCAGTTCAGCGTTCGAGACTCGAGCTCATCGCGGTCATGTGATTCATGTCAGGTCACTGAGCCGCAGATCCTAGAACAAGCGATGTCCTGAAATTAATCGGTCCTGATGGATGACACCAAATCCAAGGATAATATACAATATCGTAGATGCCTCACTACACGTCTACCAATCTATATCTTGCTTCAGTTTCGTCCATCCGGGTATCCCATCTACGCAGTCTTCAAGTTACACATATCCACCACACGGTCCTCGCACACGCGGTACGCGTCCACCAGCCCCGCGTACAGCGCGACGTTCGTCACCTTGGGCTCCGCGACGCACTTCATGCGCTCGCCCACGACGTCCGACGCGCGCATCTCCTCGAACGTGCCCTCGCCGCCGTTCTGCGCGCGCCACCACGCGTACCGCGCGAGCTGCGCGCCGCCCTCCGCCGCGCCCTCCTTGCCCGCGACGAACACGCGCATGCCGAACACGTCCGCGGCGAGCTGGCGGATCACCGCGTTGGCGGAGGACCCGCCGCTCAGCACGAGCCGCTGAAGCGGAGCGGCGTCCGGTGGTAGGATCGCAGCGATGCGCGAGCGGATGGACAGGAACTGCGACTCGAGGATCGCCCGGGGGTGTGCGGTGCGCGGCATCTCTACGTCAGTGATCGTGCGCACGTCGGGCGGCGAGACGGAGGGGTTGGTACGGAAGAAGAAGGATCCGTGGACGCTCGGGGGATGATCTCGGGGAGAGGGAAGTAGAAGCCCATGTAGCCAGTGTTGCCAGCCGGCATCTGCTCGACGAGCGCGTTGAACCGTGTCCAGTGCCCGTCGGCGTAGGCGTCCCGGACCTGCTCACGTGCGAGCGCGCCGTTCTTGTAGCAGAGCATAGCGATGTGCGCATCGATCGTGGTAGGGTGGGAAAGGAGGTGCGAGGTCGTGAAGCGCTTGGGCGCGGAGTCGGAGGGAGGGATGGAGAGTAGGAGAGTAGTGGAGGTCCCGAGGGAAAGGATGGCATCTCCGGGAGTGGAGAGTGCGACGACGGTGGCTGGGTTATCACCTGTGAACGGCGCGATGCAGCAGGCTACAAGGAGTAAAGGGATCCGTCAGAACCACGCTTGCACACGGCGCTGAGAACTTACCGGGGTTAAAGCCCCAACGCCCCACCCACCATGGACTGATCGTGCCCAGCACGGTACCACCCGGAGCGGGCTCTGGCCCGATCTTTTCCCGCAGCTCCGGGCCTCCGCACGCGTCCAACAGAGTATCGTCCCACTTACAGGTGAGTACATCCATCAGGTTCATTCCACTTGCGTCTGACACCTCGATGGGAGCGATTGACCCCAAGAAGAGCGAAGGCATGAACGAAGACACCAAGGAAATCCGCGCCGTTGCCTGATACGCTGCGGGGTTCGTGCGACGAAGCTAGGATGTGGGCCCATGGTCAATTCGGAATGCCAGACTCGCGTCGTGTGACTGACCTTGGCAATCTGGGTGCCAGTAAACCGCTCGTAGGCACGGCTTCCGGTCAGGTCCGCGAGCGCCTGCGCCCCGCCGACGGCTGCTTCCAGTTCGCGGCACTCGCGAGTTGTGGAGGAGTCCTGCCAGATGGGCGCGTTGGGGAGCGAGAACGCGCCAGGAGACAACTGCTCCAACGGGCGTTCTGGGTCGAGCGTCGCGAGCATACGCTCGGCGTCATCAGACCAGTACACGGATCCATGTTGCTGGAAAGGCTGTATGAGCATCACGATGAGAGACGATGGGGATCCATCGAACCTGACCGTCGCCAGAGATGCTCAGAATCCGCCCAAAGTTGACGTTCGCGGCCTTCATCCGCTCCATGAGGAGGTCGAAGGCCTCGAGCCACATGCATACGGGAGAGGTGACTTCGCCAGGGCCAGGACCGCGGATGGCACCGTTCGTGGTCGCGTAGTTGGGGAGGTCGCGGTCGAAGTTGACAGATGATTCATGTACGACATCGCTGTCCTCCGTGATCAGTACGGCCTTGAGGCCTTGGGTGGAGAGGTCGAGGCCGAGGAAGAGGGGTGAGGTCTCCATGGTCAGGAAGAGGGCCTCACGCGGGAGGTAGGGGTTTATGTGGGGTGTGGGGTAGTGTTGCGGGGGATGGGGAAGACAAGATCCCGACTGTCGGGTGCGGAGAGGGGCTTTATAGGATGATGCGAGCGCGCCGGGGAGGCTAGCGAGTCGGAAGGCCGGCAGGGGATGGCGAGAGGGAGAGTGGATGGTCCATCGGGAAAATGGGTCGAGCGTTCTGGGCTGAGAGAGCGGGCGAGCGGGCCTGCAGCGGACCCTGGCCGGGACATTATCGGTTTCGCCGCGCGACATACGACGGCTATGCTCCGGACCGACGACGCGTTCCAATCAAACGCGCCCACGTGATCTGGGGAACGCGCCATGCATCATCACCTCCCCACCTCTTCCCCGCACAACCCCAATCGCGGCCCCGAAGATGCACACGTAATTGGCTCTATGAAGTTCGCAGAAGCACTTACGCACGCATCCTCACCCCCGGCTGAAAATGGTATGCTTCACAATCGTCCACTGTCCAGACCCGGGTTCTCGACCGTCCAGGGCGTTGCTTACTGCTTGGGGATGGCCTCGCACTATAAAGCCGCTCAAGACCAGTCACCCTGCAGATCGAGACGCAGCAGGTGCATGGCCAAGAATCGCAGCATTGGACCTTCTGCCCGACGATCAGCGTAAGTCGTCATGAGACTGCAATAGCACCCTACTGTGATTTCATCTCAGCTGTTACGATATTGAAAGCCATGGGGGCCTTACCTTATTGGCCCCACCGCGCATCTACTACTGTAGAGTTTTATCGAACGCCGGACAGGGCAACGGTCGAGCTTTTTGAGAACATCCTCGACTGAGAGAACCTACCGCCAGACTGGTATAGGTTTCAACCAGGTTTGTCAACGAGCACCCAAGGTCGCGTGAGGATACTGCGCACCGTGTAGAATCACCATCATCCAGACACATCAGGGGGAGAGACCACCCGTTCGGTACTCAGTACGTACGCTGCCTTCAACGTGCAGTGTGCCGCGATGCAGCTCCCGCTGTATCGCCTTATGGGCCGTTGGACGCCTGGCCATGGGATTTGACAGATGCCACTGCGGCAGCAGCAATCAGCAAATTGCTGGTTCCTGAACACCCTGTAGCGACAATGAAACCACGGAATTATTGGTGACATACCAATGTGGAGGGGTGAATACTCACCACCTCATGATTGAGAGCGTCGTTTGCTACTAGCAAGAGCACGAATGCGGCCTTTGCAGAATCCGGAGGACTGGAGAGGTCGAGAGTAACAATGTGACAACGCGCTAATGAGCTCGGCGGTGTGGCGGCGGCAGCTTTCTTGCGGAGGCTTGGCTACGGCCATCATCCGGCTTCGAAACGCCCGGTCACAACAGTAAGAAGTGGATTGTCACGCTCGTTTACAACTTGTTACGAATACTGATGGGCTGTACTACTTATGTCGGGCCGGGATCTCGGTCATCGTGAACATCGCTCACTGTTCTCTCAGGAATATCGGGCAAACAGTACACCAGTATGCTACCACAACTTACAACTACCTGCGCAGGTACTTACATACTGTGTGTTTTGCAGAAGAGTTTTGTCTGTGGCACTCGACTGACCGAGTAGCCCAATAACCCGGCCGAAATCCCGGTATGACTGGAAATGTGACGGCCCATCAACGATGGAAGCTGTGCCGTCTCCATGCGAGTTTCAGGCCAATCTCATCAGACGTGTGACACAGCCGCCAGGACTAGGAAAACAATATAAGGACAGAGACGATGGTATTGCGCCTCTAGGACGTTCCGGGAACACCCCTTGGTACTGGTTGCTTTTTTCATTTCAGTTTCTTCTACCACCCCTTTTGCCCCACTTTCTAATTCTTCGTCATGAACGCCTTCTTCGGTCTCCTTATTGCATCGCTGTGCGGTCTTACGAATGCACTCTACATCCCTGTACGAGTCAGTCATGATACTCAGGTCTCCTCCCGTGGAACTGGTGTCCACAACCCTGCCATTCGCTTGGTCGGGTCGTTCCGTCAGCAGGATGCAAACAACGACAGCGTTGTAAACTTCCAGGATACGGTGGTACGCTTTATTATTCTGCCAGTGATCGAATTTCAGCGTCTCACGATCACTAGTATGCTACGAACATGACGATTGGTGGCGAAGGTATGTTTTGATCGACTGTCTCACGTTCCTTCTTACTGAGATTCACGCACCTCGTCTACAGAGCTCCTCATCCAGTTGGACACCGGATCTTCCGATCTGTGGGTCAACCTCGAGGCCGGCGAAATCGAGTTCACGAACACGACGGACCTCCCGGCTGAGGAAGCATACGGCATTGGGCATGTCACCGGCACCATCCAGTTCGCTAATGTTGAGTTGGGTGACAACATTGTGCCCAACCAAGGTACGAGTGCGGGCTACATGTCAGGAAATTGCAAGCTAACTCTTCGCTCACAGCGTTCATGAACATCTCGAACGCGACGGACTTCGGCACGATCTTCAAAGATGACGTGCGCGGTATCCTTGGTCTCGCATTCGATGCGGGTTCTACCGTCGAAGGCACTATTACTCAGGTCTACGGGAGTGACTCGACCCTCGGCCGTTCCTTCCTCTCGAACCTCTTCATGCAGAACGAGACCAAGCCCCTCTTCACCGTCCAGCTCGGTCGTACGGATGACCCACAGTACACCACCGAGGGCGCGTTCACCATTGGCGAATACCTGCCTGAATTCGAGACCGTCTCGGACATGCAGAAGCTCTACCGCTTCCCCAACAATGGCACAGGCGCGGCTCCCCGTTGGTCCACCATCTTGAGCGGCATGACCATCAACGGCAAGCCCTTCCAGTTCAACGCGTCCGGGGTCCCTGATACGCCGGAGGGCTCCGTCGTTGCGGTGCTTGACACGGGTTTCACGTTCCCGCCCATCCCTGGCGCGGCTGTGGAGGCTATTTACGGTGGCATCAATGGTTCGTACTACGACACGAACAGCAGCCTCTGGATCGTCCCCTGCAACAAGGCGGCCGATGTTGAGTTCCAGTTCGGGTACGTGAATAGCTATCAGGACCCTTGTATATGCGGACTCACTGTCTCGTGAAGCGAAATGTCTGTGCCGATCCATCCCTTGGATCTCACGACGATCGTCGAGATCAACAACACCGAGGTCTGCGTGAACACGTTCCGGTAAGTGCAAAATCCTTTCCTGCGCTGTAATCTCTTCTGATGGCATGCACATAGTCCTTCGACCTTCCCCGTGAACAACCAGTTCGATCTCATTCTGGGTGATGCTTTCCTGAAGAACGCCTACGTCTCGTGAGTGCTGCTCAGCGTTGGCCGAAATGTCATGACTGAAGATGCGCCTCTCCAGCTTCAATTACGGCGACATGTCCGCAGATGCTGTCCCGTACATGCAGATTCTGCCCACAACTGACATGGATGCCGCGCAGGAGGAGTTCGAGTCCGTGCGCGGGGCGATGTACGCCCAAGCCGCTGCTTCTGTCGCCGCTTCCTCCGCGTCTGCCTCTGCAGCCTCCGCGTACGCTGCCCTTGTCTCCGGTAGTGCGCCCATCGCGTGCAACGGTGCTGCGCCCACAACCACGCCGCTCTTCGCCTCGGCTTGGTCGAGCTCCGCGCCGTCGGCCGTCATGACCGACTCAGCGCCGGCCAGCACTGCCTCCCCGAATCTAGCTGATTCGAGCTCCGGGGATGCCTCGAACGCGACCGTTTCTTCGAGTGCGGACGGTTCATCTTCCACGAATGCGACTGCCGCCGCCGACCCCGCTGCCGCGACGGACGCGTCGTCAACGGCTTCTGCCGATCCCGCAGCCACGACTGACGCTTCGTCGACGGATTCGTCTGCGCCCACCACCACCGCCTCGGATGCCAGCTCGACGGACGCGAGCGCAAGTACTACCGACGCGTCTGCGGGTGCCACCGCAACCCCCACTGACTCGTCCGCGAGTGCGGCTGCGACCACCACCGACTCGTCTACACCCACCGCCGTCTCGTCGGACGCGGCCGCAACCCCTACCGATGCGACTGCGCCCACTACCGACGCCTCTGCAACTCCTACCGATTCGTCTGCGGATCCGGCTGCTACACAGTCCGACGGCTCGTCGACGGGCGACTCTTCTTCTGGCGCGCTCCCCTTCTCCATCTCTTCGTCGACGGATGACTCATCCTCGGGCGATGGCTCTGGTTCGATCTCAGAGAACCCAACCTTACTGAAGACACCCAAGGGCAGCCAATCGTCCTTCGGCAACAACCTGTATGGCACTGACGATGACCACAACGACTACGAGTACTCGCGGCGGTTCCGCCGCTCGTACCGCGAGCCGACAAAGACGATGCACGACTGCCTCACGCCCCTTGTTGAGGAGTACGGCGTGCTGCTGTTCGCGCTCATCGCGGGCACGTTCATCGTCTCGCTCTCGCTTTGCGTTGTCACCATCGTTCTCGCCGTCCGCAACCACACGCGGTCCCAGGCTCGCAAGCGCGCGGCTTACTTCGTGCTCGAGGCCAACGCGGAGGCTGAGGCGGACCCGGAGGCGGGTGCATACACTGCAACCTATCACTACACTGACGACTACTGAACGACCGACCAAACGACCAACTCTTTTCATGACATGACTTAAACATAAGGGCACTGGGTGTTCTGACGAAGCTTTTTACGCTATAACTTATTGTTAACTTTTGTTGCCCCCCCTCCCTGTCACTACGTGCTTTCTACTTCTCAATGGAACGCTCCCCGCAATGGTCTGTGTGCCTGTGCTGAACCTGAAGATGGCCGCCGTAAGCGTTCAAACGTTCACTATGATGGAAGGCGCGGCCTGCTACCAGGCAAGACATAACATGACCATTAACAATACGTCAAACAACACACGAAAGTCGAAGGAAGTCCAAGAACAGCCTAACACTGCATAGGTCACTCATACGGGGGTCATACGCCTAGGAAGAACTACGTGACAAGGGGTTTCGTCACGCTCACGGGAAACTCGATACGATGAAGCCGAAATACGACCGACGACGACGGAAGCGAGGCGTAGAGCGAGTAAGGTTCAATAAATACTATGATGCTGAGCGAAGGCCCCTACCGGACCTACGCGCGACATTCTGAAGTCGCAAGCGCTGCTTGCGAAGATTGTCCATCATGTCCTTTGCGATGGGTGATAGCTCCGATGAAGAGGCAGGTGAGGGGACATCCGCCAGGTCGTTGCGGTATCGTGCGTCAAGCACCGAACGTGTGCGCGTCGGCGTCGAAGGTCCAGATACACTCGCACCAGGCATAGCCGCGCTCTTCGAACGGGCTAGTGCAGGACTCGGGTTCGGTGTTACGTCGCTGTTCTCTTTGTCGTCATCCCGCGGGGCGCGCGGGGGCTTCTTCCTATGCGCGCTGCGCTGAGCGCGTGAGGCAGCAGACTTCGGAGGTAGAGGCGGAGGTATCTCCTCAACGTCGTTGTACTGATCGTTGACAAGAGAGGTACGCGAGGTGCTGCGTCGGTGCTTGCGCGGCACAACAGCAGTGAACGTGTCAACACTCTTGGAGGACTCCGCCGCGCGGGGCCCGTACGGTCTCCCGGGGCGCTGGCTTTGTCCCGATGCCGTTCGGCCGAGCTGGGTATCCGTGACCGTATTCTCGAGCTGCCGTTGCAGGTCGAGAGGCAGTTCGGTTTGCGATTGGCGAAGGTCACGGCTAAGTGACTGTTTCGAGCGCCGAGGACGAGGACCGCGGGGGATGCGAGAGGGTTGCGCAGTGCTGCTCCTGCGTGTGACATTGCTATGCACCGACGAACCCGTTGTCGCACGCTGCAGTTCGGGGAACTCGAGAAACTCCAGCTTGTGCATGGGTGCTTCTGCAACGCTTGGTGCAGTCGCCGATACGGGCGCCTTTGCGCCGATGATGGCCTGACTGCAGACAGCAGCGGGGGCAGTAGACAATTTCATCACCGTAGCAGTCTTGACCTCGGCGTGCGAGATGTTGGTATGCCAATGTGATTCCTCAAAAGACGGCGTTTGCGGGCTCGAGTCTGATGTGGGCTGAGAGGGTTGACTTGAAGTGGACGCGCTATCGAGCTGCGGCAGGGTGATCGTCGAGAACCCATACGCGGACCCTGTTTGGGAGCGTACTGAGCGACGACGTTCGCTCAAGAAGCCAAAAACGTGGTTTGCTTGCTGCGGTGTCTTGGGGGATGTGACAGGATTGTCGGCGACAGGAATGGGTTGATCTGGGTCCAGAACATCGCTCGTACCGCTGACCTCCACTTCCAGCGATGATATCGCAGGATGGCCATCCAAGAGCTCACTAGAGTTTTCGGCAGATGCGCTGCGGTCATTGTAAGCGGTATCGCAGTGAATGAAAGCGTTGTCGGCGTTGTCAGGAGTGACCAGAGGGAGAGATGATGTAGATGAAACTGCAGACCCTGCTTGCCTAAGAAATATGAGTTGACTTTTCATATGCTACGCAGAAGTGTAGTAAACGTACTGCAGAAAGCGGTCTGCCCAAGAGATGTCTCTCTCGGTAGCTTCGCCGCGCATCTCTGCGTCCCCTAGAAGCTGGCGCAAGGTCGATCCACCACGTTTAGTCTGCTCGCGACCCTCCTGAATGGGCGCTGAGTTCGGTGGGCTGTTCGAGAAAGCGTGCTCATCTAGCCGCCCGTGATTGTCATACATGTTGAGCAGACTGAGAACGGACGGATCTCTGCGCAGCGCGCGCAGGCGATTCTCGTCTCGGGGTGTGTAGGTTACGGCCTTCATGGCAGGCAATGCAGGTGCTGCTTCACCTGCGTTGTCAGTTATATGCTGGTCGTGAGTTTGTTGTGGTGTGCAAGGCTGCTTGCGGTCGTCAATGCGGGGGTTGGCATTAGGGAATTCGGTGCGCGAGTGTTGGGTGCGACTAAGAACTTGCACGGAGTATGTGTTACTGCGCTTAAGACTGCTTGCAAGGGTTTGAAGGGATTGTGCGGGCGACGCTGGGACGGAAAGATGATTTACGGAAGCTAGTGAATGCGTCAGTCATCGGTGAAACAGTCTGTATACTGCACGTACGCGGAGCAAGCGACTGGACAGCATCCGTGCTTGCCCAGCGCGCCGACGCAGAGCGCAGAAGACGGGTGGCATCTGTGTCGGGCACTTGGTCCTCAGAGCGCAAGATGCGACCCTCGGCGTCGGTCACGAGCGGGCCATGCGACTGTTTTCGCTTGTCTTTCTTGCGGCGGCCGCTGAGAGAGAATATTCGCTTGAAGAAGTCCATTTCGCGGGTTGACTTGCTGAGCGGTGTGCGAGGGCGGGTGCTAGGGAGAAGGGGCTGGCGGGCATCAAGGGAACATCAAGGTTCGAGTTTGGTTCAAGTTCATAACGCAGGCGCTGCGCCCGTCGCGTCACGATCACGTGAATGTACGGCATCGGTCACTAAGTCCTTGATCACGTGGACGTGTTCATTTCGCCGCAGGCGCGTCGCGACGCGCCGCTCCAGTCATCGTCTCTCACTCCGATCACTGCATTTCGCGACCTAAATCCACGCTGTTGTTCGTGGCTGGAATCATACATTCTCTACGTTGATTTGCGACCACAAGATTAGCGATTGAAACATGCCTACGTCTGTCAACAGCGAGCATACGGCGAAACTAGAGGCCGCAAGGACATTGCAAACGACACTCGAACAAACCCAATTTCATCTGGTCAACTACCGCGAGCAATTTGACTCTCAGCAGGACTCGCTCGATGGCGATGCCGGACAGCTGTTTCAAGGGAGGACAGGTCTCACAGACCCCGCTATTGTCGGGGTACATCTTGCATCGCAAGTGGTCCGTGCTTGCACTATGGCTGATATACGCGACTTACGCAGCCAACCTATAGGCGTTTTTGCGGAAGCTCAAGATGCAGTACCTTGAGCAAAAGGCGAAAGATCAATACATCAAGACGATCGTGAGCGACGACGCACCGAACATCAACGCCGAAGACAACGAACGACTGGCACTCGCGAATGAACAGAAGAAGGAGGCTCTACGGATAGCTAAGGCTCAGCTAGTAGAGAAAGATAGTGACATTCGTACCCTTGCGCCGCTAGTAGAGCAAGGTGAGTCGTGTTCACATCCTTCTAGCATGCGAACGTACCTACGTTGCCCTCGCAGATTATAATAAAGCCAAGGCACTCACATCAGAGGCCTCCGATCTTGCGCGGAAGATTCTCGACGCGCGGCTACAGCTCACTCGCTTGAGACAAGCACACCCGCATCCGCGTCTCACTGTCACGTCAGCCAACGCGCAGCTCGACGCACAGGTCGAAGAGATGCAGAAGCTCGATGATGAGCTGCAGGGCATCAATGTGAACATTGATGAGGTCAAGGATAATGTCAAGGAAGGGGCACGCGACGTCGAGCGGCTCCGTATAGAGCGAGCGGATGCCGAGAAGCTTGTCCGTGCGGGCGAAGCAGATGTTCAGGACGGACGGGTCCGCGGGCTGTACGACTGGTATGCAGCGTCGCATTCTGTGCATGGAGGGTTCCTGACCGGCACGATAGGTTTACCGCGTCGCTGGCACTACACCGCTCGCTACATTCTCTCGAGTCCTTCCGTTCCGTGTCCGAAAATGAACTACACCTCGCATATTCCATCACGCCGACGTCTGGCCCTGACACGCGCCGACGACCTATCCGCATCGTCCTACTGTTCGTGCCTAATACGAGACAGCTAGCAGATGCACAGATCGAGGGCCTCAAAGAGGATGTGGGCGACATCGTCGGTGCGCATGTACAAGCAAACGACGTCCCTGGACTCCTCGCGGCCGTTCTATCGAGAGCTCGAGCAGGATTCTGACTGAAATTTCGGTACTCGCCAGGGAGGCTCTTGGGTTATACTATATTCCAGTACGTGCATAACAATTTTATGTATCATATATCTCAATGTTCACAGTCACAGGCGCATGAAAACGCTAGGCACGTCTGTGCAACAACGCTTGTAACGAACGCACGACTACTTCACGGAACTTTGCGATACCGGGCATGCATTTTTTGGTCAACCCTATCTTATTCGCGCATGGTTGCGGAACACAACAACACATCTGAGAATAGTACGACACCGTAGGTATGATACAGTATGTACATTATACGACTCGGAGGATCTTCGGGTGTGTGGGCATAGGGTAGTAGAGCACCAATTGATGGTATAGAACGCATCGCGAGAGCCAGTGGTCCGCGGGATGAGGATGGAATGGCGTGGTGATAGAGATTGAATTTTTCGAGCTGTCAAGGACCCGTGGGCAACGCCGTGAACAGAGTGCGCGGGCTACAACAGAAGTAAGCATGGATATCCTCGCGTGGAGATTGATGAGACGTACCAAAGTGAGACGTCAACGTTTTAACGCTTATGCTTCTTCGTCCTCCGCAGTACGACTGAGTCTGTGGTAACGGTATGCGCGTGGGTAGATGGGAGGATCGTCTTGCAGGCGATCGTGTTGTCAGTCTGGTCTGCTTGATAGACACTGGCATGGGAGCATCTGCGAGTCAACAAGTCAACGTCCCGATCTTCCTTCGACGAGTGCATGAAGCTAAATACCTAACGCCGTCCTCCTAGACATTGACACACTTCTCGCATTCGAGACTTCCGTCGCACTGAGCACCTACCTCCACGTGTTGGACATCCCCCCATCCCATCCGACAGACTCATCGTCGTAACCTTCATCGTCTCCGTATTCCACACCGTCATCGCTGTACGCATCGTCCTCTTCATCCCCGTCGGCGCTGCCGGGAGTGTATGGGTCAAACCTGGATGTGTCGCCCAAGTCGTCATCCTCCCGGAGGTCCACACTCAAGTATTTCTCCCCTTCCCAATGGCGAGTAGGACGCGTCCACGTAGCGGAACCACTTCACGTGGCACTGGCACATGAGTGGCATCCAGTCGTCCAGCCTATCCGCGAGCTCGATAGGTGGCGAGCGCGACCGCTCGATCCGCTTGGGAGGATGGGCTCTGTTTCTGTAGTCTATGTAGACACCGAAGACGAGCTCGGTGGACTCGCCAACCCAGCACTCCTTGAGATAGGGCCATCCCGTCTTCTGTGCGATGAATTCGGCGGCTGCACACTCGTGGTCGACGTCATTGGGATCCGACTCAGTGGCAAGATTGAACTCTTTGGAAAGCTTCCTACAGAACGGTTTGTTGAGCAACCCAGCCAAGCACCCAGGTCATTGCGACGAAGTTAGACGACGTGAGGGTATGCAGCAAGACATGGAAAATTACGTAAAGTGGCACCGTCGTGGTGTTACAGCTAAATAAGTATTGCTAGACCCCTCGCCGAAAAGAGTGCACTGCACAGGCGGGTCAGCAGCGGCTTCTGTGGGACGATCGTACGTCCTCCTACCCTGGTACCCAGCTCCTACCTACATATGTAAGTAGCGCATCTTCGCCGTCGTCGAGGGTTTGCGTGGTGATCGATTGATCTCACACGCGCACGAAGTCTTGAGCCTTCATCGACATCGGTACTACGAACTTGAAGGCTGCGTGGTCACTCGGACACCAACAAAATGGAGGAAGACGACTGGATGTAAGTTTCGTTGTCCACATACGCGAGTTACATGGTCTTAACATGAGGAATATAGTACAGCTGCAACGTCCGAGGGCATTCCTCGATGTCCATCGATTCCGCAACTTCCTGTTGAGGTCTGTGGACGAATTATCGACCACGTAGCAACCGGAGTGGATCACAAATACGTGTCCCTGACGAGCGACCCACATCTATCTACTCTCGCGTCCTGCGCGCTCGTATGCCAAGACTGGTACTACCTGACGTGGTACCATCTTCGTCAACGCATCCATCTACGACGTCGGGAGGATGTCCTCTCACTCTTCAAGACGCTTCGTGAAAGACCGCGCCTCCGTGAGGCCGTCCAACAGGTCATCATATCCGGTGCCTTACCTGGGTACCGTCAGCCGATTGGGCACATGGGGACATTTGCCGTCATGCTCGCTGGCAAGGCTCCCAGGTTGTCGAGGATCACCATCACAGATGCTAAATGGATCGCGGGCGCGGTTCGAATGGTGGACGTCGGCTACCTATCCAGGTTCAGCTCCATTAACACTCTGAACATCATCAACGTTACCTTGTCCAGCGTTTCCCTGCTGTCCCGCCTCGTTTCGGCACTCCCGCGGCTGAGAGAGTTATCATGCATCAATGTCGACTGTTTGCAGAAACAGCAGGTCTTTCCCGGCTCTCTTCCGCTGAACTGTGCCAACATGGAGTATCTCGGAGTGCGATGGGTTGCACCAGAACTCGAAGACTTTCTCGTGCAGATCAGCCGGGCTTCTCGCGTGCGTGTTCTCATTCTTGCGGTAGTTGGCGAGTCGGGTCCCCCCGAGTCGGCAGCCAGCCGCAGTCAGACTCTGCTGGATGCAAGTTCCACATCTGCGGATGTGGTTGGGCTCAGGTTCTGGGTCGATCCTACTCCCATGCCTGATGGGACAATTGATGCTACTGTCGGAAAGTTTTATGTCATTATCTCTGAAGCAATTGGCTGATTGATTCGTGCCTATAGAGCGACACTACAACCTTTCACACCACGACCGCCTGTGGAGGTTGGAGATCCACCTATATCACCCCTATGCAGCGTGGCCCTGGATCCCGTACATATTGTCTCGCATCACCTCAAAACACTTCCAGGCCATGTCTGTCATGTTGGTCATTCGGACAGACCACATGGCCGATGACCTGGGCGAAATGCTAACGACGATGGAGCAAGATAGTGTGTTGGGACGATTGGACAGCATACTGCAGGAGGAGCACTTCTCCAGTATTGTCGTGTCACGCGGCATCTGTCTAGGCTTCGACACTCATGATGATACCTGGACCTCTGGCACACTGGAGCCGGGTTCAGCACTCCGAGAGCGGTGGGATGAACTCGCCAGGCAGAAGATGCCACACTCAGAAGGACGAGGTATACTAACGTATGTGATACTATTGACTCAGACTGCGGGGGAAAGCTCAGTGCCCTTCATAGCACCATGCATAATTACCAAGATTTCATAGTCTGGCGTGAGGACATGGAAAGAATCCATCGTGCGCAGGCCACGCAGCCAAATACCGGAGGAGAGGCACAGCGAGAAGGTCAAGATATCGAGAGTCCTAGAGGTGGCACAGATTGACGTCCTTGCTGCCCTGCACCCTCGCAGGTATTGTCCCATGGAGTGCCGTGCCGTGAGTACAGAGTCGTCATCGTTATTACCGCTCTATTAATCCGTCCGGCGATCTCAGCGCGCAGAATGACCATGGCTGGAACACGGGTCGAGACGTCGCTGGCATGGGAACCTAAGATGTTCATGCTCACTTATGATCACATACCGCACCTGCATGACGGTTTCTCGAAGCCAGGAGAATCAGATGGATGTATTGTGCTCCAGTTAGACAATGATAGTTGAACAACAAGCCTCGGGCCGTCGATCGATACAAAATACATCTACAGAGTACGCACTACTACTCCGAGTCGCATTCTGCGTCGAGTGATGCGGGCATGTTGCAAGAAGACGTACAACACATATGTCTCGCAGACCGCAGGCCGCATTCTCTTTGTCGAAGACTGCTTCATCACAAGCAAGGGATGATCGATGATGTATGGCATGGCGTCCTCCAACGGGTGAGTTTTGGTAATGTGCGGTACGAGCATGTGAATTTTGTATGCACGGAGAACGAGGGGAACTACGCGACGAATGTATAGACAAGAGGGCGGTGCGGATGCGAACGCCATACTGACGAGAAACGGGGACCGCACCAACACCTACGGAGGTGCTGCCATGTGAGCTATCCATTCCACCGGGACGAAAAAAAAACATCTTGGACGAGGCCTTCTGTCGTGAAGACCCCGAGATTTGGAATATAGAACACGTCAGGCCTCTAGTGAGGTACCGCATGATAAATACTATTGTTTGTAGTCAGGGCGAGGGCTCACAATTGGAAGAATATGGTGAAGACGCTCATCTCCGGCGCGTCAATAAAGAGACTGCCATTCGCGCTCACGAGTTGGCACCTGCACCTCCGCGTAGTCCTCCGCCACACTCGTGCGGAGCATCGTAACGGGCTGTGTGAGCTCGAATGTGCCGCCGCCCGACAGAGTGATGCTTGAGGCGTTCCACTGCGCGTTCATCGCGACGACGGAGTACGGCACCTGGTCACACGTGCTGTACTGCGCGCAGGACGAGTCGTAGTCGAACGCGAGGACGCGCCATGCGTCGTAGTCGGTGTCAGAGTCGGGCGTGACGGCGCGGCGGATGGAGCCGACGGGAGCCCCCTTTGTGAAGTGCTTCAGCACGGAGTAGCGCTTGGTAGCCTTGATGTCGTAGTTCTGCGAGCCGCTGTGGTCGGGGTCGTAGTAGAGAAGACCTGGTCAAAGGCTAGTCAGCCATGCCAACGAGGAACTGGTATCCTGCAGTGAGTCTTACCGTCGTCCTCCCACTAGACTGGATGCCATCCCAGCACGTAGCGTGCAACCTATTTCGTTAGAGAGCGCAGTCCACCAGTCCCTTGGAATAGACATAACATTTAATAGGTACGGATTCGACCGATGTACGCCCACTTACCAATGCGAGTCTTCTGCATAAGTGAATGACTGTCAAACAATATGCGCCATACGGAGGCCGCTAAGCATTGTAGGATCATACTGCGAGCCGAAAGTGAGTTCGGCGAGAGGATTGTCGGAATCATCTGAGTTCGCCGCATTGTAGCCTGATCCCAGATGACGTCAATTGAACAAATATCCTAGCGTCGTCGTACTCACAGCATATCTCCGTGAACCAGGTTGGCACGCCGCCGCTCAAGTTGCGCCCGTGCGCAAAGACCTCTTGTTGCGTCGCCGCACTTGCAAAATCGTACAGGTGGTGGCAGTTCCCACCTAAAGACTCGCCCACGGTCGTATTGAGCCAAACCGGCTCGTCGTTCGAGTAGTTGGCTGTACAGCCCATTTAGAAGGTCCCACACATCGTTTGGGAAACGAGCCGACTGACTTGTTTCTGAAGATTCATCAGAGATGACCTGCGTAGAGAGGCCGGCTGCCTTCAGCGATGCAGCGAGGGTAGTCACAACCTCCGCGCGCTGTTGAGGGACAACCTGCATACCCTCTTGAGTGCAGCTGCCGAAAGTGTCGTCGGGCTCGCTGTACGCTAACTGTTTCGTACCTTGCCATGCCGGTAAGCCGGCTCCAAAGTACCCTGAAAACAACCCATTAAATGAGTAGCCCCCGCGCACACAAAAACCCGGCTGTGACTTACTGAACTTCACGGTGATAACACAACTTGGGATTGCATCATGCGTTGTCACTCCGCGTTGAAATGCAATGATAGATAGACGTCAGACATAGACATGTCTTCTGCATAGCGGCGAGAGTGACGATACCCGCAATACTTATGACTGAAAAGTTCTAGATGAGAGCTTCCCGATTCTGACTGACTGACTCAGCGGGGGAATGTGCGCGATCTCGGTCACTGGTCTCAGCCGCTGTGACTCCTCTTACTAGCTTCGGTTTTCGAGACTGGTTGAGCATGGTGTGATAACAACGTAGTTGAGTGCATCGAGAATGCCTTCTTCGACAAGAATGTCACGGTAGTCCGCGATCCAGGACGATCACGTGCAGAGATTACTCAGGCCGTAGTCTGTCTCAGTCGAGGTCAGTGCTTCGAGGATCGACACAAGATAACAGAGAATCTTGAACACGAACATGAGCTTGAATCAAGAACAACCGTAGCACGGTAGCAAACAATCCAGAGGTGTCATGTCTGTCATGGTATAAGTAGCAACGATTGCATACCAGGAGTCAACGTTAGTGCGAGCTGACAGGCAACGGACGAGTAGAGCTGGCACCGTGACAGGCGGCATCTCTGCTCGATGATCCTCGGCGGTGTGTATGTTCTGGGTTTTGCGGTATGGGTACTGGAATCTATCTACGGAGGTCCAATCAGCCCGACTTCAAGCTTCACACATGGGTTGAAGATAGCACGACTGACGAGGGAGGATCGACAGCTTGGCTACCGTTGTCATTAATCCTGGGCGGCACGATTGAGATTCGCAAAGAATACACAACGATCTTCACTGCCCACGCACGGCGTACCGGGATGTATTACGTCGGGCTACCGTTGTGATATCGCACATCTGGTGGGTGCCCGACTACCTGATATGAAATGTTATTAGAAAGCGACGCCTATACAACGTAATCAGGAAGCCAAATCACGTACCTCAACGCTACAGCTCTCTTCCCGTGGAGATGCACAAACTAGTCTTGATAACAGATATGCACATAACGGTAACACAAGGTCGAAGTGCGACAACGCTTATTCCGATTCGTTTCGTACAGCACTCACACGCTCATCTACGGTTACAACAGGTCTGCGAGTCCGACGCGAACGACCCGAGATTGGAACGCCGTAAGGGACAGATCATCCCGGAGCAGCTTATCCTTTTCCCAGTCGGGCATGCCCGCGAGAGCGATGAGACAGGTTTTGTTGACAATTCCCGCGCCGATGAACTTGTGCGTGAGGTCTTCTAGATCTGGGTTCAGCGACTGGAGGAAGGCACGGATGACCCCGTCGTGTGGCTTGCTCGGTGCTGTACCGGCGGAGGCGGTAGTTTGGTGGCGGGTCATAGCCGGGGCCTTCCCAGAACGGGCGGTCTGGATGGCATGGACCGTTCTTACCTGGAAGAGAATGCGATGAGTGCTCATTCACACGAGCGGCGGCGGACTCTCACCGATACAGACGGACCCACTGAAGGTGTGTCACGATATGTAGACTCAGAGTCAGACGCCGTACTAGAGCTCGACGACTCAGCAGGCGATAGGACCTGTCGGTGGTGATTCAGATTCAATGAACGAACATGGATTTCATCCCCTTGACTTACCCTTCTCGATTGGTAATGATATGGGGCCGAACCGCGGCATTCCTCGGCTCCTGCGAAGCCGCCCACTCTTGCGGATGGTACCGGCGTCTCCATCTTCATTGGGTCCCCCTTGTTGATCCTGATTGGCATTCTTCATCGCTTGTTTGTGCTTCCACCGCATCCTCTTGAGCCAACGACGGGTGTATCCATCAATAGGCCAGGCGTCTTCGTATTCGGTCTTGATGAATGGAAACTGGCTTACGACCTGCGCCCGGGACAAAAGCTGTGTGAGGCACCTGTCAAAGTCGAAGCCATACTGGTCACCTCGTTAGAGAATGCGGTCCACCGCTCGGGGTCTTGATCTTGAAAGAGTTGCAACACATCTAGATGTTCCGACACAAGCGTCCGCACGCCGCTCTTTGTGATTGAAAGGCCAAGTCAGTTCAAGGTGACTTGATCTCACAAAAGCAACGCACTGTAAACCGAGTGAACTTTGGGTCCGTGCGACCGAGTCCCATCGCCTGAGAAAATGAACCCAGTTTCATTATGTTCTGAGGACGTGGCCAAAACTTTCTCCGTGGACCTGCGGGTTGCTTCACAGTGAGAACGGATAATCACGACGTCGCGGAACATACCATGCGTCGCCGAAATGGTTTCTGAGGCAACACTCATCTACTCGCAGTGGTATGCTGGCTGAGTGAAGTGGAGGGATATCGTTCAACGATGTCCAGGAAGCCCGATTATATCAGTATCTCGGGATATTAGGCTACATCTGCACGCGTACGTGATAACGACAAGATCGACGGAGTCTCCAGATGGATATGACCTGCGTGCAGGATCCCGCGAAGCGGAGGAAGCTTCCTGACCGCCCACGAGCAAGGACACGCGTCAATATCAATTCATCGACGAGATTGTACGCCGTCGAGTCCTGACCTCCGCCTTATCACGCGACCGTGGCAGTGGTACGGCAGGGGAGTCTAGCCCTGTCACTCGCGATATCAAAAACCGTAGAACGTCGCGTGGAAATGGGATGCACTGTGAAATGTGCGGACGAGTAATTAGTACGACATTAAGACCCAATCTACAGCGTCATTTGTGTTGCCAAAAGCCCGTTCTGCACGAACGCCCTGGGATTCCCGTCAGCCTCGGCATACTTGGACATGAACAGCTCGTCGTTTGGCACTACACCACACCAAGATCAATCACAAGAGCCAGAGTCAAGAGGACATAACGCACCAGATCGCAGCTCATCGTTGAGGCGCACTTCGCCCGTGTGCAGCGCCTTGTCCTGCATCCAGACCTCAAAAAGCGACGCGGATTCGCTGACGCTCATGCGCGGCGACACAGGAAAGTTCTTCAGGCCCCGCGCGAACTCCGTAGTCTCCGGCGAGCGCTTCGTGTAAGGCCCTGCAGGACGTGGCGGCGGCAGACCAAGGGCTTCGCACAGCTCGAATGGCATCTTGAACGCAGTATGCTGGGTGCCTGCTGCTCCCATGACCGCACCATGTGGCTGAGTAGAGCAAAGCATGAGGCGTTAGCAGCCTGTAGGAAAGTAAATGGAACGTACGAAAGCCTTCTTGCCGCTCGCGTATTCAAGGATCATTCGCGGGATCGCCAGGTGCTGCGCCATAATTTGTCGGTAGTGCGCGTCACGGTACAGACTGTAGCCGTACATAGCCTGCATATCGTCTACGGCGAGCAGCACAGGATATCTATCGAGAAATAAGCCGACACCCAGAAATGATAGACGGATAATTACGTTGACTGGTGCGACAGCTCATCCATCAGAACAGCTAGAACCACAGGCGCATTGACCGGGTCCTGTACGCCTGCTTTTACAAGCTCGCTAAGAGGGGAGCCAGCGGGCACAGGAGCGTTTTCCAGCGAGACATGCTCCCGAGTCTTTGGCGTTTCGATGAGCCGCTCGTTGACACTAAGGAACCTGCGGAGCAGCTGGTCGGAATACGCTGGCTGAGAATATGTCCGCGTTCGCGCGTCATAGGCCTAGTCCCTAGACGAGTCAACGAGGTGCAATCCTGAGAAGCATTAGAGGGGTGTCTGCTCATAGAGAGAGATCATACCTCGCGGGATGTACATCACGATCCAGTCACTATGTGCTGCATTTTCTACTGTCTGCAGTAGCAGATAGCCCTTGCCACAACCAGTCGGTCCGGCTACGAGGCAGCGTTAGTGGTTTTCGCAGCGAAGAGGTATCAAGACTCGCTCATGATCAGTCTAGTGTCCCGACTTGACTTGTCGCTAGCACCGTCCAGAATGTTCAGTGCACTGATGGTGACGTCCCGGACGACAGAGCACGGCCTTGAAAGTATCCGGAACTAGTCTTGTGCGTCAGACAGAGTAGTTGATGATGAAACAGGGGCTTACGTCGCGAAGTGGGCTGTCCGGAACACCGAACGCACGCATAGCTTCATTCTGCGAAGCCGGGAACCGGTGAGATACTGCACGTATGCGGGGATGCGCTCCGTGACGAGGTTGCCCCCACAGCTTTGATTGTTGCTAGTCATCGGCTACATGCTAAGTGTCAGTCGCGCCAGAGACTTGGGATACAAAGCACACTCACGGCACTGTTCACGAATAGCGTGAACACGGGCACACCTTGCAGAGCAGCTTCCTTGAGGTAGTAAGTACCTGCTGTACACGCCATCGCTGAACAGCACAAACCAGTAAGTTCACAATGGCATACGGTGGGATGCCAGTCTGACTTCCTAACGTATGGAGTCTCCGGTGCCCTATCCCATGTAGTGATACCGACTCCACCGCCTCCAAGGTTGTATCGATAATCGGTGAGGCCGAGACCTGCATAGCACGAAATCCAGATATTTCGGTCCCATGGAAACGGAGGTAGACATACCACTATTCTGGTTCAAGAGCAGGTTGGAGACGTTCTGGCGAACATCATCCGGAAAGAGCGCGAGGTCAAGCGTCCACCACGCTCCCGACGCGCCAACGCCATGGATAGTCTGCCGCGTCGTGGACGTAATCTGAACCCTGCGAACCCCTAGGAACAGTAGCGGCACAAGGGTGAGTAGTCGGACGGCCATCTGGACAAGGTGTTGCGGTCCGACGTCCTTCACTTGAGCGTCCGCCTATATATGCGCCTCAGACTTTCTGGAAGCCTTCTGCGGCAATGAGTTTCACGATTCCATGATGGAGGGCGTGACCGCGTGACGGGTTTCATCAAGTGACTGTAAGTGACGCAGACCAGTTTTCGCCGCCAGTGTGAGATCACGGAGAATGAGCGCAATGGAACAGTGGTCCTCAAGTGTCCAAGGGCCTACTCATCAAGACGGTGTCAAGAACTCTGCACAAGCGACAAAGTTTCCAATCTATTGGCTTTTGCTGAGGCATGAGCTCTTGAGATCTTGAGCTTGAAGGATTGACGTTCTGGTGCGAGCTTCGGTCTGACGACAAGAAGGGACCAAGGCGGGCCGGCGGCTTTCTGTGCCTTCAGGATTCCGTGATGCGGTCTCATGGCCAGATCTTGCCATGAACAGACGATCTATACGTAGCTGACTTCCACGTTGCTGCCAGATCATGAAAGGCCGTTGCAATGGATGTACTAGTCATTGAACGCGCTTCTCAGCATAATGCGGACTCACGAATCAAGATGGACATACCGGAATCATGTTCAAATTACTACTCCCAGCAAGCTTGCTCCGCGATGTTCTCAGCTTGGGAGACGCGGTGGCAACGGCCCATCAGAGACCGTAGAGTACGAAGAGTAATGCACAGGTCTTAAGCATCGGTTGCGCAAATGTGCACACCAGCAGTGTCGCGGGCAAGTATGCAAGTACAACGTGAAGGCCGACGCTCATATGCCTCCTCAGTGCATCCTGCGCTCATCGCACCGTGTCCCACGCCATCGAGGTTCGATCGACGACCGGCCCGCCCGGGAGGACCACCCCGGAGAGTTCGGGCATGCCATACTGGGACCAGACTCTGTGTCGGAGTCTCCGATTGTTGCCTCCGAGTCGTATCCCTGTCGTATCCTCAACCTTCATCTTCTGTACATGAGCATTTGCGTGGTCTGCAACGACTGCAGCTTCGTGTCTTCGCTTCCGCGCAAAAAGCGACCCAGGCCGACTCACTGGTACGGCGTCCAGACTCCGCGGATCTGCCAACACTGCCACTGGACGAAAATTGCGATATTTTCATGTGAAAGATTGTAAACAAGAGGCCAAACAATTTTTGTGTATTTCATCTGAGAATGATCTTCAAAATGATTGAAAATATCTTTGCTCTCCTTCTTAGTGACAGATTGGAAAAGGATTGATGAGAGCTTTGAAATCATTTGATTGCTGTCATACATGTGTCTTTCTGCCTCAATGATTCAATAAGTATATGAGACATACTAGCAATCAATTTGACTCTAATGATTACAGAAAGATACAAAACCAGAACTTGAAGTCCTGATTGTCAATCCTTGCTTGAACTTTCTGTTGAGAATGATAGTGATTTGGTTTTGAATCTTATGGCCTTGAAGTATTGAAGAAAGATGGTAAACAATGATCATAGAACAGGATTTCAAATCTTATGAACAGATTTTGTGGCCAATGATAAGAAGGATATTATAAATCCAGTCTCTATCAGTGTACATCTTGCTACAGTGCATATTGTGTCATGTTCTGCATATGTTTACTAGGTTTTATCATGAATGATTTAAAAAAGATTGCAGACATTTTTCTCTATCTTTTGGCAAGAAGGATCACTTTATTATGCTAGATGGCCAGGCATCATGGTTGTATGTTACATCTGTGATCCAGCCGTCATTCATTCAGAGATCATTAGCTTTGAAAGATACATAATGGATTGTCACACCCTGTTATGAATCTTACAGCTGTAACATGTACTCGAAAGAGACGTAACTGGCTGTCACACCCTGTTATGAATCCTTTTGCCATCATGTTCCATGAAGGATGTCAAAATGATTGTCACACCCTGTTATGAATCTTTTTGTGATCACTTTCCTCAAAAGATACATAAATGATTGTGACAGACTGTGAATTTGCAAGGGGTTTAATTCAGTCACAAATAGAGCCATCATAGCAGCAATCATGTACAGCTGTGGACACTGTGCCACTGTGGTGGTCCCTGCCAAACAGAGGCTATGAATGGTCTGTGCCACATGCATTCCATATATGTCATTCTCTTTTGTTCAATCAGGGTCAGCTTTTACCCCCATTCACAATGTACACAGAAGTGCAGAGTACAACACAACTTACTTCCATGTGTAGTGTGTGGTGCAGGAATGTATTGTACATGCTACAATACACACTGAGATGTACATTGTGAGTGGCACAGCACATTGATGTACTTCAATGAATGTGATGCACATCTGGATATACATTGTACATAGTCAAATAGAGCATGGCCTGCTTGGTCAAGGCCAATGTATGTGGGAATGTATCATACATGCTACGATGTACACTGGGATGTACATTGTGAGTGGCACAGCACATTGATATAGTTCAGCCAATGCAATGTACATGTGGATGCACATTATGCATAGTCACCAGAGCATGGCCTGTTTTATCAAGGCCAATGTATGCAAGATTGTACTGTACATGTAATGATGTACATTGGGATGTACAATGCAAGTGGCTGAGCATGTTAATGTACCTCAACAAATGCCATGTGCATCTGTATATACATTGTGCATTGCCAATAGACCATAGCCTGCTTGGTCAAGATCAATATATGCAGGAATATACTGTACTTGATGCAATGTACACTGGGATGTACATTGTGAGTGGCACAGCACATTATTGTACCTCAACAAATGCCATGTGCATCTGTATGTACATTGTGCATTGCCAATAGACCATAGCCTGCTTGGTCAAGGTTAATATATGCAGGAATGTACCATACATGCTATGATGTACACTGAGATGTACATCATGAGTGGCACAGCACATTAATGTACCTCAACAAATGCCATGTGCATCTGTATGTACATTGTGCATTGCCAATAGACCATAGCCTGCTTGGTCAAGGTTAATATATGCAGGAATATACTGTACTTGATACAATGTACACTGGGATGTACATTGTGAGTGGCACAGCACATTAATGTACCTCAACAAATGCCATGTGCATCTGTATGTACATTGTGCATTGCCAATAGACCATAGCCTGCTTGGTCAAGGTTAATATATGCAGGAATATACTGTACTTGATACAATGTACACTGGGATGTACATTGTGAGTGGCACAGCACATTAATGTACCTCAATAAATACAATGCACATCTGGATGTACACTATGCATAGTCAATAGAGCATGGCCTGCCTGGTCAAGATTGATGTATGCAGCAATGTACTGTACATGCTATGATGTACACTGGGATGTACATAGTGAGTGGCACAGCACATTCATGTACTTTAATGAATATAATGCACATCTGAATGTACATTTTGCATTGTCAACAGAGCATGGCCTGCTTGGTTAATGTTGTTGTATGTGGCAATGTACTGTATGTGCTACATTGTACATTGAGATGTACACTGCAAGTAGCAGAGCACATTAATGTACTTCAACCAATGCAACATACATCTCAAATGTGCTGTGCCACTCATGATGTACATCTCAGTGTACATCATAGCATGTATGGTACATTCCTGCATATATTAACCTTGACCAAGCAGGCTATGGTCTATTGGCAATGCACAATGTACATACAGATGCACATGGCATTTGTTGAGGTACATTAATGTGCTGTGCCACCACTCATGATGTACATCTCAGTGTACATCATAGCATGTATGGTACATTCCTGCATATATTAACCTTGACCAAGCAGGCTATGGTCTATTGGCAATGCACAATGTACATACAGATGCACATGGCATTTGTTGAGGTACAATAATGTGCTGTGCCACTCACAATGTACATCCCAGTGTACATTGTATCAAGTACAGTATATTCCTGCATATATTAACCTTGACCAAGCAGGCTATGGTCTATTGGCAATGCACAATGTACATACAGATGCACATGGCATTTGTTGAGGTACATTAATGTGCTGTGCCACTCACAATGTACATCCCAGTGTACATTGTATCAAGTACAGTATATTCCTGCATATATTAACCTTGACCAAGCAGGCTATGGTCTATTGGCAATGCACAATGTACATACAGATGCACATGGCATTTGTTGAGGTACATTAATGTGCTGTGCCACTCATGATGTACATCTCAGTGTACATCATAGCATGTATGGTACATTCCTGCATATATTAACCTTGACCAAGCAGGCTATGGTCTATTGGCAATGCACAATGTACATACAGATGCACATGGCATTTGTTGAGGTACAATAATGTGCTGTGCCACTCACAATGTACATCCCAGTGTACATTGCATCAAGTACAGTATATTCCTGCATATATTGATCTTGACCAAGCAGGCTATGGTCTATTGGCAATGCACAATGTATATACAGATGCACATGGCATTTGTTGAGGTACATTAACATGCTCAGCCACTTGCATTGTACATCCCAATGTACATCATTACATGTACAGTACAATCTTGCATACATTGGCCTTGATAAAACAGGCCATGCTCTGGTGACTATGCATAATGTGCATCCACATGTACATTGCATTGGCTGAACTATATCAATGTGCTGTGCCACTCACAATGTACATCCCAGTGTACATCGTAGCATGTATGATACATTCCCACATACATTGGCCTTGACCAAGCAGGCCATGCTCTATTTGACTATGTACAATGTATATCCAGATGTGCATCACATTCATTGAAGTACATCAATGTGCTGTGCCACTCACAATGTACATCTCAGTGTGTATTGTAGCATGTACAATACATTCCTGCACCACACACTACACATGGAAGTAAGTTGTGTTGTACTCTGCACTTCTGTGTACATTGTGAATGGGGGTAAAAGCTGACCCTGATTGAACAAAAGAGAATGACATATATGGAATGCATGTGGCACAGACCATTCATAGCCTCTGTTTGGCAGGGACCACCACAGTGGCACAGTGTCCACAGCTGTACATGATTGCTGCTATGATGGCTCTATTTGTGACTGAATTAAACCCCTTGCAAATTCACAGTCTGTCACAATCATTTATGTATCTTTTGAGGAAAGTGATCACAAAAAGATTCATAACAGGGTGTGACAATCATTTTGACATCCTTCATGGAACATGATGGCAAAAGGATTCATAACAGGGTGTGACAGCCAGTTACGTCTCTTTCGAGTACATGTTACAGCTGTAAGATTCATAACAGGGTGTGACAATCCATTATGTATCTTTCAAAGCTAATGATCTCTGAATGAATGACGGCTGGATCACAGATGTAACATACAACCATGATGCCTGGCCATCTAGCATAATAAAGTGATCCTTCTTGCCAAAAGATAGAGAAAAATGTCTGCAATCTTTTTTAAATCATTCATGATAAAACCTAGTAAACATATGCAGAACATGACACAATATGCACTGTAGCAAGATGTACACTGATAGAGACTGGATTTATAATATCCTTCTTATCATTGGCCACAAAATCTGTTCATAAGATTTGAAATCCTGTTCTATGATCATTGTTTACCATCTTTCTTCAATACTTCAAGGCCATAAGATTCAAAACCAAATCACTATCATTCTCAACAGAAAGTTCAAGCAAGGATTGACAATCAGGACTTCAAGTTCTGGTTTTGTATCTTTCTGTAATCATTAGAGTCAAATTGATTGCTAGTATGTCTCATATACTTATTGAATCATTGAGGCAGAAAGACACATGTATGACAGCAATCAAATGATTTCAAAGCTCTCATCAATCCTTTTCCAATCTGTCACTAAGAAGGAGAGCAAAGATATTTTCAATCATTTTGAAGATCATTCTCAGATGAAATACACAAAAATTGTTTGGCCTCTTGTTTACAATCTTTCACATGAAAATATCGCAATTTTCGTCCAGTGTGCCACACGCCGTTATGGCTCCCATATGGCCTGATCCTGACGCGGGCAATAGTATCGCGGGAGTGTGTTGTTGACTGACATTACTTATCGTCAGTACAGGTTCTGCGCCGCAGCGAGGTTATCGCGCTGCGACTTACTTGCACAGTGCGCCAGGCTTGATCGCTTCACCGTATCTGCGTCAGTCACTTCAATTCTCCGAACGGCCAGTGCTCAGGCCTCTCTCCGCTGTCCAGAACAATGTGCTGGTGGAGAAGACTTGCCCCCATCTTACTTTCAGTGAGACTGTGGGCCTTGATTAGTGCTTCGCAAGTGCCGCTCACACCTTCGGTCGATACGTCACCCCGAGCATGGCACTCCCGCCCATGGAACGAACGTCTAAGCGAAGACGCGACGGGCAACCTCGTATTCCAGTCTCTGGCATCTCTTCTGCAAATGATGCCGAACTCCAAGTACCCTATTGGTACGATTCCTGCTCCAACTCCTTGTTACGTCCAGTCACTAATCTCGGACTCAGGCCACTCCATTGCGCGTGCGATCATCCCGAAGGGCACTGTGCTTCACCACGGGAGATTTTTACGCGGCTGCCCGTCGATGGACTGGATCGCGTTCGACCTCGAGCACTCCATGATGTTTGCCTTTGGCACGAACGGCACCTTGCTGACGTACATCGCAACTCGCGATCTGCAGCTCGTCTACTTTGACGGATGCAGCGGCAACAAGTACGGCGGTGTGGGCGACACCCAAGACATCTTGATCTGGGGTGAGCCGGGCCGGACAGGGGACCCAGGAAGCCCGTGGAGGCACGAGATAGACCGTATAGTCGACGGATGTGCTTGGGCAAGGCAATACGGAATTGACGGTTTCCTGCGGATGGAATTCGACTTGTACGTGCTTCAGCTACTCTAGATGCCTCGCGCTGACTTTCCTTGCTACATGTCCCAGCGAGGTCATGTACTGCGATTTCTCGCAGGGCCTGGAGCTTGTCTCTACCATGTCGAGTGTGAACTCGTTAGCTGATTTGGATCCTTCTTCGCCTTTCCCGACTCCCTCAGACGCGTCACGATCAGAAGACGATCTTTCTGCACCGCCATGGCAAGATCGGCTCCCTCGTGGCCAGTGCACTCCAGAAGCGACGATCCACGGGCTTACCCACAATCAGCTCGACAAGGAGAACGGTCTGCTCAGAGATCAGTTGGTCGATGATCCACGTTCGTACCCCAAGGGATGGAAAGGGGCGCTGCCCGACCTAGACATCGAAGGCTTTAACGCGGGGACATGGCACAACCAGTTCCCAGGAGAAGTACGCGTCCGCGTTGATCCCGCGAGTATGTTCTCCTTCTACGACCCAGCCCTGACGTCGCTCGTCGAGGCGCGTCGCACAATGGCGCGGGACGAGTACCGCCCGGGCAACATCTCGCAGGCGGACATCGCCCACGTGCGCGCGGACATCGCCGAAGTCATGACACGCAACTCGTCGGCGACGAGCGGGGTGGACTGGGAGGCCCTTGCACGGGTCATCCAGGACCGCTTTTCAGGCCGACTCCCGTACGTGCGGCACCTTCTGCACCAGCCGGTGACGAACGTCACCGAACGGCTGGCGAGGGTCCGCAGGCAGCTCGTCGTCTCGCTCATCCCGTACATGCACCGCGAAGACATCGGGGAGCCGGCATGGTTCCCGAGGATCGCGCGCGACTGCGCGGCGCGCTTCACGGGGCACTTGCCGCGGGCAGAGTTCACGAAGCAGGAGCGCGTTCTGCATCACGCCGTGGAGGAGGTGCTGCACGAGATCTGTCGAGTCTACACGGAGGCTTGGGTAGATGCCTTCGACGCGGAAGAGAAGTCCGCCGACGTCGTCCGAGGATACCTGGAGAAGTGGAGGGGTGAATTCGACTCGCTTGTAGACTGGCTTGACTGGCCGGTATGGATCAAATGCGAGCCCGCTTGTGGCGTCGACGTGAGTGCTTCCTGTGTTGGATACAGATCTATGAGGTTGACATGATTGTCGTAGGAGCTCTGTTGGGTGCCGCAAGGCGCGCCGTGGGTTCCTGATGGCGACTACGAACCGCACTGTATTCCGATAGACTTCGACGGGTTTCCGCCTCCACTTTAGAGAAGGATGAAACGTAGTCAAGGATTATCCATATCAGGTGTGCGGTCTCATGCGATTCTGGTCAGAAGTGATGTTGACCATCAGTCTGTAGTATATGCTATTCTACATATGACTTACTAATACACTAGTTTTGTGCGGCCTGCGACTGGTGAGCCTTACACGATCGGGCAGTATATCAAGCAGAGGTATCCATAACAAGTGTGGTAGCCGTGTTTCTGCGCAGCTTAGAGGTAAATGGACGTCGGGCCGGAGGCTGAATCTCAAGGTGTGAGTTTGAATCGAGATCAGGTCGAGTGAACGGTGCTGAAGTCATCATAGTACGAGGATTCCTGTTCGAAAAAGAGCAGCAATTAGCGGAGTCAACGCCTGTATGCGATGGATAATGAACATACGGAGCAACGACGACGACAAATCTTCCGTGATGTCTGCTGAGCCAAACTGAACGTCGCTGGGTGAGCGCGTTATTCGCATCCACGCGACAAACTGTGCCCCGAGGTCACGTCGCCATCGTCGTCGGCACTTGCAGGCGCAACATCGCAGTGATCAGGCTCGCATGCTTCGACCTCCTCATCGCCACAAACAGTGACCGAGTCGCCTTCGTCTTCGGAGTGCGCCGCATGGTCTCCAACGTACACTTCGCTCTCGTACCCTTCGTCGCTCGAGACGTCCCCATCCGTACCATCCATATACCCCACTTCCGCATACTCCATAGCATCCTGGCTGTACTCCACGCCGGTCCCGACGGGCTCCTCGCCTTCCTCGGTGTAATATATACCCTCCTCCGTATGATACGCGCCATCTTCGTCACAGTCCTCGCATTCAAACACCTCTTGGTCGTCTCCGGCGAGTTCACCATCGGTGTCAGCATCAGGTTCGATACCTTCATCGTCGTACTCCCCGCGCGCGGCGTCGTCTTCAGTATCATCGTCTTCATCGACGGGATCGGGCTGTGGGAGCATGCGCAAGGCGTCCTTGTACGAGCTGGAGTTGCCGAGCGAACTGCAGGAGATATTCCTTGTCCACAACCCATCCAAGGGCCCAGGGCGATAGAGACATTTTTCAACGCGAACGAAAAGACAGGGTCGGGTACGGGATACGATGTCACGATGAACGATGAGATCGAGGCGAGTCGGCGTAATTAGTGTATTAATTGGATCCGGGGGAGTGATTCTCAGCCACAGACGCGTTTGTGGCTTTCTGTGGCTACATCCGAAGTTATCGGAACGTTGCACGCCGGTCAGACTCGGGTGTGCATTACTGCAAGGTGCTAGGTCATTGATATAGAAGCGTCATCTGAAGTGTTGACTGTGGTTACTAAAGAAGCCCAGAAATCCTAAGTCGCAACAGCTGTGGAATGATGCACGTAGACTGGGATCGATTTATGACGCTAATACATACATACTTATAACAGCGTTGATATTACACAAGACTACGAGATTGATCCCGGGGTTGCGACGTATAACAGCATTCGAGCAATTTGAAGAGCATAGCTATGGGAGAAAGCGATGAAACAACAGGCGTCAGTGGGAGGATTCCAGGTATGTATGCGGAAAGGTGACACAGGACAGCCGTTTCTCTGTTGAGCGACAAACGGCCGTGCGCGTGAGCATTGACACACTAACGTAGTGAATGTGAACGTACCGAATAGGTATTGCGACGCATCTTTTGCAGCGCCCGCGGGGCTCACTTCAGAACGGAGCTCTTCGCCGCCATATGAGGCCACGCCGTCAACCCCTTCGGAATGGACGTCGGCCACGCTCGAGGTGGCATCGCGGTCGTCGGTATTGCCGACAGTAGCAACAGCGTTGCCACCATCATTATCGGTGCGTGCGTCGGCGTCTTCGTCACCACGAACAGTGTCAGAGTCGTCGTCTTCGAAGTCCACCGCGCCTTGCTCATCGTACACGACAACTTCACCATCGCCGCCCAACATGGCCCCCTCGTCGTGGTCTGTATGGCCCATCACCCCCTCCTCAAGGTACTCCGTATCGCCCTCGAGGTACTCTTCTCCTTCCTCGAGATATTCCTCCCCTTCAGCGTAATCCACCACTTGCGATAGTTCCTGATCGTCTTCATAGAACTCCAGGTCTTCTTCGGCACCATCACCATCCTCCTCATTGTACTCCCCGTACTCGGCTTCGTACTCCTCCGCGCTAGCTTCTTCCTCGTGTTCGGGCTGTGGCAGCGTGTGCAGGACGTCGACCCAGATCTCATCCTCATCCTCATCGTCGTCGTCCGGATAGCACCACGGCGTATGCGATCCGCCGACACACCGGTACCACTGGGCCTTGCCTTTGAGCGGCATCAGCTCGTTAAGCTTGTCGGCCCACCTCCTCGACAACATCTGCGAGCGCGGAATCCACCTAGGAGGGTACGACCTGCGCTTGTCATCGACATAGATGGCAAAGACGAGCTCGGTGTCCCAGTCGTTATCACCAACCAGGCACCGCATGATGTATGGCCACCAAAGGCGACCCACGATGTAGTCGACTCCCGCGTACTCGACTTCTATTTCATTGCCAGCTTTTGGCCCGCGCACGAGGTTCAGATGCCTGGAGAGCCGGATGACGGCTTCCTTGTCGACAAGCCACCCGAGAGCCCAAGGTTTCTTCCGTGACATCTCGGTTCAGGTTTGAGACACTGAGTATGGTAGAGGTCAGTGAGGTGTCAGTGGGAATGCAAGGTCAGAAAGTATACGCACATCTGAGCAATAAGTTGATAGTATATAGACACGCGTAGCAGCCACAGACGCGTTTGTGGCTTCGGGCACGGGACCTGGGCCCTGTTCGCCTTCGATTCTACGCCGGAAATTCTAAGCCGCCATAGCTGCGGATATGCACGTAAACTAGGATCGGTGTATGCTGCTGATACATACAACAGTGTGGATATTATACAAGACTGCGAGATTGATTCCAGGGGTTGCGACGTAGTACGTAGTAAAAGATCACAGCGGCGTTTGAGCGAGCATAACCATGGGAGAAAGTAATGAAGCAGCATGCTGAGGGTGGGTAATCCCAGGTATTGATACGGAAAAAGGACAGGGCGACGGTTCCTGTTAAGTAATAAACGGCGGTCAGCATCGACGCACTCGCGTAGGATTGAACACGAACGTACTGGATGATCACAGTGCATCTTCTGCCGCGCCCGCGAGGCCCACTTCAGAACGGAACTCAACGCTGCCAGATGAAGGCGCCTCCTCGACCCTTCCGCGATGGACGTTCGCCTCGCTCGAGATAGCGTGGCGGTCATCGTTAGCACCGACGTATCCAACCGCGTCATCACCACCGTCACCAGCGCACACATCGGCACCTTCGTCGCCGCGAACAGTGTCAGAGTCGTCGTCTTCGAAGTCCACCGCGCCTCGTTCATCGGCGTATACAGCAGTTTCACCGTCGCCGCCCACCATAGCCCCCGGGCCATCGTCGTAGTCTGTACTGTCTTGATAGCCCGTCATGCCCTGCTCTCCTTCCTCGAGATACTCTTCTCCATCCTCAGCGTAGTCCACGACTTCGTTTGATTCTTGGTCGTCTTCATAGCTCTCCACAAGGTCTTCCTCGGCACCAACATCATACTCAACTTCCTCCTCATGGTACTCCCCGTACTCGACCTCGTATTCCTCCACGACAACATCTACGGCAGCTTCTTCCTCCGGTTCGGGCTGTGGCAACGTGTGCAGAACATCGACCCAGACTTCATTCTCGTCGTCGTCGTCATCCGGATAGCGCCACGGTGTGTGTGAGCCATCGACACAACGATACCATTGAGCCCTGCCTTTGAGCGGCATCAGCTCGTTCAGCTTGTCGGCCCACTTCCTCGACAACATCTGCGAGCGCGGAATCCACCTAGGAGGGTACGACCTGCGCTTGTTGTCGACATAGATGGCGAAAACAAGCTCGGGATTCTCGTTGTCATCAACCAGGCACTCCATCATGTATGGCCACCAAAGGCGGCTCACGATGTATTTGACTCCCGCGTCCTCGACCGCAAGTCCATCGTCAGCTTTTGGCCCGCGTACGAGGTTCAGACACCTGGAGAGTTCAACGACGGCTTCTGTGTCGACAAGCCACCCGAGAGCCCAAGGTTTCCGCATCATCTGAATTCGGAAGCAGTACACCAGGGACGGTGAGGACCAGTACGCGGGAATGCCAGAAGAGGATATGTAGAGTCTCAATTCCGACGCATTCAAATTCGCGATGCATGAACCACGTGCGAACCGGTACGCGTTCAGCCACAGACGCGTCTGTGGCTTACTAAGCTTACGCGCGTCGAGATACTATATGGCCAGTTTGGACAAGTATGCTCACCGCGCACTGTACATATCAGCTGTGAACGTGTGATCGCATACTTGGTTAAAGGGGCCTAGCACAATGTCCGGATGTCAAAATGAGCTTAGGTCACTGAAGTGGGTCTTGAGCCGTGGTAATCATTTTCATTCGACCGGCCACCATCCCTGGCTCCCTAGCTGCCATGTCCCTTCCATGGGACATACCCCTCGGTGAAGACGCGACTGGAAACCTCGTATTTCATTCTCTTGCCTCGCTCATGCAGATGAAGCCCAATTCAAGGTACCCGAGAGGTGCGCAGGACCTCTTTACGTCGGTACTTGCAGTCTAACACCACTGCATCAGGACACTCCATCGTCAGAGCCAGTATCCCGCCTGGGACGCTGCTGTATCATGGTCGAGGAGATAGAGGTTACCCGTACATGGACTGGCTCGCATTTGATCCGGAACACTCCCGCATATTCGCGAGAAGCGAGAACGGCACCCTCTTCACCTTCACCACTACCCACAAACTCAAACTGCTGTACTTCGATGGCTGCAGTGCGAACGAACTCAGCGGCACGACGGATGCGCAGGACATCCTAGTCTGGGGAGAGGTTGATCATGGAAAGCCATGGGACTGGCAGTCTCAGGTCGATCGCATCAACCAGACGTGCGCTTGGGGCAAGCCATTTGGTGTGGACGGGTATATCAGAATGGAGTTCGACTTGTACGTCGGCTGTTGCATGCATTCCACCTCGTGGTCACTCAGCATGGCATCAGTGAAATCATGTACTGCGACTTCTCAGATGGGTTGGAACTTGTGTCCGCAATACCTACAGTCAACGAGGGCGGCCGCCCTCCTCCGCACGGTCCGGACAAGCCAGATGATAGCACGAGCTCTGCACACACCGTCGTGATACCTGGATGGCCCTCTTACGACGGCCAGGCCACCTTTCATGGCCTACACGTCCCCGGTACTGCGCAAGGTCACCATTCTGACCTGCGCCAACCTCGCTTCCCTCCCAACCCGCCAGAGGGTTGGAAAGGTACCTGGCCTGTCATGAACAACTCGATACGGCACGCAGGAAGCTGGCACAACGACTTCCCGGGCGACGTCCGGGTGCACCCCGACCCCTCCACCCTAGCTGCGCGTCGCTCCGTGCGCCGCGACGACTATAGGCCGGGCAACATCTCCGCAGAAGACATGGCCTGCGTGCGTTCTGACGTCGTCGAGATGATACGGCGCGATCCCAGTGAGCGCAGCGGAGTGGACTGGCGTGGACTCGCAAGGGCCATACAGGATAGGTTCTCAGACCGGCTGCCGTACCTGCAATATTTGCTCCACCAGCCCGCGGCGAACGTATCCGAACAGGTCAGGACGGTGCGCAAGCAGTTCATCGTCTCCCTCCTTCCGTATATGCAACGCCCGGGGGTCGGCGAACCGGAGTGGTTCGCTCAGATCGCTCACAGCTGCGCGACAAACTTCGTCACGCACCTGCCTGTTGAGAATTTCACGAAGCAGGAGCGCATCCTACGTCACGCCATCGGTGAGGTTCTGCATGAGATTTGCCGTGTATTGACGCTCGCATGGACCGAGGCGTTCGACGTCGAAGAGAAGGGCTCGGACGTCGCCATCACGTTGGTGGAGAAGTGGAAGACCCAGGTCGACGCGCTGATCGAGTGGCTAGACTGGCCAGTGTGGTTGAAGTGTGATCCGGCATGTGGTGTAGACGTGAGTGCGCTGGGATGAAAACGGATTGTACGCACTGTGCTCACTGAGCTTCATGACAGGAATTCTGCTACGTGCCACAGCGAGGAGGGCCGTTCAACCCAGAGCCTGACAAGGACGTTGATCAGACGCCACAGTGCGTCGCCATAGATAGTTCGTGGACTTGAGGTCATAGCCCTCAAGTGTCTTGCGTGCGTTTTGAGAATGTTGTCGTAGGATCTGTAGGGAGCTGCAGGGTATATACATTTAGTAATTCAGGCATTGGCTGTGCACTGGGCTCGGCGATGATCGCGAGAAGTGAGCATTACGTCGATGGCAGTGTACAAACAGGATAAGTAAAATGCAGCGAGAGGGGGCGAATAAAGTAACGTGAGTCCGCGAGGTAGGGTAATCGGCTAATGAGGCGTCTCATTCGGCTACGGTCGTGAGGGTTTTGGTCCATTCTACAACAGTGGGATGGGCCAAGACCTGACACGGAGGCCATGTGAGTTCTGTACAGTGGCAAAGTGAGAGAAAACGGGCCTGCGCACCTTCCTCGCGTCGAAGTTCTTCACCTCCAGTCCATCTAATGTTGTCGCCCGAGAGAGCGCGACGTATGCCTGGCCTGTAGGCGGCGTCAGCGGGGAAGATAGTGCGACGGAGAACGTAACTTACCCTTCTCGAACACCTTGGCGAGATCGACCTTGACTCGCTCTAGTGTCTGTCCTTGCGACTTGTGTATCGACATCGCCCATGCGAGGATCAACGGCAGCTGCGAGAGCCCAGGACACGTACATCAGTCCCTACCTTCACTACGCCCGAGATGTCTGGCATATCACACGTACCTGCGACCTACTGACTTGTACCTCACCATTCGGCAGCTCAACCTTGAACACCTCCGATGTCACCATATGGCGGCGCATCCCACCGCCAGGTAGCAGGAAGTCCACTACGGGCATGACTTGGCCGCTGCCGAGCTTCGCATCCTTCCCGTTCTTGGAGGGCGGCTTCACCGAGGATACTGGCTTGGAAGTGGTGCCAGACGTTTGCTTGTCGTTGACGTCGAGAAGCGCCTCCGGGTCAGCGGGGTCGGCGAACTTGATGATCTTGCCCATAGAGCCGTTGACCAGTGTCTCGTCCAGGTTCTTGATGAGCATGACCTGGGTGCACGCGTCAATCCGTGCTGACAAGTAGTCGTACAATGTGCTCGTCATACCTGGGCGCCGACCTTGAGCGTGAGCGCGCGCGGGACCATGAAGTTGTTCAGCATCTTCTCGCGCTGTTGATCGTCGTGGAGGGTCCCGCCGTCCGTGGAAGTGAATGACCGTACTTCCGTTTCCAGGCTCTGCATGCGCGTTGCGTTCGCGCGATCGACATCTTGACGGAGTGGGAAGCTGAGGCCGTCGCGCGAGCAGTCATTTTCTACGTTTTGGTGTGATATGGAAGCAGCAACGTACAGCTCGGCAGCAGCAACACCATCTTCGTATATAATCTCGCGGTCGAGGCTCCTGAATCTCTCGATCGATTGCTGCGATAATTGCCCATAACGCATCTCATTGAGCATGTCGACGAAATCTGGAGGGCATATAAGCACAGGCACGTTCACAACAGACCTCTCGCAAGCCACGGACCTTGATCACGCTGCCGGAAGACCTTCGTGAGCTTGAAGTTGTTCTTCTTGATTGTGTGGCTCCACATCTCTGCTTCAAATGCGAAGCTGACTTTCCCGCTCTTGTTGACGGGAGGAAGCTGGAAGAAATCTCCAGTTACGATGACCTAGCCTCGAGCGTGAGCGAATCTACGTGGATGTGCTGAAAGTACACTTCAACCCACCTGGATGCCTCCAAATGGCACTGACTTCTTGCGCATCATGCTCCCGATGCGGCAAAGCTTGTCGAAGAGCTCGCCCTCGACCATCGAGACTAAATGGCATCAGTTGCGAAAATGTTATTCCAGCTCAAATCCCGACTCGCGATGCAACGTACCTTCGTCGATGATGAGCACCTCGGTGCGGAGCCAGCGCGCGCTCGCCTTCTTGTTCTTTCTGATTCGTGTGACAAGGGCGTCGACATTGTCTTTCCCCAAACCGATTCCAGCGAAAGAATGGACAGTAACGCCACCAATGTTGCATGCCGCGATACCTGCATAGACCATGTTACGACTGACTGAGAAATCTACGAGAGAGGCCTGACCTGTCGAGGCAGTGACTGCTACTGCATCTTGCGTGCGTTTGTACTTGAGTTTGAGAGCAGCGATTATCTCGCGTAGAAGCACGGACTTGCCGGTTCCTGTGTGGAGGGACAGTCAGCGACTAATCTACTGAGGAATATATGCGAAGTGATCCGTATCAGGGTATACCACATCGCATGGTCATCCAGACGAGCAGAAGAATCAGGGTAGAGCATACTGTAGACCAACGCAGTGCTATATACACTAAGGGGGGTTACCGACGCGCATATAGTGGGTAGGGAACACCGAGAACCAGCCACAACTGTATGTGAAACACTCACCTGCACTACCAGTGTAAAACAGACTCTTTCCCTCTTTCGCGAGATTCAATATATGCGTTTGTTCCGCGCTGAGCACGACTTTCCCCGCCTTGCCACCCGCCGTGGAGGTGGTGGCCGCAGTCACTCTGATCGCGCTCGTATTTGTTGGCCGCGTCGAGCCGAACGTTCGAGAAGATGTTTTGGCAATGCTGCTCTTCGGCTCCTCCCAGTTCGTAGGAAGCTGTCTCCGTTTAGCTGGTGGGTTGGCGGAAGAATCATCCGATATGGACGATCGCTTCTGGGAGCCGCCCCCGAGGCGGGCTTGCTGCGAGGTCGCTATGGCCTGCTGCGAGGAGGCTATGTTGTCGTTGAGAGCATCCTGAATGTCCTTCATACGCTGCGACATTCCAGTCATCGTCTGTCGTGGGGGTGTGGGCGTCCAGGGGATCGCGCTGGGGTCAGAGTCGCCGAGGGCAGAGTCTTGACTAGCCGGAGGGATGCTGTTCGCCGAGAAGTCGCGCTTTACCGTGCGCAGACCTGAGATAGGTTGTCGTCCTGTAGCCATGCCGAATCTAAAGCAGTCAGCGCGTCCGAAGAATTCAAAGACGCGTTGATGGAAGTCAAAAGGTCGAGTGACCGCGGCGCTGCAGGCGCTACCGGTTGAATGACGCGATCACGTGCCTTGGTAACCCGCGCGGCGCGACGTATGTATATACTGACTGGTCACTGGGAGGTGGGCAGCAAGACGTTGCTTTGACGTTGATATACCACATAACTTACAGGAGAACTAATTTTGAGTAGAACATCCCATCGCCCAATATTAAACACGTCAACTCAGCCGTCGGTCATTGTAACCCCATCAACTACCGTCACGGTCGCAATCGGTGTCATCGCCATGCCTGCTGCAGCATCCTCATACTGTATCCTCACCGATCTCATCGCTATTCTCACCACTACGCTCCTCGATCCCGTCGTCGTTATCGCTGTCGCCCTTGTCACAGTCCCCATCGTCTTCATCCTCCATCTCTTCGACATTTGTGTCATTCATGTTCAGGTCATTTTCGGGGTCGAGGTCCATCTCCTCCCACCGTCCTCTCCAGGTCAACGTGTCCACGATCCGTCGCAGTAGCGATACATACCAGCCGACGCATGTACTTACCACGACATTCGGCGGCTCTGTCTGTCGGGCATCATTCCCTCGGGCATTATCTTCTGTAGATCCTTGACGAGATCACGCTGCTTGGTGATTTCGATAATGTATAGGCCAGCCATATATCCACGTCGCAGCTTATACACGGGAAGGCATCACTGTAAGTGTATGCTGCTCAGGGGATGACACTAGTATGTCTTGATCAAGAGTCTCGGCCGCCGCGCGACGTCGACGCGCGAGCCCGACTGTTCGTGAGTTAGCGCTTTAGCTCTCAGCGTCTATCAGCAATCTCGTGACCGCGTAAAGCATATTCGGAATTCCTCACCTCTACCTAAAGCCTGTGTTACCCACCGATCCTCAGACTGTACTATATACACACAGATCTTGGGCTCGACCTCGCTCAAGACGATCTGTTCCTGAAAACTCACGCTCAAAACGTGCCTTGCCCATTACTTGTCTTATCGTGCTGCGCTTCGGATCCGATGATCTCCGCTGCTACGGAGAGACTCAAAGAGACATGGTCAAAACACGGTGGGACGATTGAAGATTCCTCCGCAGCTGTGCGCAGCAACACGCTCTAATAGGCCTCTTTCATTCATCGAGTCGGGTTCTAGATAAGTACAACACCCATGCAGGTTCTGCGATCCACAGTGCCCCCGTCTCCTCCCAGCCATGCACTTGGCGATTGCCCTTAGCTTCCGTTTCCTTGCCCTTGGTGCAGTTCTCGGGGCATACGTTCCTGATCAGCTACCTCTGATCACGGAATTCCGGACTGGGAATATTCAGTCACTGCCCTGGAATGTGCGGTTGAGCGAAGATGCCACCGGGAATCTTGTATTCCAATCTCTGGCTTCTCTGATGCAGATGCGACCCAATGCCAGATACCCTTACGGTGCGTCGTTATCCTTGCGATTTACTCAAGTAAGAGCTAAGCCAGCAGCTCGTAGGCCACTCCATCGTCCGCGCACACATTCCACCGGGCACAGTTCTGTACCATGGCCGTGGAAGCGACGCTTTCCCGGAAGCAGACTGGATCGCGTTTGACCCTGAGCACTCCCAAGTCTTCGCGCGCGGAGACAATGGCACGCTCTTTACCTTCGCCACCACCCGCGATTTGAAGCTCGTCTACTTCGACGGATGCAGCGCGGACAAGGCCGCGGGTGTCGACGATACCCAAGACGTGCTCATCTGGGGACACCTCGGGGACCACTCTACGAAGGGGCCTGGCCGCGGTGAACACCAACGCCTGATAGACGCCTGCGATTGGGCTAAGGAATATGATGTTGACGGATTTGTGAGGATGGAAATGGACTTGTACGCCTTCACTCTGCATCGAAGTTCATCTTAACGCTAACCGTGTTCTAGCGAGATCATGTACTGCGACTTCACGCAGGGCCTCGAGCTTGTCTCCGCACTGAACATCATAAACCCCGGAAGAGGAGGACCTGGACCTGGACGGAGGCCTGGCGGAGAACAACCATACGGCGGGCATGGCGGACCTATGCATGGCCTGCTAGGTGGACCCGACGGGCCGATGCATGGCCCACAAGATGGACCCAACGGACCCGGTCGTGGCAGTCCCAGCACCGTTCCCAACGGTTGGAAAGGTGGTTTTCCCGTAGTCCACTCTGCAGTAGCGCACGCAGGCAGCTGGCACGGGCCCTTCCCAGGCGACCTGCGCGTGCGCGTCGAGCCGTCGGCCATGCTGACCTTCTTCGACCCCGCGTTCACGTCGCTCGTCGAAGCGCGGCGCGGGCTGACGCGCCAGCAGTACCGGCTGCAGAACATCTCGAGCGCGGACGTTGCCCGCGCGCGTGAGGACATCTCGGACATGTTCTCGCGCGGACAGTATGAGCGGAGCGGCGTGGACTGGCGGGGCCTCGCGCAGACGGTGCAGGACCGCTTTGCGGAGAGGCTGCCGTTCCTGCGGTACCTGCTGCACCAGCCGACTCAGAACGCGTCGGCGCAGGCAGAGGCGGTCCGCCAGCAGCTGATCATCTCGCTGATCCCGTACATACCGCGTGCGGGCGTAGGCGAGTCTACGTGGTTTGCCGAGACCGCGCATGGCTGCCGGGCGAGCTTCACGTCGCACCTGCCCGTGTCGCGCTTCACAAAGCAGGAGCATGTCCTACGCAACGCGCTGGATGAAGTGCTACACGAGATCTGCCGCGTGCTCACGGGTGCCTGGAGTGGGGCATTTGACATCGAGGAAAAGAGCGCGGGCGTAGCGGCGGAGATGCTGGCGAAGTGGAAGACTGAAGTCGACTCGCTGGTCCAGTGGCTAGACTGGCCGGTGTGGATGGGCTGTGAGCCCGGCTGTGCCATCAACGTCAGTTTCCGAACCTTGCTCGGTCAACTCTCCACGCGCTTACACCTTCTCCTTGCAGGAATTCTGCTACGTGCCTCAGCCGCACTTCGGACGTAGGCCCGACGAGGAAATTGACACTACACCGCGATGCATAGCGTGGGCTCCAGCGAGCCCGTAATACTTGCGTTCGACCTTTGTTTTGTCAGCTCTCCTTTTGCGATGACCTATGCTTTCTTGATCCGAGGCTTGCTTACTGGTTGTACATCAGGTGTGTATCATAGGTGTTCGACTGTATTGGTGCATTGCCTTCCTGGGTGCTGCGCGTGCTTTAGTGTCAATACTTGTTCATCATCGACTCGGAGCGCCAGGTAAACGATCCAACTCCTGTCGAGATGACTTAGGTTCTGGGCTGCGTCATCAACAACCCCATGGCATCTGCTTCTCCAAAGAGGCTGAATCTCGCAGACGAACCGGATTCGAAGGACTTCCACCACGAGTGCGCGGCCACCGGATGGTACATGTGCCAGAGGACGGGGTGGTCCGACCTAATGCAGTGTTGAAGTGGCAGAACCCACGAGCTCGTCTTTGCGATGTATGTCGACCACCGAGCTTACCCCCAAATGGGTCGAGAGGTTTCAGCTGCTGCCGATCGAGCATCACTATGTACCGGTGTAAAGACTGGACGCCACTCGAAGGTAATGCGAAATAGCACCGCTATGACGATGGCACGTACACACCGTGGGACGGAGAGAAATCCGCCGACACAGACATTGACCTTGAAGGCGACTTGGGCGGCGTGTTGGGCAAGAGCATGACGTACGATGCAAACACCGGAGATGACAACGATCAAGGAGCGGACGAAGAGGATTATAAGGATGGGGGATTACGAGGGAGGAGAGTTCAATTATGAAGACGAGGTTGCCGTGTACGCGGACGAGGGGTGAGACGCCGTTGGCTCAGTGCCAGGGAGACGATACTGGGCAAGATTGCACTTGGACTTGCTCTGTACTTTGGCTGCTCGTACGTTCAGCGCTGGTACATGGTGATATGTAGCCACTGTTTTGTTTAATAGAAATGAAGCCGTTGAGAATGACAGTGATAGCTAATCAATTCAGTGTCAAAGAGTCCGACATTCTGCACCCTGAGATGGCAGAATGGGTTAGTAGAGCGGCACTAAAGATGTCGACTCTGTACTTACGGACACGGCACTCCATGTGACGACACCTGCGAGGGTGCAGGGCAGCAAGGACGTCAATCCGTGCCACCTCCAGGACTCCCAATATTTTGTCCGTCACGCTGTGCCTCTCCGGTACTTGGCTGTGTGGCTGGAACACGATGGATTCTTTCCATGTCCTTACGCCAGACTATGAAGTCTTGATGATTGTGCACGGTGCTATGAAGGGCACTGAGCTTTCCGCGGCAGGCTGAGTCAATAGTATTACATACGTCAGTATACCTCGTCCTTCTGAGTGTGGCATCTTCTGCCTGGTGAGTCCATCCCACCGCTCTCGGAGTGCTGAACCCGGCTCCAGTGTGCCAGAGGTCCAGGCATCATCATCTGTATCAATGCCTAGACAGACGCCGCATGACACGACGATACTGGAGAAGTGCTCCTCCTGCAGTATGTTGTCCAATCGTCCCAAAACACTATCCTGCTCCATCTTCGTTAGCATTTCACTCAGATCATCGGCCATGTGGTCTGTCTGAAGCATCAGCATGACAGAAACGGCATGAAAGGTTTTGAGGTGATGCGAGACAATATGTGCGGGATCCAGGGCCACGCTGCAAAGGGGTGGTATAGGTGGATTTCCAACCTCCGCAGGCGGTCATGATGTGAAAGGTTGTAGTGTCGCTCTGTAGGCACGAATCAATCAGCCACTGAGTGCTTCGAGAGATAATGACATAAAACTTTCCGACAGTAGCATCAATTGTCCCATCAGGCATGGGAGAGCTAGGATCGAGCCAGAACCTGCCAGTGAGGCCAACCACATCCGCAGATGTGGAACTTGCATCCAGCAGAGTCTGACTTCGACTAGCTGCTGAGGGGGGACCCGGCTCGCCGGCTACTGCAACATTGAGAATGCGCACTCGAGAAGCCCGGCTGATCTGCACGAGAAGGTCTTCGATTTCTGGTGCAACCCATCGTACTCCGAGATACTCCATGTTGCCACAGTTCAATGGGAGAGAGATGGGGAAGACCTGCTGGTTTCGCGGCAAGCAGTCGACATTGGTGCATGATAACTCTGTCAGCCGCGGCAGTGCTGAAACGAGGCGGGACAGCTGGGAAACGCTGAAGAAGGTGACGTTGAGGATGTTCAGAGTGTTAATGGAACTGAACGTGGATAGATAGTCGATGTCCTCCATTCGAACCGCGCCAGTGATCAATTCAGCATCTGTGATGGCGATGCTCGACAACCTCAGAGCCTTGCCAGCGAGCATGATGGCAAATGTCCCGATGTGCCCAATCGCCTGGCGGTACCCAGGTGAGCCACCGGATATGATGACCTGTTGGATAGCCTCACGGAGGCGCGGTCTTTCACGAAGCGTCTTGGAGAGTGAGAGGACATCCTCCCGACATCGTAGATGGATGCGTTGACGAAGATGGTACCACGTCAGGTAGTACCAGTCTTGGCATACGAGCGCGCAGGACACGAGGGTGGATAGATGTGGTTCGCTCGTCAGGAACGCGTACTTGAGATCCACTCCTGTTGCTATGTGGTCGATAATTCGTTCACAGACCTCTACAGGAAGTCGCGGAATCGATGGATCTTGAGGGATGCCCTCGGACGTTGCAGCTGTACTACTTATATTCATCATGTTTGTACCATGTTACTCGCGTATGGACAACGACGTCGATACTCACATCGAGTTGCCTTCCTCCATTTTGTTGGTGTCCGAGTGACCACGCAGCCTTCAAGTTCGTAGTACCGATAAAGGCTCGAGACTTCCGAGTCGTGCGCGTGTGAGATGTCACCACGCAGACCCTCGACGACGGCGAAGACGCGCTACTGACATATGTAGGTAGGAAGAGGCCCACAGAGGCCGCTGCTGATTATCATTGAGGGCGCTTTGAGGGCGCTGAGAGAGCCTGTATAGCTTGAGGCTCGGTCCGCCTCTCGGCGTCTCCGACAATTGTCTGATGCGCCGATCGAGGCCGATCGCCACAAACGCGTCTGTGGCTGGGGATGCTCCCGTGCGCCTCCAGTTTCGATCCTCTTCCGACCTCAGCAGCGAGTCAGGATTAAATTCGTTTCTCCATCCTCTGTCTTGCATATCAGCGCGCCTGAAAATGACGAAAGCAACCACCTGTGTCAGTACGTGACGGTCTCTGTGCATGAGACCGCATCCCGGAATCCTGAGGGATAGGAAGCCGCCGGCCCGCCTCGGCCCTCTTGTCACCGGCGCCAGACCGACGCTCGCACCAGAACGTCGATCCTTCATCTCAAGATCCCATGTCCCAGCGAAAGCCAACAGACGGTGAACCTTATCGCTTGGAAAGAGTCCTTGCATGACACTGTCTTGATGAGTAGGCCACTGGACGCTTGAGGACCACTGCTCCATTGCGCACATCCCCCTTGCTTTCAGATTGGCGGGAAGACTGTAATTACCTGTGTCGCTCGCTGAGAACCTGTCATGCGGTACCGGTCACGCCCTCCATCATGGAAATTGGACTCGTGGAACCATGCCCGATAAGGCTTCCAGAAAGCCTGAGGCACATATATAGGCGGACACTCGATTCGTGACGGACGTCGGCCGCAGCCGCACCTTGTCCAGATGGCCGTCCGACTAGTACTCACCCTTGTACCGCTACTACTCCTAGGTGTTCGTGGGGTTCAGATCACGTCCACGACACGGCAGACTATCCATGGCGTGGCGCGTCGGGAGCGTGGTGGACGCTTGACCTCGCGCTCTATCCGGATGATGTTCGCCAAAACGTCTCCAACCTGCTCTTGAACCAGACTAGTGGTATGTCTAACTCCGTCTATGGGACCGTGATGATCTTGAATGTCGTGCTGTGTAGGGCTCGGCCTCACCGACTATCGATACAACCTTGGAGGCGGTGGTGTCGGTGTCACTACATGGGATAGGGCACCGGAGACTCCATACGTTAGGTAGTTAACCCGGCATCCCACCGTATGCCATTGGAACTTACTGATATATGCTATACAGCGATGGCGTCTACAACTGGTCCGCAGATGCAGCAGGTACTTACTACCTCAAGGAAGCTGCTCTGCAAGGTGTGCCCGTGCTGACGCTCTTCGTGAACAGTGCTGTGAGTGTACTTTATTCCCGAAGTGTCTTCCGCGACTGACGCTTAGCACGTAGCCCATCACGATGACCAGCAATAATCAAAGCTGTGGGGGCGACCTCGTCACAGATCGCATCCCCGCATACGTGCAGTATCTCACCGACGTGGTTAGTCACTGGAAAAGCGAGGGTGTCGAGTTCACGCACGTCTCACCAATGAAGCACGTACTCACTCGCTGCTTATCATCAAGTCGTTCACTGATTCTCAGCGCCCGATAGCGAGCCCGACGATACTTTCGGCAGCTGCAATCAAGAGGGTATGCAGGTTGTCCCGCAACAGCGCGCGGAGGTGGTTACTACCCTCGCTGCATCGCTGAAGGCGGCCGGCCTCTCTACGCAGGTCATTTCTGATGAGTCTTCCGACACAAGTCAGTCGACTCGTTCATAAACGACGTGAGGACCTTCTTAATGGGCTGTACAGCCAACTACTCGAACGACGAGCCGGTTTGGCTCAATGCGACCGTCGGCGAGTCTTAGGTGGGAACTGCCACCACCTGTACGATTTTGCAAGTGCGGCGACCCAACAAGAGGTCTTTGAGTACGGGCGCAACTTGAGCGGCGGCGTGCCAACCTGGTTCACGGAGATATGCTGTGAGTACGACGATATCAGGATATTCGGTCAATTGACGTCATATGGGATCAGGCTACAATGCGGCGAACTCCAACGATTCCGACAATCCTCTCGCCACCCTCACTTATAGCTCGCAGTATGATCCTACGATGCTCAGCGGCCTCCGTATGGCGCATATTGTTGGCATCATTCACTTATGCGAGGACTCGCATTGGTAAGTGAGCCTATTTCGATCGCATCCATCCAAAGCTCATGTCTATTCTAAGGGACTGGTGGACTGCGCTCTCTAACGAGATAGGTTGCACGCTCAGCAGCAACGCTACGTGCTGGGACGGCATTCAATCTAGTGGTGGGACGACGGTAAGATCGCGCAGATACCAGTTTCCATTGATGACTAAATACCTTTTCTCTAGGTCTTCTCTACTACGATCCCGACTACAGCAGCTCGCAGAACTACGACATCAAGGTCACCAAGCGCTTCTCCGTGCTGAAGCACTTCACGAAGGGGGCTCCCGTCGGCTCTATCCGTCGCGCCGTCACGCCGACTCTGACACCTCCGACGACGCATGGCGTGTCCTCGCGTTCGACTACGACTCTTCTGCGCGCAGTACAGCACGTGTGACCAGGGCCGTACTCCATCGTCGCGCTGAACGCTCAGTGGAACACCTCAAGCATTACTCTGTCGGGCGGCGGCACGTTCGAGCTCACACAGCCCGTCGCGATGTACCGCACGAGTGTGACGGAGGACTACGCGGAGGTGCAGGTGCCGACTTTGAGCGCGAATGGGAGCCTCGTCGTTGACGCGCCGGAGATGAGCATCTTCACCCTATTCTTCCAATGACCGGCTCTCTATCCTTCTTTCAGATCTGAGTGTTTGGTCAATGGCTGTCTTGACGCCTCTTGCTTTGACTTGTACTCTCGAGAGCATTGTGTAGTACCTGGTGATTATATGCAAGGGTGTTGACCGCGACGTGATTATATGAAGGGCAGTCCAGAAAGGAAGGTATTTCCCACGTCTACATAATACTCCGCATCTGCAGACTCGGAGCGATCCTACTTACCGCCCTCACTCACATCGCCCCACGTTCGTATTCCTCCTGCTTGTCGGCACAATATCCTGACAACCCCTTCTCTAGATCCTGTCCGCGTTCTCGCCCCACCAAGCTGGCTGCGATGCGCTCCCGGACTACTACGCGATCCTCTCCGTCTCCCCGACAGCTTCCGCCGCCGAGATAAAGCAAGCGTACCACAAAGCCTTGCTTCTGTACCACCCGGACAAGCATCACACCCACCAGAACGGAGATCACCGCAGTAGCGTCAACGTCGACGTCACGGTCGCTCTGTTGCAACGGGCGCACCAGGTCCTCGCCTCTCCCGCGGACAGAGCGGTCTACGACGCTTCTCGCGCTGAGGCGGGTACCAAGAAGGGTCCGCGCCCGGCGCAGGTCGTCTCGCTGGAGGACTTCAACGACGACGAGGATAGCGCGGGGCAGCCGACGTGGACGTACGCTTGCCGCTGCGGCGGGAGATACGTCGTCACGGAGAGGGAGCTGGAGGAGGGTCAGCACCTTGTTGGCTGTGTTAGTTGTTCGGAGGTCGTCTGGGTAGGCTACGAGGTAGCGGAGGAGGATATAGATGCTGGCAAGTGATCATGACTATGCAACGCTGTGCAGTTTTGTCGCAGTTGAGGCCTGATGTCGACTGATGTCACTGAACCGCGTCAACGCCGGGAAGCAAGATGCTCAGATGACTACGACAAGTGCAGTTTCAGCTAGCAGAAGATATCATTGCACGAACAGATGATCTATTGACAAGAGAACAATACAGTATCATTAAGGTAGATCGTGAGCTATACACCGTCGTAATGTTCCAACATTCTGAGCACCGTCACAAGAAACCAGGGCTACAGGTCGTCCAAGATCATACAGTCATCATCATCCGACATCAGTCTAGCATTCAGTCCCACTGCAAGTCGCGACACCGTCAGATCGAGAGACGCACGGGTTCGAGGAGACGAAGCTTACCTGTACGACCATGTTAGTCGCCCACGGGACGAGCTCCTGCCCGGGCGACAGGTACACGTATGTGCTCGTCTTGTACACGTCCGCCTTGAACCGCTGGAGGACACCCGACTGTCCTGGCGCACGGCGGATCGTCTTGTACTCGAAGACGGCGCGCACGACGGAGGCGATGATCTGCAGGGAAAGCGGTCAGCGTCATAGCGTCGACCGGTGACCAGAATCATGCAGACCTTGTTGAGAAGTCAGCGCCCAGGCACCGAGCTGGGCCGTCCGAAGCGAGGTAGCGGTCGGAAGGACGGTTGGGGTTGACGACTGGGGTCGGGGAAGGCTTGCGCCTGAGGAAGTCTGTAGACGCGCCATCTCTTACGCACGCTTCAGCCACTACATCAGGTTCGCGCTTGCGATGTCGAGGAAGACGGACTCTTCGGCGTCAGCGTTTGCTGGCCAAGCGCGGTAGCCTGCAAGGCCTGTGGTAAGCACCACGGAAGGGGGGTCGAGTCCTGCGAACGACGCAACGATCATTCACTCCCGCATACCGTACAAGGCAGGGTACGTACGGAGCGCCTCCAGACGTAGCCACAGAGGAGCTGAGCGTCCTTCTTGCCGGGGTAGGCTTGTTCACAAGATCCTGCACGTCCCGCGGCTTGTTCTCGTCAATGTAGAAGTTGACGACGTTGACGACGGCCTGCGAGAGCTCGACGGAGCACGCGACCAGCACCGCCAACACGGAGTGCGCGAGCTCGTCCGGAGAGTATCCAAGGCCCCAGAGCTTCTCGAGGATCTCCTCCTTGTGGCCCTTCGCCCTGCCGACGAACATGCTCGTGATCGTGTCGAACACCGCGATGATACTCGACTGTCATGGATCCGTCAGGTTGGTGCTCAACAGATGGCACTGCGCGTCGACGTACCCTCTGCCCGCCACGCAGGTACAGCTTGATCTTGTGGAGCAGCTTGTCGATGTCGGCCTTGACTTTCTGCTGGAGGCGCAACAGCTTCGCAGGAGGAACATCAGGAAGAGGAAGCTGTCGGCGATATTCAGGATCAATGACGTAGCAATTAAACAGAGTTGCGACCCACGAGTACACATCGGCCAGGATGTCGAAGAGCTCCTGCGGGGTATAGTCGCCCTCCGCATCGGGGCGCTCCTTAAGCTTAATACCGGCCTATCGGGGATTTGTCAGTCCAGACACGGCGGGCCGCCGTCAAAGCGCACTTACGAAGGAGCTAGCCCACTGAAGTGGGATGTACTTGAGCACATCGCGGACGATGTCGAGGCTGCGCGTCTTCACGCCCACCATAGAGTACGACTCGCGCGCCATAAGCGCTTTCGTCTTAGCGTGGAAGAACGCCAGGATCTGGTCTTCGTGGCCACTGAGCACGCCCGCAATGGCGCGCTGTTCCCTCGCAGCCCGGCTCGGGCTGTCCGACGCGATGAAGAAGCTATAAATACCCATTCAGCGCCCCGAGGTGTATTCGTAAATGGCCGCTAGACTCACCCTTGGCCGCTGATGACCTTCGCCGCGCGGTCGGCATACCTGACGCTGAAGCGGTCGCTGTGCAGGGCCTGGGCGACGTCCCGGTAGGTGGAAACCTCCGGCGTGCGCAGGATGACGGTCGGCTTGCTGAGATCGTACTGGTCGGCCTCGCCCAGCTTCGTCAGGACCTTCTCCATCGCCTCGGGCGTCATGAGCGGGAACCAGGTGAACGTGCTGTTCGGGGAGAACTGCTGCGGGAGGTGGCGGAGGAAGAGGCGGCCGAGGGCGCTGCCGCAGCCCGGCGCGGTCGTGTCGCGCTGGCAGTCGGCGAAGCCCCAGCAGGTGAGGTTGAACGGCGTGTAGTCCGCGGTGAAGTAGCGGTCGCCGCGAGTGAGCGCGATGGCATCGCTGAGGATGGCGCGGCTGATCGTGTACCCTGCGCGACGGTAGTCAGCATGAGCCACGGGGCACGTCGCGTGAGACTCACCGGGGCAGAGGCCAGCGCCCTCCATGACCGGCTTCGCAGCCTCGGCCTGGAGGCCGACATAGAGCTCGAGGCGTTCGATGTCGCCATAGAGCTTCTCAGCTGCGGCGGCCACCTCCTTGTCTGGGTTCCATTCGAGGAAGCTCGAGTACCCTGCGGACCGGTTCGTCAACCACACTCCCACAGTCAATGAAAAGGGCACGCACGCTTCAAGCCCAAGAACTGCCGGAAGTCGTTGAGCGAGCAGCAGCCCCACTGCCGCCCGGACTCGATGCCCATGATCTCGTGCAGCCGCATGACGTGCGGGGTGCCCCGCGCCTTGAACGCGCCCGCGGGTTCGCAGTGCTGTCCGTGCGTCAGTGGGATTCGAAGTTCGCGCGCGGACACGAGGACGTACTGCTGCTGCAGAATCCAGCCAAATCCGCGTCCTGAACGTCCCTCGCCTGCGCTGCAGCCTGGCACAGAACACCTGTCAATCGATGATGCAGGAAGCGCGGGACGCGACTCACTGGCCGAACGTCCATTGAGTGGGTGAGTCTCCTCTTTTGCCAGCTCCCTCGCCTTCTTCCGGAAATCATCAATCGTACTGAGTCGAAGGATGGCCAGGGAAGATCTGCTTTGACAGCTGGTCGGTCCACTGTTCATCGGGCTGCGACGTCGTTGCATGCCACCGGTAGAGGCAGTTGAACTGTGCCGCGTGTTAGATGTCGGCACTAAACTGGACTACTACCGGAATGGAACGCACCTCCACACTGCAGACGTTCCCTCGTCCACGCTCGAACAGACTGTGGTCTGAGTTCCGGATGTCCTGCGGGGACTTAGCACATGCGCATCTGGGCCTGGGCACAAACCTACCTCGAACGGGTTCAAGCTCCAGCTGCTCCCGTCTCGCACAAGACCGAGAATCGAGCAGAAGTAGTCGGAGAACACAACCGTGGCGAACCAGCCGCAGTTGATAAGGCGCGCCGTCTGGAAGAGATCCTCCTCCTGCTTGAGCAGCTTCATCGTGCGCTGGGGATCGTCCTTGGGAATCAGGTCCGGGTCAGTCCACTGTTTGCGCTCGTTGAGCTGCAGCAGCATCCTGGCAATGTACTACCCGCGCAGGTCAGCAATTAGACTGGGCGGCATTCGGCACGGAGTGGCGCTCACGTTATGGTTCCGGTTGAAGAGAACGAGCAGCACTGATACCGCCGGTGGGAGCAGCAGAAGTCGATCCTCGGCAAACGTGTCGGGGTGGAGAAGACCGCGGCCGTCGCGTACCCGGATCTTGTCCTGCATTTTCTGGTCGTTTCCATACAGCGGCGCGAGGTCGACATACGAGGACGTCTCGTTGATGTTGGGGTGCTCATGGGACGTGCGGAAGATACTGCAGAGTGCAGTCAGCTCTGCCGGCACCAGCCAGGCCAAATACAGCAAGCCCACCTGTGGATGACCAAGGCGGCGAAGGAGAACATCAAGCTGGACAGGCCGGCAGGGTGCTTGACAAACTAGCACGGCTATGGTCAGATTGCGAGCTGGGGAGACAGGATACTGGGAACTCACGGCTTCTCGCCGAAGAAGGGTGTCGAAAATTAGCCCCGCATCGGGAAGCTCGTTCCGGGGAAGTGGGTGGGCCGGCTGCGCGCTTCGTGCGTACGGCTTGCCCGCCTGACCAAGGCTAGGGTCCTGCAGGTTGTTACCCCGAGCCGTCCGCAGAACGATAGGAATACTCAGAACCGATGTAGGTTTCGGGTGGATGCGGGAGGTCGTCATATACTGAGAGGCGACGTCAGAACAGGCGGCTTAGAAGAAACACGAGGTATACTGACGCAGCTCAACGACTGAATCAGACAACTTGGCACCGAGCGGGGTCCCAGAATGCTGGGACAGGAAGATGAGGAGGTGCTCGAGCTGACGGCACAAGGTAGTATGAGCAGCAGTCAGTAGACACAAGGATGCCTGACATGCGTACCATGAACTTCCTGTCGTCAATACCATTGGGGTGCTTCAAGACGTCGACGAGTGCCTCCTGTGATGTTGTATTAGATCGATTCTGCTAGACAGAAGGACGCGCTACATACCACGCTCCCGATGTCCCACTTGATGTCACCGGGGGCGTTCTGGATCTATAGGTCACGGTGCGGGTGAGCACAACGAACAACACGGGGTGAACAGGTAGTTACCTCCGCACGGAAGCTGCGAAGGAGCTTCTCAGCATCAGCGTTCGCGTGTCGTACGGAATCAGACACGCCCTCCTCCTGTGGATGTCAATGAGTACGACTTGGACTGCACAAGAGCAAGGGTACCACCACCGAGGACACAACGGTAGACAGTCTGCTTCTCGTGCTCATGGTGTGCAAGTGTATGTCGCGTCTCGCAGGAGCGGAGGTAAATGGCGAGGAGGCCTGACGAGGGCCCGGTCTTATACGGAGGGATCTGTGCCGCGCTCATCTGGGGCCTTTGTTAGATCTGGCATCTCGGAGGATGGGAGCGGGGAAGCGGTCGCGGTTGTGTCATGGCACCTGCCTGCACCGGAATCCCTGGAACAAGGATGCGGTGCGTCTCTCTCTGCGATCAGCATCAGCGCTCCGCGGCCTGACGCCCTGAAAAGTTGGGAGTGCATCCGCCAGAAACGATGCTTGGGCCGCGACGCTCGCCTCGCTGCCAGAGGTCTCGACGTGTGCGCCTCTGGATCAGTAACCGGCCGCCAGCACCAAGCCAGCACACCAGGCAAGGCAGCCTAGGGACGTGGGGAATCTCCTTGAGAACAACAATCCGCCCGTCAACGGTAGTCAGCTTCCCAGCGATAACTACGTCTGTTCTAGGACAATTACCTGGCATACCTCGTAACTGTGTCCGTTGGAAAGCGTGGTGCTTGACGTTGAACGTTGAGTCGCGGCTCTTTGGCATGTCTCGGCGAGCAGTTGGTCGAATGGGCACAGCCACACCCTACCGGCTGATTGCCAACAAAACGTCCCTCAAAGCTCATGGCACATCACAGCCGCAGCCAGCGCTGCAGTGACGAAACATTGACCATCCACACCAAATCTATCGAACCCCACGCTTCTCGAGTTGCGAAGCCGCCACCGTGGACACTGGACAACGTTAGGGATGTGGTTATCGACGCCGAAACGAGTGCGCTCAGCCGGGGTGCGCTCGGCCCTCGGGCAGCGTACTTGGAAGCCCCTCCAGATGATGCCGCTTCGCCCCCCATCGAGCAAGGGAAGCTCACTGAATTCGAATTCGGCCGCAGACCAGCCCAGTCGATCGCACTCCCCACCCGCTTTGGTCCCATCTCCGGCGCGCCTGACCTCCAGCCCGTCGAGTGTACCGAGGAGGCTGCTTATCTCAATGGCAAGGTTATGATAGCGGTCGATATCAAGCATCGAAGGTGCCTCGCGAGCAGTTGCGTGCCGTGCGTGTGCGTCGGTGTTAGAACGAGGAGGTCACCGTGCCACCTTCGTGTCCGCGGCAGAAGGCGGACGTTTCGCTGCTTAGCACGCGCCTAGCCGTAGAAGGAAATAATACCGAGCTATGTGGCCGAGCGCGAGCGCGCGCTGAACACCTCGAGCTGTGCACGATCAGAGGACACTGGACTTGACTAGACTGGGAGCCGGTACTCGGACGAATGATGCAATAACAAAAATTGTAGTGGTCGGCGTCAGGCGATGCTGCGAAGTCTGAGTCACATCGGCATTGCCGTCCTTCGAAGTTCCTTCCCCCGAACTGGGCGGATACTCAGCTGAAGGCGTCTTCGCGTATGTAGAAAGATTACAGCAGTGGGTATCGCCTCCCCCGCCAGGAATGAGCTTGATCACTGTCCAGTGAGCTCGTGAAGCAGCTTTGCTTGAGCAATGAGCACGACTGAATCAATGAGCACCCGATGATATCTGCTAACGTGCAGCACGTGATCAGGTGCCTTCTACGTCCTCCTCGTTCCTGTCAGTGCAGTAGCCTGTACGGTGTACATTGACTCTATCGCGCTTGCCCCCCTCCTCTTGCGCATCGTTTGTGTACATCTTGACGTGACTTCTTCATGGATTCCTCAGAACTCTTCCATGTCAAGCAGCAATTCCTCCTCGGTGAGTAGGACGTGGAGCTAGCGAGCAAGCACTGACCACGTCCCAGGCGCGTACAAGTCGCTCGTCGACCTGACGCTGCCCACCCCAACTCGCCCGACTACACGCCGACGCTCGTGTACAAGGCGCGGGCCTACATCGCTCTGGACGACCCCAAGCCTGTGCAGGCCCTCGTCCCCGCAGACGCGGAGGAGGTCTCCCTGAAAGCCGTATCCGCCTTGGCACGCTACGTCGGCGCTACGAGCCCGGAGGACAAGGAGGGCTCACTCGAGGAGCTGCGGGACCTGTGTGTCGAGATCGAGGGCGAGGACGTGGACGCGACGCCCAAGGAGAAGGGCACGGTGCGCGTGCTCGCGGGCACCGCCTTCGCGCTCGCGAACGAGGTCGAGGAGGCTCTAGAGACCCTCGGCGTGGGCACGAACACGGACAACCTCGAAGCGTGAGCCATCCATCCATCGACCCATGCTGTGCGGCGTGATCTCACAGGCGGCCCCCCAGCGTCGCGCTCACGGTGCAAATATACCTCTCGATCAACCGGCCCGACCTCGCGCGGAAGGAGTTCGAGCGCGCGAAGAGGTGGGCGGGGGACGACATGCTCGTGCAGCTCGTCGAGGCGTTCATCGGCATGGTCACCGGCAAGGACGGCTACCAGGACTGCAACTCGTTCTACGACGAGCAGCTCGGCAACCCGTCGCTCACGTCCCCGCACCTCCTCACCGCGCGCGGCATAACGCGGCTGCTGAGGGGCGAGGTTGCGGGTGCGAAATCCGACCTTGAGGAGGCGGTGTCGCAGCACGGCGGTAAGCCTGATGCAGAGACACTCGGCGCGATGACCGTCGCTGCTGGTTTGAGTCAGTCAAAATCGACCGAGACAGAACAACTGTGGGCGTGAGTTCATCATTCAGTGGTCGTGCCATCCTGCCGCTCACTCGTTCTTGCGTTCGTTGCCTAGTCAACTCATCACCGAGTACCCGAGCCATCCCATGGTGCTTGACCTTGCGCGGAAGTCGGAGCAGTTCGACGAGCTGTGCATGAAATTCCCTGTGCCGCCCATTGCGACGGCTGCATGATGTCGAATTCTGTATGGTCAGAATTCCTATTCATCCCGTTGTATCGATGCTGCGGGTGACGTCTTCGTGCTTCCATTGCATCCTGAGAACCTGCAGCTGCCATGCGTCCGCATTCGCTCTCCCCCTTCATATGTCTCTGTTCAGAAGGCCCGACAGTAGCGCGAGAACGGGCGGCATGAAATACAGTCAAGCTTTCAACGTGTCAAATGTCAAGATACATTGGGAAGCAATGGCGGCAACCTGCGTGCGGTCCAGTCGGTAAGTACTGTCAGGGAAGGTAAATCTTCGATCGCCGTGTGACTGCACGGCGGCCATGGGACCAACCGACCGCCTGTGGCACCCACCCATCATAGCCCCCGAGGGTGCTCCAGGACGACCACGATCCTCTGGCCTTTGAAGTAACCCAGTGGATGCTCTACCTCCCCGACTGTAATATGCAGCCTTCCTCCACACTCGGACGGCTTGTCGCCTGTCTGCATGTCGGTGGCGGTAGGCACGGGCTTAGTCTTGCTGGCTTTTGAGAGCCAGTTCGCTAGCGTGCTTTGCGTGCGCTTCACAGGCTTTGCTGATGGTGTCGGCGGTTGCGTGGCTGGGGGAGTGTTGAGCGTGAACTTGAACATCTGCGACGCCTGTGTTGGTGGAGTGGCCGTCGGTATTGAGAATGGACTCGGAGCCGAGAGTGAGGGTGCTGGAGGGGGTGGAGGTAAACGGGCCTTGCGCTCGCGACTGCAGTCGCACTGGTATGTCTCCGTCCAGCAGCCCACTCTGTGCTGCCGCGCGCTCTCCGTCATCTCGCTATAAGACAAGAGCCGTAACCTAGTGAGCCACTGGACCGAGTGGTGTCAGAGAGTGCACCCACCTATGCGGCAAACTTCCGAGTCTTCGGAGATCCTTCGACACGAGCTCGACGCGTTTCCACAGCGTGGTTTTGGGGTCGGCCACGATGGCATAGGTTCCGCGGAAGTTCACGTATTGCGGACGCGTCGCAGATTGTTTGGACCCGCCGTAGAAATTTTGGAGTGCCGCTGCGAGCGCGTCCCAAAGGTCGTCACATAACTGGTAGTCTTCGCACGCGTCGCTGTCGGAGATGGTTGGGTCGGTGCGAGAGCGATTGAGGTGTTCCGGCGCGTGATCGTCGGTGGCTTTGCGCTTTCCGAGGACGCTGCTGCTCTCTCGTTCTCCGGCGGTCGCGTGCTCGTAGACGGGCTCGGCCGTTTGGCTCGAGAGTGAAGTGGACGCTGATGAAAACATTGACTTTGGAGGCCCGCTTCCTCCCCTCTCGCTCGTGTGGAAGAGATGAGCTTCCCGAAGTCGACACGCCAGACCGGGTTCTGGCCGATGGCAGTAGGACGCGACGTGCCGTCCATCGGTGTAGGATTAGACAACGGCTGTAGAGGCGCATGCAGCATGTTAGAGTTGTAGTGTGGTTGGCACCGGGTTGAAAGTGAGCAGCCAAGGCAAGGCGGGATTGGACGAGCAAGCACGTCGCGTCAAACGGGATAAATGTACGCTCGACGCGGTGTGACAGACGCGTCAGGTCACGTTCCGGCGTGACCGGCTACTTGGAGCGCTTGCGCGACGCGCATCGCACTCCGCTCGTCTCGCCTTGACCTTCCTATCCATGAACTGAGGCACAGATGATAGTGCACGCGAATCCAGGAGGGACCACAAACAGGCTGCATGGTGAGCGGGAGACGCGACACAAATTTCCACTGGCATGAAATGCAGGTACGTGCCTTTGGCTTACGTCCGTCTTCCGCTACTTATGATATAAGTAGGTCGCATCGGCGTTGCGAGCGACCATGCGAGTGTGTGACGCTCTATCGGGCTTCATATTCAACACCCTGCTCATAGCATGTAGATTATTCGTAGAGGCTGACTACCGCAATCAATCGTGGTACGTTCCACAAACAAGAGTATCTCGTACTCATCCTTCATCGTCCCAGATGTACAAAAGGTACCCAGCGTACGAAGGAGCAACCACTTGATCGCAGTTCCTTGACGGCAGTATGAAGAGCGTTGGCTGAGTAGAGGTAATCTGGACTCTGGGTGTTAGCGCTCCCTGCTGTGGCTAATAACGCCTTGTAGAAGACATCCACGACGAAGGGCCCGTCCTCGTCGACAATCGACCTGTGCGCAGACTGTTATCATGTATTGCCAAGTCACACAGTAGCAAACTCACCACAACGTCGCTACGGCCC